GTCGTAATTACGCTCTGCATCTTGCATCGATTTGCTGAAAAAGGCCACTGGGTGCCATAGTCTGTCTTCTTCCAATTGAGAAAGTACACCACCAGTAGCGTAGTCAGATGCGTCACTCTCTATCTTTTGTTTTTTATTTGCATCTGGCATGACTAGCACTGGTGTGGAAGTGAAACTGTCCTTCACGGTTTTGAAAGCCTTCTCTTGCTTGTCCGTCCATTCCCATGGTACATCCTTTCTGATGAGTTCATTCATGGGTCTGGCAATGTTCGAGAAACCGAGAATGAATCGACGATAAAAGTTCGCAAATCCCATGAATCGTTGAATGTCCTTGACACAGGTAGGAGTGGGCCATTCCTGAACTCCTTTAACCTTGACCGGATCCATAGAGACGTGTCCATCTTTGACGATCAAACCGAGAAACTCCACTTCCTTCTTCTCAAAAGAACACTTCTCCGGTTTGAGGTAGAGATCATTGTCCTGCAACCTTTGTAATACCTCGCACACCACCTTCCGATGTTTTTCTACATCACCATTGGTGAAAACCAAGATGTCGTCGATGTAGACTACAACGACCTTGCCTTCCTTTAGATCTTGGAAGATTTGGTCCATTATAGTTTGGAAGGTAGCTGGGGAGTTTGTCATGCCGAAGTACATTACAACTGGTTCGTGATGTCCAAAAGGAGTTTTGAAGGCGGCCTTCCACTGGTCTCCTTCTCTCATTCTGATATTATTATAGCCCCATCGAACGTCCATTTTCGAAAAGAGCTTTGCACCGGAGAGACGATCGATAAGGTCCTGAGAGCGAGGGAGAGGGTATGCATTTCGGATGGTTTTCTCATTCAACCTCCAATAGTCCATGACGGGTCTGAGCTTTCCGTCCTTCTTAGCAACAAAGAAGAAAGGAGCTGCTACTGGGGATTCGCTATCCCTCAGTCGTCCCAAATCATATTCCTGCTTCAACCACTTCTCACATGCGTCATTTTCGGCAGGGGGACAGGGGATATGCTTTCGCATTGGGGGGAAGGTCAGTAGGATCCTTGAGGTCTACCTTGTGATCCCACTTCTTAGACTCGGGGAATCGAGTAGACTCTTCTTCGGAGAAGACCTTAAGATAGTCATGGAGCCAGTCCGGCACCATTTCTTCTATGGGCTTCTTTTCCTTCTTCTTCTCCTCCTGCTGCGCTAACTCTGATGCTACAGAGCTCTTGTACCTGATCCACATGTTCCGTGATGAATCCTCATCCTCGACTTCCTCAATCTGCACCTTCTGACCAACAGTAGTAGCAAGGTCCGATTGTTCTTCATCCTCAAGCCTGGCAGGTATAGTACCCACATGTCCGTGCATTTTAGAGCTGAAGCTGTTCGACTGAACCTGATGATGGATAGAGGCTTCCTCGATATCCTCATCTTCGTCATCTTCTGTCGGTATCAAATCGGGCAATGCCGGAAGGATCGAACAGTTCATGGCTATTCGCTTCTTCGCCTTGGTCTTCTTGTCCTTGACCTTGGCTTCTTGACATTTAACCGGGCAACGGTCTAATGCCACCTTCCCTGCATTCCAATCGATACTGGGATTGTGGAATCACAGCCAATCTATTCCAATGATAACATCATCGGATCCTAGGTCTGTGACCAGAAAGGCTACTTCTTCCTCATGATCCCCTATGGTAAGCTTCAAGTCTGCGTAATGCTAATTGGTCCGGTGGAATTGTCTGTTTCGTCAATGTTACGAATCAACATTGGTCGCAACAACTGCTTAATCTGAACTTGATTTTTTTCTACGAATTTTTTGCTGAGGAAAAGGTTCGTTGCTCCACAATCCACTAGAGCATTGACAGCTGCTTTCTTGTGTTTCCCTTCCAACGTAACTGGCAAGTAGAAATGGTCTCGTTTATTTCCAGAACAAACTTCTGATACTTCTGCAAACATGATTGCCAAGTCACCGAGAATGGAAAAACGATTTCTTCGATCTAAGTCCAGCAGTCGACTTCGATCTCCCTAAAAACCCTTCTGCTCCTCTTTCTTCGCTGGGTTGTACATACTGGAGAGGCAAATCCTCTCATTGATGATGCGGTTAATATCTTCCAGGGTGAGTGCTTTCACCGCTGGAACTTCTTCCACCTTGCCGGCGCGGACAGCTGGTCCTTTGCCCTTGGTGTCGAGTGGCTTTCCTGTGCAGTTACGGGCCATATGCCCTTCTTCTCCGCAGCGATAGCATTTGAATGGCTGCCCCTGCGCGCGGGGTCTGCCTCCTGCTCTGGTTGCGTCCACATCCATCGTGTTTCCTCCCTGAGACGTGGTCTTGGGTGCTCCAGCTGGTGCAGGTGGAACAGCGGAGCCTCGCCAAGGTTGTTGCTGAGCGAAGCTCATCTTCCTCTCATCATCAAGCTCTTCTAAGTTCTGCCCAACTAGGAGCGCCTCCCTGATCAATCCCTCCAGGGTGTCTTTCCTGTTGGGGTGGATGCTGGCCAAGTAGTTTTTGACCCGTTGGTCTAAACCATGACGGAGTTTGCGCATTAGTTCATAGTCAGAGAAATGACAGAAGGCGAGCTTCTGACAGAAAAGGGAGATATACTCTCCGACGGTACGAGTGCCTTGTCGGAGAGTTTCCAACTCTCTTGCTGCCTTCTCCTCTTTGTTAACGACGGTCCACATGACCCTCATGTCCTTGACGATGCTGTTGTAGAACCCAGGATGACCGCTGAGCACCATGGGGGTAATGCTTTCTGCCCATTTGGCTGCTGCTCCGCGACAAAAGGAAACAAGACAGGTGCATTTCTGCTGCTCTGTCGCGCCTGGGTAACCGGTAAAGTAGATGGCGAGCTGGGTGAGGAACGTGTCAATGTCAATGGAGTTCTTTTCGCCTGTGAAGTCCATCGGTTTTGCCATCTTCAGATCAGAACCTGAGGTCCCAGATGTAGCGCCTGGGATCTTCATCGTAGGTGAGTTCTGCAAAACCGAGATGTGGCTCTCCGCCACAGTCAAGGAGTTTTCCAGATCTCTCGTCCTGATCTTCAGGTAGTCGATCTCGTTGTCCGCGTGCACCAGGCCTGCTTGCAGCTCGTCGATCTCCTTCTGCAGATCGTCTATGAACTGCCTGGTGTACCTTCTTTCTTGTTCGACGACGGCTTGGATTGCGTCCGAAATGCTCTTGTGGGTGATGGTAGTCTCTCCCGGCCCTGAGATGCCAAAGGGTACAGAAGGGCCTGCGGTTGGGGTGGTGGATGATTCTGCAGGTGCTGGGCCCAATGAGTTGTGCCATGCCAACGGCGTTGGGTAGAGGATGCTCGCTCTGTCCGGAGTCTCTACTGGTTGCACAGCTGCTGGTGCCATCGCTATTTCCGTATCTTCGGAAACGTGCATCCCAGGCTCTCCTAGATTCTCGGACATGGAAGAATCTGCAAGAGGTATCCAGACAGGAAACAGTGTGAAGATGGAGTTCTCTAGCCGCGACTAGGCGGGATCTGTATGGCGGGGCAATGATGACAGAGGTGCGAACAACGTGTGTAGCGGTTCATCAACCTAAAAGAACTCGAGAGGAGTTCGCGAAGACGCGGTGAACTTCGGGTCTACTTTTAGCACCCTAAGTTCTTAGGTAATTGTACTAGGGTTTGTAAGACCCGCAAGTGCCATTCTGTTACATAGAAAGCAAGTAGGTAGCGTACAGTTGGCAGGGTTTGGGGCCGAACTGCAGATGTACGGAAACAGGACCTAAGTGTCACTGATCCTTATCAACTGGCGGCTCGTAGTAAGATGAGGGCCTGGCTGACTTCTACTAAAGACTAACGTAAAGAAATTGAGATACTAAAGTGCGTCGGGGAAATAATGATTTGACAAAAAATGTGATCCACGAGAATATTCTCAAGCAGAACAGCACAGGTGAAGTTCGTCGAGAACGGTAACATCCAAGACAAAGTTCGAGTCGGAGTGGTAGAGTAGACTTAACCTAATGTTATGACCGACGTCCAACAATAATGTTGAAGGTGAGTGCACAACCACTAGGACTCGGTCAGAGATGACGATGAGCAACAGGATAGATTTGAGCGTGAACGTCTAGGTCACTACAACAGTAGAAACGAAGAGGTTAAGTCTAAGGAGCTCTTACGCTAACTACCCTACTCTTATACATAACATTGAGTCGGAGATATCTGGGTACGAAAGAAATCAGCCAATAAGAAAAGAGTCGTACTGATACTGCGGATGAGTAAGTATGACATCATGATATATAAGCGACTGAGTAAGACGGTTACTAAATAGAAACCCAAGATCCGACCGGTTCTTCTTTAGGGAGCGAGATTGTTCTAGCCCGTGGAGTAGGGGAGCCAATCAGAGAAGCAACGGGTGACCTATGACGAGAAGTCACGTGACCGGCTCGGGTACTGGAAGTAGCCGAAGGAAAACCGAGAAATGAAAAATGGTTTGTATTTGGGATTCGTGACAGCAAAACACTTTGCACTGTGGAACTCTGTGAGACTCTGGGTTCTGTACAGAACCCACAGAAGCAAAGCAGTTTGCTGATGAGTCCTGAACAAGGGCTAATCAAGCTGAATGGGCTTAGGTATGGAACATGGAATGCCATGACAGTAACATAAAGCCCATCATCGTGGGGAGAAATCTTACAGCCGGAGGGTGTTTGTATCACAAAATTTCGAGTCACCTACATGCGGGTCCCGAGGCAGCTGATTGGCTGCGTCACGAATGTGAAAGGTGGATCCGGTAAAATAGTAGGCACTTTAGATTTTCAGCCCACTTGTCCGACTTGCTGAAGGTAATCAAAAGGTTAACGTTTTCTACGAATAGAGGGTGGATTAAGTACTCCGCAGTGAGTAGCGAGCTGAGATTCAACGAGTAATCTAATGTTGAACCTTGATTAGTCAGCAAGGATTGACACGTCGACTCCTGGTTCCAACCAGTTGGTCCTTAAGCTTTATCCTGTGGTTTGCCTGTGGACCTCGTCATTTGGTCCAACGTACCTTATATACTTCGCATCCCTTACGATGGCTGACATTCTCGCTGAGCTTCGAAAAATACCGCCAGTGACGCGCTTTCTAGTTAGCTCGTCTCTCGGCGTCACCCTCTCAGCCATCATGAATCTCGTCTCGCCATACAGACTGATTTTCATATCCCAAGCTGTTATTAGCAAGTGGGAGGTGTGTCCCATCGTTATTTTCTTCCTTTATTTATGAATCATCCATTTGAGCCTAACGGTGCTTGTCATATATGTAGGTCTGGAGATTGTACACCAGTTTATTCCTCGGAAGTAAGTATCGTGAACAATATAATTTAGACTACGTGAAGCGATACGAGCTCATTTTTCATTTCAGGTATGAACCTGAATTATATTTTTGAAATGGTCATGCTCTAGTAAGTTCCCCCCTTCATTGAGACTCGGAATCCAACGATCCGTGGTTTAAAGTCGCAACTCGAACACTCTTGAGTCAACTCACTACGAGCGCCGTTCCTCTGATTATGCCTGGCAGCTCTTTCTTGCTAGCCTTGCTCTGATCGTACGTTCATATCTCACTTGTGCCGTCCATAACCTCATCTGCATTGTTCATTTGCAGGGCATCAACCGTCCACTCCAATCATACTCACATAGCCGCGCCTTGTTTCACACTCTTACCTACTTGATGTGTTCGCTATCACCGCCAGGCGCGCTAACAAGCGTCATGGGGCTCATTACAATCCCTGTCGCATACTTCCCATACGCACTCTTGGGCATGGACCTCCTCATGGGCGGGAAAACTGCCGCCGCGCAGGGAGTGAGCGGCATGCTCGTTGGACACGCGTGGTGGTGGCTAATCTGGGGGTCTGGCATTGGCACGGGCGGTGTCGAGCAGGGGATATACGCGGGGTGGGGACGTGCTCCCGCGTGGCTGAAGAGCTGGTTTGGCGAGCGTGAAGAGCATGGGCGTGCAGGGAGCAGGAGGGGTGGCGTACAGGCGTTTGCGCCGAGGCAGCGTGCTGAGGAGGCTGCTGCGTCGGGGCGGGTGACGGGACATAGTTGGGGGTCTGGGACGAGATTGGGGGACTCGTAGTTTGTGGGAAGCTTCAGTTAAATTGTTGACCATTTTTGACATATATACGTACAGTACAGTGATATGTTGTGTCGTCATCGTTCCTCCCGGAGGGGGCGTCAAGAAATATTGATAATGGTCCATCGCTGTAACTTGGTTGTTACATGTTCTTTTCTATTGGAAATTCTTACATGATTTGACAGTCAACACCACACTCACTCGAGCTCCTGCCATGGGGAGAAGACAGGGGATTGTTCTCATTCAAGATTCTGGACCTACGTTCATGACCACCACGGACTTATCACCTCGGTCTCCACTGTCAAGAAATAGTCCAATGCAGGGTTCAGTGTGGATCACATCACTCCGAATAGAGGTTTAGGGTAAGCGCTGCCGCCACGCATACAGCCAACATCAGTCACTAGCTATCCTGTGTCTGACGAGCCATATTTTTTCAATTTATAGTATATACTTATGCTTCTACGTTCACTGATACCGACAGGTTTGTCCCACTTGCAGGACGTTTGCTTACAAAGCCCCAAGCCCCGGATCAATGTTGATGACGTATTCGAACCCAGCGGGTCCGACTATGCCGGCGGTAAGCCTTTTGCGTTGCTTACACAAGAACAACGAGGGTATGGAGCCCAGTACATATGATACTACAGCATTCTTGTCGCCCCCTTACTTCATGCATCACCCATGGCCTTACAGACCCTGATAGCCCTCGTCTTTGCATTCACATCTACCAGGACAAGTGTATCTGACCCAGAGAAGGGTCCAGGAGCCCTCAGTGAAACTTCCAATGGAAATAGGAACTCAAGCACTCGCGTTGACAATAACGAAGGAGACGACGCGGACGAGGGCGAGGGCGAGGGCGAGGGGAGAAACCTAGTTCAGGAAGCGCACCTGGACATAGACGTTGACGACGATGAAGACGGCTCACCGCCAAATGAGTCTGACTTAGGCCCACCGACCGACCCACTACAGCTGCCCGATTCTCCTGAAGAGCGCCCGTCGTTGTTGGCTCGGGCAAAGACATTCATGTTTCCGCCATCATCAGATGTCTTGTGCTTCGTACCAAACTACCGGTGCACTCCCCTTATATCTGGCATTGTGATACCATTCTCGATCTTGCTCGAGATCCCAGGGCTCACTGGGTACTGGTACATCCGCACCGAGGATTATGATACCATCCAAACTCGTCCTAACCCCGCTCTACTGGATACTGGCCTCGCATTTAGCATGACTTGCGCTGTCATCGCTAATGTATGTATCATCTTAAGGTTTCTTGAGAAGTGGGTCATGGCGACGACAATTTTATGTATCATATTTTTGTCCATACACGGTTTGTGCCTTGGTTCGAGCAAAGACGTGTATTGACATATGGTATAGATATAATCAATATTGTCGCTCTCACCATCTTTGGCGTGAGCCACCGATTCGACGACGGGTTCACCTACGGTGAAGCTTTCTGGATCACTGTCTGCTCCACCGTTGCATCTGTCATCACAAATGTGTCCCTTATCATCGACTTCATTCGCACGCCAGACTTCAAGACAAGCGGTATGTTCCCCATCTCCTATTATTCGCTTCACTCACCACTCTTAACATGACACAGGCAGTGGCCTCACCCGCAAGCAGCGCACACTGGTGATCATCCTCATCATCCTATTCACCTACATCGCACTCGGCTCTATGATAAATTCATTCATGCTTTCTCTCAGCTTCATTAACGGGCTTTATTTCACTGTCACATCAATCGAGACTATCGGCTTTGGCGACATTGTGCCTACTTCCCCTGGATCGAGAGTATTTATCTGCTTTTACGCCTTCTTTGGTATTGTGAACCTTGCCGTGGTGGTGGGCATGGTAGGGGAAACAGTGAGGGAAGGGCTGCACGTCGGTTATCTACGACGCTTGCAGGAAATTCGAGAACGACGGCGTGCATCACGGAGACGAAAAAATGCTGAAAGGCGATGGCGTTCAGCGGTTATATGGAAACTGCGAGACAAAGGTGCAAAGGTGTGGGTTCGGAAACATCGTTCAAAACAATCAGACTCGCTTTGGGCCAAGGTGAAGAGAAGGTTTTTCAACGCTGCCGAAAGGATTCCGCGTCCCTTGGATTATTCGCGGGGAATGCGTCTGAACCTCGAGGCGCTCACACACGATCAATTGGAAGCAGCAGCAATGGAGGCAGGCGTTCCACTTGATGCGTTGCTCCCACCAGAGTTTTACGAAGCGCAGATGCAGAATGACGACGACAGCAATGCTGATGACTTGGAGGTAATGTTCGTATTTGCCTTCTTGATATGATACTGATTACCGTGACAAGATGATTGCAAGCAAATATATGTCTGTCCCGCATCCAGTATATGGGATAAATGTGCGACATGGGACACTTCGGCCACTAACACATCAGCGGGTTGGCGCCATGGCAGCGCTCCTAACGAGATTTGCGATTGAATTTTCCGGACAAAGTGGACCGCAGGCTGCTATGGACGGTGTTAAACGTCCTAGCGAAGACTCTGCTTCGAATGCTAGACGTGGCTTGAGCATTGGCGGCGCAGGTGGAGGCGGACATAACGTTGAGAGCTCTGCGACGCTTGCGACGACCTCCAGCAGCGACGATATTAACACAGAATACGACTCCGTGGTTGCGAGCACTGGAGAAGAACGCTCTTTGGGTGCGCTCGTCTTTTTCGTGGGCATTGTTTGTTGTGTTCTGGATGGTGAGTTGGGGCGGTGTTGCTTCTCTCGCTTCCTGCTTCATTTCCAACATGTTACCGAGCGATCTGACAAACATAGGTTGGCGCGGCAATATTCAGTAAAACCGAAGGCTGGTCATATGGCTCGTCTATATATTTCTGTGCGTTTTTCGTGCCCTTTTGATGTAATGATGGTTTGAACTTGTTTAGGTTTTGTGGCTTTCACAACGATCGGATATGGTGATCTTGCACCCAGGACGCCTGCAGGTCGGTCTGTGTTCGTTGTGTGGGCCCTGCTCGGCGTCGCGACTGTGACTGTATTGATCTCTGGTACGTGTTTGCCCTCTCTTGGTGACTCCCCTTCGCTGATATCTTCTTTTTGCTTTCCTCCCTAATGTGTGTTTCTTCGTTATTCTGATACTTGCAACATATTCCAACGCCTGTACCATCAATGGAATGTTTCCATTGCAGTCGCCTCCGAGGCTTACTCCGAGCGCTACAAGGGTATGCTCCAAAGCGACTCTTTCGAGCGAGCCGTCACGCTGTACCGCAGTCGCATGAAGAAGACGTATACCACGAGGACCTCCCGGTCCCTATCTCAGCCTCTCCCTCAAGCTCAAATCCCGACCCAGATCCAGACTGAATCGCTGACTCCAGCCTCTCCAAATGTCCGCTTCCAACCCTATCATTCCTTTGGCGCCGTCTTCAGGGCTTCGACTACGCACGACAGTGTTTTCTGAGCAGGAGGACGAAGGCGGTGAGGGCAGCAAGCAGCCACAAGACACAGAAATGAACGCACCAGATCCAAATCTACGGGCACAGGACTTGCTCGAGACGCTCCCGCGGCATGTCTTAAACGAGACGCGTTCGTTCCAGGAGTACATGCGGTATCTGGGAAATAATGGCAAAGGTACGAACGCCTACGTGAATGAGCGGCTGAAGGCGCTCCTGGACGATGTACTTGGCGCGGGGGGTATGAAGGAGAGTGTGAAAATGAATCTTTTGAGGGATAAGGGTACCAGACAGGTGAGTTGGTATTCCTTTTTTGTTTTCGATGAATCAGGTTGATTGTCTTTTCAGATGCTTGTCACGTTAAGCATCGAGAGTGAGTCCCCGTTCATTCAGGTCGTCCGAAGGCTGTCAATTGACTGTTAGGGTAGAATCGCTGATGGAGCTGACGAGCGTCACGGAGGAGACGATTGCGGCAATTAATGACCGTGACCGTGTCGCTGCGGCCTTGGTAAAGGAGCAGGACAACAATGAGGTGGACGTCAGACTCATTAGAGGCTGAAGACGCGTGGCTGCAAGCGCTGTGGGAGGCAGTTGAACACGATGGACGCCTCATCATCATGTTTTTGCGGGGCAAGGGCGGTAATCGCAGGCGAGGCTCGCCAGGTGCAGACTGCACATCTTGAGGATGACAGGTCGCACCTTCCAAAGGGAGACTTTGGTATGTAAACATTTAAAGTGTTTTTCTCAGTGAAGTTCAATTGGCAGGTGGAAGAGACTTCGGAATTTTGTTTCGGTGCGGGGATATCCCCGAACGGTCTGAAATATCATACGTGTATCATATTAGAACTTACTTACAGAAACAGGCATTATGACCTAGGGCCCCCCTCGCTGATCCCGGAGTACTCGCGCGTAGGTATTTTCAAAACAATCGTGTGTATCTGGCGCGTGTCTGACTTCTAGGTTAAGCATATCTATGAAGCTATCGACTTTGGCACATGTACTTAGAACCTCCCCTCCCTAGTACGTAGTAGCTTAGTCAGTACCTAGGGTCTGCTTGTCTCCGTCGGAGCCCATGACGTTCATTCATGCATTACACACCTACATAAGCATCACCATCCTATAGAGCTTGACCCTATTCTAAGTTTACTCCCTGCGTCTCTGGGTTACAGTTCTAACGTTCTTTTGGGAGAACTGAGGTTACAGGCTTTGATACGATGGCAAGATGGCGACATGATGGCCGCTAGGCGCTTTGAGCCTCAGATGGATGATGTTTTTATAATTCGGATCCTATTTAGGCATGCTCCGAGATCGAGACCTGGTCGCTTCAACACGACGCCCAGTTGGCGTTCTCACGACGTGGTCATCCAAACTGAAACTTTTCAGGTCAATTACTGCTCAAGCAATGCCGCAGTCTGACGTGACAGTCGAGCGGAAGCAAGCAGAGTCCAACTCCAGTTCTACGCCCGATTTGGCCTCGGATAAGCCTGCGGGGAATGATCTGGAAGACAACCGCTATCATACCGGATTCCTGAGACGTACCACACTGTTACTTGCTCGGTATGGAATCGAAACGCATGGGTGAGTGAGATGGTGGCGCTGTGATATCTGTCTGAAGCATTTTGACTGGCATGTACTTGGATCAGGATCGCGCCGGTGCCAGCGGAGGAACGTCTCGAGACTCGATGGTACCAAATGTTTTTCGTTTGGTTTTCTGCTAACATGAATATCTTAACGTACGTCCTGAGTTCCGTCCCGATCCTCGTACTTTCCACTGAACCACTTAACACCTGCAGATTCAGCACTGGTACTGTGGGACCTGCATTTTTTGCCCTGGGAGCGAATGACTCTATAATCATCATTGTCATCGTTGATCTGGTGTAAGTGCATTTGATTCATACCCATATTGAGCTGGGGCTAATGATAACTAGGGTTTGCTTATTGCCTGCGTTCTTGTGAGCTTTACCATTTTTCTTTGAACATTTCCGGGGGCTCATAGCGTACAGCGCTGTTTTCGGGCCAAAGCTCGGCACGCGAGCTATGGTACAAGCAAGGTTCTCGTGGGGGTGTGTTCTGTTTTTGATTGTCATCATCATTCGCTGACGAACATCAAGGTATTTCGGTGCCATCATACCGACCGTCTTGAATGTCTTCTCCATGCAAGGTTTCCTGATCTTGAACTGCATCGTCGGTGGACAAACACTAGCTAGCCTGTCTTCTCACCTTGACGATACTCTTGGTATTGTCATCATTGGTATCATATCTCTTGTGGTATGTCAGACTTGTTGGTGTTGCACCAAAATAACAAGTTTCGAAGGTAACTTTCTGTGGATACCGCATTATTCACTGGTGGGATCACTTAACCACGCACTCTCCGAAGATTTCTGATCGACTTTTGATTCATAGGTACGAAAGTATCGCCTGGATCCCAAATGTAGTCGCTTTTATTACTATGCTCGGTGTCGGTTACCCACAACTACGTGACAACCAATCGGTTCCCGTCTCTCCAGCAACTGCCGCTGAGGTTATCTCTTTTGCGTCCATTCTCGCTTCCAGCATTCTCAGTTGGTGTCCCATGACCCCTGACTATGGTGTATACCACAGCCCTGCTGCTTCCTCGTGAGCTTCCTCGTATCATGCACGGGCTCTCCTTAACATATTTATAGTGCGAGAATTTTTATCTACACGTATCTTGCGTTTTTCACCGCTAGTGTAAGTCCCCATACTGTTATCAGCGTCGTCGTAACATTCTTGAAAAGGTGACCGCCCACACCCTCGGTGCTGCATTCGCAGCCGCAGCTCCTAACGTGCCTGCTTGGAATACAGGATTTAACAACAGCTCTTCCGTTGGTGGCTTGTTATACAGCGTGTTGCTACCTACCGGCGCATTTGGAAAACTCCTGACTGCCCTGGTTGCCCTCAGCATACCCAGCGCCTGTGCACCGACGATGTATACGTTCAGCACCAGCTTCATGGCTGTCGCCACGTGGTTCGCTGCGGTGCCCAGATGGGTGTATATTCTCATCTCGGAAGGAATGTGAGTGTCTTCCGGTGGATGTGTACCTCATTGACGCTCATAATTCGCATTCAAGTCTGATACCGGTGGCCATTGTTGGTGCCAAAAGGTTTTATACTACGTTTGTTGACATCCTTAGTACGAGTCTCAAACATCGATATCTTGTTATTAGTGCTAACATGCTGGTTCCTTAGACATCATTGGATATTGGTCATCAGTATTTTCTGCCATCATCCTCACTGAACATCTGTTATTTCGACGAGCCTCAGTTTTCTGAGGATCAGTATCCCATCATGACTTGGTCCTCATATGCTCTCTTACCTAACGGTATCCCAGCGGTCGTGGCTTTCGTGTGCGCCTGTGGAGCTCTTGTTCCATTCATGTCACAAGCTTGGTATGTAGGTCCAGTGGCGAGGCATGGAAGCGGGGACGTTGGGGTGTATGTTGGGTTTGTGGTGGGGGCTATCACCTATGCGTTGACGAGAAGTTTCGAGAAGATGTGGCACAATAAGAAGATGAGTAAATCAGATGCTTGCTAGTAGTCCCTAATGCTTTTGAGTGTTTGATATCGAGAGATGATGATACAAGTCGTTGTACTATTGGTTACCACTCACTCGTGCAGTCCCACATTTCGTGCAGTCACGCAAATGTCACGGAAAGTCACGGAATAGTCACACTGTCCGATTTCGCAGTCCGCTCGACACGCTGTGGATTAGATATTAGGAAGATATGTACGAGTGTACCAGTGGCTAGTATGTAGTAATCTAATTGAATATGTATTGCGAGTTGCCGGAGTAATGAAAAGGGAGACTATTAGGATGCCCGGACAGCAATGGCTGTGATGATGTAGATATGACAGGAGCGGTTGTTGAGAGTACAGCGGGGCCAACATGATGTAGGTGGTTCGGATAAGGAATGGGGAGAGATCCTTGCATTTGCGGAAAAAATGGTGGCTGCAGGTAGAACATATTGTTGGCTGCCGTGGGGAGAGGAGTACTTGCTGAAGGTGTTGAGTTTTCATTCGAAGTTGGGTTGGCAACGGCAACAGCAACGGCAACAGGCCTGCCAGTGCGTCGTTTTGAACCATATAGCGCCGAAAATCGAGGATTATCTGCAAGGGCTGTGCGAGTGTCAGGATCTTTCAAGTGAGCTTTGATCCGTGCAGCAAGATCAGCGATTTTTCCGTCTCTCGAGAGTCCGAGTGCTCCGGCAAGTGCTTCGAGATCTTCTTTCCGTTTGTATGATGTGAAGGGACTATCAAATGTCCTCGTCGTGATGCTGTTGTGAATGCGTGCGATACGAGCTCCTGGATGGCGGCTTGAATGCGAGCCTCTTTGGTGGGATCTCGGGGACCTTTCCGCTTCCCACCGACTCGAGTGCGCGCCATCCGTGCGGCAAGTAGACACGTCCAGACGCGTTGCCACCAACGTGTCTGAGTTGAAACTCCGCTACGGCATCGGACGGCAGGTGACAATGGAAGTGACAAAAGCCTTTGTCACAAGCAAACATTTATCTCTCTTGTTTCTTGTCCGAATGCATCCGTCTAAGCTCGTAAGATGTTCTTGTGTATTATTATTTCAAATGGACATAGTAGTTTGAAGATTTGTAGTAGGAAAAGTGTGGTTTTGGAGGATGCACGAAATGTGGGACTGCACGAGTGAGTGGTAACCAATAGTACAACTATAAACAGCACGCATCTTTACATGGCAGGGAACACTTGCCTATGGCCCATTTTCCCTTGCAAGTCGAGATGCGGTGGTTGCAGCAGCGTTAAAGGTGATTCTTGCGATTCCTGCATGAGTCTCATCCTGTGCGCAATTTTTGTTGCAGATACCGCTGAAAGCTTATGAGGGCGGTTTGATTGGAGGTACATTCCTTGAAGGTAATATCGAGATGCGTGCAATGCGTAATTCCGTTGTTCAATATTCAATGCGCAGTTGTTTTCGCTATTGTGAGCGTTGGGTCGTTCGCAGATCTGAACTTTGCGCACTCACTGGCATCATGATGGGAACCAACGGTGACGATGTTCATCGATTGCTGTCTTCTTTCTACTCCTTAGCAGGTTAAGCATGTCTATGAAGCCATCCTAGGCTACATGGTTACATGTATAAGCGTTCAGACGTTCAAGGCATCATCGACATCGTAGTGATAAGTTTGATAATATGTAAAAAATCCAGGGCCCAAGCTGAGCGAGGCAGATCGAGGTAAGCTCGTGACCAGCCTGGCGTATACTCAAAAAAATTCTCACCATCTTAAATTGACGGATATAGTCAGACTGGTTACGAGTCTAAGATCGAGGCGCTTGATTCGATTAATCATGATGCATGATGTTCTAGATTATCTATGTGGTAATTTGGAAAGTTTCGGGTCCCACTTATGGTATTTAACCCGAGGTCGAACGTCGTTTCAATTCAGCGATATGAACCCGATTGCAACTGGCACTGACGCTGTTTTACCAAACTGAAAAAAAAAAAGAAACATTAGGTCAATTATTGCACCAATGCAGCCCGACCCTGTGGACCGGAAGCAGGCCGAGTCCAACTACTATTCGACACCCGATTTGTTTTCAGACGAGCACGCGAGTAATCTACCGGACAATCACGGATTTCTCAGACGTACCACTTTGCTGCTTTCTCGGTATGGGATTGAAACGCATGGGTGAGTGAGAGGTATTGATGTGATATTCCAGTTTGTAACATTCCTACCTGGTACTTGAATTAGCATCACTCCAGTGCCAGCGGAGGAACGCCTCGAGACTCGCTGGTACCAAATGTTTTTCGTCTGGTTCTCTTCTAACATGAATATCTTGGCGTGCGTCTTCAGTTCAGTATCGACCTTAGTGCTTTCCGCTGAATGACTTGGCACCTGCAGATTCGGCACTGGTACTGCTGGACCTGCATTTTTTTCCTTGGGAGTTCGCGACTCTATAATCATCATCGTGATCGTTAACCTGGTGTAAGTTGCAATAGCTCATGAGATCTCGATTTGCGGTGAATGACTATCAGCTAGATCGTGTTTGTTGCCTGCTTTCTTGTGAGATTTACTTATTCTTCTGTAGGCGTTGGGGATCTTATAGTGTGCTAGTGCTGTTTTCGGGCCAAAGCTTGGAATGCGAGCTATGGTACAAGCAAGGTTCTCGTGGGGGTGGGTGATCTTTCCTTGTTGTTCGATTGCAGTGTCGTTTGCTGATGTCCGTCAAGGTATTTTGGTGCGATCATACCAGCCGTCCTGAATGTTTTCTCCTTGGAAGGATTCCTTATCTTAAACTGCATCATTGGTGGACAAACGATAGCAAGCTTGTCTCCTCAACTTGACGATACTCTCGGAATTGTCATCATCAGTATCATATCTCTTATGGTATGTTGCAATTACTCGTGCTGCACCAAAATGACAGGCTTCAAAGGTCACTTTTTGTGGATACCGTGTTATTCATTGGTGGGATCAGTCAAATATTTGCATTATACAGAATTCTGACCGAATTCATAGGTACGAAAGTATTGCGTGGATTCCAAATGTAGTTGCCTTTATCACCATGCTGGGTGTCGGTTATCCGCAACTACGCGAAAACCAATTAGCTCCCGTTCCTCCAGTAACACCTGCCAATATCATCTCTTTTACGTCCTTAATTGCGTCTAATATTATCGGCTGGTGTCCCATGATCCCCGACTATGGCGTGTACCATAGCCCTGATGCTTCTTCGTGAGCCTCCTCTGACCATCGCTGCAGGGTCTCTCTAACATCCCTATAGTACGAGGATTTTTATCTACACGTATCTTGCGTTTTTCACCGCTAGTGTAAGCCCATATACACAGTCATTAGTGGCATATTAACATTCTTTTGAACAGGTGACTGGCCAAGCTCTAGGTGCTGCATTCGCAGCCGCAGCTCCGAGCGTGCCTGCTTGGAACGCAGGGTTTGACAACAGCTCTTCCGTCGGTGGCTTGTTTTACAGCGTGTTGTTACCTACTGGCGTATTCGGAAAAGTCCTGACTGCTTTGGTTGCTCTCAGCATACCCAGCGCCTGCGCACCAACGATGTATACGTTCAGCAACAGTTTCATGGCAATAGCTACGCGGTTTGGTGCGGTGCCTAGATGGGTGTATATCCTCATCTCAGAAGGAATGTGAGTGTTATCGAGTGCGAACCTCAGCGATGCTCACGATTTGCCTTCAAGTCTCATACCAATGGCCGTTGTTGGTGCGAAAAGGTTTTACACCACCGTTGTTGACGTACTTGGTACGAGTCTCAAATATCGGTATCTATGATTAGCGCCAACAAGCTGATCCCTCAGACATCGTTGGCTACTGGTCATCAATCTTTGCTGCGATAATCCTCACAGAACACGTATTATTCCGACGAGCCTCGTTTTCTGAGGATCAATATCCCATCACGACTTGGGCTTCGTATGCTCTCTTACCTAGCGGTATTCCAGCGGTTGTGGCCTTCGTATGCGCCGGTGGAGCACTTGTTCCATTCATGTCACAAGCTTGGTATGTAGGACCCGTGGCGAGGCAGGGCAGTGGAGACGTTGGTGTGTTCGTAGGGTTTGTGGTGGGAGCTATCACTTACGCGTTGGCGAGGAGTTTCGAGGGGATGTGGTACAAAAAGGCGATGAGTAAATCAGAGGTTTATTAGTCGCTTCAGATTCTCCGAAGGTTTTGATGCTAGAGTTCTATGATGGACAGCAAGTACATATCAGGTCAATGCTCGAAATCGTTCTCATGACCAGATGAATTCTCAATCGCATCGGTAAACATCTTAACCCCAGTCACATCGAGAACGCCATCGTCCTGCGCTAGATATGCCTCTCAAATCTCATTATGCCTTGCTGGGACAGGGGAGTTCAACCTCCAAGTCACGTCTCGTGGATCCAACGTTCGGGAGCACTGCTCTCTAAAATCCTGCGGGGGTCGTACTGGGTCGTAGGAATTCAGAATCGTGACAGGTTGTTGTACTATGCCGGACGCGGGGGCAGGTTCTAGCGCTACGGTTAACACTAAGGTGATGTTACTCAGAAACTTACTTACTCTATGGTAACCTCGTGAGACACGAGCTGTTTGGTTTCCGAGGCTCGTCTCTAGACTATGGAGGACGGAAGTATAACCTGGCTTGAACCTGAGGAGCAAGATGAATTGCGATGGGGCGGATGAAGTACAAGATATGGTAAACTGTATATATGGTTCTACATGATACATATATTAAGTATTTGTCCGTGCCCTGAGAGAGGTGGGGCACGAAGAGGAAAGAGGAGGTGTGTGTGCACTGCCGCATGCGATAGTATACTTAAAGGTAATGCATAATTTACCCTATGGAAGATCCTCGAAAGTCCACGTCAATGTTATGAGACTGATACATTACTATTAATAAAATAAGCACGAGCATGCTCACAGCGAAAGACTATCCGAATGAGCTGTCATCAACCGCCTACTCCGAGCAATTCTTGACAATAAGGTTGCGGAGAACCTTGCGGGACTCTGCGATGCGATGAATAAAGTCGACCGGGGTGCCCGGGTCTTCAACAAGCGTTGTGACGCATGCATGGTCTTTGAAAAGCATCCCAAGACTTTCGAATTCCTGCCCGTAGGTATTCCACCAGTTCTCCATAATTGGTTCATCCTCCAATCCCGTGACGACGACGACAATCGGAACCTTCTTCCGGCAGATCGTGGAGTACACATGGTTGTAGTGTCGAAGAAGGGCATGACGGGCTCTGGTGCTCTGCACACAGTATACCAAAAGGTCGATACCATCCGATACAGGGCTCGTGAGCTTAGCTAGTAAGCCATTCAAGCCCTTTTTTGCCTGTGCTGCTGGGACCGTCCCTTCAGTCCCTTCATCGAAACCTACGGTGTCAAACAGAGCGTATTCCTGGCCGGAAATGTTCACTTTATAGCTTTGATGGCGGAAGGTGCATCCAGTAGGCATCGACAGATGTCTTCGCGAGCTGTTTTTGTGCGATTGCGTTGATGACTGAACTCTTCCCTGAACCGCTTTCGCCGAAGATGACAACGTTTCTTGCCCGCGACCGGGTCTGATAAATTTTATAAGATTTCTTGGCTGCGATGCGGTTCAAGGAGTAGGGCACATACTTTGTTGTTCAATGAAACGTTTAGAACCGGTGGTGCTGGTTGTCCGTGTTCGGGTCCCGGAATGCTGGTTAATCCTAGGTCACGGTGTGCAGCTTCAGAAAACGCCCCACTGTGCCGGTAATCACTGGGTTGGCTCGAAGAAGACGAGCTCCTAGAGCGGAGGTCGAGTGCCTCTCGGTGGATAACCTCAAGCGATATGCTCTCATACAGGTCACTAGGATTGCTGTGATGATCGAAGCGGAGCTTGAGCAGCGTTAGATAAGGTGATGAGGAAGTCAAGGTGATCGTCAGCAGGATATGGTACAGCCAGTTCACGTGACAGATGAACAGCCTCATATAAATGATCGACATTGCCGGTTTGTTCAAAGCACGCGTAGAGGTCTCCGGCAAGCATGTACAGCGAGCAAGCCCGTTGTTGATGCTGTGGTGGACAAAGTTCGAGAACAGTTCGCCGAAGCGATACGCTCTCGTTTGAGGGATCTCTAGGAAGAGTATTGCACTGCTCGATGACGTATAGGACGCCGGTATTCTCGAGGGCTACTCGGTAAATATAGCTGCCCTCCGCACAAAGCGGCAGTAGAGAGTGGTAAAGCTCCACAGCCTCATGGAGGACGGCATGGTCCTTCTGATCCATGATGTAACGCTTTTGGAGAGCACGGCAGAGGTTGAAGATGTATAATGGGTGATCGGGGTGCTCTCGGGGACAAAATTCGAGCGCAGAGCGGAAGAGGGAAATGGCATGGTCAATGTCGGTTGGAATGTTCTTGGTACAGCCACATAGAATGGCATAGGCAAGGTTGGAGAGGGCTGCGGCGTGCTCTGGAGAACCATGGGGACATTTTTCAAGCACTGCTTGGAAGGCTCGAATGGCATAATCGAGATCACCTGGGAATGTTGCTCTTCCAGAAGAGAGCGTATAAATCCCTTGCCACATCAGTGGCGCGACCGATCTCGCTGTTAATATGAGAATACTTTGACTGTATTTAGTGGTGAGCATAAGGTTATGGGGTATGGTGTACCTGTACAGTACTGCCCACAGGGCGCTGCGCTATGTTTGTACGCCGTGCTTTCAACACAAGAGATGGGCACTGATTATTAACAGCCGACGCTGGTGATATTTCTGAACCGCTATCAGGGAATGACAATATTTGCGGAATGTGAGGGCTCACCGAACGGTGACTGCTTGTGTGCGAGCAATTCTTGTAAAGTTGTCTCAAGTGTACCCACAAGCTCGCCTCGACCGAGTATTGGTTCGCACTCAAATGAGGCGCGAATTTCGAAGCGGATTGCTCTCGAGAAGAAGGGTATGAAGTACCGGGGGCGCCCACGTATGATGAGTGTCTCGTTCCAAGAAACACTGTAATCGGCCATTAGCAGCCTTTATGGCGGTGTTCCACTGACCGCATGGGGTGGAGACCAGGACATAAAGGCCAGCGGGCATACGGTTAGAGGGAATGGCGAGGTTTCTGCCAGCAATTACTGTATGCATGCGGGAATGTGAGGAATTAAAGGGGAACGATGGCGAGAGGTGTATATACCTTCCAGTTCTAAACCATATTCGCCACTGGCACGACTCGAAATATTTGACACGGTGGATGTAAAGGTGTGAGGTTGCTTCATCGAGAGACAAGTGGCGCAAGTTGCATGATCAGGAAAGTACTAGTCGGGCAGTTTTATGGATATCATTGGGAGGTGAGCTGAGCGTGGTCTGCGGCGTGAGCCTTGTGCCCCGCATGGATTTGTAAATTGATGATGTCACCTTGTGAATACACCATGCAAGTCATACGTATTACTTACCTGCAAATTTGTTTCAGTAGGTTTGGCGAGACAATATTTAATTTAATAGCGATCAGGCACCGACATAAACATAATATTAAATTACTTCCGTGGAAACAAACTCGACCACGTTCCCATTTTCTCATTGGCTGAAACAAACTCGCACCAAGTGGCAGCTTTCTGCTCTCTATCTCCCACACGACCCTCCGAGATCGCACCCGGATGAAATGTTGGAGAAGGACCATGTAGTAAGTCCAGTGGAAAACGAAAACTATGAGGTTTCACTGTTCTTGCAATGTTTTTAGCTAGTAGAGATTGCTATAACCTGGTTCCTGTCTCTTGCAGACAGCTCCAGACTCCAGACATATCGATGCGGACAAAGCACATTTCGTGATGAACCTCTTCGCCAACGGAACACCCGTTATACAGCATTACACCCGTCAAGTCTTCTGTGACAGGATGCCCATCATACTTACAGCATTACCACCGTCTCTTCCCTGACGCGACACCCATTATACAGCATCACGCCCGTTGGAGTGGGGCACCACTTCACCGTCTCGTCCCTGACGGGATCATACAGCACCACACCCATGATTTTGCTGATCCGCGTATAATTCAATATCCGCGCGGCGGCAACCTTGTTTTCGTTCCCTCATTGAACATCCATTCGATCATGATCGATGTCATACATCATGCATCATGGTTGAAGAACGGTAAAACTATTTTCCCATTCCAGTTTTACCTGGCCCAACGCCAGCGAAGGTCCAAGCAAAGTTGTGAGGCAACAAAAGATGGCGGGAAGCGATGATTTGAACACGTGCCCGCACTTGTGCCACATTCATTTGCCTTCCTAGAGAGTTGTCGCTTGTGACGGGATGTCGATAGCCGTCTCGAGAGGTCCTGTCTCTATACACTGCTCTGTGCTAGAAGCAAGTCAAATCTGCAATGCACCCTCGAAGCAGTGTGTTTCTTGAACTTTCTTTGGAGAATTGCGAGCTAGAGATCCTCGTACATCTTTGTGATGACGGTATCATCCAGAAATCGAATCATATCGCTCTCTAACTGAGTCAAAGCATTAAGAAATCAATGACTTCCATGACATTCGCACACGCGTTACTGAGTTAAAACTTTATGGGGAGCCGGGTACTATGTTGTAACCGGAAGGTGAAGTCGAGATTACCTTGAGGTAAGGGGTCCAAGGTGCAAAGCCACATGAAGTAAACGAGGCATTCACTGGCAGAAGATACACACAGCAAATTATGTAGCCGCACACTAGATTACAGTTGGTGACCGTGGTACTAAGCGCCGGACAAGTTGGTATTATATATGTATCTGTCCCTTTGCTTAACAAAAAGAACGTGTTATTCGCACAGTACGGCGGAGCATCAGTGAACGGGCATGACATTCAGCAACGAGATGCATGTTTTGCGCCTGTAAACAGTGATGCATAGACAGTACATACCTGCCAATACACGAAAATGTCAAAATCAAGATCTCGCATCTGAGTATACAATAGTACGGCATCAACGAGCGCCCTGTTCTGTGAGACACTGCCTGATGGCGAGTGCGTTGTGTCTCATATGGTGATGACCTTCCCCGTCTCTGGCTTCGTAGGCATCTGCATGGCGGGTATGTGTTTAGCGGCAGGAAGGAGGACAAATCACCTACTGATGTAACTAGTACTACACATTAACAACGTCACGCCCAAACTCGACATCTGCTTCCTCAGGATAGCCGTTTACAGTGCTGAGGTGGCGGGGCGCCGGTATGGGCGGAAATGAGTGGTGGAAATGACTAAGAGGTGGGGAGAGAATGAAGCGAGCGTGTAGCAAGACTTAAGCGCTGAGCAATAGCGCGGGCGGGAACGAGGATACAAGGATGAGGACGCGCGAAGGTGAACCAGATTCACGTAAGTAATGGCCCTGCAAGGCGCAGTGGGCGAGGAGGCAGCCACCCTCGGTTAACATGCTTGCAACGACGGGAAGCAGCACTGAGCAGGTCCACTGAGTGGTTTCCGGTGCTTTCCAGCGTCGATCATTCATTAAACACGGCTGTCAGCATGTCATTTGGAGATTCCGTCCTAAAAATTCTCGAACTGGCTTGTAATCCAGCATGATGCTATGAACGCGGAGTTACCGCAATTTGAAACTGGTCTGAGAAAAATGCATGTGACGTCTTGTGGTGAATTTTTGTGATGGGGCGGGTGGAATATAAGACATGGTAAACTAAAAATATATGGTTCTACGTGATACAGGCATTGAGTAAATATTGAGTGTTTATCCGTGCCCTAAGAGAGAGGTGGGGCGCGAAGAGAAAAGAGGAACTCGAAGACGCATATAAAAGTAATGCATAATTTACCCTATGGCATGGGGGATCCGAGACCGATAAATAAAATGAGCGTGAGCATGAGCACGAGCATGTTATCACCGCTCACAGCAAGGCTATCTGAACAAGCTGTCGGCAACCGCCTACTCCGAGCAATTCTCTACAATGAGTCTGCGCAGAACCTTTGCGGGACTCTGCGATGCGATGAATCAAGTCGTCCGAGGCGCCCGTGTCTTCAACAAGCGTTGTGACGCATGCATGGTCTTTGAAAGGCATCCCAAGACTTTCGAATTCCTTCCCGTAGGTATTCCACCAGTTGCCTATAACTGGCTCGTTCTCCAATCCCGTGACGACGACGACAATCGGAACCTTCTTCCGGCAGATCGTGGAGTACACATAGGTTGTAGTTTCGAACAAGGGCACGACGGGCTCTGGTGCTTTGTACGCAATACACCAAAAGATCTATACCATCCTGATCCAGGGCTCGTGAGCTTAGCCAGTAAGCCCTTTCAAGCCCTTTTTCGCCTGTGCTGCTGGAACCGTCCCTTCAGTCCCTTCATCGAAACCTACGGTGTCAAACAGAGCGTATTCCTGGCCGGAAATGTTCACTTTATAGCGCTGATGGCGGGAAGTGCATCCAGCAGCATCGCCAGATGTCTTCGCGAGCTTTTTTTGTGCGATTGCGTTGATGACTGAACTCTTCCCTGAACCGCTTTCGCCGAAGATGACAACGTTTCTTGCCCGCGACCGGGTCTGATAAATTTTATAAGATTTCTTGGCTGCGATGCGGCTCAAGGAGTAGGGCACATACTTTGTTGTTCAATGAAATGTTTGGAGCCGGTGGTGCTGGTTGTCCGTGTTCGGGTCCCGGAATGCTGGTTAATCCTAGGTCACGGTGTGCAGCTATTTTTACACGCCGTGCTTTCAACACAAGGGATGTACACTGAGAATTAACAGCCGGCAGTGACACTTCTGAGCGGCTATCAGGGATGACAACGTCAAAAAATGCGAGGACTCACCAAATTGTTCATCATGTGCGAGCAATTCTTTTAAACTCATCTCAACGGTACCTACAAGCTCGCCTCGACCGAGCATTGGTTCACACTCAAATGTAGCGCGAATCTCAAGGTGGACTGTTTTCGAGGTGCTGGAGAAAAAGGGCATGAAACATCGGGGGAACATGAGGGGGCGCCCACGTATGTTGAGGGTCTCATTCCACGAAACACTGCAGTCAGCCCTTGGGGCCATTAACTGGCGGTGTTCCAGTAACCATAGGGGGTGGTGACAAGGACATAGAGACCAGTGGGGGTGCGGCCAGATGGAACAGCGAGGTTTTTGCCAGTGATGACTACGGGATTGATGTGAGCAATGGAGGGAGGATGATTGGAAGTGCATATACCTTCCAGAGCCAACACGTATTCGGCACGACACATATTTAACATGGATAAGGCAAGGTGTAAGGTGTAAGGTGGAGGATGAGGAAGGTAAGCAGCAAGAGGGTCATTTCTGAGAGGAAGAACTTGGGATGCACTGAGTTTTAAGACGGTACAACCACGCACGGGTAAGAGCGGTCCGACTTGATCTCGAATCTGGATGGTTCTATATAGAGGCTGAACATGGTGTAAACGGACGAAGGGATAAGCGACTTGAAGGCAGTACATACCATACGGTTAAGACTCGGAACGATACTAGCTACGTTATATAGATCAAATACTCTAATCTATATTAATGGCAGCTGTGTAGGACAACTATGTATATTCCAAATCGAGCACTCGACGCCACGGGTCAAGGGCCAAGGCAGTGACGATAATGCAACAACTTGAAATCGAAGCAAATCGATCATCCAAGTGCAACTGCTGTGCACCGTGTGGTAAGTTCTCGTCGGGATTATGCAACCGCCATCGGCGCGCAAGTCTCCCGTTCCAAAACCCTACCGCCATTCCCACAAGGACGACTCAACTCAGCACGAGGAATGGTGGTGATGTTCGAAGAAGGCACGGGTCGATCATGTAGCAAGTTATCACCGAGCTCGTGGAAAACTGTGAGGTTTGCATATCCTCGCAGTGTTTCTGGCTAGTGGTGAGTGCTATTCATATGGTGTTCTATCACTTGGTTCCTGGCTCTTCAGGGCTGCATCGTAGTGCAGAGTCTAGACATGATGCGGAGAACTGTCACTGGCAGCAAAGTTCGTAATAACCCTGGGGCACCCATATGCTCACCTGTCTGATCCGTGCATAATTCAAATACTTAGTTGTCCTTGATGAAATGCTCTGCGCGTGGCAGTAGTGTCATGCGAGTATGGGGTATTACGATGTTGTTGCCAGAACAGTCGATCAAGGTTACCAAGATAAGGTTAATGTTGAAGGCAGTTGAAGACGTTGAACGGGGCAATGTACCAGAGCCGAGGTGACCTGCTGTACAGCAACGGAGAAATCCGAAACGCCTCACCGTAAGCCTCCGTTATATCCTGAACACCTTCATTGAATTGCAAATCTTCGTGAAATCTTTCCGTGAGTTGGGGGAGGTGATTAACAAGTATAGGTATATACTAAGATAGTTCTCGATATCCTAATGTCTTCGACTGGTTGCCCTGTATTTTTTCAACAGCACGTGTTTAATAAATCGATGAGACGCGATGCGTGCATGTACTTATGTACATAATCACCTCCCTGCTGGTGGTGCACTCCCTTTCCTCTGAACAGGAACCGTTATTATGCACCCCATTCAAAATGAATCATAGCTCTTGCAGGACGAAAGTCTAACACTCTTCTTGAATAATTCTGACATGCAGACAACTTATAACTATGCTTCTGTGCCAGGTGGGGTCTGGAACTCACCGATCGCACACCTCTTGCATAGTAATCGCGTGAATTATAGTTAGCTGACTACTATGACGAAGTGTCGAAATGCTGTATTGTGTCTGTCCCTTTCCCGACGAAAAGAACGTGTTTGTACAGCACTGCTAGTAGAAGCTTGGACACGAGGCATGTCATTCAAAAGCAATACGGTATAAGCAGGCGGCAGCGAGAATACACGTTTTGCGCCTGTAAATAGTAAAAGGCAGTAGTAAGAATCAGGAATGTGATGTATACACACATGCATGCCAATAAACATCGACGCAACTTGCCCATAACTCCGGCTGCGACATTAATGACGAGTCCTCAATCCCACCTTTTTCTGCGAGACGCTGCTCAATGACAAGTGTGTCCTGTTCTTTGCTTACCGTAATACGAAGGAATGGTCGTCTTCCTTTGATCTGGACTGCCTAGTAGAAGGCTAAGTGTTTCGGAGTCTACTGTTGCAGCGAATAAAAATCAGCGCGTGTTCATCGCGTGTTCACGTTAAGTACAGGCCGTCACCGCCACAGTCCGGTGGCAGCGCCCGCTGCTTTCTAGATATGTATAGCATATCGTTGTTGACGTAATATTATCTGGACAGACCTATAGAAGTCTGGAGACGAGCGCATTATAGAAATCGCATTGAATCTTCTTCAATGCAATGCAGTATTCCAAAGATATGGAGGCATCAGTCAACTCAACGCGGTACATCCGTTGCGAGCTTACAAGTAACCGAGTCAGGCTGTTGGGGCTCTATGAGGATGCTACGAAACGAAGGAGCACCTTGAAATACAGACAAAAATTATTCGAGTGCACTAAGTTCCTGGGTGATTGTGTAACGTCCAGTGGCCAGGTCCCGTTTGAGGGTCAAGATGGTGGTCTCAGGAAGGTCGGAAAGATCTTGCTCCCAGATCGGATCGGTGGTGATACCACATTGCACGGTTGCGGTCTCTTGATAATTCGAGGTTATGTAGGCGCGCAGGATCGGAGTGATAGCCGTGACGCCACGGCAAGTCTCTGTTTTGTACTGTAAGTTCCCTGTACCAAAAATAAAGGAAAGATGACATACTCGACGTCCTTGAAATAGAGCACCGGCTTAGGCACCGAGTCTCCCGGGATCATAATACCTGGGGTTAGAAACGCTGAGGCGGAAAAAAAACGAAGAAAATGATGGTCACAAACTGATTGCAATGTCCTGAACAACTCCAGTCTCGTTACAGGCCTCTAGATAACCATGAACTCCAGGCTCCGGGTCCTACACGAGGCATTCGTGAGCTGTCGAGAAGATAAACACAAGCCAGGCTTACAGAAAACCGGAACCCGTCATCCGTCTGGGTTAGGGTGGTTGTTTCGCCGTTCTGCATGATGTCTTGCGTTCATGTTAGGAACCGCAGAGTAGATGAGAGTCTCTCACGTTGATCCGGACGTAAGTTCCAGCGTCAACGATTTCCCCATCCTCGACCTGTACTTTGGAGAAAGCAAATCTATAGGTTGAACGAATCCGTGGTTATGAGCATGACTTGTGTCCTTTGAAGATATAAACTTACTGGTTCGTGTAGGTCGTGAACATGGTGTACCGGCCTGGGACGAGGAGTGATAGGTAAGTTCGCAATCGGGGAAGGATATGATAACACCCACCCTCCTTCCCACATGTGATGGCCCTGGAATATTGCAAGGTTAGAAAGTTATCGGGGCGAAAGCGGGGGTCCTGACCTCCAAACTAAAGGGAATGTTTTTTGGTAGATGCCGTCCGTGTCGCAATGGAAAGTGAGTACAAGTGTCGACACCTTGCCAAGATCTTCGCTGCGAGACGGTAGGGTAAAAAGTGATGAGGAGCGCAATAGCGCAGAGACACTCACGCCTGAAAGGTCAAGTTTCTGACGAAGGTGCTTGACATTGCTTGAGATCGAGTGTGGATTGAGAAGATTCGAGTTAAGAGGTTAAGAGGTTCAGCAAGGTCTTTTATATACTCAGGTCACAGACTCGGCTGTATCTGCTTCCTTGGGTTGCGATATAGGACCTTTCTGTGCCTTCGTATCAGACCTAAAGCCCTCTATCACGTACCGTGGGGATCCGCGCACTGCCAGCCTAGAAGATCGTACCTGCTCGCGAATTTTTGCTGTATAGCCAGTGGCAGCTCCTCCCGACCCTTTTCTCTTTTCTCCGTACCTCTCCGCCGGAAGCTCGTGGCTACCGTTCAGCCGTTGACACCCCGTCACGTCAGGTGCATAATGTCTTTCGTGGCCCCCTCCTGTTGACGCCGCATCCTTGGCGTTCCTCACCGTTCCTGTTCCTCAATCCTTTTGGGATCCCATGCTGCCTGGGGTCACCGAAAGTAATGGAATGAATGGGACAACAATCTTCACCTGAATGGGATTACTGTCAAGCCTGGGTCTATACCTGTCCATACGAGTTTGGCTAGTAGGAATGAGAAACATATCTTCAAGTTAGAGTGTTGAACCAGAACAGGGACCAGCGTCATCAATAATTCTTACGAAGTGGGACTCTGCTCAGCTAGATCAAGATGGCTACTCCGGTAATGATGTCTACGCTGAACATCAACGTTGCAAGCTCCTACGTAGTACATAGTGAGCATTGACACCGGTTGTGATGCGATAGGTAGTAGATCAAGTTCAAAATTACACTTCAGTCTCCAAACGTTCCCACGAACTGCTGAACTTACCCCACTTTACCCCATCCAAGTCATGATGCATGATGCATGACCCACTGAGGATATCGATGACATCGTTTTAAGTTAGCACTGGTACCAATTTCCTCTCGAAACCCATCATGTCTTCCTCACTGGAACAATCGAGTTCGACACCTTACGTCTCATCCTATTCTAAGCGTTCACCCTTGGGTGCACTGTTCTCTAGAACTTTGCCGAGTTACAGTGGTCAATATCCAGTAGGAGTTCACGATGTTGAATTGTCGATACCCAAGCAATCTTTTGGGAACTTCAAGCATATATCTATGCCAGACGCGGAGGCAGGTCTTACGATTGACACCGTGATGTTCACTCTGTTCTACCCTGCAACGTCACCTCATGACACAAGCCGTCAAGCTGTTTGGTTTCCGAGGCTCGCATTTAAACCTGTGTTGGATTTTGATAGATACCTGATTTTGAGCAGATTGCGTCAGACAATTGATGGCTTCCTCAAGATGGCCAAACGCACACCCAACTGTATTTATCGAGCAATAGCGTGTCTGTCTGTAACATATTCACACTATTTTCGGCTCACTCGGGTTTGTTACAGATCTAACTGCTGCTGCAGCTATCTGGGGTACGGCTTTCCCCGCGATCGAGAATGCGCCATTGATGTCACCACCGCCATCTGTGAGCAAATGGCCAGTCATCATATTCAGTCACGGCGTTGGCTGCTCACGCCTGATGTATGTGAGTGAGATGTTGAGACATAGAATACCTTGTGTCAAATCCTCATCTAATAATGCAGTCCGCTTTTTGTGGTGAGATGGCCTCGCGTGGCTACGTCGTAGTTGCAATTGAACACCGAGATGGTACTGGCCCCAGCTCTCGTATTACTGCCGAAGGCGGAATCGAGCGAGACTTTTACTGGCTGGATTGGTCAGACTTACAGTACGCTAAGCACCTGCAGATGTCCGTTCTAGTATTGCTCACACATACAAGCTGGGTAGATCTAGAGGAACAACCGAAAAATGATACCACACTTCGGCATGTTCAGCTGGAAGTTCGTAAAGCAGAGTTAGAACACGTTATCCGGGCCGTCTATCGCATTTCTCAAAGTGAACAAGTACCACAGACTCGCTTCTCCAGAGGGGCCTGGGATTGGACGCCTTGGACTTGCATAGACCCCTCAAACCCTATCATGACTGGACATTCGTTCGGCGGTAGCTTGGCTGTGAGTCCAGATTTACTTTTCTCATAGTTTTTTTTAACACAGTGCAGTTAGCTGCCGCCGCTTCCGGCAGCTTCCATTTCTCCCATGTAATTGTCTTTGACCCTGCCACACAACGTGATTGAGTATGATAAATTCCTCGTCAATCAGCTGATCGCTTTTCAGGACTTACGCCTTGGAAAGGACAAATATCTAGTCCCCTGCTGACCATCAATTCAGAAGAGTTCTCACTCGGAGCCGAATTTACCGTACTGCAGGAGGTCGCCACAACGGCATCTTCCTGGCACACATTCCTTTTGCGTACGTATAAAGACATCCTGATGTCGCTGATCCTGATTTTCCTTAAAGCTGGTGCGACACACCCGGCATTCAGTGATGTGTTTTTGATCCTTCCGGATTGCATCAATCGGCTTGTAGGACTTGCGGCAGACCCACTACACATAATTGGTTTGACAATCGATACTGTTGTAAAGTTTCTGGAGAGCGGCACTGAAGATGCATGGGAAGAAGTCCGGCGCGTGGACAGCCGTGTCGTGGTGTCTGGAGGGCTTCGCAATCTTGGAGAATTAATCAAGGTCCAACCTACATCAAGCTAATTCTATTATGAGGTTAAAACAAGCATCTAAATTTGTCACCGATGCGAGTACAATTGTCATGATGGTACATAGAGTATTACAACACAATACTAGGAAGCCCATAAATATGATAGTGCACGTGATATCTACTGTATGAATGGTTCAAACGATGAGTCTCCTGTGTCAACCTAATTTGACCGTCTTCTGGGCCCGAGTCTTCCCCTCCGCCATCTAATCATATTACTTGCATCAATTATCCTTCGAAGTTGAGCCATAAGATCTTTTGCCAAGAATACAGTCCCACTGTCTTCTTCATAGCGTATCCGGTCTTCGTCAAGAAGCTCGAGAATACGAATGTCCTCAGGGGACACACGTAGGTCATGCGAGTACTGGAAGATGGACACAAATTCATGTCGAAACACGAGAATCCCTAGAGACTCTCGTGACGTTTCGGATTTGATTGGATGCACTATGCAGATCGTAGGTAATGGCGATCAGTCGGTGGTCAGGTATTACGGTGCTGACAACCCACATTGAACCAGACAGATATCACCCTTTATACGCGCGAACGCGAAACGTGGATCCGTTTCAAGATGCCATGCCTGCGTCAAAATTGACGGAGTGGCAAATGATATCGAAGATGCTGACTGCCGAATGTGCTTATCGACATTGTATGCGAGGGTGGCAGCAGCCATGGACGAAGGAGAATGCAACAGACGGGTGAATTAAGCTGAATCCACGGGCGTATCGAGAGGGGGGGCGCGATGAACTCATGGTTGGATGAGCAAACAAATCTTTTATAGGTCACCGAAGACGCTATGTCCCTACATGCTCCGACCACGAGGAAATGACCTCAAAGCGGTGAGGTTTCAAATAGAGGGCCACTTTATGATCGGAGTCCTATTTATGGAAGCAGCAAGGCCAGAAGCCAAGGCCCAAGCGTCACAAGAGCGCTTCGGCTCGGGCACGGGACTTGTTCTTTATCTCAATTATGAGACTAGAACAGGCATCCAGATAATAAAGATAAGAGCCCAAGGTGACTATAGTCGTATGCCATTGATGGTGTTCTCTGGATTTTTGGCTCTATCGAAGTGCAAAGATCGTTCCATGGACCGAGTTGGCGAGAAAGGAGATGAGACTCCAAACAGCCACACATATCCCCTGGTTCCACGGGCTTCCAAATGATTATTAGTGTGCGTCACCATCAATGTCATCACTGCTAACCTTGTTGGTGGTTGAACTCGAGTGCAAAGTTTCGGTGCTTATCGGAATTCCTATCGACTCGTGAGTCATCCGACTTACTCACCGGTTTACTAAAACTCAAACGTCACAAATCGCCGAAAAGAGTGACCTTTCTTCTTCTTCCCCTCCTTTGATTAGCGTAAATAGGTCTAGCTTGCAGTGGTATGGCCTGGTATAGTTCAAACTGAATAAGAACCAAACCTTCGCTCTAATTATATGGGAATTTGACCAACCCGTGGGCCGTGGACTCTGGAGCTCCGCCGAAAACTAACAAGCCAATTGGATGTTATCAATCCCACAGTTCTGCAAAACTTTTAGCAAAACTTTTGTAGCTCCTCAATGCCACTCCACATTTTCTTTTGAAACTTTGTAACATTGTAGATTCATATCCCTTCTACATAGCTCTGATTTTTACTGATTTTTAAGATTTTGTGTTGTAGTGTCGGAGCAAACCCGAGAAAATTCAGGGTCTTCCTCTAATCTGCAAAATTTGGTCACAGCTTGTCACACCTCGGCAGAGTATCGGCGCACTCAGCTTTCGCTCTCCGCAGCTTGCAAACCAGTCGAAGTTGTGCGGAGTGTAGACCCGATGCCGCGTGTGCCGTGCCACAGATGAGGAGGAGATTGAATTACATATGCATCTCCCCCCTGTCTGGTGTCACGCTTCTGTACATGTCGTTAATACTACCACTATAGCACCTCAATGCAAGAGTATAACCTCTATCGAACTGGTGTTCTGACATCTATAGAAGGTATTTGTTGTGCTCCAGGTAAAACTTTACGAATACCTTTGCAGGATCTTTGGGATCTGGGTAATTTGTGTTCGACCAAGGTTGCAAAAATTACCACCATTTCATCTCTCGTAGCTACAACATCCAAGAAATTTTTATTCTACTTATACAATACGGCATCTATATAGGCACTCTATATATACTTGAATTTTTTCAGCGCCGGCCGACCATGGCATTGAAGTGCTATGAACATTTTTCATATTAGGTACCCTTTCATATTGGTGGGAATGATAGTATTTACTTCCGTCACTTCTGACAGGCTGCACTAATACTGGCAGGGGCTATTGATACACATAAAGGCGGATCGGTTTGTACCGGCAGAAGTCATTTACCAAACCAAGTGCTTTTGCGCAGTTGTCACTTGATCAGAACCAATTGTAATTCTAGCATTAGGATAGACACGGTCTTTCACAGCATATCAGACCGGCAAAGCGGGCAGCTTGATGAATGACTGCTTTTGAACCACTGAAGACCAATTTAGATCGTTAGAGGGGTCAAGTTTCTGATACTCACTTTGTACAAGCAGCTTGCATGGAAAGGGTTCTTACAGGTCTTGCAAGGCTTTCGTGGGAGGCTGCTGTCCATGACACTGATAATCCTGCGGCAAAGTAAAGACCAATACAACCATACAAGGGATTTGCGTACGAGTAGCAGATTGCACACTCCACTTGACCGGCAAAATGGAGGGTGACATTTTTCGTGAATAAAGTTAGGCCATCGACAATCCGACCATTCTGTGCGTGACACGTCAAAGGGGCCAACATTAATCATTACTATATATCGCTCACTTGTTGCCAAACAATCTGCTGTACTCCCAGCACCCAAGCTCTCCATCTATCTTCGGATACGCCGACCATCTTCGTATCACGAATGTCCAGTCGGTGTAATGGCCAGTCGTTTGGCAATCTTAGAGACAATTCCAGCACTTGATCATCAACCGTGTATGATGCCGTGACCTCCCCAGCGCTTGGTGACACTTTGACAGTGAGATTCTCAGTTGTGTGGAGCTCTGACGATGGATCAGCCAGCCGGACTTGTGCAAGCTCGGCTCTGATAATGCCTGGTGAGAAGTATGAAGCGGTGTAGTCCACCACGCGCGATAGTAGCTGTCTGTCTGAACAGTCTGAGATCCAGGTACGTATTAATGCTGGAACTGTTAGAAGCGCTCGGTGATAGATATGAGCAGCTAGTAGTCGCAGGCCGAGGACGCTTTCGGGCTCAAAGTCTGAGGAAAGTTAGTGCGAAAACATGATAAAAGACAGAACCACTGACGGTCAATGTAAAAATCATCAACAGCCCAGATATCGAGTTTGAACGGCTTCTTCTTTCCACTGAACAGACCCAGGACATCGAAAATATTGGGAATGAAGAAATCTCCGATGATACCCAGGCTCCTCATTTGATTGAAGTACTTTGACCTGACTTTGATAGACTGGATGGCGCGTTAGTTAAAAGAGTCTTATGAAGATAACCCAGCACTCGCCGCTTCAATGAATAAATCGAACATGATCATCCATGCTAGTAGATACCCAGAGACTTTGTGCAGTTCTGATGCATCGATCTCGACGGCGTCTGATTCAGAATCATGAAGTCCCTCCGCTAGAGTGAGACTCGATTGCAGAATCGCAAGAAGTTCTGCAGGTAGTTCTGCGCTGACAGTGTCTTCTGCGTCAACAGCAGATTCGATGACAAAATGTTCGGTTCGCTTTCGAGCTGCTTTGTGCAGGAGGCTGTACCCCATGCGTTGAACTTCGTAGGAAGGATCAGTGAGGAGATGGCACATCTAGACATAAGGTATCAGCATAGGCGCTCAAACATCATTTAAAACATTACCTCAGGCAGGGTTTTCTCGTCCACCAATGCGTCAGGCAACTCTTGCATAACTGAAAGTGCCAGTTCCCTGCACAGAGAACGTGGCACGGAACGATCGGTGTTATCTGCAACAACTTCAGTTTTCTGTGTCGCTGTCCGCTTGTCTGAGCTGGGACTGACCAAGCTTGGTGGATACCAAGGTTCTTCACAAGCGCCAGGATAGATTCTTTCCTCTTGTCCCAGCTTGCACGCAGTGACTTGTTGGTCAGAACCAAATCTTGAATTGCAAGGATCAGACGCAGGGATATCCCTAACATTGTCAATGTTGCGCTATCGGCAAAGGAGCAATTCTAGTTGGTGTAACTTAGCGGTGAGTGTGGCGAATTGTTATTCTTGGTTGACATACCTCTAGGTTGTTCTCGAGTACATCAAAGATAAACTCCCAGTGGTTCCCAGCGACGTTCTGCAAGATTGGGGCAAGATGGATGAACAAGAGTGTCATCATGCTCTCCACTTCTTCATCAATATCTTCGTCAGAAGAAACCCAAGCTTGACAGGTTTTCACGACATTGATGGCACGCTGTTGTGGCAAGAACACCACGTCCGATTCAGAATCAGGGGCTGTCCCTGCAAGACGACGGAGTAGGACGACTCCTGTCGTGTTTACCCTGCTCGCAGGTACACCCAGGATGTCTGAAGCAATCTCGTTGCGGTAACGGTCCATTCTCAATGGTTCTGGGGCAAATTCAGTGATACTGGCAAGGATGGCCAACGTGGTTTGCGGCGCTATAGGTGTTTCATTGAGTTGACATCGTCCACAACATCATCCAAATGTGGCTCACCTGTCTTTTCCAGGCTACGTGCCAGATTCAACCATTGGTCAGAATCTGCTTTGCTAGCGCTCGCGAATAGGTGCTTCAACACTGAGCGCAATACTAGTGCATCTCTGACGGTATCCTCCCTTCTGGCGTGATTGACAACGTCCACGACAAAAGATACCAAAGCACCTGATGAAGTTGTTGCGCGAGTAACTGTGCAAGCGCTGACAACCTGACTATGAAGACTATCGTCGCCCGTGGACAGGAGGTAAGTGGATAGTTGGTGAATCTTCCCAAGCAGTCTGCGTAATTCTGACCGCGATACATCTGGGCCAAACAATCCACTTGGTGTCGCTGGGACACTTAGAAGATCGTTCGCATATTGACCGAGTATTAGTAGATGTCGAAGTGCCCACATGTTCTCCTTAGCGATGCTCCGGTTTTCACCCAAGTACGCCAGGAGGGCAGACGTAGCCCTGATATATGGTGAATAGCCCCTTGAATCGAATTCCAGACCAGAGATGGTTGAGTTCTCAAACTCCGAGGTGGCCGGGATGATGGACTCGATGAATGCGAGACTGGGGTCTGGTGGGTCTGACGGAAGCGAGTCGATCATTGTTTTGAATTCGCCTTGAGTGGGGAAGACGTCTGCAAGTGGGGTGATGTCCATGCCTCTCGGTTTATGACTTATAACTGTTAGAATATCTTCTGGTCTGAATACGTTTTAGAAACGCAACAAAATATGTGAAGGCGCACTGACCGCGTGGAGGTAGAGCAATCTTGGAGAAGATCTTTCAACCTCTCTTTAATTAGGCCACTCAGGACGCTCTGTAGTCCAGTATCGGCCTTCGAAACCCAAAGGTCCCAAACTCCTCGTGCAGCATCGATTGTAGGTGTTTCCAAAGTGGGAAACGTCACCGGAAGCAGATAGCCTGCAATGAAAACGTTTGGGAGAACAGATGCCAGTGAGTCACCAGTGAGTTCATGGTTCTTGCTGAGCATGATGCGCGTGAACTCTATAACAGTGGATAACCCAGTGAACGGCGTATTCGCTGTGTACAGAATATCGTCTACGGTGGACGATAATGACGATACCAGCGTTTGGAACAAGATATCTTGCCCATTCTCGGAGAGGAAAAAGCCTAATGTTCAATAGTAAATTGGGCACACCGAGACCAAAGGCGGGCTCACTTTGCGCTTGGATGAGTCTCTTTACCAAATCGCGGCGAGAAGTCGGTACATCTCCGTTTAACACCTCAAGAAACAGGTGCTCTATGACGCTATCTAACTCGTCGTCCTCGGGTCGTAGATATTTGGGACATTTGTCAGTGTTAATCACGTCCAGCAGTGACGACAAGGTGTCGATCTGTTGGGAAATATCGACCAGTAAAACATGCCATAGCTCCAAACAACGATCCTCGTCATTCCGACACGACATGAATGCAGAAATTGCCTGCGGAGAAGCTTGCAAAATACGGAGCGCATGGTGAACGAACATGTTGTCCATTCTCTGCCAACAGTTAAGAACGGTACGTAAGCGGGGAAATGTTACATACCACAGCAAAGTCGGAGTGCTGGAATAGATGGGATCCGAACGTCTCCATAAGCGTGATCACAACACCGATTTTCTTCGAAACTTCAGCACTGGCCGCGTCAGAGGCAAGGACCGTCTCGCACTTCCCCACAGTTTCCTGCACATACTTGCCTATCAGAGTGCGTGTAACCTCTGCGGGAAGGTCTTCGGTTTGGAAAGTGTCCACGAACGTCCGGAGCACCGTAGGCGTAAGAGATAGACTCTCGTCATCTTGAGAAAGGATCGCAGTGGAAACAGTATCCCAGGCAGTTTTGAAAAGATCTGTGAAGGAGACACGTATTAGATCAAAATGGCGGTGGGCGTAGTATACTCACCAGCGTTCATGCGATGTAGAGAGAGCAGCGAACTAGCTATCAATTTCCCCGCATCATTCTCGTCGGTTCTTAGGCGCCTTGCTTTAAGTTCTTCCCAAATACGCGTAAATTGAGATCTGACAAGTTCGTCTACCACGTCTTGTCGGCGTGTGCTATTTGGCTCCAGGATATCTGAGACAGACCCGGATAACGCTCCATGGTCCTGGGACCCACTCGACAGTCTTCTCAAAAAGAACACCACACATTCCAGGAGAGACGAAAGGAATGAGGCAGAAGGCACCTTCCTCTCTAAAGAACTCAGTGCACGGCCGTCGATCGCTGCCCAGAACGAAGTGAAGAAATCGTCGAGGGGCATCCCCGTCCTAGAGGAAGCTGCAATAACCTGCTAGACGGATTACTAACGGCAAGATATTGCAGTAAAGGACATACGGAAGATGGAATCGTCGATAAAACAACGAGGACGGTAGGATACCCATCGACAGGTGATCCAGCACATCCAAGCTCAAGGAATTGAAGAAACTCGCGATATGCCTCAAAAGACTTTTCCTTGCGAGTTGTAGTCTCACGCTCCTCGCTATCCGAGTCCGACTCATCGCCATCTTCGTGTTTATCTGGATCATATGCCGCTTCAAGAGTCCACGCGTTTGGAAACTCTGGAAAAACATTGGCAACGGTTGACGCCAAGACTATTAAAATCGATTTACCTTTGAGAAAAAGTAAGACGGGTTGGAACAAAGTGTTTCTTACTCCCGGGTCCGTTTCAACCCATGCAGAGCGAAGTATAGCAACACTTAATATAGGAATAAATGGTTCAATAGCGCCTGGATACTAATTAGCGCCACAAACAAACAAAAAATGTTCTCAGACCACCTTTGTAACGCTGCAGCAGTACAGACAATAATGCCCACGTGGCTTGGCGTACTTGAGGTTGCCCATGCCCGAGACCATGGATTTCAGGGTCGGGAATCCAAGGCGCATTCTCACCGCAATACAATGACGTCCACAACAGTGGGTTAGATAGCAGCCCAGATAGATCGTCGAGAGACGTGATCTTTGATGCGAGGCGAGCATCTATAGGACTATGAGGAGAACTATAAGCATTATTTTGTCCTAGCTTACCAAAGAGCCAGCGGAAAGCGCTCAGTGCACCGAAACGAAGACGAGCATTCCTGTCAAGATCACTTTCTTCATCCGCCTTGTTAGATTCCTCCATAGGGGCCGTCGGAATGAATCTCCCGCCGGGCTTCTTGATGCCCGGAGTGGGAGCTGCGACTGGTGCAGCAGGGTTAAGGTTAAGATACACTCCTGGAGGGTCCAAAAGAGTCCTTTGAAGAAACTCCATGATAGAGGCCAGCATTTCGACGTTTACCAGTGTTTCTCCATCTGCACCTGAAGAGGAGATGATACTAGACCAGGACTTCTGTCCCTGCAGAGATACCTGACGGTCAGCATCGTGAGCGAGCATGCACCATGTACCCATAAGAGCCTCGATTTGCTCAGATGTTACAGTCTCTCTCAAAAAGAAGGTGGCGGCATCCCGGACTGCACGGATGCGTAGGTATGAGAAATGGAGTGCAGCAGCCAAGAGGCGGATCCGGCGAACGGGATGTGTGAAGAATACAGGAGCCCTATGAAACTAGATGCAGTGAACGTCAAGATATGAACCATGATGCATGATGGCCAAATAACGCACCCAAACTGGTAGCATCGTGACAAGTGCATCGCATTCCACGCTCTCATCCCCTTTCCTCGAACTTTCGTCGATCCACTTTGACTGAAGTTCTTCCAGAGCCCGTCCCTTAGTGACTGGATCCTTCTTTCCCAAGGATCGAAGAATGATGACAAGTTCCGGTGGTAGTCTATGTATAAGGCCGAGAGTATCGAGCGGATCGGGCTGTGGTGGGGCTGGCTTGGATGGAAGTATGTAAACTTTCTTCCTGGGCTCTTTCTTCTGTCCTTTCTGTTTCTTCTGCTTCGGGATGACTGGGACTTCCGGGGATACAGCTACAGCTGCCTTGCGAGCATTCTTCTTCCGTGTACCCGAAGATGCCGAGGACTTCTGGTTCTTCGGCATCGTAAGCGAATAAATGTGTATTTAAAAGCTAACAAGAGCTACAAGAGCAGCGTGCAGCGCTGAGCGATAATAATCGGTTGCGATTACTAAGATGTGATGGAAGTGGTGGTAGGGTATACTAGTGGTTGTTTGTACTTATTGAATCCTAAAGCCTTTGATTTCCTTTTTAGAAAAAAAAGGCAAAGTGCGGTTCTTAAAAACTTCCTTCGACTTACCATTAATTTGTCACGTCGTGATCCCTCTATTTTGAGGTTCATAGCTCGTACATGACGTGCAGTCTGCTCGCTCGAGTAACGACAGCCTCAAGTAGAGTATGCTTTCGTTCACAGCCCTTTCTTAGGCAAAGTCATGAGTTTGTGACATTCAGCAGAAAACGCGCAGGTATGTTCATCCCATATCTAGCCCAGATGCGGTTGCAATAATTGTTACTTCCCAGGCGTTTCCATTCTCCGTGTTCATTCACGGAAGTATGAATCTACTGCCACAGCGCCCGCAGCTTCTCCTTCATCTTCTGTCACGCAGCAAGACAGTATCGCGGACGCTCCAGCATCTACAGGTATCACAGCTGGTAACCTTGCTCTCGAACCACCATTATGGGAGTCAACTAAAGGCATGATATCCTCCCCGACGCTCCGTGCTATCATCGACAAGCCCTACCAATTCAAAACGATGACCCCCGTCCAAGCGGAAGTCGCAAAGCTTCTCCCAGAGCTTGCTCACCCTCCCGACCCATCTAATGAAGTCCCGAAACGCCCGCGAGATCTTTTGGTCAAGGCCAAAACTGGTACCGGGAAGACTTTTGCGTTCCTAATACCGGCAATCGAGGCTCGCGTGAATGCTATCCACGCTTGGGGTAAGCAAGCGGTTCACGATGCAGGCCTAGCTTCAGACCACCATCTTGAGGCGCAAGCCAAGAGACAGTTTGCTAGGGAACATGTCGGTACCCTTATTATCAGCCCCACGCGAGAGCTCGCTACGCAAATTGCCAACACTGCCATCCAGTTGACGCATCATCACAAGGATTTTGAGGTCAGACTGTTCTTTGGCGGAGCAAGCAAGCGAATGCAGATGCGTGACTTCATGAAAGGGCGGAGGGATATTGTCGTAGCTACCCCCGGGCGACTTCGCGATTTGTTGCAATCGGAGCCTGAGGTAGCGAAGAGTATCGGGAAGTGTAAAATGGTCTGCCATCCCGCGTGTTCCACATTGTCCCCTTGCTTACCAAAATTTGGCTAGGTGATATTTGACGAGGCAGATATGCTTCTCGATATGGGCTTCCGGGACGACATTGATGCTATCATGAGTTATTTGCCGCCTAAACCTGAGAGGCAGACATTCCTCTTCTCAGCGACACTTTCTCGGACCGTTCGCCAGATCGCACAGACGGTACTTGCTGAGGACCACAAATTCATCGATGTGGTCCCTGAAACTGAGTCCCCAGTCCATGCACACGTCCCCCAATATCACACCGTCCTCTCCAACGCGTCTCAACAGATCCCCCACCTCCTTCGTCTCCTCGCACACGACCAGCTTACAAACCCAGGCAAGAGCAAGGTCTTGTTGTTCCTCCCCACGACACGCATGACGCAGCTTTTCGCGACACTCACTCGCGAGCTCTCAAAAACGGTATTGCCTGCTGGGGCGAACACTAAGGTGTACGAGATTCACTCCAAGCGCGCACAGGACTCACGCATAGCCGCCTCCGATGCTTTCCGCGCTGACAAGTCCGGGGCATCGATTCTCGTCAGCTCCGACGTCTCTGCACGAGGCGTGGACTATCCAGGGGTGACGCGGGTCATTCAGCTCGGCATTCCCGCTGCTACGGAACAGTACATCCATCGTGTCGGACGAACTGGTCGCCAGGGCTCTACGGTTGGACGTGGGGACCTGGTTCTTCTGCCTTGGGAAATCGGCTTTTTGAGCTGGCAACTCAACGAAGTTCCGCTCAAGCCAGTCACTTCAGATGAACTCGCCCGCCAAGTCCGAGACCTCGCAGCTCAGTATGACGCCGATCCTCACGCTGTATTCAAGGATGTACCAATCAAGCCACAGGACACCAGGGGTCGACCAATCCGGGGCGCACCCAAGATGTATGATGCGCCACTTTCACCGCGTCTTTCCTCAGAAGAAATCCACAGCACAATCGCGACGCTACTACAACATATCGACGAAGAAGCCGTCAAGGAGACTTTCGCTTCCTTACTTGGCTATTACATTCCCAAGTCTCCTGAGCTGCGAGTTCAGAAGGGTAATATCCTCGCTGGATGCAGAAGTTGGGCAACGGATGCATGCGGCCTATCTAAGCCTCCGCACGTCAGCGACGGCTTCCTGCAGAGGATGGGCCTTAACGACGGGCGCACGAAGCACTTCGGCAAAGCGTACCAGGAGTCTAGGTCTTCTGCGAGACCTGTGAATTCATGGGACACGAGGAGCAAGCAGAACAAACGGTCTTTCGAGAACCCCAGAGGAATCTTCCGCCGGGACGAGCAGTCAGATGTCAATGACCGCTCTGGCAACACTGACGAGTACCGTGGTGCACGTTATGGGAGAGGGGAGCCCAAGCCTCGTAAAGAGTGGGATCGTGATAATGACCGTTCTGACAACGTCGACGAGTATCGTGGTGCACGTTATGAGAGGGAGAAGCCCAAGCCACGAAGAGAGTGGGGACGTGACAGTGACCGGTCTGGTGAGGAGTATCGTGGTGCACGCTATGGGCAGGATAAGCCCAAGCCACGCAGAGAGTGGATGCGTGATAGTGACCCTTCTGGTGACGTTGAAGAATCCCGCGGTGCACGCTACGGGAGGGATAAGTCTAGGCCACCGAGAGAGTGGGTCCGTGATGTTCCCCGCCGCGAGAATAGTTCACGCGGGTTCGGGAGTCGGTGAAGGATGGGGCGTGGCACAAAACTAATGTAGACCGCATACAATACATCACTCAACGTTCGTTAGCTTACATTTGCACTTATTAATATCATCCATAGAACGTTTGCAATGGCATTGATTCCACTCTGGGCATATAGTAATTTATGGGTGACAACATGTATGTCTTTACTAATTTTTTAGTCGGTTGGTGGAGTCATAGTTCCGACGCCATTGGCAATCGGATGTTCCTCCGTACTTGTCCTCAGTACCTCTTCACTAACCATCGAGTGTTCGGGGTGAGGTGGGCGGAAGGATTTTAGTTGCTCCTGGATCTGTTCCTCAAGATCGGATTGTCCACAAGACGCTGCAATGAAGCCTAAGAAGGGCGGTGAAGGATTGAGCGGTCTCGAGCACAATTCGGGATGAGCTTGCAAACCCATGAAAAACGGGTGATCTGCAATGATGAATCTCTATAGTCTTCAGATCGATGGCACATGACAATACCTTTGAGTTCAAGGATCTGCATTCTCTCCCCTTTTTCATCCTTGCCAACGAATGAAAGACCGCTCTCCTGCAGACGCTGCACCTGTTCTGGGTTGACTTCATATCGGTGACGATGCCTCTCCCACATTTTTTCAGTGCCACCATATAACTTGCGAGCCTTGGACCAAGTCTCAAAATTACGGTCGAATACAGTGGGTCGAAGACCAAGGCGCATTGTTCCACCCATATGAGTGCGTGAGATCTCTGGCATGAAGATGACAAAAGCATTTGGAGTGTCGGGAACGAACTCGGTCGATTGAGCATCTGTGGAAGATAAGAGAAGTAACGGCTAACGAGGAAATGGAACAAACCGGGTATGCCGAGCACGCTACGTGCCCATTCGACCACAGCCATCTGGAAGCCCAGGCAGATTCCAAGGAAAGGAATTTTCTGCTCTCGTGCCCACTTGATAGCCAAAATCATGCCCTCCGTGCCGCGCTTCCCGAAGCCACCTGGAACCAGAATACCGCTTTCCTGATCTGAGTACAAAGCGATCTCCTGATCATATGTATGACCACCACTCACCCAGCACCAACGACTGCTCGCCATGCATCGTGGTATTTGGCAGGATCAGACTCCTGTGTCAAAGGCTCCAGGTCCGATGATTCAACCCACTACGCATCATCAGCAAGAGTTTTTTATTCTCGGGAAACCAATCCAACCTGAATAGTGAGTTTTCTGCGAATGCGGAATGCAGAATGTTCAAGAGCTTTTACAACAGACATGTACGAGTCTTTCAGGTCGGTGTACTTCCCGACAAGAACAATTTTGACCTCATCGAAGAGGCGCTCTTGCCTAGACAATGAGCAATGAGAAAGGAAGATAAAGGGAGATAAATGGTAATACCCTTTCGTCATGCCTTTCCAACTCGCTTCCAAAGATAGCCCTTTGGAAATCCACTCCTCTGTAATGTTCAAATTTGCGAGATTGAGCCGCTTGCGGAGATAATCGATAATTTGTTGTGATTGCAAGAGCAGAGGGACGTGATAGACAGATGAGACATCATGGACACCTATCACCTGCTCCGACGCAACGTGACAGAACATTGAGATTTTGTCCTTGGTAGAGGGTTCGAGGGGTTTATGACCCAATAACCGGCATGCAATCTCCAGACAACGTCAGGTGTGCCATTTGAAAACAACACTCCACTTACTAGGTCGGGTAGTAAACCAAGCCCACGTAGTGCATGCACAGTAGTTTGAGTTGGCTTCGTCTTCTGCTCGCCATGCATATCGGGAACAAGCGAGACATGAATTAATGCGAAATTATCGTGTCCAACGCGAAATTGGAACTGGCGCATTGCCTCTATGAACGGCGCCGACTCGATGTCTCCGACAGTGCCGCCAAGCTCAAAAAAAAGTCAATATCGTGACAAAAAGTGTTGCATGTTGATTCTCACCTCTACAATACATACATCAGGTTCCTCGCCTGATTCATCCACTGGCACTTTTGAAACACGTTGTATCCAATCTTGGATCGCATTCGTTACGTGTGGCACGATCTAGCCACAAGGATTAAGAGTAGTGAGGTACGTAAAATTTGTCATAGACGTACTTGGACCGTTTTTCCAAGGTACTCCCCTCTCCGCTGTTCATCATCATAAACTCCAGTCAAAAGCTGTAAGATAATATGAAACTCACCTCCCTGTCAATAACTTCGCGATAGATCTTACCCGTAGTAATGTTATTGTCTTTGGATAGTGTGACGTCCAGATATCTTTCATAATTGCCCAAGTCTAGATCTACCTCACCCCCATCATTGAGAACATAGACTTCACCTGATGGACAAATCTTAGAAGTTTGCGGAGGGATCCTCGCGCTCAGATCTCACCATGTTCTGTCGGTCGCATAGTACCTGCATCTATATTCATATAAGGATCTATCTTGATAGCTGTGACCTTGAGGCCTGCAGTTTTCAAGAGCAGGCCCGTTGAGGAGGCTGGGGGTGATCATAAACAACCTAGTACAGCGTCAAAATCGCTGTGTCGCACCGATAACACCCTTCCCGATCCCACTAACAACACCTCCGGAAACGAGGATGTATTTCGTCATCGCTGCAGCAATTAGGCAGGTGGCAAGCAGATATGAGGAGCTCGCGAAAGACCGCGAGCGGAACGCGTCGAAATTTTGAGTCGTGATCAACACAAATAAGTCCAAACAATATAGCTCATTCCCCTGAAACATCGGACGTACATGGGAACTGGAGATTAAGATACACCGGTACGGACAGATCGACTTGGAAATCAGCAGGTCCCGCCACAATTGGATTGTAATTTCCACATTACATTCGAACATTCGAATGAGATATTTAATTATTTAATGAACAAGGTGCCGTTTCGGAGCCTGCCGGAGATTCAGCACCACGCGTCCAGTGACTGAGCGAGACGCCTGATCTTTACCTTTTCGCTAACTGTTAATGCAATCCAGATCAATTTTTTGCATGGCATCACGCAAAATCGCTGTTTGTTTGCCCGCCCACCCAGCGGCTCAATCCATCAGCGTCCAGCCCGAGCTAACCACTCGGACACAGCCCAACCTCACGATGCCCTTGCATTAGATCTATTCGTCACAAAGCAACAGTCGAAGTTGGATCACAGAATTTGTGGTTAGCTAAACACCCGCCTACAATTTTATGTACGACTTGAACGAAGATAGCCGTTCCTTCTAATAAAGCACCGCGTGCGACGGATACCGACTCACGAGCATGTGGGTCGCGGTATGGCCTTCGAGACCAGAAGTGCGTCATTCCTGCGCTAGTCGTTGTGGTAGGGCACCTCAGACAGTAGTGACATAGTGTGAGCCAGCAGACCAGCCAACGTGCCATCTTTATGACTAGGGGACGTCAACTAGTGTCAGGGCACAGTGATATACCATCAGACTCCAAAGTCAGCAGCTTGGTCTCAGTAAGTACTTGATCTGCTGTGACATATGGTCAAATTCCCACTGCCGGTCTTAGTAGGGCCTGACGCCTGTTGCGTGAATATAGAGGACGTCCGGTGCGTTCCGAGTGCTGTTGGTCCAGAGGCATAGGGAACAGCAGTTGAGTTTGTCGGGCACAGCATTCGATTCGATCATGTATTGGACTCAGCGACGTAAGTCTGTCCCTGTCTGTCCGCTGCAGTGTATGAATATATGAATTTCAAGCCAAGCGGAGTTCGTGAGCGAGTCACTGGTCAAAACTCAAATAAGTGCGTTCCTAATCAAGTGAGCGCGTCAACAAGTTCAACACGCGAGATTCTACCCAGTGCTGACAGCATCTTTTCTTCTGATCCTACATGTAAACCGCTTGTTCGAGCCCGTTGCCCACCACCGATGAGTGAGCGGATCTAAGTTGTGGGGTTGAATTCAAATTGCCCCAGTAACTCAGTGGTGAGTACAGCATTCGATTGATCATAGGGGCTAGTACATTCAATTCGCTGCAGCGCATTCACAGAAGTCAACCGAATTGAGTCGCCGAGACTCTCTCAGAGTTCCGCTACACACACAGCTTCCGGCTCCAGGATGAGACCCCTCTGTTGTTTGCTGGTGAATAAAAGGTCTAAAATGTCTACCATATTTCTCCATAACTCTTCACATCAAAACATCATGTACTCCAAACTCATCAGTGTCGCACTCGTCTTCGCTGACTCTTTGGCTCCGACTGGCGCAGTCCCTAATGACAAGGTATGTCGTCACTTTCCTTGACTAGTACGTCGACATGGAAATCTTAACCGTCATCAGCATCTTATGGCTCGGGCACCTGTCTCGTGCGATGGCTTCCAGCCTTGGCAGCCCAATGTTGCAGTGAGTGTTACTCGAGTCATTTTGTGAATTTCTTCCGCTCACATCTCCGGCACAGTATGCTGTTGGCGCTCCGCCTGTTATTTCTAACAACCAACTGTGGACTGCTAAACAATGGAGTTGGAGCAAAGTTCCCGATACTTCCGCCGACGAATGGACGCTGAACGGGCCTTGCATCACACCGATTAAGAACAACGTCGATTGCACTCCCTATTCCGCTTGGAGCAAGGACAAACAGTACTCTGAGAACAGCAAGGTGACTTTCAATGATCACCTCTGGATCTCTGTACAGTGGTCGTCGACTAACTCGCCCGGTGACGCCTCCGGAATGTGGAAGGATTTGGGTCATTGCTAATCGCTTTACTTATCCTTATCTTGTTTGTACTCCTTATTACCAAAGGAACGGTTCGCTTGGAAGGACTTTTCTATGGACATTTGACTAGCTTGCTTGTGTTCTTGTCATTCGATGTGATTCTGTCCCTTGTAACTTGTTTATTTCGCGTGTTATTTACTGGATATTGCTTGCAAACATTGACCTTTGGGAAAGACATATGGTTCATCCGCGAAACGGAAATCAAGTGTTCCCAACATCCTTCAAGGGTCGGGCTCAAATACTGACGTTCAAACATATCATTAGAAAGCCGTTAGCGTAGTCTTAGCCCTCAAAAAGTCCGCTGTGCACTCTCAGAGGGCCTGGTTTCATGAGCTCGAGGCTCAAGCCAGGTCACTCCAGAGTTCAAAAAGCAGGACACAGCACTGTTATTATATCGCTGCAATATATCTTCAAGTCGGACAGGATGACTTCCGGGCAAAATGTCACTCCCCTGAATCGTCTGTGAACAACGATGAGGAGAGGATATCAATTTAACCAGTTTGCAACCGACTGTTACGATACATTGGACATGTTGACCTGAGCAGGCATCTCCCCTCCCATTGCCGCCATCAGATTCTACGCCGCACGAGTTGCCATTTCTCATCGAGTTTTCAGCGCAGCGCTTGCAACATGAGGCACTATCACACATATGCATAGAAAATATGGTAGCTGAGATAGTAAAGTTGGCACTGACCTGATACAGAACGGATGCAGGCGCGCTCAGACTAGCGGCTGTGGTACTGAGTTGTAACCCGCACACCCACGAGAGATTGGATCACTGACGTACAATTTTTCAGTACAAGAGACATCCCCAAGAATCCGAATCACTAAGCTGGCCCTTTGTACAAGACCCACACCGATGCCTCCATTTCGGGCCACCGACTACACCGTCATGACGAGTCAAGATAAACGGATTGAACCATATATCCTAGGGGGTGTCAGGAGTATATCCTACTTTCAGGCCACATTATTGCGCTGCTGATTTAAGGTCAATGTGCTCTGCGGATTGAGATTAAATCAAGCGAATGAGGCAGAGGCAACTTAGAACAGGCAACCTATAACAGCAAACGTACAATATCCAGCGGACATGGTAGAGAACACCAGTTGTCAGATACAAGGCTGTCAATATAAGATCGATGCTATTTCCTGGGGGTTGACTATGAGCGGTTCAATGAAAATGAGCTCACAGGCTTCATTCCAATAACAATGATACTAATAGCAACTTGATTCAGTACACGACTGCACCCTGATGAAAAAGAGGACGACCCCCATGATGAGCGACTACTGCCGTTCCAAGGAGGCGGTGCACAGCCGGATCGATCACTTGTTCTAGTACTGCCTCGGACTCACCTCTCTGACTGCATACTCCTATATCTATACAGCATTCGATCAGGCTCGAGGGGTCAGCCTACTAATATGTCCTCGAAGGCCGTGAGTGAAACACTGCAGCAGGATCGATCTCTAGTTCTAGGGGACTAGGACTGCCTCGGACTCACTCTGACTGCATACTCCTATATTTGTACAGCACTCCGGTTCGAGGATAAGCCTAATTACTAGTTTGACCTCGAGAGTCCAAACAGCGTGAAGGCAACAAGTCGACTTAAAGTTACTTATATACAAGTGTTCTTCTTGCCTTGTGCCGAAGTGGCGTAATTTTCGCACGCTCTAAGATGCTTCATTCACGCCTGCGCTCAAGTAAGTCTTTAGAATCACAGATTACAATTGAAAACATGCGCGCTGTTCTATTGATATCAGGTGTCTCCCCAAACGGCTCCCCTCGCGAGTTACATTTGCTACGGAGCTGTTTAAACTCGTGGTTGTAATACCTCTTCCTTTACCACCCTTGAACGTGCTTACTATTCTGAACCCTGGTTTTATCCCGCGCAGATACTAACGCCTGGGAATCAGCGCTAGTAGTCATCACATGGCTGAATTCCCGTACATGTGGGCATCTAGTTTCCCTGCTGCCGTGCAATTATGCGCGATTCCGGCACATCCGATTTCACCATTCGCGGCACGCCTCCCCCGTTGAGAGCACTTTTTTTTCCAGTGCCTGGCCTTTAAGACTATCTGTCGCGGAACGAGGCCAAGCCGACATATCTACCGTGCACGTCCCTCAAGACATTGAATTCATTGGCTACATGAGACTACACGATGGTTTGGTGCCTTCCATTCTTGATGCACGAACCATTTACACGTAGATTATGGCAGGGTTGCCACCACTGACATATGGGTGTAGCGCATTCATTTTATTGAACTGAATTGAGTCGGACTTCATAACGCCATGCCAAGAGGTCTGCCGCAATCTACTCAGTATTCCGATGAGGCCCCTCTGCTAAGGCCCCTCTGTTCTTTGCTAGCATTTAAAGGACGCTGCTAGCCTTTTAACTCTTCTCTTGAATCGTCATGTACTCGAAACTCATCAATGTCGTACTCGTCTTCGCTGCTACTTTCGCTGCGACGGGCGCAGTCCCTAGGGACAATGTCAAGGTATGTCGTCGCTTTTTTTTGACTACGTCAACATAGAAATCTCAGCATATTAAGGCCCGGGCCTCTTCCACTGGCTCAACCACTCAAGTTTCGTGCAACGGCTACAAGCCTTGGATGGCCAACACTGTAGTGAGTGTTACTCATTTCATGGTCTTCCTCTGCTCAATCTCTGGTACAGTACAGCGATGGCTCCCAGGTGATTTATAACAATCAACTGTGGACCGCTAAACAGACTCCCAGTGGCTCTCCCGAGTCTTCCGATGGGTGGACTCAGTACGGGTATTGCTACCCACTCTATAGCAAAGAGGTGTATTGCAATTATGTTCCTCAGTGGAACAAGGACACTGCTTACTCTGGGGGCTCCTGGGTGATTTACAATGGTCACCTCTGGATCTGTATCAAGTCTGCGCAGAGTTATAACCCTAGCAGCTATGCCGATTACTGGAAGGATTTGGGTGCTTGCTACTCATACTAAACGCTTTACTGTGTACCCTTTAGAGAGTTACCAAAAGAACGGTTCACTTGGAAGGATCTCATTATCATGGAGATTGTTTCCTTGTCATGCTCACTATTTCTTTGAATACTGCTGCAAGTATTGAACGTTCAACGTTCAGCGCTTACCGTTCCCCCATGGACAATTGTCCAAGGTACTATGCTTTCGCCTTTTCCACAGTGCCAACCGCACGCAGGAGCAAATTTCACCCCGACATCTACCCCGACCGCTAGTTTGTTCAGTGTCTTTCATTCTCAAGTTCGACATTGACGCCTTCTGCGACTGTTGTCGGGGCAGCAAGAGCTGCAGTAGTCAGAAAAGTATAGGTGTATGCAGGCAGACCAGATGCGTCTCAAGTGCCCGCAAATTCTGCGATTGTAATTTGTGATACAAAGCCATCTCTACGATGCCATGAAGTCCGCGCGACATGGTAGAAAGCTCAGATATTGGCCCGTGCTCTCAACTCGTGTACCGGGCGCCTCGGACTCCAGCTTGGCCCGAATCCAGAGGGGGGTGTATAATTTAAAGTCCAGAACACAGCACACATTGCGATTCTATCGTACTGTAGGATACATCTCCAAGTCACATAGGATGACTTCGCGTGGGCAAAATCCCCTGAATCATTTGTAGACACCGATGAAAAGTGGATAACAATAATTTGACCAGCTTGCAACCGACTATTACTATACATTGGCCATATTCACCTGAGCAGGCATCTCCCCTCCCAGTATCGCCGCAATCAGATTCTGTGCCGCACGAGTTGCCATTTCTCGTCGAGTTTCTAGCGTAGCACTTGCGACATGAGGCACTATTACACATCTGCATCGCACACATCATTGCTGAGACGATAAAATCAGATAATGGTAACACTAACCTCGGCTCTTTGACAAGAGGATGATCAATGGCGACATTAGGTTCTCCTTCAACAACATCCAGCCCAGCACCCCATATCCATCCTTCTCTCAAAGCCTTCGCCAGAGCGTCTGAATCGACCAACGTCCCGCGACTCGCATTCACAAGGATACTCGTCCTTTTCATCTTCCTAAGTAGCCTCTCGTCCACGACGTGATACGTGTCGCTTCCTCCAGGAGCAAGTATAAAGAGAACGTCGCTCTCCCGCGAAAGTTCATCGATGTCGACCTTTGAGACAGCTTGGAGGTTGTGTTGTTTTGCGAGCGCAGCATCCCGAGCGTGGTTTGGAGGTGAGGATGGGTTTGAGGAATATAAACAGTGCGTGATGCCAAAGGGAACTAAACGAGCGAGCGTTACTTGTGCGATGCGTCCAAAGCCTAGGAACCCGATTTTCCTTGTGGGGGACGCGGCTGTGGTACTGAGTTGAGGTCCGCATAGGCTAAAAGGGGCCCACGAGAAATTGGGCCACTGACATAACTCATTCAGCACAAGAGACGCCCCAGACATGCAAATTCCTAACCTGTCCCTTTTGCACAAGATCCACGCCGACGCCGCCATTGCGGCCAGCCATGAGAGCGAGCATGACCGACAGATCAGCAACTGCATGTCATGAAGTTAACCTGCTTGTATTTGTTGGTTCAGGTCCCTTGCCCACCTGCATCTGTCAGGACGTCGGGAGTATATCCCACTTTCAGACCACGTTGCGCTACTGCTTTGAGGTCAATGTGTTCTGCGGATCGTAATTAAATCAAAGCAAACGGCATCGAGGCGATCTCGAACAGCAAACGTACCATACCCAACGGACATGGTGGATACTACCTTCAAAGAAGGTCCAGCTATCAGACACATACCTATCAGTACTTAGCTAGAGATAGTACATGTCGCATACGTACCCTTGTCTAGCAGCTCTGCATTAACCTAGTAAGAAAGTCATCAGTGAATCTACTACGACTCCTCGAACATCACACAGTGACCGCACCTTATCCGTGAGCATCACAATCACCCCGGTCGCACCAGGTATATTCTCCATCAACCATGACCGCTCACAGGCTCTGTCTTCCGGCCAGATAACCAACTACACCTCTAATAGTGAGCTTCACCATCACTGAGTAACTGGAAATTAACTTGCATCTAACTCTGGTCTTGCCTCAAGAAGGGACATAACATCAGGTCCGAGGTTGCGACATACAACAACTTTGAATCGTTCACTGTGGAGATGAGATGCGACAGACATCAGTCGCTGGGTGAGTGCAGAGAGAGTTGCCATTGACCCTGATGAAGACATTTCAGCCTGTCGTTGGTCTCTGCTACTACTCGAGTTTCAAGATAACTGGACGCCAGAGAAATGTTGAAATCTAATTGGACTACAAAAACATCATGAGAAGTTAGAGCGTGTATGAACGCTTCAACTCGGTCCGCGCGGCTTGCCGTGTGGACTCATCACCTGGTTCGTTCACCTTGCGTTCACCGGAAAGGAATATCATGGTGGGCAAGATTAGTAAAAGAGCATCAATAGCCTGCCGAGCACTATATACAAACGACCTATTCAGCAACTGCATTTTCGTCCATCCTGATATCAGCATCTTGAGCATCTTCCGATTGCTCGACCCCAATGCTCCCAGCAGGTCTCCAGACATTACCAATGGTTGCTTTCCACAATCGTACACGACCATCGTTCCCAGCGGAAGACAATACGGTCCTGGGAGATTTCGGTTCGTATTAGCTATGCAGCATATTACTTATATCTGGAGACAAAAACAAACCCTGTGATATTCCACTCAACACGACCAACTGCCGACCTGCATGCATCTAATTAGGAATAAAGCCACGAGGAGGTGTGTATTACACATACTTGTGATGGTCGAAATCTGCTACTATTGCTGCCGACCATTTAGGATCGCCGCCTTCTCCTTCGATGTCGGGTTCTTCTTCTGCAGGCTTAACTCGCCATATCCTGACGTGTCCATCACGACCTCCAGTGGCTATAAGGTGATACGATCGCCCACATGAGGGCGCCCACGCCACCGACGTAATCGCAAATGGTGTTGGAGTATCTCCGTCGCCTGCAGGTAAGGTTCCTGCCTCAGCAGGCAACCCCGCTGGTGAAGGAGATGGGTCTAAAGTGAGGAGAGTCGTAGGTCGACGAGAGGGTGATAGTTGTATGATCTGTATTTCCGGGTGAGTGAGCAACACGGCGAAAATACACATTGTGGCAATACTTTGATGGCACCAGATATCCCACAACCAGCCGCGATGATCTCCCCCCAATATCTATCCTTACACCATGATATGCACCACCCCCCATCTGCTTCTCGATTGCCCATCCCGGGTCGTCCCTGAGGGGCTGGGTTCTGCGATTGTTGCAAAGCTTGAGCGACAAGGGTTGCAGATGCACCCTCAAGAGTGGCGCTCGTTTGTGTGGGTGTCGCAAACGCCACAGAGTACGACGACGATAGTGATACAGATGGGAGCGTTGAGACATCGACTTCCTCTGAAAGCTGCCATGTGGCTAGCGATGATTGTTCCAAGCACTCGTAGACGCGAACGTTATTATCGGAAGAGACAGTTGCCTTGTAAAAGCTCTCATAAATCTCCAACTGGGATGAACGACTGACGTACCAACTTCAACCCAAAATGATGAGGGGCAAATTCGACTGCACGGATGGTGCCTCTTGCATCCACCAATACAGCTCTTTCCATCCATCTTGACGAACCACAGGAAGCAGCCTGGGAGGACCCGGCGTTAGCACCATTCGGTTGGGAGTCAGTTGTGGATGTAAAGCTGGTTTGCTCCCAAATCTTGACCGTACGGTCAAAAGAGGCTGATGCGAGTATGGTCCCAAATTCTGGGTGAGCCCAGCTTATTTTGGAGACGGTAGCGTCGTGAGCCTAGCATGAACTGGTTGATAAGCGCAAATACGCGTCTTCCGATCTGCTCGCCTTCCAGTCGTCTTCGACGTTCCAATTTCCATTACTCTCATTGAGTTGCCAAACTTTGATTCTGTGAAATCAGGGTAAGCCACTCCGTAGAAAACGCTTGTAATAATAATAGGAGCAAGGCATACCTCTGATCGAGACTGCAAGTAGCCAAGCGAAGCCCGTAGAAATCATAGGCTACGTCTGTCATAAGATCATTGTGCGCGCTCTGAATGAGACCAGTTTGTATCATGGTTCTCCCAAGTCAGTCGCAAAAGTCGAGTGGGGTGGAGGAATTCAATTACGCGCTGATGTAGCAGTAATATTGTTCAACTTGCCATTCAAGTGTTGGTGTCCAAAAAAGCTTGTGGCACAAAGCTTTAGGATTCAACAAAGACAAACAACCGTCCTGCCGACCCCTAGTGAGCTCGGAGCTCGGCGCCGGGTGGATATTATGTGTACTATAACGAGAGGGAATTTTATGTTATAAGTACAAGTAAATGTGACTGGAGTTTTTGGATGACGTAGGAATTTTTATCGACTCAAAGAACATGGCGTACAGCGCCGCCGCGTACTAGTAGTCTGACGCCAAAGTGCGCAGTATATGTAGCCTACGGATTCAGAAGTAGGTGTACATTCAACCTTGCCACGCACTCATAAGCGCGTCAATCCATGAATCAGATGACCTGAAGGAGAAGCACTTCGATGTAATATAGAATCACTAGCGTCCAGTGTATGATTTGGAGAGGTGACTTTGAAAAAGGGCATATTCTTGCTGTCTTACCTCGCGCATTTAAATCGAGTTTCAGTCTACGCAGATTCAAGGCACAGTTCTGGACAAGCACATCTGTTCTTCTTGTCTGAAATTGAGTGTCAGTTAAATAGGTCCCTATTAGCAGAATTGAGACTACCCTCGAAAAGCAGGGCAAAAACGCGAGGACGTCTGCCGCGTCTAGATCCCCCCTGCCATCAAAAAGTGGAATTTCTCGAAGAGACTCGCACTCTCCAAACAAGCCTCACTGTGATTTATTCGAATCGAATGTCCTTGCTCTCAGGTCCTTGCCAACGGAGCCTCTGGAGCAAATATTCTGTATCCTTACCCCCCACCAATCCAGCATCAAAGCTTTTACTATGTCTGAAAGCATGTGTTGCTCATTTGACTGCAACCTCCTTGCTCGTCATAACCTTGCCCTCATTGACCAGCATCAAGCTAGTGGGGTTCGCATCCAATTGCTCTAATGTGCTTCAGCGTATAAGAGCGCCCATGTGAAGGCATTCACACTCGGTTGCAGCTTCCCGACAATAATCGAATTTCCTGGTCTCCTTGCTACTGTCTCTGCACTACGCGCACAGAATGCGGCAGAGGTAGAAGCGTATCTGCAACGCCTACACCGACTCTTCATCAGCATACGACACAAATCTAATTATCGCTTGCCGTCACTGGTCATACGGCTGGCCGAGATGGAGTCCGCCCTGGACACCAATGCATTTTGTAACCAGGGCGGCAACGCGTGCTGGAACCCGAATTGGCACCTGGTCTTCCATTACGCAGTACCTCAATGGGGACGCGTCACACCTGATGACGTGGCATCCATCTGCAAGGTACTTTGGCTTGACAGCGTGACGGATGCGACCGTGCAATCCAGTGCAGGAGAATTGTGGTTCCGCCAAAAGCTCATCGGGCAGATGATGTCTGCGCTGCGTTCTCTGAGCATACGTGATTCAACTCTGTCGGCAATCATAACGGCGATTAGGCCCAGCAATTAATTCAAAATCGAAGAGCTGTTGGAACTCCGTTTGAAGAGCTGAAATTCAAGCAACGCAGAAAGCATGCATGGTGGCGCGGAGACATCACCGATTTGACGAAGACGTTCGAACAAAGGGGCAGAATGGGCTTGAATCTGCCGTCCTTGAAGCTGGTAAGGTGCGTCAGCGAACGCGGGGATGCTTTAGAGAGCCTGAAGCAAGCTGCTATACGTATGGGTGTCAATTACACCGATTCGGATGGATTTTGAATCTATCTGGACGAAGTAGAAAAAGGGCACTCAAAAAAGCAGCCAAGCGAAGCCCTAGAAATCATATGTTACTTACATCTGGCACGAGATCATTGTAACCGCTCTGAGCTAGCTCTGAACTAGTTTGTACTTATCTGTACTAATTATGGCTCACCCAGCACTGTAACGATATCGGTTCGCGCTCGTGAGCGACGCCTCTTGCCAGACGAGGAAGTACTCCATGTACGTCGGCCGTGGTCGCCAAAATACAGCAAACTTTGGAAGTGGTAGCTGGACAACAAAGGTCCGGATGGAGTGATCGTATTGGAGTGATGTACTCTTGATGTGATATGGCACCGATTACTATAATGCGAGTTGCATGTAGTGCTGATAGGAGAACTTACATGTTCTCGCGCACAAAATCTTAATGATATTGAACTTCTCGGGTAGATCAGTATGCGTCGCGTACATCACCCTATACGTCCAAGATGGCGTCCGTTTTGAGCTGGCAATTCTGTGTAAATACTAGGACAAAATGATAGAGAAAAATGACATACCATACATTGGAAGATCCGGAATGGACCCTCTCGCAAACTGATGAAAGCCGACCCCTTCCTCCGCTAGTTCACACGCTCAACATCCCTCAGCTGCTCACGAGATGCGTCGTCCTTCAACGTCGCAAGAACCTCGTGGAGTTGGAAGCCTGCACATGCGGACGTGATGGGGGGTATCGTTATACGGAAGTTGAGGTCGCCGAGGAAGAACAGGTGTCACATGGTATTTGGGGAAGAGGAAGGAGATGATGGGAGTGTAGGGCAGAGAAGAGAACTAACAATATTGTGATCATAATCCACCATCCGTTGAGCGAGCTTAGGTTCGTGCACGTTAAGGTGAATAACACGCACCTGGAAAAGCGTTTGTTCGGGACACAAGTCCAAGAAATCGTAAATCTCATGCGTGAAAACCTCTCCAGCTTTGCTCCCTCCATTTGAAGCGCGGAAACATATAGCAACAGTACCTTTGTTACCCATGTAAGCTAGACCCGTCCCGACGGCACATTAGAAACTGGGCGCGCAACGTCACCATCTCGTGTGTTCACGAGAAGCGCCAACGTCCATAGCCTTTGCGACAAGTGTGTAGGACTCCCTACCCAGTGCATGGTTCTCAATTTGACTGCAAATATGCGCGTTTTTATCATCGATCACACCTCCCACTTGTTGGATATATTGGCATGTCAGAGTAATGGTGCACGAATACGACGACGTACGTCTATAAGTGAACCAGTGGGTCCAATGTGAACTTCGGGCAGCCACAGAAGTTCCAAGGACCCAGTTGCAACCATATCTGTTGCACGTGGCTCCGTGGAGAGGTTTAAAGAAGTCCGAGGTAAGCCAGCACCTTTTACAAGCTTTTATAAATTACAGGACTTTGTCCTTAGGTTTGTGTTATGACTCAACCGTGGTCTGGACTTGGTGCAGCGCTAGTACTCCTGGTCCCATCTTTGCTTTGAAGACTCCGACTCCCACGGTCATGTCCAGCAGAAGGATTAAAGGAACGACTATGATCTTCATTCTATTTGGTCTGCCTAGGGGAGACTAGGGATACCGGAGGCTTGCTAAGTAAGTACTTACTCTCTTTACCCGCAGTGCACTAGTATGTCAATAGTTGTTTCCTGATTGAACTTATAAACCTATTGTTCTCCCCTAGCGAAGTACAGCAGAAGAGTTATCCTTCAATTTCCGCCGGTTCTGCCGAAGGAATTGCCATTCAAAAATACTTCTGCGTATGTCGTGGCTCGCAGAGTCCCGGAAGACGTGGCACCAATGGAATAGAATGAGAAATTTGAAGTAAGTAGGATTGCAAAATGAATTGCCCAGGTCTCCGTCGGCATCAAGTTGGCATCATTGGGTGTATGTTATTACCGTCAGAGGTGCTATCTAATTTGGACTTCTCTTGCCACTTTATTGGTCGAATGAACCATCGCAGGTCAGCAGTGTCATATACACACCCCGGGTAAAGGTGGCCAGCTACGATTGGCATGTGGTACGTACATGATAAAGAGCCATCCATCACTTAAACTTAGGATGTGTTCCATACTTGAACTCTCCCTTGCGCTCCTTCCATTAACCATGCCGCAGCTGCACAACTTGTGCATTTCTGACAACACGCAACTTGTCCTTGGTGCTGCAGCTTGTCTTGGTGTAATAGTAGGTGCAATTGCTTGGGTTTACCTTCCGAAATCACAGAGTGGCCTGCCTCTCCCACCGTCCCCTCCCACTTGGAGATTTTTTGGGCACATCATTCCGCCTCGCAAGTAAAGTTTCACACTTAACTCATCGCTTTTGATACTGATTGTGTCCTATCGTTGATAAGCCCATTTCTCACCGTAGAGGGATGGATTAATAAGTACGGTCCTCTGATCACCATTCGGTTAGGACATGTGAACATCGTTATTATCGGACGTTACAAAGTCAGTAACTCCGCCAGAGTTGTCATATCCAGGCTCAATATTCGGTTGCAGGCCGCGGTAGATATCATGGAGAACCAGGGCAAATCGCTAGCTGATCGCCCTCGCATGGTTGCTGCTGGAGAAATTTTTAGCGGCGGATTCAGCATCGGCTTTGCACCCTTTGGGGAAAGGTTTCGTCGTATGCGTAGGTTAGTGATCCGCGATACTTTCCCCCATCTTATCTTCCTGTTCAACGTGATGCAGAGCACTTCATACGCACCTCCAGCCTAAAGCAGCTGAGGCTTATCAGCCCCTGCAGATGTCGCACGCGAAGCACACTGTCCTTGACATCCTTGATGACCCATACAACTTCCAGAACCATGTGACAACGTAAGCATTTTCGCATATGATAGTACATTGCTCACAGGCGTTTTGAAGTTATGCTGCGACGATAGTTATGAAAGTTGCATACGGGAAGAATACGTCCACGTCTGCGACTGATCCCGGAGTTATTGAGGTTAATGAACTCATCAAGATGATTATTAAAATCATCCGCCCTGGTGCTTACCTAGTGGATTCGATCCCTTGGCTCCAATACCTTCCTTGGTATGGCCGGGACTTAAGACGGGGGTTTGAGAGGAACATGAAACTCAATGCTGGTTATATGAACCGCGTGAAAGGGCAAATGGTATGCGTTGGGTTGCCAATCTTCATGTACAACCTCTGAGTTGTTCCGCAGCAGAGCGATGTGGACATCGGCCCTTCGTTCGCGAGATATATGCTAGAAAGTGGTCATCTCTATGGTTTGTCAGAGGCTGAGATGGCCTTCCTTGCTGGTGCCTTTTTTGGAGCTGGATCCACAACGGTGAGGTGTTCTGTTGTCTCCGAACATGTGTGGCTCATATCAGGGACCAGACTTCTGCGTCAATATGCACGGTGTTCATAGCTGCTGCATGTTTCCCCGAGGAGCAGGCAAAAGTTCAGACAGAGCTCGATGCTGTCATCGGAAGGCACCGAGGTAGCTCGGTTCCCTAATGCAATTCTATGGATTCAACTATTTCTCCACTAAAGCGCCGACCTTCGCCGACCAACAATCCCTCCCTCGCCTGCAAGCCTTCATTTCTGAAGCTTTGAGATGGAGGCCCGTGGCTTCCGGTGGTAGGTATTTTCGTCATGGTTTTGTATCTGAAGTTAATAATGTTCACCCTGCAGGATTCGCTCACCAAACAACCAAAGAAGTGATTTGGGCAAGTAATATCGCCGAAATACATCGTACAAATGATGATCTGGCATCAGGAGAAATATTGTATTCCAGCTGGGACTATCGTATTCGGCAACCATTGGTAAGCGTTGTAATTCAAGTCGCGAAGTACATAACGATTATTGTCTTAGGTCCATCTCTCGAGATCCAGAAGTCTACCCTGAGCCTCACGCGTTCAAGCCTGAACGTTGGATTGACGACCAAGGTCACCTGAGAGACGATTTGAAGTTTTTTGCCTACGGGTTTGGTCGGCGGTAAGCCCCGTCTTTCAGTTGTTGATTCTTTGAATGACATTCTTTCTAGTGTATGCCCCGGTCAACATGTCGCGAACAGGTAGAAATATCCTTCCACGCACTTCGTTTTCACTTCGACCAAGACAGATCGATATTTATCAACTTTGTCCTTATTCTCTGGGCCTTCCGGCTCGCTCTGGATCCTACGCAGCCGTTGGATGACATGGGGTACATGAACGGGGACGTAGTAGGACGGCCATGCGCAATTGAGTTTGAGGCGAGAATTCCAGAAACGGAGCTCAGGCGCATGATGCATGATTATCCTGAGGTTGCATAACGAAGAACACCAGGCTTGTCACGATTGTGAATTATGGTGTATCATAGACGTAGTGTACATTTCGTTTGTTGACCTATCACATCTGAGCTTTCCGCATGTGGTTCCTCCTACTCTTCTCCGCTCCCCACCTAAGCCTTCACTCTTGCCATCGCGAATATGGCGCCCGACCCTTCTTTGCACCTGCAACCCCTTCATTCGCGTCTGTAAAATCGAGCATTCCCCAGATAGGCAGATCCAACTCGCCCTTGACGATCATCCGACAACGCGCAAGAATAGCGGGTGGAACCGGGGTGAGGATGTGCGTGTACGATGAAGTAGGCGAGATAGCGCGAATGAGAGCAAGACCATGGCAAGTGGTGTTTGAGGGTACGGGCGGATGTGTGGCTTGGGTGTAGGGCAATTCTCGGCGTCGGAGGGGTTGGGATATACTGGGTCTTCGGTCCCTGGCTCGCATTCGACAAGACCAACAATCGTGCGGTTCAAGACGTTGGAGATCTCCGAGGGGATCACGTCCTCGTATCCTGCGCCGATCAGGATGACCTGGTCGAATGCCTGGCTCCAGTATACTTCATACGGATACCAGGCACAAAGAGGGTGAGAGGTGTCCCATTTAGTCGCTGTTGTTTGACGAAATGGAGTTGATGGGGGCGGTGTATTAGATGGGTATATAGCGTGGAAGTAAGATAAGATGCTTAAGTTGCGCTGGTCGACGGCGTTAAAATCTGTACTCGTTAAGCTTTGGCGATATTGCTGCAAGGGTGTATTGGAACGCCTTGCTTGGGGCAGATTGGTTGTAAAAAGCATCATAGGTTGGCAAAGTGGTTGGCCATCCTTTCTCTTCAGGACCGATGATCTCGAAGACATGAGTAGGCTCAGCAAGTTCCTCGATCTTGGCGTTCAATTCAGCACCAAGACCCTTCGTTCATCCCATAGTATTGACCACCAGGAGGATAATATCAGTGGCCCGCATATCGGTTGACTCGTCACCAGGGAGGAAAGTTTGAACCTCGGCGAGTTCGTACGTCCGAGGAGCGCTTGGATAGCTGCGAGATAGCGTGCCGGACTGCACCGCGGTGAGGTTGCGCCAACGTAGTGCGCTCGGTATGGGAGAGTCGGATGGGTGAAAAGTGGGCCTAATATGCAAGAATGCATCGAGGGTTCTATGTTGAGACAGAAGTTACAACTCACCAAATATTATGTAATTAATATTAATGTTGTGCTGTTGAGAACATTTAGAACAACCAAACCCCCAGGTGTAAATTCGGATTGCTCTACATCGCATTCGAGATATGCGACACGTTGAAATCCATTAACGCCGGTATCAATCTACGCAAAACTGAAAACTTACCTTGCCAGAGGCCTGTTCAAGAGCGTCCGAGAAAACCTACTCTTTCCAGACTTTTTCGGACCCTTGACGACATATACAGAAAGCGGTGTGGGGTCTGCTTAGGATGGTGGCATCTCTGCAGCGCTCAGGGCAATACTCCATGATTCGGGCAGCACGAACGGTAGCACGTCCTTTGTGGTGTGTCACCTGCATGGCAGGACCGTCAAACGTGATCAACGAGCTTCCGTACATTTGAAAATGCGCACGTACCAAGTTCACGCCAGGCCGTATGACCTCCAATGAACATCGCTGCTAACGCGAAAGATCACAAACCCCATCGAAGACACGACACGCGCATCCGAGTCATTCGACCGAGCCAGTATCGAGCAATTGAATCGCTACTACAGCCCCGCCATGAATAGTTCTGACGCGAGGAGGAAGGGAATGCACGCTTGAGTCGTCTGACACAATGCATCGTAAAACGGGAATGGGAGCGGAACGAGGAGCGAAGATACGGTGAGTAACCTTCGAGGCAGACAACGTCACGCCGAGTCATAATATAATGACTCTCTTCTTTCTGTCATGGTCTGGTTAGAGGAGACTAACGCCGAGCACAGAAACGGACCCCTTCAAAACAGTAAGATTGTATGTGCCTAAAAGCGCGAGGGTCTCCTCCCGGTCCATGCAAAGCACGGAAGTCTCATTTTGCAAGCCCAAGGCGCTGACTTCATCGACAGAGTGTTCGTAAAAGTTAAGATCGCGAGTGAGCCTGAACGTGGAGTTTGGACAGTCGGGAAGGCTGAGCGCGAAGGGAATATAATGGTGCCGCGTTCCATGGAGAGACCGGTGCGTCGATTGCTGTGCATAGAGCTCATATTTTTCGTAGATCTGGTCTATTGCACGACAGATGAAGCCAAGATCATCCCATGCCAAATCTCGACCTCTGGATCAATGCCTTTTCGACAAGTACCATGTCAGATCTCATCCTGCGCAGAACACCTCAGGTCTCGCCTATGCAGATGAAATTTGTCGTTACCCACACATTTTTTTCCGCTGTCCAAACCTGGGACAGCCGGTGTTCCCTACTTTTGATGCGTATTGGCCATTACGGGCTTCCACTCGGTGTCCATCCTCCACGACTTACTATCGTTGCGTTCTGGCACCTAAACTAGGGTTAGGGTTTGTCACTCCTTCTCTTAACCAATACTGATCAAACTTCAATCTTGATCATCCTGACTCCGGGCTTTCAGTACAAAGGTTCATATGATTGGTGATCAGTGACTCAGTGGCATCCGACATAAGGAGACCCGACTAAGCCCTGTTCTTTGTCACGAGCACCGAGTAATCGGTAGTTAACTGCCCCTCGATGAAAGAGAAAACCCTTTTGGTGCCCGCCATATACATGTTAATGTGGATGTACGCACTCGGAATTGATAACGCTATGGTGCATGACTGTGCGGGTGTGTTGGATTAGCTATGCTTCTAGATTGGCAGTTGAAGAAAATAGTTAAATGTACTCGTAGCGTAGGACTCAAAAGAAGAAATTTCGAGATGAAGCTTCGGAATCGCCGTTAACTTGAGCAATGAATGAATTTAACGAAGACTCTAACCATAGATAGAATGGACAACGACCACAAGAGTAGTATCGGGGTGATTCCAACAACTTGAAGTACAACGAGGATGGAAAAGGCAGATCCAATATCAACGGCGAGTAAAATTATACTAGATGAAAGCAATACGACATGGAACTACACACCGATATGAATGAAAACAATCCTCTGCTCGAGCGGTACTGTCCTTTTGGCAGCGTATGCAGCATGGTTGAGTGCAGAGGCTGCCTTCGTACAGTCCATGACATAGACATCCTCATTCGAATCCTTGAACATCTTCTCGTAGAAAGCTTCGACAACATGTTGTGCGACAGCATCATCGACAACCAGTGTTCCAATGACGCTCTTGAACCCTGAGAACTGCAAACCAGCAGCGAGGTGGATAACCTCATCGGGTGTCTCCTCATCGCCGACAGCGGTATGACACGCTGATAAGATTGCGAATTCAGCATGAGGAAGGGTCAATGTGATTTTGATGATCCCGACACAGAGCTAGCAATGAGACATCTGGTCCACGCCCGCACATTTATCATCACTGCAACCACCCTACCTTGTGAACTCTGCGTTTCTGGTTTCGCTCCTCTTCTGGACTCGGAATGCTTGATGCTCAATCCATTCGCACGCGTATACGAATTTCCATATCACAATCTAGTCAGATTCGAAACCCCGGCGTTACGCAAACTCACTGTGGGTAATGTGGTGCTCCATAGCGGAGATGTGCCCAGGATGAAAGATCTCATAAACCTACGTATGAGACACATGAAATCCAAGCAGAGTTGTTTCAGATCTCTCAGTGTCATCCAGGAATTTACGTCCTCGCAAACACTTCAACTGGAACTTCTAGGACGTTTTGTTTTCACGTCATGGTGGATTTCGAAGATAGTTCCGTCATGTACAGAGCCAAATGTATGAGACAGATTGCACCTGTGGTACTGACTTGCGCTGCAAAGAAATGTCTGCTTCAGAGTCCAGACCCGAGACCAAGGGTTGGGGTGCCAAAGCCCAATATCGGATATGCACGCGTTTCAGGCAACGTGCGTAGAGTGTTTGAGACCAGTTTCAGCTACACTTCGAAGGTCGCATCATGTGCATGTCCAACCGAGATTGACGATCCCTGAGTCACAATTCGAGATCAGCGCAGAAGCGGATAATGCAAGTACGAACGGAACTCACCTGAAGATCAATGTTGGAGTTCCGAGATTTCGGCTTATCATATGGATTCACAGCGCGAAATGCGAGGAGCTCATGAGGCGGATGAACAAAACGCATCCAGAGTCATCCTTGCAAAGCAGTTTATGTTCACCATTCCGTCGTTCGCTTACATCGATCAGATTGCATAGGACCTGTCACTAATTATCCGTCGATGGTCCGCATCACAGACGCAGGTTGTAAAGAGAGCACTAATGGGAACGACTTGTGAGCATGCAGACCGTTATAAAAATCGTTCATCTAGCGTCAATTACTTTACATGCGGATGTTACATGGAAAGACGTTCCTTCGACCGAGGTTAACTCGGTCATTATTACAGTTACATGCTATTGTTAGTTAATGTACCATACAACAAGCTCATGCAACGGATGCAACGAGCATGTTGGTCATGGGCGACATGGCCATCGAGACCAAGAGTGTGTCATTCCAGCCAGTGCCGTTGTAGTAGGGCACCTGGGACAGTACATAGTCTGCGGCGAAGGAGCCAGCTGACCAGCCAAGGTAGCCAAGGATGACTACAAAGGACAACACATTGACTTTTGTCAGAGCACGGCAATGGGAAAACGTACCATCAGAGTTAGCAGCCTGGTAGCCAATCTGCTGTGATATGTAGCCAACACAAGAGTCGACGTTCCCACCACCAGTCTCAGTATTGAGGGCCTGACGGCCATTTTCACGGAGCCAGGTGGACAGAGGGTACCATGCGTCTTCGATGTTGTTGGTCACGCATGGAGCGTGGGTGCCACTGAGTGGTAAGGATTAGCGGAGGCATAGGCAAGAAAATGATTCCACTAACGAGTTGTCGTAGTCGAGGTACTTGTGGACATCCATAATGAGGTTGGTGATTGTGCCGTCGGGGTTGCGCACCATGCCAAGGGCCTCAGCAGAACCGCTGGAAACGAAAGTCTGCGCAGAGGTATAGTTGTTGCCGGGGAGGAGAATCATCTGGGTGGTAGCACCAGTTTCCCTAAACAGATTTTTAGTTGAGAGACCACGCAGAAATAGTCGAACATACTGACCGAATGGCCGTGACCGCGCACTTATTCCCCAGAATTATGAGCAATATTTGAAGTCTGGGAACAAAGAGCGCATACCTGAACTATAATCGTGAAATCACATTGTCAGCAGGGAAAATATCCATCAAGAGATGACTCATACCAGACTCTGCCCAAGTGTAGATGTCCTACGTTCGGCAACGTTAACATCGTCTCTTGGAGAATTTTGCGAGTGACTCACTGGGATATCATGAGGTTCATTCATACTGAAAGTCAATAAGTCAGTGGTCCCTATTCGCAGCGGCCATCACATACACCCCAAAGATGACGTTCGGTTCATTCTTCCAGTACGAGGCAATGTTGTACCAGAGCTCAGCGAAGATTTCGTTGCTCGGGCCACCTTGTCCGATTATCTGTTATCGGATTGAACGTCGTTCGTAATAGCAGGAGCACAGTCATTAACCTCTCCGTCGTACCTGGCGTAGTTGTGGATATCAATCTCACAGAGAGCGCCAGTGCTCAGGCAGTCAGACACCAGCATGTTATAGTTGGCAAACTGAGTCTCATTCAAGACACCAGTCATCTGGTTGTACGTGAGGTACTGCCAGCCAACAGGGAGACGGAAAACATTGTAGCCATCATTCTGGACAAAGTGTTGCATTTGACCCAAACCATCAACGCCTGGTAGGTATGTAAGAGTATGAGAGGGTCATCCATGATAAATCTTACCGGACAGTTGGTAGACAGGGGGAACAGTCTGTGAGATGATGCAGGTGCCATCTATACCACAACCGAAGTCTGTGGAACAGGAGTCTACATATGACGAGTAAAGGTAGCGGTATAACACTCACCAAAACCTGCAATATTCACACCTGCAAACCGGAGCGGTGCAAATGTCTGAGCATTGACAGCGACCGTCGCGGTGCTGAGAGTAGCGATGACAAAGTGATACAAAAATTTGATGGCCATTTCACGCGGAAAAAGCAGTCTACTTGGTGGTTCAGCGCATGTCCTATCTTATGTATGTGTTAGACCCTGGGTTAAAATGTTAAAAATATTTCCCGTACAACGCTTCGCCAGGGACAGCCCGCATGATGACTTCTGAGCCGTAGCCGAAGTTCGCGGGAATTCTTCACGAAACCATTGAGCCGGCGCTATTCTCAGAAGACTGTAGTCCGCGATGTAGAAGCTACAGATATTATTGGCCTGTGGTCCTCCAAACTGCTGCGATAAAATATTGGGCTGTCGACGCAATCACGTGAATATCATGCGAGCGGCAAAACATCGCTTCTTTGTCGGGAGTTGGCCCAGGATAGTTCGATAGATCATGGTAGCGAAGGTTTATGCTTTCCACGATAGTGGGCATTTACTTCCGCTTTAAACGCCATTGGGTGGGTAGAATATTTTAGAGAAAACCTAACTGCCTGTTGTTAATAATTGAGTCAACTCTGATGAACTGAGATGTTCATATCCGAACACGGGCGAGGAGAAAACGAAACTCTAATCTATCCACACTCCTGAATTAGAAAATAAGCAACCCGAAATAGCACGCACGAAGTTTCTGAATAGTCATTTACTCGTTGTCCTCGTATTGCTTCTGTTAGTTAGTCCAATCGGTTCGCGTTTCTCAAGGGTTCGTGTTCCGACTCTAGCACACGCAATTATGCATGAAACTCCATGCGAGTTGTGTCCCCCCCCCCACATGATACATAGTACTTACCATATATATTTTGAAAAATTCCGTATCATGCTGGCCACGCAGTTACGCGTGATGCGCTCGGCCATGCGGCTGAGATCTAAACTGAAGTTCACGACACAAGTTCAGAACAACGACACAAACAAACCCCTTTGGTTATTGCGATACATTCGGTGGATGATCGATCAAATCATCCACGGTAGTACCACCTGTCCGTCGATCCCGCTGTCATTGGTAAGTTGTTTTGTTCTCTGATTAGGACCGGGGTCACCAATGCCACTGTCGACACTCCCTTGGAGACAACAATCGAACAAGCAGTTGACTTTGTAGGGGTGATGCACATAACCGGGATGTATTTATGTTGCACTCGGAAGCGAATGGTTGGATTCGAGATGGAGAGCTGACCTTGATATTATAGGCTTAGTGACCACGACAGCTTCGGCCCGTTCGTGATTGGTGTGCAAAGCTCCAGATCTGGCAGACCGCACTGAATCCGGCGAATGAGTTCGCGAGTAAGCCTGCGGGCAGAGTGAACAGACCCAGGCTGCCGCGTTGATATAGTTTGGTCACTGGTGAAATTTGTGAAACTTAAAGCTTACCGAGGGTCACCGTGTGGGGGTTGTCAAAGTTTGACGCTTATATAAGCCAACATAGTACGACACAAACTGATGTGTCAGCCAAGCCAAGCGGTGCGATGGACGTCGATCTACCCTGCAAGCTTGAACTCGTTTCAGATCTTCCAGGTAGTGCTGATTCAGAACAGTAATTTACACCGCGCTGAACGATATTTTAACACAGGGCACGATGAACGTGCTTGGCAGGTGGCATGGAATCCGACCAAGCCTCTGCTAGCATCATGCTCTGCAGACAAATCTGTGCGAATGTACAGTTACCGTCCATCCGACCACGGAAGCAGAGATCTGTCCTTTTCGCATGTGAGAACTATCCCCACGGGACATACGAAAACCGTACGCAGCATCGCATGGGCACCATCAGGCAAAACGCTTGCCACAGGATCATTTGACTCGAATGTCGGAATATGGGAGCGAGAGGATGCTTCGGACTCCGAGGATGCAGGAGAAACTACGGGTGATTGGGAGTGTGTGACTTTGCTAGAAGGTCATGAAACAGAATGCAAGAGCGTTGGGTATTCGAGTTCAGGCACGCTGCTAGCGAGCTGCAGCAGAGATAAGACTGTATGGATTTGGGAGGGTGAGTATTTCTTGTTCTCACCTTACCGCATTGCTCAATGGTCCGATCCGATCAGTTAAACCGGATGCAGATTTTGAGTGTATGGGCGTACTCATGGAACATAGCCAGGACGTGAAATGCGTTGCATGGCATCCTTCGGAAGAGGTCAAATGCCTGCCATTGAAATACGTGTGCGACTGACAGGGGTTCAGGACAGATACTTGCATCCGCTTCGTACGACGATACCATAAAGCTCTACGTAGACGATCCTTCGGAAGATTGGTTTTGTTTCTCGACCCTCTCTGGCCACAAGTCAACTGTTTGGTCCCTTACCTGGTCACCACGAGAGAGTTATCTCGCCTCGTCCTCTGATGATCTTACGATCAGGATATGGAAGAGAGTAGAAGAGCATAAATGGCGGTCCGTCTTGGAGCTGAGGGGACACGAACGAAGTATTTACTCGATCAGCTGGGGAGTTGGGAAAGGGGCGAGTGAGAATCTTGGATGGCTCGCGACCACTGGTGGTGATGGTAAAATTAATGTCTGGGAAATGAATGTATGTTTCATGCTCATTTTGTGTTGCATCGAGACTGAAGCCTTCTCAGGAAACACAGCACATCAAGGATCCTCTGACTGCGAAATTACTCGCAAGCATATCTGGAGCTCACGGTGTCGGTGATGTCAATTCGGTCTCTTGGTGCCCTCGCCCAGATCATGCAGATCTGTTGGCTACTGCTGGTGATGATGGCTCAGTCAAAGTTTGGAGGGTAGTGCCATCTTAGATCTACTACAGTGCTTCTGTTTCATTCATGCAAGTTCTATCAATGTATATACATGACACTGGATATTTTACGTATACTATGATTTCTGTGCGAACCTCGTTACAGAATGACTCGGTCAGTCAAGCCAAAGTAAGTAGGTCCACAGCGTTCATTTTTTCAGAACATTTCCGTTTCCATATCACCTCTTCACCATGCCGATCCTTGGGCTGGCCCCCTCTACCACTCCAATAAAACCCGCGCACTTTGATATCGAAAAAGTCATTCGGCCAAACATCCTCGCTCTCCATCCTTACCGATGTGCACGCGATGACTACCAAGAGGGAATCCTCCTCGATGCAAATGAAAACGCTCTTGGACACTCTATCCCCAGATCGTCCAACCAGATTCAGCAGGAGATTTCGTCGACGCTAGACGCTGACTTAAACCGATATCCCGATCCCTCTCATGGCGGGATAAAATCTCGCATCGCATCTCTAAGATCGCTACCCGGAAATGATCATGTATTTCTGGGCGTCGGATCTGACGAGGTCATTGATCTCTTGATGCGGGTTTGCGTTGCACCTGTAAACGAGAAGATTCTGATCACCCCGCCCACTTACGGAATGTATTCCGTCTGCGCGCAAGTGAACGATATTGGGTTAGTTCGCTGTAACCTCAATCTGAGCGGCAGCGAAGGGGAGGGTGGAGAACACGGTCGATTTAGCTTGCTAGTTGATAATGTGAGTGTCTCATTTTCCATGGTTTATCAAGTGGTCAAACGGCGTGTTATAGATAAAAGCAGCTGTCTTGGCGGACCCTTCTATCAAGCTCATTTTTCTCTGCTCACCAGGGAACCCAACGGGTACCCTGATTAGTCTGGCAGCTGTCAAAGCAATATTGGACTACGAGCCATTCAAAGGTATCGTGGTTGTTGATGAAGCGTATATCGACTTTTCTGGTGAGGGTGCCAGCGCTGTATCCCTGATCCAAGACTATGCCAATTTGTGCGTAATGCAAACTCTGAGCAAAAGCTTTGGCCTAGCTGCAATTAGGTGAGTACGTGTTCACCGGTACGTACTTGGATCTTATGTGAACGATTCCCTTCAGGCTCGGTATCGCCCTTGCACAGCCGCCGTTAATTCAAGTGCTCACAAACACAAAAGCCCCATACAATATTTCCACTCCATCCGCTCAGTTAGCGCTCGCTGCGCTGAGTGAGGAGGCAATTCAAAACATGCATTTGAAATGCCAAACGCTCGTAGAGTCACGGAAACAGCTGCAAAAGTCTCTCTCTCGTCTTTCTGCCCTCGGTGTAGGAGACGCCATTGGCGGCAACGATGCAAACTTCTTAATTGTCCCCATCCTCAATAAAGAAACCAGACTTCCTGACAACGCTCGGGCAAACGCGATTTATACAGAGCTGGCCGAGAAGAAAGGAGTTGTAGTGAGGTTCAGAGGTAAAGAGGCTGGATGCGATGGATGTTTGAGAATCACTATTGGGACTGCCGAGGAGAACGTGACACTGCTTCGACAAATGCAGAGTGCTTTGAATGACTATTAGCTGTGCGAGGCGATGATTCTGTAAACGTTACTAGATCAGAGTCGACCTCTTCTGGGGGGGTTTGCTTGCCAAATAAAGATGTGTTCTTACGTGTCAATAGCATCTCGCGGGTAACTTCAGTATGGCCGGCGCCGCGGTACTACCACACTACGGCGCAGCTGCTTCATTGACCTGATCTATCTGTCCTTTTCATTTGCATGCTGAGGATCATTTCTATCAAATTGCCCGTTGGCGCAGCTCTCCGTTTGACTTAAATCTCATTACCAAGCGCGCTGGACTTCGCCGTTATTTTCCTCGAGTCTCACTTAGAACGAGTCATCTAGAATGGCGAAGCAAAAGCCTCTGACCCCTCAGGAGATCTACCGAGCCCGGAGAGCGCGAGAAGAACGAGAGAAGAACGCACTACTACCGCCGGGATTGTTAAACCATGGTAATACATGTTTCATGAACTCTGTGTTACAGGGTGTGAGTCCATCTTTGAATTTGAACGAAGAATATGGTCCTGATGACTTGCTATATAGCTGATCGCTACGCAATATCTGTCTCATCTTGTCCTATTCCAGGATATCCCTCCCGCCGTCCACCTGTCCGCATTAATCCCAGTGGCGTCTCACCGATCACCTGAGTTGACGAATGGCCATGGTCTAGCAGGTCCCTACGAACGCCCTTGGACCGCGGGATTATACATCGGTGATCGGTTTGTGACCCTCTTGCGGCAGGCGTGGGCCATGCAAGATGACCGACAGAGAAATTATCTGAAGCCCAAGTAAGCGTTGGACCAGTGAAATAGAATCATTACTCATCGTTTGACGTCAGAGAGCTTTTAGCATCCCTTGGGCAGAAATACGACCAATATCTGGACTTTCGCCAGCAAGATGCGCATGAATTCCTGAGACACCTCCTTGATGCAATGCAGATGGAGGAGGTTGACGTGAGTGGCAGTAAGATCATAACCCATTTTCACTCGTTGACGTATCGTAGATCATCAAAAAGCGGCAGCCTTCTGCTTCTATCAAGGGAAAAAAGAGAAAACGCACATCTCCTGTGAAGGCACACGCGTCGCCTAACACTGACACTCATGGTCGTGCGAATATCGGTCATTCACCACTGGGACAGGTTGTCAGCGCGCCGAACTCTGATCCATCGCTCCCAGAGGAAGACACGTTAGCGCCGTTTGTTGACATGCTTTTCGGGGGTAAGTTGGCCAGCATCCTCGTGTGTCAGGCTTGCAAACACGTTTCCCATACATACGAGGACTTCAACGACCTCAGCTTAAGCATAAAGGCTGAGGACTATGCGCGCGAACGCAAGCGGGACAAGCTGAAGCAACTCGCTAAGAAACTGCGCAATATATCCGGAACGGCGCTCAGCGTCATTCCTATGCAGCGATCTTCTTCAGTCCCGGCTACTCCACATAGAGATTCGACGTTGGAGAACCAAGAAGTCGTAGATCCTCATAGACGACGTAGCATTGACGTGGCGGACGTCGAAGTGGCTGCTGTGGTGGAGATACACGCGGACCACGATACCAACCATGAAATTACCACCGGAACAGACGCACCCCTACCCCAGCTCGAACTACACATCGAACATCACCCACCGGAATCTGACAATTCACCTGCTGCAACTCCTGACTTCCGTATTAGCGAGACACTAGAAGCTGAAACCCCACATAAAGGACGGGAACATATAGAGATTAGCGAACCTTCTTTAGGCGATGGTCGCGAGAAAAGAGAGAAGTCGGAAAGCTGGTCAAAGCTTGGGCGAAGAATTAGCGTGTCAGTTGGACTCACCAAGCAATCCAGGGAGGATCGACGTCGCTCGAAAGAAGTGAAGAAAGCGAAAAAAGACGCATTGCATCAGCGTAATGCAAAGGACGGCGATACCTACCCCCGGTCTCCATCTCTCCATACCACAGTACCCACCGTCCAACCTGTTGACTCTCCTGACGTGAATATCGATCGAGAACCGACATCTCTTAGCGCCGTCAACGACATGTTGCAGGCACAACTAGCTGCAGTTAAGCGGTCTTGGTCGCCAGTGCAAAGGTCCTCCCCTTCACCCTCAGCCTCCTCCACACCTCGTTTTCCTCTCATCTCCCGACCACCTACTCCCTCCGTAACAAGCAAACGTCCGAAAGTTCCCAGAACCCCAAAAATGAGTGCTGAAGAAGCAGCTTATTTGCGCGATATCCTAGCCGATATCAGTCCAGGAGGAGCTGCAAGTCCATTTTCTATCTTCAAGCAGACGAAGGATCAGTCTAATGCGGGCCCTTATACCACTCAAAATATGTTTCTGAAGATCCCTCAGCTTGGCGGTCTGGAAGAGTGTTTGAGATTATTTACCTCAGTCGAGGTTCTCGACGGGGAGAACATGGTCAAGTGTCATCGCTGTTGGAAGATTGCCAATGGCCTTTATGAACCCAAGTCGAGCGGACAAAATCAGGAGTCCGATTCTTGCACTGATAGTGACGATGAAAACGAGAGCTCGACTGACGATGATCAGCCCATACACACCCAACTGCCAAATGGGAGCGCCCATCTACCAATGCTGAATCATACCGATCGTCTCAGGTTTTTGATTTCTTCCTCAAGTTCTGTCACTTCCTTTCACGATACTCCTGATAGCCATGATACCCCAAGATCACTCTCGGGTGATACAGCTCTTCTTACCTCTTACGATTCACATTGTAGTATTAAACCTCTACCGCCTTCCTTGGAGCTGATGAACGATGATCGTTTACCCTCTACATCAACACCTCGTCCTGCGACATACGGTGGTCTTCCTATTCCATCGATATCTACCACCGGTCCGGAGTCGCCGATGTCTATCAAGACAGCCAGGCCCATTGCCACAGCCTCGTCTACCAGTTCCATGTCATCCCAGGCGTCTTTGCACGCTCCCACACCAAAGCGTGACAAGGAGAAACATCCCACTAATATAATGGAGAGCGAGGGCTGTTCTGACGAGGAAAGTGGGACATCTGCTAATTTATCTGCTTACTCGGATGTTTCTTCTACTGCTGCATCACCGGTAGTATCACCAAACGTCTCCCACGAGAACCTCACAGTATCTCCAACACCTCACGCACCGCTGAAACAGCTTTCAGGGATGCCTGATTCCACGGGTGTCCCTCTGTCCAAGAAAGTGGTCATGCGAGCCGCGTATAAACGATATCTCATTGCCACTCCCCCGCCGATTCTCGTCATTCACCTAAAACGTTTTCAACAAATGTCGAAAGTTCCCATCATGTCCTTCTCCTCCAGTTTCAAGAAGCTCGAGGATTACGTATCATTCCCAGAATACCTCGACATTGCGCCATACTTGGCACCAAAGCGGGAACAGTATGCGGATGCCAAGGTGGGGCACGTTCGCGGTCGAACTAAACGTCCCGAACGGTGCATGTACAGGCTATATGCCGTCGTCGTACATATTGGGAACATGGTGAGAACTGCACTTCAACCACTAAACCATAGAGTTCACATCTCATCACTGAATCCGTAGCTTGGTGGTCACTATATCGCATATACAGCCCTCCCTTCGGCCACGAAGGAGGATGAACAAACGTCATCGGTAACTGAATCCGAGAACTTGTCGCACACGGATCGACCACATCGTGACTGGGCATATATTAGCGATACCACAGTGCGGCTATCCTCTTTGGACGAGGTCTTAAAGAGCAAGGCATACATCTGCATGTACGAGAGGATATAAATTGGACTCGGCATATTCCGTTCACCTCGTCGTTTTTCACGTATCTTTATCCTTTTTGCTTTCCCATAAGCACTAGGGTGGCCTTGTTTTATCAGAGCTGTATAGCTTGGACTTGAAATTTATATGTAGATTTTGCGTGTGCGTTCACTCCCTTGTTTTCGATTGAGCAAGCAAGGTTTTTGCTGATGAAATTAGGCCTGAATTCGGTCCCCGACTCCCACGTTAGTGGGGGAGGGCTTTGTCGAACACAAACGGATTCTCGTCTGCAAAGCTGTGCTGGCGCTCCCGGTAATCGCCGCATTCGGGTACTGCCAAATTATCCTCTCCTTGCTTTCCTATCATCCACGATGATCCACCCCTCCCAACCCGACGCGAACACTGGGCCGGTGACCAGCCCGTCTAATGAGGCGAGCCATCGACATTAGACGGGCTGGTCACCAGTCTAATTTCCACATACTGCATCAAGTGGAGCACCATTTTTACATTGTGAAAATTTCAAAAAATCCTTAGCAAAAACGCCCTTAGTAGTACGGGTTTAAGTTCCCACTTGCTAAGACTGACTGTCATTGTTCCGACGTTCGCTAGTTCAGGGATACGAACACTCGTAAACTGCTTGTCACTTGACCCTTTGCATGACTGCAAACGGGAGGATGCACCCTTGAACGCAGGTTCGGAAAGTGGTCATACTATTGGTTACCACAACTTCGGTCAACCACTGGTTCGGACAGTTTGCAATAGCTCGTACAATTTAAATATCCTAGATATCTCACCACATATCATTCTACACATATTCTAAGCTACTATAAAGTTGAATCATCAAATTTGAGATTTTTGTTGAGGTGTGACAGAGCAGCTGTTTGTCACTACTCGGCGAGTCTGCCGCGGCGGAGTTTCGATACCTTGCAGAAAAGATGGGCTCGTAACGCGCCAAATACCGAGCGGAGTTCGCTTCAGGCAGCCAGTGACATTGACTGTCCGAACCAGCAGTTGTGGTAACCGACTTAAGGCCAGGGTAGCTTACGAGCTTGGCTAGCATATCCCTTGATGTTGCCTTGATGGTAAGTATATTGATTTGCAATATTGACTATGGCAGGCACCCTGAAGTTCAGTCCTGTCACATCTTCTGACCTTTGATCAACAAACTGGGTACCATGAAGGTAAGTATGACTCTTCGCATGGTTTGCATAAGTTCGAACCTACGTGTCACACAGTGTGTTCTGCTAGGGCTAAGGGTGCGAGAGAAAGCGCGCTGCGGTTACTGATTGACATGACATCCCAACAGGCCCCATACATTTTGTGAGACTTGCCAATCAATCAGTCTGCGTAGCCCTGCAGGTCGTCGTCACTGGCTATAAATGCCGTGGACGCGTCTGAAAATCAAATAATCTCGGAAACATGTACAAGGAATGCTTCCGTGTGATCTTTAACGTTTGGGTATAAAACTCACCCTTTCCTTCAAGTCCACAAGAGTTATCAGATAACAATGGTATTCACAGTATTGGCATACAACCACCCTCGACTGGCCGGTGAGTTGAAAGTGGCTATCATGTTGTACTCTTTTGTTTATCATCATCCTTTGGAAAGTCGCGGGGTCGGTATCCCACGGCATTGCTATAGTCTCCACCATCTTCAGGCTTGTTTACAGAGGTTGGACGCGCCGCGTCTGGTGGGAAGATGCATGGGCTGCGTTTTCGCTGATATCAGACGGTAGGATCTTCCTTGAACGTTACATTGCTCAGCAAACCAACCACTGTTAACCCCAGTTTTTTGCCTGGCATACATGTGGATCAACCCATCGACAATAAGTTGTTAGTACCACTTGACGTCGACCTCCAAGATTTACCTCACGTTCATATCAGTCCCAACCTGGGCCTTCGCAGTGGCTTTAACCTGCGTTCTGTGGTGCGCATCACAGCTTACTCAGTTTCATTCCTAACTCACTGTTCCAGGGCTGCGCGCATGAGCATCATTTTTTCCATCATCCGAGTTGCCAACCATTCGGGCCACAAGATCCACAAATGGATCACTCATCTCATCGCGGTGTCCTTTGCGTGTATGTGGGTCGCCCTGCTCGCGCAGAAAATCTACGTCTGCGCTGTCCAGGCGTGCCAGATGGCCGAGCCCGTGGCACTCTCACAACTGATCAGTCAGTAGTTCTTTTTGTGCCTGATATGATCCTCAAGTTATGTGTTCCTACAGCGGACGTCATCTCGGATTGTTTGCTCGTCGCTGCGCCACTGCAGCTCTGGAAAAATGTGGGACTCTCGCGTAGCAGAAAAATATTGGTCCTGTCCTCATTCGGCGCATCGCTTCTAATCACCGGCATCACAATCCCTCACTCTGTGATCCTTTTCCACCCCTTATCAGAAACTACGCTCATCTTTGCACATGTCAAGGTGAGCACGCTCCGTTCCTCGCATCCCTCTGCAACACCTGATGAAACATAGGCCGCCCTCAGTCTCGTCATCTGCAACCTCTTGGTGATCGTTACCTTCGTGTATCGCGTGTTCTCGAAGGAAACTGTTGATCTCGACCAATCGTTCACATGCCCCGGGATCTTCTCGAGCGTCATAATGCAGTTCCCCATGAGCACGTACACTAGGACGTCACTCTCTGAACAAGAAGGGGCAACATCGAGACAGATAACGACGGTGCAGAGTGAAGCGATGAAACCGAAGATGGAAGACGCAAGCATGCTGAATGCTGAAGAGGGCACTAACACTGAGGGATGGCCGGAAACATTGAAGGATGGCGATTCACGAACAACGATCGATCTGGAAGGAAGTCGCCAAGCATGATGACAGCGCGTTTTTTCACCTTATTACATGTACGTATGTGTACACACTGTATCGTTGTAGGGCACCGCCCGTATACCATCTCAATGACAAACATCAAAAAACCAACTATCGATATCACTAAAGGGGTCTTTGATTCCCTTTCGTACTCAGTAGACAGCGAAACATGTGTGGGACAGAGAAGCAAGGCAAGGCAAGGGACGCCCAACTATATTACATGTACCCATCGAACAAGTCAGGAACAAGCAGCGCAAGGCAACAATACGACTAGCACGAAGAACAGATGCGCCATACACAGCAGACGGCCGCTTGTCGTCCACCAGGACCACCACAGCCATCAATTTCTGCAAACAGTACAGTGCCTGCAACATGACTGCAGGAGCTGCATGGAGCTGCAGTCCACATCAGAGTTTGGGCCCGTCGAAAAACGATCGTTGAACGATCCCTGTTTGGTATGGTGTCGGTCGAACTGGGATTTCTCGTCCTCTCCACCAATGAGAGCGTTCGCTTAAGGTTAGCGAAAGCTAGGGAAAGCTTCAAATTGTCAACGTAAAGAGAGGCTCTCTCAGATGCAGTAAAAACACATTTGCGTAATTGACGTACTGCGTCATCGCGCACACCACGTCGACCCTGGCGGAGGTGTCTGTTGGTGATCATTAAGAATATCCTGATTAGTTGCAAGACTCCGGGAAACTGACATGCACTCGACGGCGCTCCCATTCGGGCAGGCAAGCGTCCTTCCCAGCCACATGCCACTATGGCAGCGAGCCTGTCATTGTACGTGAACAGGCCCTCATGTCATGGCGTCCCGGGCATGCCACCAGTAGAGCGTGAGCCAATGATGAACTTTGAAAAATTAACACGAAAAATAAACACGCACCACCTGATCCCCTGCGGCACACCGCGGCGCCTAGTAATCATCATCAATGAGAATCAATGGACTAACTTACTTACATAAAAGAGCTGTAATTGATCTTTGCAAGATATTTGTAAGCCCACGTTAGGCCCACGTGCAGTTGTCCCACGTACATACCAGTTCTACCTAGCTTCCTCTCGTCGTCAGATTCGTCAGTGGTTTGTTTTGATCTGATCTCGTTTCTCTTGAGTTCCCGGCGCAAGCTACATAAGACTCAGCCAGTCCACGTCTCAACATGTATCCTCCTTCACCTTGCAAATCGAGGCTCCAAGTGCCAGCCCCAGACCATGCGTGCACACGTGGTCCTACTCCCTACCAAACTACGAAAGGTACTCAACCAGACTCAACCCTCGTAACCTCCTTACTGCCTCCTCCTCGGTACATAACCCACACTCACCTTCCAACCATCACTCCCCTTCCTATTTGATTTCACATCCTTCATCAAATCTTAGGCACTCGCGCAAAGTGAACGATGAACGATTTGAGTGACACAGTTACATAATCGGTCAGTAGGACTGAGATCAAGGTAAGTATGCAGGCGCCTCGATCAGGCTATGCAGGCAACGGGGGTCGGTGCTACAAGGCATCCACCTTAGAATGCCGATCCTATCATTAAAGGTCACTGCGATATTTTTATCTCCCCTTCATTACTGCTACATATTTAAGGTATTAGCTCGCTGTCCGCACACCTCAGTCTCGTTACCCGCGATTGAGGCTCGTACATTAGCATTAGCTCTCACTTCTAACATGGATGACACATGCAGGTACATATGAGATGGTAAGTGAATATCTTGCATCAGAAACTGCTGTCATGTGCAACACGTGGTCACACAGATTCTACTCGGCTTTCGACATACTGACCTGATGACAGGCTGTGCACCGACGCATTCGCTTTGTGCCCAGAAAGGTCTATATCGACTCATGTCAACGGTAAGTCGACGTTGACAGGTGATCGATGACCCTGGGTGATACGTTTTTGGCTTAGGTTGGTGTATTTGTCCAGGTAGGTTCAGGCGCTCTATCATGCCGTATCATGAGCCAAGACATAATTTTGTACTCAGCCCACGGTCTACTGTTGCGACCATGTCGACCACGTTGGTTATTTCTTACGCCAAAGATGCTCAGGGCAAAGTGATCAACTTCATCCCTCAAGTCCACGACAGGACTAACTCCGCCTGACGTTCAAGTTCTTGGAAATTACATTCAAGTTCCCCCGTCACTAACAGCTTATCATCCCTTTATATAGCTACCCCTTGCAATATTTCGGCATGTTCTCATATCTATCCACTGGGACTACAATGTGGACGTTTTGCGACATGCTGTGAAATTCATGAATGCGGCGTTTTATGTAAAAGAAGGAATGATAGCTGGCTTCAATTACGAACTAGCTATGTGCCAGACAGGAGGCCTTGACTTGACAACTCCTGTTGGTCGGATGACTATATCGACTTGATATCGACAATGCCTAATGTGGCAGAGTACGCCGCCTCCGAAATGGACGTCTCGAGCGGTTGAGGACCAATTAGCTGACGTTGCCAAGTGGGAATCGTAATGTCGAGGACCCGTCAACCATCTCACGAGCTCGTTTGATCTACATTGGACGTGGAACGGAAAGTTTGGTTGTAGAGTCGTCGGCAACTTGGCAAGACACCATTCATCATTATAACCCATAAATGCAAAATGGAAAGACCACCAAATCTCACTGTACTAAGATTGATTGAATACTAGAAGAACACACGTATTGAGTGTGGCTAAGTACTAGCACGCCATTCAGTTGTAAGTTAACGTCAAGGTCTCGATAGATAACACGTTCACTCATATGGAAACGACACTGAACCGGGAGGTATAGAAGGCCTATGCTTGTCCGTTCGAAGGGCAGTGATGACAACAAAGAAACCAAGTAGGAGGGCGGGGATATCAGGGGTGACCATCAAAAAGGACCATAATCGGAGTAGGCCGTCCAAAGCACGGAAAGGTCGCCATAACCGCACGGTGATGCTTTTACTTCGCCACAGAATGGTCATACGGGTGGAGTACCTAGCTTCGGATATTGCGAGTCAAGTACCTGCATCACTTTGGCGATGGAATAGAACTCATCAAAAGACATGAAGCAAGGAACGGCAGCACCGCGGGGTCCTGTTGAGCGCGTCAGGAGCATTCCGTTCTGATATATGAAACCACACAGTGAGCCTAGCTCGGGGTCCCTGCCAGGCGGTTGAAGTAGGTCATTACATATAGACCAATCGAACCTGAGGCCTGATGTACCACACAGCCCCGTGACCGAACCTAGTGAACCAGACAAGCTATTGTTCCTAATATTGATATTATGCATTCGTCAGCCTGATCAAACGGAGCGCTCCCCAGTGCCGTACTGGTCACCATCGGAGGCTACCGAGCGCACCACGTCCCGCCGCTCCTGTGACCTCACAGCTGACAAAGACATTTTTTCAGTTCAGGAAACGAGGTCTCGGTCGGAACGTGGCACAGACTAACCAGTGGTTCCGTCCTCGGCGCCCAAGGCTGTCAACAAAAAACATCCCCGAGTGCGCTTACAGATTTCCTGTGGTACCGTGTTGAAGTGGATGTTGTGTTTTTGAAGACATTACACTGTGACTCTAAGTCACTTGATGAACACAATTCTTGTCCAAAGACCACTCAAGGGTGGACATTCGAACTTTTAGGCGGCTTACAGGTGCCGCGTTATGTCCACGGTACAATTTACTACAATCAGGCCCTCGGCACAAACTTATGAATCATGGTCATTACACGCGATACACGTTGGTATGATATTGAATCGCACAGTACAGATGATTGTATGACAACGACCCCCGTTCTGACTCAAACTTCAAAAAGCCTCAGGCGGAGAGCCTCGTCCTGCACTTAATCGCCACTGGCAAATCGCTAATCTCATGATTGTCAAGCAACAAGCTGATGGCCCAACGATCAATCGATTAAGTAAAGGGGCCTTCCGAGAGATGCAACTATGTAGAAGTCGAGCCGATGCGTAAACGGGCGCATAGCATGAGCCCGCAAAGTTCGTTCCGTAAATTAAGAAATTATTAAGGTTAAAAATTTTCATGATAGAGGGGTTACAACTGTATTGACCTTCTAAACTGGTCTGCCCAGGGGAAACTAGCCGAATGAAGAGAGTCGTTGACTAGTACATTTTCAAACAAAAGAGGCACCCAAGCTCAGCAGTCAGGTTCATAGAAACGATGATCACGGAACGGACTCACACCGCCCGCGTGGAGATTATCGTGTGCGCTCGACGCGCAAATCTCCGAAGGTGATACTTAGTATTAGGTTGTCCTTACTTTCTCAGAGACTCCGATCGAGCGCGAGCCTGCTCCGAGTCACAGTTCCTGCATTGAGAGCTGCAAGTAGGCGTAGACTGGCGTGGGGAAGTCCTACGGCTATCAAAGATATTGTGCACATTCAAGTTGCTAGCTTGTAGAAAGAACGTCGAACAGATTGACGGGAAACGATAGGATCGGGATCATGTATGTACTGACGGAGAAAGCTGTAAAGCGAAGATCAAGGTTGTCGACAACGTCAAACATTGACTTTGCAATGGTCAGATCTGATATCTTTGAAAGTCCGCGAGCGATCAGATCGATAACATTCGTGCCTAATTAATTATCACTATCTCCGTCCGTAGGTCTAAAGAGGCTCAAAGCCATGTGGTAATTGATAAAATAGAAACGAAGTTTGGAGCGTAAATAGTCCTGCATTGTCCGAGTAGCTGTCGCTGTCTGCTACATTATTCGCGTTGGTAGGTGAAATAAAGATAATCATATGTAGCATCGTCCATGTTCTGTGTAGTAGCATCATCCATGTTTTGTCCAGTATACATGTTGTGTACTATACTTGACGAAGAAGGCATATGTGGATGGATCGGCATCGTTTGGTGGCCATGGTTTACTAACCAACTCTCAGCAGGAACATGTGACACTGGTCTGTGATCAACAAGGTCCTCCGGGATTCAGCAATACTTAACTCACCTGCAGGATCAAAGGCAGTATGTTGCGTGGAAGAGACGGCATTAGAAGTCAGAGCCGCCTGCTCCGCAAGAAGGCAACGGTACTCTATGTCAAGCTGTCTAATGATCTCAACAGCTACTCTCGAGTCAGCAAATTCTTCATTCTCGAGAGTTTAATCTACTGACCTTTCATCAAAATATCGTGTCTTGTGTGGGGAGTCTCCTGAGTTGTTTCTTGGATGGCCTGTTTCAGTTGTGAAAAGTCTTCCGCCTCGGTCGAACGGTAGAGCCGCTGCAAGAACTTTTTCCGACTCCTGCCAGTGTGTGTTTGTCTCCCGTCACTGCCAGGTGTAGACATGCTTCGCAGGAGAAGTGGAGGACTGCTCGGCACTCTACTCGTTCCAACTTAGCTTAGTACTTATAGTATGCGAGGCTTTTCACGGCATGGTGCATCAGCATCAAGTAACGCTATTATCGATAGTCTATTTTGGTCATTTGCAAGCTTTCAGCCGCATCTACTTAATCTTTTATCTTTCCAACCTGACCATGATCAGCTGATCAAGCGGTTGACGCATGGCGAACACCAAGATTAAGATGGGCCCATCGGGGGATAGAGTTCAAGCCAATGGGTTTGAAAACTCACAGCCTTTTTGCGGCAGAGTCATACTTATAGACGCGCATACAGACGCTCGTTTCAGCTCCGCCGATCCGAGCGCCAAAGCTAAGATAAATACGATCTTTCGAGCACTAGTACTTCCAATTCCAATGATGGTTATCTCGGGTGTTAGGATTGATCTGTTTTCAGTCAGGGTAACTGAGAAAATCAATATTTTGAGAGGAAGAGGGAAAGTACACACATCGCTGGTACTGTACTAGTGAATCACAGGGATTGCGGTCAGGTGACACGGATCCTCCTGTCCATGACGAGTGCTTGCCCGCAGCAGAACCATATATGTAACTCGCAGTATACCATTGGACCTTCATAATGAAATACGAGAGAGGCATTGCCTTGCGAGGCTATGTGGAAGCTCGGTCGGGTGTACGAATGCCACGTCCGGGATGCACTGCCACCACCGTTGTCCACCAACTATAGCTTAGGAATCCCCGGCAACTACTGTACACAGTTCGTTCAGAGTGCTTAGGCGATGAATTGCACTTCTGCTGCGCAGGAAGTTTGGTGCTGCTACCCATTTATCTATCAGGAAGGCAGCTGTGAAAAATGGCATTGACCTGCGCACAAGCATAAAATTTATCGTACATCAGACAAATAGACACAATAAAGCAAGGCGGGACCCGCGAATCACATTCTGTACCGTGAATTTACGTGTTTTGAGGGTGTGAAGATGCACCACATTGGTTATGGTAGCAGTGCAGGTATATTTTCGGTTTAGCAAAGACGGAATTCCTATCTTATCGTTGCTTAAAGTAGAGGTCAACAGGGCGACGGAAACCTAGCGATTCATTAAGACTCAGCCATCCATTACTGAGTGCAGCTTACCGCCGTCGCCAGTGATCCCAAGGCGCTGACCATGACAAAATCCGAGTTCCTTCCAGTAGCTCCCCGAAACCATCTGGGCGTAGCTGAAGATGCTTTGCATTTTCTTTGAGCGTCTCGCTCATCCTTCGAGCCTTAGGAGTAAGAGTCCCAAGGTTGCGGCTCAAGGACGAAAACACCGCCCGTTTTTAGACATTGATGAACTCGATGGAAAAAATCTTTCAGTCCTTCGTCCTTGTTATTTAAATGAATCCATTTTGATATAGAAAACCTATCACATCGGTATATGACTGGGCTCCTCAAGAACAGCCACGACACGTACCCTAAAATGATGTCGTATTGATTGTTATCTTCTGGTATATTGTCCATCACCCAATTGGCTGTTCGGAAGGTGACGTTGTGCGGGAAATCACCGCATCCTCTGTCTGGTATGGGCAATGGACCATAGCTGTGTTCGCACGATGCAGGGAAATAATTGTGAACACTATTGTCCGTAGTGGACGCATCACCATGGAGTCGTTGTCGTTTGGGTGGAGGGTAACTCTGCTCAGAGATATTTCCACCTTCAGGAGACTGAAGACTCCAGACCGTGCGCCTTCTCCTCCAGGCAGCTCTTATAAGAGTATCATCGATATCAACTCCAATGACCTGACGTGCCCCCCGGAACTGTGCTGGTTTTGAACTAAACAAAGAGTATCCTTGAACCGCGCCAAGGGGTAGCCTACCTATTTCACAAGTCACCCAGCCTTCATTGCATCCAACATCCAAAACTCGCTTACCCACGAAGAATTCAGTGGCGAGCAAAGCCAATCGCGGATCTCGGGTGAATGGACGCTTAGAGTAATATCTATACATCCTCCATTAAAAGATGCAAAAGGAAAAGTTTGTTTCACGAGCCACTTACCCATGGTAATTTCCGAACACAGGGATTGCTTGGCCACCGTTTACTGGCATTATCACGATGGACTCGCAAGTTTTGTGTGCAGCGTGGTCTAGCGTGGTAGTTCGTACTTGTGCCGTAATTGGCTGTTCAGTCCTCGCCGAGGTCCGATCCGGTAACTGACTCCGAAAGTCTGAAACCAGATCGGAGCGCAGCACCGGAATATACGAACCACTTGAGGGCCGAGGCTCATGAGTTGTATGCAAAGGAGGCTGACGAAAGCTCGCAGTCGGATATTTTTGAATCGGAGGTCGTTCATCCCCGACCGAAGCCTGGCCTAGGGTGACTGTGTCCCAGACGCGCGTGATCACTAGCACTGATTCGGAAGATGCCTACGTACGTACTACAAAAACGTAAACACTGCACTTGGCAGAAACTGTCGAACAGCCATATTAAAAAAGGAACGATACTCTTCCGGTTCTGTTGAGTATGGTCTGCCTAGGGAGGGAACCTGAGGGGATCCGGGAGACTATCGAACAGCCTACTCGGTGCAAAATTTCTACGAAAGTTCATTTGAGTATCCTACTGGCAGCTGGTTGAATTCAGTACAGCCGAAGAGAAGGGCACCGAGCCATGGAATAACGCGACGCGGATATGTTGCAGATCATTTAGCAAGGCTTGAATCAATACTCAATGAGGATCATTTACGTTCGAGGATACCGTGACAATCAGGTGGACGCTAGCCTAAGCGTCTAGACTCATAGCGGGCGGTACTTTTTCTATCCTTGAAGGCAAGAATCAAGTTGCGAATCGCCCCATCAGTAGTGCAACTCCCTGCTTGGTTCTTCACTGTCAAGTGCACTTACTGCAGGCTTTCTCCACTTGATCAGGATCAGTTGTCACAATTCCAGTACAAATGCCAGGTCCTCGCGGTGGAAAGGCTAAGGCGAAAAAGCCAAAGCCAGTTGTTCACTCCGTAGCACGTGTCACATCAGATTTAGAGGAGTTCAGTGGGTTGGTAGACGACATCGAGGGAGCAGAAGGATGGAACACGAGAGTCAAGGTGTTGTGCGAGTTTCTTCAGTTACCGGGTGAGTACACAGCGTAATCTGTATATTTGTTGTGTCGTTTCGAGCCCTTCATCTATTTCCCAAAGATCTCTCCAGACGAAGTGGCTTGAAGAAAGTCCATGCCAACTTCAACGAAGTTTATCATAGCCTCGATGATGTCTACGTCGCGAATATAAGAAACGAGAAAATCACCGGGGCAATTATCGGCATCTACACCAAGATGTGTGCCGATGCCATCCTCCGTGACAAGCTCTTTCAGAAAGGTAGACGTTGACGACCTTTCGTTACAGCGAACTGCACTGACGATATTGCAGGTCTGGTGTCTAAGATCACCCCTCTGATCAAGATTCCTTCAACGCGTTATCTTGCTCTCCGCGCACTTACGACCGTGACGCATCATGGAGGTGTCGATGTTCGCAAAGAAATCTCGCTCGAGTCCCCTTCCCTACTCAAGACCATGCAAGAAAACCCAGATGATCTCAGGGCTGCAGAGATGGCAATTTCCACTATGGCTCATGCCATAGGCGCTGCGATCAACCAGGAAGACCCACCGGCTCCCAGATACCTCAAAGCGGCCAATGTTAACACTTTGATTCCAATCGTGATAGATTTCATGCGCAAGCCTGGCGCTAGCATCCAGCTCTTATATCATGGCCTAGAGTTGCTTACGCACCCTGTTATCCACTGTTGGAGTGAGTGCAAGGCTCATGCACCGCTTCAAAACTTGTTAGTTGCCTGCCTTCGGAGCGCGGACCTTACTGTGCGTGTCAGCGCGCTGGGTGGCCTGCTTCGCCTTGAAGCTTTGTCTTCGGAGGAGGATCAGAGACAGTTCGACCCCCACAAACTCATGGCAGCAATTGAACGTCGTTTCCCTGACCATCTCACTGACATCTTGATGGATTACGGTGCAATGCGCTGTGATACGTTTCTTACCATGGCCTCGACCGCAGACAACCAAAAGGCCATGATGCAGTGTGCCCAGGACAAGGATCTTTACAGTCTTGGTCTAAAGCTCGCGGAACTCATCACCCGAAACGAGTTCTCTATCGCAGAAGGCGGTTTCCAGATGCAAGATCCCCGTACGGGACAAATCGAAATCAACAGGGACATTGGTCTACCATTCATCATGTGGTCCGACGCGCTGCCGCATTGCGCTAGAGCCATCCGTGCAAAGGGTCGTGCAGGAGAGGAGGATCTCGCGGACATGATTACCTGCAAAGTTTTTCATTATCAGATCTCGTATCCCAGATGCCATCGAAGTTGCGAAGCGTGGTATCCAACGAAACCCCAAGTTCGCATACTTCTACTATGTGATCACGCTGGGTAAAGACCACTGCGAGGGCTTGCGTTCTGCGAAGAAAGGCTTGAAGTGCCCGAAGATGACGCCGTTCGTACGCTTTGGGCTCTTGCACCGTGCAGTCGAGCTCGCAGGCAATCTCGGTGTGTGCCGCATTCAGGAATCCAGTCCTGGAGATAGGAAATATGACGAGGGTGTTGCATTCCTTATGAGCGCAATGGAGGACGCAAAAGTTTACACTATGGAGGCCCCCCCAGACGCAAGACACATGAAGAACGTGATTTACTGGTACATCTGCCTCACGCTTGCCATCAAGGGACCAGAGACGCCGGCGGACCTTCAAGAGCTTCAGGTATGTCCGACTTTGGCTTTGAAGGACGTCTCCACAACCGAGCACAGGTCGCACTCAAGAAGTTGGGGCATGCCGAGGAGTTTAGTATACTCCTTGGCACTATTCCCCCGAAAACGCAGTTGCGTTTGACCCAGCAAAACATCGTCAAGCGCTACCCCACTGCCGTACGAGAGTGGAAGGATTTGGTGGCACGCTTTGATGAGGAGACGAAGGATGAACACACCATCTCCTTGGAGAAAGCTGAAGATGATCTCGCTGCATGGCTTGACGACCTCCATCTTGAGCAGGGAGAGACAGACGAGACTCGGCCACAGAGATGCTCGCATCCACGAGTCAGCCCAAATACCGTGGCATTGTACAGATGTTCGTGGTGCGGCAATCCCAGCGCTGCACTGAGGAAGTGCAGTGGTTGTGAGAAAGCAAGGTAACTAGTTCATTCATGTGTCATACCCGGACGATTAACAAGATATTTTCCTTCAGGTATTGCGATGGTGGGTGCCAAAAGTCCCATTGGTCGGAGCACAAGGTCACATGCAGGGCGTGAATGACCTGAAATATCCTTCACTCTTGCTATTTTCTTCTTTGCAATTCGATGCGGTTTCTCGCGCCTATCATTGCAACCCATCTTGTCCCTCTCAGATCTGCTGCCTCAGCATCAGGTAGTTCTGACCACTCTTGACGTTTCTGTATTACTACAGTAAAATATATATCCTACAACACCATACGACTACAATAACGACTTGTCCTCATGTCTCACGTCCTTCGCCTTTTGTTAGATTTGCTCGCTTCAAAGGCATCCTCTCTCCTGTCCTCGACTCGTTTCAGGAAGTCCATCTTTTCTAAGTAACCACCCCCACGCCGGTTAGCATCAAGCTCGTCTTTGACATCGCTCGACGTGACATGCGCTCGCCAGTCCATTGCAGATTTATCAAGAGTAGTAATCTTCTTAGCCTTCTGAGTCGGTATGTCTGCTAATGACGTGCGAGGCTTGCGAGGTCCCGGGGGTTTCCCTAGGGCAGATTTCTGTGCCAGAGGCTTCATGGGACCTGCTGACATTGATGCTGATAAACCCACGTCGGTGGTTGATGACGAAGACTCCGGTGCTGGTGCAGCAACAGAAGACGACTCTGGTGGCTGCCACCGTGGCCACTGTTTGGCATCTTCTGAATCCTCAGGGACTTCAACCACTTCTCTTCACATCACTAAGCATACTGGGATAAGAAAGGGAGTAGGTGTACATACACTATGTTCTTCCCTGCGAAAAGATAACGTTTTTCGATCTTCACGGGCTTCCTGGGCGGCTCTTGGACCTTCGGAGGTGGTGGCGAGGCGACAGACGCCTGGAAACTAGCCCATAGCGTGTCCCGCGCCCTATACAGCAGGGTAAGTCCATCTGAAATATATATAGGACAACTCAACAAACCCTTACTTTTTCTTCTCGGCTAGATCTTGCTCTTTCACTTCATTCGGCAGTGTAGTCTCATCATTCCCTTCTTCATCTCCAGAACTATCCGAGTCTGATGCATCGTGTAAACACAACAAGTTTTAGTAGGAAAATGTATCATCGCACCTTGGTGCTCGGGGGGCACGTAGTCTGGGTCATCGTCTTCGGAGTCGGATGTTGGGTCGCGTGGAGGAGACATTGTGTGGCGTTGTTTGAGTTTGTTGAATTTGAAGGTGTTGTATTTACTGATCGAAGTCTTGGTGACGTCTACGTATTTATAGTAATTTTGTACTATGTATATACGATATAACTGACTATCACCTTCAGACCAAGCGTCGGATCAGTACATCGACCAGCCGCGCTAACGCTATATCATTCAGGTCAGGCGTCGTTCGTCATATACATCCCGAGTTGTGATTACAAGTACATAAGTATGTCATGGTACAATTGTGAGAGCACGACTCCTTCAAGGCAATGGGAAATCACTGATAAAATTCCTGAATTTTTTAGTGCATGTGATGGCTTCCCTCCGATGGATTGGCGTGGAAAGTGCACGTCCTGAGCAGTGTTTCACTGCCGCAAGCACTTCTAGTGCATTTTTCAAAATACACACAGTAAGCTATGGATTACTGATCATCCTCTAGAATCATTGTGCGAAGGAAATATGAGCGTGCTAGCATCGTGATTTGTAACTCCGGGTCATTTCGCAACTCCGGGCCGGAGATAGTACATCCCGAGTTGTGATCACAAGTACATAAGTATGTCACACTGTACAATCATGAGAGCACGACTCCTTCACCCCATGTTTCAAATCCGTACAGCATCCGGGTGCCTTCTTAAGTGCAACAAGATTCGGGCGCTGCACCATTCAGTCCTTTTGTCAACCACCATCCAGCAAATTTCCATCGCACTTTGAAACATTACGAGACTTAGCCCGGCTACAAAAGAGTCAAATCTGACCTAGTGATCCTTCGAGTATACAAATCCTCCCTATGTTTTCGTTGTTTCATCGCATCTCACGAGCTGTATCACAATCAAGGTTCGTTAGACGCCTTCGCAGAATGAACAATCAGAGCCAAGCCATGCAAGCCCACGACCCCCAGAGCTTAACACCTCCCTCGATCATCTTCATCCCAGACTTAACTAATGCCATCACTCGACATCACCCATACCCCATTGACGGCGGCGCATATGGTAATATTTATCAATGTACATACCACGCACCAGAGGGTGATGTAAAGGTTAGCAAGGATGTCACAGTTCTTCCACGTTTCTGATCACTCACTCGCAGGTCGCCATCAAAGCAATTCGACCACTATCCACCAATGCTGCAGAGTTGACTGAGCTTTCTCAGATCCTTCGGAGAGAGCTGGGGATTTGGAAGAGGTTGGGACACCCCAATATCTTGAATCTCATAGGTACTGCACAGAAGTTTGGCCCGTTGGTGGCTTCGGTCGCTCCGTGGATGGTTGACGGCACTCTGACATCGTTCCTCAAGGAGAAGAGGGACACCCTCAAACTACGTGATCGTCTACGTTTGGTGAGAACTTCGAAGTACCTCAGTCTACATACTCGAGCTCATTTTTTGTTACCCAAGCTCCGTGACATCGCCGAGGGCCTCGACTATCGTGAGTGAACATATGTATGTAGATACCCAACAATAAATAATTGTTTCCCTCAGTCCATAGGTGTAGTTTCACTGCGGACGGAGGCAACTTTGGTCCAGTCGTTCACGGAGACCTTACTGGTGTAAGATCCTTCATTTGTCCGATTTCTTATGATAATGATGAATTGCAAGAGCAATGTCCTCATCAACAATGGATCGGCATGTCTTACAGATTTTGGCCTTTCTGGCACTTTGCAGACGCTGATCGGTATGTCGTATCTCGCTAAGACGAGCTGTCGTCCAGGAGCAGTGAGATGGGCGGCTCCTGAACTTGTTTCTGACGCCCAACCACCCGCTGCGGTAACCATTCAAAGCGACATTTACTCCTTTGGTAGCATCATGCTTCAAGTATGTGTATCTTCTTACTAACGTGTCTTTCTAACTTGTCCTGCAGGTTTTGACGGGAGACGTGCCTTGGTCCCACCAGCCCAGTGAGCTCGTAATCACGGTTCAAGTGTCTCAGGGGCACATTCCTCCTCGTCCCCCCGGTGATTGTGTCACAAATCGGTGCTGGGATTTTATCCTCCGCTGCTGGTCCATGACACCCAACAATCGGCCTTCTGCCGCAGAAGCACTTCAATTTGTTGTTAGCGAGCAGAGCCTAGCTTAACCCGCTGAAATCGAGCGGATGCCATCTGCTGCCAGACAAAGCTTTGGCACTGCACGGGTGCCTTGATCGAGTGTCAAAAGAACCGATCACGATTGTCGAGGAAGAGTCCAGACATAAGGTTATAGACGAAACATTTTATTTCTCCTTATCACGGGTTCTTACATATATAACCTGCTATGTGCTGTACAGATCCCTTAGCATTCTCCCAATCCATCGAAACTTTATTCTGGTGATACTGCGAACATATCCTTCAATTGGCTGAAAGTAAGGATTCTGAGTAGACTGGTTTGATGTAACATGAACATCGTGATTGAACTAGCTATATATTCGTGGGCCATGAATGAAGAACAGTTAGTTAAGAACAAGCTATTAGCATCGAGCTTTCTCCAGGATCCTAAAAACTAACTAACACAAACGTTGCAGAATCCGTCCGTCTCGCTGAACCACTTCGATTGACTGCACAATACGTAGTCAAAACTCGATACAACGATACAAAATCATACTATCACTACGCATAGGACCGGCCCGCCTAGCAATCCTCATTTGCCTTTCCCTATAATGACGAGGTTACGAGTTAGGAAAAAGGCGACAGGCCAGTTACTCACCTTCACCCCCTGCGCCTCCTTTTGCGAGCGTCATGCCCTCTGCGAGAGACAGGGGCTTCTCACGTTTGCAGATCTCGATGTATGCAGAGAGAAGGAGCAGATGTTGGGTCGCGTGGAGGAGACATTGTGTGGCGTTGTTTGATCTTGTTGAATGGTTTACTGATCGAAATGATGTCTAGGTGGCCATACTATACTACTTATTTATACTACGGATATTACCGACTGACTCCTGATCGAAGTCTTGGTGACGTACTACTTAGTATTTTATACTACGATATTACAGGATATTACTAACTATCACCGTGCTTGCACAGACCAAGCATCAGCGCTCAGCGTTGTTTAGTACATTGACCAGGCGCGCTAGCGCTATATCATTCGGGTCAGGCGTCGTTCGTCATATACATCCCGAGTTGCGATTACAAGTACACAAGTATATGTCACGGTACAACCGTAAGAGCACGACTCCTTCACCCCATATTCGAACCGCAATATGTCTAATTGTCGCGCCCTAGAACTTCGTCGGGAATTGGTTGGGAACGAGCCGATGCCGGTATAAGCATACTCGTATAGCATCCTCGTGTCCTCTTGAGTGCAACCGGATGGGCGCTAGACCATTCAGTAATTTCCCATCGTCCGTTTAAAATATCACAGCACTTTAGCCTGACCACAAAGAATCAAATCTGACGGTGATCCTTCGAATATACAAATCCTCCCCATGTTTTCGTTGTTCCATTGCATCTCACAAGCTGTATCACAATCAATCTCCTTTAGACGCCCTCGCAGAATGAACGATCAGAGCCATGCTATGCAAACCCACGACCCCCAGAGCTTAACACCTCCCTCGATCATCTCCATCCCAGACTTAACTGATGTCATCATTCGACATCAATCATACCCCACTGACGGCGGTGCATACGGCGATATCTATCGATGTACATACCACACACCAGAGGGGGATGTAGAGGTTAGTAAGGATGTCACAGTTCTTCCATGTTTCTGATCACTCATCCGCAGGTCGCCGTCAAAGCAATTCGACCACTATTCACCAATGCTGCAGAGTTGGCTAAAATTTCTGAGATTTTTCGGAGAGAGTTCGGGATTTGGAAGAGGTTGGAACACCCTAAAATCTTGAATCTCATAGGTACTACACAGAACTTTGGCCCGTTGGTGGCTTCGGTCGCTCCGTGGATGGTCAACGGCACTCTGACGTTGTTCCTCAAGAAGAAGAACACTCTCAAACTACGTGATCGTCTACGTTTGGTGAGAACTTCAAGTACTCAGTCTACATACTCGAACTCATTTTCTCTTACCCAAGCTCCGTGACATCGCCGAGGGCCTCGACTATCGTGAGTGAACACATGCATGCAGATACCCAACAACAAATAATTGTTTCCCTCAGTCCATAACGGACACCCGTACTTGAGTCCAGTCGTTCACGGAGACCTCACTGGTGTAAGATCCTTCATTTATTCCATTTCTCATGATAATGATCAATTGCAAGAACAATGTCCTCATCAACAATAATGGATCGGCATGTCTTACAGATTTTGGCCTTTCTGGCACTTTGAGCGAGCTGGCCGGCATGACGTATCTCATTAAGACCAGCTGTCGTCCAGGAGCACTGAGATGGACAGCTCCTGAATTTTTTTCTGGCGACGAATCAGCCGCTGTGGTCACGACTCAAAGTGACATTTACTCCTTTGGTAGCATCATGCTTCAAGTAGGCGTATCTTCTTACTAACATGTCGTTTTGCTAACATGTCTTTCCAACTTGTCCTGCAGGTTTTGACGGGAGACGTGCCTTGGTCTTACCTGAAAAATGACGGCGCAATCACGCTTCACTTGTCTCAGGGGATCATTCATCGTCGCCCCCCCAGTCGTTATGTCACAGATCGGTGCTGGGATTTTATCCTCCGCTGTTGGTCTACGACACCCAACGATCGGCCTTCTGCCGCAGAAGCACTTCAATTTGTTGTTAGCGAGCAGAGCCTAGCTTAACCCGCTGCAATCGAGTGGATGATGCCATTTGCTGCCAGACAAAGCTTTGGCACTGTACGGTTGCCTTGATCAAGTGGCAAAGGAACCGATCACGATTGCCGACGAAGAGTCCAGACCTAAGGTTATAGACGAAATATTTTATTTCTCCTCATCACTGGTTCTTACACATATAACTTGCTATGTGCTGTACATATCCCTTAGCATTTGGAAACAAGTTGTGGCCAACGACGAGAAACACTGAAGAAACACACGAAACAAAACAGAACCCCTTCTGGATTGCGAGACGACGAGGGTAAGGTACAAAGCTAAGGAAAAGACGTGCCTACGATCCGATGAACCATATGTCATGTGTACGTAAGCCACCAGGCTTACAGCATTCTCCCAATCCACAGAAACTTTATTCTGGTGATACTGCGAAAATGTCCTTCAATTGGCTGAAAGTAAGGATTCTGAGTAGACTGGTTTGATACTGTAGTACATGCTCAGATGGTCATAGAACAGATCTCGCTAATTCTAAGCTGAAGCAGTAACGAGCACAAATAATGTGTTCTGACCTGAAATCATGTGATGCGCTGTGTATGAACAGAATATATATTACAGTAACATGAACATCGTGATTGAACCAACCATATATTCGTAGGCCATGAGTGAAGAACAGTTAGTTAAGAACAAGCTATTAGCATCGAGCTTTCTCCAGGATTCTAAAAACTAACTAACACAGACGTTGCAGAATCCGTCCATCTCGCTGAACCACTTCGATTGACTGCACGATACGTAGTCAAAACTTGATACAACGATACAAAATCATACTGTCACTACGCATAGGACCGGCCCGCCTAGCAATCCTCATTTGCCTTTCCCTATAATGACGAGGTCACGAGTTAGGAAAAAGGCGATAGGCCAGTTACTCACCTTTACCCCCTGCGCCTCCTTTTGCGCCTCCTTTGGCATCAGCGGCAGCCCCGGACGAAGTTTGTTGGGTAGACGCCCCATTCGGTTCTGGCGTCAACGGTTTCTCATCTTTAGGCGGAGCTTGAGGCGTCTTATTATCCTTGGTTGCCGAACCATCAGCTGGAAGTGGCTCTGTAGTGCCTGTAGATACGTGCAAGGGATCTTGTGGTTTGTGGGACGCCGGGTCGGAACCATTCAAGCCAGAACCATTTAAGCCAGAGGTCATATCCCCATTGGCTTTCTGAGCAGTGGAGCCATTTGGAGGGGACATCCCGCCGAAACCGCCGAAACTGCCGAACATCCCAGATGATTTTCTAGAGTGTTGACTCGGCGACATTGGTCTCGGCGGAACGCCAAACACCTCCCGCACCATATCTTCCATCTGTGCATCCTCAAAATCTTCGAACGTGGGCGAACGAATGCCGCTCTCCGCAGCTTGCTGCCGAGCACGCTCACGTGCGTCCGCGATGCGGAGGACGGTTTCCATTCCGAGCGTCATGCCCTCTGCGAGAGACAGGGGCTTCTCACGTTTGCAGATCTCGATGTATGCAGGGAGAAGGAGTATTTTGTTGATCTTATATTCGTGATACGCCACGATCTTCTCGATCGGCTCCATGTCGATTTTCTCGAGCTCGCGAATAGCGAGGTCTTTGACGTTGCAGAAGCTCCATCGATGAGCGAGGTTGAGGATGCTCAACCATGTCTCGGTGGGTGCATCGTAAGGCGAATATATGCTAGAATCACATGTGAGTAAGAACAGTAATTCAGAGATGGCACATACGGGTTGTAGAACACCCAGAGGAAGCGCTCAAAGTCTTCGTTTTTCACGTCCTCGAGGTTAAAAGGAGCAGCATCGGCTGGGCCATGTTCATCGGGAGACTCTCCTATCATCTGGCGCCATACTAGCGATTCACGATAGAAGAAATGACTGTGTACACGGTAGTGATAATTCCCGATCTGAAGCGTACGCCCTATATCAGAATGAACGGACCAAGGAACGCTCTGGGACTCACCAACACATTCAGGTCCCCACCACGCAAGTAATAATCCTTGTGATGGATTACACGACCCACGCGATCCTGCGAGGAGTTCATGATGGAAGTTGGAAGAAGGGGGAATGATGCTCAAAGTTGAGGGGGGTCACCGAGATATACGCTCTGAGTTTAATTCCAGCGCGATCAGATCATCACACGCGTCTTTCATGATGTGTGTTGTCCCCTGCGCCCTTCTATTCAGTCACCAGCATGCTTTGCGTGAGGCGTGCCGGGGCACAATCGTGGCTATTCCAGTTCGTAGGTATCGTACAAACATGTCAGTGAAGGTGTTTGTGTTACTGCCTGTGACGAAGGTCTTGAAGACCAACATTCACGATCCTGGTTTTGTACTAATCAGTGCCGACCAATGTCCACCAGAGGCTCGGCAAACTGACTATTTCGGAATAAGTGTTGTGCCATCCAGTCGCCGCAGGGGCTTTTAGAATACCTAAATTACAACCACGTTCCCATCAAGAATGCAGAGGGTACGGGAGATCCACTTGCCTCGAGGTAGATAGGGGCATGGGACTTAGGTCCGCAGTATATGCTCAGGCGCCTATCAAAGCACATGAAGCACTTTACGAGAGGCGGCCGACCTATAGCTATGCTTGCACGCTGGCGAAGCTGGGCCGGAAACCGGAAGGCGATGATATAGAAAGATATCGGTATGCGATGCTTGCGAGCCATTCTCCATTTGTTAATTTGCGAAACTTTCAATTGTCCAGACCATGACTCGATTCCGTCAAACTTGAACGTTTGAACAGCATCGCACAGCCTGCAGCCAAGAAGCCAAGACGCTTTTGTGGGTCCAGGGTTGGCCGGGGCCAACGTGGTAATCTCTGCAATCGATCAGCGCTGATCAGCATGAAGCATGTCTACTTATTGCGCTCCCCCAATCAGTCATCCCACAGCCATCGCTACAGAAAGTTCTGACTTGGCGTATTCAGAGCAGTGGGCTGCGATCGAGTCCGAATGTTCACCATTTGAAATGGCAGATACAGTTCAGTGCGTTGCTCACTATCGGAGTTCAACGAGTCGTGTTTCCAAGTATCTTATACATGATATTTGCACTATTCCTGAGCCCTAATCACCCCCTAACTCTGACAACCTTCCGTTTACCTTTTTGAACTCCCGGCTGGCCAGGAGCAGCTCCTGCACCCGACTCCTGTGCACTCATGCCAGCTTTAACCGTCTCGATGAGCATTCCCGTGGGTATGGCTGGTGAATAAGGAGATACGCGGCTTGCCAGAGCTGGCAGAGGTTCTGGAGGTGTGGGCAAGCGCTGTTGGCTTGACTTGGACAGCTGTACGGCTACACCAGAACCTGCTTTGGACTTCTGTTTGCCTTTCGTAGACGTAGGAAGCTTGATCGCTGGCGGAGCGGTGGAAACTGAAGGCGGTGTCAGTACGTACGGTGGGCGGGGAATATTATCTTGTTTTATCCGCTGGATCTGGAAGGATATCATCTCCAGCAGCTGTTTCTCTGAGCATAATTAAGTTGTTAGAGGGAATTAAGTGTCGCAAAATGAATTCACGCACTCGTTTTGATCGCGGGGTTCATCAACCGCCCGTCTTTCTTCCATTGCACGCGCACACGACCAGGGTTTTCCCAGTCCCTGGGATGCGACTTCTGCACTTCGTGCAATGTTCCTAATCCAAGCCGACTGGTTGCATCGGCGATATCCTTGCTTAAAGGCCACCAAACGCTCTTTTCGCGCGCTATCCGGCGTTCACCAGTCCCATATGGCCGTTTCGCGTCAATATAGATCGGGTAGATGCACGTCCATCTAGTACATTCTTAGGCTACATTCGAAAAAAGCACAGATGCATGAACAACGTACTTCTTATAAGGCGTGATGTCAGTGACAGTATTGGATGGTGAACCTTGTGATTGACCAGACGAGGTTGGAGCGTGAGATGGGGCTTGTGATTGTGATGCTTGGCCTGGTGTAGACATGTCGTCTGATTCAGAATCACTGTCCTCTTCGTCGGAACGCCCTATCTCTTCGAGTAGGGGCCCACGCGGCCCAGTATTGAGGGGACGCGATGGGAGCGGGAGGTCAGTGTCATCGTCAAATTCTTCGATCACAGCGGTACGACGAGACATATTTAACTTATCCTAACAATCAGTTTGACTTCTGGGGAAATAAATAATGGTTTAGAAGATTCACTTACGGCGTCGACGAGGTATGAGGCAAGCAAGAGAGGTTTTCTCACGCCCGCTTACATTCATGCTTTCACGATGTCACCTACGACGGCGGCGAGTATAGTCATGAAACTGATTTTGTAGGTATTTCTTAGCACCAATATCATGGTCTATCTAACTTGTGAATTGAATTGCAGATTTATGCTTTTATGCGTCGTGAATATTATTCATGCTCAGCGTGTTGACCCGAGTCTCAACCTATCAGTCACTTGCCGCCCATTTGGCGCATGCGAGCCATGCCCACAAGACGCTGTATGTTTTCTGACATATGTGCGTCTGCGGAGAACTGATAGACTAGCAGCTTCATGAACCCTTCTGCCATCCATTCGGCAACCGTCAACTCATGCACTGTTCGAACACGACCTCCACCCCGCCTCCAACGATACCCGCCGATCACCCACACCCCACATCTACACCCTCAGCAGCCTCAGGAGCTCTCGGGGAGACTCCTGCGTGGCAGCCTTGCGGCCGCATTCCCACACAAGAGCGTGCTGATTTTTACGAATTCGTGGCGTGCAACCTGTTTTTCGCTGCTGTTGCCATAGGTGTATCCCTACTTCGCTCTCGACGAATAGAAGCGCATCAAGCCAGACGTCTGGCTGTACGAATCGGACTTGTTAGAGGTGGTGGATAGGATCTTGGTTGAGACTTCGCCTCTGGCCTGTTCGGTTTCATGTTCGAGCCGACAGAAGGCCAGACACAACGTTCGTTATGAACTCGGACGGCGAACGTGTTGATCGCTGCAGGTAGCTGAGAGGACAGGGTACAATACAGTCAGACGTGCGGAGTCCTCGCGGTCGAGCTCCTTTTTTGTCTGTATCTTTGGCAACATGTTCGCAATGCGTCACGGGATTTCATCTGTTATATGATGGAGATTGAATGATGCTGGCGATTGGTGGGCAGTAGCGGTCTTCTCACTCACCGTTCGTACTGAAGCCTGTCGTTCAGGGCTTGTGTTCGTCTCGTGTTGCATAATTTTTGTGTACATCGAACGATAGCTCATGTGAACTTGATATAGAGAATTATATCCCTGACTCTTACAAAGTGTGGATGAAGGAGTCAATATTGCGAAGCGTACCCAACAGAGATGAAATATGTTGATAAGCTGAAATAACTCAAGTGTTGTATTATGGTATAAGACAACCTGCCCTCATAGGCTGCAGTGACCGATTGCTCCATTCATTCAATTCAAAGCGATGAGACCTGCCTCAACTCTGCGACTTCACACGAAAACCTCCTACACTAATTTCCGCCTGTGAATGCGATCTATTGATATTGCCATCATGATCGATGTGGAAAGATTTGAGAAACTGCATTAGTAGTGATCACTGATAATACATGTTAGTATTTCAACGGACTGATCTCAGAGGACACGCTCCAAAGTGATCACGCCATGGTCCCAAGGCTCAAGCGTTGCCGTTGCCCCTTGGTATAATACGGACCTTCGCAGAGACATGACCCCGGTGACCGACGAATTCCAGGCTGATCATTGACCATTGAAATGTTGCTCAGCGCATCTGATACCCTGGTGAATGATGATTTTTTCAGAGATGTGATCGAACCAGGTGTGCACCACGAACCTTAGACCACTCGATTATATGGAGGTGATCAGCTTCTCATGCTGGAAAGACAACAATGCTCATTGCACCCGCGAAGAAGCTTGGAGCCCCGGCGCATTCATCTGCCATTAGATAGTAGATGGGCACTGTGCCATGTCCTGATATGATCACGGCAAGCGTTGATTAATCCAGTGCTGGTACTAGTTTTGTGCAACGGTTACCTGGCATTAGTCTGATTAGTGTTTAAGTTTTTGCTAATCGATCAAGGATCCCACCAAGTCAACAACTTTACACCAATGAACGAACAATGTCTAGAAGTGTGAGAAAGGTATTGATCCAAGCGCCCATGAATGTGACCACAGGTGGCATGTGCAACAAAAGAAGAACAAAAGTGCGTGTAACAATTGTGGCCGCGGCATTGATCTGTACATGGGCAATTCAGTTTACACGTTGTTCGCTTCAGATACAAAAGGCCTGTCTACCTGCCCATTCGTTTCTGTACTCTCCCGTTTGATTTCTAACTACCAGGCTTGGTCCTGATTACAATCATTGACTGATTTTCTACGAACAACTCCCGCTCTCCTTTACTCGCTGTCGACGTCCATCTTTTACTTTTGATCATCATGAAATTCACTCTTCCGATAGCTATTTCGTTGCTGGCGCTGCCGTTTGCAGCTGCCGCCCCAACTTGTTCTCTCAAATCATCAGCTTCAGTCAGTGCCACTACACCCACCTCGACTGCTACCCCCACGGGGTCTACTTCTACGCCTGCCAACCCTGGTAATGGCTCTGTCGCAATGGCTTGGTTTGCTAACTGGCATACCGACTACACGGTCGCCAACATTGCTTGGACAGGCTTCAACAGGATGGCTTACTTCGGGTAAATTCACCCCTGATAATGCGTGTACTACGTTTCTCACTTTGGTTTACAGAGGTATCACCTCTGCTGATGGTACTGCTATCATCACCGTCAGTGACAGCAGCCCTAGCGGCCCCACCACCTTCGTTGCTGCCGCAAAGCAAAATGTATGATTATATTGTTTATCGTTGTCAATTGTTGGCTTACCAGACAACAGAACGTTTTCCCTGTGTTGACTATCGGTGGTTGGGATGGATCAATATACTTCTCATCGTCTATCTCCACCTCAAGCAACCGTACGACTTTCGTCAACTCCGTCGTCAGCTTGGTAAACAAGTACGGCTTCCAAGGTGTCGAGTTTGAGTATGTGTATTTAATTTGACATGATTATTCTTGCCGTTGACAATTTTTTTAACAGCTGGGAATACCCGGGAAGCACAAACGGTCTTTCTTGCAATACAGAATCACCTCAGGATACCGCCAATCTCCTGACCATGCTCCAAGAACTCAAGCAGCAGATGCCGAATGTGTCGCTCTCTGCTGCTACTCCCGTCAGGCCATGGAATGATGCTACCGGGGTCCCTTCGACTGACCTGACCAGCTTTGCCCAGGTTTTGGATTACATTGGTGAGCAGACTTGTTGATGTTCATGATGACAGCGGTTAATATTCGTTGTAGAGATTATGAACTACGACGTTTACGGCGACACTTTCAGCAAGGTTGTGGGCCCCAACGCTCCTTTAGATGACTCCTGTGCTCCAGCTTCTGAGCAAACTGGCTCTGCCACTTCCGCTGTCAAGCTCTGGACTGCGGCAGGGTTCTCTGCCAAGCAGATCCTCCTTGGTGTGCCCAGCTACGGACACGGCTACTCCATCAGCTCTTCTGTAGCTATCCAGAGCAACGCGTTGGTCTCATTCCCCAGCTTTAATACCAACAACTTCGTCCTTGGTGACAGCTGGGATGCTGCCGGTCCTGACGCTTGCGGTATCAACCAACCTGCTTCTGGTGACTTCAACTTCTGGGGCCTCATTGCTGGCGGTTTCTTGAACCAGGACGGCAGCGTCGCCTCCGGGATGACTGGCCGCTTCGATAACTGCAGCCAGACAGTGCGTATCATTTGTCCGTCATTTTTTTTCAACGGTCTGACTTTTGTCTATTAGCCATATGTCTACAACCCCAACACGCAAGTCATGGTCGCTTACGATAACGCTCAATCCTTCAGTACGTATTTTCCACTTCATCAGTCGAATTTTAGCTAATCTTCCTACAGCCGCAAAGGGCAACTTCATCAAACAGGCTGGTCTGGGTGGTTTCGCCCTGTGGGAGATGGGTGGCGACTACAACAACATTCTTTTGAACGCTATCAACGGCGCTATCACTGGCTCGTCATGATCATGATCCTCACTTCGCGATGATTGATTCATCTGCATCTCACGCTCACGTCACATACTTATCGCACACCATATATTGTACAGCACTGCGCGGTCGATCCGCTCTGGTTTAGAGTTCTTTTGATTGCCCGCTGGAATCGGGGTCATCTGGAATCGCATGTTACGGGCTTATGTTCGCATTTGTATCACTTGCTCGGCATGCATAATTTGTTGTACTTGGTGTATCTTAATTACTCATCTGCTATGGAACAACTATGGAAGTCAATGTTATCACTGAACGGATTGAGATGTTTATTCAAGTTTATGAAACGATCATAACGTTGGCCTTTTCCTCCTGATGATCCAAGTTGAGCTGAGAGAGGTCCGCGAGGGTGGCGGTCATGGAGCGAGATATCGTTACGCAGGGACAGAATAACGTGCCCTGCGGTCCTTTCACCGTCAGCCAACCCAATACACGACTTGGAGAGTCGCACAAAGAGCAGCTCAGCACAGTGTGTTCTTTGGTAATGAAAAAGCAATGACTGTCTTCCTTCTAGTATTTGGTCTGCCCAGGGGAGACTAGTGACCGTCCATCCAATCTCGAGCAGCTTGCAATCTCCATCGCTGCCCAGCTCATTGCTGTCTAACACACTCACTGGACAGCCCGACGCACCGTGACGCTACATCGTCGATTTACGACTTAACCCGGCAACAAAAGAGCCAAATAAGTTACAGTGACCCTTCGAGTCTTCGTACGTCGTCCCTCGAGATACAAATCCATCACATGATTTCTAACTATATCAGCACCTCCCACAGTCTCCGTCCGTTGGTCCATTCCGAATAACAATTTGTGTCACAATTTACACTCAATCTTTGTCGATGGCTGACCAATGTCAGTATATCCTTCCCTTATACCCTCTCTCGGCTGTCTGACCTCGTCAACAGTTCAAGGTGATGCTCGATCATCTGAAGGAATTTGGGAGAAGTTATCCCAGATTGCCATTATGGGTGCTGCGTATGATTCCCGTGAACGCCAGCCCCATCCCAAATGTCTGCAAGGGACTAGGGTGGTCCTTCTCAACCATATCTACGAATTATCAGACAACCGAGAACAGGGGAGTCGACTCATTTGGTTGCACGGCACGGCGGGCGTCGGAAAGTCCGCTGTTGCGTTCACCGTAGCTGAAAGGATGAGAGGCCTGACAATGACGGGGCAGAAGACTAAAGAAAAGCGCCTTGCGGGATCCTTCTTTTTCTCGCGCAGGCACACGAAACGCTGCACGACTGGATATTTTTTTGCGACGCTTGCCTACCAGCTCGCCAGGAATTTTCCTAGTGTTCGCGAGGAAGTGATCAGAGCTATTCGCGAGGATCCTGCAGTCCTAGACCCTGATGCGTCTCTTCACGACCAGATGGAGGCGCTCTTTCTCTCACCTCTCCGGAGACTTCGACTCAGACTACGCGACTGTCCGCCCTTGGCGTTTGTAGTGGATGCCCTTGATGAATGCATATCCAAAACCGAGGTCGCGGATCTCATCTCCCTACTCGGCCAAGCTCTCCATGATCCTGATTTGCCCGTCATTGACATCCTGCTCACGAGTCGCTCGGAATCGCATATCAGTGAAGCCATTCAAGAAGAATCGGTGCGCCCGCTGGTATGCGAGATACCAGTGAAAATTTCTGGAGAAGGCGTTGCTACCACCATCTCGTTAGACGGCGTAGATGTTGACAACGACATCTATATCTTTCTAGACCATTCATTCACCAAACTGCACAATCGCTGTTCCAAGTTCCCGCGGCCAACGAAAGATGAACTTGCGCGGCTGGCGAGCCGAGCGGGCAGACGTTTTATCGTGGCGTCTACAATGATGAAGTTTATTGATGACGGACACAATGATCCTCGCGGTCGGCTTCAGCTCATGCTAGAACTAACGAGTAAACTTCTACCAGGAACAGAGGTGTACAAGTTATACAACTGCATCCTCTCGACATGTAGCGACCCAGAACGGGCATACCAGCACTTGTCCGTCGTTGCTGCTCTTGCAGATCCTCTACCGATGTCACAAATCTCAGAACTTCTTGGACCTGGGCAGGGCAGGGATGTCGAGGCAGCACTGGTACAGCTACGGTCTGTAATGGAGATTCCTACAGACAACAGTCTCCCTGTGACAATCTACCATTCCTCCATTCGTGATTATATTTCCGACCCCTCAAATTGCAGCCTCCCTCAAGTACGACATATCACACCACCCCACTCCGTACTCGCTCTGTCTTCGTTTCACTTGATGATACAAGATATTCTAGAAAGCACAGCTCTTCTTGATGCGCTATCAGAACTGAAGAAGCAGAGCCAAGCTATGCAAGCTCACGACCCTCAGAGCTTAAAAGACTCATTAGCCTTCATCGTCCAACCACCGGAGCCATTGCATATTCTTATGGGTCTGTTGTGGCTTCGGGGAGATCGCAGTGCAGACTTACACTCCTGGCTAACGACCCTGGATGGGTCTGCCTGGCTGCAGACAAAAACAGGGAATGACTGGCTGTTCACCCGAGAAGGATTCACCTGGCTGCAGACACAAGAGGGGCTGGACTGGGAGGAGGCCTGGGTGCAATCGTTGCAGCGCATTCAGGCTCAAGACGCGGGAAAGCGGGAGTCGCTCAAGCCCCATAACAAGAGAAGTTTTCTGGAGAGCCTGAGTGGGGGACAGCAGGAGGAGACTCAGAACAAGCGACGGTTTCTGGAGAATGAAAGAGAGAGAGGGCAGGTTGGGGACGACAGCAGGCCACAGTGGATGAAGACCAAGGCCGGACAAGAATGGTTGCAGATGTCAGGCATGGTTCAGATCAAAGGCCGGTTTTGGAGCAGGCCTGCGCGAGATTGGTTGCAGACCGATGGTGGACGAGAATGGTTGCAGACCGATGGAGGGCGAGAATGGTTGCAGATGTATGGCGATTCCGGGAAAGCATGGTTGCGGACCGATGGCGGGCGAAAATGGTTGCGGACCGATGGCGGGCGAGAATGGTTGCGGACCGAGGGTGGGCAAGGGCAAGACTGGTTGCAGACCCTTGCAGGGCAAGGATGGTTAGAGACCCATGCCGGGCAAGAATGGTTGCAAACCGAGGGCGGGCAAGACTGGTTGCAGACCAGGAGTGGACGACAATGGCTAACCCTGGGCGAGCATGAGTGGCTGCCAACCCTGGGCGGGCAACAGTGGCTGCTAACCCTGGGCGGACATCAGTGGCTGCCAACCCTGGGCGGGCAACAGTGGCTGCAGACCCAGGATGGGCGACAGTGGCTGCAGACTCAGAGCGGACGAGAGTGGCTGCAGACTCAAAGTGGGCGAGAGTGGCTGCAGACGGCTAATGGTCAAGCATGGCAGTTGACTCCTGCGGCTGCTCTCTGGGTATCGATGGAAGAGTTCACGGCCACATTCGAATCAATCAGCGATTACACAATTGTCCCAGAACTACCAACCTTCGAAGTCATTCAGCATTTTCAGAGCTTGCCTGATTTTTTGATGTTTCCGGTGTTCCTGGCATTAAGGCACCAGGATCATCATCAGTCTTCCACCTCCACATTACCACAAGGTCGTTATCCACCAGTTATTCATGTTATGAAGGCCTTTTCAAATTTCGCAAACGACGCACGTCAATCATCTTCCGATGCTCTCAAGTACGCATGTCACAACTGGGCCTTTCACCTTTCGCGAGCTCCGAATCCATGGGATGACACACTTAACCACATATTCAAGTCTTTCTGGGATCGTAATCTCCTCTCCTGGCTCGAAAGGCAGTGGTGTCTGAAGGGTCTGCGGTCTTGCCTCATAATTTTATCCGAAGGGCAGAAACTTGCACAGGTGTGTATTTCTAATCATTCTCGTGACTCAGCGCCTGACCTATTCTATAGGAACATCTCCATGCTCCAAGGTCATCTCAGACAATTCGAAGCCGTCACTTTTAAGCAAGATGTCACTGATTCATTATTGCTGTGTTTTGTGTTTTTCACGTTACTCTGTTATTTACTGCAATCTCGCAAAACAATCCTATTGTGCTATGGTTCCAGCGGATTCTGGTACATGTCTGGATCATTCGATAACGGCATTGCTTTCATCAGGCTCTAATTTGCATGTTTGAAGGGCGCATGCGAACAAACGGTCGTTTGACATCGACAGTTTCTGACTTTCCTTCCAGCCCCTCTATCGAGTATGAGTCGATGTTTGATCGCGACATGACACGAGGATGTCGAGAGAAGAATATGTTATATGGCTCAAGGATACCATGGAACTGGGCGTGCAGGCACTTATTACGAACGGAAGAACTGCATGACGTACCTGACTTCTTTTTGGTGAGCGTCCAAGCAGAAGGTTCAACAACAAGGGCGTGATCGAATCATGGGTGCTCGAGCCAGTAAAATAGACACAATATCGTGACTTACGTCAAGTGCTGTGCTGGGAAAGAAATGTTGTACCTTGTGTCCTTCCCGGTGTCCCGTACTCCCAGCAAAGATATAGGGGAGCACCTCGGGCGCCGTTCTCTGTTGAGGTCATCTGTGCATCCGTCCCCAGACTTTGTGTCCCTGAGGTATACAGAAATAATGCACGGTCCGTCACCGAACTAACCAGGTATCGATATAGCGGTAGAAAGGTCTCCCCCCATCTTTCTTTGAATAAGTAATCGGCGGTCAAGTCCTCATATGCCTCAAGGGAAACGAATTTCGTTGCAGCTATTTTTGGATCACTGGTGTAGTTTGGAACGAGGTAAACCTCCTCGCTTTGACTGCCGTTGATATCAGTAGCAAAAAGAGGTTTAATACATACCTCAAAGTTAATGTTCCGGTTATCCAGGGAATTGGTGGCAGGTAATAAGAAAGTGCAATATGGGAATGAAAGGAGCGATGTACGTCATTTGTTTCGCTTTATTTATGTCCTCTGGTCGTTGAAGCCTTCCTCGAGAACGAGGTCCCATCGCCTGACATTTGCCTGACACCATATATCTGTCGTAAACGCGTGTACTCCACCACGTCCTACGATGTAAGGCGAACGCCAATTATCGTATATTTCCCGACATAGTTTTCCTGCTATACCATAGCACTTACTGCCCAGTTTCGCTCCCCGAGTGTAATACAATGCATCCACGTTACTCCCTTCGTTGTCACGACTTGCTCTCTCAAATCGTCAGTTCCACTGCACCTATGTACTTCAACTACTACTGCCCCGGGGTCTACTTCCACACTTGCGAACCCTGGTAATGGCTCTGTCGCAATGGCTTGGTTTGCCAACTGGCACACCGATTGCACGGTCGCCAATATTTCCTGGACTGGTTTCGACAGAATGGCTTACTTCGGGTAACTAGAAAACATGCACTACGCTTCTCACTTTGGTATACAGAGCTATTAGTGCCTCTGCTGATGGTACTGCTATCATGACCGCTGGGAATACTCGGGTAGCACAAATTCTTGCAATACAGAGTCACCTCCGGATACTGCCAAATTTCTGTCTACGCTCCAGCAGCAGTTACCGGATGTATCTCTCTCTGCTGCTACCCCCGTCAGTCCATCGAACGACACCACTGGGGTCCCTTCGACTAACCTGACCAGCGATCTTGGATTACATTGGTGAGTAGACTTGTTGATGAATTTGGGCCCCTATTCTCCTTTAAAAGACTCCTGTGCTCCAGCTTCTGAGTAAACTGGCTCTGCCACTTCCCCCGTCAAATTCTGGACTGCCGCAGGGTTCATGGTGTGCCCAGCTACGAACACAGCTACTCCATCAGCTCTTCTGCAGCTATCCAGAGAGACACGTTGGCCTCATACCCCAGCTTTAACACCAACAACTTCGTCTTTGGTAATAGCTGGGGTGCTGCCAGTCCAAATGCTTGCGGTATCAACCAACCTGCGTCTGGCGACTTCAACTTCTGGGGCCTCATCGCTGGTAGTTTCTTGAATGAGGACGGCAGTGTCGCCTCCGGAATGACTGGCTGCTGCAGTCAGACGGTGCCGCGGCGTGTGATTCGTCTGTGAGGTGTTGACTGGTCTGACCGTTACCTTTTCTTTTCTTCTTTCTAGTCGTATGTCTACAACCCAAACACACAGGTCATGGTAATCTACGACAACGCCCTCTCTGTGGGAGATGGGTAGCGGCTATAACATTCTCTCGAACACCATCAATGGTGCTATCGCTGGCTCGTCATGATGTTTGATTCATCTGCATCTCACGCCATATACTTATCGCACACCATATATTGTACAGCCCTGCTGCGCTCGAAATGCTCGTCCACGTTTCGTATTGTCTGGTTGTGTCTTAGTGTTCTGTCCCTCGCGGACAGTCGTCTGGAATAGCATGTTACAGGCTTATATTCGCATTTACTCATCATTTGTTGTACTTGGTGTGACTTATTGACATCTCCTACATGGAATACTATATGATTTGCTTGAAATGTCTGATTGAGATCCAATTGAGATCAGTTTTTTTTTTTCATGAACCAGTGCATGACGCTCCCCAAGTGGGGTCGCCAAATCGAAGGAGAACACCAAATCGGGAATCAGCGGCGCTCAGCGGTTATCCTGGCAAAACGCGCGCGCGGCGGACATGTCAACACGGTATGTAAAACCATGGACATGTCAGACCTTGTCAAACACGGTATGCTGCGCAGTCGTTGTAATTCCGTAATTTGATCAGCGGCTATAGCTGGAATGTTGCTGGAGTATGTATTAAAGTGAACATGCTGCATATCCCAGGCAGTGCGTTCTCTGGTAAATATTCTGGGACGCCAGCGCTTCTGTCTGGCTGTGTCTTCCTGTATCTTTCTATAACCAGGCGAGCTCCTGCTCACCCTTTGACTGTGTTTCAATTTCACTACCCTTCAGTGAGCCTTCCATAGCACTGAAACTTGGAAACATCCATCCGACCTTGAGCAGCTCTTACACTTTGCAATCTCCTTCACTCCACGGCTCGTTTCGCCGCTCACCTCAAGGTTGCACACGTACTGGATAGCCTGACGCCAAATCATCGTTTCACGCATTAACCTAGCCCCAAGAGAGACAACCTTCAGCTTACACTTTTACCACGTTGGAGAAGGAACAATTTGTATGTCGTCCCTCGTGATAAACCTTGTTCCCACTTTTCTGACCTGAAGTGCAACTAAACTAACTAGTAGTTCCTCGAGTTGTCCCATTCTACCTCTTAATATTTATCATTAGCCTCTATTGATGGAGCAATGTCAGTATTTCCATCCCTTATTCCCTCTCTTTGCTCTCTGACATCGTTGACAGTTCCCGGTGATTATCGATCATCTGAAGGAATTTGGGAGAAGCTGTCCCAGATTGCCGTCATGGGTGCTGCGTATGACTCCCGTGAACGCCAGCCCCATCCCAAATGTTTGAAAGGGACTAGGGTAGTCCTCCTCAACCACATCTACGAATTGTTAGACAACCGAGAACAGGGGAGTCGACTCATTTGGCTGCACGGTACGGCGGGCGTCGGAAAGTCTGCTGTTGCGTTCACTGTAGCCGAAAGGATGAGAGGTCTGGCAGTGACAGCAAAAGCTACCAAGGAAAAGCGGCTCGCGGGATCTTTCTTTTTCTCGCGCAGGCACACGAAACGTTGCACGACTGGATATTTCTTTGCGACGCTTGCCTACCAGCTTGCTAGGAATTTTCCTAGCATCCGGGAGGAAGTGATCAGAGTTATTCGCGAGGATCCTGCACTCTTAGACCCCGATGCGTCTCTTCACGACCAGATGGAGGCGCTCTTTCTCTCACCTCTCCGGAGACTTCGACTCAGACTGCGCGACTGTCCGCCTTTGGTGTTTGTAGTGGATGCCCTTGATGAATGCATGTCCGAAACCGAGATTGCTGATCTCATCTCCCTCCTGGGTCAAGCTCTCCGTGAACCTGATCTTCCCGTCATCGACATCCTACTCACGAGTCGCTCGGAATCGCATATCGATGAAGCCACTCAAGAAGAATCTGTGCGCCCTCTGGTGTGCGAGATACCAGTGAAAATATCTGGGAGAGGGGCTGCTGCTATCATTTCGTTAGACAGTGCAGATGTCGCCAATGACATCTATATCTTTTTAAAGCATTCCTTCACCAAATTGCACAACCGCTTTTCCAGATTCCCGCGGCCAACGACAAAAGAACTTGCGCGGCTGGCGAGCCGAGCGGGCAGACGTTTTGTCGTGGCGTCTACGATGATGAAGTTTATCGACGATGGACACAGTGATCCTCGCGATCGGCTTCAACTCATGCTCGAACTAACAAGTGAACTGCTTCCAGGAACGGAGGTGTACACATTATATGACTGTATCCTTTCAACATGTGCGGACCCCAAGCAGGCGTACCTGCATTTGTCCATCGTTGCCTCCCTTGCGGACCCGCTACCTATCTCACAAATCTCGGAACTTCTCGGCCCTGGTCAGGGCAGGGATGTTGAGATGACACTGGTGCAGCTACAGTCTGTCATGGAAATTCCTACTGACAGTAATCTCCCCGTGAATATCTATCACTCGTCCGTTCGCGACTACGTTTCCGATCCCTCAAACTGCAGCCTCCCTCAAGTACAGTGTTTGACACCACCCCACTCCCTACTTGCTCTTTCCTCGTTCCGCTTGATGATGCATGACATCCCAGAAAGTGCAGCCCTGTTGCATGCCGTCTTCCAATTGACGAAACAAAGTCGAACTACGAAACTCCACGACCCAGAGAACTTAAGATACTTCTTATCCTTTATTGTCCAGCCACCGGAGGCAATGCAAGTTCTTACGGGTCTACTGTGGCTTCGGGGAGATCGCCATCCAGCTTTGGGATTCTGGCTAGAGACCCCGGACGGGCGTGCGTGGTCGCGGACCCAAGGAGGGAAAGACTGGCTTGCAACCCAGGACAAGTCGTGGGTTTTGGCACACCTGCTGAGGGCCTCACCTTCGCGCGATTTGTTGCAACATCGGCGCAAAGACCCCGGCGAGCGGGCGTGGCTCAAGGCCAAGCAGGGGCGGGGGCGGGGGCGGCTGGAGTCCCAGAAGCGGGGGGAGTGGCTGCAGACCCCGGGCGAGCAAGAGTGGCCACAGACCTGGAACGGGCCAAGCGTGCAGACCCGGACTGTGCCAGCCTGGATGGAGACTCCAGACGGGCAAGAGTGGTTGCGGACCATGCACGGGCGAGAGTGGCTGGAGACACAGGGCGGGGAAGAGTGGCTGGAGACACAAAGCGGGAAAGAGTGGTTGCAGAGCCAGAGTGGGCGGGAGTGGTTGCTGACCCCGAGAGGGCGGGCGTGGTTGCAGACCCAGAACGGGCGAGCGTGGATGGAGACCCAGAGCGGGCGAGAATGGCTGGAGACCCAGAGCGGGCGACACTGGCTGGAGACCCCAAACGGGCGAGGCTGGCTGGAGAGCCAAAGCGGCCGACACTGGCTGCAGATGCCCCACGGTCAAGCATGGCAGTCGACTCCTGCGGCGTTGGTCTGGGTGACAATGGAAGAAGTTTCGAGCACATTGGAAGCCATCAATGAGTACACGGTCATCTCAAATTCGCCTTTACTGCCAGCCTTCCAAGTAATTCAGCAGTTCAAGAGCTTGCCAGATGTCTTGATGGTTCCCGCCATCCTGGCGTTAATGCCCCATCATCATTCCAATGGTCCCACTCCGAAAATTTTAGAATACCCTCCTTCACAAGGTCGTAGCATGAGGATCCTCCATGCTATGCATGCCTTTGTGGCTTTTGCAAACAAAGCACGTGAACGAAGTCGACCAGCTTCCGGCGCTCTCAAGTACGCATGTCAAAACTGGGCCTTCCATCTTTCGCGAGCTCTGAAGCCATGGGACGATACACTCCATTGTATATTCAAGTCTTTCTGGAATCGTGCTCTCCTCTCCTGGCTTGAAAGACAGTGGTGTTTGAATGGTTTGCAGTCCTGCCTCGTCATTTTATCGGAAGGGCAGAAACTTGCAACGGTGTGTATTTCCAATTTGAATGATTCTGAATCTCACCACTCAGCACCTGACCTGCGCATGTAGGAACACCTGCTTGACGTTTCAGTGTCATCTCAACCATCAGTAACAAAGAGTCGTCATTCTTGTACCTGCCAGTGAACAAGCCAAGCATGGATATACAGCACACTTGGCATATATGATGATTCATAGCGGCACAGGGCAGTCATCCCCCACTCTCGATTCTCGCCTTTTTCGAGGCCTCCAGCAGTTACCTTAACTTCGAGCATGGGAATGTACTCAGACAGGGCGGAGGACAAGGCCGCAGTAATCGGCTTAGATGCTGGAAGCGGCTTCAAATATTACTGGGCAGAGATACGAAAACGCGGGGTGCATACAAGGGCAAGTAACACAATAATAGTGATGTACGTGTTGTAAGATGAAGAAGCGCAATGCCAATCCGTTTCGCAATCTCTCGCGATCGGACATTGCTTACCATCCTTTCAATGTTTCTAGCCATCCCTCAGGGAGCCTCAGGGCTAGTGCCATCTTCGGGTGGAAGGCCCCACCCTGTACCATCGTCATAGAGAATAGTGACATCCTGGCGTTCGAGCTGGTGGGTATCCGAGTCTGCGCCGGCGGCCATGACAAACGGCTGCAGACGCCCTGTTGTTCCGGTCATCCAGGGAATTGGTAGAGTCGCCGTAAGCGACTTCAACATAGTGGATCAATTGCATGGTATCTGATTCAGGTAAGGATAAGAAAGTGCAAGGAGGTTAGGGGACTCTGAGCACTTATGTTTCGGAATCGTTGTCCCACTGTTAGTGAGGATATGATCTTCAGTGTCGGTGTCGGACACTACCAGTCACTACCGCAAGAAGAATATCGGCAATCAAGGTTCCGTCACCTGGCACCTCAGTACAAAGAATCCTGAGCTTGTAGCTGCCATTAACGCATGCCCTCTACCACTTGTGCTACGTTCCACGATGTAAAGTGAAGAGGGCGCTCGGTGGCCAAGCTCTCATACTTATACTTGGCACCACAACAGCCCAACCGCCTTTCTTGCATCTCCTCAATTCCCATTTAGTGGCATGTGTAACTGCACGCTGTTCTGAGTTGAGTGAATCACCTTGATTAGCATGCATTGAGACAGTTTCACTGGTCATCGCATTCAACAAGAAAAAGCTCAGTTCGGACTGCAGTCGCACCCCACAAAGGTAATATGAACAGTAATGCATAGATATTCTTGTAACCACTAAGGCTAGGGTCATGACGTAGTTGGTGATACTAACAGCGGACTGTGGTGTGACACAGAGGTCAGCCTCTGGCGGCCCACAATAGAGACTCATCCGCAAGATACCCATTTGCAGAGAACTCAACGCCCTCCTGTGCCAGCATCTCCATCTTTCTATTGCACTGCAAACCAGTGTTCTTCTGTCCACCTCTTGCATTGGCGCCCGTGCCCCACTCACCGAAGAATCCACCAATGTACAGATTCGATGCGATGGTGCGGTGGCAAGGTACAAACGGAACAAACGGATTGTTTCGAAGCGTAGAACCAACTGGGAAATGAAGTGGGTAAGAGCAGACAAAGGGACTATATTTAGACGCGCACCTGATCGTGGCAATCCTTGTCCGAGAGCGACGCAAATATCCTTGTACGTCGTAACACGACCACAAGGAATTGTTCTAGTGAAATCATATACTGCCCACCGATGTGGTGTGACGCGCTGGCAGGAACCATGGACTAAGGGATCATCTTGGACAATCTCAACGCAAGATGCTTGTCTTGCCGTCGCGCGTTTTGCATTCGGTTTCACTCAAGGGATAATGCATCTTGCCTGTGAAGACAGTTTCATGAGAGCCGTATGACATGGGCTATGGAATCAAATTTGCATCAGCGCTTACAGTCTGATAGGTCCTGCATCTCCTCCTGGACTATGGAAGCCGTCAAAGTTATTGTCTTATGTCCATTGATGGCTCCCTTCATTGACCTCAGTTGCGTCCTGGTGGCAGGCATTCTTCAGTAGAGAATTTTTTTAAAACAGTACTATTACAATACGTGAAACACAAAGGTGATACAAGTAGAATGAACGTGAGCTCTCGTGACAGGGGTTGTAAAGGAACCATGGTCCCACACGTGACTTCGGTTTAGGGCCGGCTAGATGGTGATCCTCACATCACTGGAAACAAGTGTCTATCTACGGCGTGTCTCTGAAGCCCATCAGGTACTGCATAATTTGGAAGGCGACCTGAATTATCGGTCTCTGCGTTAGACTGCACTTGCATCAAAGAATTGTCGACTTACTACTGGCGCAAATTGCGGAATCCTGCAGAACACATATGAGAAACGGAACACTGTGTACGGTATTGCGTAGCGGAGGACTCACATGTGGCCACTCAAGGCTACCTCGTAATAAGTGAGTCCCCGCTCTGAGTGCATTGTCCCGTAGGCACCCACGCCATCGACGATGAAGCTGTCATTGGCGATAGGCGTCTGGAATCCTTGTAATCCATTCCCTTCAATGGAATGAGTGGTTGTCGCACCTCAGCACTTCGAGTCACTCACAGGTCATACTGCAAATTATTCCTATTGATTAAAGGGATACATGTCACAGTTAAGAATACACTTACTTTTGAATGACGATTCTTGTTCTATTTCATCGCACCATGTGTCAGAATATACGAGAGCAAGGCTTGTGAACGAAGTCATACCCTTCAGCAATGAGAATAAAGTCCGCGAGACCATGCACAATGACAGTCCGCTGGTTCTTTTCGATGACATTCGGTAACACAGTGAAGGCGGGCGGCAAGCTGCCATCTCCATTGGGGAAAACATTGATATTGGAGCACTCCATCCATTTGGTGTCAACAGGTGCATGGATAGCCATCTTCACTTCCTTTCGGTTAAAGTAGATCGGAGATTGTTTCTGTGGGAATGAACCTCTAGATCTGTATTAGCCGACTTCCACTCAGTGAGTCGATTACTGAATGGCGTACGGGAAACCAAGGACGTCCCATAAAATCGGATACTTTTGTGGAGAAGGTTAATATACTACTGATGAGGGTCCTCTTTGACTCACAGTGTCCCAGATACGATAGATATTAAAAGCGGGGTTGATGATCAGCGCATTATTAAAAATGTCGTCCCAGACATCACAGCCTTTAGCGAACTCGACAGAGTCTCCTGGCAGCGGAAGAATACCGGTTGGAGGGTATGTCACGTACTTATCTACGTAGCCAGTGTAATTGCACCTCGCAGCCTTCTTCTCGAGGTGGTTCATGAACGTTTGACTGGATCGTACCTAGTGAGTGACTTGCGAACTAGGTTCGAGTGAAATGAACAAACTTAAAAGAGAAGAGACCATCATATTTGTTCACGAAGTCCACTGCAGGGATTTCCTCTTGCACCACGTCCCACGACAGCGAAGCTGATTGCCGTGAATTGAGACGACACGGAGTGATTCAAAACGTCACTTACGGTCACTGATCCACATCCCTTGCAATGAGAGGTCTAACAGAGTGGGGTTCTCGTAGATATAGTTTGCAATATCTTCATTGGTCTTTCAGACTTATGTTCAAAGAATGTAATTGCCAACTCACAAGGCACGTATGTTCCAGCATACTGGATTCAGTTAACACGATGTTTGAACACTCTTTCTAAGAGAGGCACTTACACTTTCACCAGTAAGATACAGTTTCTTGCCTTTTAGTTCAGAAAAGACCTCCAGGAACTGCTGCATAAAGCCGACGAGTTGGGCAGCGAGATCATCCTCGTTCTGTATGTTTGGGGTGCCCTGAGAAAATCCTGTGCCAACAGGTTGCTCCACCCAAAGGACGGAGGAGAGGTTAGTCCAGCTTTGTTCGTTCACCGTTGGTTTGGCTTGACCCAAGGACCAACTGAAAGGCTTTATATTTCTCAGTCAAATGAGTCGTGCCATCAAACGAAGGAGGCTTACTCCGTTCTCTTGCAACAAACCTTCGAGGGAGGAACAGCCAGGGCCACCATTCGTCCTTCAAGTAGAACATTTCAAGTCAGCAGCGAATATTACACCGGTTCTGAATCCCGATGACGGACCAAAAAATCAAATCATCGAGACTCCCTTCAGGACCGGGAGGGAAAAACCAGAAAAAGAGCTGTGGTCCTTGGTTTCAGAAAGGACATGCACAATTCATGCATGGACACACCTGACGCGTCTCGTTAGGACTGTTGCTGATGGGTAAAAGACCTGCCCAGCTAGGACCGACATCGAAGTCGACAAGAGGGAGAGAGCTGCCATTGACGTAAAATTCTGTACGAACATAGATCAGACATAGTACTAGATGATTGCTTGCAGCACATTATTCACCTGAGGCCTTCGGGTTCGTGAACGTGATGTTTTGAACATTGCTGAGCTTCACGTTCGGAGCTCTAGCCGCAGGACCGCTGGTCTGCCAACGCTTTGCTGCCTCGAGCTGGCGTTCACTAACCTCCTGCGTGGTCATCTTGCGAGCGCTGGCGGCAACCACTGCGAGCAGAGCCGCAAAGATGGCGAGAAGACGCATCACCATCGAGTAAGCCAATTTGTGAAGGGAAAATAGCGAATCTTCTGGCGTCGTGCATAATTATCCCGGGAGTTTATTATTCTTCTAATGCCGGCAGGCGGTGGTTAACGATCAGTTGGACCATATGCATACGAGGGGTAACATGGCAGGAAACGTACCGGAATGTATGGTTTATTATTGTGTATGAGTGTGATTCGTGATATGGCATCAGATAGGCAACTTGGGCCGCTAACCGTGATCCTCCTACCTGCTTCCTTTACTCACGATACTTGTGTTAGTCTAAGGTTAAACCAACTTGTTCGAGTTGGGCCGATGAGCAACCCAGCTAATGCGCTGCTGATCATGGTTTGGTAACCTCGCGAGACCTACGAACTTTCAAGTTTAAGAGTTGCAGACTGGCAGAATGACCCCGGAGTCCGAGGAAAGCGCTGAATGGTCCAAGAGTGGCATTATCATGTGTTCTCCACTATCGGACCACCTGGCCATGAATATCTCTGAGTCTAAAGCGTGTGGACAAGTCCGACTCATGCTATGTACCACTGCTCAAGTCCCACCTGTAGCTAAATAGTTCTTGGAGCTGTCAAACAACAATACCCAGGTTTGCTCCCGTTTCCAAAGTAAGTACACAGGAAGCCTGTCGTAGAAGTTTTCTAATACCATTTGACTACCTTGTGTTAATGTTGACGGCTTTGGATTGCGTATTGAACCGACGCACCAAACAAAGGGGCCGCGGCCGGCCACCCCCGCAAGCAAGGGTTCGTCAGAGCTCTTTGACTAGGTCGAGAAGCATTTCAGTTACAGACTAGCAGTCAAGAATACCTCGGCTTCCTGAGGCTCTTTCCCCGATACATATTGGGAGGATACAGCTGTGAAGGTATGGGCGCTCTGGTCAGGAACGATATATCGTGTTGTGAGTTTTCTGCCAGTGGTTTGGTGACTTTACGGCCACACTGATCCTCTTCCCTTGAGTGCCCAACGATGTGCTTTGAATGAGGTCAGTTATCCTCGGCCGTCTGCATATGATTGCTTGCATCTGAATGGAGGCTGCCCCTGCCTGGCTAACGTCGTTGAGGAGGCGAGATAACTACAACTTTGTTGCGAGCCTCGCTGACTATTCAAGTGTTCAGGACGATGCCTGCGAAAGCTTGAAGGTCCCGCATATACGTTCAGTCACAACCGGCATGGGCATGTAAAAGCGCGACGGCTTCCCCAGTTGTAGGAGTGGACATCCTGGTAGGTCAGTGCCTCTACTCGAAGTTCGAAACTCAAAGGGAGGATTTGAACGGGATTATAGATCATCGGATGTAGACACGCAAACAACGTCTGGTTTCCGAACTATGAATCTTGTTTTCTGGATTTGTTCTGAATAGTACGAGTTCCGTGTCGTTCCACGACTGCCATGACGGATTACGAGACAAAACGGTGAGCCTGCTTTTGCCAGTGGTTGATTGAAGTGGCTTAAAACGTACTTAGGTCATGATGCATATATAACAGCGAGCTTTGTGTCAGAGTTGGGACCTTCCTTGCGTAATCCGATTCTTTCATATTGACGCAGTGGTCTCAGAAATGAGAGCTTCTTTCATCGATATGCTAGTATAGTACCACCAGTCAACAAGCAGTGGACCCGACAGAGCATAGGAGTTAATGTAGACCAAGGTCGGACGAGGCTGGTTGCAGACGCCAGGCTGGTTTCGGACCAGAGGCTGGTTTTGGAGCAGGCCTGCGCGAGAATGGTTGCAGACCGATGGTGGGCGAGAATGGTTGCGGACCGAGGGTAGGCAAGACTAGCAAAACAATTCTTTTGTGCTATGGTTCCAGCGGATTCTGCTACACGTCTGGATCATTCGATAACTTTCATCATCCCCTCTAATTTGCAAGTCGCAATATGTTTGAGGGGCGCGTGCGAGCAAACGGTCGTTTGACATCGACAGTTTCTGACTTTTCTTCCAGCCCCTCTATCGAGTATGAGTCGATGTTTGATCGCGACATGACACGAGGATGTCGAGAGAAGAATATGTTATATGGCTCAAGGATACCATGGAACTGGGCGTGCAGGCACTTATTACGAACGGAAGAATAGCATGACGTACCTGATTTCTTTTTGGTGAGCGTCCAAGCAGAAGGTTCAACAACAAGGGCGTGATCGAATCATGAGTGCTCGAGCCAGTAAAATAGACACAATATCGTGACTTGCGTCAAGTGTTGTGCTGGGAAAGAAATGTTACAACAATATTCACCTTGTGTCCTTCCCGGTGTCCCGTACTCCCAGCAAAGATATAGGGGAGCACCTCGGGCGCCGTTCTCTGTTGAGGTCATCTGTGCATCCGTCCCCAGACTTTGTGTCCCTGAGGTATACAGAAATAATGCACGGTCCGTCACCGAACTAACCAGGTATCGATATAGCGGTAGAAATGTCTCCCCCCATCTTTCTTTGAGTAAGTAATCGGCGGTCAAGTCCTCATATGCCTCAAGGGAGACGAATTTCGTTGCAGCTATTTTTTGATCACTGGTGTAGTTTGGAACGAGGTAAACCTCCTCGCTTTGAGTGCCTTTGATATCAGTAGCAAAAAGAGGTTTAATACATACCTCAAAACTGTTCCGGTTATCCAGGGAATGGGTGGCAGGTGCAATATGGGAATAAAGGGAGCGACGTACGTCATTTGTTTCGCTTTATTTATGTTCTCTGGTTGTCCTCGAGAACAAGGTCCCATCGCCTGACATTTGCCTGACACCATATATCTGTCGTCAACGCGTGTACTCTACCACGTCCTATGATGTATGTTGACGCTTGTACAAATATATATACACATTCAGATGGAAACGCGGGCTGCCATCGTCCCGGTCGATCATTACTCACCATCTTTCGATGTTTCTCCTCCCTCAGTACGAATCCCCTCTTCTGCATGACGCATATTTGCGTCTTCATCCTTCGGCTGTGTCGCTCCAGTCTGCACTGTAGTTATCTGTCTCGAAGTTGTCCGCTCTTGTACTTGTACAGAGACCGACGTCTCGGGGTTCGTGCTACTGTACATCTGCGCCACGACTATGGTCGTGAAGACTCCGTTGGATGTGAATGACTGGTCAAGATCGAACGTTTCCTTTGAGCACACGTGGTACAAGGACGTCACAATCACCAGGAGGTTGCAAATGACGAGACTGAGGGCGACCTAATTTCCGTCGGATTTTGCGGAGCAGTGTAAGGACGGCAGCATGCTTACCGTGACGTGCTCCAAGATGAGCGAGGTGGTTGTGTAGTTCTTGGAGAGAGTTATAAAGTGAGGAATTGTGACGGCGGTAATTAAAAGAGACGCGCCGAACGCAGATAGGACCAAGATTTTTCTGCTATGCGAAAGTCCTACGTTTTTCCAGAAATACAATGGTGTGGCAACGAGGGAAACATCTGCAGTGATGTCCGCTGCAAAATCCCAAATTTGAGAACCACCGCAGCCGCAGAAAGCATAAGGAGGTACTGACTGATCAGCTGCGAGAGCGCCACCGACTGAGTCATCTGGCACCCGTGGAATTGGCACCGATTGATCTTCTGGGCGACCAGCGCGGCCCACATGCATGCGAAGGATGCTGCAATGAGATAGGTGATCCGTATATGAACCTTGGAGCCTGAGTGGTTGGCGACGTGGATGATGGAGAAAATGATGCTCATGCGCGCGCCCCTGGACGGGGACTGAGATAGAAATGTAGCTGAGTGAACTGCGGTGCGTACCACAGGGCGGAGGTGAAAGCCACTATGAGGGTCCAGGCTTGGGCCGATATGAGCATGCGATCAGTCTTAGAATGCGAAGTCAAGCACTCACAACTTATCTCCCAGTCCAGCCAGATACATGCCAGGCAGACAACTAGGGAACCTGATCGGTTTTCTGATCAAGGCAGCGTACAAGGGAAATCATACCATCTGCGATCAGTGCAAATGCCGCCCATGCATCTTCCCAGAAGAAGTGACGCATCCAGCTTCTATAAACAAGCCTGAAGATGGTGCAGAGGATGCCAATGCTATGCGCTATAGACCCCACCACTTTCCAAAGAATGGTAAACATAAAAACCACGATATACTGGCTACTTTCAACTCACCGCTCAGTTGAGAGGAGTAGAATAATGCCACCATCAGATACCTCGCGTAGATATGGAAATGATGAGCTTTAGACGCAAATTGTGAAGACTGGCCTTATATGTGAGGCAGGACGGCCCTTTGTACATATCTCCATGAGAAACATGTTCACGGAGTGTCTTAGGTCTAACCAGCGACTATGACTTGCAGGGTTGATCATGCAATAGACCAGCCCTGCTGATACTATTACGGACATTCCAGTGGCATCATGTACCTTCGCGGTACGCTTTCGGGGAGTGAGCGATAAAAGTCTCGACGTTCAGGGATACTCCGCGGCAAGCTACCCTGGCCTTCTGCACCATTTTGCTGATAGTGATTGAATAGTGGTGCGATGGACGGTCCTTGATGATCCTAGAACGTAGAATGTACTAAGCCCATTTGGAAAGTTCAGATAAGTAGATGCAAATGGCCAAGCAGGGGTCAAGCTAAACTCTGCTAAGCTTGAAGCAAGTCTGCGAGTGTCGTGGGAACATGGAAGCATCGTTGCTTGTCATTGCCAGACACTGGCATCGATAGTCGTTCCTTCGTATTAAGATGAACTCTTGTAAAATACTGTTTTCGTCCTGGAGTTATCTGTAACACAGAATCCAATTGAAGTCGCAGTTCCGCTTCGTCCGACGCTCGTGTGGTTTGAGGCGTTTAACTCTTTGATCGTACGTACTTGACGCTCCATACGGTTAGGGCGAAACTTTGCTGATAATGGTGACAGTCGTTGAACAGGTGGCACGGTCTTGAGTCACTAGGGTATAGCAAAGGTATACCCGCGGGTCGGAAGATCAACACCGTACGGGTACGGGTACGGTGTTACCCGTGCTAACCCCACGGTATTGAAGTTCACCCGCGGTGTTGCATTTACCCGCGGGTACACATACAAGAAATAACGCTACATAGGTCTAATACCCTCACACGACACCCGCATTCTCTCGTTTCCTTTTCTTCAGAGACTTTACGATCCTAATGAGGTTTTCAGGCACTACCAGATCACAGCGGAGCCACGAGCCAAGACACAGAAATATTTGCACGGGTCGATGACGTAGATAGGCTATGCAGCTTGTGACGCAGCGACCTTCACAGACATGCGACGACATACCTGCAACAGCTTACATACCAATGCGTCCTTGGCACTTTTCAAATGACGACCGAATATCACGAGAGATCGTTAAATGCGATGGCAGTTCAATATTAGGGCGTCCCGGACACCTCCGACAGATAACTTGTACTTGCGTGCTCCGCAGGGGAAGAAATGCACTAGACGGCCATCGTGATACTGGACAGTGACAGCATCAAGCTTGAAAAATGAATAGACTGCCGAACGCCAGGTTTTCTTGAACGCATCTATGAGTTGCACACACATCAATCAAGGTCCATGCATATGTAGGCCACTTCACTTACTTACAGCTGTTTGCATAAAGGATGGCACTGGCGTGAAATTTTCGTTCAATTAGGAAATGTTAGACTTAGTGAAATTTTGCTCGTGTACGCTCATACTACCCTTATATTATCAGCTTCGCAACATGGGATTTCGCAAGATCAGTCGTGACGTGAAACTTGCAGCAATCCGACTCCATGAACAGAACCTTCTAAGCCTTCGTGATATCCTAGATTGCTGCGGATTTTCCAGACGCACTTGGTTTCGGATTTTGAAGCTCTGGCACGAAACCGGCGATGTCGTGGACCGTCAGCCTAACACAGCAATGCGTGGTCGTCTGCGTGCTCTCGATCATGAAGATATCGATTGCCTGCTTCGCCTTGTAAGGCAGAATCCTGACTATTTTTTGAATGAGCTCATGCACCTCCTCGCGACAAACCAATTCATATCTGTCCATTTCACGACAATCTTCCGCGAGCTCGAACGTGCTGATGTGAGCTACAAGAAACTCAAGCGCATTGCCAAGGAACGCAACGAGACTCTCCGTGCTGCGTTCATTGCACGCAGGGCTCAGTATGATCCATCAGAGTTGGGATTTATTGACGAGCCATGTAGTAGGGATCATTAGTCACAGATTTTAGTTCCACGCTTTCGCTTTTTGGACATGGTCGGAGGTGGTGTAAGGATCTTCATGGGCTGGGACTGCTCAAGCTCGTCATCTTCGCCGTCGTCATCAGAGTCAGGTTCCTCTTCCTCCGAAAGTTCTTTCATTCGAATATTGTCCTCATCGGACCCATTGGAATCAAGGTCACTGTCATGCTCTAGCAGGCTCTTGTGTTTTTTGTAGGCAGGAATAGTTATAAACGGCATGATGATAATGAATTACAGGGGATGTGAGTGTACACGAGCAAAATTTCACTAAGTCTAACATTTCCTAATTGAACGAAAATTTCACGCCAGTGCCATCCTTTATGCAAACAGCTGTAAATCAGTCTCGTGACGCGTCCTGTTCGGCGCAACGTCAACATCTTCATCACTTCCGGAATAGGGGGTTGCTTTGGCCCTTTCCATATTAGTGAGGGTAGTGCTTCCAGAATGAGAAATCATCTGTCCACGACACATGGGGTCCTGTTGGTCCATTGTCGGTGATAAGAGGGGAAAGAGCCTCCATTTATTCTGAAGATCTGAAGTCTGGTGTTGGGCCAGGCAGCCGGTATGCTTTGGTATCGGTTCGGTAATTTGTTCATACTTGACACATCGGGGGTTTCAACATTTTGCTTCTTGCAAGATTTCATTCAAACGCAGATCTAGACCTGGCTAGAGCATGCCAGACCTAGCCTAGAGCGTTCCAGAGCACTCTAGATTACCTTTCGAATGTAATTTCACTGGCGGCAAAAGGTGGTAAAATGTCAGTTTCCTCGCTGTGTAAGGTTTTGCATTGGTATTGGGGACGTGGAAACAGACCATAATACAGGAAGTACCGTGTGGATTTCCAATTACTATTCTCGCGACCGGCTCAGCGCTGAGCAGCTGGCCTCTGTCATATGGGATTGAAATCATCCTCCAGGTTATCTCTGAAGCAGTGAAGCTGTCGCCTTTAAATTTGAGTGAGATACGACATCGCCTCATTTTTTTTTGTTCCGCTTGATACTTTCATCATCCTCTCTAATTTGAAAGAATTCGCCCATAATTATAAGGTGTACATATGAGCAAATAATTTGATTCATGGTGGCACCTGATCAAGTCTGGCATGGGTATATCAAGCACAACTAATATAATACAGACATCATGTTGAAAATGAGTGTGCTGCCATCACGTTTGGCACTTTCCTCGCGATCAATCATTACTCGCCATCTTTCGATGTTTCTGGCTATCTCTCAACACCAGTGCCCTTTTCAGCGTACAGCACACTTGTGTCTTCCATCTTTATTCGCATTGTCTCCACTTCTTCAGCGAATGACGTCCCGCCGTTCGTGGTACAAGGTATCTGCGCCATGACGACGCTCGTGAAAACTCCGCTGGACTGGTCGAGATCGAATGTTTCCTTCAAGCATACGCGGTATGCGAAGGTAACGATCACCAGGAGGTTACAGATGATGAGACTGAGGGCGGTCTGATTTCCATCGGATATTGAAGAGCGGCGAGAGGACGGGAACGTGCTTACCTTGACGTGCGCGAAGATGAGCGTAGTTGTGGTGTGGACCTCGAGGAGGAGTATAGAGTGAGGTATTGTGATGGCAGTGATCAGAAGCGATGCGCCGAATGAAGACAGGACTAATATTTTTCTGCTACGCGAGAACCCTACGTTTTTCCAGAGATACAGCGGCGCGGCAACGAGGGACGCATCCGCGATTACGTCTGCTGCAAAAAACACATAATTTGAGGATCATAGCAACCTAATAAAGCACAAAGGTACTAACTGATCAGAAGCGTGACCGCCACTGACTCACCCATGTAGCAGGAATGGAATTCACAGATGATTATCTTCTGTGCGACCGATGCGGCCCACATGCACGCGAAGGAAACTGCAATAAGATAGGTGACCTGTTTGTGGATCTTGGAGCCTGAGTAGTTGGCGACGCGGATGATGGAGAAAATGATGCTCATACGCGCAGCCCTGGACCAGTGAGATTGAAATGTAACTGAGCGAGGTGTGATGCGTACCACAGGACAGAGGTGAAAGCTACTGTGAGGGTCCAGGCTTCGACTGATATGAACACGTGATCAATCTTAGAGTGGGACCTCAAGTACTCACAAGTTACCCTTCTGTCGAGCCAGATACATGTCAGGCAAACAACTAGCAGATGTGGTCGATTTGTTGATAAAGGCAATGTAGAAGGAAAATTCTACCGTCTGCGATGAGTGCAAATGCCGCCCATGTATCTTCCCACCAGAAGTGACGCATCCAGCCTCTGTAAAGAAGCCTGAAGATGGTGCAGAGGATGGCAATGCTATGTGACACCAACCCCACGACTTCCAAAGAACGATAAACATAAGACAACAATATACTGACCACTTTCTTCAGCTCACCGTTCAGTCGCGAGGAATAGTATAATGCCACCATCAGATACCTCGCGCGGACAAGGAAAGGGTGAGCTGTAGATGCAAATCGTGAAGGCCGGCCTTATATGTGACGCATGAGGACCCTTTGTACATGTCTTCATGACTTGTCAGACTTGTTCACGGCATTTCTAGCTTGCGATGGCAGCCTGCAGGGCTACGCAGACAGACCCGACTGGCAAAGTCTCACAAAATGTCTGCCACGAAGGATAGGATGTCCCTCTTGATTACGAAGGCTTCCTAGGACTACACGCATCGACTACAGCAAAAAAAAACAGTTGAAGATGGGCTTTCATCAGAGCTTCAACATATGCAGAGCTATCCTTACCTGCTGAACCACGGTGCACATGCGTAGAATCATAATGCTCATCGGAAGATTTAAATGACATGCTGGGATGAAGTTCGGGGTGTGGAGTCGACGTTGAAGTGGGAGGAAAACGTCTCGCCATCCTTGTGCCATCCAGGGATACTCTGCAATAATATTATGAAGCTACCCTGCCAGGGCCTTGCATGGCATTTCGAGAACCTTGGATGAGCGCTACTAACGGGGTCTGAACGTGGGAACCTGGAATCGTATCGATCCGAGACTGCTTGCCAAAATAAAACGATTGGTCCCATCGATGGAATAAAAGCTCTTCTCGATATACCATTACATGATATGAGCAATCTTCTCCCAGTTATATTCGCCGCGATGAACCGACACTCATGATGCATGCACTTTGAGGTAAGTGTTGCGTGTTGCCTTTTGATGATACGTACTTGACCCATCCGGCCAGAGCGTTGTTGCTGATCACGGTGGTAACAGTCATTAAACAGTCTTGCTTGTCGGACTCGTTGCTTTCTATCGTTACATATGTATTCTTGCAGTGGTCATCATTAAATTCTTGACGATTGCATTGGCTGATTTTGTTAATGGTGTTTCGGTGCGTTTGAAACTACTGAACCCGATGATGCAGATTGGAAACTCCTTTGAACACACATGATCTCGACCCTAATCGCGCAGAACTGAAGTCTTACTTCTTCCGCTATGCGCAGAGGTACCTCTGGGTTGTGGATGCAGTGCACGGAAAGCCATAGTGGTGCCGGTCAGGGCTACAAATGTAAGGCGCAACGCCAGAGTGCCAGAGTCACGCGTCATACTAGCTCCATCATTTTGCGTGAGTTCTTTGTACGTCAAATCTATTCACTTGACTTGATCATATCACGCGGAGATTGGCTCGAAGCTCGTTCCAGACAGCGAAATCAATGGGAGATTTATTTTAATCCCGGTTTGCCCCGCTCACCAGTCCTCCCGACCTGCCTTTCTGAGCATTTTTGAGCATTGCACTGCCTGCGTTGATCTATTTGGGTTTCGAGTTTCGCATGCAATTGACAGAATCATTGAGCCTGGTTTTGATCCCGGTTTGTCCCGCTCATCACGTGTGGCGATCGACTCCATCTCCAGACCTGCCTTTCTGAGCTTTCCGCTTGGATTTCTTGCCTGTGTTGATTTGTTTAGGATCGATGATGTTAGTATACAAGTGGGCCAACAGCCTTGATCGAAACACGACCTACTGGATATCTTCCGTTTACTCCTCTACCACCAAAGATCTCCACCTTTCATCCCCTTCTCCTCCCTACCTCAACTGCCATGATACTCGATCGTTCGCATGTTATCCTGCACCACAATGCGCTAGGAACCACGTTCAAAGGCGTCGATCATCCAATATCCTCCCCGGATGTACCCATACACCAATTCCGCGGAATCAAATACGCCAGCGTACCAGCTCGGTTTCGTCAATCGAAACTAGTCACTTCATACCCCTCCTCAGTTGATGCAACTCGTCATGGGTACGACCCCTTTTTTTGCGCCTTTTCAACGTGCTAAAGTGATCGTTCAGCCCAATATGCCCACAACCTGACCAAAAGAGTCTTGAAGAGGAACTCCTTGGTCTTTCCGATAGCGATATCCCAAGACAAGTCTTCAAGCAGGACGAGTTTGAGTGTCTCAACTTGAACATTACCTGTCCTGCTGGCCACCGCAGTAAATTGCAACTTCCAGTTATGGTCTGGATTCATGGGTGAGCCGGGCCTCGTGCTCTGTCCTGTGATAGACGCTCATGCGAGTAGCGGAGGCAACCGTGGTTGTGGCTCCAGTTGGGTCTATGATGGTGGCGCTCTTGTTAGAAAGAGTGTTCGTGTTGGTAAACCGATCATAATGGTCACAATCAAGTACGTCTCCTTCTGCCTTACGTGCATTAGTGTGGTATTCATCTACGGTTAGCTTTCGCATAGGCGTATTTGGTGTTGCCGCAAGCCCACACTTGGCAGATGATAACCGAGCAGCAGGCGACGAGGGTGTGGGTAACTATGGTTAGTTTATCTTACATTCCCCACATCGCTCTCGCTGATGTAGTATTCCACAGGTTTGCGCGATCAACGCCAGGCACTAGAATGGGTGAACCGTTACATTGCAGATTTCGGAGGAGACCCATCCAATGTCACCCTATTCGGACATTCCTCGGGAGCAGCAGACATCGTTGCTCATCTGCACTCCAATGCCAACTTGACTTGCCCCCTATTTTCCCGCGCAATCGTTCAAAGCGCAATCATCGAGCACAGTCCTCCAGAATTGCATTCAGCTGGATGGCAACTGTCTAGAGCGTTGGCTCCACTGCGTAGCTCTTGCGTCGCACAACTTCGTGCTGTAGATCCTGAATCACTTGTCAACGTCAATCTCCCCTTCCGGGCCGTCGATGACGGTGTCTTCTTCAGGAAGGGATTCAAAGATTTCATTTGCCCGCCTTCGGAGTCGGAAGAACCCCCCAGAGCTCCTCTTGACAGAGGTTTGAATTCATTGCGGTTTGCCATTCGCAAGGACAAAAGCAAGAGCCGAAGCCCACGCCCATTAGGTAACCGTATGCCTACTATCCCCCCTACACCCACTCCTGGTCTCCAGCCCCTCCTCATCGGTGACTGCGCGTGCGACTCTTCTCTTTGGTCTCAGCCTGCACACCAGTGGGCTGCTCCCGCTGTTGTGCGACGAGTTCGTGCAATCTGCCAGTCGATCACAAAATCCTCCGCTCTTCTTAATGCATACGAGATAGCCCCGCACACTTTGTCGGACGATCTTACCGACCGTTTACTCGAGTTCGTGGAGGATGCACGCATAGCATGGCCTACAGAGTGTGTTGTTCAAGCTGAGCAGAGGTCTGGTCGACAGGTCTGGCGTTATGTGTTTGATCAGGAAGGTCCAGCACGGGGGATGCCGCACCACGCCGCAGACTTAATATACTTGTTCGACAACGTCTCACTCGCATTATCAGCTGCGTCTTCACCTACTGCTTTTGACGATGACGAGTCGCTCCCATCACTTCCATCATCAAGATCGACCTCTGCTGACGTGGGCGAGATCCTAGGCAAGATGTACACCGTTGACGAGCTTGAGCTCATGGATGTCGACAAGTTCTCTTACGGCCCAGAGTGGAGTTTCCGTGGGTGGGCCCAACCTGTTGTCGACGAGATGATGTATGCCCATGTGCGAGACGCGATACAGGAACGGTGGATCGAGTTTGCGCAGGGAGAGCGGCCATGGGACACTTCTCGTGGCAAGGTGTATGTCTTTGGCCCTGAGGGCGAAACGGGTGAGCGGAGTGCGGGTATATTTGGGGGTAGACGGCGTCAAAAGATATGGGAGGGCGTGCTGAAGCCTTTGGGCATGACACTTGTGCAGAAGGTCGCACAAGAGCTTAGCAACGGGCCTGGGCTAGCGAGGGTGACCGTCGTGAGTCCAGCCGTGCATCGCGTTCTCTTAAAAGTAGTGTTTATGTTAGTGGGGATAACGACATCTTATTATTGGGTGGGGAGGCTGGTTTGTACAGTCTTTTTTTCCTAGCGGGTTTTACACACGTTCGAGCTCATCTGGCATATTGCATTGTACATTGATCTACATACACGCATGTCCATATTAGTTTACCATTGCATTAGTTAAATAGGAATCGTCTCGCATGCACTGATGCAACGCTGAACAAGTCAGCAACCTTGCCTCGTATTGTTGGTCATGATGCGCACGCCACAATTTGTAAAATTGCGCCTATGAGTGTTGGATTCCGGTCACCCACCGACAAGTTCGGGACACCGCAGGACAACTCCAACCCGCCCCGACGGACAAGCAACCGGATCCGTAGGATAGTTTAACTCCGGAGATGCTAGGATGGCATCCGGACTATATTAGCGTTATAAACCCTATTTAAATCATTCACCGCGGAGCAGTGCTTTACTGCGCAGAACATTGTACATCGCATACCGGGATGAAAGGTATCCCGAATCACTCAGGATTAGCAGTGTTATCATAGTATTAGTTAGACTATAAGTACAGAGTATTATGCACTAGATAGGAAGTCGAAATATTATCTCTCCTATTAGCATAACAAGTTTCCACTTGTTCCCATTGCTCCGATCCACTCCACCCGGCTCCGTTACACTCTGACCAGATCCGTTCCACACTAACCGGCTCCGATACACATCCGCTACGCTCCCCGAAGCTGGCAAGTACAGTAGCCTATCCATACCTGCGGCTAACGCTGTCTACATTATACCATGACCTCTAGAAAGAGGCCTCCGCGGTGCACCGTGATGCTGTCAGATCAGTGAAAACTTAGAAGAATTCATCAAAATTATCGGTCGGCACGAGCGTACTGGCTCGGCATCAAGTTGCGTCACGCGTTGCACTTCCGCCCAACCTCCGCCATCGTGTTGAAGTTCATTCAAGTTGACTCTAAGCTCTTACTTATCGAACTCTCATGCACATGGACGCACTCGGCGAGGGTGACCGGGATGACGATTACTTCTCCCTTCCTGATTTGAAGAGGAACTAATCACACTTGTGAGACGATATGTATTTCGGTGAGTCTGACCTGTTGCAAGTATATGTGAGTATTTCATGTCGGCTCGTTGACTGTGTGGTTGCTGGATATCTACTTTGTGGGCACTGGAAATTCATGTGAAGGCAATGTGTTAATTTGACCCCAAAATCGGTGGGTGAGCAAAAAGACTGTGAACAACTATGATGTGCATGGGTAGGCAAAGAAAGTGATCACACTAATGTCATTCGAACAGACCCACACCGTGGATCATATGACACGGAACGCGACATTTATGGGATCTCACAACATCCCTAATCGTGCCTGAAGCAACTTGTTGACGACATATAAGAGCGACTGTCCCTAGCCAAAGAATTGGTGAGCAATTAAAACAACCACACCGTGTATGTTTTCCTGACCGCAATCCGCTTTCAATTGGGGCTAAATCTAACGATTAACACGTCAGTGCAAACATGACTCGTCTTGTACTAGCCGCGGCCTTGATCATTTACAACCTCTTTGCGCTCAGCACGGGAGTGGACGCCGAATGCGAGGCCTGCCCTAATTGCGATTACGAGAGTATCAGTATATCGCAAGGGGATGCATGTCTCAACTACTGGACGTGCTCAGGCGACACCATCTCGTGCTTTTACCCTTCTGTTGCAAATCCGGGAACATTCACAGAGTGCTCATACAATCCGCCGAACGTAAGTAATTGTCTCTCACAGCAGTACATGCATACTCACCCACCGATGTTTGGAAAATTCCAGGATTGGGCACTTTCATCAGGCCCCAGCGACATATGTTTTCCGTATGCGGGAATTAACTCCAAGTGCCAACCTGGAAATGACCCTTACAACCTTGGCATCCCAGCCTGCACTGCTTCATACGGGTATGTCGGTGGGGTAAACAGTGGACTATTGTAAAGGAAATGGATTAGGAGTCAAAGAGCCTGGTATTGATTGTGGTCGAGTTAGAAATTAGGCAGAAAACCTAATTTCGCAGACAGTTGATTTGGCGTACTTTCGATAGTGGTCTTTCCATAGGCCATCACTCAATCCTATGCTCGTGGTCTCGTGCACGCAAGGTTTCGTTTTTCGTTGCACTCCACACTTGCGACCGGCGAGAGCGCAACGAGCATACGCATAGCACCGAGGCAGATCATAGGTGTTCCTTGTCTTGTCACTGCGTGCAAACCACTCACTAAAGCGACCAATAAAACCACTTCAATTTGTGGGGAAATAATCGTCCACTGTACACATCGCCGCCTCTGGTCAAGTAACGCACATCAGTAAACTACTCGGCTTTGTGCAGCGCTGTTGGAACGCCGTCACAGTAGACGGCAAACACTAACAGGCAATCGGACAGAGATAACGTGGATGAGCTTATGGGATTCGGCGGTACGGTAAGAGATAAGATACAGGTACATCAGCGATGAGTTATATATAATGAATCAACATCAGCAGCCAAACACAGACAAATGCAGCGCGGTGTCCAATCAGCGTAAGCGCATGCTTACAGCTGTACAATTAGCCAGTTCATCACAGTAGCACCTCACTCTGTGAATCTCTGTACAGACATCAGGAAAACGTCGAATCCCTTTTCGGCCCTTAATTTCCTTGGGCAACTCAGTAAGGTGGATAAGCATGTTTAAGGATGCCCAAGGCATTATTCTTCTACTTAGTGAACTTTTGAATAACTGTTTTTAAGGTGGATGTGATTTCTAAGGAGTTCTAAGGAAGTACAAGACAAGTCGAGTGTCACGGCATTAGCATGGGTAAACCCATGGGTATTGAGAGTGCTACTTGCACCCATATGCACAGTATATGCATGGGGATGGTGACGGTGGAGCTGTGCGACATCAAGCCCAGGAGTTCTTTGAGAAACAGCACATCAGCAAAACACTTTTTTTCCCACCACCAAAAAATGGCTGGCCATAGCTTGGTCCCTTCTGTACAGAGCTGTACAGAGCCCACAGAGGCAAAGTGATTTGCTGATGCAGAGCTTGTGCGCTTCACAGGGGACTTGGTAGGCATCGAGGTGGCAGACAAGGACAGCAATAAAGTTGCCTCCATCCGCTTTGATGCAAGAAGCATGCATAGGAGGGCTAGTCTGGCTTGCAGGCCAAGATTACAGACCTTGGACGCGGTTTCACTACTGGCAGAGGATGGCATCAAGGAAGTGGAGGAGCAACCACTGCCAGTGAAAGGTAGATACACCTTCAGGGCCGCAAGAATGTGATCCGGTTTAACAATGAGAGGTGGAGTGGCAAGAGGATTTGTATCTGCATCTTGGACCTTTGAACCTGTGACGGCCAGGTCTATTGTGCCCCAAAGGACCTCGAACAACAATGCTCGAACATCACCAGTTTGTGATGCAATTTTCTTCATGAGGAGAGTCAAGGTTGAAGTAGGAAGAAACTTTTTGACTTGCTCTGTTGCTTGTGGGCATTCTAGAGTATCATAGAGAGGTGACAGACGTGCTTGCAGCACCTGAAGAAGTTGCTGGGAGGAGTACATGCCGAAGTGAAGAGTGAGGGCGCTGGAAGCTTCACAAATAGACAACTGTGCCAAGGAAGATGTGAGGGTATGCGTGTTTGCAATCCCGATAATGCAGAGGGTGGATGGGAGGTGTTGTGAGAGGGAGAAAATTGATGAAAGTGTCTGATTTGAAGATACAATATGATCGAGTTCATCAAGCACGAGAATGCTGGTACCAAGGTCAGATAACGAGATGAGCAGTAGTGACAGTACACACCACTTATTATTTGAACTAGAGAATGCCTTCTCGACTGCTTACTTACCCTTGGCTTTGCAAGGTTTTGCACCATTCTTAGAAGTGCTTGTGTGGGACAACTCTTCACAAAGATGATCCCAGAGGGCATTGACCCCAGTCAAGGCCATGCAATTAATAGATATCACTCTCCGGTTGGACATGCCCTCAGACGCCTCCAATAAACACAGGACAGAGTTGACAAGCGTGGTCTTGCCAGTTCCAGGTGTACCAGAGATGCATAAGGACATGTGTGCATTATCAGACCATGAAGAAGTGATGAATTCCAGAATGTGCTGTTGTTCATCCTCTTGGACAGCTATGGGGGATGAAGTGGTGCTGGTGGGACGAAGAAGTCCTTGAACACGGGTGTATACCGGAAGTAGTAAAACTGGGAGAGTGTCATATCCCATACCTCTGGACCTGGAATCCTGGATCTCCCCTACAAAAGCCTGGGTCTCTGTCCTGTTGTCCGCCTGGCGCTCCATTTTCATCTCCATACTCACACCTATCTCCTTTTAGAATACTGCTCTCTGGCTACTGGTTGTATACCATTCTGCTTTGCTTACTGATCTATCCGTCTGCACTTCATTTCTGACTTCATTTCTTTAATCCGTTATACACTTACTAATAGACTTTCCATATGCTTCAGGCATAGCTTTTACTTTGCTGACTGATTACTTACATGATACCTACAGTATATAAACTCCTGTAAAACTCTGGTACTCCTCAGTTCGAATATCATCTTAGTTCCTGCTCATTCCTGCTTCCCTGGACTTGAGTCTGATCTCTTGTCAATCTCCGAGTCTTAGGGTTATTCCTTAAGACTACATCTCCGGCTCTACCTTATGGTAGTCTATCTCTGTTCCGTTTTTACTCCGGACTTGTCCGAAGTAGCCTTACTCTATTCACTCCTAGCCTTCTGGAGTTCCGCCGAACTCCCCCTGCATCTGATCTCTGGACTTACCCGGACTTCCATTGGACTTTCCTTCTACCTCTCAGAAATTAAGGGCATGTACTCAGGTAAGGGGTGCAGCGCACAAGCTGAAGCCAAGCCCTCTGAGTTACTCTTCCCTTGAGCACAACCTTAACAGAGAGTTGGTGGGGGAGTAGATATTACAAATGTGCAGATGGTACAGGGTGTGGCATTGCTGAAGGTATAGCTCAAGTAGGACTCAGCAGTCTCCTTCATCTTGAGGAGGACCACGGACGAGATCTCTTCACAAGAGTTGGGAAGGTGCAGGTAGAGCAGTGGTGGTGCAAGAGGGTGCATGAGGGGTGAAGCCTGAAAAAAATAGTCATGCGCCATGAATGAGTGTAAATGTTAGCATTGAAAAACACATGAAAATAGCTGTAAGTAATGTACATAGATAGATAGATTTAAAAATGCACCTGTATTGCCAGGATCAAGTGGCGACAAGCACTTGAGTGTGCCAATGCCGCCTGTTGCACCATGCAAGTGATCTCAAATGCGTGGTGATCAGCATATTTGTTGATGAAATAAGATCGGAAGACATTGTAGGAGTCATGTGTAGCAATTGCATGAGGCAAGAAGTTTGAGCCATATACTGGAATAAGATGTGCTGCATGGAAGATGCAATCAATATGAATTATGGAGATGTCTGGTGTGCCGACAGCGTCAAGTGTCGAGGGTGAAACAACATACATCCCTGTGTCTGGATCACGTTCTTCAAGGACATGGGAGAACCAATGAACGACAGCACATTGAAAAAATGATGTGCGATTGTTGAAAGAAAAAAAACAGAGCACTCGTGCAACTGGAAGGCCATTCATAAGATCAGTGCCAGTGTTCATGTTAACAATGACACAATCATGCCGTGGAGCACCTCCACACCAAGATGGTACTGCCCAGATATGTTCGTGTCGCATGCCTCCAGTGCTGCTAAGGTCACTGGGGGCGTAGAATGATGCTGCTGTAGAATTGAAATTTGAGACTTTCCACAAGAACAATAGTGCTGTGGTGGGGTCAAACACAGGAGGGTCAGGGTTGGCAGCATGCACTTGATCATGGAGGAACTGCTGGATCATTTGTGGAAAATTGGGGAGCTCAAGCTCGTCACTGAGTGCACGCACATTCCTTGTACAACCTATGAACAAGTAGCATCCAAGTCAGTACTAGTAAGACTGAAACAGAGTAGGGGCAGACTCATGAGGTGTTGCTGCAAGCTCAACATGAGCCTCCACTGTAGGTCCATCAACTGTTTCGCCAACTTCACCCTCAGCAGATCTATGTTTGGGTTCATTGACATTCAGATACCCAGACCTGTCTTTGAGAACAGGCACTTGATTGTTGTCATTGTCATCAGAGTCTATGTGACCTGTGTAGAATATGAGAATACTTCAATAAATAATATTGAAATCACCTATGACTTTGAAGCTTGTGCAAAGCTTCAGACAGACATGAGCCCCTAAACATTCCATGTGCCTGGAAATCTGTGCGTGTAGCCACCAATTTGTCGAGATGTTGATTTGTGAGCAACATCTGCCCAAGTGCTTTGTATTGGCTCGAGCGGCGCCAGGGCTCCTTGACAGCCTTGACGTGCTTTGACTCTGTAATGGAAGAACAAAGCCCATTGGGGGCCCCAAATAGTTGGATAAGGAGTGAGTAATGGTTTAATGAATGCTGCCATGGCAGCGAGAATGACAGCATGACACCAGTTGTCTTGAATATCTCCTGGTACTGGTGGAACTGATCAAGGGTATCCTGAAGTTGTAGAAGGTTGTCCTCAGTGAGTGTGTCATGCTGGACAATATAGCAAAAGTCGAGGAATGCACTGAAGGTGCGCACTACATCTTCGGGGACATGGCCCCTGATAGCAGGCAGGTAGACCTGATTAGTAGGTCAGCTTATATCCTGGTGTCTGGCATGACTTATAGTGAGAGAGAAGAGAAAGAAGGGAAGTAGTAACAGGGTATGAATGACTAGAGCTAGAGTAGAGGATGTACAAAAAATGAGGGAAAAGGTAACACACCTTCATTAATGCTTTTGAGTCGTCACCAGTCCATTGTTTGAATCCATGTCCTTCAGGAAATTGTTGTAAACCTGCAAAAGGAGCAATGACTGCTATCCTGTGATGATAGAGGACATACTATTAGTGATGAAATGAACAAAACTGGGAGTCTCTTACCTATTGTCAATGTCATCCATAACCTGCATGCCATGCAAAGTACTAAGTGTGTTCTTTAGATAAGACTCCACCCAATCCACCAGATGATCCTTGAAAGCGCCTTTAATAATCTGGTGCAGAATGTCTGGGGAAATCAACTCATGGATATCTGCTCAAGGGAAATCATTTGTAAAGGGCTGAATAAATAAAAGTGAGATATTAAGATGCGAATCATAGCAATTAGACTCACCATAAGGTCACCAACAATACCATATTCCTCCCATAACTTTCCATACTCAAGCTCTTCAGCAAGGAGTTCTCTGTGTTTTTTGCACCAGTGCAAGCACGGTCAATCTCCGTCTAAGTCTCTGTGGTTAGCAAGGCACCTATAATAGTCAGCATCAAGTCAAGTCAGTTGTCATTGAGCAGGTACTTTGGACACCATCCCTGGACTACCCCAGACAACAAGACCTGCTCTGGATAATCTGCAATGTATGGACCCAGTTCATATATGACTCTGCGAAAATGACTGTCAGGGAAGCAAACAATGTCAGGGGTGTTCATGTATGGTTTGATGGCCTTGAAGATTCTGGCAAGCGAGCAATGGAACATTTGCCATCGAAAGTTGCGATAATCTGTATCGCCAGCGTGTTCCTTTGTAGCTATATAAAAAGTGAGTCAGTAAGGACAGAGACATAACAAACAGCTTACTTTTTGGTATGGCGACAAAGCCCACCAAAACCACACCATTGCGATGTGCACATCATGTACTGTTAAAAATGTTGCCTACTGACATATAGAGAGGGTGGTATTCGGTGTGCCCTGTGGCCACCAAAACTGTTGTCTTGTTGCTGCCTATGATTAGCAGCATAAAATTCGATCCATGAGTCTCTTTGTTTTGAGAAATAGTATCTTAAGTAAATAACATGCAGTGCCATCAGTTTTCTACATCAGTGACAGATGTACAAGCACGTACAGCTTGGTTCGATGCCCAGTTGCCTGAGAAAAAGTTCTTGAAGCAGCGCTTATCTTCCAGAGTGTAATCCTGATATGGGACATATTCCATTTCCCTGTCAAAGTCAGGGTTCCTGAGCAAGCCATGCAAAAGGAGATGAGGGTTGCAAAACCAGACATCATATGTTGCATTCATCCATGGAGGTATGTCATGCAGTGGTTTGGTGCCAGTGTAGGACATGGAGAATGTCTCCCATGGAACATCACCAAGTGGTGTCGCATCAATTGTGTCATATAGGTCACGATGACTTGTGAACAGTGGAGCGTCACCGTGCTTAATCAATGTTGCAGCCCACAAGTCAAGGAGAGTGTCAATTTGTTTTGCAGATGTCTGATTCTGCTTGGAAAAAATATTTGGCAGTTTCAAACGTGACTCGGTTTTCATATGGGGTCCAATCATTTGGTGGTGCATCAGTTTGGGGTTGTGGAGGCACATTCTGATCGATAAAATTACCCTCGGCATCACATTTAAGTCCTGAGTGAAGGGTTTGGTTTCAAACACGTCTGCTGACAACAACAGTGCTTACCAGTGAGATGGGCATGAAAAGCTCGAAAAAGAGGTCCCAGTTCTACCCAACTTCCACCCTCAGGCTAAAAACCATTTTGATGCTCAACTTCGGCATTGGGGTTGGGCCCATCAAAATCCTGGTGATTGCAAGCTGGTGCAAAGCCATCTGGATTTTCAAATTCATCGTCAGGGTTAGGTACATCAAAATCCCAATGTTCATGATCAGCTCTCGGCTCAGGATTGGCTGGACCGACTCTGCCAGTGGGTGCTGCTTGGTGATATGACTGGCGATTGCATAGCAGTTCTGGGTGCTTCGTGTGTGTGCGCTTTGTCAGGCCAGCCTTGTTCTTGAACATGCAACTGCAACCAGGGAACTGACATCAGAGCCAAACAATTTTATTGAAGCAAGGGTGGGGAAGTGGTGAATGCAAGTGGGATGGTACCATACTGAAAGTTTTGATCGACACAAAGAATATTTAGTACGAGGCAGTGTAAATATCACGAAGTTAAAGTTTGGAAGGACCAAGTTGAATGCGGAATGCATTAGACTGTGTGAATTGGCTCTAGGGTCAGATTGAGCGCAATAAAGCTCAAAACTGATGAGAAACACTGCCCACCTTTCAAACTCTTTCTTCACTAACAGCCCAAACACTCTTTTCTTGTCATTCATTCAAGCCCTCACATCTATGTCTCAGCGCCCTGTAACCCGTGCCAGTAATGTGGATAAACATCCCGGAGACCTGCTTTGCAATGCAAACCAATAGCAGCACCCAAAGGAGGTGATTGCTGCTGAGAGAAAACAAAAACAAGACCAGAAAGAGACCAAGGCTGCTGCAGCAGAAAAATCACATATCAGGACTGCCATGCAGGAGGATGCAATGGCCCTCCAGCAACAAGCTCAACTTTTAGGCCCTCCAAGACTTGTTAGACCAAGGCCGATTCAGAAGCCTTGTGCACCCAACCAAAGCACAGAACATCCAGGAGATATGAAACCGAGTAAGCACACCATGTAGTTTGTAGTATAAGAGACATACTTACTTGAAGTGGACACTGACTCGCACAGCTGTTCAAACCAAGTCAGCTACTCAGGGTACTACAGGGCAGAAAAGGCATGCAGGTTTATGACTCACATCTAGAGAGAGTGTTGTAGCAAACTGCAAAGTGTTGAATTTCGGTGTCTCCATATCTGATGGGAGCGCCAGTGAGACATGTGTTGGAAGCACTGTCAGCAGGGACATCAGCAAATTGCTGTAAGTTGCTATTTTTGAACCATGATGCTATTGCTTCTATCAGAACTCACACTCTATTACTTCGACTTCATATGCTTGCTTGACTCAATCAGCCAAAGTTCCAAACAACTGGACACATCCGAAGGCATCATTGAGAACTGGGCTGACAAAGTTGCCTTGAAGCCTCAGGTCAAACCATCAGCGCCACCTAGTAGCATCCATACCTCCTGTAAGCCTTGCTTGTCAAGACAACATGCATGCACTAAAAATAAATTTCTTACTAGTTATGAATCATGGAGATGCAATTGACTTTGAGTTAGATGATACACCTGAGGAGTATGAGCCTCGTAGATGAAGGGGTGGGAAAGTGAGTAAATCACCAACTTTGGGGTCCCCACTGATGACTTGAGCCAGGACATTGTACACATGCATCAGAAAGTCAAGAGCACGCAAAAGGGGAGGAAACAGGCATTCTCAGCCATGGATCCAGACTCAGATGTGGAGAAAATGGGATTTGCCACTGAAGAGGTTCTAGAAATTCTTGATGATCCAGAGGCCAATAGCGACAATGAGGACATTGGAATCCATGATGGTGATGTAAACATGAAGGACAGTGATGGTGTGGAGGTTGCTGTTTGCTCTATGACAACTGTGAGTGTTATCTTTTGACCAGTGAGATACCAAGTGACACCACACCATATGATAGATGTTCATAGATGTCTCTGATAACACAACAGTTACAAAGTGCATAAAGACCAAGGATAGCAGTCCCATTCCCACAAGTTCTACTAACAAGGCAGGATCGATCAACTTGAAGAAAGAAAAGCCTAAGAATGCTCACCTACCAAATGACGTCCTCAAGGTTTGGAGAGGGAAACTCATTCCAGCGCTCATGTACTAGGTCGGCAACTCCAGCTACCCCTGGACCATCCCAGAGGATGAACTTTCCAATGCACTGTATGAGATATACCTCGGAATCACGATAGCTGGTGTAAACTGGAGACCGCATGATTTTGAAGTTGGTGATTATAGCTATGAACTGGTGAGCTTCCTTTCACATTTAGAGATGGTACCTAACTCCCCATGGTTCAGGCATTACAGAGGATTCACGAGTGGAGGGCCTCCTTTGGTTCAACAGCAATCACAGTTTTGATGGCCTTCTTTGCCTCGAAGCCAGAGTACCAAACGCAAGCTGCCCACAAAGAATTCGCTGTCAATCAACTTGAGGATTCATGCTTCGTCTATGAGGACCCTGACAATGAAGACCATCCTGGAGCCTTTTTATCAGAGTATATCTTGTGCATCTTCACTGCACATTTAAACGTGATTGCTGGAAACCAGAAGATTGACACCCTGGAGTCTGGAATGCCTTGTTACGAGACTGCACTTGCATTGATGACTGCAGCCGTGAGTCTGGTTGATGTTTTCTGAGCAGTAGCTAATGTTTGCAGGCCGAGCATGTGCTCATCTTGGTGTCCAAAAGTCATTTGCTTCCCTCCAACAACAACAAAAAAAAACCACAAGATCAAACTCACGTTCAATGAGTCAACAAACAGGATGAGTAATACTGGAACTGCCTTCTCTGCTGGGAACTGGGAGACAGACACAATCACATACATGGAAAGGCTGAAGGAGTTGCCACAGTCATGAGTCAAGGAGATTATTGCACGGGCAACTCCTTTTATGAAGTGCCCATGCCACAGTGGTGCATCATCTGAGTTTTCTGTGCCTGGTGTTGAAGCTTCTCTGCCTCCGGTCAATCCACGGTCTCACATTCAATTCTGTATTTTTATTTTTATTATTTTGGTGTGGCTACATTGCTGACATGTTGCAACAGGATTATAATATCATTGTCATATCATTCCCCCTCAATCTCTACTACCTATATTCCGTTGCAAACGAGTTATGTTTGAACTGACTGGCAACAGCTTTTAGACGACACCTGTGCAGTATACCCCCTCTCAAATATTCTTATGCACATTATTGGACTGGTGGCACTTCCTTATTATTTATAGTCACTGCACTTACTTTCCTTGGACTCACTCCTTAAGCTACTTGTTAATTCATTTTCTGTCATGCTAATAGTACCTTTTGACTGCTTTTCCTGTCTTAACTGTCTTAAGTTGTCAATCTCCTTGTCTTAAGGATGAGGTCCTTGTCCTAAGGACGAGGATCTTCTTATTTTCTGCTTATTCTAAGGAACAAAAGTTTCACATGATTCTCCTTATTTTGCAAAAAAAGGCAAATAAGTTGCGTTAAGGATGAGATAAGGGACTCAATGTTTTCCTGATGGAGTCATTGTTGTTACTGAAGGAAGATAAAGCTGCACATGTCATCCAACTGGACACAACATTACCCACTCTCCATGATAGATCTTTATGCTGGCTCATCAATGGTTACCATGCTATTAACAAGCCCAACATAGTCAAACAAGTATCTCACTCACATTGTCCCCATTTTTCTCACTGATGTTGAAACACTTAGTCATTCTTTCAGTGCAAGGCTGGTATGGCATTTAACCTCTCTTTTGCAAGCCTCACCAGTCGTGAGGCTCTTCATGCACTGTGTGATGTGCAGAAAAACAACACCATGACTTGGGATTGTATCAAAACAGGTCAATATAAAACTCCCAAGGCTGACAAGGAAGCAGAGCCACCTTTCACACATGTGGCAGATGTTGAGCTCAATCCTAGCAATGTTTCCATGAATATTTTTCTGCAGCACATTGCATTGGGTGAATCATCTGTCCCTCTTGGCTATAGCGCTGATGAATCAGGTAGTAATCTGCTGGTAGACAACAAGTTGGAGAGCTATGAGCAAGTGGTACCAGTGCTGTCCACAATATTGAATATGATTGACTATTATTTGGATTATATTCAAATACTCTGAATATAATACCCAGGCCCTGTATTCCCAGTCATGAGGAATATGGGTGAATATGTTACAATACATTATGAATACAATACATTATGGTCACTGTATTTATCCATATTCTGAATACCTACAGTTGAACATTGGTGGCCTAGGAACATGAACAAAGAGACAGATTGACCACGTACAATGTGAAGTTTGAACTGTACAGTTTATCTATAAATTTCCCACACACCAAAATTTGGCAGAATCGGAAACATGCTGCAACTTTTGCACTTCAAATCAAAAACATGGCCATATCTGGCAGCCGCAGCACTGATCAGCTTCTTGCTGACCTTCAAATGCAATCACAGGCCTGCCATTGACTGTGCCAGAAGGAACAGAGGATAGCCCTCTTGCCACACATCTTTGTGATTTTGATGTTGATGAGGAAGAGGGGCCGTTTTACTCTTTTAATCGCTCATGGGAATGGGCATTTCAATGTAATGATGATGAGAAAAGAAGCTCATTGTACGTGGCGAGTATGGACTGAAGCTTGCACACAGCTTTGCATCACACTTTGCTCGAGTTCCTAGGATCAAGGTAAATGATGGCCTTACTCTCCTACAAGCTTGGATAGAGACATTGTTGAATCTAATCTACAAAGTGTAAACATACTACCATTGTTCACTTGGGCTGAGCTGTCACTGACTTAGAGTTGTTCTATCAGAGTTCCAACACTTCGGAAGACTGCTGTTACAAGCAAAGCAGCTGCCAGCAGCATGCAAACCCAATTAGTAAAAGAGGCCCAAAACAAAGGCACAACGAGCTCCAAGAAACTCATACTCAGGATTAAGAGGCCACAACAAGAAGGTAAGTACGTCTTTTATATAGTGTTAGTATGTTCAAATATTTGCTAGATAGTGACAAGGATGATCATGACTACCAGCCTCCAAAGAATCATCTGACTTCAGACATTGATGACTCAACTGACGAAGATGTGGTAACTTATGTATAAAATCATGCTTCTACTAACAGAAATGAAATTCACAGCCTGGAAAGGGACAAGCAGTGAAAAAGAAGGTGATATGAGTATAACAATACCATCTTGTGGTTTGCTAACATGTCCATAGCATACTATGACAAAAGATGGTGATACATCTGTAGACGAAGAAGTGGAGGACATGAAGGTCAAATCAGGCCGTGCTCCAACAAAATTAAAGTGGGCCTTCAAGCAGTATGATGAACCCAAGCTCACAGCACATGACAGGAAGCCGATCTGTAAATGGCACTGCCGCTGGTGCAGGTGAGGGCTATCCTTTCCAAATAATAGATTAATATGGCAACTAAAGTGTTGCAGCATGATCCAAACATCCCCATGAATGTTCAAATGCAAATCTTATGCTGATGAGACCATGAAGCTGACGAAAATGAGTAACTTCATCTCCCATCCTGCCCGTGGCTGTAAGAACATCTCAGCTGACCACTCATATGACACATGGGTGGAACAGCAGAATGGTAATAATAATTCCTGTGCTGTGTTGGAGTCCACAGCCCAGTGAGACTTCATTCAGGCATACACGAAGTGAGGTTTTGAGAACCCAGCCCAGCAAGTGACACAGAGGGGCTGGAGAGAGCACTACGTCAAGGGCATCTTAGAAGATGATCTACCTTTTTCATTGGGCAAAAGAGGGGGTATGACGGAAACCTTCACATATATCTTACCTCACAGATACAAAATTCCATCACATCAGACTGTTCAGCATGATCTTGACCGGCTAGAACTGAAGATGAATGAAAAGGTCAACAATTTACTCCAGGTTGTACATTCCAAGCCTTACATCTGTTGTGAGTCTCATTGGTTTACTTTCAGGAAAACTTGTCTCAGATTGGCCTCTTGAGTGATGTCTGGATGAGTAAAAATTCTGTGTATGCCTTTGTTGGGTCTGTTGCATTCTGGATTGACAACAACTGGGACCTACATGCTTGTCCAATCGAGCTACTTCCGCTTGATGGAAATCACTCTGGTAAAGCAACAGGTCATGTTCTTTTCAAGGCACTGCAGGCACGTAAAATTACACAGAAACTCAGTACGTACAGCAATCATACCATACCATTCTATTCTCACAATCAACATAGTTGCTCATGCTACCAATAACATGGCCAGCAATACAGTCTTGAATGAGAATCTCGTAAAGTGGCTCGCCAATGAAAATGTGTTCCTTAATCGAGCCAACTTGCAGATTGGGTGTGCTGCCCATGTCATCAACCTTGTTGTGCAGTGAGTAGTGAAAGTAATAATTTCTCTCAATGTGGCTCACCAAATCTGTCATCTATTAGAGCTATGCACCATAAACTTGGCTGTGCACCTGACCCTGACGAAGATGATCTCTACTTGGTTACCCACCAGTTCCCACTCACCTATGACCCTGAAGACAACCTGGAAGTTCAGGAAGAAACAGGAAAGATGAACAAGGAATTAGCAAAGTGTCACAAATTCCAAACACAAATTATTTTTCATTCCTCGGCTTTCCTCTGGCTACTTCCAGTTACCAAACCGGTCACATGACTTCACTTCCTGTCACACCTTCACCTCTTCACACATCATCCATTGCTTCTCTGAATGGCTCCCCTACTCCACAGGCTAGAACAATCTCACTTCCTAAAGAAGAACCAGTTGGATCTTGGGTTTCTATTTAGTAGCCGTCTTACTCATGATCAGTCATCCGCAGTATCGTATGACTCTTTTCTCATTGGCTGATTTCTTTCATACTCAGATATCTCCTATTCAATGTTATGTATATAAGTAGGTTAGTTAGCATAAGTGCTCCTTAGACTTAACCTCTTCATTTCTACACTTGTAGTAGACTTAGACGTTCACACCCAATCCTATCCTTTTGATCATCATCAACTGTGACTGAATCCCAGTGGTTGTGTGTTAGACTTTGCCATTCGGTGAACTCTAGTCATAACACAAAGGGGGTTCGTGCAGAGGGATCAGATACGAACATGGATGCTGTCTCCGGTGTGAGTGACACCGAATCCGAGACTGACAGACAGGATGGAGATAACACAGATTCCGATGCCTCTGAGTCTGGACTTCCCACAGGCTCCAAGAGCAATAAGACATCAAAGATAGCTTGTAAGAAGACAAAGAAGTTCAGTGTTATCGATAAAGTAAGTCGTACCTTGTTTAATGCTCATTCACTTTCTGACTTGTAATGTCCACAGCTTCATGCCATTGTGGTCAACTCCCTTGCATCTGAAGTCTGACGTAAATGGATGCGTCATCTTATTCGGAAAAACTGTTCTAAAGAAAATCAACATCTTGTTCCCATTCACAGCATGCCCATACGTTGGAACACAACTCGTGCAGAGATTGAGCAGTCTATGAAACTCAAACCAGTGTGTACATTTGTTTGTACTTGTTCGCTTCTGAGTCCACTTTTGACACATCACACAGGCAATTAACCTTTGGGTTGAACATCTTGACGACGGTCTCACTGGAAAGAAAAGGAACATGGCAGTACGAAAGAAAAAGAAATGGTGTCTCAGCTTACTCGACTGGGAGTTTTTGGGATGGTATTCTGACATCCTCGAGGTATTTAGTCACAGCGACTCTCCCATCTATTGTGCACTTCTTGCACTGATGACAATTGTGAAGGTATTTCATACTTCGACACTGTCTTTACAGAAGAAAGGAGTCCCCACAATCTGCCAAACACTCCCACTCTACAAGCAGATGGAGAAACACCTCAAGACACACCTCAAGCGAGTTCCAAAGAAGTGGCAAGTGTACGGACTGACACAGGCTTTGCAAGCTGGCCTCAACAAGCTTCAGCACCACATGGCCAAGGCATTAAAATCTGATTACCCTCTGCTCGGTGGTGGTAAGTACTTTTTTCATCTTACATTAGCAGGTCACTGGGCTGATATTATGTATACTAGTTTTGCATCCGTGCATACGAGTTGCATACTTCAAAGACCAGAACCTACATCAGTAAATTAACACATTTCTTGGTGGACCTTTTGTTGAAAATTAAAACTTATTTTTAACTTATTGACACTTAATCACTTGGTTGTTTGTTTTTACAAGTCAAAAAGGAAGCATATGACACACAAGTGCCAAAAAGTAGCATAAGTCAGTTCAAATATTCAAGGAAGTAAAATAAGTAGTTCAACTTGGTATGTAACCCGCAGTGGGTAACCCCTGCCTCGATCAAGTAGAGGAAGACATTAGCATCCATGTTGCCAAGGGTGAACGTGAACGCCAGATCAGTGTGGATGATCTGCTTGTGCTGGATCAGCAACATACAATACCTGCAAAAAGATCATCAGACGCCAGAGACTAACACTAGAGACATACATACATACCTCCCTATCCTGCATTGGAGCCACCTTGACAACATGAAGATGCATTGCGAGAGTTCAATTTCTTTGTTGGAATGAGGTTGAGAGCAGAAAATTGAGGACAGGAGATCCATGAGGGCATCTGAACACGAAGGCATTATGGTGTGGGGTTCAGTCCCTTTGGTGTTGAGTTGAGAACAGGGCAAGAGTGAGGATAGGCGAACAAGGAGGGCATGCAGATGTAACCACGAAGATGCAGAACTCCCCATCCAGACCCAAGTCTACATGGGCATGCATCCATCATGTACTCGGCATGTACTAGATATATGGGTGTAGGTACAATGTATGTCAGTAATAGCAACACAATAATGAGATCAACAGACTCACAAACAGCGACCAGCAGGCAATGACTTCAATTGGCATGGCTCTTGCTCGAAGCGGGATCACACACTCACTTCCTGCGAATGGCGGGAAACAACTTGGATCAGCATGGCCTGAGCTCGAATGAGGATTGACACACTCACAAGCTGCAAACGGCGGGCAATGCACTGTGAACGTTTGAACAGTGGGAAACGACTTTTGCTTGAACAACAATTGACCATGTCAATTTTTCACACGGTCTCACGTGACACGTTTGAACATCAATTTTTCTTACAAGTTCAACGACTTCATTCTCAACCTTCCACCAACTTCATGATGCCACACATCATCTTGCATACCTCCAGGTGAGTCCTTTATTTTTTATTGTATTGTACTAATGTGTTTGCCCTGGTGCAGCCTACCCTCACAGTTAACCTTATAGCCTTACCCCAAAATTACCCTCAGTAAGTCTTCTATTTATTTTTTTCTCGTCTTTCATTCTCTCGCTTACTGCTCTCAGCGTCTTGTCCTCCTTTCGGCGTCTTGTCACTTTCATTCTCTTGCTTACTGCTCTCAGCATCTTGTCCTCCTTTCGGCATCTCATCAGTGTCTTGTCCTCCTCTCAGTGTCTTGTCCTCCTCTTGTGTCTTTTCCTCCTTTTGGCATCTTGTCCTCCTCTTGTGTCTCTTCCTCCTCTCGCATCTCAAGTCTTCTATTTATTTATTTCTCGTCTTTCATTCTCTCACTTACTGCTCTCAGCGTCTTGTCCTCCTTTCAGTGTCTTGTCAATGTCTTGTCCTCCTCTTGTGTCTTTTCCTCCTCTCACATCTCTTCCTCCTCTCGCGTCTCTTCCTTTTGGTGTCTCGTCCTCCTCTCCACGTCTCTCCACCCTGGGCACTTGTGCCTTCACCATGCGCCTCCTTATTGTTTCTGTCAAGCCACTTTTTCATGCTCATCCATGTAGTATGTGAACACATTGATGAGCGCATTTGAGACTGACTCATCGACAGTCTCTGACGATCTGATGTACGCGCCTGGGTCTTCCCACCGCTGGGAAGGATATAATCCATCATAGTTGTCAACAATACCAGTGGAGTCTGGTGTGGGAATGTATGCAGTGGGTGCAACAGCCTTCTCTCCACGTGTTGAGTGACCCACTGACCGAGTTCTACTACATAGCACTAGTACTACTTTGTTATATTATTTATTTTGTCTGAAATACAGTGTTTTGTGGTTATTATCTCAACAACTGTGAAATAAGTGTACAATAAGTGAAAAAAGTATCTTGAATTTTTGCTGCTTGCAATGTAGGAACAAGTACAATATAAGTGCCAAAAAAGCTAAAATAAGGTCGAAAAAAAGTTGAAGTCAAGAGGAGGCATCTGCTTTTTCGACTTATGATTGCTTGTGGCAAGTTGGTGTCACCATTCTTGCGAATGACTTGTCCACTCCTTTTTTGTAACTTGCCACCAAGTTAACCGGCGGCAAATTACAAAAAAGGAAGTTCAAGAAATATGTGAATTTACTGATGGCCTATGGCCTATGGCCCACCGGCAATCTTGGCAGTTGTGCTCATGTCTTGCTTGAACATCTTTACAAGACTTATATGACCGATGATGGCACCATTAGAAAATTGTCCACTACCATTCCCACATCAGTCCCAGTCTCGCCATCAAAGTCTGCCCTCATTGCAGCTTTGACCATGTCTCACAGTGGTTCCTCTACAGTCCGGAATGAGGTAGACATCTATCTAAGTGGTTTCTACCCTTGTCCACCCGAACAAATGACCAATCCCCTTCAATGGTGGAAGGTGAGTACACTTCTCATATAATTCCTACTGAAAATGTCTCACTGTAGTCTTTGCAGCAACATGAGATGACATTTCCTATCCTGTCGCGCATTGTTCGTGATGTCCTCACTATACCCACTGTCAGTGTTGCCGTTGAATGTCTGTTTTCCAGTAGCAAACACACACTTTCCGATTCACACTCCTCGATGACTGCGGAGACTGCTTCTGCCGCTGTCATCACCAAGGAATTGTTGAAGCTTGGCCTCGGCGATGGAATTCAGTACCTTGATGGTGTTTCTATCCATTAAATATGAATAGATATGAATACCTATGAATACAATATGAATACAATAACACTATCATTAAATATCTCAGGTACAGTCGACTATGTGTATCAGGATGATTTTCATTGATACAAATTATTTTGTTGTATTATTCTATTTGTTCTTTATGAAATATGTATGTTTCTCCACTAACATTCCCCTACTAACTGTTGTCATCCACTCACCGTGCTCATTGCCATCATCGGCCCCAGCATGCTCGTTGTGCATTTTCATCAGTCTGCTCTTTGTCACACTCAATGTGCCACCACCAGTAACTGTCATCATCAAATCAGTGCTGTGCTCGTCATTGTTGGCCCCCAGCGTGCTTGTCATGCATTTTTGTCAGTCTCCTCATTGTCACCCTTAACGTGCCGCTGCCACTAACTGTTGTTATCAATTCAGCGTGCTCATCATTGTTAGCTCCAGTGTGCTTGTCGTCAGCACCAGCATGCTCATTGTTGTTGGCTCTACCATTCTCGTTAGTCTACTTATCATCACCCTCCATGTGGCGCCGCTACTAACTGTTGTTATTAACTCAGCGTGCTCGTTGTTGTCATTGGTCCCAGTGTGCTTGTCGTCAGGACCAGTGTGCTCGTTGTTGGTCATTATCCATGGTTCATTGCTCAGGATGTTCTCTATCTTTTCCTCAACTCAATGTGCTGACATGTGCAAAGTGTACGAAGCTTGAAGCTGCAAGCGCAGCTGACCAAGAATTGATCATGGTGTGTGCTCACCCCACTTCGTACCAACATCTATATTCACCAGTACTTTCAGCAACAACCACAATGTGAATCATGTGGTTGTGTTTACCCTTTCTTGCGCTTGCCCTTATGTGCTGGTTGTAAAGACAGCCACAATGGTGAGCAAATGTTTGGAATTCTCAGTCCATGCCTTGGTCTAATGTCATACTTAGTGTCGAATGAACTGTCAGGCAGTAATGCAGCCAGTGCTAGTCAGTCTATTCTACACCGTCAGAATGTGCATAGCCGTGAGGCAAGTCAGCATTGACTCAATCAGCCATGGCCACAAAATAATTCAACATTGAATGCAAGTGATGTAAAGCGGAAAGTCTCTGCTCTTAAGGCCAATGCTTGAGCAGTGAAGATCAATGTTGATTTCACGCTTCAGCAATATCTCGCCAGCAGTGTAAAGCCTTCTAAACTTGCTATTCCCTCGTCATGAGTTGCTTTTGCTACTGTAGACCAGGCTACTACTGCTTTCGAACAATTAGCTTTGAAGGCGAGAGGCTTATATGAGAGTACTCCAACACTTTTGAGGCTTTCTGAGGCTGCTCTCAATCTTATGTTCGACTGGTAATGTTACCATATAATACTGGTCAGCTGATGAATACTGACGAGCTTTATGATACAGGCATAGGATAAAATATTGCATGGTACTCAATAACACTGCCGTCAATTTGGTCGAGGAACATAAGTATCTAGTGGGGGCAACTATGAACACCCTCTATGGGAAGCTGAAACAGGATCGAATGTTGTCTGAGAAGGACTTGTCAGCGAAGACCCCAAGAATCACTCTTCGATTGTTCCTGTATGTTCCTGACAAGGTAAATAGTCATCTGTATCGAAGCCATTGTCTAACAACACACCAGCCTGAGGATGAGGATGTCCACGAAGTGCAATGAAGCCGACGTGCTTCAAAAATGAAATCAACTGCACCGAGCTCTTGTCAGAAGCGAAAAAGGTCCCCCACGGCATCACCTGATCGTCCGCCACCTGCTAAGCATTATCAAAGCTTATACCAGTCCAGGCAGTCTGCTACTCCACCTGTGCTTGAGTATGAAACCTTCGAAATGAAGCAGGCAGTGTGTTCTGTAAGTGAGTCTGGTGAACTAAAAATGGACTATAGTGAGGAACCAGAGGATATCATGGTCGTCAAAGGTTGGCAATCCCATATTAAGGCCGGAAAACCCCACCAGGGTTATCTTGGCCAAGGACTGACAAAGTTTGTCTTTCAGGTGAGTTATACTTTGTTCAAGTACTTACAACACTAATGATAGATTACAGGGTCGTCATAACAACACTGACTGTGCTATCCTCCAATGCAAATGCATTCATTCGAGCGAGGCAGACAATACAACAGATTTGCAGGCTGAACTTGAAACTCTTCACCTGGCTCAGTATTTCTTAGATTCTTTCTACAGATGAGCAGAAAACAATGGTGTCCATACTCTTCCCAGTAAGCTTTGAGTTATCACATGTGAGTATTAGAAGCTGACTCAGACACAACACAGAAATGAGATGGAATATTTCTGGGGCCTTTATCAGGAAATTGATTGGAAAACTTGCTGACGCTCCAAACAATGGAGAAGATTTGCGCAGCCTCGTATTTAGTGTTTTCATGGTGCTTCCGCTTCTCCCAACTGGTGCCTTGTGTCAAGAAATTGAGTTTTCTGGAAGCGAAGAAGTGGGAGTTAATCACAACTCACTTGGCAGTGCCATGGATGCATATGCACACCATGTCGTTGTTGATTCAATGTATGAGATTGTCATATCTGATATTCAAGGCAAGTTTATGTGTCTATTTTGTTTTGTTGATCTCACGTCACCCACAGGAATTATCACACCTGATCAAGCTATCGTGTTCTTCAATCCCCAATCTCATACATGTGTACAACTACAAGACTTTATTTCTGATGGTCACATCTAACCTACATGTTACAGTGCACAAGCTGACTCGGGCTACTGGGATTGAGGTCAACCAGCAATTGACACATTTATGGAGTTACATAAATGTAATAAGTTTTGCAAGGCTCTTGGTCTTGAAGTTCAAACTCACACTACTGATCCTCAGTCCAGTAATAATCACAAAGGACCTCTTCATATTGGTTTTGATAGTTAGATGCTTACGACGGCTGTCATTTTTCAACTCTTCGACACTTTAGTTTCACATTTAACATTCACATTAATTTTTCCATCTGATTCTTGACACCTATTTGAGCACAGCAGCATATATCCCTACTACTAGCATATGAATCTACATTAATGGTAGCATCACAGAAAAAATCGGCCAAACATTCTGGAAAGTTAAGTCCTTGAATCCAAGGTCATCGAAAATCAACTGCGCATGGGCACTATACTCAGTGTTGACAAAACGAACAAGGTCTTTGCCACCAATCTCCACCATTAGATTCTTGACAACATCCCGATCCACATACTGCAGACAATCCTCCGCATCGTAGTCTTTGTAAAGAGCCATAGCAATGTTTGATGAGACACCTGATGGTAATATTTTATTCCAATCGAACCGGACAGTATGAGTGTTGAGGCGGTGTTTAAGTTTATCAAGTTCTTGCTGGATCAACTGTGGCCACAACCACTGGACGAGATCACTGAAACATGACTTAGAACAAGTAAAAAAAAAAAGTCATATGTCGCCATACTATTGTCATGGATCTCATTGTAGATTTCTTCACCTGCTTCCCAAAAGACCTTGACATTATCTCCCCACTGGAGCCGCACATGAAGCCAGCCACATTTGATTGTGATATTGTGAACACTTTTCAAAAACCAGTGAGCAGGCAACACATCAGTGGATAAGTTCAGAGAGAAAAATTATCTGTAGCATAGTATACTTAGTATATCCACACTCGTAAGGTATTGAGCCATACTGACCTTAGAGCAGTTGTGAAACCATAGACTTTGGTCGTCTCACTTCCGCAATTGGTCGTCATTTGCAGTGGCATTCCTGGGTAGATGATTAACTATGCTACTCATATACATCCACAGAACATACCACCAGTTTCGTAGATGAGAGACAAATAGAGGTAGGCAATGGAGGTCCTAAGGCGATTATTTGGAACCACCCACATTCCAAGCCACTTTCTGGACCATTGGTCACGGATTGCCCATATCGGAAAACCTATCTTGCTTAGTTTATTGTGCCCATCACCACTCCATTGGTGATGAGGGCCAAGCGAGACTAATGGCTGTCGAGACACCTTCTTTTTCAAAGGTTCCCATTGGGTAAATCCATCAGGCTTGTGGTACCTCATTTTGTCCGTCACATATTGCCTGCATCGAAATTAGTTCACACAAACCTACATAAGAGTGTCAGGTTACCTCGTCAGTAGATGTCCCGTGTCAGCCATGATGGCTTCGCAAACCAAACGTGGCCCACGACAGTGGAGTGGATCTTGGGCAAGCTGGTTGAGCACCAGCTGTCGCTTAGTTGGACCAGGCAGCGAGTGAGTTGACTGGGCACTTCCGAGAAGTCCAAATTGTTGCCAACATCGAGCAACAGTCGCTTCGCTATTGACAATACATAAGCATGCACACTTGCAGTGGACACTGTCAAACTCACCTCATAGTAACACCATGTTCCGCTTTGAGAAGACAACTGATCTTTTTCCTATCCATGATACCATCGCGGTGATACTGGGTGAGAATCTGCTTGATCAATTGATCATTCTTTCAAGCTATCACAATATACAGATTAGCATAACTAAGTAGACTGATATGGCGGTACTCATGGCAGTCTTTGTGTTGATTTCTGCCCTCAGGATTGTTTGAGATATGAGGAGATGCACCATCCTCGACAAGTAGAGATTGCGGCTCATTGTGAGGATCATTGTTTGAAGTATTGGCATCATAAGAGTCCATCAGCGGTACAGAGGATCTAATGTCATGGACGCATGTAGCTAGTATCACATGAGAAGAAGGAAGGAACTATGAAAATGAAAGATTTTATACCTGTACATCTCCAATATTACCTGCCCACACTGACATGGTGGCGTTGAAGTATGTAACCCTCTAAGTGCAACAGGTGCAAGGGCAAAGACATATTAGTACATGAGTTGGTGATCAATGACATAAATCAACTCACCTCGACATTCAAACCACTCTGGAGGACAGACTCCACTCAACTCAACTATGCATGACCAGCACAAGTGCCTTGGTGGATGGTGGCAATGAGCACGCTGGGGGCTGACAACGATGATGAGCATGGCACTGATTTGATGATGACAGTTACTGGTGGTGGCACGTTGAGTGGGACAAAGAGCAGACTGATGAAAATGCACGACGAGCACACTGGGGCCAACGACGACGATGAGCACGGTGAGTGGATGACGACAGTTAGTGGGGAAATGTTAGTGGAGAACAAGAGGCGTGCGATACAAAGAAGCAAGACACTAACATACAAATTCTCCAGAGGGGGGGGGAGGGGCCCCACATGATAAAAATTTCCTTATCTAGTTTAATTTTTACAATTGGGATTGCAGGAAGTACAGGCGCGATCGAAATATGACATTGGCATTTGGGGACCCAGAAAACTGCTGATACTATGAAGTGAGGCATGAAAGCAAGCAAAGACACAGCGAAAACATAGCAAATGAGTAGCAAAAGCAAAGACAACAGGTCTAAGACTAGTACGGCAATGAGTAGCAAAAGAATGAGTATCAAAAATGAATCGCACAATCAGTGACAAGCTCTCTTAGTCAACGAGGCAGCAGAGGCGACCGTCTGACTAGCAGTAGGCTTCCGTTTCTGATTGTGGGAGGATGAAGCAGGCTGATTCTCTTTGTTTTCCAGAATGAATGTGAATGCAGGTCGAGCAGGGACACCTGCCTTCTTCTCCTCGGCGGCAGTGAGAGCAAGTGCGTCATACATATTGCGAGGAAGGAGAGCTCCAGCTGGCTTGCCTGGATGTGCATACTCTGGGTGCTGCTGGTCCAAGTGAGTCTCCAGATTGTAACGCCAGACGGCAGGACGCCAGTCGGTGTCTTGACCATGATGGACACACAACTTGCATACAATTGGGACATTGCGACACGGACAAGTGTTGGACCCTTTGATAGCGCTCCCATACTGGAATGACTCTTTGCGGGGACATTTCATCTCCCACCACATCCTGCATGTGTCCTTCAATGTTAGTGCACAGTCTGGATTGTTAGACTCGCCACAGAATCCGCAAGGCAAAGAACCATCAATTGGAGTGATGATGTTGTTGGTGACTCCACGAGCAGCATGGAGAATATGGATGCCCATGTGCGAACGGAGGTCCTTTGTCTGATCACCACACAGTGGACACGCACTTGTCACTGCTTGGCCACGTCCTGATGTAGTTAGAATCTCCGTCCCTGCTGCACAAACGAGGGCATCTGATCCTGCGGGCAAAATAGTAAGCGCCAGTATTGTGAAACAAGACAAGACTCACCAATATGTGTCTTGTATGGAAAGCCAGAGTTTTCACTTGCGAGTGAGGTGATAGAATTAATTGGCATCTTCAACTCCACAACCTTCATCCATAACAATCCCACAGCAGCCTGCAATGCTTCATTGGCCACTGCCCATGTCACTCCCTTCGAGTTGACCTCATGCATCTGCTCTGGCGAGAGGTGGTCTTGCGCATCCATGACACGAGGATTTACAAGTTCGAGGAGGTGTCCGGGGATGGATATAGTGACTACCTTTAGTGTGCACATGCTCATCCCTGGAACAATGGAAGTGGTCTTCAAATAGGAGCCAGTCCAAACCCAAAGGACGTCAGGCTCAGATGTTCGTGAAGGTACCAGAGTAAGAATCTCCCCAGTAACCTTCACATTGCCTCGCGGAGACGTTAGAGTAGCAGTCTTGATTTGTGTACGAGCAGTACTGTTTTCTGAGATTGAGGTTGCTCGAACGAGGGCAAGGGACAATACTTTGTTTGTCGTTCGGATGAGAGTAAGGAACAAGTCTCCCATGAGGAACTGATCACCGTGAAGAACATGGTCGATTTCGACATCGTCAAACCTCTTGTTGACAGACAAGAACCCTTGTACACGAAAGAGCCGAGCTTGTGATTTGGGAGTGAAATTTGGAGTAATGATGAGTCGGCAGACACTTTGCTTGTGTACCCACTTCTTGTCGCACCAAACAAAATCTGTGCTACGAATGCCAGGACCACTTGGTGGTGCTGTTGGCGAGGGTTCTAGCTCGGAGACAGCAAGCTCGGAGACAGCATGATCAAGTTCCACATGCGTAGTCTCGGATGTATCGTCGAGCATCTCCTCAAATTTGAGTGCCAGTTCGTCTTCTTTGTCATGTTCCACAGGCGCTGGGCAAGGGTCATGCTAAGGAAGGGTCTCAGCTCAGCGAAAATTTAACATCATGACAATACTCACCTGCAGGTCTTGGATAGTAGTTGGTGTAGTTGGTGTCAGAAGCGCTATGAGTGACCGATCTTCATCCCCTTCATCGTCATCAACGCTTGGATACCTTCCCTCACCAAAAACACATTGCAAATTAATCCCTGATCCAGGGAAGAAATATGAATCGAAGTCATAGGTTGAAACAGGCATCTGCGTGAGTTGTAGAATGTTGGTAGCCTCATGTCGACCCTGTTCCCAAGCGCTCTGGAGGTCGCAGTTGCCGGAGATGATGTCGCTGACCCACATTGAACGTCCGATATGATCAACTGCCTCTGAACGTGTGAGGTTAAGGCGGCGATGGCCATGCGCAATATCTGGGTTACGAGAATACACTCCACCAATGTCACGAGCGGCACCAAGCTGGTCAAGTGACTGCTTGTAATTAATAGCACTATTGTGTCCGCCACACATGCAGAGAAAAGTGAAGCATAGCTCGATAGCGTCATCGCCAACATCAAGGAGAGAGAAGGGTGCCTGAGGATTGAGCTTTTGTTGCTTTTTGATACAAAACACAGTGTTCTTGAAAAGTGTTTGAGTGTCATAATAGAGTTGGTTCGGCATAAGCGAGCACCGTTGGTCCCAGAAGCAAGCATAAAGGAGATGGGCGCAGCAGCTGATGGAAATGACTTGTTGAGTGAGCAAAAGTGTGATGTCGATAAATGGTCTGAGCAGGCTGTGGAGAATACGTGATAGAATTCTGATCGCATCGAAATCAGCTATGGTATCAACACTGGGCTGCGTCAGTTTGATGTCACCAAGCGCAATGACAGCATTCATGAGCTCCACTGCACGTGGTACGTCTTGGGGGTCATCTGGATATAAAAGCTTGAGTGCACGGGCCTCGTCAATTCCCTCAACCCATAAGAGGTACCGTTCGAGCATTGTTGAATTAATAGCACGTCCATTATTGAGATGCATCCCAGCACGGGAACAAATCAAAGTGCTGAAGCCTACAGTGGATTAGAAACATATGAGAACGCAGTAACAAAGGCACCTACGCTTGAAGACGTGCTTATAATCGAAATCGAGCATGATTTCGTGTGCACCAGTGAGCAGGTTAAGACCTGGGAGATTACTGAGGGTGCCGTAAAGTGGTGACATTAATGGAAGAGGTGTCTGGATGAATGTGCGATGTCCGGCTTTCCGCCGAGTTGCATCACCATCAGTTGCGAAAGACCAGATGGGTCCTATCTCCTTGTCGGCTCCACTTGCGTACCAAGAGTTGATGGTTGTGTTGAAAATGAACTCCATGTCACTGGCATCTTCTGATTTGCAGGTTGGTGCCACAAGTATGGGATAAAGGCCATCTTCACTGAAAACATGAGCACCAACAACCATAATCTCTTTGCCTAAATGAACCCTTCCAGCCTTCAGTGCGTCGGCAATATTGAGTGCAGAATGATAGTTGTTGAGTGTCACATCTACACAACTAGAGTGTGTCCAGCATAGCCCCCCAATGCTGTTGGACTGTGGTAAATATACGGCTGCTTCCTCAAGTGCAGTCTCATCAACAAGAAGGCTGACACCACAAAGTGTCATGAGTCCAGCTGTAGCACAAGGTACCAATGCAACAGAGGTGATGTTTTGTTGAATAATGTCCTGCATGATACGTCCAACGGTAGGCACAATCTTAACGAATGAAGTATGGCGATACAGTGTTCTTAGTGACGGAATAGTGAGACGTTGGTTGAGGGAGTACAGGAGACCCTGTCCTCCAAGTCGAAGAATGAGAAGTGAGAGATCGAGAGCCTCTTGCGAATGTCCTCATGGCTGATACCCACATTCAAGGGCTTCTTCAATCTTGCGAAGTATAGCACTAATACTGGCGCCATTCCTGAGTGCCATCTGAAGAAGATTCCATAGCCATGGCACATCAGACTGCGCTAGCGCCATGACTAAGGAGGTATGGTCTTCTAATTCAGACAGAAGGCGTCTAATCTTGCAGCTGTCATTCAGGCCCTTCATAAGATGTGTCAGTACAATCTACACCAATACAGAGACCTGAAACATACCCGTAATTTAAGAGCATTCATGTTTTGATCGCGCTCGTGTATGACCTCGACGAGTTGAAGGGGAGTAAGAAGTCTGCGACGTGTATGCGGTCGACGGACTCTTGCATTCTCCGCAAGTGCTTTGAGCTTCGGCTCAAGATGTACACAGAAATCGCATGGCCCAGCGTCATCGCCTGCCTTTTGAGTGCAGTCGAACGAACGAGCAAGTGTGTTGCGAGAGATGACCTCGATATCGAATGAAAGCTTGTCTGGGCCCTCTGCCAGACGTAGCCAAGGCAGGTTTGCATGTGTGGGTGTGCCGACAGGGTTTGGCCAGTCAACGATCTGGAAACCTGGACACTGTAATGGCGCAATGATGGCAGTACTAGCCTGTGACATATCACTAGTAGGAGGAGAATCGCTAAAATACACTATATTAAGCACTAACAATAGAAATATGATACAAAACTCACGGTATATAGAGATTAGGTGTTGCCCAGGACACCAGCTCAGAGTTCACAAAAGCAGTTGCAAGCGTCAGGCGCGATTCCTTGACAGTGTCGCGAACCTTCGATTTTTCATGACAAGCGCCATAGTGTTGTTCTAAAGGCATGAACTGACCGCGAGTTGAGAGTTTCACATAGCTTCGAATACCAGACTTGATCCAGCAGCCACGGGGACATCGTAACTCCCAAACCTTCAAATCATTGATTTGGACTTCGAGTTCATTGTACTGATAGAGGGTGAGAAAAGCAGTACTAGTAGCCTCCATGATGAGGCGTTCTTTTTCGTTTGGGTCGAGAGTTGGAGTTGAAATATGCTGGTGGAAAGACTCGGACTGGGGATTTGCAGGTTCATGCACAGGATGAGAGTAAAGAAAGGGCTGGATAATGTGTGGCGAACTTGAACTCAAGGCAGACAAGGACGGTTCATCAGAATCAATCTGATAAGCCGTATAAAGCATTGCGCCAGGCTTCTGAGAAGGGTTTACATCATCATTAAGACCGTGAGTTGCTTCGGCCATCAAAATCTGGCCATTATACGTGAAATTAAAGTGAGAATCATCTGGCATGGTGGTATCAATGTCCTGGTATCATAAACTAATGCAAGAAGTGGGAGGAAGGGAAAGAGAGAGAAATGCGATGCGTTGAGGATGCGTCCGTTATATATTCACTCGATTGCACTCGATCACTAGCACTTTGCATCATAGCTCAGTTTGGAAATGTCTAAATATCTGCCCTCAGATGTGACTTGACATGAATTGACATTAATTGGGTACTTTATTGCCTCATATAAGTACCTAGTGCTATTCTAAGGGTCATTTGAATGAAACTTTCCGGTAACAAACTATCATTTCAAGATGTTTTGCAACCGCTGTGCAAAGTTCGAGCATCAACTGCAAATTTCGCCAAAGTGGCTGAGATCGGGACCCCAGACACCAGTTTGGGGGGGAAGGTACGAAAGGAGTGGTTCGGGATTCGCACACCTCTTGGTGGAGAAATGTATGTACTGTATAATTTTGACCTTAGGTTTGTGGGAGTTTCTGCACTGCATTACCTAATGGCTTTGTGACAGGTTCGTCTCTCGAGGACAGCTGTGACAAACTTACAATAAGTTCATAAGGTTCATATATACATGTTCAGTAGGATAATATATGTACTTTCTACACAAAGTATAGCCCAAAAATGACAATAAGGAGTGGAAAAAGTGGTTAGGTGAATGTTTTCATAAAAAAACATATCTCAAAACAAACATATCATATGTTATGTCACAAAATTAGGTTCGTCAACCCAAAAACAGCTGTGACTGTCACAAAAAATAGGTTCGGTTCATCAAGCTAGCTACAGTGTGACAAACCTAAGGTCGAAATTATACAGTATTTCGTAAAGAACAAATAGAATAATACAACAAAATAATTCGTATCAATGAAAATCATCCTGATACACATAGTCAACCTGTACTCAGGGCAGATTGAGAATATAATATGGTTAGAATAAAATATGCCCTCAAGATTATTTTATTCATATTTGGACAGCACTGAGTGGTACTGCCAGTGGATGACATGGAGCTTCAATCTACAGTGAATGGGTCTGAGGAGGTTGAGGCTGGGAGCTGTGGCAAGCACAGATGTGTTGCAAACACTCAGTACAAGAACTTTTGGCTGAACTAGATGTTTTTTTTATGTTTTTACCATATGTCACAGTTTAGGTTCGACGGCCTCGAAATTGGTGTGACCGTCACACAAAATAGGTTCGATTCGCCAGGCGTGTGACGGTGTGACGAACTTAGGTACGTATCTCTACAGTATACCATAACCTCTAGAAAGAGGCCTCCGCGGTGCACCGTGATGCTGTCAGATCAGTGAGAACTTAGTAGAATTCATCAAAATTATCCCTTCCTAGCCATAGCCAATACACGAACACCCCGAACCGGCCGAAACTTTTCCTTACGCGCGCTGCAAGTCGGCACGGGCGGACTGGCTCGGCATCTTGCGTCACGCCTTGCACTCGAGTCCGTCCAACCCCCGCCCGGCGCCATCGCGTTGCTTCATTCAAGTTGACTCTAAGCTCTTACTTATCGAACTCTCATGCACATGGACGCACTCGGCGAGGGTGACCGAGATGACGATTACCTCTCCCTTCCTGATTTGAAAAGGAACTAATCACACTTGTGAGACAATATGTGTTCCGGTGAGTCTGACCTGTTGCAAGTACATGTGAGTATTTCATGTCGGCTCGTTGACTGTGTGGTTGCTGGATATCTACTTTGTGGGCACTAGAAATACATGTGAAGCAATGTGTAAATTTGACCCCGAAATCGGTGGGTGAGCAAAAAGACTGTGAACAACTATGATGTGTATGGGTAGGCAAAGAAAGTGATCACACTAATGTCATTCGAACAGACCCACACCATGGATCATATGACACGGAACGCGACATTTATGGGATCTCACAACATCCCTAATCGCGCCTGAAGCAACCCGTCGACGATATATAAGAGCGACTGTCCCTAGCCAAAGAATTGGTGAGCAATTAAAACAACCACACCGTGTACGTTTTCCTGACCGCAATCCGCTTTCAATTGGGGCTAAATCTAACGATTAACACGTCAGTGCAACCATGACTCGTCTTGTACTAGCCGCGGCCTTGATCATTTACAACCTCCTTGCGCTCAGCACGGGAGTGGACGCCGAATGCGAGGCCTGCCCTAATTGCGATTACGAGAGTATCAGTATATCGCAAGGGGATGCATGTCTTAACTACTGGACGTGCTCAGGCGACACCATCTCGTGCTTTTACCCTTCTGTTGCAAATCCGGGAACGTTCACAGAGTGCTCATACAGTCCGCCGAACGTAAGTAATTGTCTCTCATAGCAGTACATGCATACTCACCCACCGATGTTTGTAAAATTCCAGGATTGGGCACTTTCATCTGGCCCCAGCGACATATGTTTTCCGTATGCGGGAATTAACTCCAAGTGCCAACCTGGAAATGACCCTTACAACCTTGGCATCCCAGCCTGCACTGCTTCATACGGGTATGTTGGTGAGGGAAACAGTGCACTATTGTAAAGGAAATAGATTGAGGAGTCAAAGAGCCTGGTATTGATTGTAGTCGAGTTAGAATTTAGGCAGAAAACCTAATTTCGCAGACAGATGATTTGGCGTACTTTCGATAGTGGTCTTTCCATAGGCCATCACTCAATCTTATGCTCGTGGTCTCGCGCACGCAAGGTTTCGTTTTTCGTTGCACCCCACACATGCGGCCGGCGACAGCGCAACGAGCATGCGCATAGCACCGAGGCAGATCATAGGTGTTCCTTGTCCTGTCACTGCGTGCGAACGACTCACTAAAGCGACCAATAAAACCACTTCAATTTGTGGGGAAATAATCGTCCACTGTACACATCGCCGCCTCTGGTCAAGAACACAGTTGTCGGACCTGGTTCCTGACTACCAAAAGGTAAGCGAAAAGCTGCTCAGAGCGCACAACTCGGATATTGCTACAATGATGAGAGCTATGATAATTACGATCCTCTTGGATAAAGGAACAGCTGGATGTACTGTAGGTATGGCAGGCTAAATATAATTATTTGTTGGATTCTTCAGTATAGCATGGGTATAGAGCACTAGCCCCTGTCCCGTGTTAATCTTTAAAACTGGTCACCGTCATTACATAGCCGTCATTTCCATGGTGAACCCTGGTGAGCCTTTTACATAACTCTGTGTCATACGCATTACTGTTCCTTTTTGGACTTCTAGGAACCAGGTTTTGACGATCACGATTCATATCCGGGTGTGGTGATATCCTCGAGCTACTCATTCATTGCCGCCATTTCCCCTGCCGTCCGAGTCCTACTTCAGAATTTGGACAGTTGATCATGCCATCATGTCGTGCAAGATGACAGTTCGAATTCGGTCGATTTCCTAACCCTCCGCTAAATTTAACTCGTCGTTCACAGCCCCGCAGGGGGTATTTGCAGGTGCGCTAGTAATTAGACTGACCAGGCTCAGGGTACGCGGAGAGGTCAAGTATAGCTGAGCCAATTTGCACAGCGTCACGGTGACATGAGGGGACGCAAGGAACTTTAGGCAAGGATCGTCCTAATGCGATCCCGATTGCGACATAAACTGAAGGTAGCCGCGACACGGACTTACTGAGAGGGTTGCCGGCATGTTTTCCGTTCACAAAAAAGGTGCCTTGTGCAGTTTCCCACTTAGTCTTTCCTTGCTATGTGATGTTCCAACCATGGACAACGAGCCTTGAGGGTACGTATTGAGGTCGACTCAACCCTCACTCACTTATGAGAGTCTAAAATCTGGAACAGTAATAGCAGCGATCTTTCATGGAGTGGCAATCGCATGCACTGTGTTGAGATTGTCATATCGGTACTATGTCGCACAACTGTGGTGGGAAGACATGTGGGCAGCACTATCACTGATTTTCGATTTGATCTGCTTTACTTGTGCGTTCCTTGAACGACCACCGGCGTACAATGGTGGGCTGACGCAGAATCTGACTCACTGAAGTGGCTGACCGCTCAAAATTGTAGGCCCATGGTTGGTGGCCAATCGAGTTTTTTGGCTCGTATCCATAGCCTTCCCTTGTGTTCTCTGGTACGTTAATAATTGTCCTAAAAGTTCGTACTTCCTGTACTAACATCTTGCGAGGTTTGCGAGAGCCAGCATCCTATGCTCCCTCATACGCGTCGCGAATCCTGAAGGCTGCCTCGGATATGTCACTTATGGAACCGGGATCTCCTTCGCTATTATGTGGATCGGGACCGTTGCGCAAAAACTTTATGTTTGCGAATACTATGCATGTAGAATTCTTAATTTTGTTGCGATAACGCAACTCATCAGTGAGTTTGTCAAAAACTTGCCGGTCTTCAGGGTCTAATATGATCGCTCGTTTTTGCGGATCAGCGGACATATTTTCAGATGGGATGTTAGTTGCCCTGCCCATCCTGGTGTTCCGTGGCGTCCAACTACCCAAGAACCGGAAGATACTGGTTTTGCTGTCATTCACTGCAGCTATTTTAATCGCAGCCGTGACTATCCTACACTCTGTAATGTTATTCGGGCCCAGTTCTACAGGCATCGTCGTCATCGGACACGTCAAGGTACAGTAATATTCTAGTCGATTTGTTGGTTAAGGATCCATAGTAACATTCATATATAGGCTGCTATTTCACTCATTGTCTGCGATCTTCTCGTCTTGGTTACACTAGCGTATCGTCTTTGCGGTTTTGAAGACATCGATGCAACGGACAACAGCGGAACTACCGTGGTGTTTACCAGCGTTGATTTAGAACAGCTCGGAGCAGATTGCTCGAGATGTCCCTCGTTATTGAACGCCATTGGAACCTCCACGTTGTCGACGCATACATCAACTAAAGCAACTGACAAGGAACTTCCAAAGTGTGGGGACATTATTGTGGAGATGTCAACACTAACGGATGCGGAGCCAGGTGGTTGTCGAGAGCAGACCATCCAATTCCTTCTATAATCTGTTCCTAATGAATGGGTTTTACTATTATCATTATTTATGTTTTCCTTTGCGTTCAAAGGAACTTCAAACCAAAGGATTTGTCGCTGAGACGGGAATGGGTTAAATTCTGGGATCGACATTAGCAGGTTCTGTGAGATGACGTGCTCGAAATGGCAGGATGACTTGCCGTCCTAGTGTAGTGACATAGGATCAGGCATGACGCAGGGTCCGCGCGTCCCAATGGTGTCGGACTGCGTTGGAGTCACATGAATTCAAAGCAAACGATGAACGACTGTCAAACTGCGAATACATTAATTATAAAATGCAGCATCTATAGATACACCTCTGTCAGATGTAGACGATGTTGAATGCCCACCCTGATGTGAACGATGTTGAATGCCCACGCTACGCAACAAGTGACCGTTGAATCTTTTGAACACGCCTCAAACACCCGAGTACACCCCCACATCGACGCCTAAAAGTCCTCCTCAATACCCGCCGGACGCTGGAGCGTGCTGACATTTGCGCCAGGGAGCGGCCACCTCCGTGCGAACTCGACGACGTCTCTGCGGAGATCTTTCACCTGAGCTGCACCCGCTGAGCCCTCGGTGGTAGCGGCGCGGATGAAGTCTTTGAGAAGCTTGGAGCCAGCCTCTTTTTGGAGGAAAAGCGAAAGTTGTACAGCCCGGTGCAGGAAGCCAGCAACAACCTTGATGTCCTCCTCGGTCATGTCACGGGACGTAAGTGCTGATGTACCGAGACGGATACCGCCAGGAGTCTGAGCAGATGCATCGCCAGAAACCGCGTTTTCTGTTTGCCAAAGATCAGTATCTTGCATGAATATGTAAAAAAGACGGGTCTTACTGTTGATCGTGATGCCCAGCAGGTCGCACACCTTCTCGACTTTACTGCCAGTCAAGCCAAGGGGACGGAGGTCCCAGAGAACAAGGTGGTTGTCAGTACCTCCGGTCTGGAGTTTGTAGCCGTTCTCATGCAGGACAGATGCCAATGTCTGAGCATTGGCGATGACCTGTTTGGCATATGCCTTGAATGCGGGCTGAGCTACCTGCAGAAGGGCAGTAGCAACAGCGGCGATAGTCTGTTATAATTTTCTTATCAGCATGTGCTCAAAAGCCGAGACTTGGGGTACCAACGTTGTTATGAGGGCCACCCTGGCAGGCAGGGAATACAGCGTCGTTAACGCGCTTCTCGAGATCCTGGCTGTTGGGTCCGTCTTTTTTGAAAAAGATGAGGCCAGCGCGAGGACCGCGGAGGGTCTTGTGGCTGAGATACGTCGGTGTGAGAGGAGTCTCGGATATGAATGGGAAGCTCACGTCGTGGTGGTAACAACATCGCAGTACTCAAAAGGGTTGTTGAGTGTTTGTGCTGCGATAAGACCGCTGGTGTGTGCAATATCAGCCATGAGGTATGCGCCCTCTGTATCTGCGGTCTTCTTCAAGGCGGCATAGTCCCAGTCACGGGGATAGGCAGAGGCACCGCAGATGATTAGTCTGGGCTTGAAGATCTTTGCTTGCCGTGCAAGGCCTGCATAGTCGATAAGGTGTGTTGAGGGATCGACAGCGTAAGGGAAAGACTGGAAGTATATTGAAGAAGCGGTCATCTTCTTTTTGGCAGTCTGATTGACGAGATGTCAGAAACCAAAGCCACGGGATGACGTGGAAAAGGAAACTCGCATAGTAACCATGTGTTAGGTGTCCACCGTCAGGGAGGCCAAGGCCCATCAAACGGTCCTGAGGCTGGAGGAGAGCGGTCAAAGCCGCAAAGCTATTGGTCACGTAATGTGAGACATGGTCACACATAAGGGACGTGTCAGACGTACTTGGCAGTCTAGCATGAGAGTCATTGAATGTTAAGATTACAGAGCACTTGATTGTAGTAAAACACTCACAGAGCCAGAGTAGGGCTGGACATTCACACCCCACGTAGCAGGATCGAGGTTGAATGCTTCAAGGGCCCGCTTGCGGCAAAGAACTTCAAGCTCATCGATATGTTCATTACCACCATAGTAACGGGCTGCGGGAAGACCCTCTGAGTATTTATTGGTCAATATCGAGCCATTTGCCTCGAGAGTTGCGCGACTCGTCAAGTTCTAGGATGTCTCAGAATGCGGAGATAAAAAGATAGTGAACTGGGAGACCAACCTCAGATGCGATAAGCTCGAGTCCGGAAAACTGCCTCCAAGTTTCCTTGTCGATGATGTTCTGCACTTGAGGATCGATCTCTGCCAGAGGAGCATACAAGACCTTGTTCTACAATAGTGCAACTTCCCTGTAAACATATATAACATATGACTGCTTGAAAATAGTACGCACGAAGTCCGGTGTAGTAGAACTTGCCATTTTTCTAGAATTGAGGGCAAATCCTTGTTTTAAAAACAAGGATGATGAAGGGAGTTGGAAGGGACGGGTTATCAGACGCAACATCTGAATGTCGCAATCAGGCAAAGGATTAAATATTAAATTTTCAACGAGGTAACAATTCAAATGAGTCAGATCTGATATAAATCTTATTTGTTTGGTTTCTTCAGGAACAAAATAAACCAAACAAGTTTAAATAAACAACGATTAAGTATAATCGCTGAGTCTAAAAATATATAATCTATTTTCCGAACACAATGAAAGTCTAAGTATGCTTTTGAAAACAATAAGCTACTGCGCGAGTGTCCATGCGTCCACACTTGGTCCACACCGGCCGTTCATATAAAGGCATGATAAATGCCCTGGAGTCGTCAGTATTTCGCTCCCTAATCCTGACCGTCTCTTGCCTTCGTCTTCTCATTTTAACGGATTCTAGATCAGAGCCAGGAGCTCGACATACGTTCTTTCTAACGCCAGCTGCATCTGACAGTCACTTGCATTCACTTCTGCATATCATCTTTCTACAGTTATGGCACGCTCTCAGAATTTCTTCGTAATCGCCATGCTGGCTTCACTTGCCAGCGCGGCACCTCTTGCATCTTTCTCTACAAACGTCCTCGCATCAAATTCTTCAGGCTTTTCGCAAGAACAGAACGGTCTCGACGCGCAAAAATTAAATGCGCAGTTTGCAACTTTGTCTGCCAATGATTCTTGCACCAGTGCGTTCCCAAATTATTATTTTCGTTGTCATCCATTTACTGATTTTGTGACCGTGCCACAGGCGATGCTCAGGCATGCGTGGGCGGTGCCTTCGCACAGTGCGTTGGGAGCTCTTGGGAGCTCACGCCTTGCTCGTCTGGTCTGTCTTGCTTTGCACTTCCTCTCGTTGCCAAGGCTGGCACCAGTCTCGCTTGTGACACACAAAGTGACGCTGAGGCACGCTTTATCGCTGCTGGTGTTCAAGGAGGTACAACCGGAAATGGTACCACCAGTAGCAACACTACTACTGGCGGTTCAACTGATCCCACCGACGGGGGTGACTGTGGAGAGACCGCCACCAGCACTCCTAGCGCAAGCTCTTCTATCCCATCCGCTTCCTCAGCTCCTGTGTCTTCATCCCCACTCGCCAGTTCTACTCCCTCCATGAACTCGATGAAGAAGCGTCAGTATGGCTCCTCGTACGCACCCACTTTTGGCTTTGGCAGTCCCACAACCAGCCTCACTACTTCATCTACTGCTACCGGGACTGGCACTGTTTTGCCCACCAGCGTAGCGAGTTCTCCTGCAAGCAGTCCCGCATCAATTGTTTCTACCAGTGCCTTGGCGAGCACCCACGTCACTTCTACCCCTGTGACCACCTTTGGCTTTGGCACTTCTACTGGTATTAGTAGCGTTGCGTCGAGTCACTCTCCCGTTGTATCCACTGGCACTGGAACCGGGCTTCTCACTTCTTCGACTGCTCTTGTAACGCCTGCATCATCTACTGCATCCTCCCTGTCGCCACCCGCTGCATCTACCACCACTGGGGCGAACGGTGTTGCCACTGTGGTTGTTGTGACCACCGTGGTTGTTACTGTTACGGCTAATGGTACGGTTGTACCCACCGTGTCACCCACGACGACGGGTGTTGGATTGAACGGAACTGTGACGTCCCCCGTCCCTACTGCGACGCCAACCTCACTTGGTGGATCTTCTGCTTCACCATCTCCCTCTTACGCCCCAATCACCACCATCAACTTGAACAGTCCTTCCGTGACTCCAGTTGCAAGTGCTACATCCAGTGGTGTCAGTGGTGGTTTGCTAGTGTCATCTCCCATTGCCTCTGCGACGCCGATCACCCGGGTCCATGCTACGTCCTCTACCCCAGTGACTTCTGCGACGTCTTCATCTCCGTTTAAATTCGTCTCAGCATATTGACGAGTGGATTGTATTGATGGTGGACTGTAAGAATCGTTGGAGGAGTGGATTATATTGATAATGGATCGCAGCACTCTATGGACATCAGGACCTTCGTTCACATACCTACACGCTGTATCAATAGCTGTTGTACCCAACTTAGTTATGCGTTATATCGCTAATAGTAGATGCAGGACGTCTTATGATAATGTTTTCCTTGTGCAATGAACAAAACCTAAGATTAGGGTTAGGGTTCCACCGTGAGAGAAATACCTTGATTCTCCACTACTTACAGTTGGCAGACCTACAAACTCGTGTGCCAGCCTACTCACCAACCAGTTTTCTCCACGCACGACGCTCCAACGGTCATGAACAATATTATAGCACTCAACAATATCGAACAAGTCCTTGGCGCACAGGAACCCGAGTTATCACAGAACCTGACAAAGCTCTTTGCGAAGCTTCTCGAGCGAAATCAAGACCCCACATTTGTAGCGAACTACACGGTAGGTCGTGTTATATATTCCTTTATGCCATCATCTAGACCAGTGCGAATTAGGATGCCATCAAACTCCGATTCCGCCGAGAGTTTTCGACGCGGAAGGGTCACGATTCCCCCAGCTTTAGTGCTTTTGGAAAGGCATGCCATGGGGCAGGGATCGTGAAGACGCTGCTCGCTGTAGTGACGTCCCATCTATACTCGCCATCACAGCCGAAGGACCGATCTCTCGGCCAATACAATGCGCTCGAAGCTTTATCACTCCTTATGCAGACTGGTAATCTTACCGAGCGACGCACGCTTCTGGAGGACATGAAGAAGAACCATGTCATCAACATTTGTTTATCAGTGAGAATAGCGGATTTTCTGTCGCTTTAAGATCTCATGCACTTTTTAGCATTTGAATCATCCTCTTTGCATTTTCCGTCAGTTAGCAATCAATACCTTGCGCGTACTCGCGAGCGAATCCGTACTGGGAGAGAATTCATCTGCAACGGAAGCGGCTGATATCATCGCTGCGGTCTGCAGATTCGCATTAGAAGGGCCCGATTTCTTCATCGAAGGCATGCGATCTTCAGCCACGACATGGCAAAGTCAAATGGTTATGGGTGCCCCAGATGTAGGTTTTCCTATCCCGTCTTATCCATCACATGCTCAGCTAACCTCCTCGATGAGATACCCTCAAAACGAGCTGCGGAGCACGCGCCCCGATTTTATGCCATGGCTCAAGAGAGCGCTCTATGGACTGCACACGGCCTTTTGTGTACCACACCGCCGCCATCGCGAAAGCATTGTCTTGACATTTTGAAGAAGAAACCAGAAATTCTAGATCTCCTTTTTGACTGCGCCATCATCGCTCGCTCGCCATGGTACCCTGAAACTCAAGTCGATTCTATCGCGTGCGAGGTCCTGACCCTCCTCTTCCAATGGCCGTCACACATAGTCCCAGGCGTTGTGACGCCCCAAGACAATGCTTTTAGAGCTCAGGAGTGGAAGGCTATGACCCAAACTGTGACCATCTTGACGTCCCGAGAAGACTGGTGCGAGAGGATCATCGAAGTGTGGATGAAAATCGAAGAGGAGGATTGGCGTGAGGTCCGGGGGTAGGTGATATCCTTCGACCCTCCATTACACGACTAACCACCCATATAAAGCTGGTTTGATCGCGTCGAGGTTGATTACCACGCATTCGAGCCACCCGATGAAGATGCTTTCAGCCAGGTGTTTGAATATAGAGGTTTGTCGCCGAAATAACTCTCTGGATAAATATCCTTCATGGTACAACCGACTTACAGGCACATCCCGTATTGCTATGCTGAGACTCGTCAGTACTCTCAGTCACGCAGCCGAGTCTTGCGGTGTCACCAACGCCGAGATCGAGTCACTGCTCCGGATGGCATACCTTGCTTCACGCAAAATCAAGAGTACGAATGAGCTCGACCATACTAAACCGGAGGATCAATACATGAGTGTCGAGCGTGCGAAAGAGATTTTCCGCAGCCCTATGTACACCGTATCCTTAGGTATACAAGTGGATGCACCTCTCCAAATCGCAGACGAAAGTGTCATGGGTCCAACCGCTCTCGCACGTCTACTTGTCGTGCTCGCCCAGCGAAAAGCCTTTGATACCATTCAGGGGCTCAAAAAAGCGCCAAATGGCCTTTCAACCTCGACCTGCCTCAACCACGTACAACAAATCACGAACCCCGATGTCATCCACCGATTCCTGAAGATTGCACTGCAGCGCGTGAAGGCATGTATGGACAAGGGACGTGATCGTGCTCGCAAGAGTGACAACGATTACGCTAGGGCTGCGTTCACGAGTGCTGCGGAACTTGCCGCTGCACTGGTTGCATTTGACACCCAGACGCAGGGCCAGTATTCCAAAGAAGTGATTGGGGCGAGAAAGGAGCTTGCATTGTCGCTAGGCAATGCAGCTGAGATGGCTATTCGCGAGAAGCACTGGCAGCAGGCGTTATACTTTGGATCCGGTGCCGTAAACGTTGCCGAGAACATTCCAGCCGTCGAACTGTTGGACGCAACTGTCATGGCAAAAAATAAGCGGCGCGTCGAGCAAGCGAGGACTGCGATTTCTGGAAAATAGAAGGCTTGTGGCATTAATATGTGAGTGGTTTTTTTGGGGGTTCCTTTGCGCATGGTTCATCCAATTCTGTGTTCAGTGACCCCTGTGTACTCAGCTACCGCATCTGTGATGTATGATATATTGTATGTTTGTTGTCTTAATGTTGTCGAGTGTCTTGATACCCTGGCACTTATGCGAACCGTGAGCGGGGTGATCAGCTATGAACACTATCATTTAGTGCAACTTTTAAAAGTCGCAAAAGTGTCCCCATTACCTGGAGGTCACGAAATAATCAGCAGGGATGACATATTGTGGACGCGAAGGCACTCTAACGCGGTACCGAGGTCAAGGTTGCGCCGCGGGCTTCATTTGCTTCGGTCTTGTCATCGCCTTGGCTACTTCTCAGGAGCCAAGTTTCACCAAGAGAAGTAACAGCATTGAGTAGGTACCCCTCTGTCCAGTTATTCGACATTCTGGCGTTTGAGGACGGCGACAGCTCGGCAACATGTCTCGGCTTCGTATTGATTTTCATGTTTGCAAGCTCGCCGTTCTGGAAGAGGTGTAGTAAATAACGCTAACATGCCACTTTCAATTTTCAATTGCAATTTCTCTTGTACCCACATCGCGACCGCATACTACCCCAATCACAATAATCAAGTAACTGGTAGATATATCGACAGAATTATTGTCACAGAAAACAGCATAGCTAGAATGACAGACTAGATCAGTAGTATGAACAAATGGCGCAGATATTCAGGTCTTTTTCTTGAACAGACCCCAGAGCTTTCCTCTGCGCTCCTTTTCCTCGAGGCGCTGACGCACTTCCTCCTCCATCTCCTCCTCAGTAATAGAACCTCCAGTGGCATACCATAGAACAGTAGCGATGCCAATGAGGGCTGTCAGCACGCATCTACCAACCACCCACGTATCATTAGCATATTGCAACAACTGCTTCAGCTTGAACTCACCCAGCCATCGCCAAGATGCCTTTAGTCAGCCAGCCAAGCTTCTGCTGCCACGGCCCAAGCGGGAGGCCCGACAAGTCAGTTGGGCTCGCGTGTCCTGCTGCGTTGCCACTGTAGGGCTTCCCAAGCACAGCACACTGGTCGTACATAAATGATGGCACGCGGTCCTGTGCTCGCTCTTGTATGAGAAGTGGTGCTGTTATGAACTGGACCGCAAGGCCCGATTCAAGGTGCCATTCGACGTGACCTGCATAATAGCAACGTCAGTGAGAGTTGATGATGCAGGGGTTGACTTACAGTGGAAGAGCCATGCAGCCGGGGTTATCAGCGGTAACGCGGAGTGTGACGGAACCTCCGCCAGCAACAGTTACAGTATCACGACGCATTGGGTTTGCTTGCCCTTCGACAAGCGGTGGGTTCAGCGACGGATTATCGGAGGTATAATTCGTCGCTCTGTGGACAATCTGCACCTTGTACCCGTGCAAATGACTGGAACGCAACATAAGATTTGTCAAATACCGAAGGTAGGAGGAAGGAGAAGAAGGACACGTACAAAGGATGCTGCCCCGTATCGGTGTTCTTCACCACAAGGTCGACCACATCTCCGTAGTTCAGCAAAAAGCTGTACGGCCCGTATGCATCTTCGCTAGTGGCATTTTCGCCCAGGCTCAGCGCGCTCATGATCGCGGGTACTAGTGGTGCATTGTACACTATATTGTTTATAAACCCGTGATTTGTCCCGTCGTTCATGGTGTTGAAGCCGAACAGAAGGTCAACGGTGCTTGTAGGGGAGACTGCGGGCTCGATAACGACGGGAATAAGAGCGCTGTCGTTTGTTGTGCTGTAGGAGGGCACCGGAGACAAGTTAATGAGGTTGGAGGAAGCGGAGTACGTGATGGTAGAGGTAACGTCTGCGAGCATTTTGAAAAGTAGAAAAATGAGTGACACGATCGCGTGCTCAGGAAAGAGGATGACCTACTTGGATTCAAACTACTGGGAACCTTGTCAAACATGGTTGTATCCATGTTTGCATGGATGGCCCAGTTCGACGAGGTATCGTTCCTCGCAGTGACCAGTACAGAGTAACGCTGCGCCGCTGACACACTCAGTATATCGACGGGCTGCTCCTGCGTGTCGGTCTGCTGTAACATGAGTCTCCTGAGTGTCAAATGCAGGTGGAACCAAACGCACCCCATCAGCTTCGATAATCCGCATCTCATGCCCGTCGATCCAGAAGAAGAACCCCGCGAGCGCGCTCATGTTGATTATGCGCAGTCGGTATGTCAAACCGGGCTGAAACGGAAGGGTCGCATTTTCGTTAAAACCCACTGCGCTTGTCACTGGGGACGGGTTGCTTCCTGGGATCGGTGCCAGGTAGGAACCATTTTGAGAGAAATATACGATGGCAGATTCTGCAAGCCAATGCAACATGAATTAATAAAATCATCGAAACATTTCCAACATCCGTCCATCGGTATAGTTCATGGTAGATGAGGCAACTCACGCGGAACAGGCTCCGACCCGCCTGGATTCGCTATGCTGAGGAAGTTTTTCAAGAGGACGGGGTGCTCCAGGTGGTACCAGTCACTCAGCACAACAGTGAACTCGGCGTCGTAGTGCCCAGCATAAGTTTCATTTGGAGAATGAAGGAGGAGAGGCGTGCGCAGACCATCCACATATAATCCCTACATGAAAAGACACAAAATTCAGCGATACAGCATTGACACACAGAATTGTGCAACATCGTGGAGAGTAAGTCAAGTTGAACAGACATGTGAAGTAAAAAAAGTGAAGAGGAAACCGAAGGAATAATACGAAGGAGAAAAAGAATCAGAAAACAGTTACGTGAGGTCGTAAATATAAACATAGAGTTCTTTACTTACGTTTGCGTGGCCATGCGCCCAGTATGTGCCGACTTGCCCGGAGGAGTTGATGGGTACAACGTAGTCAAACGTCTGGCCTGGGGGTATGCCACTACATCGGGGTAAAATATCGTTGCATAGACGTAAGCGGGCATAAACCATCAAACGAAAGACATGGACAGTAGCGCAGGCAATGCAGCCACTGCATGGTCAAATAAATTTTACATACCATTGTGATACCGCAATTGCTCCGTCCATCCAGGACGTCGAGTTGAAGAACATGCCATGGTGGTGTAGTGTCGCAGGTTTGTCAATGCCGTTCGTTACATGTACAAGCAATGAATCTGCTGTAGATACCTCGATTGGTGGAGGTCTTCATGGAGGATCGAAGGACGAAAAAGGTATGAGATGCGAATTGACAGTGAATAGTTAATTTCAAGAAGTGCTCTAATACCATGAGGTGAGAGAGACTCACGGCCAGGTCCCGTTGACACCAATGACACGGCGTTCGAAGAGGCCATCTGGATTTGCGTCCGGAACGTAGGTGATGTTCCACCAAAGTTCCTGTATACCTGCCAGCGCAGGAGGCAAGAGCGCGAGCAAGGGAAGCAAGCGACGACACCACATGGACGTGTATGTGGTAGTTTAGACCCCCACGTTGGGCTAGTGATTCCTAGATGAGATCAGTTCAAACGAGAGAAAAGTCCTCAGAGGAGAATAAGGAACGTGGAGAACGGGTGTTTGATGAAGAACTGCACAAGCTGCGTAAGAGGCGAAGGGGTTGACAGTGACCCTTATAATAAGCTTCATAGCTAGCCGAAATTTTTATCTGATAAGCACAGATCTAGATGATTTGAAATTTGATGAATGACCTTGGCGACACCGCAAATGTTTGAATTGGATTAGATTCGGCATTCGGCTTAATTCGGTGTCAGGTTCGCTCTTCGCCAAATATTATCAGATAAATCAATCATGCCTCGATACTACCTAGTTTCATTCTTCCACCATCTCCGAAAAACTAGCCGCAATGGCAAAGAATTTGTTCAGCGTCAGCATCTTCTTCATCGTCTTCAGAGAAACCCTTGAAGGCGCCATCATCGTATCCGTTCTCCTTGGTCTCGTCGAGCAGATCGTCCATGGTGACATGAACCACATCATGACTCTTAACGAGCACACTCGGCCCGTTTCGACTCACCAAAACGACAGTGAGACGACTATACAAGGTGAAGGAGAATCAGATGCCACCCTCAAGAGGCGCTTGATCCGCAGACTTAGAGTGCAGGTATGACTGTCATTAACCCGCGCTACAGCTAATGTTCATTGACTCATGATGAACAACAAGATTTTTGCTGGCGCAGGCATAGGGTTGTTCATCGCATTCGCTTTAGGTGCTGCATTCATTGCAGTTTGGTTTACTGAGGCCTCCAATCTCTGGTCTAAGGCCGAACTTCTCTGGGAAGGTCTGTATTTTCCATTAAGATCCCCACTCGCTCCCAAAGCCCTTTCTCTTGCTGTGCCGCGCAATAATACTGACCTACATCATGTCCTCAACGTGTTATTAAAACAGGTATATTTGAACTTATTGCCTCCGTAATGATCTTTGTCATGGGCGTTACCATGCTCAAGTTGGACAGGGCCAAAGCTAAATGGCGCGTCAAGCTCCAGCGCGCGTTTAGTGGTCAACGTATGTGTCCTTCCTTCTTTTTTCTGTTGTGCTTATAGAGTATTTTCCATCATCATTGTCAGACGTCGACCGTCGTACAAAGACTGGGAAATGGGTACTCTTCATCCTTCCAATGATCACTGTCTTGCGTGAAGGTCAGTTTTTGTGCCTGGGTGCCTTTACCCAATGTTGTCACCCCTTCAACTAACGCCTAACAATCCGCAGGGATTGAAGCCGTCGTATTTGTTGGCGGTGTCGCACTCGGACAACCCGCGGCTTCGGTTCCCATTGCAGCAATCGTGGGGCTTATTTGTGGCCTTATTTCCGGCTTTTTCATCTACCAGTTCGCTAGCCGAACGAGTGAGCCTTCGCTTATTATCATGTCATACCATTGCTTACCTAGTACACCAGCTCTAACAATTTTCCTTGTCGTTATGACGAATTTTATCCTCCTCATCGGTGCTGGCCTATTTAGTAAAGCTGTCTGGTCTTTCCAAGAGTACGCCTTTAACGAAATGCTTGGCACCGATGTCGACGACTCGGGCGGTGATGGACCTGGATCTTATGACGTACGCGGGAATGTGTGGCACCTTGAGTGCTGTAACCCTTCGACCGATCAGGCATGGGGCGTGTTTAATGCCGTATTTGGATGGACGAACAGCGCAACTCTCGGTAGCGTGTTGAGTTATGTGTTCTATTGGGTTATGGTGATCGTAGTACTCGTGCATCTGAAGTACAAAGAAGTAGGTTTATTTCTGTCTGTCGTCTTCGCCTTGCTAAATTGTACATCAACAGGGTCGTACCAAGCTTTTGGGGCGGGAGTCTGCAGCGGGCATACGCAGGCGGCGCGCAAGCGAAAAACGGGCAGAGCAAGCGGGCAACGAAAATCTCTCCCAAAACCCTCCCACGAACACCACCCAAAGTCCACTCGCTAGCGTTGGTTCACCAACGGGGCTTCCCCAATGATATCAACACCCAAGGGAATTTCCTTTCGCCCTCCAAAATTCCGCCGCTCGGCTCGTCATGAGATGCACGAGCTGGCACACTGTGGCAGCTGCTACACAGGTACATAGGTACTAAACACGCTCTGCCGTATGGAGCGCCGGTACTATATAACTGTCGAATCAGTACATATTTCTCTTGATCATGTATTGATTTACTACATATGTCTTGTGCTACCAAGCCTGGCCTGTCCCAATCCACTATATATATACCCCCATTACCTGGAATAAATATTTGTTAGACTTTCCGTCTTGTTGGGTCACCTTAACCGAGTCTGGCCTCCGCTAACATAGGCCCGGGTCTACTAGCACATGGATCAATGACAATGCATCAAAGCGGAAGTAGTATGGCAGCCTCATCAAGGATAAATCATGATTCATCTCACTTTATCTGATAAGACGGTTCGCAGAACATCGGCCGATTATCAGATAAGATGTCGCCCCATACGGCTGTACCCTGAATTCCCGCGAATAGATGAAGTACTTCTGAGCCGAGATATTCTTGGCTGTCGATGAGCCGCCTCAGTGTAAGCCCAGCGCGCGCGTGCGGTCGGAGATTATGGTCAGGAGTAGTGATCTGTCCTGCAAGGGTCAATTGTATGAAAGCACATTGCAACACCTGTGCCAATTATGTACTCAGGCTGCAGCCGCACGTAAAGCGTTCGTGCGGCGGATTTCAGGGCGTTGAAATGAAGTGGATCAACCCGGACAGGGGTGATTTGGCTGCGGTGATGCACGAGGCGTGCCGCGAGACGTGAAAATCACAAATAAGTACTTACAATCATGTTCCGCATACCAAACCCGAGTGTTTGGGTAGTCCCTGAAATTTGAAACCAAGAAGACGGGAACGTGCTTCGATTTCTCTTCGTTGTGATGTACATACAACGCATGAGACTCATCACACCATCTCGGCGGTGGAAACCAAGTTCGTCAGGATGTGTGTTTGTAGCTACCGTGAACTTGTCACCATGATGTGATCCAGGGAACTCCCCTCTACCACCACATATAAATACTAGAAGCAAGCAAGAAACTGCAAGAAAGTACTAGTAGCTCGGTTGGCAGAAATTTGGAGCCTCCGAGGGATGTCTAATATAAATAGACCTGACGATGTGAGAGAAATGCGCATACTTCTGTTAACTTTTGCGGCGTTATATCGAAAGCCTCGGAGCAAACCTTTACTCAAGTACTTCTACAATCACATAGGACACATTCATCTCCGATACTGCTCAGCGGTGCGCATGCACAAAGTTAAATACAACGATTCAGAAAAAAATGCATGATACTCGTACAGGTATCCTCCAAGAACTTGTAATGATATAAAGTACAATATGATTTGTTAGCGTTGGAGTCATTGTCATGCATATGCCGAAATCAAGACACGCGATAAAATGTTACGCTTTAGAGGAATGGCGAAACCTAGATATCGAGGCGGAAAAGACAGTAGAGTAATGTGGGAGCATTGCAGGCCGGGCACGCAGACCTGGCCATGACAGCGTCGATGATGCACCTTGAGAAATGTGCTTCAACATGGAGGAAAGCAAACCGAGAATCAAACCACAAACCTGTTACAAAAGATATGGCCACACATCGTCGCAGTTGTATCATCGCAAGGATCTCGAAGGCAAAGTCTGCAGTAAAGGGGGGACGGGCCGTTGGTGGGAGGAGAATCGGCAGGGGGCACCTCAGCAAGATCATTTTGATCCTCTTGAGGTGGGAAGGAGTCTATCGAAGTAGCCACTGAGGGCAAACGGATATAACTGGAGGCTCCCGAGGAAGGTCGGGACGGAGCGCTTGTTGCAACAAGATATGCACGGTTCTCTCTAACGTACTCTGGTATAGATTCCACAGATACGAAGACGACGGAATGGTCGGAAAGAGGGCTTGATGGAGTTGATGAAGGCTCGGCGTCTAAGAAGTGGTCGGCGGAACCTTCGGAGGTCAATGGAGACAGTGGAGGACGACTTTCGGGATGCGAATGATCATCCTGGGTAATGCTAGGGGGGCTCAAGCTACCATGCTCAGATGGTGTCGGAGAAGGAACAAGGTTGCATGTGAAAGGATCACCTGACTCAGCGGGCGGCTGAAGCTCAGCAGTGCAAACTCGGGGAGACCCGATAAACTGAGGAGAGCCAACTTGTATGGGCATGAAGCTCGCCGAAGAAAGTGTGCCATCCATGGGGGACTCTGACAACGACATGATATCGGGTTCCAATCCAGGAACGCAGCGGTCACGCCCTAGAGGCTCATCGACCTGCTCGTGGCTCATGTCTATGTCGAGAATGATCGGTTGGATAGTTGGATTCCTCTGGAGGGGACTGACAAAGATATCTCAGAAATCGTTAACTAAAATCCAAAACTAAACGAACCATGTTGCAATCTTGATCCTGTAAATTAGTTAAGTCGAGCGAAACGTCTTGGGTAGGACGCGTGCGTTCATAGACCACTGAATCTAGGACTGTGTGAGCATTGATTGCGGAGTGCTGTGCGGCCAAAGGATGACACGGAGAATGTATTAGTATTAGTTTCGAAAGAATTGGGATCACGGATCTTACTTGCTCTAACACATCCAGATCAAGAACGGAACCCAAATGTGCAACACCTGATTGGAGGTTGGTAATGCCACATTCCTCCCTCAAGCTCACCGCTACTTCAGAAATCTGACATGTGAAGAATCAGGACTATTGTCCTCGTAACATGCGGATAAGTGTGGGTGGGTGGGAGTCAAGCCATGAGACCGCTCTCCGTCCACTACGCGCTCCAGGCCTAGGGAGGATTGTTCATCCTGCAGGTCCATCGCATCATCTGAAATGCCGTGATGAATATCAAGTGGTGGATCTGTGACTTCTTGGGATTCCACGAGCGCATCACAGGAATCAACCAGTGAGCCCTCGGCTGCCTTAGGCTCAATAGCTCCAAGCGAATCGGCAGACGACGGGATTTCCTCGGGCTCGCTGCTCACAACATTATCAAGGGATTTCTCGTTCACCGGCACTGTCGAGGTGCTGGTGCGCTTGCAAATACCGCAATTACAGGGCCCACCAGCTCTCTCGCAGACTTGGCAAGTACATGAATTGGTTCCATGCGTCTGTAACTCGTGGGCCGCCAGAGCTAAGATCGTCGCGACAGGTTCCCCACAGGTTCCACACGCGAAGTTCGCCACGGGCTTGGGCGCAGTCACCGGCGCCTTTGGCAACTGCATCATCGAGACGTCCTTCTCACCATCAGAAGATTCTGGGATGGGCTCCCGCGTGGATAAGGCATCGAGGATTACATTTACACTAGGCTGCTCCACGGGAGCAGGCTTCGCAGCTGGGGAATGACCGAACAGTGAGGAAGGATACTGAAGATGGATAAACAGTGCGCGGCCGCTGTAGGGGTAACTGTATGCTTTGCATTTTGATGCTGGTTACGGGCATCGGGAGATGCAAATTCTTGGTTGCAGTATCTGCATTCATATCCGGAATGCTTAGCCTCCACGTGTTGCTCCAGGGATTCTTGGGAGCGAAACTCCCGGTCGCAAATTCTGCAATTGTGATTATGCTTTGTTCTCTCGTGCTGGTCTCTTCCGTCTAAAGTCCTGAACGTACGGTCGCAGTAAGTGCAGTCATACTCGTGTTTCGATTCGGCATGCTAGATATACAGTTAAGGTCAACACCGAGATAGAGACGCAAAGTGCTTCGTACCATACGGAGAGCGTTCTTGTCGACAAAAAAACGATCACAGATGTTGCACGCGGGCATGGTGGTAGCAGTAGATTAGTAGGATAGATACGTCGTTCCTGTCACGCCACCACCAAGCCTGACTAGCTGGAAAAGTCAAAGAAGCTGCGGTGCCCGAAGATATGGGGGATAGTGAAAGACGAATATATGAGACGGCTGTCGGACAACAAAAGAGAGAACGAAATGCCACTCTTTCGAATTGCTGTCAGTAGGACGACAAAGGTCAAAGGATTTAGTGACGTCGTCACATATAGTCTGAGTCACGCAATGTCACAGGAGTCACGGTTGGTCGAAACTGACCTTGGTTTGACCTCATAGTATACATTCACTAAAGTACCAAGTGCCTAGTCATGAGGATGGACGTTCGACGTCGAAACAGGTACTCCATGATAATACACGACAAACAAGCAGTTCTCGAATGTTACATAGATTAACTACTCGTCATTGCAGTCACTCCAACTCACAGGTGGTGTCGATGCGGAATAAGCAGTAAAGCAGAACCGCATTCCTACAGACGGGACATCGCGAGTCCCGTATCACCGCATCTGTGATGCACCTACAACTTCCTGTCAATCTAAGTCCAAGACCAGCATCGAGTCTACTCACGTGTTGCAGAACAGGTGCCCGCACGTCGTCGTCGTCAGATCCTCGCAATGCTCCCGTCGACAAATCCTACAATGATATGGAGAGGAAGAGTTTGTACTAGAGGCCGAATGGGTAGTCCCGTTGGTAGTCCCATTTCTTCCTGTAACGCGTCCCGTCCTGAGTGGTGCGAAACGAGGAAGTTTGCTGGTAACTGTGCTCATTGTCAGCTCAAGGTCTGGGGGAAAAAAACGTTGCTAACCTGATTTCTTCTGCACACCATATTTTCGCCTGTTTGGAATTACAGGAGGATCGAAGGAGGAATCGCTGGAGTCCGATGATTGGTTTTCCCATAGCGGCTCCGACATGATACTATCCTCGAATCGTACTTCACGGCGTCGCTCACGAGAGGATGTGGTGAGGCCGACCGAGGACAAACTAGGGGATGCCAGGGCCGGGCTGTGAACGTGATTCACATTTGACGATGCCTGTTCTGGATGAGTGACAGCAAGATATGCACGAGCTTCCCGCAAGTAGTCGGGGGTTACATTCGCAGAAATATCAATGCCAGCAGACTCAGGTGAAATAGAACTCGGTGACATCGAAAAACTGTAAGAGAATTAACATTCGAAGGCAACATCCCGCTTGGTGATCATACCTGACCGTCTGAGAAGTACTATCAGTTACAGGCACCTGCAAGCGAAGCGTCGGCACAGCAGGGTCCACTGGCCGCCGATTCGGCGGATTCTCCGATTTGGCTGACATTCTTGACGCAATCTCGCCACTCAACGTGGACCAGCCAGAGCTCGACACCGGCGATGCACCGTTCTCGGGGAGCTTTATCACGGGAGAGCTTGCCTCAGGTGATTTCGCAGACGTAACCGACTCCTGATCGCTGTGACTGGCACCATTCAGCTCCTGAGACGGAGCAAAAAGCGCCGGAGTGTCCGGGCGCGGGCTGAAGGGGCTGCGGAAGTCTGTGCCTGATATCAATGGTGTACCAACTGCTGGTACATTAGAAAGCGGCGAGTGCTCAAAGTCTGGTGATCCAGAATGATCTACGGGATTCCCAGTCTCTAGATGTGCGACCTTGATGCCGAAGATCGGAGGTGGCGAAAGCGTCCTGGACGATGACCGCGATCCGACACTCGATCGTGTCAGAACCCTCTGCGACAGAGGGCTGGAGTACCCACTGGTACTCGGGGGTAAGGGGATGGACGGGGCATAGGGGAAATCAAAATTAGCAGAAAAACCCCATGTCGGGTCAACTCGATCGGGAGCAATGGAATTAGAGATGCGCTCTTCGGAATGAGCTTCTCCGTCACTATTATACAAACATTCTGGATCGAGATCTTGACGTCCTGCGGGCTCTCCGCAGTGTGGCCTGTGCACGACAAATAGATGCTATGGTCATGTTAGAACATTACACGACGAATCGGAGGAGAAAACCGACGTGTTGATAGGCATCCGCATCTGCGAATCTCAGGTCACAGTCCATGCACCTGGGGTGGGCTACGAAGTGTCGGATATGATTCTGTAACGACTCAGAGCACTCAAACTGCCACTGGCATAGGTGGCAGTATACCTCTGGATGTTCCGTTGCGCCGTGCTGCACGACGGTTTAAGTCAAGATGTCAATTATAATGGTACTTACCCACCGTAGCAAATTCAGCTTGGTCACCGAAGCCAACTTGACATATGTCGCACACGGGATGATTGCGCGATGTCAAGTAGTGTATAGGAAGCTCTCCAGGATCAAACAATGCACCATCGCACAGTTGACAGGATACCTGGGGATGGACCGTTTCTGTGTGCTGAATGCGATATGAATGGGAGATTCATAGATATAGCATGAACAGAGAGGAAATTACGTTATAATAATCGCCTGCATCCTGAAAACCCAGGTCACATCTCGTACAGGACGGATGGATGTCATCTGGGGAGTCTCTGTAGTGCTGATGTAGGCCCTTCTTCCTCGGCGTACCTCGTTTGGCAGACTTCACAATAAGTAGGGAGTGGCGTGGTGCACAAGGTGCTCGTTCAAAAGGACTGCGTCTGCGAAAACACCCTCATGACAAACAGGGCACGAGTGCGCAGAGGCGATATGCTCCTGGAGGAGTTCCTCCTCCGGGCACGCGAACTGACACATTCCGCAGGTGAAAAGGTGATTCGCGGCCATGTGGTCATCCAGTGCTGATCGAAGCTCGAAAGTCCTTGTCGCATAAAGAGCAGGGATAAGACGCTGGTGGAGAAACAGGACGGGGTGGCTCTGGGTGGGACGTTTGGCGATGCTGGAAATGCAGGTTTGAGAGTGAGGAATTGCCATAACCCGTGTTCAAGAAAAACTCGCCGTTGCATAAGCTGCGTCGTTTTCAAACCCGAGATTACACTCAACACATTTTGGGTGCGCGTCTTTTGAAGACTGCAAGTAATGGTAACGTAGCCCCTCTTCGGAGATAAACGTCATATCGCACCCCCCACAGTTGCAGACTGCACGTGCGTGCACCGCGGCGACATGATCATCAAGAACATTTTGAGATGGGCACGTGAGTCGACAAATTGAACAAACAACTTTTGGAGGGTGGGCAGCAACCGTGTGGGCAGTAAGCTGAGCCTTCTTTGAGAAGGTCTGGTTGCATGAAGCGCAAGAGTGGACTTTCTTGGCCGCTTTGGGAGAATGAAGAGCTTGCGTGTGACAAGAAAGTCCGTTTGCAGAAGAAAATGTTTGTTTGCACGTGGGACATCCGAAAGAAACATTGGCTTTCACTTTGGGAGCAGCTTGCGACGAAGAAGATCCGCTGGAGCCAGAGTGTTCCTGCCTTCCATGGGTAATGAGGGCTTCGGAGCTGGCGAATCTTTTGCTGCAGTATGTGCAGGAGAATATAGGATGGCTGATCGACTGGTGCTCGTCAAGAACACTAGATGAGGAGAAGCTCCGATAACACGATGGGCATGGATATTGAACTGCATGGTCCACACTCTTATGGTGTTGGAGCGCTCCGGAACTAGAAAACTTTGCACCACAGGAGGTGCAGGGAAACGTGACTGGGATTGTAGGAGAAACTTTGCTGGCGGATGTAGGAGAAACTTTACTGGCGGATGTAGAAGAACCTTTAGATTCCACGTTATGACGGAGCGCAGTGTGCTTGCTGAGCTCGGTAGGCGTCATAAACGTCTCAGAACATTTCGGCGCTTTGCATTTGTGGTGCTTCTTGGATGCAAGATGTTGAATCAGCGCAAGATTGATCTTGAAATCTTGCTGACAGAGTTCAGCATCTCGTTCCTGTTACATGCGTCTCTTTAATGTGCTTACAAGCGAAGATAATCAGTACACCAATTGAATTATCTGAAGCGAATTACTGCTCACCGCTTCTAACCCAGTTAAGTTCGCCTGGGTATCAGACGGGCATAATGGACAGAATGGCATAGTGCTGGAATAAGGATGGGAGGGAAATTATGCGGAGTCTCCTAGTCCAGCACGTCTTATACAACGTTTGCTTGTACACGACTTTGGCACATGTTAGCGGCGAAAACGGGAGTCTTCTGGAAGCGTGTCTCAAACCTCGAAGCATGCCACGGCCTTCTTCAAGTTCTTGCTTCCCTTCTTCTTGACAATCCTCAAGCTTAAGCTTGAAATCTCGGTTTGAACTTCACTCCATCACTTTGAATTCATTACGCGCGCATACTAGTAGAATATCGTCCAATTGTCGAAGGAATATGCGAAAAAAAGATGGATTCAAAATCATCGATATAGTAAACCTGAGGCTGCCATGCGGACGCAACGTGCTAAAAAGTGGGTCCAGCCCGAACCATTCGGAGGTCATGAGGATGATGTTACGGAGAATAAAATTCATCTCCACAGGGTAATTGGCTACTGGTTAGAACATAGCTAGGCCTCAGGACAGGAATATCAGAGAAATATTACTGCGCTACCATCTATCATAGTACCCTGTACGCTCACTGATGGAAGGAAATTTGTCTGTTAAAGATCAAACACGAAGGAACGATCTTCCTTCGACTGGTCTGGCTAGGGGAGACTATCAGCTACACTTCATGATGTCGTGCTCTCGCATGCAATATTGTCAAAGTGGAGGGCACCTGACGCTTTTTACGTGTCTTCGCACCAGCTCAGGTGTCTTTAAATTTCGTTAACGTCGCGCCCTCGGCTGCATGTCTGGGTTGTAGAAATAGACGAAACCATGCGCGCCGCGAGACAGGAGTACAAGATCTACTATCCCAAATCGTGTATCTCATAACTGACACCAAGCTCTTCGGCTCCTCAATACATTTCCTTTACAACAGTCCACTGTTCACCCCACCGTCGTACCCGTATGAAGCGGTGCACCCTGGTATGCCAAGGTTGTAAGGGTTATTTGGAGGTTCGCACTTGGAGTTAACTCCCGCCTCCGACATACAGACATCAGTGGGGCCAGCTGTAAGTGTCCAACTCTGAAAAATTCCGAGAGTGATTAAGTGTGCATGCACCGCTGTGAGAAACAGATACTTACGGCGGACGCGCTGTACGAGCATCCTGTGTACGTTCCCGGATTTGCAACGGAGGGATAATAGCACGTGATGGTATCGCCCGAGCATGTCCAGTAATTGAGACATGCATCCCCTGCCGTTGGACTGTATACTTCCCAATCGCAATTAGGGCAGGCCTCACAGTTGGCATTCACTCCCGTGCTGATCGTGAGGAGATGGGATATGATCAGAGCAGCGGCCAGCACAAGACGAGCCATAGTTTCGACAAGATATTGCACTGACGTGCTGATCGTTAGATCTAGCAGCAAAGGGGTTGCGCAATTAGGAAAACGTACATGGTGTTGTCGTTGCAAATGCTCAGCAGTTCAAGGACAGTCGATCTATTCGCTCTTATATACCGTCAGCAAGTAGCTTCAGGCGCGAATAGGTATGTAGTGGGATTCCATAAATCTCTCGCGTTCCATGTCATATGACACTCGGTGTGGGTCTGTTGGAATGAAATTAATATTGGTGTGATTACTTCAAAAGCGATCATTGTCTACCCATGCACATGGTTCAAGTTGCTCCCTCGGGCCCGCCAATTTCAGGGTGAAAGTCGCTCCTCAGCAAAGCAGCTATCCAGCAACCATCAAGTCAGAAAACCCCCGTACCAACACAGAAACAGAAATACTCACATGTAATCGCAAGACAAACACATATTCTGGATAGTGTTCTCACAATAAGATTCCTCTATTCCAGGAAGAGAAAGTAAGCTCGGTAGTAGTTTCGTCACTGGCAGCAGGCAGCCGCCTTGTGCTGGTGCTGAATCAGAACTAACGGTTTTGAAACCCCGAACACAACTATATATATTAGGCAACTGTAGTATTCAACAGAATCACCACCAGCAGCACCCTTGAGTGGTACGTCGACCACTTACATTGTTCAAACTCGGTCGACATGACCGTGTCATCCGCCAACTGATAATCGCTGCGAATCAAAGTGTCGTCGGGAGAATTCACTTATAATAAGTTGTTTTCAGTTGTCTCCTGCGACTGCATCATAAAAGGGGCTCTCTACCTAGTGACAGGTTCGATGAGATAGAACCTTTACTGTTGGTTGCCCTGTTTAGTTCGTCGTGTGTCCATTCGATCTTATTTATTGCATCACCTGATGCCAACTTTGGGTGGACGAGGCATGCACTTCGTCACTTATCTCTCAGCTAAGTATGATGATGATATCTTTTGTGGCTTATGTCCCCGATGAAGTTTGTATTATTTCAGCCCAGAGACATGGTACTTTGTGTTCATCGCCCCCTGGAACTATTATTTCGCTACTCATTGGATCATACATAGGCTTTGTCTTTCGAAGATCAATTCAATAAGTCGTTCCGTTTCGCTGTTCGTGCACTCACATGCAGTGGCCAAGGTTGATACCCTCGGTGCTACTACTCAGTGAATTCCTCACGCATATTTGGGTGTTGCTCGTTCCACCTTCGCCCGCATCATGAAACTTGCCATGAGAAATCACGGGCATGAGAACTACTTAGTACTGACTGGCGACCTGACATCCAGGGGGTGATCGCTATTCAAAGTACGCAAATCCCTTTGTCTGCCTCAATCCTAAATATTATCTCAACAGCAAATGATACGTGTTATATGCCGTCAGCAAGTTTTTCAGGCACGATTTAATATATGGTGAAGATCATACACATCTCGCGTTCCATGTCATATAATACGCGGTGTCTGTTCGAATGACATTAGTGTGATTACTTCCAAAGTTACCCGGGCTCTCGGTTGCTCACCCACCAATTCCAGTCCAGGTTACCGTATGATCTCTCGTGCTCATGCCCATCCGCAAAGCAGATATCAAGCAACTAGCCATGCAACAAAAGGGATCTTCCTCATTCGTAGACTGTACTCCCACTTTCTTTTCCTGGAGAAGAGAAATTAGTCACCGCTCTGACAGCTCTGGGTGTGGGGAACGAGCGCTTAGGAACGGCGACTCGTGACCCAGAAGGGAGGCTATGGCGCATGGCGCCCAGTGGGCATCTTCCACTCCGTGTCCTGCACGGCGTGGCTCCATGGACGCATCCGACGAGGGTTAGCGGACGGTGCGGTGTTTGCTTCTCCCTTCCTGGTGAACAGGAATTAATCACTGTTGTGAGAAGTTAGAACGCTATACAGAATATAATAACCTGTGACTTGTGAGTGTATGTGAGTATTTCTGTTCCGTTTCGATGGGCGGTGTACTCTGTGTGGGCCTCATTCCTGAAATACGAGCCCATAGGTTGAGTGAAAGTGCATCGAGTCCGTATGTCCGGCAAATGCTTTCGCGTCCTCGAATCGGCTCCGCAACGCAGGAGCGAAGAAGAATTCTCTGAATCGTTCCTGAAGGTCTGAACCACTGAGGGCGCAGATTTTTCGTATTTCACGAAGCTTTGCGACATACTTTATCTAAAGAAACCCTAGTCTCCTATTAGAATGAAGACAGTCGTTCCTTCTATTAGGGACAAACCCGCTCCTTCCGTTTTGTGTTCTGAGTCACTTAGCATTGAGAAGCGCCGCACTGAACCTTGGTCAGGAATGATGTCTTGTGTGTCTTTTGACAATGGTTGGTGATCCGACAGGAACAAGACGCGCTACAATAGCAAATATTTCTTGACTTACCTCTTCACACGATCGCCTATTTGTGAAAATGAGAATTCGCTAAGACTTGAACACCGACGGAACAACCTTTAGTAGTACATCATTCTAAAGCGATGGAGAATAAGATGATAAACAGAATGTGCTGTGAGACTTTTGCTGGTGAAGACTGCAATGAGATCCTATTCCTTCCATACATGCAAACAAGACAGCAGGCTGTAAGTCTCAGTTGATAAATGCCTTGTACAAGGCTCTCCACATCTGATTACCGTTGGTCTCGATCACATCCTGGTGAGCAATGGTCAATCGCTACACAAATTCTTATGATAATATTCACTCACCCCGTGGCAAGGAATGATGCGGTCGAAATCCCAATTGGCGACTGTGGTTGCGTCACGGCGCATAGCTCTGCGTACGGGTTAGTGACAGTAGCTATCAATAAAGAATGATGCACAAACTCAGCGTCGACTGTTGTGCCCTTAATAATGGCCCTGTGGAACCATGAATCAGGCTTGACGGTGCCATGGGCCGCAGAGGTCGATTTTGAATACTGTTCGCGAGGTTAACACTGTAAGTGATGACCCGGGAGGACGTTACCCAACTTGTTCATTAGCTGGTAGATTCAGGAGTAAGTCTGCTTCAATAAGCGACTTTGACGGCATATGCAGAAAAGCCACATCTTTATTCCTAAAACCTGAAAAATAGCTGCAAAGAATCAAGTTGACAGTCCTTCTAGTAAACGGCAGGTACACACCAATGTTTGATCTATATATATCATCAAATTTGCTGGCCAATAAACAAAAAGCGATGTCTTACCTCGTCCTCAAAGCCATAGTTTGTGTTGGGAGGGTCACGGCCCCACACTAAAAGCTAACTTCAATGGCTAAAGAAAAATAGACTGTATTGACATACAACCGTCAAAAGGGAGGCTCTTGTCGCTCATATTCGGTATGGCAGCTTCAACACCAATTAACTTGGCGCTGGGGTAAGCCCTCTTAAACTCTCCTGTCGTGATTGATTAGAACCGTGACGATGCAGACAATCCAGCGAAGTACGAACCGAGGAAGATGTGGTGAACAGCATCGGCGCCTACGATGTATCTTGGAAATTATAATATAAGATAGCGCGAGCGAGACTGGATGATGCGTACTTGACTTCGCCCAATTCATCTATTTTATTGCGCGTATCCTCTGTCAGCGGGGTCGATGCGAGTACCCAAACGCCTCCCTGTCGCAATTTAATGGCAGTGGATCGCCCTCCCATCGGAAATATTCCGAGTCGGGCAAAAGGTCTATTGAATGAACACACTTAGTGGTAAGAGTCATAGTGACCATGAATTTGACCCCTTACCTGGAGAAGATCCAGACATCTTTCGCGACCTACGAAGCAACTCGATAAGACCATTGTCTGCGCGATGACTGCAACGACGAACCTCTCGAATGACAGTATCGCTCATGGTTGTGCAGGTTCAAGTTAGAATCGCTTTGACACGCTTTTGACACCATGAATTTCGAGGCATCGTGGGAATTGGAATGACATCACCGCTACGTTATGGATGTATTTGATATTGCCAAGACAATGCCAAATCTTAAAAAGTAAGGGAGAAGGCAAGGGGGGGAGGTGGGAAGATTTGGGCATTTCCGCGTAGCGCACATGGCGTCGGTAAGCCTCGCCAGCATCAGCTGGCGTCGGTATTTTCGGTTATTTCGCTAAGGTGGCTGAAAAAAGCATCCCACATGGTTCTGTCAACCGGAGTTTGAATTTCCGAAAACCATTGTCCCCTACTGTACCAGCTCGCTGTCCAAAATTGGGAATTTGTAAAAATTGAGCCACAATGGGATACACCAAGCAAATAGAAAAATGTGAAAAATGCGAAAATAGAAAGATGGGATTGGCAGGTGCTCACTGGCCCTCCATTTTGCACAACAACAATGATTTTATATGTACTGTAACTGTGATACATGATGATAAATGGTAAAAATTGAAGGACAAAAAGGGATTTTGGGATTTTTTTGGGGGAAAAGAGAAAAGAGAACACCAAGCCAGTAGAAAAATGTGAAAAATGCAAAAATGCGAAAATATAAAGATGGCAAAAATTGGCAATGGGTAAACAGGAGAATGGGAGGATGGAGAATGGAGAAATGGGGTGAATAGGAAGATGGGAGGATGGGAGGACAAGAGGAGGACAAGAGGACACAATGGGAGGATGAGAGGGCTACAGGAGGACAAGAGGAGGACAGGACAATGGGACATGGGAAAATGGGACACGGGAGAACAGGACAACAGGACATGGGACATGGGACATGGGACACGGGAGAACGGGAGAACAGGACACGGGACATGGGACACAGGACAATGGGACATGGGACAACGAGACATGGGACATGGGACAATGGGACAACAGGACACAGGACAACAAGACATGGGACAATGGGACATGGGACAAGATAATTGGGAGGAAGTGTATGAGTCAATAGCATGACACAAACAGTTTGACTGAAGGTTACCTGGGACACTGGCTTGCATCCCGCTGGCCGAGGCACGAGGCCACGGGATCGCAAGCCAGTGTCCCAGGTAACCTTCAGTCAAACTGTTTGTGCAACATCCCATAACTAAAACAAAACTATATAATGTAAGAAATTATTGATTTGTTATAATTAAATAATATGTAGACACAGTGAGACAAGGCACCGAAGGTGCCTCCAGCAGAGCACGAAGTGCTCTGCTTGCTTCCTGTGCCGAAGGCACAACGGGCTTGGACTCGTCATAAAAGAATGGGAGACCTGTTTTGTGGCTGTGTGTGGGAGACGCGTAGCTCGCTAAAGGCCACATGGGAACGCTTAGCTCGCTTAACCTCGATTTAGAAATTTCACGTGGTTCTGTCAATCGGAGTTTCAATTTCAAAAAACCGTTCTCCCTTACTATACGACCTCACTGTCCAAAATTGGTTATAGGTAAAAATTGAGCCACAACAAGGGGAGGAACACCAAGCAAATAGAAAAATGTGAAAAATGCGAAAAATGCGAAAATATAAAGATAGGAAAAATGGGCAATGGGTAAACATGGGAATGGGAAGGTGGAGAATGGAGAAATGGGGTGAATGGGGAGATGGGACACGGGAGATGGGAGACAGGAGACAGGAGGGAGATAGGAAATGAGAAATGAGGAATGGGAAAGCAGAAAATAGGACAGAGACACGGGAGAATTTTTTGGGAAGGGCAAGAGTCAACAGCAAGACACAAACAGTGAGACTGAAGTTTACCTGGGACACTGGCTTGCATCCTGCTGGCCGAGGTACGAGGCCACGGGATTGCAAGCCAGTGTCCCAGGTAAACTTCAGTCTCACTGTTTGTGTCTTGCTGTTGACTCTTGCCCTTCCCAAAAAATTCTCCCGTGTCCTCTGTCCTCAGAACTAAAATAAAAGTATATAGTATTTTGTAAATGTAATATGTAGACATGTGCCGAAGGCACAACGGGTGTGGGCTAGTATTAGCTTATAGCATTAGCTCCAGCCAGCTGCCTCGTGCTCGAAAATCAAATCGCATTCATCACCGCCACTTTTGTTCCGACGTCCCCAGTCGTCTTCCACAGCGGTTGAATATTGTCAGGGTTAGAAGACTGATTGAAGATTGATGTATGATAGATTGTATAGATGTATGTGTTTGATATGAGGATGATTTATTGTGTTGAACACTATGGTGACATGATGAAGACTTGAGGCGCCTTTGGCACCTCCAGCAGAGCACGAAGCGCTGTGCTGGCTTCCTGTGCCAAAGGCATAACAGGCTTGGACTAGTAATAAGTAGTTGAAGACACAGCAAGCCAAGGCACAGGGGGCCCAGTGGACCACCAGCCAAGAACAAGGAACGACTGCATTCCTTCTTGCAATTGATACTTATCATGATCATGGGCTGACCATACGGGGGACTATCATTATTGTATAGTCTCACATAGTCTCGCATAGTAAATGTGTCCACAAATTGTGAACACACTTGTTGGTCGCAGTACATTTTCTTCGTCCCAACTCCCATCCTTCTCTTCAAGTTATCGACTCTTCTTGACGCAGCGTCACTGGCCCTTGCTCGAAACTTCGAATTGGCTGTAGTTTCCCCTAGACAGATGATCGACAAATGAAGATAGCCATTTCTTCTCACTACGAATTGGTTGGTGGCGTACTTGGTGACTTTGAGGATGATTGTATGTTCCTTTACTTACGTTGCATCAGTGGATATTGATTTCCAGCACCTATGCTGTGCCCATTCCGCGGAGAACTTTTTTCTTCTTGCTCGTGCGCCATGGACGTTAGTGTATTGCTGAAATTGTGGCAGAGGTCACATCGCCGGACAGACAGGGGTCTCCTGGTCGTGTCTTTGCCTACTACGGCGAGAACTAGGCTAGGCTATGTGAGAGAAAGAAGTATGACCCTGACACACTCTGACAACTGCTTCAGGAACTCGATCTGGCCACTTAATACAGAGGGGCAGATTGACGAACCTGAGGAGCACGAGCTTCAGCATATCCAGTCCTGATTGATCGCCTGAACAAAGTCACTGACATCTGACAGATGCCTCTCCTACGTGGGAGTCAGGGTTACCTAAGAAGTTTGCTGCCCCGTGCGTTGATCGGTGCATTTGAGATTAAGATGGTGCCAGTGAGCGCTTGACACTTGCAAATGTCTTGTCAATCACGCAGCAAAAGCATCCCATCAAGTAAATACTGCTTGTTCTCGAGTGAAGCGTCCAGCTTCGTTGTCCCGATGTGCGTGACAAACAGTGGCAAAGCGGAATCACAACCAAAGTCAGAAAGATTCTATCTAGAAGTATCATCATAGCTGATCATCGCTCGACGCCTTCTTGAGTGTGTCTTGCCAGTCCAAGGCCAACTTGGTGAGCGTCTTACTCCGAGCTAGACAGAAAATTCAGTAATCTAAGAGATGGTCGAGACGGGACGACTGACCAAAGATCGACAACACTTCGCGCAAAAGATCGCGCTTGGGCATACCTGCCACGAGAGGTGTCCAAGAGTCATCCCTTCCGCCAGGTCGCCTAATCAACAGTTAGCAATTCATTGTTGAAATTCTTGACATATGATGCAGTTACCAAAATATGGGGCCAAAAAGCTCCTTGATAAGCTCCTCTGCCTTCGCCCTGAAGCCCTCATCTGCCAGTTTCCTGGCATAAATCAGAAGTGCTTGCTTATATTCAGCGCCGCTATCCAGCGCTTTGGCGGCATGCAACTTGCTCTCTAGATGGCCTAGTGTGAGGGCCGTATTCCACCAAACGGGGCGCTCTTTGTGAGGCACCGGGATAATTGTGGTGCCGATTGCGCCCTCAATAGAGGCGACAACGTCTTTATCTTTGTTGGCTCGTTGACGGCCTTGCCATACATCTGAGCCCTCTGCCCACCAGCGCTCGCTCAGTTTTGTCCAGGAGAAAAGCTGTACATCATAAGTATACGCGATGCCGGAAGAACAGTGAATCATTGGTGCGCCGTTATGTCGAATGGTGGCGGACAATATCGTGCAATTCGGCGAAGAGGAGAGTAGGGGAGCAATGGATGTAGGTGGGAAGAATGATGTAGCGTTCTTTATATTTCTGAGCAGAGTAAGCACCATGGAAACAAAAGGGAGTCGTGTAACTTACATCGAGCTGAGCTGACCAGAAGCTGTGAGTACCATTAAAGCCGACTTGCAGCCGTGCATCATTGCGCAAGGTGAGCCAAAGCTTAGAGTCGCCATCAATCTGCCAAACAATATTAATATAGCGATAAAACGTCTCTGTTTACCACAGACCTTCGACCAGTGTGTGAATACACGTTGACAGAGCCATCTTGTGTAGCAGCAGCACAAAATGTTGTGGACGCAGTTAATGCGAGCACAGGAGAGGGCAGATAGTCCAACCACATCGTTTGCTTCCCATCAGCGAATGTGACTTCCGTGGGCCCTGAAAAAAAAAACATCAGCCAGACCATAACGAATCAAAGATCTTACGAACCATCTCCTTCTGAATTTCGGGCCTCAAAGATAAAGTCACTTCCCTCCACATTGGCACTCAAGAACGTCAATAGTGGCGGGACAGGCAGTAGATCTGCGCCCTCAAATAGATGAGTGCGCGCCGAGACCAAGCTCGCCGATATGATTTCTCGCACTGCAACTGTCTCCCTTGGTCGATCGCCACCAAGGGTACGGGGCTTAGACGGCTTGTCCTCGGGCGTATCAAGTACCGACGCTTTCCGTTTGCCTTTGTTCGCACTTGACATACTCGTATCAAGTGCATCGATGGGAACATCCATATCCATTGGCCCTCCCATCTCGATGTCAGCGTCATAAGTGCGTGGGCTTGGCACGGGTGATGTAGAGTGTGATACTTGGCGTGATCGAGGGATCTCCGGTACTTGGAATGCACGCGATCCAAGGGCATTTGCTGAAGGGGGCAACGTGGAAGTTGATGCTTGGGCTGAGCGTGATGTCGATGCAGAAGGCACGGACGACATAAGGATGGGTTGCACTCTCTTCTTGTTGCTCTTCTTTGCAACAAGCTTGTTGATGTGCTCGCCACCATTAATCCCATTCGCTGCGCCAAAGCCGGATTGCGATTGTGACTGGGCACGGTTTGGGGAGGGTGGCGGCGTAATCCTCGATACTGAGGCAGCAGTTGTACTGTGAGTGAACGTGCCGTGCGAGTATCCTTCTGGAGTTGGTGGCGGTACAAAGCCAAACTTGTGTAAATATTGCTCTTGAGCAGAATGAGGCGCAATGCCTTCCAATTCTTCGGGGTCAAAATGGAAAACGGCTATCGTTCCGTCCGAAGATGCGGCGTAGAGAGTCAGACCGTCCCAGGACCTACACGAAAGATTGGTCAGAATCCCAACGAAGGTAAAGAGAGGCTTACCAGCTTAGGTCCATTATCTGTCGTTCAAATACTTCACGTGCAACGATGAGGGGTCGTGCCGATTTTGTCTGCCAGATGGAGATGGATCTGTCATCCGCACCAAGAGCAACTACAGAGCATATATTGGATGTAGCTAAAGGCGATGCGGGATTTCGCAGAAAGATATGGGGGTTGTAGGCCTATGACGTGCATGAGAATGACAAAACTTGCTATTCGATCAGCACGTACCGCAACCTCGACTGTGTTCTCATGACCAACCAAACTGATCTCAGAAGTCCACGTTCCGCGAGTTATGACAGCTGCAATGAAAACGAAGCCCTTATTGTTGGTTGCATTTGAAGCAGTGATGTGGGCACCATCAGGCGACCAACTACAAAACTTTGTGAGAAAAGGATTTATGAACATCCGATGAGACTCGCCTAAGGCGGCGGAAAAACGTGCTGCCGGGAGAGTCCTCGAAGGGTTTCCTGATTTCTGCCTCGAGCTGCCAATCGGTCGTTCTCCAAATTTTCACGGACTTGTCGTCGGACTGAGTGGCCATAAATTCACCCACAGGATCCCAACAAACGCCTTTTACAAATCCTTGATGCTGATCCAGCTTTCTAATGCGTTCTGAAAGACATGTCAGCAATGGACTTCTCACACTAAACTACTGAAGCCGGCAAGAAATGATGTTTGGAAGCACCAATTACTGAGGTGCGATAGGAAATAACTGCGCCCCACACAACTGCAGACGATACAAACAAAAGTGCAAATCTGACTCACCCAGGGTATATCCACACCAGACCATAACGACAGAATCAAGGCCAACTGAGGCGAGGTAACGATCCTCCGGGGCCCATGCCAGGTCTGTAACGTCTGGCAGTTGTTTAGTGCAAACAAAGATAAGAGTGGACAAATCCAATTCACCGCTTTCATGGCCTGGAAGTCGCTTCATTGGTTTCCATCCCTCTATATTGACTTCATTGGAACCAAAAACCTTGCCCCTACCCGATCTGTATTGAAAGAAGAGAAGCAAAAATGGGTATATCAGGAGCACATCAAAGTCAAATACACAAACTTACGGATCAAGGTCCCATATCATCACAATCTCGTCGTCGCTCCCACTTGCAAGCCACCTCCCAGAATGTGCCCACCTAATCGTCAAGACGGGACCTGTGTGCATACTTAGCGTGCACAAAGACTTTGGCGGTTTATTAGACATTTCGGATGCATGATTGAGAATAGGTTTCGTGCTCCAAATACGTATTTTTGCATCTAAGCCTCCTGTCGCTATGCGTGAACCATCAGGATGGACATGAACTGAGAATATGGAGAGACGTTTTGTGTCGTCGGTTTTGGAACTATCTGTGTAACAGTAGATGGTTCAGATGCCATTATTCTTTACAATTCCCATACTCACCTTTGTGCATAACCCAAGCGGGTTTTGTGAACTTCATTATTGCTGCGCACTGTAGACCGTGCTGAGCGGATACAACAGCTTGCAACCCGAAGTGTCTGAGACCGAAATCGGTCAGCCACGTGGTTCCCAACCTGAGAAAGATTCAACAGCCAAGAACGACTTGATTTATTCTTACAGGTAAGTTGCCTCCCACTAGTGTCACTTGACATTTCCCGGATCTTGCAGTGACAGGTTGCGAGACGGTCGCGCCAAATATCGCAATAAATGCGTAATGACACTCACCGCGGACGCGTTTAGCTGCCCTATGATATCTGATGAGTACATACTTGTCCCTCCCCGCCTTGGTGTGACATCCTGTGAAGTGCACCACTTGCATAATCATCGTTTCTCGGAAGTCATTTGGGATGTGCATGCAGAACAGAGTAACGTATAATACATTCCAAATCCCCAATTATTCCGATGAGCCGTCCATTCATGCCATCTCTGCGACTACTCTCTACCAATAACACGGAGAATCCTCCATCCAGTCTTTAAAGCCGATCTCGTGCAACTGCGATTGCGACCAAGCTTGATATGAATATTCATATTCGCGGATTCTGATCATCGGTGGCGTGTTTCCACTTATTGTTAGAACAAAATCTTGTGCCATTAATCTGGGATGATGAAAGGCCACTCGCGCAATTCCGCATTGCGCGCAGGAGGGGATAGATGGTGTGCTCAGCCGTGCCTGTCCTGAGTGCTTTGATATACGGGGATTCTTCCTCGTTCACACTCGTGTTTTTATCTCACCCAGAATGTCGATCCCTGTGAGCACTACCCGGGAGCAGCCAACTTCGACAGCGGACGGCGACTTTAGTCGGTCTGTCTCTTCATTGTCTTTTGTCGGCAAAAAAAGTTCTTCTCTGTCCGCTGATGTAGCAAAGAATGAAGACCTGGTGAACGAGGAGGAGGAACAGTTCACATGGACAAAGGCTATCTTTCGTCGAAAACAGACAACCCCCGCTGACCTTGATGCCATCGCGACCAGGCGCTCTGCTTTTGACGATCCTGAACTTGCGCCACACTACTTGCCCAAGAAGGACTATGAGAATCTCCACAGATTCGACCCAACCGCTCGTTGGACGTACCGGGAGGAAAGGGTCGGTTTTTATACTTATCGTGGTTCAGATTAAGGTTGCTAATGTTAAGCGGGAGAAAGGCCCTGGTTCGCAAGATGGACTGGAAGATCATGATCATGGCAGCTATAGGATTTTCGGCTTTGAACTTGGACAGGAGCAACATCAACCAGGCAAACTCGACCACTTTTTTGTCAGATCTTGGATTGACTACAAACGGCAATGATGCTCGTTTGCCTTCTGAGTATTGTCCTGACTTTTAGACTTCCAGACTTCAACCTCGGAAATACCGTGTTCAAGTTGGCATTCTTGTGCGCAGAACTTCCGTCACAGCTTGTCTCGAAGCGGGTACGCGGATGTATCTACTATTAATTCCCTCGCAAGGCTTATGGTTGTATTGAAGGTTGGGCCAGATCGGTGGATACCAACGCAAATATGCCTCTGGAGTACGTGACAGAACATCCGCTTCAGACAAGTTCTCACCAATTGAGTACAGGTTTCGTGACTCTCTCGCAGTTCTGGCTGACCGGAAGGACCTCATTTCTCGTGTGCCGCGCGTTAATTGGGTAATTGACTTCTGTCTCAATTGTTATTTTCACTGACAAGTGGATTCAGCGTCCTGCAAGGCGGGTGAGCCTGATTTCGTGCGTGCTCGAGTACACTTGTTTATATTCCACAGCTTTATTCCCGACCTTATATTATATCTGTCGTGTATGTCGGTTATCTCCTCATCTTATCTCGCTCAATATTCGGGCAGATTTTTACACGAAGACGGAGCTACCCATCCGCCTTGCCTTCTTCTGGATGTCTACGAACTTCTGCAGCATCATCGCCAGTTTTATTGCCTATGGTACACTTCACCTGAATGGAGTGGCTGACAAGGCTGGGTGGCGGTGAGTAGACCTGTAGTGCTTATTTGAATGTAAAAACCTGACTTGATCGAAGGTGGCTGTTCATGATTGAGTGCGTCCATTCATTTACATGAGACGCGCGAACTCAAGTACTCAACACTCCCACAGGGGCCTTCTCACTCTCCTCATAGGATTCTTCACTTTCTTCCAGATGCCTCCATCACCAACGCAGACCAAAACGTGGTTCCGGCCTAATGGCTGGTTCACGGAAAGAGAAGAAGTTATCATCGTGAACCGAGTGCTTCGGGATGATCCTTCTAAGGCAATTATGACCCTGTCTCGTCAGACCTGTCATTGACTCGCACCCTCAGGGCGACATGCACAACCGCGAGGGTCTTACGTTGCATCGTCTTTGGACAGCAATGTGCGATTATGACCTTTGGCCAGTTTACATCCTGTAAGCAGTTCCCCTAGTCTTTGTAAGGGTTAGGCGCTCATAAAATCTAGCGGCCTCATGTTTGGCATCCCGAGCGCTCCCCCGGCGACATACCTCACTTTACTGCTTAGAAACATCGGGTGGGTATCACGAGTATCTTCTTCGTTAAATGCACTCATGACCAGGGGGCCAGTTTCAACACATTCAACACCAACCTCCTCACGATACCCTCTCAAGCTCTCGGGATTGTCACCATGTTTTTGATCACCCTTGTCTCAGAGTACGTCGACGAGCGTTCGATTGTTTCCATGATGGAAGACCTCTGGACGCTGCCTTTCCTCGTTGCGCTCTACGCGTTACCTGACAACCCTAACCCTTGGGTATTCTTTGTGAGCAAGGGTTTGCATGCAGCGCATCACACGCCGTTTAATCGAAATTGCAGGCTCTTGTGACTGGTCTGTTGTCATATCCGTGAGTCCGAACTTTTCAGCATACTTGAATTGCATTATTGAAGTCCTCGTGTGGCCAGATACACCCACCCAATCCAGGTTCGTCAACTAGAACAACTCTTTTACCCATCACCCATCTCTTGTTTCAGGTAGGATGGTGCTCTCGTAACGCCGGGGCTGTAGCAAGCCGCACAGTGAACGCGTCTTTATACAACATGTGTGCTATTCGTCATGGCTACGCAGTAGACATCCTCACCTTTCCCTAGGTTCGTGCAAGCCAGCGGTATCATTTCCGCGCAGATATACGTGGCCAGCGATGCTCCTAGATGTACGTCGCCATCGTTTCTTTTCCCAGTCAACCTGAGCCTTCTACTCATTCCGGCTTGTAGATCAACGCGGCAACAAGATCCTCATCATTATCTGTTGCGTCAACATCTGTGTCTTATACCCAGCTACGAAGGCGTATTACGTCTGGCGCAACCGACAGCGAGCTAAAATTTGGGACGCGATGACGTCAGAGGTAAGCGCACATCGACTTTTTTGATGGCTAAGGCGTCGGCGCTGACGACTTATAAATGATAGGAACGTGGGCACTATCTGAGCACAACCACGGATGTCGGAAACAGAAGACTTGATTTCCGTTTTGCGCATTGATAGCACATTTATCTTTCCTAAAGTTCAATATTTGGAGGTGATAGATGTTCAGAGAAATGGTGAATAATCACGCGAAATCCACGAGGGGTAGAAACGCATGGATTGATAAGGACAAAAGCAAGATAGTCGATGTCCAAAATAATAAAGTCTTTCCAAGTGAACCGGGGTACAACAAAATGTGTAAAGCGATTACTCGCAAGCACCCAAATCCTTCCAAGTTCCGGAAGTGTCGCCAGGGCTATTACTCTGCGTCGACTGTGTAGAGATCCAGAGATGACCGTTGTAAGTCACCTTGGCGCCCCCGGAGTAATTAGTGCCCTTGCCCCAAGTGGGAATGTCTGTGCAAACAGCTTTGTTGCTAATCGGTTGGATGCAACATCCCTTTTGAGTCCACTGGGCAGCGGAAGACTCAGGGTTGTTGTTGTAACTCCACTCTTTAGCAGTCCACAGTTGGTTGTTAAAAATCACCGAGGAACCACCGTTATACTGTGCCGGAGATGTGAGCGGAAGAAGATCATGAAATGAGTAACGCTTACTGCGAGATTAGCCTGCCAAGGCTGGAAGCCGTCGCACGAGACTTGAGCGGCCGTGCTAGGGGGAGCGTTCCGAGCCTTGTAATGCTGAGAAGGTCGTGACTTAGTTTAGGTCAAGTCAGGGACAGCGACAACATACCAAGTTTTCGTTGTACCTGCGGAAGTCGATGGCGCCCGTTGGAACCAGAGCGGCAGTGAAGACGAGTGCGACACTAATGATTTTCGAGTACATGATTCAGATCTTTTACAATGAGAAGGGTTGATTAAATGGGTCCTTTTATACGCCAGCACAGAGGGGCTTAATCCTAGAGCAGAGGGGCCTCATCCTAACCGGGATGGCGAAGTTCGACTCAATTCAATTGAATGCGCTGCAGTGAATTGCGCCCAACCCTCCGAATCGGCCAAGCTGATGTGTCAACAGTGTATTGTGCTCACGCTGTTAGGCTCTCGAGGGTGAATGGGGCTCATCCTGTGTGAATATAGGAGTATGCAGTCAGAGTCCTACACCGTGTGATCGATCCGGCTGTTGCTCGGGGAATGGCCACAGAGAGCGGGTTATCATGCATCATGCATCATGGAGGATCGTCGTTTTCATCAGAGGATAGCTGTGTAGTTGGCCAAGATTTTATTTGTAGGCCAATTGTAGACTGCCAGACAGTGCCAGTTATCGGAATGAAGCCTACCAGTTCATTGAGCCATTCAGATTTCAGTGCCCTAAGTCAACCTCCAGGGAATAGCTACAACAGCAAGATGACAGGTTCAGTCATGATGAACTTCTTAATGATTGGCGTGGAAGTTTCATTCAGACTGAGAACTGCATAGGTCAATTGTTTGTGATCACGTTTGTCTCGGAGTCCTAAGTATTGTGGCGATGATGGAAGATGTTGGCATCGCCCCATGATGCGCGGTTTACTCCCCGTGATGTCTGATCTGTTGTCAATAAGGTATTTTCCTGACGTCCTCGTGTTGTCATATATATATACCCAAGTTCGCAAATTAAAACATCCTTGAGTGAAACATTTATTTCTTGTTTCAGGTCGGATAGTGTTCTCGTAACGCCGGGGCACTAGCAAACCCAACGTGAGTGAAAAGTGATAATGGCTTTATATAATGACAGAAACGTGCCCACTAAGCAAGACGCTAGGAAATCAAATGTTTATGCAGTTTTCTCCAAGTTCAATCAAGCGCCAAAGAAATCACACGAAATAAGCAAGGGAATAAAAACACATTGATCAATTTAAGAATACAAGCAAGGTAGTCAATGTCCATAATGAAGTCCTTCAAATGAAGTCCGATGGGTAAACTCTAAAGAGTACAAACAGGATGGGAAAAGTAATTAGTTACAGGCACCCAAGTCCTTCCAAGTTCCGGAAGTGTCGCCAGGCTGGTTGCTCGATGTCCACTGTGTCGAGATCCAGAGATGACCATTGAAAGTCACCTTAGCGCCCCCAGAGTAAGCAGTACCCTTGTTCCAAGCGGGAACGCCAGTGCAATCGACTTTGTTGCTGACTGGTTGATTGCAACACCCGTTCTGAGTCCACTCGGCAGCGGCAGACTCGGGGTTGTTGTTATAACTCCACTGTGTAGCGGTCCACAGTTGGTTGTTAAATATCACCTGGGCACCAGCGGAATACTGTGCCGTAGATGTGAGCAGAGGAAAATCAAGAGGTGAATATAACTTACTGCGAGATTAGCCTGCCAAGGCTGAAAACCATCACACGAGACGGAATTAGCAGCGGCCGACTGAGTGGGCTTTCCATCATGTTTGTCGGTGTCGGATGGTTTGGCAGTTTTGGTGGGTGTGCCGGTGTTAGTAGCCGTGGACTGAGTGGTCGTGGGCTGAGTGGTCGTGGGCTGAGTGGTCGTGACCTGAGTGGTCGTGGACTGAGTGGTCGTGACCTGAGTGGTCGTAACCTGAGTGGTCGTGGGCGTAGGAGTGGTCGTAGGCGTAGGAGTGGTCATAGGCGTAGGAGTGGCCGTGGGTGTAGGAGTTGCCATAGGCTTACCATCCCGACCCTCATGATGCTGAGACGTTGGCGTAGGGCAGGGCGCAGAATGCCACTGTGATTGACCGTCCTGCCATGTGGATGTCGCACACGACGATGGAGAATAGTGCTGTCCAAAGACATCAGGTCTGGGACAAGTCAAGGACAGCGATGACATACCTTATCGTTGTCCCTGGGGAAGACGACTGCGCCCGTCAAGGACAAAGTAGCAGCGAAGACGAATGCGATACTGATGAATTTCGAGTACATGGTGTTTTGAAATGAGGTTGATTTGTGAAGTGATAAGATTTGTGAGATTTGTGAAGTGATAAGATTTGTGAGATTTGTGAAGGATTGATGGGGAATGAAGGCAAAAACTATGGTCCTTTTATACGCCAGCAAAGAACAGAGGGGCCTTGTGTACACATCCTAGAGCCGGAATGGTGTCGGAACTCTCAAGGCGTACGGAGTTTCGACTTGATTCAATTGAATGAATCAAATGCGCTGCAGTGAATTGAATGTACCCCTATGGATGCACTCGGATGTCTCAGCAAGGACATCCGCTTGGTTTGAAATTCGAATGCCGCATCCGAATGCTGACATAATGAGTCTTCCGCATGCAAATGACGTCGCCGACGGTGTATTGCTGCTCACGCAGTTTGGGCTCTCGAGGGAAGATGGACTCGAGGATCCTAGTGCTGGAAATGAATATAGGAGTGCTCTATGTAAGAAAGAGTAGAGTAAATGATCGATCCGGCTGCCTTAGGCACGGTCAGTAACCACCACATTCCGCTTGGGGAATTGCAGTATAGTGTCCTCATGGCCAGAGCGGGTCATCATGGAGGGTCGTCCTCTTTTTCATCACAGGACAGGTGTACTTGATAGGTGCTAATTGTTACAGTAAAATGTCATTGAACTATCATACAGATTAATTTTTAGTTGAACCTCCATAAAATAGCCGAGAGAGCATTCACCAGGATCGACCGTGATGCATCGTGATGGGCGGGTCACCTGGGGGGCCTGGGCCCTGGGGGCACCATAGCTGTTTCATAAAAATTTACATGCGGGCAGTTACACAGGGATACACCGCGCACCTTGATCCTGTGAGACTGGTACTTGATAGCCACGACCAACTTCCACTGTACATGTACTTAGTCCGAGTCGATTGACGTTTGTACAAATTTAAAACGTGACACAAACACGAGCTGTCACGCCCACGTGCGTCGACAAACGTCGTCACGCACTTCACTGATACGGTGATGACGGACACGATAGCTATCGATGTACTTTTGACTTGATCCATGGTATGTCAGATCCACAGGATAAAGTACCTGCTCCAAACTCCGTCCCCCAACGCATGGTAAAGAGTGCTCGGAAATCTGCTGTAAAATCTGCCGCCAGTGGCGCAAGGATCGATGCACGTCCTAGAGACCAAGAGCTGAATGAGAGACCAATCAGTAGAAATCAAGCACGACCTAGTAAGCAGCGTGAACTAACCAACGATGAATGACGATAACATTGCTTTCATCAGATGCTGCTCAACAGATAGCTAGCCATGAACCCCAACAGCAAACTGACAAAAAGAGAGTTACTTTTGATCTTGCAGACGATCTCGCAGACTTCCCGCTGCCCATAGAGAGGCGTCCGGTCGCCCGTACAAGGGTTGCGCAGAACTCTGGACGACTGAATCCAGGTTTTGCTCCATCCGGGGCTCGTGAGGGAAGAGGATCGTTTCCGTCTGAATCAGCTTCGTTCTTTCCTGGGAGGTCTTCCAGAGCTGGTTCAGGAAGGCAATCTATGGCAGATGGTATGTAGAATGAGTACAGACTCAACAGCTTTGCGCCTCACGCCGACTAGTCCCACGCAGGGGTCGTGGTAGACAGTCAACTAATGACGCACGTAAGTGTATCAAAGCTAGATGGTTGGTTTTCTGCTCATGCATCCCAGAATACCAGCACCGTGCCGCTAAATCACAACAACTGCGCCTTCACACACATACGGAGCCACTTGCTGGAAAATACGCGCGAAAGTTTGAGGGTAGAAGCATCAGGACATCTTCATCCGTGCCTCGGATGTCCAGCGCAAACAGGGATATCAGCCAGGATCATCTTGTTGACAGCTCAAGTGAACATAGCGACGGGAGTTTGAACTACGTCGATATTGGCTTGACGCTGTCCAAATTGAGAAGGGACGAATCTTCAGACAATAACTCTGTCGAGTTCGTCGGGTGAGTCCTGACTGGTGGCAACTGAGTGCTTTCTGACAGTAATTTCGTAGAGAGGCGAGCGTCCAGGTGAAAGCAGCTAGAAAATTTCAATTTGGACGCAAATCGAAGAAGGATCCACCCGACACACGACGTTCTGTCACTCCCCAGAGTTCCCAGAGCAGCGAACAATCTGACGATGAGGGATCTGCGGTGCCCGCGGCTGCGCGCGAAGATAGCGAGGAACTGGAATATGTGGACCTTGGTATTCCCCCCCACAACATTACTCGTGAGCAAACCGATTCGTCCTCAGAATCAGACGCCGCAAAAGGGGATGAAGCGCCTACGGAACTGCCCTCAGACACTCTGATCGAGGCTTTGGAATATATATCACTGACGACCATCCGACTCGCAAGATTACACCGTCTTCCCTTCATGGTACGAAACCTCCGCAAAGGATTTCTCAGTCGATGCAAGTCCCTTGGAATCGATACGTCTCATAGTGTTCCGCCTCTGAGACCTATCACGGTCGTATACAGCTGCGTCGCCGAAGATAGATCTCTAGAACGGCAGGAGACTCGGACGACAATGCAAAGCTGGAAATGTCCGCTGTGCGAGCTTCACGGAACGTTTCCCCTGCAGCAGATTCTCAACGCACACCTCAACTCGGACCATTCAGAAGTAGGTTTCGCGTGGGATATGGTAGGTTATATGTAGCAGCCGTTATGAGATTAGAGACTGAGCGGACTTATGTAGAATGACTATACCCTGTCGATACGGCTTCCATTACCAGGATATCTTCCACTACCTCGACATCGTCAATTACCAGGACATCATCAATTACCAGGACATGTTCCATTGTAAGGTTTCGCTCCAATCAATTGATGTTCACTGCCTGAGCATCACGGGAATGGCCACTTCACAGATCCCCCCACTGGCGTCCGCTGATGACACCTTCGACAAGGACCGCTTCGACAGAAGTAACCGACTTCTCATCCAACAATATCAACTCCAGCAAATACACAACTCCAGCAACCACGCTGTCTCCATCACGAAATCCTTCTGTGTCATCTCAACATTTTCCTGACGCGGATTCACTTGACGTCAAACCAAAGTACTATATCCCGATGCTTCGTACGGGCTCAGAGGGATTTTCAAATACCCGCAGTAGTTCTATATCGTCCCGCATGCTGTCGCGCGCGTCCTCCCTTCGTGCTTCTGGAAACCCGACACCCCCTCCCCGGTCTGATCCACTGGGACCAGCAGCGCAACCTCCTTATCTCCCCAAGGATCAATATTCATGCCGTCTGGGCGGTCCCCGCGTCTATGATCTTCTAAATACAATGTCACTAGATAAGTTTGGTGTCCTCGCATGGGTTATCCTTGATCGGGAAGAAGAAATTTTCGAGATAGACGATGTGAGAGATGAAGACAAGGTCATGCAGGCGCTTTGGCTCCGCTGGATATTTCTGAATCGGTACGTTCTACTCAACCGAAGTGCTTCTATGTTTGATACGACAGTGGGGTAGGAACAAATTCGTTGCAAATTTCTTTGAAGGAACGAGGTCGTTCATCAAGGACAATTGGCGAATGATACATCTAGCTGCTGGACTGGCTGCTTTAAGAACGTGGCTTCTCGTACGTGATCGGATGCATGTAAAAATGTCGCATGTTTGACGGAGGTTTGATAGGTTCTCAACATAAACAACTTTTTGGTGACTCCGGATGTCGTCACGCTCTTGCGTGATTATCGAGGTTTGACGAATAAGCAGCAGTGGCATGATAGTGGTAATGCAGTACAGAATGAGGTTGCACCTGTATAATATCTCGTCGCAGTCAAAACTGTGGTCTAGCAAATGTTTCTTTAAATGTCTCCGCGGATGTATTGAACAGGTGTCCTTGGTAAACTTGTGTGGAGTGCTTTCGACTCATCCCTAAATATAAGCATATCCTGACCTTGAAGCTGTCGTCCACCCGCATGCCAGTACGCAACTTAAGAAGACTCCTCTGGTCTGGCAACATCGGGACCGGGGATACTCAATGCATCCCGCAGGGCCTCGCATCCACTTCGACTTTCCGCCCCTGCGTGCGAGTCGGACCCAGCGTCTTAATGGCAGTTCACCAACTTCCAAATATGTGAGATAGAAGACATAGAACTTATTGTGGCATTGCGCAGATGCTTCATCCATGATGTAAGTACCATGCAGAGACCCCCACGATGCTGATCGTAATTACCATAACAATTCAAGAGCCGCCGACGTGCTGTCCATCTAATAGCATGATAAGTCGTCGTCGCTAAAAAACGAGAGACTTACTGTTAATATGCATGCAAGCACCCCTCATCGAGTTCGAGTCCGAGCTCGCGAGGAATACGGATACAGACCCAACTCAGAGGGCTGGGCGGCGCGACCGTACAACGGCATACCAACACCAAACCTTCGATTTCCTCCGCCGAACGAAGGCAGATTGTAATGCGGTGATGACAAGGCCGTGTGCGACGGCGTTGACGCGGATGCCTGATGGAGCTAACTGCATTGCCAACGAGCGTGTAAAGCTCACGATAGCGCCCTTCGTCGAAGAACAGTCCACTGTTTACTCGTATAATCTTTCGCGATGGTTTCTGCGGCGGCTTTCGCATCCTCTTACTCCTGAGGTAGGTGATGTTCTGAGGAAAGGCTCAGGTAGACTGCGTGGGAGAATGGGTATGAGGTGTTCTTCCCAAATTACGATGGAGGACGCATTGGATTATGTCACCATAGTCACCCCTAGCCAGACCAATCGAAGGAAGTGTCACCATGGACTGTGGTATCCTATGATTGCGCGAGGACTTGATATTTTGGGTACACTTGGCAGTCAAACTTCAGAACAAAGCATAAGTTCACAGGGTTTACCTCTCGCAAGTATACTTATCCCCACTCAATATCGATCCACATTCCTTTCTGCAAAGCCGATTGATGCGTTAGGTATTATTGCGATGTATATACAACGTCCATTAAGAAAGCACCTAAATATTAGTCCACTGCTTCACTCCCGATCGCTGCTTGAGCTTGAACTCTCATGCTTCTGTTTGCTGTTCTTGGCAATCCGTTTGGCGCGTGCGAAAATGCCGACCTCCTTATCTCGAATAAAGTTCACAATGACCATCGGCCAGCTGGGATGTGACGGGAGGATGTCGTAGAACTCTGGTGCCAGTGCTCGCAATGCAGGAAGACGCGTCCATGGGATGGAAGGGAAGTCATGATGCTCGTTGTGGTAGCCGACCTACGCAATATAGTCAGAGTGGGCGATAAACGTTGCAAAGGACGTACGTTGTAAGCCAGAATGTTCAGGGGGCCATAATAGCTGTAGGTCTCCTGGTTGAGACCATCCCATACATAATGCTCGGCAATGAAGTGTCCTGCACATGGATGCAGACTTCCGGCAAAGAAGCTCGAGAAGAGCAGGTATAGTATGGGGCGCACGCCGAAGGTGCGTACCAGGAGATAATCAACAAGAAGCTGCACAACTACATTGTACAAATGCCATCGGTTGGGCGTTTGCATTTTGACCAAGCCAGGTCTCAGGGCATAGAAGAAAATCTGGAACGTCCTGAAACATGGGTGAGTCGAGTTACATACTAGATGACGCCCTACTCACGCGAAAAAGGTCTTTCCAAGAACGTTATTCAAACAAAGCAGTTCAAAATTTGTGGGGAGATCAGTGTCTATCCCCTCCTCTCCAAGATGTTTGTGGTGCTCTATGTGGTATTTCTGGACGCGCCCGCAGCACCTATCAGCCCACGTTTGCTTACACACACGTGTCACACACCTTGAACGCAGCGAAATAAGGTACACCAATAGGTAAGTTCGCGAAGACAGCAAGAGCCTTGTTTGCATTGATGCCCTTGAATGCCAGATTGTGCGTGATCTCATGAATGGCGAGGAAAAGATTCTGGTTTGCGGTTCCGCCCACGGCGTATGCGAGAAACAAGAAGCGAAAAGAGAGCGGATGGGTGTGTCGAAGATACACGGCAAGGTAGAGCTGAAGTGACACGACGGCTAGTACGACGTATTTTGTGAGAGGCTCGTAGCCCATGAGCTTCGTTACTTCAGGGTGCGCTTTCATGATCGCCATACGCCGTGAGCGGTGGGGTTCCTCTGTCATTATCCACAGGAAATCAGCGGGGTCTTGCGGCGGACCGGGGTAAGATACACCATCATCCTTTTCAGAAGGAGAAGCAACGGTTGTCCGACGTAGAGAACGTCTTCCTTCCGTGAAAGACTCGGCACCGCCGAAGTAGCTGAAGTCTAGCCAAAAAAAATCAGCTCGTCGAAGACGATTTAAGAACTAAATTACCGATCTTTGACCCTGTGCTTTTGCAAACTGCTTGTGCTTCCATGGAGCCTGTCCAGGCTGCGTCGTCTACGAACGAACGAACGTGAATTAATGGTCAGTGAACACCCGTGAAGGTGAGAGTAACCGAATTCTTCGATCATAAATTTGGAAATAGTTGAAAGTCCGGTTCGGTAGCAATTGTGCAAGTGATCACTTCTCTAAGCTCACTCGTCCATTAACAGAAGACGTCGAAACGAAGCTTATAGAGCTGCGCTGGTCATTCTTGACCTAACATGTAACATTGAAGGTGTGCATTATGTCTGCTCTCCTACTTCCACGCGCACCTTTTCATGTTGACGGTTCGTCTCACTCCATTCGTGAAGACTCGCAGAATACCTCAGGTGGCCGCGTGAACCCGAGCGCGTCTAATTTCTTCGTTATTGGAAATTTCGAGAGCTTCTCAGAGGGACCCAGGCAACGTTAAATCTACAGTCAAACGTTTCGTGTATGTCTCCAGACTCGATCATGCATGAAATCCCGTCCATGCTAACCCACAACTAGTACAGGTGTCGGTCCTCAGCTAAAGTGCGTTTGGTGAGATCTTCTGCTGTTCATACTTGCCCAGTGCGAAGCCGTGGCATTCTATTATGTTTCGCGACTTCCCATGCTGCTCGTGCTGGGGAGAAGGACCTTTATAAGTTGTGATAGATGGACACAGATGTAGGAATTGCATCCGACACGAGGAAGTGCAATATATACGCATATCGTGCTTTCGAAACCAAATGTTGCACATAAGTATACATTTTCCAAGAGCGTGGAGAGTCCCCGAAGCCGTGCACACATGTATCTCCTTGGGACGTTGGAAGGAACGGCCCGGAGCTTTCAAAACATCTGTTTCCGCTGGTTTCCAAGCAGACGTTGTTATTTACTTCGGACACCAGAAACATGTCAACAACCCGACACCTCTTGCTCGCATTCGGATAGGGTTGTGGTATCTTAAGGCAATGCTGATGAACCCATGGATATTTGTGATCTTTCGTACTACGAACAGAACGGAGGAACGGACTGGCATGCAGCGACGACGGAGAGGGCATACGTGCCGATTCATTCATGAAAATAGAGTCCTCAAACGGATACTGCTATGATTTCCGATAATTCCTCATCATACAAACTTGGGACGGAATGGTCCGGAGGGGCCGAACCATTTTCCGTGAAGCTGTGGCGTGCGGTGCGGAATAAGACACTGAGAGCCGCATGCGAAGGGTTCCAAAAGACTCACCATACGGTTCCAGTAAGCCCACGGGAAAAGATCCTAAGTGTGGCACAGACAATAAGCCGTGCCCCGTTTTAACAGTCGCTGCGCAAATTGAATCCCGTACCTTTCCAAAGTGATAGAACAACCTGCAGATTTGGCATGTTGAATGTAATGATGCAAGGGGAACACAAGTTGACAAACCTTCTCCGCTTTGTTTGGTCACCCAGATAATTGGCAAAACTCTCTTTGGGCTCGAATCCATACTTGAATTCGATCAGCATCAATTCCCCATACCCCGTGAAAAGCTAAAAGGAGTTTACATTGGAATTTATTTAGTTGACAATATGTAAGGAGGTGGACGGACCGGACAACTGGTATAGCCATCGTACTTGGCGCTGCTAACTTTCCCGGTATCCATCACCGAAAACAAGTTTTCAGTTAAGACAGGAGCCTGAGATGTAATAGCGGCCGCGGTTCGGCTAGTGGGCAGGGAAGAACAATCACCCAAGGCAAAGATATTTCCAAACTCAGGCTTAACGTGTCTGAGAGTGACCTGATCGACTTCTACCCAGCCCGTGGGATCAGCAATGGGCGTTCCTCGGATGAAATCAAGCGGTCCCATCGGCGGTGTGACATGAAGGAGGGTGAAATCACGATCGACGGTTGAACCGTCAGCCTTCTTGAAAGTTGCTTTTTTATTCGCCGCATCAATGGAAACTAGGTCATGCTGGAACTCTGCTCCGACACCCCGCTCGATGCGAAGGGCGTTCAGGGCATCCGAATACTTTTTGACGCTAAACATGGTTGGCATGCCATTCATGAACTCCATGTTGATGTTATTCCCTCGACCAGATTTTTGATATCTGTCCCAGGCCATCCACATGATTTTCTGTGGAGCTACAAGACGGTAAGTAGCCACTATCCAGAGAACAATTATACTCACCTCCTGGACATTTGATGACACCTGCAGGTTGGGTGAAAATGGCATTTCCAGACCTGAGAGCGTCTATGTCATGCCAAACTTTGTCGCAGGTATCATATGAGTAGATTGATGAGACACCCGAGGAAGGATCAGCGAGAGCCTGCGGCAAGCCAGCGATGCTGTCCCAGTTTATCTTCAAACCGGCCGCCACTACAAGCGAATCATATGAAATTGTCCGACCCGACGTTGTCGTGACTGACGAGGTCTCCGGATAGAATGATTTGACATTCTCTGCGATATGCATAATATGTGGTGGAAATAGGGCGGCGAGTGGTCGTTTGAAGTCCGTTTTGGGACGAAGACCAGCACCGACCAAAGTCCTGGAAGATAGGTCAGGTTCAAACCACAAAGCCAGTGTATAGAAACATCACCAGCCAGGCTTGAAAGGAGGCGCCATTAAGCAGTAGCTCCCATGAGCGAATTGTTAATTCTACTTACTTGGTAGTAGTGATAGTTTGCTGCGTCGAGAACCACCACATCTCCTGGGTTCAGAGGCTTTCCAGCAGCCTTGAACCGGTTATATATCTGGTTGGCGACAGTCAACCCACCGGAGCCTGAAGACCAATCAACATTCATTCAAAGAACTCCGTCAATTTGGTGCACCTCCTCCGATGACAAGCACTCGAAACTTTTCCGTGGTGTTCGTGCTAGCATACCTAGCCAGAGCGAGAGACTGTCGAGCGCGCACAGCTGTTACACGCGCACAAGTAGCCAACATCCTCGACAGGATAGTGGTGAGAGAACGAACGAAGTGTTGCGTAAGTGGTATTTATTCTGAATTGGTGCATGCGCAAGAGGGGGTCGAGCGTGACAGGTTGCCACTTTCGACTGATTAGCCACTGGGCAGCTCACCATCGTGACATGTCAAAAATTAGCGACTAGTCAAGGTCATTGATCCGCATCACGGACGACGTGTTGCGCTCGCTCCTGGCACCATGCTTGGTCCATCCTCGGTGTTGATATCACGGATTGGGGGGAAGCACTTCCCACAGTATCAGCTAATGTCAGTAGCAAGTCTTTCACCATTTTTTCTGACAAGTTCTAGTAGCAACTAAACACCCGTTATGCGTAACCGGGGGTCAAATTAGCAACGTTACGCGTGGCAGTTGCTTCCAAGGCGGATATTGTCACGAGCAAAAGATGCGCACACTGCAATTCTAATGAGGTCGGGGCAAGGTCGGCGTATCCATAACTCCACGGTTGCTCCATATAAGAGGCTGGGTTCTTTTGGGGCTTGGCGAAGTGTTGAACTCTTTGCCAGAGTACTCGAGTGATTGTCCGTGTACGTCAATCTAAGGCCCAAGACGATACGGAATCCCATAACGATCTGTTGCTAGCGGTGGCGGCCATTCTGAGAAACACCAAGCGCTTCAGCTGTCATTCTAAGTCTGAGACGTTTATCGGTACCTCCGGGATTTTGCAGTTGTAGTACATATATGTCATAGAGATTTCAGAAAATCGAACTCAAGGTCTGCTGGTGTTCAGAAGGTCAGTCATGGTGAAGGGTGGGGATTTCCCTTCTGGTCACCACGCCGTACTGGTTCCCCAATGGTTCCGCGCTCGAGAAGTTGACTGGCGTACACTCAGAATAGTAGTCCTGTTTTTTTGCGAGGAAAGACGCACCCTAAACAATTTCTCTGTCGCGGTAACCAGCTTCTTCCAAGATTAAGATTAAGGTCAAGTTTCTTTTCAAGACGAAAACCAATGGTGCAGTCTCTAGTCCCTCTACTCATAGAGTTGTTCATATGATGGATATAACACATCCCGTAGTCTGTGAGAGATCCGAGGATGACGGGGCGCATTGGAGTTCTTCTGAGATTATCTGAAAATCCACGGGGATGGTCTGTAATTCAGATTATCCGCACAATCCAGAGAGGATGGTCCTTCTGTGATTTATCCACAGAAACTCCGTGGATCTTGCGGTCACTGGTGAACCCACATACGATTCAAAGATATAGCATATCCAAGAGCCTTCTATAAGAAGAGTGCACAACAGTTGTCCTATTCACCACTACGGATTTCTGACGATGTAATATTTACTCACGATATCTGTCTGTCTCCCGAACTTCAATGGAGTTCAAACGTTGAACGTCACAGCTGTATGTACTATGTACCGAAGACAAATTTATTTCAATTGACGATTTTGCTTGACTGCGCGCAGCTTCGACCCTATTTCCTTACACTGCAGGGCAGATTTGAGGTAAGAGCGCTGATAATATTTTCGTGGACATGGAAACTCGGAATACTTCTTGGTCCCGCATTTCGTTCTACAGCACTAGTGTGGACAAGTCCCAGTAACCTACGCTTTTCAACGCGCAGCAGGCAACAACGCGAATAGATCCTACAGTTCCTGTCGGCTCGGTGTTCCCTGTTGTACGCGTTTGTCAATGATTCATGTGCTGTGGTGCGTAGGCAGTTGGATCTGGGGTTCAGGGCGTGTTCTCGATGCCTTTCAACGATGACGTGTATACTGTTGAAGCGTCATTCTTGGTGGTAAATCGGTCAAGGATGGTGGGATGTGTGCTCGCCTTTCAACGTGGCATCATGTGATTGAAGGTTTCACTTTGCAATATCATGGACACCGATGTCTCTCAGCATCAGCATGGCATGTACTATGTCGAATGCGCGTCAGTTCACGAATACGACAATTTCCTGTCTCCCAATACAAAGTGAGTAGTTTTACATCATAAGCCTGGTCAATAAGTCTACTTTAGTTGCTTAACCAAGCAGCCCATGCTGTCACAGCTCATTGCCTCTACGGTCTGCCGCTTCACAACACGGTCAAGACTCTCCCAGAGTTCTGCAGCTCGTTCTTCGGGATGATCTTGAATTGAATACCATCAACTCTATAGACCAAAGCAGCAGAAGCTCAATATCTTTCGGGAACGGCCTGCAGTATAACGACCAAAGGGAGCGGTCCCTTCCATTGGGGTGGAAACTGGCAAGTAGTGTTCAGAACATGAGTTTTATGAGATGAACGTCACACCAACCTTAACTCTATTGATTGTTCGCTCAGCAGTGACGACCGCTACCCTCTGTCTTGAGCAAGAATCAATGCTGATTGACCTCCCCACGCTTTCATGTGCACCTATTCACATTCGCGGTTCATCTCACTTCAAGTTTGCTCGGCGTAGAACCATCTGCAAACCCCCCTGGGTGGCCAGCATACTATTAAGACCGGACGTGACAGTCATATTCTCTTTTTTCACGTGGAGGTACCCAGGTAATGTTAGGACCTACAGTATTTCTTGTATGTCAATACGCGCTTCTCGAGATCTACCTCATGTTGTTCAGTGCCTATTCGTATGCGAAACCGTGGCGTTTGATGACTGCGCGCTTTGCGACTTCCCCTGCTTCCATTGAAGGTCCGTGGCTGATCGAATGAGAGAGGGGGAAATAGACATCTTGCCTCAAGCAAACGCGAAAACATAACATTATACCACACCCTTCACCATGAGATAGGGTTCTAGGTACCTCACTGAGGTATCTCAAGGCAATGCTGATGAACCCGTGGATATTTGTGGAGTGACATTTCGTACTACGAACAGAAAGGGAGAACGGCACATGCAGCGACAATGGAGGGGACATACATGCCAATTCATTTATGAAAATACTATGAGTCTGTACTAATATGATTTCCGATAACTCCTCATCATACAAACTTGGGACGGAATGGTCCGGAGGGGCCGAACCATTTTCCGTGAAGCTGTGGCGTACGGCGCGGAATAAGACATCAAGGGTCGTTTGCGAAGGGTTCCAAGATGACTCACCATACGGTTCCAGTAAGCCCAAGGGAAAAGATCCTAAGTATGACACAGACAACTTTTAGCTGTGCCCCGTTTTAAGAGCCGCTGCTCAAATTGAATACCGTACCTTTCCGAAGTGATAGAACAATCTGGAGATTTGGTAGGTTGAATGCAATGACGCAAGTGGAATACAAATGACAAACCTTTTCCGCTTTGTCTGGTCACCCAGATAATTGGCAAAACTCTCCTTAGGCTCGAATCCATACTTGAATTCAGCTAGCATCAATTCCCCGTACCCCGTGAAGAGCTAAAAGAAGTTTACTTGGTAAGTTGACAAGATTGTAAGGAGGTCGACGGACCGGGCAACTGGTGTAGCCATCGTACTTGGCGCTGCTAACTTTCCCGGTATCCATCACCGAAAATAAGTTTTCAGTTAAGACAGGGGCCTGAGATGTAATAGCCGCAGCAGTCTTGCTAGTGGGCAGGGAAGAGCAGTCACCCAAGGCAAATATATTTCCAAACTCAGGCTTGACATGTCTGAGAGTGGCCTGATCGACTTCTACCCAGCCCGTGGGATCAGCAATGGACGTTCCTTTGATGAAATCAAGCGGTCCCATCGGTGGCGTGACATGAAGGAGGGTGAAATCACGATCGACGGTTGAACCGTCAGCCTTCTTGAAAGTTGCTTTTTTGTTTGCCGCATCAATGGAAACCAAGTTATGCTGGAACTCGGCTCCGATACCACGCTCGATGCGAAGGGCGTTCAGGGCATCCGAATACTTCTTGACGCTAAACATGGTTGGCATGCCATTCATGAACTCGATGTTGATGTTATTCCCTCGACCAGATTTGTGATAGTTGTCCCAGGCCATCCACATGATTTTCTGTGGAGCTACAAGACGTCAATAGCCACTATCCAGAGAACAATTAGACTCACCTCCTGGGCATTTGATGATACCTGCAGGTTGGGTGAAAATGGCATTTCCAGACCTGAGAGCGTCTACATCATGCCAAACTTTGTCGCAGGTATCATATGAGTAGATTGATGAGACACCCGAGGAAGGATCAGGCGAGAGCCTGCGGCAAGCCAGCGATGCTGTCCCAGTTTATCTTCAAACCGGCCGCCACTACAAGCGAATCATATGAAATTGTCCGACCCGACGTTGTCGTGACTGACGAGGTCTCCGGATAGAATGATTTGACATTCTCTGCGATATGCATAATATGTGGCGGGAACAGGGAGGCGAGTGGTCGTTTGAAGTCTGTTTTGGGACGAAGACCAGCACCGACCAAAGTCCTGGAAGATAGGTCAGGTTCAAACCACAAAGCCAGTGTATAGAAACATCACCAGCCAGGCTTGAAAGGAGGCGCCATTAAGCAGTAGCTCACATGAGCGAATTATTGGTTCTGCTTACTTGGTAGTAGTGATAGTTTGCTGCGTCGAGAACCACCACATCTCCTGGGTTCAGAGGCCTTCCAGCAGCCTTGAACCGGTTATATATCTGGTTGGCGACAGTCAACCCACCGGAGCCTGAAGACTAATTAACATCCATTCAAAGAACTCCGTCGATTTGGTGCACCTCCTCCGATGACAAGCACTCGAAACTTTTCCATGGTGTTCGTACTAGCATACCTAGCCAGAGCGAGAGACTGTCGAGTGCGCATAGCTGTTACACGTGCACAAGTAGCCAACATCTTCGACAGGATAGTGGTGAGAGAACGAACGAAGTGTTGCGCAAGTGATATTTATTCTGAATTGGTACCCGCATGTGCAAGCATTGCGAATTCATGAGCATAAGCTGATAAATAAGCCTGCGGATAGTCACGGGGAAAAATTGTGCACACTGCAACTGTAGTGAAGTCAGGAAGTCCATACCACATGAGAGGCTGGGGTCGCTTTTTTTTTGGAGCTGACATCATGGCGAAGTGCTCAACTGCTCCACCAATGTATGAAGGTAAAGGGTCCGGGGTCCTCGGCTGAGTACTCGAGTGATTGTCCGAGTACACCAATAAGTGGTCCGAAGACGATACGGAATTCCTTGACGATCTGTTGCCAGCGGTTCTTCTGAGAAATACCAAGCACTTCAACTGTCGTTCCAGAGTCGGGGTGCACATCTTCGCTGATTTTACAGTTGTAGCATATACAGGTCCTAGAGAAAGTCAAATTCCAGGTCTGCTGGTGGTCGTCTGTTCTGGTGAAGGGAAAGGGGATTTCCTTTTTAGCCACTACCGAGGTTTCTCCAATTGTTCCCCACTCCAACGTCGGGAAGTCGACTGATGTGCTGCAGGACACACTCAGAATAGTCCCGTTTTTCGCGAGGAAAGACGCACCCCCAACAATAGTTCTGTCACCGAAACCAGCTCAGTTTAGACACGTCCTCTGACTTCCAAGTTCAAGATTAAGGTCAATTTTCCTAGAAAACCAACGGTGCAGTCAGCAGATGCAGATACTCCCGGTCTTTAGGATTAGTCCAAAGTATGGTGGACAGAGCGCATGGTGTGCTCTATGAGAGATCCAAAGATGACATGGCGGATTGGGGGAAGTTCTTCTGTTATTATCCCGGTGGACCAGTGGGTAGGAATTGCATCACTGTGTCCGACATCCTTTTCAGAAGGGGATACAAACGTAGAGAACGTGTTACTTTTCCCTTCGTGCAAGACTCAGCACTAAGTAGTACTGCGGCCTCGGAAGTACTAAAGTCTAGCGAAAAAAGATCAGCTCGGTAAATTTTGAAGTACCGATCTGACTTCTGGTAAGGTTGAGGGTCTAAAGCTAACTTTAGTTGCTCATCTCAGGGAACCACGAAATGGGGCACAAAGCAGAGTTCCTGTCTCTTGTTGAAGAACTCCATAGTTACATCTCACATTTCTTCTGAAGACCGTGCTGGTACATAAAGAGGCTCGGGTGGTGCATGCGACATTCGCGGATGGCTCAACTCCTGAGTACATCAAGGGTATGAGTGCAGAAGATGCCCTTCACTGGTGATCAAGGGGAGATTTGGGTCGTGTCCGAACCCGGTTGCCATTTCGACTAGTACCGGTACATCAGCCACGTGGCTTGTACTGATGTGATTCAGTTTTGACAAATCCACCCCAGTGGAAAATGCTGCCGTCCTCGCTGACCTTGAAGAAGGAAGGTGGCAAGAGTTCCCCTCTTTCCCACAGACCCCACCCGAAGGCCAGTTTCCGAGGCGGTACAAAGATTTCGAAGATGCTACAGCGGAGGAGAGCGATTCGGTCGACGGTAAGGCATAGTTTCGTCATCACCCTGGTCAGGCTCTGACCCGTGCACGACAGAGGCAGTTCAAGCTACTGAAATGCGACGGGAAAAGGTGAGGAAGACTATACGAGACGATCTGGGTGAAGGGTACGAGGTTGGGCTTGACACGTGCCACGCGGACAGCGCCGCAGGTCTGTACTTCGTGATTGGGCTTTGTACGTTGCATATATCAATTGTATTTATCCATCTTGAGGGCACTTTCCACCGCGGCCATGGACTGCATACTTATTGCTTTCGAACTTTGTACAATATCAGTGACCTTGCGAAGCAGGTCGATTCCATCATCGGGAACAATTTGAAATGATAACTTCTCCTTTCATACGACGATCATCGACCCATTCACCACGTAAGGACTGTTCAAGCACTGATTCATAGCGATACTTAAGGAGGCCTTAGATAGTGCTGACTCTGCAGTCGATCCTCCATGGCGGCCAGTCCAAGCATTGATTCATACAAACTTATGGATGAAATGGACAGTCCACGCAATCCAAGATCTCGTTTCATGGTCGATCCCAGTACTTCAATATTCGGCCTTGCAATATCTTCAAACGTCGCATTGTACTTTCGATATCGTTTGGCGTACACCCAAATCTACATTCATAGAATCATTCACCCCTCCCCTTGCGTCGCCAGTGCAATAAATTGTTCTCCCACCTCAAAACCTCAGTTTCCTGGATTCTCAGGCAGACCATCAACGCCAGGAATGGCATCCGCTGGAGCACCCGTCTTGAGGGCGCCTTCTAGCAGATCCAAGGCCATGTTTGCTGAGCCCCACGACGACAAGAAGCCATAACCGGAGTGTCTAGATATGGGGACATTATTAGGGTAGCATGGGCGGGTATGACGTTACTCACCCATAGTTAAACACCACAGGCACCTTACCTCGCGTGGGCGCGTCAACCCACTCGACTTCGAGCCTGATGCCACCCTTTCTCCCGGGGCGTAGGCCGCAACCTGGCTCAATAATGATGGGGCGAAGGTCCTCGACGGTGGGCTCACGGTCAACGCGCGTCTGTGGGGGTGCGAGCTCCGGGGTGAGTTGCAGGGCACGTGCAAGAATGTCCTCAGTTATTTCAGGACGCGGAATTGGGTACCTATAGTAGCTGAGAACGTGACTAAAGGAAAAGTTGACAGAAATATGTACCAATCATTGGGTACTCTCGTGCCGCCGCACAGCACCTATAGAAGTAGTCAGGACAGATCGTGACAGATCGTGCATGATACTGAGAAAACGCACATCACCGTTGCTCCTTGGCATCGTGTAAGTGTACGTACCGTCAGCCTCGGTCATGGTCCTCCCGAACTTGATCCAAGGAGCTCTAAGTAGCACGGTTTGCCCGCGAATTGGATGTACGTCTTTATCTTCAACGCCTCCTAGCGTGCGGGCGCCAAGACCAGCACAGATGACAAGAGCGTCAACATCACGGTACGACTGAGCACCCGTGTATGGACTGGTTCCCCGCTCGAGGAGTTGACTGATGTGCTGCAGGGACGCACGCACGATGGTCCCGTTTTTTGCAAGGAAAGAAGACATAAGCCAGTTAAGGTAGGCTGGGGTATTCATGGTTACGGTGCTGAATGAGAAACCCATCTTTGCTGGACCACGAAGTTGGTTACTCTCTAGATATTTAAACTGATACGAGTTAGAATGACGGCCGTGAATCTGAGTCTGTGTCATACATCTGGCATGTAATGAAGCCATTCAGCATCAAGGAGATCGTCTCCGTGGTATTCAGTTTGGGTATGCCGCAAGAAACAACCCTCGGCTTCACCACCTGGTTCTGATAGCTTCCATAAAGCATGGAAGGTTTCTTGATCAAGCTCTGTATGACGAGCGTGTGACATGTATGTTCAGGCGGTCAGAAAGCAGCATACTTCGCTGTCTTTGATCGTCATAAGCATGACTGACATGGTGTGCACCCTATGGTTCAACATCAGCCTCAATTGTCTGGTAAGATGACTACTTACCGCCCAGTGACTCGTGTACCTGCTCGACTTTGGATCTGTTGGGAAGGTCTCTGCAACGATTGTGACACGGTAAGCGCCTTGGGCCTGTATTCTCAAGGCAGTGGTAAGGCCGACTACGCCTGCACCAATAACAATAATCTCTTTGATCTGGTCATCGTTAGATAGCGCCATGGGTAACGGTTAACTGACAAAGACTTCGGGACCATTGAAATGTAATATTGATATTACGTCAGCGAACCATTTTCTCGGGGAAGAGGGAAGTTGTTTGTTACACTCGTCCTTTCGTCAATGCTTCACTCTTCCAACAAGCGGACAGCACAAGATAGACTTCATAATGAACGTCCGGCAAAGAGACTTACTACATCTTCCCCAGAGGAAGGCGAAGTCGATGACTCCTCGCCACCTTCTCCACTAGCACACCCAATGATTCCCCTGCCACCTAAACCTGCTCCTTCAAAGTTCGAGGTCAAGGTCAAGTTTCCTTTCAAGAAGAAAACAAATGGTGCAGATGTTCCCGGTCCTTCTACTCAGAGAATTAGTCCTATGATGGACAGAAGGCATGGTCCTGTGGTCTATGAGAGATCCGAGGACGACGAGAGGCGCATTCGGGAAGATGACCACCGCAGTATTAGGTCTAGGAGTCACTATGAACAATCCCGCAAAAGGGGTGGCGCTCGAGTGGATGATCATTGGCAGCCTTCATATAGTAGAGAAGGCGACCGTCGTCCCCCTCCACGGGACCTTCCGCGGGACCCTTACAGGCCTGTTCATGACACCTATATCCCAGCGCGGGATAGATATGACGGTCGTGTATATGGAAGGGAACGCGATATTTCTTCCTTGTCATCTCATTCACCCGACCGCTCTCGTTCCCCGTCCTCCTCTTCGTCTTCACACCGGGGAAAACACAGATTACCTTCACGTCGATCTCCGGCGGTTAATTATAGCCCACCTCGTCGTGACTATGGCGTAGACAGGCTCCATGACCAAAGAATGCGTGATGGGGGCTGGGAACGCGCCCGTCATGATGACCATAATCGTTGGGCGGCACCGTTAGAAAATGACAACTACTCGCGGAATGACGACCGTTTCCGTCGTCCTATGCGCCACTCACCGCGTCGCGACCGTTCATGGGACTCTTATGATAGGGAACACCCAAGTCACATTGAAGGAGGACGCGATACCGATCGCGATTCCTACCATACGGAGAGTTACCGTTCCGCGGCACCGCGTGCTCACGATGATGACCGTGACGACCAATATCGTCCTGTTTCTCCCGGTATATCCCATCACCCTTCCCAGTGTCCTCCGTCACCTTCGGCGATGAGTCCTGTACATGTTCCCCACACACCACCACCTCCGCCTTCTTCCCCGCCCCCCGCCCCCACCCCTGAGCGGCCCAAAGATGATACTTTACCTCCTCATGCGGCCATCTCGATTGCAATTCCTTTGAAACGGCCTCCAGCACCTAGAGACGACCACTCGCCATCGCCACTTCCTCTTCCATCTGCTCATGAAGAGCTGGTGAAAGAGAAGAAGGATACCGCGGTGGACGCAACGCCAAGACTACCACTTGTAGAGCAGAAGCGGAAACGTGCTCCTATGCAGCGTACGAGGAAGCAAGAGCTAGAGGCATACGGTCATGTCTTTTTAGGTTGTGGTCAGCAAAGCGACTATGATGCCACTGCTAAACTCGGAGAAGGTACTTTTGGGTATGTATCGGGCCTGTTTCACTTGCTACTGAACGCGACTGCTCACCTTGCTCAGAGAGGTTCACAAAGCAGTTCAGCGCCTATCCGGGCGCCTTGTAGCTCTCAAACGTATCCTTATGCATAATGAGAAGGAGGGCATGCCCGTAACTGCCTTACGCGAGATCAAAATTCTCAAGGCAATGAGCCATCCATGCATCATCGATATCTTGGATATGTTCGTCGTCCGTAGTGAGTGCTCACATTGTATGCTGTACATAATCACCGACGTTATGTCACCAGGTAATGGCAAAAACTCGCCCCTCTCTGTTTACATGGTGTTTCCATACATGGATCACGACCTTGCTGGCTTACTAGAGAACGAACGCGTAAAGCTCCAACCCAGCCATATCAAATTGTACATGAAACAAGCTTTTGGAAGGCACGGAATATATGCACCGTGTTTCGTCCCCACTTTCATCACTCTCGATCTTGTCTTATGACTTTTCGCAGAATCAGCATCCTACACCGAGACATGAAAGCTGCAAACCTGCTCATTGATAACAACGGCTCGCTCCGAATAGCAGATTTCGGTCTAGCACGCGCATATGATCCGAACGTCATCCACGGTATAACGGATCAACGTGGGAGAGAAAAGAAGTACACAAACTGTGTCGTGACGAGGTGGTACCGTCCTCCAGAGCTACTGCTCGGCGCGCGACAGTACGGCGGAGAAGTAGATATCTGGGGTATAGGGTTTGTCGACATCTTTTGGGCTGTTTGTTTGGACTCATGCTCTGCAGATGCGTTCTCGGAGAGATGTTCATGCGCAGGCCAATTCTTCCTGGATCGTCGGACATTGACCAATTGGAGAAGATTTGGCAGTTGTGCGGCACGCCGAATCAGCATACGTGGCCAAATTACGATGCACTACCAGGGTGCGAGGGTGTCAAGCGGTTCAATCAGACTTACTCCAAGAAGTTGAGAGCAGCATATGAAAGGTCAGCTATCATCTGCTTGACGTTTTCAGTGTATGCTTAATTGTGCTTTTCAAGTATCGGCGCCGAGACATGTGACCTCCTGGATAAGCTCCTCACATGCAATCCAAGAGATCGTATCACTGCCTCGCAAGCCCTTGACCACGATTATTTCTGGACTGACCCACTCCCTGCTGACCCCAAAACGTGAGCATCACTGATTTTCTTTGTGCTCGTTCTGTTTTACCTCTTATCCATCCGCAGTCTTCCATCATATGAAGCCTCGCACGAATTTGATAAGCGCGGACGACGCAATCAGCCGCCACCGGGTATCATGCCTCCCGACGGCTACTTCAGACCACACCCTCTGCCACATCAACCACCAGCGTTCTATCCTCGCGGCCCGCCGCACCGCCCAGGTCCGCCGCCGCCGCCTGTCATCGTGTCCGCGTTGTTGCAGCATCAAGGTGGTGGCCAGCATTCTGGTAACCAACATCCCGGTGGTCAGCATCCCGGCGGTCAGCAACCCCCTTTCGGGCGCCCACCGCCACCACCCCACAGGCGCTGGGTATCCTTCCCGTGGGATGCATCCGCCACGTCAAGCTCCTCGTGCCATGGACCATCCTGCTCATCTACCACCACGACCTATGGCTCCCATGGGCTCCGGTCCACCATACAGTGGTCGTGGCCCACGGCGGACAGGAGGGGGGCGACATGCAAGTGGAGGGAGCAACGCGACAGCCGGAGGAGGTCTGCCGTACTCCTAACCCCCCGTTCATCTTTCTTGCACGCATCTATTGTGCTTTGTCGATCTGCGCGCTTTCGTATCCTTTTTTCTGTTTCCTAGCTATACGCACACAGCACAGCACATTTTAGGTGGAGTAGATCACTTAGATGACATATTTGGTTAAACGGTTCACTGCATACATTCTCGGTGTGGAATGCATGCATGCATGATTAATGGTCTTTTTTTTGTTCTCGCCACCCCATGATGCTCGGAATGATTGTTGTCAATTTTCAATCATTCTTCAGATCAGTAAAACAAACACGACCTACCTCGGAGAAAGTCTTTGTCGGCTGTCGATCCCTTAAATTATATGTAGCACAACATATCAACGAGGACAGAGTCTACAAGCCTGACTGTGATTTTCGACAAGAGGAGGTCAGGTAGCTACTTCTGGATCGTATCAGCCAACTCTTTTGCGACTTCGCGAGAGATACCGCAACGCTCCACGAGGCAAACGACAAGATGTGCACTCCTCACACGCAAATGACCTGCAAGTAGCGACATCAGCTTACGTATCAACGACACGAACAGGCTTTTCCCTCCTATCCATGCCAGTATGTGCTCGTCGGTAATACTCTCCCTTACAATGTTGCGGATCGTGATGCGTGATTCCTTATAATGGGTTCTGTGTCGGCCATCCAATCCATTGGCGGCGGTGATGCACGCGTGACCCGTGACCTGGATCCCATATCGTTCGAAGTTATCATGGTTTCTATCCCACCAGTCCTCCATCCTCTCCTCTCTTTCAAGGTTCGTGACCACAAGAACAATGGGAATCTTCTTGTCACAGAGGAATTCGTGAAAGAGTCGGTAATTTCGCTGGACAGTAAGATTGTATTTGCCGGCACGAAAGCAGAACAGAAGCAGATCAATGCCGCCTTGTCGGTCCAATTCCGCGATGAGCTTATAGGCGTTTCCTACAGACTCGAGGAACTGTGCCATTCCCAGCTGCAGGTCCTCGATTCCCATGGTATCGAACACCTTATAAGACTTGCCACCGAAGCCGATGGTATAGTCTTTCCAGTGTAGCGTACAGCGTCGCGTGTCAGGAGATGTGACTGCCACCTCCTTTCCCGCCATGAGGTTGACGAGTGAACTCTTCCCTGCCCCTGTCTCCCCGAAGATTACAATATTTTTAGGCTTCTGCCTATTTAACAATGTTGGCAAAACGTGTCGCAAAGAATATTCGAAGACACCGTACCTAGTTGCGCGACACTCCTCGATAAGTTTGCGCACTGCGTGGTATGACTGGTCGTGGCGCTGCTTGTGCCTACCTGAGGCATCCTCGATGTTCAGTGCGGTGATGCATGCGTGACCAGCAAAGGTCATCCCGAGGTGTGAGATGGTTTGCTCGTTGTCCTTCCACCATTGTTCCATTTCTGGTTGTTTGTCTTCCAGACCTGTAACGACAAGGACGATTTGAACTCTTTCCTCAACTTCGGAGTTGCATATTTCGTAGTTGCGGCAGAGCGCCTTGATCCCTTTCGTGCCGTGCACACAGTACATGAGCAGATGGATGCCATCTTTCTTCGTAAGTTTTCGAAGAAGCTTCTCCAGACCTCTCTGAGCTACCTCGTCTGGGACTGTGCCCTCAGAGCCCTCACCGAGACCTGCAATCTAGTTCAATAATACCCACCAAGAGCGGCGACCTGCACAGACCAGCTGTATCAAAAAGGTTTAGCTTCAAGGTCTTGTTTCGAATTCGAATGTCATGCATGTACAAGTCAGTCCCAGTTGTACATCCCAAAGTGTCGCAGGATGTTGGTGCTGCGTCCGTCCCGACGATCAAATTGACCAATGAGCTTTTGCCAGCTCCTGCTTCTCCGAAAATAACAACATTGCATGTGTCTGAAGCTTCCTCGACACGGTTGGAGCCAGCAGCACCCTGGCATGAGGCATCAGTATTAATTATATGCTGAGGAAGAACTACACACCACTTACAGTAGATGATCCTGGCATTGCAAACTTGAACGCGACTCCACTCGAGAGACAGAAAAAAAAGGAAAGGCGCGTTTTGGCTTGGGATCCGTTGAGTGTTGTCAGACTTGTCTTATAATGTGTCCTTCAATTCGTTGGAACAACGTCGGTGCGTCCAGGCGCCAGATTTGAAGATCAGTCGGACACATGGATTCAGCATGTTCTGCACATCCGTATCCTGTCAGGCAGTGTTAGCGCGTCTGCCGCCAACTGCCGGATTTGAATACTGATATTGAACCTAAGCTTGAAGATCGATTACTTCCACATGGAGTCAGCACGTTGCAGTGAGTAGTGCGCTGCAGATGAGCAACTGCCAGTTGTGTTACTAAATCAGCCGCGAGTTCCCATAGTCATCAATGATCATCGTAGTAACGTGCCTCACTGAGGACGAGGACGACATGGAGGCATGGTGGACGCGGAGACATACAAACTTAGATAGATTCCAAATTCGTCGGGCAGTGGCGTGCATGTATTTGAACCACCTTGATAGACTATCTGCATTCTTCTGGGGGGCTGGCTAGGGGACTAACGACCCTGAAGGAATCGGATGAGAAGTATAAAGGATCACGTGCTCAAGCGCATCGTGGTCGTTACGCCAGTATTTTTGGGGAGATTGGGGCTGGAAACTGGACTGTTCACAGTGCTGCACACATTCTCGATGCAGACATATATTTTGAGTGCTTGAACCTCGCCATACCCTACATCGATATGATGAAGGAATGAATTTCAGCCAGTCGAGCACACCTTACCTCGGGAAAAAGTTTCTGTCAGCTGTCAATCCTTTAAATTATGTAGGGTATCGTATCAGCGGGGACCAAGTCTACAAGCAAGGTGATCACCCAACGGCTACGGCGTCATACTTGATCATATCAGCCAGCTGTTTTGCGACCTCTTTAGATATACCGCAACGCTTCGTAAGGCGAGAGGCGACATCCTTCCTCCTCAGGCGCGAATTCCTTTCAAGCAACTCCTTCAGCCTACGCATCAACGACACGAACAGGTTTTCCCCTCCTATCCATGCTGGCTTCTGCTCGTCGGAAATATGCTTCTTCACAAGGTCGCGAATCGCGACGCGCGATTCTTCATAAAGGGCTTGATGTCTGCTATCCGACTTGACGTCAGCGGTAATGCACGCGTGACCAGCGACCTCGATCTGGTATCGTTCCAAGGTACCCTGGTTTCTTCCCCACCAGTCCTCCATCCTCTGCTCTCTTTCGCAATTTGTGATCGCAAGAACAATAGGAACCTTCTTCTCGCAGAGGAATTCGTAGAAGAGCCGGTAATTGCTCTGGATTGTGGCGGTGGGTCTGCCGGCGCGAATACAGAATAGAAGCAGATCAATGCCGCCTTCTGCATCCAATTTCTTAACCAGTTCATAGGCGCTGTCAATAGATTCGAGGTATTCTTTGATCCCTAGTTGGGGTTCCTCGAGTCCAACGGTATCGAACACCTTATAGGATTCGCCGCCGATGTCGATGGTGTACTCTTCCCAGTGCAGCGTACAGCGTCCCATGTCGGAAGATACGAATGCTACATTCTTTCCCGCCATGAGATTGATGAGTGAACTCTTGCCTCCCCCCGTCTCCCCAAAGACCACAATTTGTTTCCTACATACAGTATGAGCAAAACGCGGCACAAAGAGCATCTGATAACATGTTACCTTGCACGACACTCCTCGATAAGCTTGCTGACGGCATGGTATGACTGGCCGTGGCGCTGCTTGAGCTTATCTGTCGCATCTTCGTCGATGGTCAACGCGGTGATACATGCGTGGCCAGCAAAGGTCATACTGAGATCGGAGATGGATCTCTCGTTGTTATTCCACCATTCTTCCATTTCTGGTTGTTTGTCTTCCAGACCCGTAACGACAAGGACCATTGGAACCCTTCCCTTAACTTCGGAGTGACATAATTCGTAGTTGCAGCAGAGCGCCTTGATCTCTCTAGTGCCGTGCACACAGTACATGAGGAGATGGATGCCATCTTGCTCCAGAAGTGTTTGAAGAAGCTCCTTCAAGATTCTCCGGGCTTCCCCGTCGGGGACTGTGCTCTCAGAGCCCCGATCAAGACCTGCAACCTAGTTCAGTAACACTTACCAAGAGCGGTGACCTGCACTGACCAGCTGTATCGAAAAGCTTTACCCTCAATGTCTTGTCTTGGCTCCGGATGACATGCTCGTACACGTTGGTTGCGGTTGTAGGGTTGTAGGATGTCGGTGCTGTCTCTGTTCTAGTGATCAGATTGACTAAGGAGCTTTTGCCAGCTCCTGCTTCTCCGAAAATGACGACATTGCATGTGTTTGAAACTTCCTCGGGATACTTGGAGCCAGCAGAACCCTAGTGTGAGTGAGGTGTTGAGATTTCAAGTTAACCTTACGCTGAGGAAAAGCTAGACACGGCTTACAGTATATGATACCAACATTGCAAACTGGAAGATGACTCGATTCGAGAGAGAGAGAAGACCAGTGAGAAGCGTGTCTTGACTTGCGCGTGCAATATTTCAGGGTAAGTCAGAGACTGAGATTTGTCTTCATGTATCCCCTAGTTCATCAAAACAATGTCGGTGCTAGATTTGAAACTCGATCGGACACACGGATTCAGCATGTTCCAAGCATGTGTGTTTCGAGCCTGTCAGCGCTTCAGCAGCTATTTGAACACATGGATTCTGATTCAGTGCCAGCATGTTGCATGTGTGTGGTCAGGACTCACTGTGACCGCCCATGATCTTGGGATGAACATGATAAAAGGTTAAGTCATTTATAAGTAGCACTAGCCATTGGAATTGCCAAAAAGCTCGCTATTAGTACCCGTTTCCTGGTGGACGACTAGAAGAAGGAAGTCAATTTGAATATCTTCTTTGCTGCTCACAGTGCGTGCACTGGCTCTTGCAACTTGTGCAAGAATTATGTTTGACTGTGAAGCCTGACAGGATGACAATTACATAGAAGCGGGAAAAGAAGCGGGAAAGAAGAGCTCATGGATGCTCAGCGCTCATCATGATCCCATCGAATGAGTCTAATACATATGTAGTTAATTATTTAATAATAAATCCTCTTCTTGAATCTTCCTCTCATCCTTCTTCGCACCCTCATGGCGTTAATTTGTTTGCATGCCCCTCATGCACGCCCACCGGTAGCAGTAAGAGGCGTAGACCCACCCGTTTCTCCGTTTCCAAGTAAGTACTGCTCCATGCTCGTTTCTCATCGTGACACCCCAGGCATAGGCAGTTTCGGAACTTTACCGCTAAGACCCATCTTTCTTGCAAGTCGCTGGATATTATTCGTCGATATTTCCCTCTTCCAGATCCAAACCCAGGCTCAGGCGTGCCCCTACGCGCACTCCCGCGCTTGCGCATTATGCGGACAAACTTATCTCGATGGTCGAGATACGCGCACACCGAGTCAATGATCCAGCAACTCGTTACTCGTGGTCTCTACTGAGCTCTGCGGCCGATAATCGTATCCGTGACGCTAGTGCTGTCCTCGACAGCCCCTAAGTGTACCTCTTCGTTCTTGTTTATACGAGTCGTAATCTCCCACGCATTTTTGATCCCTCCATTCACGATATCATGTGTTTGAGCTGGATAAGTGCAGATTGTACCGGAGGGATCTAGTGTCCATCCTTGTCGCATGACTGGGATGCAAGCAACTAACTGCCAGCAAGACAGACTTTCATATATTCAGATGTTGAAGACCTGCATTCGTATGATAATCATTTGTCAACTGACCAGTGACAGGTAAGCCTTGAAATTACCAACATCCGAATTCATGCATCGTGGGGCTAGTGCCACTGGCAGGAGTAACTTAAATCACAAGATAGAAACGAGGCACACGCGCATATGATCCGAACGTCATCCACCGGATCATGGATCAACGTGGGAGGGAGAGAAGTACACGACGTACGAGGTGGTGCCGCCTTCCATAAATACTGCTCAGCCCGGTGCGTGCCCGACAGTATGGCGGAGAATTAGACTCATCAGGGACATAGAATTTGTCAACATCTTTGGGGCAGTCCGCTTGAGCTCAACTAGCCTCAACTCTGCAGATGTGTTCTCGGAGAGAAGTTCGCAGGTCAATTTTTTCTGACATTTTCAGTGCTTTCCGCCAGTATCGGCCCCGACTTGTTACCTCCTGGACAAGCTTATCACATGCAATCCAAGCCTCACAAGCTCCTGACTATGATTATCTCTGAACCGAACCGCTCCCCGCTGATCCCAAAACGCGGGTATTACTGATTTTTGTGCTTAGTTCATTTCACCCCCATCCACGCAGAGTCTCGTACTATGTATACGAAACCTCCCACGAATTCAATAGACGCGCAATGCAACCTCTCTGCCACACCAACCACTAGCGTTCCGGCCAGGTCTCCTGCCGCCTGACATCTTGTCTGCTTTGTTGCAGCATCCCGGCAGTCAGCACCCTCATGTCGGGTGCCCATCATACGGCGACGGGTATCCTCGTGGGATGTACTCGTCTATTGTGTTGTGTCGATCTGCGCACTGTCGTCCTTATTCTGTTTCCTCGCTATACGCACCAGCACATTCAGATGGAGTAGATCACTCAGACGACATGTTTGATTGGACTTGTCACTGCTTACATTCTCGCGATGCAGACATGATGCATGTGCTTGAACCTAGCCACACCTCACCTGGGGGAAAGTTTCTGTCAGCTGTCAACCCTTTAAATTATGTGGTGTATCGTATCAACGAGGACCAAGTCTACAAGCAGATCTGAGTGCGAATATGAAAAGTGAAGTGGGTGATTACCCAGCAGCAACGACATCATACTTAATCATATTAGCCAGCTCTTTTGCGACTTCTTTAGACATACCGCAACGCTTCGTGAGGCGAGAGGCAACATCCTTCCTCTTCAGGCGCGAATTTCTTTCAAGTAGCTCCTTCAGCTTACGCATCAACGCCACGAACAGGTTGTCCCCTCCTATCCATGCTGGCTTCTGCTTGTCAGCAATATACTGCTTCACAAGGTTGCGAATCGTGACGCGCGATTCTTCATAAAGGTCTTTGTGTCGGCCATCCAATTTATTAGCGGCGGTGATGCACGCATGACCAGCGACCAGGATCCCGTGTTGTTCGAGGCAGTTATGTTCTCTCTCCCACCAGTCCTCCATCCGTTTCTCTCTTTCGAGGTTCGTGATCGCAAGAACAATGGGAACCTTCTTCTCGCATAGGAATTCGTGAAATAGCCGGTAATTGCTCTGAATTGTAGGACTGAGTCTGCCAGCACGAATGCAGAACAGAAGCAGATCAATGCCGCCTTGTCGGTCCAATTCCTTGATAAGCCTATAGGCATTTTCGACAGACCCGAGGTACTCGGTGATCCCCAGTTGCGGTTCCTCGAGCCCAACGGTATCGAACACCTTGTAAGACTCGCCACCGAAGCCGATGGTGTAGTCTTTCCAGTGTAACGTGCAGCGTTTCGTGTCAGGAGATGTGTCTGCCACTTCCTTTCTCGCCATGAGGTTGACGAGCGAACTCTTGCCTGCCCCCGTCTCCCCAAAGATTACGATGTTTTTAGGCTTGTTCCTACCCACCATTATTAGCAAGATACAGCACAGAACTGCAGACACCATACTTTGCACGACACTCCTCAATAAGTTTGCAGACGGCGTCATATGACTGGTGGCGGCGCCGCTTGAGCGTATCTGTTGCATCTCCGTCGAGGGTCAGTGCGGTGATGCATGCGTGGCCAGCAAAGGTCATGCCGAACTGTGAGATAGATTGCTGGTTGGTCTTCCACCATCCTTCCATTTCTGGTAGTTTGTCTTCTAGACCTGTAACGACAAGGACGATTGGAACCCTTTGCTTGACTTCGGAGAGACATAATTCGTAGTTACGGCAGAGTGCCTTGATTCCTTTCGTGCTGCGCACACAGTATATGAGGAGATGAATGCCATCTCGCTCCAGAAGTGTTCGAAGAAGCTCCTTCAAAATCTTCCGAGCTTCCCCGTCGGGGACTATGCCCTCAGAGCCCTCATCAAGACCTACAATCTAGTTCAGTAAAACCCACCAAGAGTGGCGACCTGCACTAACCGGCTGTATCAAAAAGGTTTACCTTCAAGATCTTGCCTTGAATCCCGACGTAGTGCTCGTAGACGTTGGTTCCAATTGTACATCCCAAAGTGTCGCAGGATGTCGGTGCCGTTTCTGTACTAGTGATCAAATTGATCAAGGAGCTTTTGCCAGCTCCTGCTTCTCCGAATATGACAATATTGCATGTGTCTGAAGCTTCCTCGGCATGCTTGGAGCTAGCAGAACCCTGGTGCGAGGTGTCAAGATCTCAAATCAACCTTACGCTGAGGAAGTGCTAGATACGGCTTACAGTATATGATACCGACATTACAAACTTGAAGATGATTCGACTCGAGAGAGAAACACAAAGGCGCGTCTTGTATTTTAGAGTGTCGTGAAACTGGTCTTCATGTATCTCCCAGTTCGTTAGAAATTTAGAATAGCCACATCGATGCGTCCAGGTGCTAGACTTCGAGGCTCGATCGGACACATGGATTCAGCATGTTCCATGCATGTGTGTTTCAAGCTTCAACAGCCTGTCAGCGCTTCACCCACTACCGAATTTAAACACATATATTCGGATTCAGCATGTTGCATGTATGTGGTCAGGCCGCCACCAAACTGTTTACGACTCGGGAAACTGCCGACAGCGTCGGCAGAAACCTTGCTCTTATTGAAGGTGAACTTGCTGCTCGATCTTCAGGCGTTCTGATCGTGAATGAATGGACGACTTGCTGCATGCAACATGCAAATTATGCAATCAGTGATCACATACACAGAGGTTAGCTTGCTTGTCGCATCCTTGAATTTGTCACGTGTTACATATTCCTAACTTACCGGAAACTTCGCAGCTTCCTTCGTTCGAAACGATTCAAGGTCTGACTGACTATGGGTGACTAAAAGAAGATGGGCCAGTGACAGGCCGTTCTTCTCATCCATCTTCTCAACCTCAACGCTAGCGCTAACCTGCTGCCCCTCATCAACGTTTCAACATCCACGCATTCCCTCGCACTCCAATTAGCAGTAGGAGACGTAGTCCCACCCACCCTCTGCTCAGTACTGCTCGTTCAAGTTTCTCGTTCGTAGTGACACAGGAAACCTGGGAAATTTCGGAAACTTACCGCTAAGACTCATCTTTCTCTTAAGTTGCTAGATATTATGTGTCGATGTTCCTCTCCTTCTATATCCAGATCCAGATCCAGGCTCAGGCGTGCCCGTACGCGGAGGCGTAGCCACTGCCGCATCGAACGTAACGCATGCGTCTTGTACGGCAAAACTCATCTCGACAGTTGAGATATATGCACATCAGTGATACAGCAACTCGTTGCTCGCGATCTCTAAGCTCTTTAGGTGAAACGCGACCGACTAGAGTCATATCCCTGACAGTGCTGTCCTTGACACCCCTAAGTGTGCCTCTTCGTTCTTGTTTATCTGAGTCGTAATCTCGCGCGCATTTTCGATCATTGACTTGAGTCACATCCCTCAGATACAATATCGGATAGCATATATGGTCAAATCACGATGCGTGACCAGGGTGCGAGGCGTCAAGCGGTTCTATTTGACATGCTTAAAGATGCTGAGAGCCGCATATGAAAGGTCGACTCTACATCTGCGTGACATTTTCAGCATATGCATAAAGGTGTTTTGTGCTCGGTCCATTTCACCCCCTATCCATGCAGTCTCGTATCATACGAAACCTCCCACGAATTCAATAAACGCGGGCGACGCAATCGACCAGCACCCGGTATCATGCCTCCCGAGGACTACTTGAGATCGCACCCTCTGCCGAACCAGCCTCGGAGTTCTATTCTTGCGGGCCGCTACACTGCAATGCGTTCCGGTGAGGCCTCCCGCGTCTGTCATCGTGTTGGCTGTGTTGCAGCATCAAGGCGGTCAGTATTCCCCGGTGGTTAGCATCCCGGCAGTCATCACCCCCATTTTTCCACCACCCCCACGGGGCGGAGGAGGTCTGTCATACTCAAAGCTTCCTGTTTATCTTTCTCGCACGCATCTATTGCACTGTATCGACCTGCGCGCTTTCGTGTTTCTTCTTTCTCTCTAGCCATACGCACAGCGCGACCCATTCTCGCAGATGCTAGTAGGAAGGTCATTTAAGTGGCATGTTTAGACTGTTCACTGCAGTCATTTTCGATGTCGCAGACGTAATGCCCAATTAATAGTGTTTCGAATGCTTGAACCTCCACACCCCACCTCGATATCATGAAGGAATGTCATTTATATAAATCAAATTCAACACGCGTGCTCGTCCCACCGCGCCCGGAGAATAGTACCAGGATTTGATGCGGCTGTCATTTCGTGCGTACGCCGGCCATGGAAGTCCGGTAGATGTATGCGTATCTTTCTCTATAAGAAAGGTGAGCGCCGGACTTTACATCATCGTACTAAATACAAATAGGTTCCCGAGTCTGTGGGTGTCAGGTATCGACGAGGACAGAGTCTACAAGCAGATCTGAGCACGACTATCGAAAAAGGGGGGTCGGGTAGTTACCTTTACTAGTCTCTTGTTTGATCATATCAGCCAATTGTTTTGCGACTTCTTGAGATATACCGCAACGCTTCGTGAGGCGAGAGACAATATCTTTTCTCCTTATGCGCAAATTCCCCGGGATTGCAAGTAGCACCTTCAGCTTACGCATCAACGACACGAAAAGGTTGACCCCTCCTATCCATGCTGGCTTCTGCTCGTCGGAAATATGCTTCTTCACAAGGTTGCGGATCGTGACGCGTGATTCTTCATAGAGGAATTGGTGTTTGCCATCTGGTTTGACGGCGGCGGTAATGCACGCGTGACCAGCCACCTTGATCTGATTTCGTTCGAAGGCGCCCTGGTTTCTCTCCCACCAGTCCTCCATCCTGTGCTCTTCTCTTTCGCAATTCGTGACCGCCAGAACAATAGGAACCTTCTTCTCGCAGAGGAATTCGTAGAAGAGCCGGTAATTGCTCTGGGCTGTGGCGGTGGGTCTACCGGCACGAACAGCAGAACAGAAGCAGATCAATGCCGCCTTCCGCGTCCAATTTCTTAATCAGTTCATAGGCGTTGTCAACAGACTCGAGGTACCCTCTGATCCCTATTTGAGGTTCCTCGAGTCCAACGGTATCGAACACCTTATAGGACCCGCCAGCCGAAGCCAATGGTGTACTCTTGCCAGTGCAACGTGCAGCGTTGCATGTCAGGAGATGTGACCGCCACCTTCTTTCCCGCCATGAGATTGACGAGCTGAACTCTTGCCTGCCCCCGTCTCCCCGAAGATTACGATATTTTTAGGTTTGTGCCTACTTAACAAGTCAACTGACATTAGCAAAGAACAGCACAAATGATATCTGAAGACACCGTACCTTGCGCGACACTCCTCGATAAGTTTGCAGACGGCGTGGTATGACTGATCGTGGCGCTGCCTGAGTCTATCTGTTACATTCTCGGAGTCGTTGATGGTCAGCGCGGTGATACATGCGTGGCCAGCAAAGGATCATCCCGAGGTGTGAGATGCGTTGCTCGTTATTCTTCCACCATTCTTCCATTTCTGGTTCTGAGTTTTCCAAACCTGTAACGACAAGGACGATCGGAACTCTTTCCTTAACTTTGGAGTAGCATAATTTATAGTTGCGGCAGAGCGCCCTTGATCCCTTTCGTGCCCTGTACACAGTACATGAGGAGATGAATTTCATCTTGCTCCATATGTTTTCGAAGAAGCTTCTTCAAACCTCTCCGAGCTGCCTCGTCGGGGACTGCGCCCTCAGAGCCCTCATCAAGACCTACAATCTAGTTCAATAACCCTATCAAGATCGACGACCTTGCACTGACCTGGTGTATCGAAAAGCTTTACCTTCAAGATCTGGTTCTGAATGACAACGTTGTGCTCGTACACTTTGGTTTCAATTGTACATCCCACAGAGTCGCAGGATGTCGGTGCCGTTTCTGACCTAGTGATCAAATTGACTAAGGAGCTTTTGCCAGCTCCCGCTTCTCCAAAAATGACAACGTTGCATGTGTCCGCATAATGCGAAGCTTCTTCAACATAGTCAGAGCCAGTAGTACCCTGAGTTGAGGTGTCAAAACTTTATGCGGAGGAAGAGCTAGACATGGCTTACCGTAGACGATCCTAACCACATTATTGCAAACTTTGAAAGATGGCTCAACTCGAGAGAAAAAGCGAATGTGCGCCTTGACTTGCGTGCTCAGTAGTATCGTATTTTCGTGTGTCCACCAATTCGTTGTTAGAACAACGTCGGTGTGTTCAGGCGCCAGATTTGAAGATCCGTAGGACACATGGATTTAGCATGTTCCACGCATGTCTGTAGTGTCTTCATTGTGTCAAGCTCCAACAGCTTCAGCCACTTCTAGATTTGAGGTTTGAAAGACGGAGCCCGACGCATGAATTCTGCATGTTGCATACATGTGCGTGGTGTACACACCTTGCAGCAACCGTCCATGGCCTGGGATGTTCCAACATTCCATAAGGATAATATCATGATGTAACGGTGTTATGTAGCGTTTGGCTGGGTGACACCTAACAGTGCGGTTCTCATAGTAAGTCTCGTAACCCCAGCCGTTGGCAAAGCCCGCTATTTCTTACCCTTTTTTCGGACTATAAGAACGAAGACAGTCTGATTTCTTTGAAAAAGTGCTGCTCGTAACATTTTTTTGGCCAGAAAAAACACTCAACTTCAAAATCGACATATCGTCAACTCAAGACTACCGCTGGTAGGAGAGAGCTCATTTGATTCTAGAAATTGCACCCAGCTGCCTCTCGCGCTCGAGTACAGTCTGGACGTAACGAAGCGGCGACCAGTTAGACTCGCCATATTTAAAGCTCTGCCAGTGTCGTCGATCGGAATCAATAAAGGATGTGCCAGCCTAATCGGGGACAGATCATTGTATGCAGTCCGGAGACATCCGTGCCACCGGTGACATCCGTGCCACCGGTGACATCCGTGCCACCGGTGACAGAAGTTATGTAGTGGATAACTTGCCGTAGGCTCGAAAAATGTGGTATACGATGGCGGCCAGTAAGCTTCAGCGCTGATTAAACTGTATTTAGACATCCCGCTCAACAATTGCATACCATCTAGACTACGGAGTACTGTAACTTATGGAAAACACCGCCTCGACCGTGCTCTTCCTAGCCGGTTCGGCGGTTCGGAACATCGTACCGGAGAAAACTTCATTCCATGACGCGCAGCAGATCGAATCCACAGGGATGGACACACCACTTTCTATCATCTTACCGATTTGAAGGAGGACTCCGATAACGTTCAGATAACCATATGGCATGCTATAATCCCAGTCCTTCATCTCCGTTTATTCAGCAAACTCCCAATCTAAGTGACCAAATTCAGGACCCATGTCATCCCCACCTACGGCCTTGCTCGCCCACCCACCCTAACTACACTTGATGGCGCACCACCGAGACCATACGGCGACCCAGACATACCCCCAAACTGTCGTCCACACAGCCCCTGACTCTCATGCGCGCCGGTCAAATCCTACTTCGTGACTCAGCCTCAGCGGCTTATTACACATACGAGGCCCCTCTATCGATGGTATAAGTAGCTGGCAACTGACGAGTCTGGATTTTTCCGTCGTTGCTCACTTGCCCTCGCAAAGCACCGTCTGCTCATGCATTTTTAAGCCTAAAGGCTAAAAACAACACGGGAAATCTTCGCCCATCCTGCAACTCAGTACAGTGAGTAACCCAGCAATGTTTCCCTCGCTATCTTCCCCAATTGACGTTGCTTTCCATTCCTTATGCCAGCGAAGAACATTCTCGGGCAGCCGGGAGATGCAGCTGCTGAATGCTAAACACAACCTAGTAGGCTAACTGTTGTCCCATACTTGTGCCAACGCCCTCCATGCACTAGAATTTAGAAATGCTAGGATAGGTGCACAGTAGGAGTGTGCCCGTGATCCCATACGTACAATTATTTACACTGCTGATATACCTACCGACTCACCAATATATGTCGATTATTACCATAAACTTTATCTCAACGAGCCCGAATGCTTGTTGTTAATCTCACCCCTTGGCTCGAGCGCTAACGCTCGAGCCACTCTTCTTGTTGAAAAATTGTGCAACGTAAATAAGTACAAAGCAGCAACCGACGGGAAACTCGGAATATGAGAGAAAACGAGAACTTGAATCTCAGACATGCAGAATTTGTGCGTGGAGAGTGCTATAAGGTGTTACTTTGGGTGGGAGGGTGGGAAATTAATGGGGAAGTGATGTAGACGGGAAGTGACTGGAAGTAGGTGTAGTTGGGTAGATAAGTAAAAAGGCAAAGTTTTGAGTGTAAATGATGGGAAACACGCACATAAAAACGGAGCAAGTTCTGAATAAAAATTAAGGGATGGACGCGAACGGATCACGTCCATCGCGTGCGGACCGACCATCAAAGATAAGACTGTGAAGAAGAGTAGGATTTTTTCGGATATATATCCGAAAGGACTCTGAGGACCAGCGGCCGATGGCTTGAATATGGGACGCTGGAACTCCACTGGCTGCAAGTGAAGTAGCTCCCCCGGCTCTCATCGAATGCCCCGCGATAGTTGTAGGGAAGAATTGACGCAACTTCCGAATGAACCAACTGCGAGTCAGTACCGAACCATCCGCTCGAAGCCATAGAGTTGAATGAAAGGGAAATGATGAGTCGCGCGATTTTAAGTACTCCTTGAAGACCTGATGAGGGTCCGGCAAGGAATCAGTGTGACGAACAACGACAGTCGCTCCCTCAAACTGTGTATCTGTTTTGTAGGACGGGAGAACGAAGGAGTGATGATGGTCTTCTAATACAACCAAGGTGCGCTGCGTCAATTTTCTCCTATTCTGCAATTTTTTGTCGTCGGGCCAGACTAATTCCCCAAGACGAAGGAGCGCATAGAAGCCATCAAATAGTTGAGCGAGGAACAACTTGTCATCATGAGAGAAGGGATGAGGTAGGTTGCTGTGAACTTGCTGCAAGTTTGCGCACGTGAGTGGGAGTTTTTGTTTAACTGGAACCCCATATCGTCGTTTTGCTCCCTTCAGAGTTCGCGAAATCAGATGCGAGTGATGAATTGAGCGAATGGCTGGATAGAACTCCTCGAGTTGACTACAAATTCCCAACAAATAGTTATTGACCGAGCGTGGGCTGATATGAGCCGACATGTAAGAGACAAAGTAGGAGAGAGTGTTGGGTGTAGGTTCAACTGAGAATTGATGTAGGTCACAGTTCGAGGGTCATTCCGAGATTGATCGAACACTCATGATTGAGTCGTTTGAGAGACCAGGCTTCCCTAACAGGTTGCCTGGCATTGCGCGAAAGTGACATCATTTTTTCCCTCCCCCCAGCGCATTCCAAGGGGGTTCAAAAGGGAAGATTCGAAGGTGAGAATTACACTTCAGGGCCTCCCGGAACCTGCTACGCGAAAGATGATCTGCATTGACGTTATGCTCTCCTGAAATGTGAAACACGTGAAAGTCAATTGAGGCTGCGATAACAACATCAATTGAGACAATGAGGAGCGAATTGAATCCCGGTGAAGCCTTCAATGAATTGAACATTGCGATGGAATCCAGGCTGTCAGTAAAGACAGCCAATCTTCCTCCTGAAGGTAGGCGAGAGGCGGCGTCTTGAATAGCCGAACAGATACAGAGAACTTCAAAGAAGTATATGTCACGAACAGGAGCTTGTGATGGGAGTGAGGACTGGAAGCCGAGGTTCAAAGATGGATACCAGAATCCCATTCCAGTTCCTGAGGCATCACAATATACTTTGAGCGCTTGATCCGTGATGCGCGAAAAGTCCCATGAGATAGACTTGAGGAGGTGTTATGATCAACGTTCACCGATTGGCAAAGGTATCACACAACCACTAGGACTCGTCAAAGGATAAGAAGATAGATGTTATTGAGAGTGAACGTCTGAGTCTACACTGGGTAGGAACGAAGAGGTTAAGTCTAAGGAGTACTACTGACTACGACCTAAACTATATACTACTATTGGGGCGGAGATATCTGAGTATGAAAGGTAGTGATATATCTATATAAGATCATAACATTGCGCCTAGGGTATAGGGCATCTTATCAACCAATCAACTACAAGGGGAAAGGGTATTGGAGATTAAGCAGGGTTCTCAGGGTTCTGCTTCTATTCAGGGTAAGCGGAGATGAAGAAGGGTGAGAGAGTTCTGTGACAAGAAGTCTCGAGCGGTGATTAAGGATCTCGATAAGAGATAGGATCTGGAGATGTATCGGGTGCGATCGGATCTAAGGGTTTCTCCAGGGTCTTCGGTAATGAGCATGCTTCTCTATGAGTGGCGCTTCTGTGATAGGGATTCAGGGGTTCAGCTGTGACTGTGCAACAGGTTCTTATGTAAGGGGTTCGGTGAATGACAGAGGTAACTCTTAACGTGTCATGTGTGGGAAGTGAAAGGTCTGCGGTGTGAAGGGATGATGACTCTTCGAGAGATGGCTTGTAACGGACTCTTGGTTGTGGTTCGATCATAGAGGCGTGTAGATGTGTATGATGTAGCCGGTTGCCTAATCGTAGGACTTCTAAGGATATGATGTCGGGTGTCTAGGGTTACGGATATAGATGGATGATGTCGATATAGTATAGATGTGATGTGAAGATAGTGATCGTTAATCGGTTATCCATCTTTATCTTTATCAGGGATCTTATCTAATCTAATCTTATCGGATAGGTGACTTAGGTTTGATAATCAAAATTTAGATGCAGTTGGTAACATTCATGACAGGAGGTAGACTCCATCCGATTGTTGGAGATGATCCGCTACCCAAAGTACCTCTCTAACCACGTCTCGGTTTAACCAAATGAGCCCCTGTGAGTTAACCTTTCCTTTCATTTTTTTGTAAAGGGCCGAAAACCCTGGACGCAGCAATGGACAGATGTTGAGGGCCCAGTTAAGCGACCCTGCAATCTGCTCGCATTCCCGCAAGGTGCGTCGACTTTTGTGATGGGCAAATTCCTGTAATTCCAAAATGAGGCGAGTTTTTGATTCGTCCCGCAAAGTTATCCGCATTTGATTTGGATCCACGTCAAAACCAATGACTGGAAGGGGCGATCCGTAAATTTGTTTCCGCTCATCGTGGGGAATTCCGAGCTCATCCCATAGCGTGAGCAATCTGACCATGTCGTGAGGGAGCATCTTTTGATATTTGTGATAGAACGCGAAATCTTCAGCTTCTGCATACGAGAAGGAGTCATCAACGTAAATGTAAGCGAGAATGAACTGCACGAAAACCGTGAGCCAAATGACTAAGGACATGAAGGCGTGAAATATGCGCTGGGACACTCTCCCGCCAAAGATGTTTGCTCGATCGACCCGTCTTTGTCCATTGAACGATACAATTTGCTTTATTTGCCATAATGGATGCATGGGCATATGACGATATGCCTCTGATACATCGGCCTTCCAAATCATGAGAGGATGATCAGGGTTAGTGGTCCGATAACAACAGAGAGCGTTTCCGAGGTCTTGAACATTGTCGAGAGTAACACCAGCAATGTCTTCCTTCGCGATCATTGAGTTAAGCGAGTATTCACCCGCGCTGTGGTTCGTAACTAGGCGAAACTTTCCTCCCTCCTTCAGTACAGCGTGAATGGGCATTGAATACATCCCCGGCAAAAGATCGTGACTGAAATCGCGCGAATATCTCCCAACTGCCTCCTCCTTCAAGATCTGATCACAAAGGAAGCAGAACTCTGCCTCCGTCTTCGGCTCTGGTGTGGGAACATCCAGAGTCGTTGGGTAAGTCCCATAATGAGTATCCGCCCAGGGCCAGAAGCCCTCTCATAAACCCATACAAACCGACTGATAAAAAGGGACATTGGGATGACCCGAAGAGATAAGTAAAGATTCAAAGATATCGATATGGATCGGAGTTGACATTTGAAACAAATCAGAATGAGTAGCGATTGTATGCAACGCTTGTTCATTTTGAAACTCCTTTTGAGGAGGACGAGGAAGGGGTTGCGCAGTTTCAGTCCAGACTGCAGTATGACTGAAAACAGGTGAGTTCTCTCCCCACACCATCCTCCGCCTAAAGTGCTGCCCCTTAGCGATCCGCTCATTGAGTTCCCTTTGCCAAAGGACACTCCGCTCGCCTGTGCGCTCCTTTGCAATTTCCTCTATCGCAGACGTGGTAGTAGAGGCAGTCTCTCACCTCCTTTTCGCACTGACCCCTGTTCCATTTATGACACGGTTCTCCAAACCTGGAACCTCCAGTGGGCCGTTTAGCCCCACCTTGAGATCTACCACCTCGTTCGGATGCGCCTGACCCTGACTTAGAGAGCTGGTTGATGGCAACCATTCCAAAGGACGAGAGGTGACTAGCTCTGAGTCCTTCGAAACGTCCGAAACTGTCGAACCACAAATACTTCTGCTGTTCGATGAGGAGCCGAATGGCTCGATCAAAGTCGAGAACTCATTCATGGGCTGAGTAATGTATCGTCCCGAAGATGTCAGACATAAATTTGCGAAATTCTCTGAGTTCTCTCTCTCTCCAGGGCATGATGAATACAAGGGCTTCATTCCAGAGATCGGTAGCAATGCTCCAATCTCCAAAGGTTTTGACCCTTTGAGTAGCTGTAGGTTGGGATAGAGTGAGTTCGAACCCACTTCCGAGCACTTGGGTTTGTTTTGAATCAATGGCGGTTGAGTAATGGCCCGAGAAGACTTTGTCAAGATCAAGGGCTTGTCCTTCGAGAAGAAGGAGCCATTGGAAGGATGGTAAGCTCAGACACCCGGGAGTAGTTGTGATTTTGGTACGAAAGAACTTAGGGTCCTCCGACCATTCCTCATAACACTCAAGGGTAAGTTTGAGGCTTTCATCAGGTGTACAGTGTCGGAACTTGTCAGGATTGAGCCACGGGAAGAAGTTGGTCTGATCGCTGGAGATCTTTCTTCTTTTCCTCCGCTGCACGAACTCCTCTCCAGACTCGATGTCTGAGTTTTCGTCAATCTCAGTCTCTTTTGATCCGACAAATCCTCGTCGAATTCGTCATTGAGAGCTCGACCCCTTTTCAGAGATTTCATCGTCATGTTCCGAACATGTCTGTCCATGTTGTCGGTCATTCTCCCCGATTTCATCATCCTTCCGGGCGTCGTCGAGGAGTTCAAGATAGTGATTGAATCCGGATTTAAAGGTGGCGCTATCTTCATTCTCGGTCGCGATTGCGAGCTCCCGATGAATGCGGAGTATTGCTTCACCTTTTAATATTCTATGTTTTCGGTAGTTGACAACGGATTTGATACATTGTTCGACAACTTCTGAATTAAAGGATTCAGATCTGTCGGAATGGTGGTCACTTCCTGGTGAGGAATGACGGGTTTGTGATGATGCTTCAGCATTATCAGTCATTGATGAGAAATTGAATTTCGATGATAAAAATTTGGTAGCCGAAAAGTTAAGCACTGACACGACGACGAGCAGATGAGAAGAGACGCTAACTAGAGATTGATACCAGCGACGTACCTGACACGACGACGAGCAGATGAGAAGGGGGGCTGCCTCCTAATTGCTCAGTCATGTCAGGTAGAGGTCGAGATCGTTGAGATCGCTCGGCATGATCGACAAGCCGAGAGCGCCCAGAGCGCGTGCCACAAAGGCAAAGGGAACTGGCCCTAAGGTAAGCCCGCACGTGAAAGCTTAGTCGTAAGTATCAACCAATTAGACTTGTGTAAAAAAGATTAAACTCGACTCAACGAGCCCGAATGCTTGTTGTTAATCTCACCCCTTGGCTCGAGCGCTAACGCTCGAGCCACTCTTCTTGTCCTTCGGTGCCGTCCATGAAGTTCTCGTATAGTGAGGCCTAGGTACTTACCTGCTGTGAGTTGGAGTCAGTTGTCCACGTTTATCCAGCTTACCGTATGCCTGGCAACTTTTGCCATTCTAAGTACTAGCAAGACCATTGCAGACGTGTCAGGGCGTTCAACGTTCAGAAGCGGTAAACAGGGCTATGAACTCGGCCTTTCATCTCAGTTCATGCTCCAAACCAAGACTGAGCAAACTCTCTGAGATCAAATCCAAAAAATCCCGCCATCGCTTGCACCAAATTATGGCCCATATCATTCTCACCAACTCCATTAGTAGATTTCCTTATTCCCCCGCCCGCCCTGATCATGTTCTCGACCAATTCAGGTACGCACCACCCAAACCATGCTGCAGCCCAGACATACCCCAAGGCTCTTGTCCAGACACTACCCTTGACTCCCAGGTGTCTTGCGATCCTGATGAACGTGTCTTCAAGAGTAACAATGACTGCGTGCGAGAGAAAGAATGGCATTGAGAAAAACGTCTGTGGTGTAGTGGAGGTGGAAGATCCGGATAGCACGATATCCCCTCCCGTGTGTACGATTCCCGAGAAGAAGAACGCAGCATAGAGCTGTGCATACGATGATCCTGATGTACCAGACTTGAACTGGGGGGTAAGCAGTACAGTACATAGTCGAAGTTGTCACGTCACGTGAGCGTTGAGCACTCCCACAAGTGCCGTTTCTGGATCTTGAGCGCTTGAGCTTTCGCAATTCGACGACGACGATATACGACCATCTAATGGGGTCGTGATGAACCTCAGCGGCTCAGTGCAGACCAAAATGACGCCCAGTAAACAGCGCCTATGATGGGAGGAGTTATGATGTCATCGATAATCGAGGGCTCAGTCTAGGGTTATATTCAAGCTTACGACAAGACTACAAAACTGCGTCATAGGTACTTCAGTCATATTTTATGCATTCAAGCTATTCCAAGATCTCCATTGCTCGAGCGGCAGTAAAATTTGTTCAGAAGCGAACACGTTGATCGACTCAGCAACAAATTACTAGTAACTCGCGCCATAAACCATACTGCACCGATGCGAGAGCAGAAACACAACTCACCACACTATGCGTCGTCGCAAAAGAACAAGAGCTACCACGCTGGTCAGTCATGTGTTTGAATCCAGAACGCAAACTACTCATACTCACGCATCCATAGTTAGGAACGCAGCCTCGGCAGCTTCTAGAATGCCTGCAAAAGACAGGACATTTCTCACTGGCAGCGTCACTGGCAGATATTGATGCTGTCAAAGCAGCAGCAACGGCGAGGACAAAGGAGAAGCGCATTGTTTGTGAGGATGTAATATGGGATCAAATAAATCTGCAGTAGGAAGACGGCTTGCTTTTATGTGCTGGATATTGTTCTTCATGGCGATGCAGGAAAAACCTTCTTAACCTGAAATCCTCTTTCGAACAGATGGTATCTGCAATGCCAGCGTGCCACTAATCAAGATATTGTAAACTTAGCTCTTACAGACGGTCCGACCATCACCCTGGGAAGTCAGGTCTACTGGTAATTTGGCATGGAACAAAATAACACCTTGCGATACAAGGTCAATGCCAACTCGAATCCGTTGTCGGGAGCCGACAAGAAGAGTGTATAAAATGCTACGTTGATGAGATCTGACAAGGTTTAGGTGATAATCAGCCATTGTATATTGTTTGCTTTTTTCGTCAGTAAAACTATGATTCACAGTGACTTCTGTGCCGACTTCTGCCAATAGCCTCCGACCTACTGTCAGCAATTTCCAGCTCCCATTGCCAGCAGAGGCATTCTGCCAGCAACACGTTGCTGTCAGTTGACTCATCTTCACCTCGTCATTTCCATTGCACGGAACACGGGGATTCTTGTGATAGAAAGCTCGAGGCTTGAAGCTTGAGCACGCGCGGCTATAGCCTCCTTGTTTTGCTTGGCAGAAGATTGTTCGTCACTCGTGCGTCATGTACCAAGCAAAACGTAGAAGGCTGACCATCATTGGACCATCATCGATCATCATCTAGCCTGCCAGACATTACGGCTTGAGGCCATTATCACCGGACCCAGATCCAGCCACGCCTATCATTTCTGCTTTCTAGTTCAGGAGGAAACTCATAATGAGCACTAGTAGGATTAACAATGCTCCGCGCTGAGAGCGCCAACTTGAGCATAAATCTTAATAATTGCAGCAAGGCTAGTGGAGTACGCTGTACTGACAATGTTGTGGTGATCACAGACGAGCGAGAGCGCGGAGAGAGCTGTTAAGACAAATATATTATCTAGTCTTCGATAAGAACTCGACGTTTATCTAGCTTGCAGTATGCCTGGCAACTTTTGCTCTTCTAAGTACCAGCAAGACCATTGCAGACGTGTGCAGGGCGTTCAACGTTCAGAAGCGGTAAACAGAGTTATGAACTCGGCCTTTCATCTCAGTTCATGCCCCAAACCAAGACTGAGCAAACTCTCTGAGATCAAATCCAAAAAATCCCGCCATCGCTTGCACCAAATTAGGGCCCATATCATTCTCATCAACTCCATTGGTAGATTTCCTTATTCCCCCGCCCGCCCTGATCATGTTCTCGACCAATTCAGGTACGCACCACCCAAACCATGCTGCAACCCAGACATACCCCAAGGCTCTTGTCCAGATACTATCCTTGACTCCCAGGTGTCTTGCGATCCTGATGAACGTGTCTTCAAGAGTAATAATGACTGCCTGCGAGAGAAAGAATGACATTGAGAAAAACGTCCGTGATGTAGTGGAGGTGGAAGATCCGGATAGCACGATATCCCCTCCCGTGTGTACGATTCCCGAGAAGAAGAACGCAGTATAGAGCTGTGCATACGATGATCCTGATGTACCGGACTTGTACCCAAGGACAGACGACGTCGCTTTGCCAAGAGGGGCAAGGAACTGTGGCCATGAATAGAATACGAGACGCTTTCAGCTAAGTTATGCGCAGACTTGGTCAAGTGCACTCACCCCTTTCAAGGTCTGATGCCATGTCCTCCTACGTAGAATATCAGGAATGCCGAAACGAACAAGCTTCTTATTTACTTACCCCCAGAGTCGTCGAACAGTATACGCATCTAGCCAAGCCCCGAATAGGTCTGGCCACATTCTCGGTTCATACAATCCTAAGCGCAACACTCCCCGCTGCCATCGCGAAGTAGATGGCGTTCAAGGCAAAGCATGTCAGCCCGACGAATACAGCGGTGTCAGCGCACCGCACAACGTAGGATCGCGTCCTGATCGTAGCAGATGAAAACACAGGGTTGTACCAAACATACAGCCACGCGATTTCAAAGAGGACCGCGTGGCAGGCGGCAAGGAAGGAGGACCGGAGGATGAACAAGTGTCTGGGTTGTCGTGGGGCGGCGGGGATGTTCTTTACCTGAAAATCGAGCATGATCTAAGCCAATCCAACAGTAAGTATTGGAAACACGCACTTGATAATTCCATCCGACCCCTCGTGGGGAGTGTATGACATACACGACGTCGAGGAACCTTTTCCACCAAACTTTGTGCCCTTTTTCGTTCTCCTTCTCTACGAACTTGTAATTCTTTAATGGCCTCCCCAGCAAGAGTAAATAAAAGCCATGCACAGCACAGCTCGCGGTGGCGCATCCAAGCATGTAGTCTACATACCCGACGCCAGTGTCAATGTTCAAGTTCACGAATACGCTCGGGCTGATGATGAAGGAGCAGACTAAGGCGAGGGCGAGGGCACCGAATAAGCTCCATGGAGGTGATGGGTCGAGGAAGACCAAAATCTGCAAGGTAAGGAAGGGAAGTTGTATGTGTGTCGGTAAACGCATTTTCTAATAGGTTGGATGTCGGACAAGAGTACTACTTGTTGTATTATGACATCATTATGTGATAGCAACTCGCCACTCGTGATCATGATCGTACTTCATCTAAAAAGCTGAAGTTCCTCTCAAAGGCAGTTTGTAGTGCCCTGTTAGCATTCCGACGTAGATCGGCTCCCAACAGGGTGGGAAACACAAGTCACTGAATGCATCAATTACATCAGTGGCATCACCGCTCGGTAAGCATATTTCCTCGTCATTCTTAAGTCCAAGTTCACCGCCCTCGCGCATACCCATTCTGCGCTGTTCTGCCACGTTCGCATCACTCCCTTAAACGTCCAGCGCCGAGCTACCCGACCAACACTCGATATCGACATCCCCGACTTCAACTCCCACAGGTGCTACCAGCTCTGACGCCGCCAACAGAAACCACCGCTGCTGCCCCAAACCCCTCCGTGCACTTTCGCTTTCTACAGCCTACGGACATCAGTACCGACGGATAGACCTCGACTGGAGTCACCGCACCGACGCTTATGATTGAGCGCATTCCTTTGGGCAGCGCTTCCCCATACACCGATTAGAGGAGTGATGCCATCAAGTACTCCTCTCAAAGTGCTTTTGAGCAGTTCGCTTTGGTTAGTTCAGGTTTGCGTTCGTAAGCACACATTTTTGGTTATGTGTTCAGCATCTCCACCAATCGCATGAGTGCGCTACTGAAGTCACAAGCGTTCATTTCAGTGGTTTTGCAGTCTCCCATGGGCAGACCCAATTGTAGAAGGAAGATATTCGTTCTTAATTAGTTGTTGGACTCGCGGTCTCGGAGATCTGAGCTAACAATATTAGTGCTGGCCCCTGGGGCGGAATTATTTGCGGGCAAGTCAAAATTGTGACGGCATAACCGGCAGAAGTGGCAGAATCGCTGATCGACTCAGCAACAAATTACTAGTAACTCGCGCCATAAACCATACTGCACCGATGCGAAAGCAGAAACATAACTCACCACACTATGCGTTATCGCAAAAGAACAAGAGCTACCACGCTGGTCAGTCACGTGTTTGAATCCAGAACGCAAACTACTCATACTCACGCATCCATAGTTAGGGGACGCAGCCTCGGCAGCTTCTAGAATGCCTGCAAAAGAAAGGACATTTCTCACTGGCAGCGTCACTGGCAGATATTGATGCTGTCAAAGCAGCAGCAACGGCGAGGACAAAGGAGAAGCGCATTGTTTGTGAGGATGTAATATGGGATCAAATAAATCTGAAGGGGACAGTAGGAAGACGGCTTGCTTTTATGTGCTGGATATTGTTCTTCATGGCGATGCAGGAAAAACCTTCCTAACCTGAAATCCTCTTTCGAACAGATGGTATCTGCAATGCCAGCGTGCCACTAATCAAGATATTGTAAACTTAGTTCTTACAGACGGTCCGACCATCACCCTGGGAAGTCAGGTCTACTGGTAATTTGGCATGGAACAAAATAACTACCTTGCGAAACAAGGTCAATGCCAGCTCGAATCTGTTCGTCGGGAGCCGACGAGAAGAGTGTATAATATACTACGTTGATGAGATCTAACAAGGTTTAGGTCCATCGTATATTGTTTGCTTTTTTCGTCAGTAAAACTATGATTCACGGATGACTTCTGTGCCGACTTCTGCCAATAGCCTCCGACCTACTGCCAGCAATTTCCGGCTCCCATTGCCAGCAGAGGCATTCTGCCAGCAACACGTTGCTGCCAGTTGGACTCATCTTCACCTCGACATTTCCATTGCACGGAACACGGGGATTCTTGTGATAGGAAGCTCTGTTTTGTTTGGCAGAAGATTTTTCGTCACTCGTGCGTCATGTACCAAGCAAAACGTAGAAGGCTGACCATCATTGGACCATCATCGATCATTATCTAGCCTGCCAGACATTACAGTAGGATTACGAATGTGGGCGTTGATTCTCACTCCAAACGCCTGCTACGAGGTACCAATAGCGACAACTAGACACATATATCTTCACGCAAGTAAGGAAGCCCTTGAACCTCTGGCCTATCATAATACCCCTCCCCATAGACCAATGCCTTGCAAGAAGCATCGTCCAATACTATCCGTCCTCAAACATCGCAACAAAAACACAGGATTCCATTTCCTTCTCATGCTCTCACCCAAGAGAGAAACGCGTAACGCTTCCGTCCACGACTGCCACATCTATCACACCATCTCCACCGATCGCATGAGTGCGCTGCTGAAGTCGTAAGCGTTCATTTCAGTGGTTTTACAGATGTTCAGGTTACTCCTAATCTCCCATGGGCAGACCCAATTGTAGAAGGAAGATATTCGTTCTTAATTAGTTATTGGACTCGTGATCTCGGAGATCTGAGCTAACAATATTAGTGCTGGCCCATGGGGTGGAAATATTCGCGGGCAAGTCAAAATTGTGACGGCAGAATCGCCACTTCTACCGCTTGGCAAAACTTTTCAGGCGCTACAAGACTAGTAGATCATAATGTAAGGTAAGGATCAGTAGGAAACACCATTAGACGACATCAGAATATCCACATCCCAGTGTCCCTCATCTTGAGAGGTGTGATCTACTACTATGATCTCGTCGTCAACAGATTTCGGTGCAAGTCCTTGATCAACATGCACCAATTCTGCGAAATCATAAACTGCGCCTTGCAAAACCTTATTTCCATCAACCGTCACTCGTTCCATGGCTTCTTTCTCGCACTCCAGCAGCGCAAATGCTGCATCGATCTCGTCGAGTGATATACATTCCGGACCTGCAAGATCATCGTCGATGTTCTGTGTCTGAGGTGCGAGTGGTGGCGACCAAGCAAATTTAGCTTCTTGATCGGCGGCTACATCGACATCGATGCCTGTCTGGGCAGTGGTGTCCATGTGTGCATGACGTCGACGAACTGGCTTGCCATCAGCTACGGCTCGCTGATGACTATGGTAGCGAAGATTCGCTCGAATCTTCGCCAGTGTTTCAAAGGTATCTACCGAGATTGCAGCGCTTTGGGGACTGAGTACTACCCACATCCGAGAAGAGGCGTTCGACGTCGGCGGCGTGGGGAACGATGGACAACAGGGTGGTTGCAAGGGCCTTCAAAGGATGACCGTCGGCACTGACTGCGAGGCTTTCCCACCATGCCAATCCGTCAGCCTGTCCACCTGCAAATGGTGCACGGCACAGGTTGTATGCTTTGAGGTCATCAACGAGCATTTTAGCCCTTTTCTCCCCCCATCGCCATCGTTTAGCGACGGCCAGTGCAGTTTTAACCATAAACTCGAATGGTCTTCCTTTCGAGGCATCCGTCACAGCAAGTTTGCGACACATTGGATGGAGGAAGAGAGCGAAAGAATGGAGATCAGTGTTGATCGCGTGGAACCGGCGGTTGAAAACAGATTTTGCATGCATCCAGAAACCAATATCATCATGCTCGGGATCGACTTTCAGCTGGAACATCTGCCGTGCGCAACGGATAAGCTCCAACATGCAGTCGGCAAGTGTGACTTCACGCGACTCCAAGTTTTCGATTGCATCAACAAGAAATTTAACCGTCTTCACGAGCTGGTTGAGCTGTTGCCAGTACTGAGCATCATGGAGTACTGTCGAAACCACTACCGCAGCAACTGGTGGCTGATTGTTGGTTCTGTTCTGGGCATCGGGACGCAAACATGTGTGCATCAGTGGACCCCTGTAATTTTTGTAAAGATACAGAGATCGAGTTTTAACCATATAAAATCCACTGACCGGTAGGCAAGAACAGTCATGCTCTGTAACACAAGTGCATAAAATCGAGACTCGCAGTTCTGTTTCATCTTCCGATTGATACCCTGCTTCTTCGCCTCGCCATTGAGTTGCCCACCCCAGTAGTGAGACGAATTGAAAAAGTTCACGATGCGTATTGACTTGGATATAATTTGCTTCATCATCGGGAAGGAGCATATCTCGCCAATGAGGGTATTAAGGCTGTGAAGAAAACACGGGAATGTCTGGATTAATGACACATCAATACACGACGAAGTTTGTAGGCAGAACTTGACCCACGAGAACCCAAAAATAAGATTCCTGGAATTTTCGGCGGAAGGCCTGCATGACGGTCGGATTGTCTGTCGTCACAGCAATTATACGTTTTCCGTCATCTATCTCCAAAGTCTTCATCGCTTTTTTTGATGCAACAAGCAGGTTGTCTGCAGTACCTCGGTTGCCAGTCATGTCCTCAAGAGCGAGGACCACAGGAAGTTGCTTCACCTCAACTGCAACAGACCCGTACAGACTTCTCTTCAGCGAGTCTTCCCAGCCATGAAGCAGAAGCGTGAGCCGCTTTCGCACTTTGAGCCGGTCAATTTCTTCTTGCTGGACTCGCACGGCTTCAGTGTCTAACAGCGTGTGCGACAGCATATATCGGGAAGGCGCAGTATACGAGGGTCGAATCTCGTCAAGAAACTGAAGCAAGTATTCATTCTCGCCCGCAGAAAAAGCAATATTAGCATCGATGATGAACCTAAAACCAATTTTCTAAACTTGAGTAGATCGACTTATAGAGGCCATCATAGTACGTACTGCAACAGCTTGACATTTGCACGAGAATGCTGTTCCTTTGTCAGGGGGCAATCTACAAAACCACTCAAAGCGCGCTTCTTGCGTTTACCAGGCGTGACTAGTTCAGAAATGCCTTCTGCAGTAGAAGAAGAAGCATCAATCTTATCAGAATTAATGAATTCTACGGCATCTGGTCCACCGCCCTTGTCCATGACAAATGTGCGCGCCTGTTTTCGTATCTCCGACGGACATTTTTTACACTTGTAGATAAGGTGGTTTGGGAGTTGGTTATCGCGACCTTGGATGCGAGGAGCATTCGGACAGTGTTTGCACGACCAGTAGTAGCGTCCAGATTTGTTGTCGACCTTGCTGCCACGATTAAAGTTGTCAGTTATGAAGGATGAAACAGGGCGTCCGGCAGATGTAGTAGACATGGTGGCGGCTATGGTGAATGTAGCTGTACAAGTTCAACTGAAAATCGTTTCTGAACTTCGTACTCTACAAGGTGTGGTAGTACAGTTGCTCTGAATCGCAATGAATAAGCCTCGAGAAAGGTTACTTTGAGGTCAAATAAGGTGAAGAAGCGGCTATCAGAAGTTCTTTCGCCCCTGCAGTTTGATATTCTGCCGGATTCTGCTCATATAATTCTACGGGCAGAACCGGTTCTGCCAAGAAGGTTGGCAGAATTGCAGACTTCTGCCTAACTTGAAGCTTGACTCGAGCCCCACAAGTTTTCGTTCGAACCCCTGGCAGTGGGCCATAACAGCCTGACATGCCATTGTACGAGTCACTTCCCAGGTTTCCATCTACCCCACATGCCTGCTTATCACAATTTCCGATCCTTGACTTACGCCCATCCATTCACGAGAGTTTCCGACGACTAGATGAGTACAGGATCGGACTGGTGAGTGTCTGACAGGAACGAACCAGGATGAAACCTACGAGCAAGACGGCATTCAGATGTTCAGATGTTGAAGACATACTGCAGCGAACGGTTCATATGATGATCATTCCAAGAGTACTTATTCACTAGTCACTTGCCACTGACAGGTGAACGTTAACCTTGAAATTACCAACGTCCGAATCCATGCGTCGTGGGGCTAGTGCTATGAAACGTGACAAAACAGATACCGCGTGGCTTTCAGTGTCCATGCGGGAGCATATTGATGGTATCTGTAAATAGGAGGGTAGCCTTCGAACTTGGACGCGATCACGATTGTACCGGTCCACTGCCGCCGGATTGGTAAACTGATGGACCAGCGTGGCAGGGCAATCGAATCACAGGACGGAGGATGAGAGTTTTCCCCTTGTTCGTTTTTCGGAAGTACTTCTGGAATCTGGATGGTAACGTGCACGATGGCCAGTGGATGACTTCCTACAGCCTGATCTGGAATATTTGAATGTGCGGTCAACGGACGCCAAGACTAAGGGGGAGGAGGACACCGAAGCTCGAGAGAAATCATTGCGCACTCGGGCACACGAAATCTGGGGGTCGGGATTCACGTCACTCGCATACGCGCCGTATCTTCGTGAATTGCTCATGATGGTGCTACATGCTTATGCTAATAGCAGTGCGTGACAAGTACAGTAAACTATTAATCATTACCAAGAGTCAGAAAAAATGAGCTGAAATTCAAAAATGCATTTGCCCCCTTAAACATGTTCCTTGTCAATCGATTCCTTTTCATCCGACTTTGCAATTACGTCGGTCAAGTTCTTCTTGCCCACGGATCGCGACACAGCCCAGGCGCTGTACTCGTGGCCCTGTGCGAACACATCCTCGATCTCCTCCAGCGAGCGCTGAGCAGTCTCAGGGAAGCAGAAGAAGAAGTGGATGCAGGCTGCGAAGTTGAACGTCCCGAACACGAAGTATGTCTTCCACTGGATGTGTTGCAACATCGGAGGTGCAGCCCACGCCAATGCGAAGTTGAACAACCAGTTCGTAGCTGTGGAGAGAGAGACGGCCTTGGCGCGTACACGCATGGGGAAGATCTCTGCAGGGTAAGTCCAGGAAGCGGGACCCATCGTAATGGCGAAGGAGGACACGAAACAGTAGGAGCATACAATGATGGCTTTTGTAGCGGCGCCATTGTTTACGACGACCCATGTAGCTGATTAGGAAAAAGGTGGGCATGCCAGCGAGTTACAAAGATTGATATTAGGACATTACCAGCACCGTTGAGAGTTCCCCATTCACCGAAGCGGGCCTGGAGACCACCGACAAGGTAGAGCCAGAAGCCCATGATGAGACAGCCGTAAATAAGCATCGGGCGGCGTCCCCATCTGTCGATGTAGATGATCGCAGGGACTGAAATTCAAAACAGCATTACAATCATCGTCACTGATCAAAGTGAACCAATCTCACCAGTGAAGCTGACGTTAAGGACATATTGCACAGAGTCTGCTATAAGATTCGCGCGACGACCAGTAAGACCAGCACCCTCGAAGACGTAAACGACGTAGTACCTGTTTAGGGGTGTGAATACGAAGCGAGTGACCAAAGGCTAGACAGGGAACTCACATCATTACATTCATACCGGTAAGCTGAGACCACATTTGGAGAGAAGAGCCAAGTACGACACGGCGCAACACACCAGGCTTGAGCAGGTCTGACCAGGCCTTGGCGCCTTCCGTTCGCTCGAAGTAAACTTGTTGCTTGATTTCTTCGAACTCGAGAAGGACGAGCTCGTCCTGCTCGTTACCTCCACCGTGTAGGTCAGCAAGAATTTCCAAAGCCTCTGCCTCGCTGTAAGAAGTATGAGACTGATTTTAGGTATATATAAAGAGAATGCGCACCGGTCGTGATCGACGAGCCAACGGGGGGACTCGGGGAACGCGAGCATACCAAGGGAAAGGATGATGGCGGGGATCATCTGGAGACCCCATGGGATACGGAATGAAGCAGTACCATTGATGTACGAACAACCGAACTGAACGAAGTACTGGAACAAGATACCCCAAGTGATGGACCATTGTTGGAAGGAGACCAGGCGACCGCGGATAGCAGGTGCAGCAATTTCGGATTGATAGACAGGGACAACGGTCGAAGCGAGGCCGACGGCGTAACCAGAGATGATACGGCCAACACAGAGCATACCACGGTCCTGGAGCGACTTATGAGCGGAAAACAATGACACATAAGATGATGCACTTACGACCGACGCGCACTGAAGAATAGAACCAATGACCCAGAAGAGACCAGAAATGATGACCGTCTTTTTGCGCCCAAGCTTGTCACCAAGGTAAGTGACAGAAAGGGCTCCCACTAGAGACCCAGCGGGCATAGAAGCGACGATAGCACCCTGTGCATTGCTACCAGGCTACATGAAAACCGTGTCAATCACGTGCAAAAGGTCCATGTCAAAAAATTAAGCGCACATTGTTGAAAGTGTTCGCGTATGCGGGGTTCTATCCATGGTCAACATATAAGTCATCAGCATCAGTCGGAATGAATTCAGGCAGTGAATGATGATGCTCACGTTCAACACTGTAGACATGGAGGAGATATCCAGGCCGAAGAGGCCTCCGCCGATACATGCGAATGTACCGACGATATACTACAAGAAGATCAGAATTCCGTCCAAGCATCAACACTTTTGGACTACTCACTGGATTCGAGGCGATACGTGCGTTGTACTGTCGAACACATTTAGCACCCAATGCTCAAGGATTTCAAAACAAAGCACAACTTACACCTTTGCCCATGGTGACGGAGAAGGGAGAGGACAAGTGCAATCACTCGAGAGGTCTGTCGGGATGCTGTATTATATAGCGTTAGGCACCGACCGCATGGATCTTGTGGGGCTCAATTTGAACGGCAAATTTTGGAACGTGGGTTCATGAGACCGTAATAATGCTAACGCCATCAACGTGTAGTCACCTGTCAAGGAGGTAACTTGGCATCAAGCATGAACTCAACGAACTAGCGCTCATCAATATACCAATTCGGCCAAATGAATGGTGCGACACCATATGGTACATACCACAGTGCCTCATGAACCGTTGTTCCAAACAATTGTATAAGTAAACACGTCTCCGTCCAGGGCCGGTGACTGTAGCCGAGAGTATCCGGCACCTAAGATATAATGAGATGCGGAGAATGCGGGGTGAGCTGGGGTGAGCCAGAAAAGTTACTGACAGGTTAGTGAAATTTGATGAATTGATGATATGGAGTGCATGGCATGTGCCCTGATTCCAGATCGATGGAATGCAAGCGGTAGAGGCAAATTTAGCCTCCATGCAGCCTGATACTCAGCGTCTCGGGATTAGTACTCGGAACTCAGAATTGGTAGTTGAAAATTTATGCCTTGGCAGTTGTTTGCTGGCCTTCCCATGCAAAATGAGTCATTCTAAATTTGAACCATGGGATCGGACCGTCTCATGGTCAATGGACACTTGGTCACCGCCAGTACTGCCTCGAAGTCATATGCATTCATCATTAATTGCAAGAACAAAAGGTTTACTTCCCGGGACCCGACGCGGAGCCAATTTGCCTCCGTCACGCGTGCTGGCTGTCGGGTGCTTCACCACTGATCCTGTCACGGCTCGGAATAGTACCTAAACGTTACCTCCTCGAAGGCTTCATCTCATTGCCCTTATCGTAGGGCGCGCTTGTTCATTGAATTGTTGATTTAGAAGCTCTAAGGTATCAGAGCGGAAATTACATAGCATAGGAAAAGCGATCGTCCGTTGCCTTGGTTGTCGCACCGAGTGGTCCTATTAAACTTCTTGCTCCGCGCCGCAATCAGATACGAGCAGCGCAGTGATCATCGTGTTGCCCGCATACAGCTAGTCTCCATTGCTTACCCAATTCTCGTATAAGACAATCGATAATGGCCGGTTATTCCCTGATTCCTTGATTTCATTTCAAACTGCCTAGACTGACTGCGAAGTTGGTCTGGTATGCAAAGCATCGCCTTTATCATAAAATTGATGTGTGATACTTTGAACATGCGCAATGATGCATGAAGCCGCATATCCCCAAACGGAAGTCACCAGACCTCCAGTTAATGCCAAACTTGAGACTGAGTACAATGTCACCCTAGTTCTAAGTTTTCCACCTCCAGCGATTGCCAGCAGTTAATACATCACCGTGGGCTCAGTGATTCGATAATTAGCCACAATCTACCACATTGAACCGCCCATTTCCGAAGCGTTTAGGCGAAGTGAAAGAGCAGACAAACCTCTTCGCGCAATTCCATTCTCACGTATTCCAACGATAGAACAACCTACACCATGTAATAATGCCTTTTAATAGGATCTCCCAAACATGGTCCAATCGCTTTGCCTCTTGTCCACAGCCAACGCACTTCGTTTCTCCCGCCTTGAGAGGGGAGAATCGCTCCTGGTCGAACGGAATAGCAAGGGATTTGGCTCCGGCGGACGGAGCACGCTCATCCTGCGGTTCCGCCCTGTAAAAATATGTTAGATGCCGTTCCCAAGAGGTTGGTCGTCCGGATCAGAGCCTGCATAAAACACTCACGCTCTACCACTCCGTTCCTTGATGTCATCCTCGCACGCCTCACGCTCGCACCACGGGATGACGGCGATGCACTTGCTATCCAGTGTGGGGACAAAGTCCTCCCATCGCGTGACTTCTTTTAGGTGTGCATTGTACTCAGCGAGAGCGCGCTGGAACATGTCGTTCTGGATGGTCTCGAGCATCTTCGGGATCGTGGTAACAAGGTCAGCGAGAGCAACGGGGACCTTTGCACCGGTGTCGCGGCGCACAGTCAACGTCTGCTGCTTCGCAAGGTCATTCGGTCCTATCTCCAGACGAAGGGGGACACCCTGATCAGGAACGTGTGTCAGAGGTAAGCGATGGTAGCAGATCGTGGAGAACAAACCTTTTGTTCCCAGTCGTTGAATTTATATCCAGGGGTATAACCCTCTCTAAGATCTGCCTTCGCCCGGACGCCCCCATCTATCAGCGATTTTGCGAGGTCATCGCAGGCATTATTGATCTTCGCTCTGTCTTCGTCGCTCGTTTTTGCAGTAACACCGCACGGAACTACGATAGCCTGGACAGACGCAACTCGCGGAGGAAGAACTAAGCCTTGGTTGTCGCCATGAACCATAGTCATCACACCAATCGTCCGCGTCGACAATCCCCAAGAGTTTTGCCATGCATAAGTCTTTCCTTGACCAGACAGATCGTTCGGGTCCTCCACCATAATGTTGAACATTTCCGGGCGCGAGAAGTTCTGGCCCAGGCAGTGCGACGTAGCAGCCTGGATACCACGGCCCGAGGAAGGAACAAAGCCTTCAATCGTGGTGGTATAGAGAGCGCCGGCGAACTTCTCTTTCTCGGACTTGATGCCAGGAATGACAGGGACGGCAAGAAGTTCCTCATACACGCGGCGGTACAATTCGAGGATCTCTCGGACTTCCTTATCAGCCTCGGCCTTGGTAAGATGGGCGGTATGGCCCTCCTGCCACAGGAACTCGCGAGTACGGAGGAACGGTTCTGAGTAAAAATGAGAAACGACAAACTGACGGGGTTCGAGCACATGAACTCACGCGGATGCTTGAACTCCCATCGGACGACGTTGTTCCATTGGTTCAATTTGAGCGGCAAGTCTCGATGACTCTTTATCCATTTGGCATAATCTGCGAGCAATGTGAGATTCCCTCTCTACGACGGTAGAAGATGGGCTTACAAGGATACATAACAGTCTCAGATGTCGGGCGAATAGCCACCGGCTCCTCAAGATCAGAGCTCCCACTGTCACGTCATTAATATTGAAGGTCCATTCACTGCTTGATTCACTTACGCTCTCGTGACCCATGCGACTTCCGGAGAGAAACCCTCAATGTGATCTTTCTCGCGTTCGAGCACCTTTTGCGACACAAGCATAGGGAAGTATACGTTCTGAACGCCCATGGCCCTGATTTTCTTGTTGAACCAGTCTTTGTCACGCCTTAGCATTCTGAATCAGTCGGGAAATATAGTGCACACCTTGGATCTCCTCCCAGATACTGTACGACCACGGCCTCAAAATATAGCATCCGCTAACACTGTAGTACTCGAGCATTTCTGCTTTTATTAAGACCTAAAACACACGAGTGAGCGCTAGATCGGGGCAATCGGATAAAGATACATACGCTCTGATACCACGTGGAAAAATCAACTTCCTTCTTGACACCGATGGCGATCTGAACGGCACCGTCAATTTTCGCGTCCTCCTTTGCTTTTGCAGCAGGTTTTGAAGGAGCCGCAGCGACGTCAGCCTTTAGGGAAGTGAAGTCGATTTCTTGGACTTTCACGTCATCAGTTTCGAGCTTTCGGAGGTAAGAGATGATATCCTGTCCGGACAAGAAGACAGTTGCACTCGAGGACATTGCGTGTAGCGCAAACGATGATGAGGAGGACGCGATCGATGCATCGATCACAGTAACAACCTTTGGAAATGTCTCACTGGTCAATGAAAGTAGCGACACTGAACGTCCAGGTAAATCAGATTATTTATGCCGCGTCATAAGAAATACGTACAAGAGTTCTTATCGAGCGCGAAAAAATCAGCAAGTAGATCCTCCGATGCCAGCCTCAGCTCCTTCAGGTTGAGCTTCTTGCCGAGCGCTGATGAGCTCGTCTCGGTCTCTTCGCGAGCGATGACAATAACAGGCACTGTAGTTGCAGTCTTTGCAGTCTTTGGCTTGTATACGAGCGTTTTGATCAGCTCGAATGATTTAGGCGCAGATGAGGTTGCAAGCAGCGTTTCTCGCCATGATGCCGGGGAATTTGTTTCAGCATGCGTTATGCTAGCGGACGGGGTGATTGACAGCCCAGCAAGAGACTGGGCTACAGACTCTAGAGAATTCATAGATGCAGATGTGTGATGGCGAGAAGTGGTGGTTAAGGGTCTTTTGACCAATGTGTGGTTTGGGTATGACTCGATAAGATTGGGCCCATACGTTATCCGAGTCAGATGCGAGTCACCCCAGTAACGCGGCTGGACGGCTTTTCTATAGTAAAGTCCATGAATTCGCTGCACGCCGTGCAAGAGAGCTCGCATGCGACAACTAAAAAAATTTACTGGCGGATTGAGAGTAAGAAATGCGCCGTAATCGCCTCTTCAACACTCTCAAGCGACTACGTAACGCGTCTGCGCAAAGTCTTCGACAACTCATAAATTGAACAAGGTCGACTTCAACTACACTACTGCATTTTTTTCCTGGGACTTGGAACCATACCAACTAGAACGGATACCCGGTGTTGGACGGGAAAATCATAGGTCCAATGACTTCGTCACGCTTTTCTTTCCCGCACAAGAGCTCGATCAGCGTGAACGCGAACGTGAACGCCGTTCCTATTCAACATCAAAAAGAGGCAACAAACACACATAGCAGAAGCCTCCAACTCACCTGGTCCGCGGCTGAAGATCAGGACTCAGCAGAGTTGCCAACTAATAAATTATGGTATGGACTCACCTTGTGACAAGTGTCGCCTTGCCTGGGACAGCATCTGACACGACCACACTTTGCTCCTTGTAGTCAAAATCTATTGCAACAGAAAAGCTATACCGATCATCCTAGTCAATTTTCCCGCAACTTACGGTCTGGAAATTCGCTCTGGACGGATGGGTGCGACGTGATCGGTTGACCAGGAAGCTTTGCTGTGATCGCGACCTTGGAACCTTGCAAAACATACATACGTTTCATAAACCATGAATACGATCCAAACAAAATGAAAAGTATACCTGCGCATATCATGCCAACAATCCGTTTCTCTGGGTGGTTGTAGTAAGAACGAACGAGATTTTGCACTTCTGTCGATCCTGCCATCGTCACGGCGCCACCCATGCCACCAGGGATGACGAGAGCATCGTACTTATCCTAAAGAAGTATGCTGCTATCAGCTTTACCTCGGACATGCATCAAGACAGATTGGAAATGCCCACCGGACCGGCATCGAGGGGGTCGAGGGTGACATCAGGAAGGATCTTCACTTGCCTCGAGCAGACTGCAAGTGGAGGACTTGTATCCGAAGATCCGTACATTGAGAGACCCCTGGGGACAAATGCGGATGTGCACTCTATTCCTGCACGGACGAGCGTATCATATGTAATCGTGCTACATGTACGCCCGCCTGATCAATAGCGTTCTAGTTAGGGGATGATGCGTCTTACAACTCCATTTCTTCCGTTCCATCTGCGATGAGGATCAGAGCCTTGACCATGGTTGGCTCAAGTTCGGTACTAGTACGTTAGTGGGAGGTCGCTTGGATTAGTAGCTACTAAGTGCTGCCTGAGCTGTTTTGTGGGTTGAGCTAAGGTGGAGATGACGTATTTGGCTTCGTTGCTGCATAACATAAACGTTCTACTTGTACGGTACACCATTAATATTGCTAGGTAGTCTACATATGCCTGAATTTTGTTGAGGGGGGACGAGTTGAGTGTAGCGGAATTCAAGTCTGTCTTAGGCGTTCTCAGGCGTTGAAGAAAGCGAGGGCACATGCCCTGTAGCGTGGTCAAGTCTCCCTCTGTGAATCGGACATCCAGGTTATACTCCTCAGGCACCAGTATACCTTTGCGGGAACTGTCATCCACCTGGTCAAACCTGATATCTCCCGTGCCACCTTCTCTGTCCATTATCTGGCTAAACAACTGTCTCAACAACGCATAGTTCGGCTTATCTTCGAACTTCAAATCACGGCAGTGGTCAAAGTACGTTGTGAATTCCGCAGGTGAGCGTGCAAGCAGGTCACGGAATGCTGAACCAGCTTTCATCTCGCCAATTCGAAGTAGCTTGGCCTCTTTGTTTGGTGCGTAGATGCCTTGCCAAGGCAGACGTCCATACAAAAGATACAGTAGGACGTTGCCTAATGCTTCAAGATTGTCTCGCTGAGCTAGGATTAGAGCTATGCACGGAGACAAAGCCTAAATCGGACTGTGACCAGGTACAGGCTAAGAATAGCCCATTAGTAATGGCCCATGGCCCATGGGGCACACAAGTGACATACCACTATGGTTTTCTGGGCGAGCCGAGGTACGAGGCGGCGTAGAATTTAGTCTATGTGTTAGTAAGCGATGTGGGCGCAGCGCTCTTTGCTCCCGTCCACATCCGCGGTACCGCTTCGACTCGGCTTGCAGTCTGTACACGCCGCAAAGCCTCGTTCTTGTTTGCACCCGCCCGCCACTCCCTCTCTCAGGGTGCAGACAAATGCTTCGTAGTTCTGTTACTTAATCCAACTACTTACATTCGTCCGACGCACTGCACTCGACACTTGCAATGTCGGTGACTTGATCGGAGCCCGCCCGCCCCGTCACAGCTCACCTTGCTACCCAGTTCGGGTGCATGTTTTGGGCCGAAAAACCCTCCGGGTTTTTTCCCAAAAACTTTCACTAACTTCTGACTGCACTGGTCACGAGTGCACGCCACTTACTTCGTATGAAAAATTGACGGTCCTTTTGGTGGGGTTTGCAGTCCTGGATGTACAGTCCTGAGATGGGTGAAAAGATATATTCATGAAGTATCTCGACTCAATAAAATGTGTCTCGGAGGTCAGGATGACCCGAAGCTGCAGCTGTCAGAATTTCGCGGAGAACCGCACGCTTTGTGCGCGTGGGATCAGCACGTTCGGACTGGAAAATTGACGGTCCTCAGGTGAGAAATTTGCAGTCCTTTCGAATCCCGCTCGGCAACGCTTACCAGGACTCCGCACGGTGGCGAAACGTCGTGCAAGCTCTCTGCTGCGCGATCGCACCGCAGGAGACGCTTCGGAAGCTCAGCGAAACTACATTTTCGACCGCTCTACCTACGCCGACCGTCCCCAGAATTTTCCGTCCACAGCTCGTCCCAGACGCGACTCCTTCGAACCACCACCTCCGCCAGACGCGCCTCCTCCGCTTTTGGCAACGCTTAGGTAATCCAGTGCTGGACCGTCAATTTGCTCGTGATCAGCTCTGCTTCTCGTGCGGCACTTAGCGCCGACACGCATAGACTGCGCTTTGGGTGATATATCATTGCCCTGTGCTTTAACTCAAAGGCAGTGATATATCACGGATTTGATTTGATCGCAGTAATATGATATATATATCATATTGACAGTTTATCCGAAGTGCTGAAATATATAATGACATGGTTCTCAACTGAGATACATATCCTCTCGAGTCATTCATCATGATGTTGCGGCTTTCTCTGTTGTTAACAACCTGCTGGGCTTTTGTGGCCGCCAGCACATCAAACAACCCTGCGACGCCGACAGTGACTCTAGACAACGCTACTATCACAGGTATTGCGTCAGATTCGGTGAATATGTGGTTGGGAATACCCTTCGCACTGCCCCCGTAGGTGCTTAGCGGTCACATTTCGAGATAGCTAATGTAGGTTTCTTTATTCAGGACTGGCAATCTCCGGTTCCAGCTACCTCAACCTATCCCCCCGTATAACACGAACTATTCAGCGACGGCCTATGGGTTGGCTTGTCCTCAACAGGCTCTGACAATACCTAATGTTCAAGGCTTGCCTGCCGAGACCCTTGCCTATTTTGCAGCCGCCACCGACACTAACTATTCCAGTTCCGAAGATTGTACGTCTGATGCTACAGCGGATGTACCAGCATTGAATGGCTTTGTTTTTAAAAGGCTTGACTCTGAACGTCTTCGCACCCGCGGATGCAACTCCACAATCGGGCCTCCCTGTTGTAATAGTGAGTTGAATTTTTGTTAGGATCTTTAGTGCAGATTATGACAGCCGTCTAGTGGATCTTTGGAGGAGGTTTCCAGATAGGTGGTACCAGTACGTCAGTGAAAATTCCTCGCTGTCAGAAGGCTGCGACGGAAAATTCTAATTGTTCCTTATGTAGTTATAATGGATCTGTCATCGTCAATGCATCCATTACCCTGAACGTACCTGCAGTGTACGTGAGCATAAATTACCGGTGAGCCTCAGACTGTATGCGAGTTTCCTGTCAACATGTGTTTGACCGAGGACCATTCAGCTTGACAGGTGAGTGGTCTGGAATCGAGATACGATCATGATGATTGACTAAAGACTGTCAGCTTTTGGATTCCTTGCCTCTCAAGAAGTCAAAGACGCGGGAGTAGGAAACCTCGGACTGCAAGATCGTGAGTGTAATGCGATGTATTTGTGCCAGAGTCCTCATGCAACATCGAATTACAGAGCGACAGGCAATGCGATGGGTCCAAAAGTATATCAGTGCTTTCGGTGGTGATCCCACGAAGGTCACTATGTATGTCGTGTCCTCTCATCACACAAGGATACTAATGACATCACTTCAGTTGGGGCCAAAGCTCCGGCTCCATGTCTGTTGCCCTTCATATGGTCACCAACGGGGGAAACACCGAGGGACTGTTTCGCGCTGCATTCATGGAAAGTGGATCGCCACTTCCAGTCGGCGATATCACTCACGGACAGGGTTACTACGACTTTCTTGTGGACCAAACCGGATGCGCGAACTCTTCAGACACGCTGCAATGTCTGCGAGAGGTTCCCTATAGCGCACTCATGGACGCCATCAACCAGACACCAAATATCTTTTCGTACCCGGTAAGTAAGCTCATGGAAAGTAACACACGACACTGACCTCGGTATGCAGGGCATGTTCCTCATCTGGTTACCTCGAGTGGATGGAGTCTTTTTGACGGCCGATCCACAAGACCTAGTCTTGCAAGGTTCAGTCGCGGATATCCCTTTTATCACAGGGGATTGTGATGACGAAGGAACGCTGTTTTCATTCTCTAGCCTCAATGTCACGTCAGCCTACCGTTATTTCATTCTAATTCACGCTAATCTCCTCAATTTACAGCACGGACTCTCAGTTCGAAGAGTATATTCAGTACTGGTTCCCCGATGCTCCGTCCGCTACAATACAGCAGTTGATGGAGTATTACCCTGGAAATATTACTCAAGGCTCCCCATTTGATACGGGAGATTTAAACGCCTTGACTCCGCAGTTCAAGCGCGTTGCAGCATTCCAGGGTGACATGTCATTCCACGCCCGCCGCCGCTTTTTCCTGGAACAACGCTCCAGCAACCAGAACACTTGGGCATTCCGTGAGTTATATTTGACACCTTCCGCGTAATTTCTTACGTCCTATAAAGTGAGCAAGCGTTTGAAGACGGTTCCTTACTTGGGATCGGTGAGTTGTGGTGGAACGCTCGCTTCTATTTTGTGACGTTGACGTGCTTCGTATCCCAGTTCCACGCATCTGATCTACTCAATATTTACACTGGAGGCGACGTGGTGTCACGTCTCGTTCGCTTTGTGGCTAACCTAGACCCGAATGGTGTAGGAGACCTTGAGTGGCCAATGTGGACTTCATACTCACCAAACCTCCTTACTTTCCTTGACGGCTCGGTCCCTCAGGAGATTACGCAGGATACATACCGTGCTGAGGCAATAGCCTGCATGATTAAATTGGGCCTGGAATACCCAATTTGAAAGGGTACCTTCCATCGTATCAATTATTTTGAAACGAAGATGATCAGTGACGTCTCTATATGATAATCGGTGTAGGCGAAATACATTGAGGTATAATGGAGGTTATATCTAATGTGGATCGATGGATTGCTCTACACGTGCTGTCTGATAGAGACTTTAGCTGTATTCTGCTCATGTAACTGATTATATCATACAACTCTGCACACAAAGAAGTTGCTCGAAATGAGTGGTACAAGATAACCGTGTAGTTTAGCTCACTGGTGATGTGCCCCCAAGTAAGACGAAAAAAGAGAAAGATAGACGGGTCTTTCACCATATACGCCTTACACTCCATTTCGGAAAACATCTACAAGTCCTAAATGGATGTGAGAACGTGGTGAAATATTGCAAGGGAAGACAGCAGAGGAGCTAAAACGATGAAACTGTTAGTGACGGAAGGATGAAAAGACACAAGGAAACCAAGTACTGAGTGAGTCCTGTCGTGAATTCGGGGGTGAAGTCGATCACATTGCCCTGGTCATCTTTGGCGGAAGAAAAATCCACCGTAGCCAACATGGTCGCAATAGCAGACCATATAGGGGCATTAGCAATATACCGGCCTAATTAAAGAGTGTATTGGCTCATATGGCAATGAAATCACTTAACCCACCTAGACATCCACGCCGACCTAAGTCGGAGATGTATCCCGCAGGGTCGTCGTCCGTCAACGCGCCGTTGACATCGATGAACCGCTCTGGCATAAAGCAAGATGCATTAGGGTACCGCTTTTCGTCCCACCTGTAAGATAAGGTCAACATCTCGAAAGCCGAGGAGAAGCTATCTGACCATCTAAACTGGGACAACTTACTGCTTATACAGTAATAAATGGATGGCGGTTCGACAGCGGACAAGTCGAAATTCTGTGGCTCCAGGTGTTCGAAAAAGTAACCGCTTCGTTCATCCCGATGCTCCCTTTGTGACTAGCCACTCCATGTATCCCATTCGTCCCCTACCGGATCGCTCCCACCGGACGAGCGATCATCCTTTGAGTACTTTATTGGACAAACTCGTAATCATCCAAGACCGAACGACAGAAGGTGAGGTAACTATATTCGTCAAGTTGATGCGGGAGATGCAGGTGGAGTGAATGCAGGCGAGTAGCTGAATTTAAATTCCCGATCCTCGAGAAGACTAGGAAATGTGTGGACGTAGAGAGTGCCCCCTTCTGGACACAAGAAGGGTTCAACGTGCAATATCTTCTTACCTTCGTCCAGTGATGATCCCAGGGTGATATAGCATCCGTCATTCACCCCACCTGGCTTCTGGGGTGAGATGACAAACAGGAGTTGACTTTTATCGTCGGATCCAATGTCGCTTCGCGAAATACGCAGTACTAGAAAAGAGCGAGTTGTCAAGGAAGTGGCTTTTTCGACCCAATAATACGATGTCCAAGAAGTCGAACGCCCTTGGGGAATGAATTTTGCAATGACAAAAGAGTGAAGCATTTGACGGAATAACGGAGTCCTAGGATGAGAATTATGACCGGAGATCGTATCTCCCCTATTCCAGGTTTCCAATCTATACGACCTGTTTTTTACTCGAGTATGATGCATGATGCACACACTCTGTACGATTTGTCAACAAGTACTAGCCATGAACCGCCTCCAGATGCGCCGATGTATCCTCACTCATAACCGAGTCGAGTCTGATATGAGGTCCGCCGGGCCCAAAATGTTAACTTTGCTCCTCAAACCCAGTTCCGTGTGGGCTTTGATTGTGACCAAGTACTGCCATGCTGGGCTACTTTTGCGCTAAGGTGGACGCCGACGAATGACGAGTCGGCTGAGCTTTCCAAGTTCAAACTTATTACCGGCGTAAACCGGAATGTCCCAGCGCTCAAGCGCCCAACTTGGCGCTCATGCGACGAATTTAAGTATTACTTAAGTAAGTACTGTTCGGTAGAATTAGTGTACGTCCCAAACGCCATGCTGTTCGCGAAGAACGTTCAACGTACCCAAGTGTCAATCGAGTGAGTGCGAGTGCGAGAGTTGGGATTAGTGGAGTATTATAATCTACATATCTAGTTGTATCTCCGCTAACAATCTAATCCGCACGTCTGACAACATCCTCACAGCGGAGACATAGATCATGATTCTCTTCACGTGTATACGTCCAGCACCGCGGGCACTTACTGGAGGATACGGGTCTCACGCGAATCGCCAGCTCCAAGTCCGAGTCTGTCCAGAAGAAATAAGGTAAATACCAGGCGCAGGTTTCATAAATCATACCGGGTATGTCCATTGAAGAGATATAAGACCATGCAAATGAACTGGTGCCGAGAGAGCCTTCGTCTGTGATGTTGGCATCAGAGACGATGAAAAGGGTCTTCAGAAACGTCTCTGCGAGCAATACCGTTGAGCCACGAAAAAGGGAAGACTGAAGTGCTCACCTTCGCGTTCAATCAACTGTAGAAAGTACGGTTGCACAGATATATCATTGGGCAAGATGATATCAACTTCAGCTTCGAGAGAGCTCTTCAGATGTCTACAACAAAGCACGCTCAAGCTATATCAACACAAAAAGAATAGAGCACTTACTTGTCTCCTCGAGCCTTTTCCAACAAAGATAACACGACGCTGCGCATCCTCAGCAAACTAGCCATGTCTTGTTCAGCTTGAGGGTCATTCCACTCGGCGCTCTACGTTGTTCAAGAGAATGTCAGGGAAAGTCCATGCAGCTCCGACAACAACACTCACGACGGGAGCCCACTTCTTCGTAAATACAGATAGCTGGGACACAGTTTCATCACCGTCATGAAGAGTATTGTGGATTTCCTCCGCCAAATAAGGGAGCACTGGGGCCATTACGGGCGTCATAGAGTCGAGGACCTAGTAGTAACATTAGTTAACTGTAAACACAAGTACATCTCGCTGAATTGCTCTCACTCTGGCTAGGGTAGTCACAACCGCTCGCCTCTCGACACTTTGTATATCATTGGCGTAGAGGCAGTCCTTCGTGATGTCAAAGTAGAGCGATGACAAAGTGATGTTCGCAAAGTTGGTCAGGGAATTCATGACTATTCAAGAGTATGAAGCTTTAAATTCCGTGAACGAGATGAGTTCTCACCTTTCGGGAAATTGAAGTTTGCATATCCCTCTGCAGCAGTCTGGTCAAGCTTGTACAGCTCGTTCATCACAAAGCGCTCTGCCTGTGACAGCAATCAGATTTAGCATGAGATATCTATTGAATGCGTGGACTGACCAAGCCTAGTTCGTTGTGTTCTACCGGAACGAAGTGTTTCCGCTGAGCGGTTGTACCAATATTCCCAAGAATAAACCGAGCAGAGTTACGTATCCTCCTCATGGATTCCGCACACTGGGCAAGAACCGTAGGTCCAATGGACATATCTCGCCAGTACTCAACAGTTGCAACCCATAAACGAAGGACATCGGTACCATACACAGGTTCCTTCTTCTTATCCTATCAACCGCAAACTTCAGCAAACCGTATATACAAAATGGCGATGACCAACCTTGCCACCGTGGATGATGGTCATGGGGCTGACGATGTTCCCGAGGGATTTGCTCATTTTCTTACCCGACTCATCGAGCACCATACCATGCGTAATCAGCGTTCCGTACGGGCTCACCGGCCTTGCATCACTTTGTCCGGAGCCAACGCCCACTGATGTTAACAACTGGCTCTGGAACCACCCGCGATGCTGATCTGTGCCCTCGAGACATACATCTGCGCGATGTTTTCTCCCGCCCGTGGGAGCGCTCAGCGTACTCCAATTCGACCCGCTATCAAACCAGACGTCCATTGTGTCCGTGCCTTTGCGCCAAGCCTCAGGCCCTCCTTCGAACTGGGCCAGTAACTCTGGGGTGAGGAAGTCTTCGACTGGAGCTTCCCACCAATGAGCCACACCTCGCTCAGATAAGACACGTAGAATGTGAGTGAGTGATTCGGATGTGAGGACGGCGGTATCCGTTGGGGTGTGGTATAAAGCCGGGATTGGGACACCCCATACTCGCTGACGAGAGATGCACCATTCGGAACGCGAACGAACGAACGACTCGAGTCGATTGCGAGCTGTGATCAAACAAACTCAATGTATAATCCCAAGGAAAGAAGGGAAACATACACGATGGCGGATAAAACTGGACATCCTTGAGTGCGTTAAGTGCATCATCCTTGATGCCATCCAGGTTAGCAAACCATTGTGAGGTGGCCCTGTTGGTCCATGTAAGCGTTGAAGTGAACCACCTTCCGACAAGTGCCACTCACGTTACAATGATAGGCTCGCCAGTTTTCCAATCATATGGATAACGATGCTTGATCCTCTGCACTTTCAGAAGGTGCCCGGTGGACTCCAGTAGCTTGACAATAGCTTTACCTCCACCCTTGAGAACCTCTTGTCCCACCAGTGTTTGCGCAGCTTCTTCGCCTACGACATGGGCAACATCAGGAGAAAATTTACCGGCGTCGTCAACATGACAAACGATATCCGTGGAGCCTTGCAGAAGACCAAGCGCTCGGAATGCCAGGTAATCCTCTGCGCCATGTGCAGGGGCACAATGCACCAGACCAGATCCAGACTCCGATGTGACATGAGATGCTGCAATGATCTGGGCGCGCATTGATGCTGAAGGATGGATCGGGGAGAAGACTGAGCGGAATCGCCCACCCACCAGATCTGTGCCCTTGATTTCAGCAATAACCTCGTAGGATCCGATGACATGTTCCAACGCGGCAAGGCGATCTTTAGCAACGACGAGGGCATCCTCCTTGACAGATGAGCGCACGAGACTGTAAGTCAATTCGGGATGAACAGCAATGCCCTATCGAAGGATGTCTGTGAGCATGCTCGAATAGAAAGGAAATTGTTCATACCATGTTTGCTGTGAGGGTCCAAGGTGTAGTTGTCCAAACTAACAGGTTTGCCGAAGGTGCCTTGGCTAAGGCTTCTCGGAGAGCAGTGCTTTTGATTTCAGTCTGTGAGTCCAACGGAAAGGTCACATAGACTGAATGCGAAACATGTTCATCATTATAGACAAGCTCTGCTTCCGCAAGAGCGGAATGCGATGAGGGAGAGTAATGTACCGGTCGGTAGTGCCGGTAAATAAGACCTACGTGGTATACGAAACATTGAATAAACCTGGATGTCAGGAGACAAAACAACACGCACCTTGCTCAACCATTCGTTGAAATACCTGAAGCTGACGAATTTCATAGTCGTGGTCTTCAGGAAGAGGTCTGTCAGTCCGAACGTAGCCATAAATATCCAGTCGTACCAAGTGTGCGGAAAGTCGTTTCTGAACTCCAATCAGCCATTATGCAAAACTGCTCGAATTCTTCCTGCTGCGTCTTCATTTCACGCTCTGCTGTCTCTTTGGCTGCTGCACGTATGACATTTGGGGGCAATGAGAGGGCATCTTTCTAGATTTCATACTTATTCGACGCGAGACTCTAGGAGGAACAGACGACGCGCCTTTAACTCTTGTAGAGCCTTATTTTCGATGGGAAGACCATGGCAGTCCCAGCCAGGGTGATAGCTTCGACGAATGAGCGATACTAATTGACAATAAGAAGACAACTCACTGTACTCGATGACCTGTCAAGACATGGTACCTGTTGATGATGTCTTTTATAATTTTATTTAAAGCATGTCCTGGAAATAAGGTGTTGATATGGCAATCTGTATATATTGCTGCACGTACCCATGTGAAGGTGGCCATTTGCATAAGGAGGGCCATCGAGCAGAACAAAGAGCGGTCCGTCCACGTTCTGAGCCTACATACCCGCTGCGTCTGAATCCCAACAGGAAGTAGTGATGACTGTGAGCAACTCACCTGCCGTCGATACAGCTCTTCGCAAGTCTTCCTTTTGAACAACGACTCGGATTTTGCTGAGTCTACCCAGAGCGGAAATGAAGTTTTGGGTAAGAGGAGAGTCTTTGAATAGGCTTTGGAGTCTTCGCTAACATTCTTCAAAGATTGTGAGACATGGCAAGTAGAGAATCCGCGACTTCTGGATAAGTTGAACAGACGGTGGCGAACTGGCCTCGTGGCGATTGGTCCAACCACCAGACACATGAAGCTAGGACCGCCGGTCACTTCAAACATCGGAAAAATAATGGTAAACCCTAACCCTACAACGAGTCTCCAAGGCTGGAAGCAGTTACATAAACTTGACCTTGCGTCCAAGCTTTCTGGACAACGATGATCATGATCAAAAAGAAAATACTTAAAAAGTCTGAATCTGAGTGCTCTGAGTGCTCATATTATCCGATCTCTTGAGCGTCCAGAACCCTGCAGCATTGCTTCGTTGATATCCGCCTATTATTGACTGCGAACATGGCAGGTCTTCTTGATTGTCAATGCATCCGGCGTCGGCTCCGAGCTCGTCTTAATCCATCATTTTGTGGGATGCATCATGCTGGTGCGTTGCTTGCATTTTTGTGTTGGGACTGTAAATCCTATGTTCAGTCAGCTTCCTTCCCCTTTGTGATGAACAAGCTCTGTTGTGAGTTCACATTCCACAGCGGAGTTGTTTTCTGGGACAAGTCGTCTCGCCCTTTATGATGTGGTGTACGTACAGGGTTACCATGTTAGCGCACTGCAGCTCGTCTTTGAGCGCTAATATCGCTTTAAAACTCCTGAACTTGATGGTCTCATGTTCCGCATGCCATCATGAGCTACCTTATACGTTTGCTTATTTTATCTGAAATTTTCTTCTCGTCACCCTCCGCCTCTGCAGTATCTGTTCTCAGTTTTCCCTTGACCAAAGTTGATATCAGACCCACTGACTCGAGAGGCTCGTACGATGTTGTGTCGACTTTAAAGCGCGGCGCTTTCACGAACGTCTCTGTTACCAACATGGGCTACTCTCAGTATGTCATGAACGTCGGTGTCGGGGATCCTCCAACGTATTATTCGCTAGTGGTCGACACAGGCAGCTCTATAACATTCGTCGGGTATCTATGTGCTCAATTGGTCAAGTTAAGTAAGCGGTAGACTAAACATCCCCACAGGAGAAGCAAACCGTACAACAAAACGTCTACTAGTATTGCGACGGGCCAGAACGTGGAGGTGACTTATGGTCTGGGATATCTGGCTGGACCAGAGTGTGCGGTCTTTCCCATTTTTCTCGGAGCATTGTCTAATTGGAGCATGGTATCGCAGACTACGATACGGTTACACTGGCACCCGATATTGTCATCACCAACCAGTCTATCGGGAACGTAGTCGCCTATACTGACTGGCCTGGTGTAGATGGCGTTTTGGGAGTCGGTCCAGTTAACCTTACTGTGGGGTCGTTGTCTCCAAATATCACATCAATTGTCCCTACCGTTATGGACAACGCCCGACTACAGGGTTTGATTCAGCAACAGATTATGAGTGTATCGTTCGCTCCAGCATCCACTGACAATGACACAAGTGAGGACAGTCCCTCTTTTCAGTATGATATCAATTCCAAATCATTTCTCAGACGGAGTCGTCATGTTTGGAGGCGTCGATTCATCATTAGTAAGTCGACAGGGTTTCTTGTTCAATGTCGTTCACTATTTGATGTTATCTAGTTCGTTGGTAATATTACATATGTCCCTGTCACAAGCACCTATCCCGCAGCGTTGTCTTGGGGGATCAATGTAACGAGTTGCTTTTACGGCGAAACGATTATTTTTTTGACTTCGACTGCTGGAACTGTTGATACTGGAAATTCACGTATGTCCTTCCCATGCAAGCAAACTTATGATTTGTCTAAAGCCTACTCCCTCTAGTCGTAGCGCTTGCTGATGACTTTTTTGCCACATACATGGCTGCCATTCCTGGTTCGTATTATGACAACCAGTCATCATTCATTGTTATCCCGTCATCATCAATCGGGAACATGCAACCGCTGAACCTTACGATTGGCGGTGCTGTGTTTACAATGGACGTTGCTGCGCAGCTTGTCCCAATTGGCCAGGACTCTGCTTGGGATGGAAATCCTGGAGTACAGTATGGTACGGTCGGACCCTTGGGACGCCAAAGCGGCCAGGGCTGGGATTTCGTCCTCGGTCAGAAGTTTCTAGAAAGATATTACGCCGTCAGTAATTTTTCGGACATTTCTGCTCGGTCAGACCTGATGCTCTATGTAGGTCTTTGATGGCGAAAAGAACCGTGTGGGTTTAGCATATACGTGAGTGTTGTTGAGTCCGTGTATTACGTCCAAAGTGATCAGGCTGTTCTTAGAAACTACTCCACATCACCTCCGCCCGAAACTTCAAGCGCTTCATCAAATACATTTGGATTCTCTCTACTAGCATTACTATCAATAATTACCCAAGCCTATACCCTGCAACTCATGTTTTGATTTTAACATATCTGGAGGCACGTACATTCACTAGGACTTATATATATAGCATGTATATAGCGTATGTAATCAATACATCGACATGGTAGCGTGTGCACACCGTCCATCCAAAGCACCGACGCAGGATATACTTACTACTGCGACCTGGTCGTTGTTTACCAAGCAATACTATCATTGAAAGCAGTGCCGATGGCGCAGAACTCCAGAAGGGGGTAGCTATACACTGGAGAAGTTGACAGATATTATGTTGCACAGTAGTATAAGTGAAATAGTAATGCCCTGTAAATGATTTACGCTCAACCCCATCACGTACTCACCTCAGGCTCCTGCATGGTATCGCGTCTGTCAGCAAATTCCAAAGATGTCATCTCGTCCGTCGGTGAATTACTCCGTCCGCCGACAGTTTTCCAGAGATGAATTTGCATTCGGGTAGCAAGTAACGCTTGTAGGATGACCTGTGTTCTGAGAGAAGCGCAGTCAAATTTGTAGTAGAGTCAACCTCAAGGAGCGTCTTACACTTCTATCATCGCACGATCCTAATTGTGGTCAATGGTCAATGCTGACCACCAGTTCATTAAAAAGACCCTTACATTGATTGCCATTACTCCGACCGCACTTATCATGTTGATGGCGTTCAATGCTAAAGAAGTCCATTAGATCGTGTCCATCAGCAGTATCCTGCGAAATGCACCAAGACAAGCGGCGAAATATCCAACATTGTGCTGCACAAATAAAACTGCTAGTGTTCCTTCACTTGCACGGTACATTTTGAACGCCTTATAAACAGAAAGCACGAAAACTTCTGATAATGCAAGGAAGACCGAGTCACCGTGCAGTTGGAATGCAGTAGGTATGTAACTTGCCTATCTCTAGTGCGACCAGAAGTATATACCCTGCCATCAGAGGCTGTTGCGTATATGCCGGTAACTCACAGCCTCCGACTGTTAGCATAACATTTTTGGTTTAGTTTGGCGAAGCAACATCGCTCGGGCTGAACTCACACGTCTCAATAGCGACTCCATATAGTGCGTCGCAACTGAATGCCCCTGCAAGAACTATCTGGGGCCTATGTCAGCAGGACGATAATGCAGATGGTGACAAACACACCAGGTAGCTCCCAGTCAGAAAGTAAAGGATCCGTCTCGTTCGACCCCACAACACATATGCTCGAATGATAAATATAGCTAGCATTCTCTGTGAGACAGGATTAAATGGAATTTAGTATGGGGGTCTCACACTCAGCACACACGAGCGCCATAATAAGCATCCCTAGATAATGAGGTTTCAAGCGGAAGTACTTCAGCGCCGGTCATAAGAATACGAAATAGCACATACAGAGATCAATCTGATCAATGATCGTGCATTCCTGAACGAATTCTACAATAGGCATGTAGAATATTGACGCTGACTCACCATTTTATCGAGTTTCTCCATGATAGGGATGAAAACAACTGCAGAGGTTGTCGTGAATACACCGCGGCCATGAAGAGATGAATTGACTTGCTCGGGATTCGGACGCAGCATGTGATAAGGGAGGGTGCACGGCATAACACGTATAATACTTTTGTGAACGACATTTTTTGGCTTGCCCAATAGTCAATCTGGATGCCATTAACAAGTCAGCCTCCCACACTTGTTCCAAATTGATAGAGCCTGCCTCGTTGCTAAGATGGGTCAGAAAGTCATAAACCTGTACTTTTGTGATAAGAATATCACAGATACGTTGCACAATATCTCGCGCACCAAGACCACCATTGTGGCAACTGGATCAGGAGATCATGGGGGTTCTTTGTTCATAGAGGTGATCTACTCACGAAAGATATACTCCAGATCAGATGAAATAAGTCCCGGATTTAGATGCGTATGATAGAAGTACTTACAGTTCCATTGAGAAAACCTATGTACGTTGAAGACGGGAACATAATGGAAGTGCTGGTCATTGTGCAAGGATGCTGATTTACGCATGTCTGGTTGCTGCATCTATTCTTCACCATAGAGACTATGTTGCACTAGTTGACGTGGCACCGGAGCGTCTGGATCATGTGCCACGCAGCAAGTCCTCTTCAAGCGTTTCTAAAATGGGCGCCTGGACGTTTGCATTTCCCCCTTCGTGAAGGGGCGACAACATGCCTTTAAATTGGAATTTTGAGCTGTTGTTATTAGGGTGTGGGGTTGATAACTTGACGATTAAAAAGGGAAGGATGAACCTGTCCATCAAAATGTAGGACGGGGCAGGCCAGGTAAGCGAAACTGACACCGAATCGACCCAGCCAGAATCGAAGGTGGCTCAGTCAACTCCAATTTAGTTGGTATCAGGGGCAATGGTGAAGGTGCAACCTGCAGCCAACTTCCAGACGTACTACTCCTCATCATTATTTTGAGATGGCCTGCACAAATTCTGCAATCAGGTAATCGGGGTAGTAACTGACATTACTAAGTCGACCAACAGGGACAGGAGCTGAGTGCCTCCATGAAACGCTGAGTAATGTTGGCACGTGTTAGAAAGTACACATGATTTGAGGATGCGTACGAAATTTCGTGCCAGACTTGGCGTATCATATCATAGTACCTAGGCGGTTGACCAAATCGGCTTTGGTGTCATACCAATACCATCAGAGAAGAACTTGTTCTCCTTTTCCGGGGTGATGTGCATTGTGTATACAAAGTTCCTTCTCAGTGTCGAACGAGGGTCCATCAAGGAGGCATAGCAAATTTTGTGGAGGGTAGTATCAGAGCCGTTCGAGCCTTACCCGTGCTGCTCTCAGCGGCAGTCTGATCAAGTGCCCTGTGTCTCTTGTCTTGTCGCTTGTGTGATATCTTGCATCTCAATATTCTTGAGCAGAAATTTGGGCGCAGATGTGCTGAACGAGTGAAAGCCCCCACACGCCTACGCCCTCCTCGTTCTCACGCCCACGTTCTCAGCTTGGATTTGTCTAGTTCTTCGTCTTCTTTTTTGCTATCGCCAGATAAGCCGAAAAGACTTTAGTGACTGAGAAGTTCCGCGCCCTCGTAGATTATGTTAGAGTTTGGTTAGAGTCAAGACGTCAAGGGACACTGAGAGGGCAGATCAGACTTTGCTTCGACTATACTACATAGTTCAAGTCCACAGTAAAGTCGCGATTTCGAGAATTTCGAGACCCTCTGGTCAATACTATGATCATGCCTCTTGGTTGCCTCCGAGGATATTGTTTAGGTCAATATGGTTAGAGCAAGCGCTTAACCCGACGCCCCACGTCTTATATATATGTAAGCTCATCTTTGTGAAACATCCACTTGCACTGAAGTCTCGATCAACAATAGGATTTACATACCGTAGTCCCATCTAGTGTTCACTCAAGTCTCATGATACACAACTGCTCCAGCTGGAACTACGGGCATGCCGCACAGGTTGACACGACTTTCCACCCAAAATTCCCTTGCTCCTACGAAAAACATACATCATCTACCTGATGAAGTTCTTTTCATCATTCTCGAGTTCGTCGACGTGCTGGATGTGGTGGTTCTGTACAAGGTGACGTGTCACCTGACATCAGTTCTCTCAGGACACGACTCAACTTGAGATTAGGTGTCAAAATTATTCCACAGGCTTTTGCACGATGAGTGGTATTGGAGAACATCATATAAAAGAAGGCGCATACCCCGTCCCCCTGGACCGTTTGAAGGACAGTCAACAACCTACCTTCGTGAAATCCTCGTACGAAGCGCCAGAGTACAGCACAACTGGCCGCCATTCGCACGGTCGCCAAATCCGACTTCTCGAGTTACATTACAATCTGCGAAGCAGAATCTCAGCATTATCCAAGGACGATGGCTTATCACAGGGGATTCTCCTCTTCTATTGTGCTATGACACTTGTAGCAGCGACCCTGATTGGGATACCTCTCCCCAGGTATTCTACCAGCCACACCTGCAAGCGAATTTCTTTCGCTGTGTTTCGGTGACCGCGGAAGACGGACAAGAGCTGATTTTCGCTGTCAGTGATACGCAGGTTGGAACTGTTCGGCGCAAACTGTGAGTTTTTACACTTGATGAGGATTGGTTTGCAAGTTATCAAAAGAACCTTTGGCAGCAATCTATTTACAATCGAGATAGTTCCTGGCTATGGACCATTTATCTCTGGTCATGTGTTCACGCTCGATCTGCAGCCTCGTTACTCAGGAGTGTGGACTGTCACTACAGGTCCTCGCCTTCTAGTCATTTCTGCCAAGGGTCCTGAGCAGGAAGACCCTCCCGTCATTGTGGATGTCAAGACATTCCAGAGATTTCATGCCGTAATACCTCCGCTTCCTCGAGTAAGTTTTGGGTAGCGAGATCATTGTTTGAATGCTCTAAGTGCTAGATAACCTTCATTGCAGGGTCACCTTGGGATGTTCACATCTTTCATCTCTACTTCATCGCATTTACTCGTGGCACGCCTCCTCAATGGATCGGAGACCTTGCTGCAAGTATTTCCCATTTCCCAGACACAATCAGAGTGGAGCACTGATGACGTGCGAGTGTTGTATCCCTCACATGTCATGAGAACTCCTGAGCTTAGATTTCGTACGTGGCATGTCTTAAGAGGTCCCAAGTACGAGACCTTGACAGCCGGGATACGCATCGCCCTCATGTTGAGTGTCTTCGCGCCAACTTCGGTCGACGTGGCGTCTCTCGATATTGTTGATCTCCTGCTGGACGCTGGAGGGAGCATATCATTCACTTCAGAGATGCTGTGGGCTTTGCCACGCGATGCCACAGTGCTCGCAGATTCCTCACATGACGGCTGCATTCGGGGGTTAATATGCAGCAGGAACGAGAGGCAGTCGATGCCGTTCATGATTGACGACCAGGACAAAAACAGCACAGGCTATGGGCTGTTCATGAGCGACAACAACGACCGCCTGTCTTCCAGGCCAGACCCAGTTTTATTCGATGGGTACAGAGGTGTTTTGTGTTCAGTGGTGGTGACGGAGAGGAGACGTAGTTTCATTGAAGTTATGCGTTTCGGTTAAATTGAGGCCTATGTTACTAGAATTTCATGTTTATATCATATACACCGATCCATGAAGGGACAGCCATATCGAATCCTGGCCCTTCTACTTACTGTGGGCGTGGTGGGAAGAGTACACACGATGAATCCTAACAGAACTTCGTTACGAAGATGGAAGCCAGGCAAGACGCACAGCGACAAATTAGCAATCCCGAAAACCGGGGTTGGTCAGTGATAGCCAGTGCTGCAGGCTTCATCCATGCGTTTACCCCATCAATTTTCCCCGTCTCAGCTGTGCTGTACCATCTCGCCGTTCTCAAGTGGTTTCACAGCACCTAGTAATTCGGAACCCTTCTATCTACTCCTACTCGACTCGATCCTGCAAATTCGAACAAAGAGGGAGAACTACAACTTCAAAATGAATCAGGTATGTTCAACGGATAAGAATTAAAACTGATGATGCACCTTCAAATGCTCATTCGATGTCTGAATCGCTTTCGCAGCTTGCTTCCATTTGCTGCCGAGAGCGGAGCTCCAAAACATCACGCTCGAGACTTGCGATACGGTCCTCCGATGCCTTCATCCGTTTCATATTCTCTTGGGTTGTTGCCCACAGCTCATTGTTCATGTCTGACAGCTCCTCAATCCTGTCTGACAGCCGCTGAACCTCTACAATGAGCTGAGGAAGAGCCGTATGAAGACTCGGGCCTTGATAATCCATCAGCAAGAGGTCATTGTGCCGAAAACTCGACTGAGCCGCCGTCTGTTGATTAAAGGTATTCGGTACTGAATAAACGGCTGATAAGCATCGTGCGAAGTGGTGCCCTTACCACTCTGGATTGCTCTCGGAACTGAATGCCTAGGTGACCGGGTGCGAATTCATCACCGTGCGCAGGCAGCCCGTTGTTTCCGAGGCCAATGAGAGGCGATGGCTGGGGCTGTGAAGCTCTCTGGTTTTGGCCTTCGTAAGCTTCGCCCATGTCTTGCGGCACGTTCTCTTGGCTCATTCGTGCTTGATTGAATACGACGACGACACCGCTTGGTCGTTTCTGGGGCGGGGAGAGGATGATGTGAACGAGGGGGAAAGGCCTGCAGGATGTGGAGAATCCCTAGGATCATACTTCTACCCGCTTCGTGCCCGTGTCGCAATCAAAATCATATCTATTTATACTCAAAACGCGAATCTTCCAATCAGCAACAAAACCGAAGTCTGCTTAAATACCAAGGAAACAAACTCACTTCTGAAAATTTTTCGTGATTCACAGTCGGATTCAAGTAGGATTTGCATCTTGTCCGGCTCGGTGCTGCGCTTTCGCGACTTAGTTGATCGACATCCCCCGGATCTTCGTAGGTGCGCTCTGCATTGTTTTGTGTTATATTGAAGTTATTTCTTTCCAGAATCGTGTAATATGTCCGACGTGCATATATCGTTCGGTATGCTTAAGAGATACTCTACGAAGCTAAGGTCCTATCAACGGTGTTGAACCGGATCACGTAGGACTCTATAGCATTCTACGTCCCGAGCTAGAAAAGCCATGGGCCGACTACCGAATCACGTCAATCTTAGAACGAACATCAAGAATCGAAGCAAACTAACCTCGCCCTCTCGGCCCCTCGGGCTTGATTTGCAAACAACTTTGATGTATGAGATTGAGTGCCTTAGCAGCGTCACGGCTTTCAATCACACATGATATATTGATCTCGCTGGCACCTTGGCTAATCATCTCGATGTTCACATTACCCTGGCCAAGAGAAGTAAACATGCGTCCAGAGATACCAACCAGGTTGCGCATCTGTTGGCCAACAAGGGAGAGGATGGCCATGTCACGATGGACGGACACCTGGGACTCGTGTTAATGGTATATTATCATGGGTATCGGGTACTCACGGTTCCACTCTTTCTTAGTTCCCCCACCAGTCGCTCCATGGTTGTTTTGGACAGATTGTCCTCGATAGCCATACTGACATGCACCTCACTAGTGCTGATGAGGTCTACGACCACTCCAAACCGATCAAGGGTTCCAAATATCCCAGCCAGGAAGCCGTGAGACACGCTCTTTCGATTCGAATTAACGTTGAGCACAACAATGCGTTCTTTGATTGTGACGGCGGTTGGTAGTCGCTTGTTCCTGCGCAATTCGTCGTTGGCCAGAGATTGGTCGAGGAGCGTTGCTATTGGCAGTTCACGGAAACCATTGTCGAGGGGTACCTCAATGTCTGGATCAGGATGAATGACTGTGCCACTTCCCAGGGGGTTCTCCACGTTTTTGATTCTTATTGGAATTTTTCGACGGATAACCTGCAATTTGAGGGTAAGCATAAACTGAGATCACATGAAGGTCCTGCTGACCTGCTCCATCGTGAATGGATGTACGACTTCACTGCCATAATAAGTCAGTTCAGCGGCTTCGTCGGGCGATATAATAGGTATCAATCGTGCCGTCGGCACTTTTCGAGGATCCGCTGTAAATATCCCATCAACCTCCTTCCATATCTGCAATTCTGATGCTTCGAGGCCGACAGCCAGAAGAGCAGAGAGCAAATCTGTGTATCCTCGGCCGACTTGCCGGAGAAGCGAACCCGGTACGGGGCCAAAGAAGCCGGTGACAACGGGTACGCGAGGCATGCATCTTTTGATGCGTTCACCGACAGCGGTGGTCACGCTGTCATAAAAGGCCTGATCGAGGGAGCCTTCCGGGACACTGTCGCCATCCTCGGATACAGGGATGATGTCTTCTAGTGATACATACTCCGCGTCGATCCCCTGTAGACTACAGATCGGTCTCATGGAAGTAATAATGATACCAAAACCTACTCGGTCGCGGAGAACGGCTGTCATCAGTTTACAACCCAATCGCTCGCCAAAACCTATAATGCTATCCCGCGAACGTGGTGATATTTCATCGATCACCTGGTAACCACAGACACACCCACGTTAGGTTAGAAATTGAGCGGCAGCGCAGTCAAATGAAAACGAACGCACCTGAGCGGCAAACAAGAAACTACGTAGCCAGTCGCAGTCTTGATCTATTTCAGCCTCGAGTTCTTGGAGAATCTCTGGATTTTTGATCGATGCTTTAGCAGCACTCATATGCTCCGACCGTATCAGGTCTACGGTGACATTGAATTCCGGTTGAATCTGACCCGTCTGGGGTGCTATCAATTGTATCAATGCACCCGTGGCCGGAGACGAAGGGGATGACGAAGAACTGCGCATCGGAGGGGTGGTGGGGGCAGTTCCTGATAAACTTCCGAAGATACTATTTGTCGACGGAGTCGTGGTACCAATACCATTGAAGAACTTGTGTCGTTGCCGTGCCTCTGAGGCTGCTTTGAGCAGGAGATTAGTGGTTCCCAGAGCTTTGGCGGATCCAGATCGCGCAGAGCAGACGACAGCTATTTTGTGCTGGTCAATATAGCTCCTAGTAAAAGGCCAAGTCGAGATATCCGAAAGTGCAGCATAACGATGACTTACGACACAATATCTCGAGCAATATTGACTGCAAATTTGCCCACACTAGTACCTCCAAACTTCTGGACTATCCATTTCGCTTCTTGATCGGTGTTGTTCTGAAGCAACGCTAGGGGATGCGTAGATGAAGAGGAGGAAGGGAGAGTGACCAGATCTAATTCTAATCCCGGCATCACACGTCAACCCCGAGATAGTCTACGACCACGCGGTGCGAGCACAAGTATAGACCGCTCGAGAGGATGAACACAACAAGCCAAAGATGAAACGTTTCCAGATCCTGGTTATATGGACGATGCCAACGTACAGTTACTTGCTGGCAAAATTTCTCCGTTGAGAAACCAATTTTGCAATTGACTCATTGCACTTGGACCCCTGTCACCCGAGGCTATCAGCCATTATACTGGCAGAACGGCCGCCTTTCAAGTTGTTTTAAATGAAGTACATTCCGTCGTTCAATAATACTTGTACTAGAAGACTATAAGCCTATGAATATGATGACGACAAACGCGATACTTGTACATGCTGTATACTACATACGTTACTTAGTAAGTCCAAAATCACCACTTCAAATTAATGCCAATCCTCTTTCACCATGACATTGCCTGTGCACATCGACATGTCAGGAGGAGGCGCCCTTGTGATCCGATGCAGCTTGACTCAATAGTGGCTTGTACCGTGGAGCCAGTACGGTCTTCCCAACGGCCAATGCAGGTCAAGACTCGCTTAATTTTAAGCCAAGAAAGGGTCGGCCATTCGCGGCGCAGCAAGCACGGCAGAGCAGTCAGTGTAACGTATCACTAGGTCATTCTAAGAATGTTCTGTTTCACCTAATCCGAGGCGCCAGGAACTATATGAAGATAAATGAAGTTGTGTCCCTGGCGCGATGGTTAGCGATAAGCTCAGAAGGAATGATTCGAATCGAGGTGTGTTTCATGTTACTTACCTAAATTTCCGATCTAAGTACGATGGCACTGCCTCACTGGCTGTTGCTACTAGTCAAAAACAGTATGAAGCCTTGTGAAGCCTGCCCACAGCTGCCCACACGATACAGCTATTTCTGGTCAGTCATTTCTGGAACGTCGAAAATTTCGCCAACATATTAGATAACCGCCAGCAGGATGTTGAAGAACGGAAAGAACTAATCGCGGGAGGGGTGCTCGATCTAAGTTGGGCCTTAGAAGCCCTGAATGTTTGAAGTCATGAATCAGAGTTGTACCTGAGAATGATGCCATGGCTGAAGCAATTCAATTGTAGGGCCCAGAAAATAAGGGCTGGGATCTTATATATAAGGTCCAGAGGTACGTCAGGTCTGATTCGAAAGAGCGAACAATCACACTGATCACAAGATGACGGAGCGATGGATCGCCATCGAAAACAATGACAATCAGGACTTGCGCCCTGATAACGTGGAGACCCCCTCGAGGCCCGGACAGCCAAGGTTATTTAATTTGGAATCTCAGAGAATTCCGGTCCGGGATGTGGGGAGAACTGCCCGATGGGTCATAGCAGATCATGGCCTGCTGGACCGGCGGAGATGAGGAGCATGGATGCTGTTTAATGCTGCGGGACCTAAAGCATTGGATATGCCTTTTACGAGGCACGGGATAGTTCATTACCATCCATATCTCATGACTTTGCTTTTGAGCGGTAATCCGACCAAAAAGGGAGTGTTCAAGCGCTCTTACGACGTTGCGGTAGCTTTCAGGGAGGACTCCTATCGAAAGAGTGAGAAGAAACTAGTTAGCTTTACCCACGTTCAGGAACCGGAGAAACAAGGAGCCTCCCTCACCGAGTAAGGTTCTTACAGAGCGGACAATGTGAGATTGCCGTTCAGCTTTCAGCCTTTGACGTCGTGGCACCTTTATACGACAAGGCCCCCTTGGCATGATGGCATTGAAGGAGGTGCCGATAACAGGATGTCAGGGTATGCTAGTTGGGCACCCAATAGTGCACGAGTTGCCTTGTGCAAGGTATGTGCCTTGAAGTATCTGCCTCGCGTTCGGAGACAAACCTATTCCTGGAGGATGATCAGGTACTAAAAGCTCTGCAAAAGCCGCAGTCCTATCAGAAAGTACTCACGAATTGGGAGGATACAGCATATTCAGTTGAGCCGTATGGATTTGCAAGTGGATGGGGGAGAGTCACAGTCGGATGGATCAGCATGATACGATAACGGTAGTGGCAAGTGACTAGTGAGAATCGGATATGAAAGAGCAGGAAAAGGCATGGCCGTGATGCGTTGATGGTAATGCCGCGATAGTCAAGAGCTCAGGGAACCTGCAAGGAACCTGTTACTAGTAGCTGATACGGTTGTTCACGTGTAACATCAAAGCTGAGAAACAGGTACAAAGCTGGTATTTGTCTGGTCCGGTGATTTCTCGATTGGTAGACTATAATAATCCACAGAAGGTACCAACTGCTGGCAAAAGGAGTATGTCCGGCGTCAACCTCCGCCAAGGGTTATAATTTCCAGTACGTCTTGTGCCTGGCAAATTACTGCATTGCTGCCGGACCCAGCTTGCCCAGAGAAACCCTCTTGTTACCACCTTTCATCACTCGCTTTCGTACTCTGGCATCCCTCGGTTTCGTACCAGTTCGCCATGTCTGGGGCAGCCATAAAATCTGCGCATGACTTCGACCCTTTAGACGAAGCTCTCAGGCCACCAATAAACGAGACAGAGGAGGATCGTGTTATCAGACAAGCTCAAGAAGCAGAGGCACGCAGGGTGAGCCAGGCAATAGACGATTCAATAAGAGCGGAGAAGCAGGCGCAGAAGAAGAAGGGTATCGTCAGGCTCTTATTGTTGGGTCAAAGTGAATCTGGTATGTCCGACCTGGTCAATGTCATTTACATTCACTTCAACAATTGGGCGGTAGGTAAATCAACAACACTAAGACGTGCGTCTGAATAGCTCCACCACGGTGGGTGTTTGTCGAGAAACTGAGTAATTCTCCTTAGACTTCCAAAAACTATACACTCCCACTGCCTTTCATGAAGAGCGCATACTCTGGCGCAGCGTCATACAGCTGAACATTGTGCGGTCTGTCCGTACAATCCTCGACGCTTTATCCGACCTTCGACTCCCTCACCTTGATAGTGGAGGTGAAGACAGCGATGACAGCGGAGCCAATTTACCCCAGGAGCTCGAGATGTTACAGATGCGCCTCACTCCATTGCGCCATATTGAGGCGCTACTCATTGCAAAGCTAATACCTCCAAGCGAAGATGAGGCCACTTCTATCATCGGAAGCAGTGCTATAAGCGCATACCACTCTCATCGCAGCCGGAGTAGTGAGCATTCACGGACTCAAGAAGTCTTTGTACGCCCTGGAGCCACATGGAAGGGAGCGCTAGCGAAGACTACTCGTACTCGACCAATCTCATTAGGGAATACGGGCATGCAAACCCGAGACGAAGCTCAAGAAGTTATCCATTCGTGCAGTTATGACATCATGGTTCTCTGGAATGACAGGCTTGTTCGGGAAGTATTGCGACGAAGAAAAATTCGCCTCGAAGAATCCTCCGGCTTGTAAGCATTCAGTCTCATCTCAGGTCCAGTGCTGCTTGAAACATTGTCGTTCTAGCTTCCTCAACGACTTGGACCGAGTCACAGCCCTAAATTACACCCCAAGCGATGGTGAAATACTCTCATGTTTGGCAATGAAGGGACCTGAGTTGACCGTTGATATAGACGATGTACTCCGAGCGCGCCTGAAGACAGTTGGCGTCTCGGAGTATCGGTGTGAAATGGAAGCCGTGGCTGGACGTGAAAGTGGTACTGAATGGAGGATAGTTGACGTTGGCGGTTCCCGGTCGCAGGTACGTACTCTTTGCTTCTCTCATCTCACGCTCAGTCTTCCGACATGTGCTACCCTTCAGAGAGGTGAGAAGTTTATTGGTATTCATTGTTATCTGATACTGAATCCCTTCTTTTTAGCAACATGGGTACCTTTCTTTGATGACGGTTCGTCCTCAGCTTTCTTCACTTGCAGTCTGCTTAATACCTATGACACCTAGTCGACGCCATCATCTTCCTCGCGCCAATATCTAGTTTTGATCAAGTTCTTGCTGAGGATCGCAGCGTGAACCGACTTGTCAGTCACCTGTCATGATATCATTCTTCTTTGAGCTTACTATTTCTGTACAGGAGGACAGCGTGCTATTATGGAAAGCTGTTTGTTCGAACAAACTGCTCGCGAACGTTGATCTTGTTCTGTTCCTGAACAAGTGCGACATACTTGATTCGAAACTCGCGTCAGGAATAAGGTTATCGAAATACGTTCGCAGCTACGGGGACCGTCCTAACGATATGGAGACAGCCTCAAAATGTTAGCCGAACATCTTTACTCGACTCAGCCACTGATCCTTGTTCGCAGACTTCCGAAGCAAGTTTAGCGCGATACATCGAGAATATTCACCGCTCCCACGGAAATTTTATGGATTTTGTACGACTGTTACAGTATGCACATTCATCTTCATTCTATCCATGGTTCCTAAATTTGGCTCTATAACGCAGGACACGACTACGACTGCTGGTATTCTTGCTAGTGGTAAGTCCGGCGTGGTGCTTCCAATCATATTTGCTGACATCACGATGACACTAGTGCGAGACATGGTTGTACGCAGGCACCTCAAGCAATCTAGGCTGCTATAGTAGCATTCATTGGCTTGATCCTAACGACCAGGCTTCTAGAAGAGTCGCCTGAGGCAACTGTTGCCGTGTCCTCTGTTTGCTACCTGCTACCTGCCTCTACGCTTGAAACCACATCACACACATTCCATCCCAATACCCAGATACGCCGCAACATGGCCATCCCCCTTTGCTAACGAAACAGTACCGGCATTTACGCCTATCCACGATTCACGACATTATCTCTTCCCTCCCTCCATCATTTTGCCTGCTCTGGAAGGAGCAGCATCTAGTTTTCACAGCAGCTGTAGCACATAGTTCAGGAGATCCCGCTATCCACTCATCTCACTTTATTTCTGTCCTCGATTTACGTGTTTATCCATTGGTTAGTCCTACTGCACTCATGTTCTCTGGATTTTCAAGGCACCTGTGGATCTGCCCCATAGTTACCACGCATTCGGCATACCTGTTTACTTCGCGGGGGCGAGCGCGTATATGCTCATTCTGTACTGTAAAATTGTACAACTGATGTGCTACCACTCCTCATATACATAACTGTTAAACGTTAAACCTGAATCCCTGCGCGTGGACAACCAAGTGATCCGCAAAATCTTGGCAGATCGTTCGCAGTTCCCCTACCACTTTCTTTCGCGAAATTGCACTTTGGGCGGATTTTTAAAGCAATGTGTTGTGTCAGAGGAAAGCAGAGAAAAGTCAGGGCTGTATGCCTACTCGAAGGCTAGACCCCATTCGCAACGGTAACTTCGATCGAAATCGGTTCTGGATTATTTGTATTCGCGCAAGGTTCCTCTCACAGCTTCGAGATCAAAAGAAAACGGTCTACTTATACAGTACAAGGTAGTCTACATATGCCTGAATTATGTTGATTTGGGCGACTTGAGTGTAGGGGGATTCAAACGGCGTTGAAGGAAGCGAGGCGAATGCCCTGTAGCGTGGTCAAATCTCCCCCTGTGAATCGGACATCTGAGATATATTCATCAGGCACCAGTGTACCTTTGCGGGAACTTTCATCCGCCTGGTCAAACCTGGTATCTCCCATGCCTCCTTCCCTGTCCGTTATCTGGCTGAAAAGCTGTCTCAACAATGCATAGCTCGGCTTTTCTTCAGACTTCAAACCACGGCAGTGGTCGAAGTACGTTGTGAATTCCGTAGATGAGCGCGCAAGCAGGTCACGGAACGCTGAACCGGCTTTCATCTCCCCGATTCGAAGTAGTTTGGCCTCGACACTTGGCGGGTAGATGCCTTGCCAAGGCAGATGTCCATGCAAAAGATATAGTAGGACGTTGCCCAATATCTCAAGGTCGTCTCGCCGTCCTTGTTCTGCCCCTCACTCGTTAGTACCGAGCAAAAATTAGATTAGTGTTCACGAACCTCGTCCAAGATGTGCATATAGCTCATATACCTCGCGGTCCCCACTGGAACGCGGCCTTCACGGAATGTTATATGTGCTCCTGTCGATGGGTCGACGTAAACCTTCGCTAGACCAAAGTCGAATAAGTAGACGATGTGAGACTTCTCCCCGATGCCCATCGCAAAATTTTCAGGCTTGACATCACGCAGGACGACTCCTCGTGAATGTGCGAATTCAATTCTATCCAACTGACAAGAAGCGCACAAATCAATATCAAACTGGCGCAGACATTCAACACACTTACCATTTGCAATCCGAGCATAAATACCTTCTTCAAAGAAAGCTCACCCCTGCATAGTCTTCGGAGCTGTTCGAGATTCGCATACAGCTTCGTAAGGCAGTGCGAAGGGTGTCTGGTGGGACATCCCTATGCAGTCTCCGATTTAATTGCAACCTTCGAGCCGGTGAGAACATGGAAAGTACTCGACACATTTCCTGGTAGGTCATAACACATCAGCGAGTTCGAGACAGAACAGTACGCATGTAAACACACCAAAGCCTCCCATTCCAAGTATGCTTGTCACCTGATATATGCCATAGACGCGGATTTGCAATTGGAAACTCATAGCTTGCTTCAGTGGTGAAGGACAAAGGACAGACGATGACTGTTGTAGCTTCATTGCTAGAGCTTGTAATCCGTCGACCAGTAGGGTGGGATCACATGTCCCGAGGTCAACTTCCGATCCCAAGCATCCAGGACGTTGAACCAGAACGGTTGGGAAACCCGCGATGCTTGCCGGTTCCATCACTCGGTAATGACTAGATGCCACTACAAGAACTTCGCTTTCTTCGACAGTACTGCATGCTAAATGAAAGCGATCCAAGAGGTGTGAAAACATGAAAGAGTTTGGGCCGAAGAGTTCTGAAAGGGGAGCATGTTGATCGGACCGGTTGAAAGTCGGGGAAGCGAAAAGGATTCCGCGTCCGGGATTGAAAGACCGACCAGCAGATAACCCTGTTCGATAAGCATCCTCACAGTCGCTTCTGCATCGTCGTATAAAGCAGGCTGTAGGATAGTCCGGACAGCTTCGCGGAGTACCACTTCACTCGGCAGCGCTCCTAAAGAAGTGCAGACATCTTCCAAAGCGCGCCGCACAATGTCAGGATAAGGTGCGTCAGCGTTGTCTCTGTCTCATGAGTTCGCATTAGAGATACACTTCAGACAGTTAGCGTCTTGTCGCGGATAGCAGACGCATAGCGTTGTTTACAGCACCGTCACGATCCTCATTGCGGGTGAGCAGTTCGAGCGTGTGTGCCAAGACTCGATATCAAACCTGTTCTTGACACGCATTCTCCTGGAGCGCAATGTGGGTTTTCGACACACGCAGGGCTAGAAAAGGGCGGGTTGTCAAAGAAGTCGCATTTTCGACCCCATACTGTGATGTCTAAGAAGCCGTGCGCTGTGGAATAAATTTTGCTATCACGAAAGAGTGAGGCATTTGACGAAACTGCCGCGAATTATGAGTCTGACCAGAACAAGACCAGCAGAACAGTACATCATTGATCCATTACGTAAATTGATGCCCATTGCACGTGAATATTTGAATACTGGTCGCCAATGATCAATCTGCCATGAATTCACGCACCCATACGAGCTAGTTCATGATTAAATCGAAAGATTGCCTGATTTTCAGCAACTCAGCGAGGCAAATTTGGTGTGTGTTGTTTCCAAGTTGTTTCACCCTGGCTAGTCCAAGCGCGTGCTTAATGGCATCACTAATTATCAGGGGAGTAAGAGTGCATGTAAGTGCGAGATGTTGGTCTCGAACTGACATTTTGGGAATTCGGCAAGACGCACAACGCTTCCTAGAACAGCTGTACTTAGAGAGACGAGGAGTGTCAGTGACACCCAGATTTGTCGCAACATATATGATGGCCCTTTCCTTTGCTAAGGACATCAGTGTGTCAAAGTACCGGTATTTACGCCTATCCTCTAACTACTAAGCACTGTAGTGTTTCGTCTCCCACATCAAACAACATGTCTACTTGTTCAGCTCATGTCTATAGGTAATCTACATACGGCTGAATCTTGAAGTGGGTGAGGTGGGTGCAGCACTCAAGTACTTGGCCCGTTGTTACGGTTCTCTTTTCCTTATCTCACCTGCTTACTAAGCAGCTTACTAAGCCTTCTATAACATTCCATCACATTCTATTGTACGATACTCTTTCTCTTTTCTCATTGGCTTATCATATTCCAACTCCACTTTAACTATTCAAACTCCGTTTCAATACTCTTATTTAAACCTTGTCTCTACCACTTGTATTCTTTAACTTGACCTACGCAGACCAGGGCCTGCAATTCTACTGCTTAACTCGCACAACTCGATACTAGGGTATCGCTAGACTTTCGACCGATTGTTTACTAAGACATTTAACCAACGCCAAGCGTAACAAAAGGTCAAGTTAATCTTCAGACCCACCTCTTCTCACAGACAGCAACCTACCAGACCCAGAATGATCTCTAGTTTGAAAGTCAAACTAGACATCACGACCACATAGTCAAGACAGCTACCCACGGAAAGCAGTATCCTGGTTTCACCTGGGACGCACTACTAGAAACTTGGACTGCACCAGATACTGAAGGCAACATATTCACTGTCCATCAGTGGAGAACTTTCAGAAACAGCAAAGCCAAGAAAGGAACGCATTGGGACTTTGACACCCAATCCTACGTCGACAACGACTTCCCAGAAACACCACTCATATCACCTCTCCTCGCACATGCACCACTTCCCCCAGCTCAACAGCCTCCCTTAGAAGAAGAACCCAACCCAGGACCAGAACCAGACTCAGATGACGACGAAGACATGCCCAAACTAATCGGCAACACCCCCTCCATCTTCAACGGTGACACCCACGCCGCTCAAGGATGGCTCCTTCAGGTAGAAGCCTACCTCGATATCAACTCCACCATATACATGATCGACAAACAGAAAATCATCTTCATCCTATCCCTCATGACCAAAGGAGAAGCTGCTAAATGGGCGGAAGGTCAATTCAAAGACGCAGCTGCTACAAAGAATATGGCACCTACGAAAACTTCATTGTTCTTTTCAAGAAGACGTTTCACCCAAAGAACGTTGTGGACACAACTATTTGACGCATCTCCACCTTGAAACAGACGGGTAGTGTACCTGCCTATACATCCATATTCCGCACCATTCTAGCAGACACGGGGATTACCGAAGAAAGTATGAAGATCATGTTCTTCAGGAACGGGTTGAAGAGAGAGATTGTAAATACTATATTAGCCTTTGAAAACTTACCTACTACCATAGACGACTGGCTTATGAAGGCATTAGAAGTAGAATCACGACGTCTCATCATAGCCCCTACCAACTACAGATCCAAAGATCCCTATGCTATGGACATAGATAGGACAGAAGTAGAAGGAGAAGAAGAGGAGCAGCAAGTGAAGAAAGCATACTTGACCCCACAGGAAAGAGAACGCAGGCACAAGAACGGCCTTTGCTTCAAATGCAGCAAGAAAGGCCTCATTAAAGATTGCCCCAACCATCCGGCATTCACTCCTTGCGCTCAAACCACCGCTAAGAAAACTAGCAAGGACGATGACGACAAATATAAGGAGTTCTTAGAGTGGAAGGCGTTTAAAGCGCACCAGGCAAAGAAGTCTGAGGAGAAGGATTTTGCTTAGAGGAGACTGAACTGGCATCAGTATCTCCTAGAATCGGACTAGTAGTACAATCGATTGGTGACTCTAATTCTATGCGTTTGCCTCTGACGTTTGACTCTAGCATTGCCGAAGCCGCAGCACTAATCGACTGTGGAGCAGAAGGGGAATTTATTGATTGGATGTTCATACGACAGAACTCCATCCCCACAGAAAAACTTAGAAAACCAATAAAAGTTAGAAATGTTGACGGGACACTCAACAAACAAGGTCAGATCACACACGCTTGCAACCTATCATTCCGAATCAAAGGAATTCACATGGAAAGACACTTCCTTATAACCTCTTTAGGAGGAGAGGACGTCATCCTGGGAATCTCCTGGCTAAAGAAAGAAAACCCACAGATCAACTGGACAAAAGAAGAAGTAACCTTACGAGAACAAAGTGCATACATAGAAGAGGTCGAAGAAGAAGATCCCTTCTTCGATGCACAGGAAATCCTAGAAGATGAATGGGACCCTGCCATGGAAAGTATTCCGTATTCCTCCGAAATCCCTAAACTCCTTGACCCTGAACCCGCTGATGAAACAGAAGAAGAATTAGACCCTGACGAATTTTTGATCGCCTACTGCAAAGGCAATCACGTCATAGGAACCTATGAAACTTTTGAATCTCCTCTTACTAACGAACATATCCCCACCAACCACAGATATTTCTCGATCCATGGAACCTTAGTCAGGAAAGCCGACAACATCTCTCAAACCCTAGCCCAAGACGCCGCTAAACCAAAGAAAACCTTTGAAGAACTCGTACCCGAGATCTTCTGAAAGTATAAAGACGTATTCGGAGAAGTAGCTAACAGAACCCTCCCCCAGAATGCAAGTTTGATCATAAAATTGATCTCAAAGACACCTTCGAACCACGCAAATGTAAAATCTACCTGCTTAACCCCGCGGAAGAGAAGGCTATGAACGACTTCATTGATGAAAACCTTGCTAAAGGCACCATTATTCCCTCCAAATCACCGCAATCATCTCCATTCTTCTTCGTCGGTAAGAAAGATGGCTCCCTAAGACCCTGTCAAGACTATCGCTATCTAAACGAACACACAGTTAAGAACAATTACCCGCTTCCGCTAATCTCAGACCTTATAGATAAGCTAAAGAACACGAAGATCTTTACCAAGATGGACATCCGATGGGGATACAATAATGTCAGACTCAAGAAAACCGACCAATGGAAAGCTGTGTTCACCACAGCAAGAGGACTCTTTGAACCTATGGTAATGTTCTTCGGCATGTGTAATTCTCCTGCCACCTTCCAATCTATGATGAACGATATGTTCGGAGATATGATCCAAGAAGGATGGCTCATCATTTACATGGACAATATACTAATCTTCTCCGACAACTTCGACACCCATCAGAAACGAACTCACTGTGTCCTAGAAAGACTCCGTGAACACCGCCTATACCTCAAACCAGAGAAATGCACGTTCAACGTAGAAGAAATAGAATACCTCAGCATGATCATCAAACCAGGATCAGTAGCTATGGACCCGGCTAAACTAAAGGGAATCTCCAAATGGGAAACCCTGAAGAAAGTCAAGGAAGTCCGCTCTTTCCTCAGATTCGCTAACTTCTACTGCTGCTTCATCGCTGATTGTTCCACAATCGCTCGTCCCCTGATAGATCTCACAAAGAAAGATATGCCGTTTGAATGGAACGAAGAACGCGACTCTGCGTTTTGAAGATTGAAATCCATCTTCACGTCAGCTCCCATCCTCCAAATCCCTGATCGCTTTTCCCCATTTGCCATCGCCACTGACACCTCCTTATATGCTACCGGTGCAGTACTTCTTCAGAAAGATCCCAACGGCAAATGGCTTCCCTGCTCATATCTCTCCCAATCCTTTGCCCCTGCTGAATGAAACTATCAGATTTATGACCGAGAACTCCTCACCGTCATCCGAGTGCTCAAAGCTTGGTGCCATTATCTTTTAGGATCTCCCTTCCCGGTTGAAGTCCAAACCAACCATAAAAATCTTACCTATTTCCAAGACATACAAGACCTCAATAGATGCCAAGCACACTGGCAAACCTTCCTATCCCAGTTTGATATTCGTTTCAAATTCGTACCAGGCAAAGACCTAACTATTCCAGATGCCCTTTCTCGTAGATCAGATCACTTTCCAGACGATAGTGTCAAAAAGGACAATACTAGTATCCAACTCCTCCCTGATTTCATGTTCATCAACTCTGCTTCTCTTTCTGAACAATTACGTATCTCTTCTTCCATTGACCCAGTAGTACAAATAGCACTTGACGTGCTCCAGAATCCTACTATCCCTCCTCCTATTCATTCCTCTTTAGCTGACTGGAAACTCACAGATGGTATTTTTACTTATAAAGGACTTACTTACATACCCCCAGGCAACCTTCATCGTAGCATTACCTCCCTTCATCATGACTCCCCTACCGCCGGCCATCCAGGATGATATAAAACCCAGGAACTTCTCTCACGAGATTACTGGTGGCCGGGCCTTTCCACCTTTGTCAAGAATTTCGTAGACGGCTGCAGTATCTGCCAACAAAACAAAGTTAACACGCACCCGTCATCTCCCCCTCTATGTCCTATCCCCACCCCTATATCTAACCGACCCTTCGCTTACTGTTCCGCCGACCTCATCACCAACCTACCACCTTCTAACAGCTACGATAGCATCATGGTCGTGGTAGACCATGGCCTTTTGAAGGGGGTAATTCTCACTCCATGTAACAAAATGATAGATGCTGAAGGCATAGCAAACATTTTCTTTTCCAAAGTATTTTCCAGATGTGGACTTTACGATAAGATTATCTCTGACCACGGACCCCAATTTGCCTCTAGATTCCAGATTGAACTCGGAAAACTCCTCGGATACAAGAACTCCCTTTCCACTGCGTTCCATCCCCAAAGTGATGGAGAGACCGAACGAGTCAACCAAGAGCTCGAAGTCTACCTCCAGATCTTCTGTGCTAATGACGCGACTGGCTGGGCATCTATGCTCCCTCTCACCGAATTCATTCATAATTCTTGTCACCACTCCGCTCGCGGTACTTCACCATTCTACCTCATGATGGGATACCACCCTAAACATCTTCCCGACCTCCACCCCAAGAGCGATATCTCAAATGTCGAACAACAACTCATCATTCTCAATAAAGCACGTGATGAAGCATTAGCCGCTCATGAACTAGCGCGCAATACCATGAGACAACAAATCTCATCCAAGTTCACCCCATTCTCCAAAGGCGATAAAGTCTGGCTCGAATCCAAAAACCTTCATCTTGGTTATCCCAATTGTAAACTTGCACCTAAACGAGAAGGACCATTTACCATTTCCGATGTCCTATCCCCAGTCACCTATCACCTTTTACTTCCCGTGCAATGGCGCATTCACCCCGTCTTCCACGCCGCCCTCCTATCTCCCTATAAAGAGAACGATACCCACGGTCCTAACTTCGTCGCACCACCACCTGACCTTGTCAACGGCAAAGAAGAACAAGAGATACAGTGGCTCAAAAAACTGTCCACATGTTTGTGCTATTTTCACTATTTACATTATTGTATATGAATGAACAGGTAGACTGGGGATATGCCAGTGGGGTACTCTGTAGTACTCCTTTGGGGCATGAATTTGAGCCCTTGCCTGTGGGAATTTATGGTAATGTGGTGGCACTATAAGCCTTACAAAATGATGACTCATGTGGACAGTTTTTTGACCCTAGATTAAAATTATATAAATCATTAGTTATGACACCATAAAGTCATGCCACTATTAAATAAATTATGAAGTGGTGTCATTATGACATTATTAAACCTATCTCTAAGTATATAATGAAGTGTGTCCCATATATCATAGTCATAATCACCATGAAAACCATCTCCTCTGCTCAAAGGGATAATATCCTTTCTCTGTCTACTACTGGCCTCTCTACTCGTCAAATAGCCTCTAGAACTGGTTTATGTAAGTCTACTGTAGCTAACCTCATCAAAGAATGTCACCCAGACAAGGAAAACTCCAGTGGAGGTCGTCCATCCAAACTCACCTCTACTGATAGGAGGGTTATTATTTAACATATCACCACAGGAAAGGCTGATAATGCCGTCCAAGTCACTCATCATATCAATTCCATCATTCCTACTCCAGTTTCTTCACAAACAGTGAGGAATGTCCTCAAGGAAGCCAATCTTAGGGTCGTAACAAAGAAGAAAAAGCCTCTTCTTTCCATCACTCATAGGAAGAGAAGACTAGCCTTTGCCCTAGCTCATCAAAACTGGACTGTAGAGGACTGGAAGCAGGTCATATGGTCAGATGAGACTAAAATCAATAGAATTGGGTCAGATGGGAAGGTACATGTGTGGAAAAAGAAGGGGGGCCCTCTTACAGACAGAGAGATTAATGGAACTCTCAAGTTTGGAGGAGGTTCTTTAATGGTATGGGGATGTATGGTGTGGAACTTCTGGTGTGAGAATGCTTGCAGAAGTTGAGGGGAGGATGGATGCTGAGCAGTATATGGATATCCTCCATTATCAGCCTTTCCTGTGGTGATATGTTAAATAATAACCCTCCTATCAGTAGAGGTGAGTTTGGATGGACGACCTCCACTGGAGTTTTCCTTGTCTGGGTGACATTCTTTGATGAGGTTAGCTACAGTAGACTTACATAAACCAGTTCTAGAGGCTATTTGACGAGTAGAGAGGCCAGTAGTAGACAGAGAAAGGATATTATCCCTTTGAGCAGAGGAGATGGTTTTCATGGTGATTATGACTATGATATATGGGACACACTTCATTATATACTTAGAGATAGGTTTAATAATGTCATAATGACACCACTTCATAATTTATTTAATAGTGGCATGACTTTATGGTGTCATAACTAATGATTTATATAATTTTAATCTAGGGTCAAAAAACTGTCCACATGAGTCATCATTTTGTAAGGCTTATAGTGCCACCACATTACCATAAATTCCCACGGGCAAGGGCTCAAATTCATGCCCCAAAGGAGTACTACAGAGTACCCCACTGGCATATCCCCAGTCTACCTGTTCATTCATATACAATAATGTAAATAGTGAAAATAGCACAAACATGTGGACAGTTTTTTGAGCCACTGTAGAGGCCATCGTCGGTCATCGAGGCTCTGCCTCACGCAGATATTATAATGTTAAATGGAAAGGATTCCCGAGTTCTGAGAACGAATGGATGACTGAGAGACAAATGGGTAACACTTCTGACATTCTTACTTCTTATAAAAATGCACATCGCCTTTAAAATTCCTCTTTTTCATTGGTAGTATTCATGGATTACTACCCTTAAAACGGGGGTAATGTTACAGTTCTCTTTTCCTTATCTCACCTGCTTACTAAGCAGCTTACTAAGCCTTCTATAACATTCCATCACATTCTATTGTACGATACTCTTTCTCTTTTCTCATTGGCTTATCATATTCAAACTCCACTTTAACTATTCAAACTCCATTTCAATACTCTTATTTAAACCTCGTCTCTACCACTTGTATTCTTTAACTTGACCTATGCAGACCAGGGCCTGCAATTCTACTGCTTAACTCGCACAACTCAATACTAGGGTATCGCTAGACTTTCGACCGATTGTTTACTAAGACATTTAACCAACGCTGAGCGTAACACCCATAGTGAACGTAAAGGCCCACATACTGCAGCATGGACACATCTCCCGCTGTGAATCGGATATCCAAGTGATAGTTCTTAGGCACCAGTGTACCGTTTTGGGAACTTCCATCCACCCAGTCAAACCTGCTCTCATCCATACACCCTTCCCTTTCCATTATCTGGCTGAACAGCTGTTTCAGCATTGCATAGTTCTCCTTGTCTTCGAACTTCAAACTGCGGCAGTGATCGAAGTACGTCGTGAATTCCACAGGCGAGCACGCAAGCAGGTCACGGAATGCTGAGCCAGCTTTCATCTCCCCTATTCGAAGTAGTTTGGTCTCGATGCTTGGTGCGTAGATGCCTTGCCAAGGCAGGCGTCCATGCAAAAGATATAATAGGAGATAATTAATATCGGACCCATATTGACCCAAAATGCAGATGGTCGAACGCTGGTGGCACCCTGTACATTTTGCCAACACTATAGGCATTCAGATACCTCGAGATGGTCTCGCACGTCAGGCAATCACCGTCATTTTTAACCCCTATGTTCCGAAGCCGGCGTTCATGCCACATTTCAAGCCAAGTTATCTGTGAGTTGCAGATGCCGGAGAATTTGTACCCTTAAATGAGCAACTAGAGTGGGCGAACAATTACTTGAGAATTGATAAGCTGCAACTAGACGTGGTGCGCTCGTGGTGGAGCTATTGTGCGTCTTTTTTTTTGGCTGATGGGCACCAGCTGATAGTATTTGATGATGATTTTTTTAGGTGCCAAACACTGTCCTGCTCCATGGAAGACAATTTCTGAGCCGTAATATATACACTACGAACGGCGGGAAATTCATGGATGAATTGTAACGTGTGCGCTTGAGCCATTTGCTTGTGCTAGTGTCCAGCCGAGCGCTGTGCCGACAACAACCCCCAGTACCCGCTGCAAGGATCCGTCTCCAAGGATGGGGACTCGGAGAGACGGATAAGCAGCGGTTTCGAACCAACATTTCTCAGATCACCCCGACCGCTTCTCTGTACAGGAATGACTACTATCAAAAAACAACCAATAGAAGTGAAAGATATATATTATATGTGCAAATGATACAGGGCCAACAGACTCGAGACTCACAAGCAGAGTAGGATACTGGGGCACGTTAGTGAGCAAACGGAGACTTTCTTCAGGAACCTTCAATTATTGGATATAGGGAGATGCTAGCGCCTTTGAATCCTCAAATATTCCGCTCATTTCATACATGTGCTAATAAGTTACATAGTTTTCCACTCGCTCGTTCTATCTCATGGATAGCTTTCCCCCACTAGTGATAAGTTCCGACTCAGATCGCCCAATCGCCTATCATGAGAGCGTTGATCTACAAAATTGTTTTGGAAGCATTCTTAAAGAGAACGACTGCAATCTGTGAGATGATCTTCTACACAGGAGAGCACTCTCGTTCTAGCCACTGAAGAGCACGCGGGTCGTTGCGGAGCAAAGGTCCTACTTTCTCCAGCGTCTCCGCATGATAGGCATTGAGCCACTCCCTTTCCTGCGCAGTCAGCACTGAGAAATCAATCATCTTCGTTTGAATAGGACACTAGTGCAGCGTTAGCCTATCGAAACCCGCAATTTATCTCATCCAAAGGCGCTCACCATCGTCACACGTTCAAAACAAAGGTACCCATTCCCAAAGTTGTTTGGTGTTTTAGCCTCTCGAACGATAACGATGCTCTCGATGCGGATCCCGTAACATCCGTCGGAGTAGTAGCCCGGTTCTAGCACAAATGTTGGTTCGTTCCTTGCATTATTCAGTCCGCTCACCATTCGACACGGTCATGCCCGCTTTCAAAGAGGTGCTGTTGTACGCTAGGGGTATGAATGAGCAGAATAATCAGGGAGTGCAGCACGAAGCACACCTATGCGGGTGCCGATGCCGTGCGGGCCTTGGCAGCACGTTAATATCTTACGTTCTCTTAAAAGAGTTCATCTTACCTTCATGAACGTTCAGGAAGTGACCTACGCCATGGCCGGTTCCATGCCTACAATCGAGCATCATTGTAACGACGACTATGACTTAAGCGATGAGGAGGTACCTGTAATCTGCAAATTCGATAAGGACATTGTCACAAGGCTGGTCAAACGAACTCACCCCATCCCTCTTGCCATAGAGCTCGTCTCGCAAATGAGTCACTGAGGTAGGGTCAACATGAGCAATATGGTCTGACGGTGCCAGAAGTAGCTCATTTACATAATGTAACCTAAACGGCACATTGTAAGGGAGGCCGAATGGAAGGGAAACGGGAAGCAGCCTCACCTGACGTGCCGGTTGGGAAAACAGCCGTATCGATTGAGATATGACCTTGCAAAACACGCGTGAAAGCTCGTTTCTCCTCCTCAGTAGGAGTGCCAAAATGCTGTGAGGAATTGTTGAGACAAAAACCCTTCTCCTTACCATCGTTGGATAGGCTCACCAATGTCCGTGTTACATCAGTCGTTCCGTCAAGATATTGCCCTGATGATGGTACCGTTAAAAGGGTACAATTATGAACAGGAAGTATCCCACCTCCAGAATCACATAAATACACCTAACGTTCTGTGTAAGAGCATGATTCACATCAATTTGGACAGCATACCTGATCCTTTTTGATGATCGCGCAGTTATCACGTTCCGGTGAATAATGTATGATGGCTGTACGATGATCAATACGTGTTCAGTCTCACCCGAGTTCACGCACCAGCATTGGGTCCAGTAGATGAAATTGTTGTGAATGATAATCCGCGGAACAATTGAAGTTCACTACTAGAAGGTGAGCTGCATGAATGTCACATATCCTCCACACTGACGATCTGAATTCTTCGAGCTTATCTGCGGCTTGACTTTCGTTCAGTTCAACACCGCTATTGAGTTGTTCCTCCAACCAGGCGAAGTAACGGGTTAGGGCGGCACCGTCACGGATGTGACATTGTCGGAAGCCCTCGATCTCTGTCTCGTTCTTTATCGCCTTCATGGCAGCTACAGGTGACGGGACGAGAGAAGCATTGTCCTGTATTTGGTCAGAGCAAAGTTACTGAATATCGCTAGGTGCCGTACTTGTCCAATTGCTTCAACCACAGCGAGACTAGTCTTATCTCCCAGTAACATGGGCTGCGGCGGATAAGATCAGAATCGCTTTGAAGTATACACGTACTAAATGACTCACTTTCTCTTTGCTGGCTCCAAGTGACGTAGTGAGTTGCTTCAAAGATGGCAGGAAAGATTCATATGAACGAATCTCAACATCAGAGCCCAAGAACGTCTTGACACTGTCTTGAAGTTGTGCGCCATTGATGAAGAGCAATGCCTCCGTTGGGGTCACGACAGCATACGCAAAGAAGACTAAAGAACGTTCTTTGAGAGACTAAATCAGCGTGAAAAAGTATCTAAAATTACCGGGGTTGAAGTCGATATCTGTACCACGAAGGTTGAAAAGCCATGCGACTTCGTCAAGAAGCGTAACGACCGAAGCAACGGCATTTTTCTTCGTGATCTCTTCACGTAAGCGCTTCAACTTGCTCTGGGATGTCTCTCCTGCTCGACGTGTTAGTCTCAAACTATGCATGGGCATGCCATGCTAACCGGCGTATTTGACGTCCAAAGGGAAGACACTGTTCTGAGGACGTGTGGGTCGGTCCTTGCCCCAGACGACGTCGACAGGATTTTGCTGGAGAGATACAAGTTCAGAACCCCTAGGCTCAAGAGATTCCTTGAGGCTTTCGGCATCCACTGTCGTCATGTTAGTTAAACAACGAAGCAAACTGGTGACACCCGTACCAGCTGAAATCAATGTCGGATCGATGCCAATTCGAGTTCCTTGCTCGAGGTGCTGCCATCACATTCCGTTAGCGCAGGGTTTCGCAAGGACAGGAAGGACTCACTTTAGAGAGAAAATCCTGCCAAGTAGGCACCTCTTCCTCCGAAGTCAGTCAAAAAAATAGCAACACGATGAACGAACAACTATACCTGGCAGGCCCTGTTTCATAAGCTTCCAGTTGCTGATGACATCTCTTGTGAGAACTCGTAGAATGGAATGAGCTAGACAGTACCTATCAAGCTGCTGGGAGGCTTGCAAGAAGTACCTCCCATCTGTGAAGAGGTAAGCATCCCTGAGGGTGATGATAGCACACCCTACATCTCCCATATCAGATAACGGCGTCACAGATCATAGCATTTTCTCACCGGCTGAACCATTGAAGCCTGAAATAAATCCCCTACGCTCGTCCGAGTGTGCGGGATATTCGCTAAAGTCTTTAAAACAAGGATGGTTCAACCTAGTTCTCCTGAACATGTTCTGTGTGCTTACGCTGGTCCTCGCTAGGAACGACGAAAGCCTTGACGTTGTTCTCCGGCTTCTTCAACAGCTCTCGTAGCTTTGCCAGCCGCTCGGTAGTGTCGACAGTGCGAGTCCCAATTGCGCCCATGGTCGTGGTTGTACCAGAAGAGAATCGGACGGTCTGAGCAAATGCAGGGGTGGTCAGGAGATATCGATGCTCATGTGCACGCAAGGCCCCGAGACATCGAGACCACATGTGTTCGAATTCTACAAGATCTTTCCAGTAAGCCACCTGAACCAGGAACTTATTCTCACATGCCTTGATGAGCGCCTCACTGTTCGGCTTCAGAAGTTCACTCAAGTCTTCAACTTTTCAGGTCCACAAGAAATTGTCATCTATTAAGTATGATAGTCCGTTTAGAGGGTATAACTAAGTTAGTTTCATGATGGTCGAGGAGAATTTCGTGCGCTGCCCTGCAGTACCGGGGAATTGCTATGACTTCGAGAGACACTCGGTCGTATCCGGTGCTCTGAATGCAATCGAGTCCGTTCATCTACATCACTATCATACTCGGACTCTTCTTCACTCTCCCGCAACTGAGATAGCGGCATGTTATCAGCTGTCTCCTCCCCCTCAAAGGCATTGAACAACGTGGTGCTCTGTGAGCGATAGAGCGAAGAACGACGTCCGTGGCCAGAGGACTGCAGGGCCCCATCTGGTCGTACATCAGATACACCACCCCACCCATCAAGAGACATGCGACCCTGCAGGCTGATGCGGGGATTCATGAGACCGCTTTCTAGCGTGGAGTGACCGTTTGGCATGCTCGGGGGCTCAGGTTTCCGTGAGAGATTCAAGAGGTGAACGCCGAGGAAGGTAACAATGAAGCCGGCGAGGAGTGTAACGGTGTTCGTGCCATCTGTCGTATTAAATCCTTGGAACAGTATAAGCGACGCCACTATCGTCGCCGTGGAAAATCCAACGTAGTACATGGGGTTTACACTGCGAAATGGTAAGCGATCTACTGAGAACGACATGCAGGAGGACGTACACATTGGTTGAGAATGTGTCCAATGCTTTATTGAAGAAGTTCATCTGCACGATGATGCACCCAACAACGACGATGCCAAATGCATATGTGCTCGGATGGGTGAACTGGTTATTCCCACCAAATGTGAGCTTAACGGCTACACCAAAACCCTTGATGGCCATGATAGACACGGAACCAACTAAGGAGCATATAGATATGTAAACGAGAGGGTTGGATCGCCCGTAGCGCGGGGCAACGCCGAATATCATCACGAGCGAGAAGACGAAGACCGTGAAACAATACAGCATGAATCCTACAAACCAGTCAGCGTCACACTAATAAGAGAGGAGGAAGACCAACCGGGTTGTATAGCGTATTGCAAAATCTCATCCACGGTCTGAACCTCTTTGTCTGGTGGTGCGTGGAGAACAATGATCAAAGAACCAATAAGGCACAGGGCACATCCCGTCCGTCCCAAGTGCCCAAGCTCCTCGTCGAGTAGGAATGATGCCAGTATGGCACTGAAGATTGTCAGCTGATGGAGTTGTAGCACCTACAACATGCTTACCCGATTAACACGCTAAGTGCGCCTAATGGTGTCACTAATATCGGGGGAGCAAAAGTGTAAGCAGCGAAGTTTGCGACTATAGACGTCATTATCAGCTGGACGGATAAGAAAAAGATGATTATCACTTTCTCCAAGCACCACTATACAACGGTTGAGATGAATTGATATTTCGAAAGCTCGATTAACAAGACTCACGAGTTGAAATCCCGGCCCACCATATTGGATTCCGGAGGTAAGCATAATCATCGGAGGCGGATGCATACGAGGATTTTCGTGCCGCTGCATCAGTAAGTCCCTGTGGCCAAGACCACTGAGTTTCTAGAAAATGCAACCAAGCTCAACGTAGACAACCTTCTTTGTGATGATGAAACTCGTTCCGATGGCTAATGAACTAGAGACTGCCAGAGCCAACCCGATGTACTTGTCTTCAACCATAATGTGTCAGAAGAACCTGAAATTGAAAGAGAGGAGACACGGTCCTGCCTGGCTTCACGAAAAAAGGTCAATGTTGAAGAATTTCAGGTTCAGCCCCACCACGACGACAGGCTGCACGGGACAAAATATCCCAATTCGGTGTAACACCGCCGCATGCACAGGAACGTGAGACAATAGAGTATCATATGTAGAACCTATCTTGCACACCGAATAAACAAGAAACAAACCATTGCAGCAAATTACTATTACAACCATGTAAGTATAAACGTTAAGAAAGTCTACTCCAGCTCCCTCCATGGTCTGTCAAAGTTTGCATCGTCGTCGTCATTACCGTCATTGGTTGCACCAGTCTGCACACTCTCCGCCACGATCCCCTGAATCCTCTGAGCAAGAAGGCTCATATCCATCAACGCAGCCGTTCGAATATGTTGATCGTATTCGCCACTCTCATCCACTATCTCCGTCGTGTCCCATGTTGGTTCAGGACCGGCCCACCCGTCGTTCAAGTGAATATAATTCAGGAACGACCGCCAGAGGGGATCGAGGGACAAGACATTTGGGTCTCCGATCACGATGAGCAGTGCTTGTGCTCGGGTTACAGCCACTGAGAGAGATATGAACATCATGTGTGCAAAAGGCGACGATCGACTAACCATTGAAGCGCCTCGGGTTCGCAACGAAACCAAGGGTGTGTCTGAGGTCAAACTCAATGAAGTTTCGACTACTCCTGACCGTCGAAATAATAATGACTCGTCGTTCCTAGTAGCTAAGGTTGGTCACAGAATGACACACGCATTGAAATTTGCTCACCTGGCCCTGGAACTCTTCCACACTGCCAACTTTGACATCCTCAGCCACGGCCTTGAGCATCTTGCGAATCTTTTGACACTGAGCGTGATAGGGAGCGATCACGCCAATCTCATTGTGAGCTGTTGTGTCGTTGTAAATTGTTAATAGCATCGAGTTCGTGTGTTTACTTACCAACTCTGATCTGTCGATCGTCTCGGAGGAGCTGGATGTATTTGCGAACTTGAGAAACCTCGTCAATGTTGAAAAACGAGGGCGATGAAGCCTCGCGGTCATCCTTGCCAGATATCGAGTGGAAGATAATCGGGAATTTCTTCGAAGGGAGCTTGCTCCAACCTTCGAATGCGCGTATGACATTCTTGCTGCCACACGGCTCAAGTTCATTCGCATAGAATCGCTCGTTAGGAAACTTCAAAATTGCGGGATGCGACCGGAAGTTTTTCACAAGCTTGACGACGCTGCTCACAAGTTAGTGACCTGAACGAAGCAGATAGATAAATTATGATCACCTGAGCCCGTAACCACTTTGGGCTTCATATGCCTCCATCAACATCAGACGTTCGAGGTAGCTTCGCTCCAGCCCAAGCTCCCTTGCAATATTGGACCGGATGATAGGTCCCAACTGCCTCGGATCTCCCGCCAAGACGATGTTAGTCGCGTTGTCAGCCATCGTTTTGATGCCGATCATGACTTCCGGTTCAGTTGCCTGACCAGCTTCGTCGACGAAAATATGGGTGAAATGTCCGCGCGCAATGCCAATACCATACGGAATCGATGCGGAGACACATGTGCACACAATCACTTTATAGCGCTTAAGGATCGGGATGGGTGGAACGGAGAAGCAGCCCTTGAGTTCCCCTTCCGGCGTCTTTCTAAATGTGTAGCGTTGCAACTCATCTGGGACCTGGTCGACGTGCCTTGAGGGTGCATAAAGTCTAAAAAGTTCGTCAGGTCCGAGGGTAGACGCGAGTCGGGAGGCAATGATGTCGGCAGCGGAGTTACTGGGTGCCGTAGCAAGAATGCGCGTATTCGGTTTATGCTTGAGCAGTTGCTTCATAGCTTCTACTATTGTTATAGTCTTGCCAGTGCCCGGGGGACCGAAAACGATAAATGGTGCCGAACCCGGTTGCTGAAAAAGGATAGATGTTACGGCTTGAAGTTGAGGTGGGTTCGTAGCGATCAACGAATTGAATGGTATAATAGGACCCATGCCAGGACGAGCGCCAAGCGGTAGAATGTGCGCTCTTTGAGGGAACAAAAATTTATCAAATGCAAATGCGGTATCGAGGGCCTGGTGTTGACGCTTCATGGGAATGCGGTTGAGCTTGAAACGTACGGTATACCGTTGCTGCGGAGACCAGCCACGAAATGACCTGTCGAATCGCAACCCAACCGACGCCTGTTGAACAACATGGACGTTGCCTTCGTACCAATGGCCTTCAACAGCCCCATGTTTTTGGACAAGGAAACGATCCCCTGAGAGAACGAGTGAATGATGGCAAGAACAAAATTGGTAGACGTCCAAACCTATTAAAACACTTGGGCGTTTTTCCGCCAATCCAGGAACTTCCAAACTAAAACAAAATGAGTGTGAAGTTGCGAGAATCATCAATGTGCTCACTGATAATACTGTTGGTGATATACTAGCTGAGCATCAGAAATGTCATAGTGTTCCAAATCACGCCTTGGAAGCTCATAAGAAGACATAAATGAATATGAAACGCTACTCACTCCATGCGGTGCTCCTCAGTCCAAAGCAGTGTCTTAAAGTAGCGCGAATACGTCGAAGAATCGAAAATCTTTGGGAGGAAGACTCTCCTGAGGTTATCTAGCGCCTTTCCAGACGATGTTTCCGATAATGCGGCTGAAAGTGACTCCGACGGCGTCGCTCTAGGCAGTTTCATGATGTACGGTATGACGTTGTTGGAAGGTGGAGGGACGCCTGGCACTACTTCTGTCTCAGGCTGCGTACGACTTCGCTGGCGAGGTTGGAAGGGAGCGATTGGTTTCAACAACTCATAATCGGCTTGGCTGCCCACAATGGCCTTCAGGACCCTAGCGATGACGAAGGTTACGTGCAGTACTGTGTCTTCGAAGAGAATCTCGAGGCGACTATCCATGCGCCCAGAGTGGGGTGTTAAAAACCGTACCCCAACTGCAGTAGGGCGACGATATGCCAATATTGCCCCCTCCACTGCAGTCGTAATAGCAAAGCTACCAACGAAGTCATTAACATCAAATCGACGAAAAAAGCAAAGAACTCACGGAGTTTTCCCGCCCATGAACGAGGATAAAGATGCCTTCTTAATGGTCACTCGCGATGAGGGCACCGTGGTCTCTATTGTCAGAGTTCGCAATACTCCCCGCGCAGCGTCGGCACTTTCCACAATGCCAAAATCTAGTCCTTCCGAGATAAGGATGCCATGTTTGTCCTTCTCAGCTTCCTCGAGGGCAATTTTGAACGCCATGTAGCCCGCCTTCCTGCGATGTTCGAATGATCGAGGATGGGAATCCCACAAGGCTTGTGAGATCTGACTGTCACATACGCCACAGAATTGGCCAGGGAGCGCCTCAGGAATAGCGGGAGCTACCTCAGCCGATACACCTTTGTTTTCCGCATTTCTGCGGTGCCGTGTGCCTTGGACATGTTGGCCCCAAGACTTCTGACCGAAAATGTGAGTGGCACAAATAGTGCAATGGTACTGACGTCCATCATGACCAGCCAATTTACGGCGATGATTTTTGCTGGCGAGATGCGCTTCGTACCACTTAGTGGATGCGCAGAAAACACCACATAGCTCGCAGAGGTGGACATCATGGTACCCTGTGCACAGGGGATTTGTGCAAGCTCCGTGGGCTTCCAACTGCGGGCAAATTTTGACCATAGCGAGCAACAGGACGACTTGAAGAAGAGAGCGCACGACAAAGGACTTATTCCGGGTCTGCTTGATGATGGCTTTCTTGTATCAGAGCAACGAGGCGAACACGAGGCTAATTAGTGCGAAAAGGGTGCTTCGAGCCTCGAGGATGAGAAGCGCTCGACTAGGTCCAGATAAGTCCAGGCGCCGAGCTTTAAGTCGATACGGAGAACACGGGAATGTTGTAAGCGTGTATAGAGTATAACAGTAGAGTTTCACGAGTCGAAGTGATAGGAATGCGATAATGGTAAAGAACATGGCGAAACTACTCTCTCTTAAATACTGTAACAAAAAGTGTAACAAAGGAACGAGCGGACAAAGGCATCGCAGCCAAGACTGCACCAGCGGCGCGACCCTTGAATGAAATTTAAGGTTGCGAAGACGACAAAGTTCAAATATGTGTGATAAGATAACAGTGTGAATGATCAAAGGAGTGGAAAATGACGCCGTCGTGACGCGGCTGCGCCTGGGTTTGCCTAGGCTTGGGTGGTCATGTGTCTAGGCCTATACATCACCTACCTCTATCACACCACACATAAGGTTTTGTGGTATGTTTTTTCGAATATCTGGTGTTCTTCAGCTGCGATATTGCGTCCAGAGGCGATATATAGTGTATAGAAACGATACACAAGCAAAAAGGAACCATGTACTATGTGTTAAGATACATAAACACAAGAAAAAAGCGGTCATGGTTGTTTTTCTGAGAGACTGTCGTAAAATATATAAAACCCCTGCAATAGCGATTTTATACACTCATATATATTGCAGAAATATTATATACACAGTCTCTGGCTATCATATGTTCGCATTGTTCAATGTTTTCTTATTTTACTATATTTTGTCACAAATTGATGCCCATGAGTATATAAGCGGTCAAAGTCTCTCAAATACTCTCTAGTACATGTTATAAATCATACCAGACTGAAGGATACACCATAGAGGCATGTAAATCTTCCCTTTTTCTCTTGTATGTGAGATACAAAGTACTATGGCTACTATACTCTCCCCCTGGTGACTGGTAGTAAATACAGTGGTCTGGTATGTTCTATGAGGTGTATCATAGCTAAGCTACATTGTATATACAAGCCTACTACACATGCAAGAACAAGGTGAGGCTTGGGGAGGCTAGGAAACATTGATATCGTAGAACTTCCAAATTAGGTTATATTTTGGGCGGTAGTGCTCTGCAATTGCAATTACTGCTTTCGGGCTATAAAATAATATTATACGTGTATAGCTTATATAACAGTAATGTCTTGAGACTTGAAGTACTTGGAGAATGTTTGGGGCAATGTTTAATGCTGGTGTTGGGTATTTTCGTAACTAAGCCTTATAATACTTGGCGAGGTGGATGATCACCCAGTATTGTAAGGCTTACTTATTGGGCAACCCAGGTGCGACACAACTTGCACGTTAAACCTGACGTGTCACAGTGGCCACGTCAGTGCAGCTTCAGGGCTGCGTCAGTGCCACATCACGGCCGCGGGCAGGACCGCATAATAACCATGCCCAAAGGTATTACGAAGGCAGTCCGGCCTTCCTTACACCTCATCCTCCAACTGCTTGGAACCTCCTCAAGAGTAAGTTACTGTAAGTATGGCGCAACCTAACGGTGATAAGCTCAAGGAGATCATCGTTATTGGTGCAGGTGGGTTAATTTATATGTCACTGAAACAATGCGTCTTAAAATACGCTCGGGAAACCGCGTGGGCGCCCCTAGTAGATAGCAAATCAATTGCAAGGACTGACTTTTATGTGTAGGTGTCATCGGCCTCACCACCGCTTTAAAAATACAGGCGCAAGGAGCTTACCGTGTCACGATCGTTTCCGAGACCTTCCCCACAGATCCAAAGTCAAGCAAGTACACCAGTCATTGGGCAGTAAGCAATTATCTTATACCGGACACTGGTTTGCGGCTGATCCACCCATAGGGTGCACAACATGTCAGTGATACTTGCAAGGATCAAAGACAACAAAGTATGTTGCTTCCTGACTGCCTAAACATACGTGTCACACCCTAGTCATCTAGAACTTGATCGAGATACCTTCGATGTATTATGGCAACTGTCAGAACCAGGTGGTGCAGCCGAAGGGTTGTTTCTTGCGACACACTCACATCGAATATCACGAAGAAAATCTCGCTAATGCCGAATGGCTTCATTATACGCCAGATGTATGACACCGACTCAGATTCATGACCGTCATTCTAACTTGTATCAGTTCAAATATCTGGAGATTAACGAACTCCGTGGTCCAGCAAAGATGGGCTTCTCATTCAGCACCGTCAGCATGAACACTCCGGTCTACCTTAATTGGCTTCTGTCCTCATTCCTTGCGAAGAACGGGATCATCGTGCGTGCGTCCCTGCAGCACATCAGTCAGCTTCTCGAGCGAGGAACCAGTCCTTTCACGGGTGCCCAGTTGCATCGTGACGTTGACGCTCTTGTCGTCTGTGCTGGTATTGGCGCCCGTACACTGGGAGGCGTTGAAGATAAGGACGTATTTCCGATTCGTGGGCAAACTGTGCTACTCAGAGCTCCCTGGGTCAAATTCGGGAGGGCCCTGAATGAGGCTAACGGGACGCGCACCTATACGATACCAAGAAGCAATGGCGATGTGCGCTTGCTCAGAAACGTACACGATCAACCCTCTAATTGTTTTACTTATGTAGGTGTTGTGCGGTGGCACAAGAGAGTCCAATGACTGGTATTTTTATCGATTTATCCTGTCGTCGCATTCTCAGTTATTACAGGTACCCAGTTACTCGTCCGGAAACAACTGAGGATATCCTTGTGCGGATCCTGCAGCTTGCACCGGAGCTTGCACCCCCACAGACACGGATTGATCGTGACCCCACTGTCGAAGACCTTCGCCCTATCATTATTGAGACAGGTTGTGGCCTGCGCCCCGGGCGAAAGGGTGGCATCAGGCTCGAAGTTGAGTGGTTGGACGTGCCCACGCGAGGCAAGGTGCCCGTAGTGCACAACTACGGGTGAGTAAAATCGTAGTTGTTCACTGCTGCCCTAACAGTGTGTGTGTGTATCTAGACATGCTGGTTATGGCTTCTTGTCGTCGTGGGGCTCAGCAGACATGGTCCTGGATTTGTTAGAAAGTGCCTTCAAGGCGGGAGCTCCAGCGGATGCGACACCCGCATCTGGTGCTAATTGTATCTGAGAATCCGTGTTGTAAATCGTAAAGGAGCAGATGTAGGTTAGGTATCACCGGAGTCACAAGGGAAGGAATGAATGGAGTTGTAACGAATGACTATGTACGTGAGAGAAGCATGTAAATAATATTGACGATGTGAAGACGTGTCATCTTCTTTGTAGCTGATACAAGTCCATGAAGCAATTCATCATCATATCGCGAATGAATAGTTGACTAAGTCTTATACAAGGCAATGACCATGCGTGGAATCCGCTACTTCGACTCGGAGGGAAGGAATAAGAGCAACGTATTCTGCGCGCTGCTCATGCGTCCCCATCTCTTCAGCACCGGAAATCAAGCTCTGCAGGGGAAAATTTGACCATGCCAAGAATGCCTTGAGCTGCTCATGAGGCCATGTTCGAATACCACAAGCTTCGAGTACCCATAAATTGGGCAGTGAGAGCATCCAACAGGTCAAGTAATTGATGTCTCATAACACGGCAATCAGTGACAGTGATGAACAAGGATTGAAGATTCGTCCAAGAAAAATGCACGAATGATGTACACTCGTCCGGTGGAAACGATCTAGTAGAGAACGGTTGGGGGCACGTCACAGAAGGAGTATCTGAATCCACGAGGCGGTCATATTTTCGAATATTTGAAACCAGAGAGTTTCAACCTGTCTGCTGTTCAACCGACACTGATGTCGACCTCGACTTCGTCCCAGACTACATGCCTCCGGTGTCCGCTCCATCCACCAGAGTTATTGCCTTTGACATCTTTGGCACTATCGTTTGGTGAGTTTGGATATTCGTGCCTCACACACGCTTGAGTGGCTCACCCACAATCAGGATAGTGACGATGCTGTAAATGATGCTATGCGTTTGCTATCACCTACGCATCTTGATAGACGCCGACTCTCTGAAGTATATCTCGAATATGAACTTCTGAGATACAGAGACAACGCCGACATGCTGTATACTGAAATCGTGCGGCATGCTTTATAGGATGTCTGCACAGTCGCGTAAAGGAATTCCGCGTTTCTGACGTGTATCAGGTGACGAATTTGCTTGGACAGGGCAGCTTTGGTATATTTACATACATCCTCTGCTGTGTATAAAACTGGCTGATGCGCTTTCACGTGGCAGGAGATGTGTCGAGTGCTTTTCACGTTCTCGCCGGCTGGGAGGTTGCACCGTTGCAGTCAAAACGAAGACCCCGTCGAACACGAACGCGCCTGTCGTGCTCCCTTAAGAAGCTCTGGTGTATATCCTACTGCATGGATACCTAGGCATACCATCGTGCAAATGGAGTGGTATAAAAGGAGGAGCGTATTTCCTGGTACTCGATCAAGTACTGTCCCTTTGTGTATGGAGGCTTGGTTGCGTTGCTAGTGTAGAATATGTCACACAAACGCACATTTTTTCTATGTCTGCTAAGTTGAAATCCTGCTCCTCCGCAAAACCAAATTTGAGCCAATGCACTCCAACATATCATGTCGACAGTACCTACTATATGCGTTAAATATCGTCCTCTGTCCATGGTGTACGTGAATATATCACGAGGAGTTATCCTGCGGGATATCAAGCCTGAAAATTTCGCGATGGGCATCGGGGAGAAGTCTGACATCGTGCATTTATTCGACCTCGGTTTGGCGAAGATCCATCCACAGGAGTACGCGTCCTGTTCCGTGAAGGCCGCGTTGGACTGAAAACCCCGCGCTACGTGAGCTATAACGTACATTTTGGACGGGGTTGGTGCGGCGCAATCTAATTCCTGCTCGAGGCTGACGAGGAGCAGAAGGACGGCGAGACGATCTTGAAGCACTGCGAATCGTCCTACTATATCTCTTGCATGGTTGTCTGCCTTGGCAAGGCATATACTCACCAAGCATCGAGGCCAAGCTACTTCGAATTAGTGAGACTCAAAGCTGGTTCAGCATTCCGAGACTTGCTTGTACGCTCACCTGTGGAACTCACGACGTACTTCGATCACTGCCGCGGTTTGAAGTTCGAAGACAAGCCGAATTACGCAATGCTGAGACAGTTGTTCGGTCAGATAATGGATAGGGAAGGGTACACCAGGGATACCAGGTTCGACTGGGTGGATGGAAGTTCCCAAAACGGTATACACTGGTGCCTGAGAACTATCACTGGGACATCCGATTCACAGAGGGAGATGTGTCCATGCTACAGTACCTGGAACCTTACTTTTATTGACCGCAAAGTACTTGAATGCTGCACAAATGTCGCCCACTTCGAGGTCCTGGCATTATGCAGACTACCTAGAAATGATGTGCTATATAAGTAGGTCAATTTCTTTGAGGTGAGAGACGAAATATCGGTGACCAATTTGCAACCTTGCATGAACGCAAATCATCTAGATTTCAAAGATCCTGTAGAGGAACCTTGTACATATATACGCAGTGCCGTACCTCGTGGTATACATACCGCTTCGCAATGGTATCAGGTTGCTTTGTAGCCCTCATACAGCTTTGGCGAACCCAACAGCGTTCTGACCGAGGTCATAAACTGTGTAGTATCGGCGGAGGAACACATCACCTGAAGGCACTCAATCAACAGCAAACCCGGGTAACAAATTGATCACATACCAATAATCCACAATGAACCTCCTCCAGGGGATTCGACATCCATACCCTCGAGCGAAGATATGCACGTGCCCTGATTCTCTGCCACATAATCGCTTCCCCTCAGTGTGAAGGGCTTGCCGCCGAAATAGAACGTCAGTTCGGGAAGGGATTGGACTGTGGCACAGTTGACTTGGTAATAGTATCGACCGTGCAAGGATTGTCGGGTGGCGCCAATTTTGGCGTTGAACTTTGCAGCAATGTTGGTGGGGAGTCCAATGACGGAGGCGCCTGTAGGTGATTGGTGAGAAGTTGGAGTCGATCAAAAAAAGAGGGAACTTACCAGTGTCGATAGCAGCGCCTGTCATCTCAAGCTTTAGCTCATCGTCTCCCAATGCGACCTTTTCGAGCTCAACTTCCCAGTGTGCCTTGCTGCGCACAGGGACGTAGGTGATATTACCAGTGTATGCGCTGTAGTTTGTACCACCAAATGTGACTTCACCACCGTCAGCCGCGGAACTACCGAGGCGAAAGGAGAAGACGGGCTCGTCGAGGAGACCTTGGTTGATCATGTTGTAGAAGGGAGGAGTAATGTGGTTGATGGAGATCGAAGTGTAGGCAAGGCCGAGGATACCGTCGAACCTAGTTCACGTGTTAATCGCGGTGCGTTAATGCAATGGAGCGAAATGCACATACTTGCCATGAACAAAAGGGAGGTCGGGCTCTTTGGTGGCCTCTGCAAAGTCTTGGCTACGGACAGAGAGGTCTCCGATGCGGAGGACGTCTTGGGAGACGTAGCCCTCAATAGGGCCACTACCGTACAGGATGGAGAAATCAGAGCCATTCGCCTGGTGGGTGGAGGAAGCGCTGGAGTCGTACTGGGCGTGACGTTCGCACGCGACATATATGCACTCGGAGCTGGGAACCCAGAGGTTACTTGACCTAGACACGGGTGAATCCTCGGTGTGCAACAAAGGCAATTTCCTTACCCAGTATCGAGGATAACCTTGAATACTTGAGGTGGAGTACCAAGTTCGATCTCGGTGTAATATTGAGCATTCTTGAAGTCTGGGAAGTGTGAATACAGCAGTACTGAGGAATGATAGGATGGTACATACTAGCGAGGGGGACACTGTAGCCACCGTTGATGAACTCCGCTTCCTCGATTGGTGCACGAAAGTTACGTCCAGCGCCACCAGCACCCATCAAAGGGTGTTGCTGGTAAGAAGTCTGTGCACCATACTTCTCGACTAAGTAAGCGGTCTCAAGCACATGACCAGACGAGACTTGTGGGGACTTGTTCAGCTTTAGTTTGTGAACACCCGCTGAGGCGAACGGGAGGAAAAGGAGAGTGGTGGTGAGCTTGAACGTGGAGAGCAACATCGTTAAAGAGAAAACAGACACGACAGCAACAGCATCTTAAACGAGGGAAGTATCGAGTGCCCTGGCCCCTGGTCCAACTCGGAGTTTTCCTGGTTCCGACATGTCATAGGTAGGGTCAGTTTCGGGCTCTAGCATGGGGGGAGGAGAGAGGGAGCGTCAAAAAGCCATCCCAGAGACGAGGGGACTCATGGGTAACAAGGGAGACAGGGAGGCGCCAGTAGTTCTAGCGACCGTAAGTACGATGGAAGAGTCAACGACCAAGGGTTTGCTCTTGGCGGGTGGTGCCTTCGGATGTCGTAAAAAGTTTTCATGGCATTCGTAGGGACACCCACCGATGCGGCAATTCAGTCACTTTCAGGTCCTGAGGCGGGAAATCTCAGCGGGGGACCGACAAGCATTGGCCCATCGGGATTCGGGACAGTAGTGTCTGTAAGCGAAGCTTGAGAACTGAGTCAAGGTCGGTCAGTGATAAATAGCTGGGTTTAAACCTTGTTACCCGCTAGTAAGCAAACTTGAACATGTGAGGCAGCGAACGCACAAAGCAGTCTGCGCTCAGAAGACCAAGTCTACATACACGGCGATAGCGGGCGCATTTTGGTTATGTTCTGTGGCCCGCCAGTACTACTGGTGTAAATGACATATTAGATCATCATCATGATAGTCTTAATAAGGCCCCTCTTTCGCCTTGACTCTTGAGTTATGCATATGTAGATCCACTTTTTAATGCTTCGTAGCTAAAGAGAGACGAAATAATGGTGACATATTTGCAACGTGCCTGGCATGAACGCAAATAATAGATTTCAAAGATCCTGCAGAGATATTGGTTCAAATGAGTGGATGGAAGTGCGCTCAGTGCTCGCTGTCCACAATAATATACATAGATTAACGCATCAAGGATTAATTTGACTTTCACGCGCGGGTGTTGTCAGCCTCACAGAACGTATAATACCATGTCATAATTTCTGCCGAGACCTTTCCTGTCGTTCCCAAGTCTAGTCGATACAACAGTCACTGGGTGGTGAGCAGATATCTTGCCTCTAGATAAGTTTGCTGCTGAGCCCACCTGGACCCATAGGCTTATAACGATCAAAGACGGCAGAGTATGCTGTTCCTCCACCTCCAGCCCACTTTGGATTAAATTTATAAAATCACTAAGGGGACCTTGTACATATGTACGCAGTGCCGTACCTAGTGGTATGTATACCCGCTTGTCGTCAACCTTCTCAAGCTTGACTTCCCAGTATGCCTTACGGCTTACAGGGACGTAGGAAATATTGCCAGTGTAGGCCTCGTGGTCGATACCGCCAAATGTGACTTCACCACCGTCAGCCTCGCTGCCACCGAGGCGGAAGGAGAAGACGGGCTCGTCGATGAGACTTTGGTTGATCATGTTGTAGAAGGGAGGAATGATGTGGTTGACGGAGATGGTATTGTAGGCAAGGCCGAGGATACCATCGAACCTAGTTCACGTGTTAATCGCGGTGCGCTAATGCAATGGAGCGAAATACACATACTTGCCGTGAACAAAAGCGAGGCCGGGCTCTTTGGTGGCCTCTGCAAAGTCCTAGCTCCGGACAGAGAGGTCTCCGATGCGGAGGACGTCTTAGGACATGTAACCATCCATGGAGCCACTGCCGTATTGGATGGAGAACTCAGAGCCATTCGCCTTGTAGGTGGAGGAAGCATTGGAGTCGTACTTAGCGTGAGATTCGCACGCGACAGATGTGCACTCGGAGCTGGGGACCCAGAGGTTACTTGACCTAGGGGCGGGTGAATCCTCAGTGTACGGCAAAGGTAATTTTCTTACCCAGTGTCGAGGATAACCTTGAATGATTGAGGTGGGGTACCGAGCTCGATCTCAGTATAATATTGAGCATTCATGAAGTCTGGGAAGTGTGAATACGGCAGTTCTGAGGAAGGATAGGATGGTACATACGAGTGAGGGGGACACTGTGGCCACCGTTAATGGACTCCGCTTCCTCGATTGGTGCACGAAAGTTACGTCCAGCGCCACCAACACCCATCAAAGGGAGTTGTTGAGTCTGTGCACCGTACTTCTTGGCTAGATAAGCCTCAAGCACATGCCCAGGCGAGACTTGTGGAAGTTTGTTGGGCTTTAATTTGTGGACACCCGCTGAGGCGAACGGGATGAGGACAAGAGTGGTGGCGAACGCGGAGAGCAACATCGTTAAAGAGAAAAAAGACATGGCAGTAACAACATCTTATTCCTTCTTAAATGGGGGAAGTATGCGTGCCCTATTCCGACTCGGAGCCTTGCTTGGTTCCGGCATTAGGTCCAATTTTGGTCTCTGGTATGGGGTGCTGGGGGCGGGAGAGAAAGGAGAGGGAGCGTCAGAAAGCCATCCCAGAGGATCATGGATAACAGGCGTGACAGGCGTAGCCAAGACCGGTGAGCGCCACGGGAAGGCCGAAAGGCAAAGGGGCCGAGAATGCACCCTAACAGAAGGTGAAGCCCCAGCCCAAAACACGTCATAGGTTCTCAACATGAAGAGGAGACTGCATCAAGAATCAAGATGTCATCCACAAGCCACGAATGACCTTCCTAGAGGACTTACTTCTCCGAGCCGTAATCGACCCAGAAGGTTGATGCTTGTGATGTTTGAGGATTCGCAGGACACCTCGGATATCATAAGGATCCGCACCTACTAAGGTTAGAGCGCGGTGCATGGTTTGATGTCCAGTCCAATACTCGTCGGAGCCAGGTTCGGCCAACGTGATGCGAGACAGCGACGCAGGTGCAGGTACTCAGTACTCACTAGCAAGACAGCCACGAGCGTGAAGACCCGCTGTATCTCTGTCGCAGAAAAAAAGACCGAGAAAATTCATTTCAATTTCTTCTTCACCACCTACTACTTACGTAGCGGCATGAAGCTCCCAATTGCATGTCTCGATAACACTTGCATTATTATTCGGAATGAGGAACACCATGCATGCTGCTGCCCAGCGCTGGTTCGTTCTGGCCATGTCCAGTTTTCACTGGGCATGATGCTTGGATAAAAGATTCGGAAGACAATTCACTAGAGGGATCTCAATAATGATATTTTTTTGAATGTCAGAGTACCCACCCCAGTTGTTACTTCTGCGCTGGCTCCCCCATCCGACTCGGGACTGAGTTCGGCGGCGACGGTCATAAATCTGAGTATATAGGATAGATCATAAATCAAATGCGAGAACACAAATCGGCACCTACTGTGCAGCATGTGTACCAGCAAGAACTCTCATTGCGTCCAAGTCTGTCTGAAGTTGTTCAAAGAGGTCTGCTGTCTGCCCGACTGCACGCGACATATTCTTGAGATTGGCTGCAAGTTGGCCATATAGTCTGTCTTTTGCTTGAGTAGCATTCATTTAGATACAATTGGCAAGATCTATTTCGCCAGCTTACAACTTCAATACCTGGGCCGCATACACTGGCACATCACATGACCTAGCGTGACATTTCGCTGAATTTACATCTAATTCATTGTACATGAAGTCTTAGTGAAATTCGGCTTATTATGTTGTGCGGAGAGTCTGCAGCAAGCTACACATGCAATTTGGAGAACTGAGAATGAGTAGGCATATAATATAGTAGTGTTTACAATTTCAAAGTGAAGGTGTCACCAGTCACAGATGTGTCACAATAGTAAATTTGCCACGAAAACGCCTACTCCTCCTTCAATTGGCCGAGAGTTAATATTCTGAGTAGACTAGTTTGACACTATAGCACATGCTTACAGGACTATAGAACAGACTTCGCTAATTCTAATCCAAAACAGAGTAACGAGCACAAACGATGTGTTCTGACCTCAAGTCATGTGATGAGCCGGTGTATGAACGCGGCCTATGAGTGACAGCGTGTTGTTCAAATGCCAACGATGATGGCGGGTGTAGAAAATTGGCACAAGATCTTGAATGACTATTCTTAGTTATTCTACATACTACTGGCTACTACTTACTCCGAGTCTTTCCATCATCGTGACGTGTTTTTGATATGATATGTGCTCCAATCGATTGCATGTGGCGTATACGATCCAAAAACTTGGCAAGGGCGTTTTCGGTTCCCATGACACACTAGACTGATACGTATGAACGCTGCACTGCATGGTTTGTTCTTCCGCCTCGTAGTCTCCTCCCTTGAGTGACATGACATTATCCTTGCCAGACCGCCTGCGTCTCCCAACAGCTAGGACACCGCTCACGACAGAGAACTTCGTTTCTGATGTTATTCCGCCAGTCCTATGTTACCTCGTCACAGCTTTTCTTGTCCTGCTGCCCCGAACGCAGCCGGTCCGCATTGCGCTATGGCCCATCACGGCGTTCCTTGCATTCCGCGCTGCTGGATCGTTAGATATGTCAACGGGGAGACCAAAACTTGCGTTCATGAACATCGACCTTCAAGTAAGCTGCCATCGTACCCGCATCAATTGCTACAGCGTTGACCTCGTCCTTCAGTTGTCCATGTTCAGTATTGCAGCGCGCACCCTTGAATGGACGGTACAAACGAAACCTTTTATTCGTACGGCTCAGCGATCGGCAACAGATGTACCAAAGCGAAACTCTATGCTTGACATGCTTGATTTGGCATGCAACCTTCGAGGCTATGGCTGGGACTGGTCCAAGGGGCTCTACGTCCCACCCGAGACGCTCCCTACATCCTCACGACTGGCCTTTGCCACGTCTACCCTCATCTCTGGTCTACAGCACACATTTCTTTGTGGCGCGATTCACTCTGCCGTACAGGCTTTCTCACCACATACCTTTGGCTCTGTGGATGGCGGTACCATCTTCGACGACTCCCTTCCCCCACACCTCCGTTATCTACGATCGAGCATGGTAGCCACGCTATGTGCGTTCGGCGTCTATTCAGTACTCCAAGCCGGCTATGAGCTCACCGCAGGTCTCTGCGTATTGCTATTTAGGCATCATCCAGACCAATGGCCCCCCTCATTCGACTCCCCCTGGGGTTCCACCTCTCTTAGAGAATTCTGGAGCCGACGCTGGCACCAGTGGTTCCGCCGGTCATTCATCTTCCTCGGTGGACGTCCACTTTCCCTGCTCTTCGGGCGCATTGGGGGCGTTATAGGCGCCTTCCTCGCCTCCGGGTTCTTTCACCACCTCGCACTACTCGCCATCGACCCATCCTCGGAGATGTGGCGCATGCTGCTGCCGTTTGGAATGATGGGCACTGGGGTGATTCTCGAGCATGCTGTTGCGGGGAATAAGACGGGTGGCTGGATGGGATGGATGTGGACTATGTGTTGGCTGGTGTTGTGGGGGAACGTGATGGTGGACGGGTGGGCGAGAGCTGGGATGCTTGGGGGGTCGAGCTTTTTGGATAGTGTGACGCCTGTGAGGCAACCGATTGAACGGCTGGTCAGGACGTTTGATGAGTATTTACATGCACGTTGGTAGAAAATTGCAGCGGTAGAAGTATGCGGATATTTATCGAGGTTCTCGGAGGGCTGAACAGCTGATACTAAAATACAACTTGAAGCGCAGCTCGTTATGGGCGTTCCGAGGGGAATGTCCATCAAAATTCCTCATGCGAATGGCAGTATTCGTCAGGCTGTCTAAATCATCTCTGCTCTGGCACACCTCGTAGCGTCAAGGGTAGCAGGTTTAACTTTTAAGCCCATTCGCCCCTTTTTTGAACAACTTTATCATGTCCATCGAATCAGAGTTCCGACAGTTCTTACATTTTAATTATTTTTGCGGAGCTGAACGGCTTCGATGAACATCAATATGCGTAAGCTACATAGCTCAAAGAACGCAGAGCAGGCATCCGCTTAAGGAGCTGTTCGTAGAATGACAAGTCTCTGGATACCCCACAAATGGTTGCATCTGTCACGCTCTCAAGACGAAGTAGGTTGTTAGATGCATCACAAAACGCATTGATGCCTTGGGAGACCTCCATCTCGGCCAGCCGTGTGACTACTGGCGGCGAGCGTAACGTCACAGCCTCCGGTCGTAAACTGATGAAGAGTCGCTGTAGTTTGTGCAGCTGCGCTTTAATCTCTGTTGCATTTTGTGAGAGCAGAATAGAGACAGCCGCGAGGAGGAGAGAGAGCTCGGTTAGGTCCGTGTTCGAGTGGCAAATGAGTGAGTGCCTTCACGCAGGGAGCTCTTATTTACTAAAGCAGGTGAGAGGAGTGCCATACGTGCCCCATTAGCTTGATACTAGTTAGACAGGGCAGGTTGATGATGGGAAAATTAGAAAAGGCAGCGAAAATATGCAGTGAAAGAGTTCGCAGGGATGTCGATTCCTGGAGAATATCGGGGTGATGGCACGCCACTGGCGGCATACTTGGCTGATGGCCCTGATATCGCACATATGTTGTGCTTCGCTGTGGACATAACGCAAGTCATACAGGTCTAGTGGGCGGTTGAGTATACGGAAGATGTGCTCCACAATTGCTGTTGGTAAGGACACAGCAAACTCTGTCTGGCAGTGTGGCGCACTGTCCTAACATTGTTGCGCTGCTGGTTAAAATGCAGTTTATTTTCATTGCTAAGCCTAATTATCCAACATCAGTCAAGGAGGGTAGACTTACATATAGACTGGCCAGCAAACGCTACTTGTAAGTAGACCGACGGAAAATTCCCTTTTCAAAATCGGTCACAGGGCTGTCACGTGCTCGTGGACCTGCTGAACTCGGCGAGTGGGGCCCTGTGGGGCCTCGGCGAGGCGGGTCTCTTTTTCGTCTCTCATGACCCCAAAACATAGAACTCGAATATGTCAGCGATCCGGGCAAGCGTAGCGCTCCGTCTTCAGACCGTACAATTCATGATCGAGTTGTTGATCAATGAACTGTTGATCCATGAATTGATCTGCGTCATGGCAAGAACCCGCGATCCGCTAGCAGATATAGCCGTACCGTGACGACAGGATGGCCGGATGACTGACTGACGGCGCGCAATCGTCGATCATCAATCAACTCGAATCACATACCGCTCCCGAGTCTCAAAAGCCAATCAAGAAGCGCGGATGGAAAAATGGATCATGCAAATACCAAACGCAATACAATCATGAGAACAGCTTATTGACCGACGTATTACCCTCCTGGTTCTTTTTGAGCACCTTCGCAATAGCGAACTCAAAGTCTTCTTGTGTAACATGCTGCCGCCGCTCCCGAAGCGCGTACATACCTGTTTCCCTGATTACAAAACACGTATTCCAAAGACGATCAGAGGACGCACCTGCTTCTGTACATATACCGCGCACTTCAGCGCCCGAGCACTGACCCATTTTCTCGGCAAGTGCTTTGAGGTCAATACCGCGTTGCAGCGACATCTAAGAATCAACATATTTTGAGAATGTGTTAGATCCAGCAAGCTGACAATTCACCTTGCGAGAGTGGATTTTAAGAATGCTGACGCGAGCCTCCGGGCCAGGGGGAGGAAATTCGATTTTTCGGTCAATACGCCCAGGACGAAGCAGTGCAGAATCCAGAATATCTACGGCAGGCACCTTGAGTAACCATCTATGCCTTACGAGAACCCACAAACCTATACGATTCGTAGCCATGATAACCTTGATATTCTTCGTGGCCTCGAAACCATCCAACTGATTGAGAAGCTCCAGCATAGTGCGTTGCACTTCCGAATCGCCACCTCCCGAACCACTGTCTCCTCGCGAACTGCCGATAGAATCGATCTCGTCCATGAAGATGATACTAGGTGCATGCTCCCTGGCCATGACGAACAGCTCCCGGACCATTCTGCTTCCTTCACCAATGTATTTCTGAACAAGCTCGGAGCCTGAAACACGAATGAACTTGCAGTCGGTGTGGTGTGCTACAGCGCGAGCAAGGAGGGTCTTTCCAGTCCCAGGAGGACCATAGAGAAGAACACCCTTGGGTTGGGCGATGCCGAGAGACTCGAAGAGCTCGGGGTGTTTGACGGGTAACTCGATAACTTCCTTGATTTCCTTGATTTGCTTATCCAAGCCTCCAACCATTTCGTACGTGCTGTCTGGGACTTTCTCTACCATCATGAGGGAGACAAGCGGGTCGACTTTGTTCGGCAGTATCTTGTGGATCGTATAAGAGTCGGAACGGAGAGCCACGCGCAGGGAAGCAGAAAGTTGGGACAGCTCAATTGATGGGTCGAAATCAACAACTATGAAATGCATGAGCGAAGCTAGGAGCGTCATTCGAGGCCCAGCACATACTATATTTGCCTTCAGGTTGTACCTTGACGAGAACTTTCTTCTTCCCCATAACTTTGACAATCTCACCAACATAGCTTCCAGGTTCGTGTAAGAGCTGAAGCTCCTCTCGTAGCAGCCGCACTGTGATACCGTCCCATAAAAACCCCCCTTTAGAATCAGAACGATCCAGACGCACCTCGTGCATTCAGTGCATTTCGCTGAGCCTCCAATCGACGCAAGTTCTGCGTTTTCTGATTGATCAGAAGTTCCGCAGCCTCAATCTTGGCCTGGTAGTATGACTGGATACCACCAGGTGTCTTGGTTGTTTGAACGGCGGTAGGCATCGTGAAGGGGAATGACAAGGATCACTTGCAGCTCGCGAACGTATTACGCGTCTTGAGCGTGACACAGGCGCGTCACAGTAACGCTGTCATGGTATCAATCTCTCACGTTTTGATGTTTTTCTTCCGTTCATTCGCTGTCCTTTTGTCAGAAAATCATTATTGTATGGATTTTTTTATATTTCAATTATGATGGAGGCAAATGGCCCTGTTCCTGCAGGCTGCGACACTCCTGCCTATCATTACCGCTCAAATGCCATTGCAATGCTAAGTAGTTTTGAATTGACTTCGCGTTTCGCACCCCTTCATGTCAGACGTTAATTCCAATGCTACACCAGCTTTCATTCATTATCCCCTTTAATAATCGTTCAATTTCTGATAGAACCCCGCAATCGAAACACCAAGGTCGGGTATGGTCGGGTCTATCCCTTCTCCATTCCAGGCTCACAAAAATCGGACATTACATCGATTGCACAAACATCAGCCGATACCATTCGGCTGAATGCGTGAGAGATAGACGATACTATCTCAAAGTTCCAGATTGTATATTCTTCGGCTTGGAGGGTGAAGCCCGGTTACCTGTTCTACCTGTTCTCTGGTTGTTCCCTGGTGATCGATACTGTCGAAGTCCTTCATATATCTCCGCGATTTTGTTACCAATCACCATTCCGACTTTGTGGGGTTAGTATACACATGGTGCGCTGGACCACCGGCCCAGGTCAATGTTCACTCTCCCGCAGATACGATAACGTGAGAAGCCAACAGCCTTCGCGGGCGGAGTGATCCTTTGCTTCGTTGTGACCCATGACTTTAGCAACCTACGACGGGTACAACAACCGTTAAATTCAAATTATGGAGCGTGAACTGCAAGAACCACTGGACAAACCTTGGAAGCGTACGCAATCGCTATCATTCTATTGCCTGAATATCTACACCGCTCCACCGAGGACTTCATAGGCTGCACCTACCCTGAATTACAGCCCCATAGACTAGTTAAGATACCGTCGCTCCTGCCGCCAGCAGAAATTCCCTTACTTGCCGAGAACCGCAGTGCCGCAATCAAACATGAGCGAGTGTACGACGTATGTATGATATCATGGACGAACCAGTTGGTCAGTCTTACGGGAGCAGAAAACTCTGAAAATTGTGTGGCCGCAAGACCAGAATGGACTCAGCGACATAACCGCGTGGAATTGTGCGATTCCGAAGGTACATTACAACATGCTGCACTTCTGGGTGAAAAGCCCCTACCCCTTTGGACCCATTTTGCAATTAGTATTAATCCGATAGGCGCACATTCTGACTCGTGCTTCCCCGGCGCCCTCACAAACCATATTTTCTTTTCAGCGCTGCCCAGGATAGAGCCGCAGGGCGATGGCAAGTTACGAAGTGGTTCATATCTTGCTCAGGAACGCGATTGATATCCAATCGATTCCAGTAACGACACAATGCGTAAATGATATCTTGAGCATCACGGTCTGAACCGCGTCTGTGGAGAGTAAGTTGAATCTACCAAACTGTGGGACAGTAGTTACTTGCATTGTCCAAGCCTTTAGTTTTGCCCGAACAAACTCGGACAGAGTTAGAAAGGGGATGCCTTGTAATTGCATGATAGTGGAACTATCTAGTCGTCGGGGTCCATGCTCGCCAGCGGGCAGGATCTCAATCTCCAATGCCGCCGTCATTAACAACGTCGTCGAAAAACGCGTGAAAGACAGGCTCACCTCGATAGCTGGGATGAGCCGACGATACGTGGCATGGAGGCTAGATAGACTCGGTTACAAGAGGGACCATATTAGTAGGAGACTCCTGTACCGGTTGCTCCACGGCGAATGTGTGGTTGTGAAGTGTTCACTCCCCACAACGGCTTGCCTGACTCGACGGAAGGGGTGTGTGGAACCACCCTCAACGATACAGAATATTTCCTGGAGGGACGTCACTATGAAGGCGTGTGGGCACAAGACGTAGTTCACTCACATCGCAACGGGGATTGTCAGCGAGCACGGCAGTGACAATGCTACCATGGAAGGCGTGAGCAATGGAGTGCTGACGCAGAAGGAGAGAAAGCGCGTTTGCTGCTTCCAAAAGCCTACGGGAATCAGACATAATGGTGCGGGGTGGGTGGGTGGGTAATAGAATGGGGTATCAGAGGGAGACCATGGTATAAAATATAGAGGCGAAAACAGAGGCGAGGCAAAGGCAAACCGAATGGGTATGTAATAGATCCGTGACCCAAGAGAAATCCTGAAAAAGAACAACAGATGACGGTCTGATCTTCATCTGATTTGTGCTGCCTCATCTCAAGGTGATGTGGGACTGTGCGATCTGCCCAGAATGGCGAGAGCACATGTCGAGAATAAGTTTGCACGATGATTTAGAGGCCACTCGGTAGGTCTGAAATAACCTGAAGCAGACCCAGGAAAACGTAAAAGACTATAGGACGTCAGGTACCTGGACGTGGTCGATCGGTTAATTTTGTTTAAAACAGAGTTGATCTACTGGTCTTGAACTCGCAACAAAAATGTCTGCAAATAATGCGACGGTACTGGCGCATCTCAATAGTGAAATATTCACGGAAAATGGGTCAACCTGGGGCAAGAATGCGGGGTCAAATATTGGGGTCAGATGGGGGAAACCTGCAGGGGGCCCCGGACCTGACTAGTGACCAAATTTGTCAGAGCTTGTTGTCACATTTGGCGTGACTGAAGAACGTTGTAAAATTTCAAATTGACATCAAATTATAATAATGTAAATATCTAATTGATTATCGGACAAATTTCTTTATGACTATTTTGTCTGAATCCGTTTCTAGGTCTTTGACACAAATCTGCACTCGTCTCCTCCAATTGCGTCTGTGAATGCATACAGCTCTTAGGCGTGTGCACACCAGCAATGTGATGCTATTGAGCCGAACATCTCCTCATACAAAGCTCATTCCTCCTCGATGCGGAGGGTACGCGCTCTTAGGCTCCACTTATCCTTCTCCATCACAGCAGCGGTCAATTCCTACCTCACTTTTACGCGTCAGACATTTTCATCTCGCGTCATGGAAGAATTTCTTTCGGCAGAAAGATAATGAGTCGTCTGGAATGTCCGACACTCAGGAGGAAATAGCCAAAGCTGCCATCCTCGAGAAAGTCATGAAAGGCAGGCAGCTTACAGACCTTATGCTACGCTGTACGTTCTCCTGCATTCAATTATCTGTTTTTTTGCGGCTTACAGAAGCACAGGCACTATCCTGGATCACGCGGGTAACCTTGTCATTTTCTCAGCTCATCCTTCCGATTCATGCCCACATTTATCGCTTTAGGCAATATCAAGAACATTTCTGGTCAATTCAAACGGTCTGACCTGTGCAACGAGCATCGCTTAAACGTAAGGAGGATTATGTCTGCAGCCTGGGATTCGGGTTGGACCCTTGCTGAAACTTTAATGAAGCCTCGTGATTTACGGAAGATTGATTCACGAATACCCAACCTTGTTCCTACAATTCTCATTCGCAAAGGAGCTGTTCTAGTGCGTCGCTACGTGTACATATCTGTGACCTGGTTATAACATCGACGTCTAGATCAATATGCTCCATATACGGGCGTTAGTCAAGGCTGATACTGTGGTATTGTTTGATTCTTATGGGTCCAACGATTCCCGTCTTCACTCTGTGTTTCTGTACCATCTCGAGGTGAATGTCTTCCATCAGATATTTTACGTGTATTGACTGACCCCATTCAGCATAACCTGAAAGCCCGAGGTAGCGGCGCTCCTTACGAATTTAGGTAGGCTGCTCGCACCTTCGTCATTTCCGCGCTGCATCCAGGGTTTCATAGAGCAATCGAGTCCATTCTTCTCTCCGTTCTCAGCGCATTAGAAGCCGAGATGGTGTTCATCCGTAACCTCGTTGGCGGTCTCTTGGCAGAGCTCGAGGACGATATCAATCATGACAAATTCAAACGCCTGCTACACTACTCAAGACGTCTGGTAGCGTTCAAAAATCGCGCTAAGCTGGTATGATTTTTTCAAATTTATTGGTCGTCCCCATGGGATCTTTGTTTTATTCCCATGCTAGGTCCAAGAGGCGCTGGAAGAAGTGCTCGAACAAGGTTAGCACTTGGACTATTGTAATAGTTTGAGGGTTTGAACTCGTCATTCAAGACGATGATTTGGATGCTATGTATCTCACTGACAAGAAAAATGGTGTTGCGCGCAACATGCATGAACATGAGGAACTTGAGGTGCTTCTGGAGTTTTTCTCCAAACAAGTAGAAGAAATCGCCAATGAAGCTGAAAACATTGAGGTGGATTTCATTTTTGGCGCATACCTTTGAGTGAAAACCTCACCGTCCTCAACAGGCCAACGTTCAATCCACTCAAGAGATTGTTGAACTCATCTTAGACTCGAACCGTAACGCACTTCTCGCGTTGGACCTTAAAGTGAGCATTTTCGTCCCATCCGAGTGATGTGAAGCTGAGATATGTCAGGTATCCATCGGAACTATGGGAATTGGTACGGGAGCTCTGATAGCAGGTTTATTCGGTATGAACGTCAGTCACTCGTCACAAGATCCCTCATACCCGCATTGACAAGACTCAGTTGAAAAGCCACATGGAAGAGATGCCCTATGCCTTCATGACGTTGTGCACCCTCTCATCAGCTGTTGCACTGTTCGTAGCATGGGCCGGCCTTAGAAGGTATCGTATCCGATCGCTGTTGCGGACCGCAATTGACCTTCGTTCTGACATCATTCAGACTCGCTCAGATACGAAAAGTCGGACTTTCTAATCCCAAACGAGTACAAGATTTGGAAGTGCGTCCACGAATACCACTGCCCTTGCGCCGGCGAAGCTCGAATGGATGGTCATGATGATCAACGAAACCCATAGAATGCTATCGACGCTATCGCTGCCTCGCGCACAACTACCATAGACGCATCAACACTAGCCGTTCAAGATGCCCGCATTTGAAGGATCAAACCGTAAATTAATCTATCTACATCATGTCGCCCATCTCCGTACCTGCGTGTTTGCGCCACATACCTAGACGACGTCATCTATGTATGTCTTGTGATTAGATTATAGAACCCAAAGAAATTTCGGGGTACTAATCCTCTTGCCACTGAGTCCGATGCCTCGATGCAAACCATCCCGGTGATCTCACAGTTCTTTTGCCTGATTCCGCAAATCTTATCGGTTGTTCCCAGCCCGTGTTCCTATTGAAACCCTGGTGACATCAGCAACCCATTCTGCACGCATCGAGGATAGCAAAATGCCCTCATCCCTTCCTCCCGATAAGTGACGTCGAAGCCAACATGAATATTGGCCCTGGTCGGGCGGTAAGATTAGCAACATACATCCATACAACCTGTAGATCGGGCAATTGAAATTAAAGATAACGACGTAACATCCTAGATCTCGAAGCGGCAAAACACAGCTACATCATCCCCCAGGTGTATGCGTACATGAAGTGTCCCGCGTAACATGTGTGTGATAGATAGGCGATGCGGCTGCGTCCGTGAAGTATATGCAAATTCTACATACTTGGAAAACGAAAGATGACGCATGCGAATGGGAGAGGCACAGCCTACTCCTGCTCATTACTTGGTGGGGGCATGTCAGGGATCAGATAATGCATGCGGCGAGGGCTTCCAAAGCTAGCATCATGAGACAGCCCTGGGATGCCATGTGGTGGGGGCAGTGGCTCTGTGCTGTGCGAATGGGACGATCCACCGGCGGTGAACGTTGACTGCGTGTCTACCGCGCTGCGATAGTCATCGCGAAGCTCCGACGGATCATAGTGCGGCACCGGTTTGCGAGAGGTGCGGTGAGTGTTGGACGAAGCACCTGCCGAGGGCTCACGCCCGCTGGAGGTTGCAGCTTCAGGTGAAGGTGGGTACTCGTCCCGCCCTCGGGTTGCAAACGTGGGTGTTCGCGGAGTGGTGGGGGTAACTATAACCGGCATTGACAAGCGCTCGGCACGCAGGTACATGGAAGTTTCCATGGATGAACGTATTCTAGCTGCTTGCGACTCGAGGTTTTGTTCGGAGTTGCGCACAGAGGTGACACGGGCGCGACTAACGTCGCTACGGAATGACGGATCTTGATAGGAGTAAACAGACGTGCGGCGATTGTAGTGTGACAAAGGGGTGTCAAGAGGATCCAAAGGGATCACTTCCCTGGGCGAGTGAGGGGGTACTACTTTCTCCTCCCCATGGTATTCGTCTGAACCAGGTGTTGTGGTGGTTTCTGACGATTTGCCACTATCAGCGACAACGAGTATTTCACCCGTCGACTCCGAATGACCGTGGGAGTGGGAAGCGAGGTCACAAGCATTGCTTCCTGCCAGTGACCTGGCAGCTTCAGAGTCATTGGATTTCAACGAACCCCACCTCCTCCCTACTTTCTGCTTAGGCTGGCGCTTTCCGCCACGAGAGCGACGTCGGCGGTGAAGGTAATATAGGACAAGCGAGCCAAGAATAATCAGTCCTGCTACACCACCGACCACAATCCCCACGATTTCACCGATACTGGGTGACTTTGTGTAGTTTTCGACTGCGGTCAATGAAGATGAGGGCAAGCAAGATGTGTCGGATCCGTTGCTAATGAAAAACGATGTGGAAGGAACGTTGAAGCCAGCTACGGAGCACTGTAGGTTATACCATCCCTGTGACTGATTCACTTTAGGCCACGTCCAGGAGTGTAAGGTGGCACTAATGTTCGCCAGAGTTACAGAGACGTTCTGCCCAGCGCTGTTTTGACGGCGGGAGAGATGCTGTGTATAGGGATCAAAGACGTTGATGTTCGTGATAGAGAGCAAGAGATCAGCCGATGGACCGGTGTAGGTCCAGGTGATGATGCCTGGAGTACACGTTGTCATGTTGTTGACGACATTGATTGAAAACAGGCTTGAGGTTGAAGAAGGGGTCACTGCGCTAGCCATCGATGTCATAACATGTGAAGAGGTAGACGAGGACGAATTGGACAAGGTTGAACTTGTATGCGATGAAGTGGACTGCAAAGATAGAATGGAGCCTACGATCTGGCGAGGATCCGGATGTGTAAGTGGCGATACTTGCCGTTCGGCATGCTGAGCAGACTCAGCGATAACACCTGCCCACTGAGCTGCGATGGCGTAGAGCCAGCAGAGCACCAGCACAGTTGACAGCATTCTTGCACTTGTGAGAACATACGAATATGAGATAGTCGGTCCGAAGTACTCACCAGCTGATGATGGAGGCTTTTATGCACTAGTACTTGATCCTGGCACGAGATTAGCAACAGGACGATCTGAACAGGCTGCACTACGAAGCCCTCGTCTGGGGCTCTTGAGAGGAACAGAATGAGTGGGGCCGCTTGAGACGTACAACGTGGAGATTGTTGCCGAGTTCTACACAATAAAATTTGCCTGGGATAGATTCGGGTCCGTCCACGGGGATACCAGTGTAATGGTGGTTCCCTTTTTCTCAAGCGGATCTGTGTCTCCGTTCCAACGGGTCTAATATATAAGGACACCCCTGGACCTGCAGATGCCCACACGCCGTCGTTCTTAAAAGACTACGCTGAATAGTGCTCAATGATTTATCAAAGTCATTAACTACTTGAAGGCGTTCCTTCGCTCTATGTTCGTCGGTTCAATGGTCTAGTGGTTATGATTTCTGTCTTACACACAGAAGGTCCTGAGTTCGACCCTCAGTTGAACCATCATTTTTGTCAGAAAGTCTCACGACTGAGTTTTTCGCCCCACAAGTCACGCACCGTTATTTTTTCGGTGAAATACTAGACTAGTCGTGGACAAGTAGACCAAGGAGAACTCTCGTTTGGGTGGTCACTTTTTCATTCAAGAAACTCTGCTACTTATAATTACGAAGGGCAGTCTGCCGCGGCCGCATGTTTAGAAGGTGGAACAGCCAAAATAGATTCAAAAAGTATATACACTATACGAGACATCATTTATCTTTGCGTTTGGTCAAGCATACAGACTTGCCATACTGCTGTGCCAGCCCATTCGATTTGGACCAAACTCAGGTTACCTAGGCGAGTATGTACTTATAAATTACAAAGCGAAATGTCCCGCCTGGGATAAACTTCGGCTTACGATGCCTCCCGCGAACCACATACACGAGTTCCAGACTTCGGGCGTCGTTCTCACCCAAAGTTTCTCACCCCCTGACTGTCGCTATTCAGTTGGGATGCCGAAGTTTGACTACCGCGGAGAGTTTGGCCTTTGACATTGACATGCGCAGCGTTTTTGGTGACATGCTTATCCTGAAAGGGAGTAGTGAGTGAATTGTAATCCTCGATGGGGATGACAGGGTAAGGGGAGAATTTTACTGCTCACATGGTCACGGAGCCAAGGAGAACTTTATGCGGCAATAATGTCAGGCAATAGTGCTACCCATAATTGAAGAGTATAAGGGAACTTGACATATTCGTTGATGAGATGGACATCGTTATCACATCAGCTGGCATACTTGTCGTTCACGGGACCGCGGAAGAAGCATCGATGTGTGCATGAAATATGTGAATATTCTAGCGCCCCGGTCCCTCTCGCAAGGAAGGTGATTATGAATGCGGTCCGAGTTTCAGTGGAACGGAACCAGACAAAGCCCAGTCATGGCCAAGGTTTCATCCCAGACATAGAATGACGGCGTCTGGGGAATTTCAATGGTCCCAACACGAGAGCACTGAAAACAGCAAGGTCAGTAGGGAATTAACGAGGTGAACGAATGACATGAATAGCACGTGCCTGAGACCAGCGCAAAATCTAGTATCGCAAATTGCAAATCAAATGAACGTCATTGTACATCTATCTGGGTTCGAAGGTCGTTTCGAGGATTAACCGTCATCGTGGAGTCCTTGCTTACACTCTGCCCAACTGAGAGTTTCCAGAGGGAGCCGAGATGAGGCCCTTGATGCTCCCGTGGTGTTTCCCACCGCTTGAGACTAATCCTGAGGACCGTTTTTCTGCATTGTCCGTTCGAATTGCAAATCCATTAATACCCTGCGCTGGGCGCGAAGGTCGGATCCTAGTGGACAAGGATGGGCGTTGCCACGTTTATCTGCACGGTGTATGATTCAAGGAGTAGATCATCCATAACTAGAAAAATGGTCTGTAATTGGAAACTTGATGTGGCCATACTGTGGAAACTCTAAACCATCATCAAGGTACGATGACGACCTCGTTGTAAATGACAATACTCACTGCAAGATCATCTACAAGGTGAGTCAAACGAGGCTCAGATCGGCGACTGGGTTGCGCTGATGAGAAATCAGTAGTACAGTAGGTCGGAATCGTCCACAGCGGTCACCTTGTGATCAAGCCACAATTGATACCGAAAAAGTATGAGTCGCCGTTCGTATTTCAATTATGTTCGATCATAAACCTCCGACACTGCCGCCAGAGACGGAGAGAAGACGTATCCCCACATGGGGAGAGAAAGTTTTAAAGTGTCTCGTGAGCTGCGAGAAGGCCTGGGCATGGAAGAAAGACTACTTTCCTTGTATATTCTAGTCTGCACGACAAGCCTAACCAAAAATTTGCACACACCCAAGGAAGCACGCATCTCGTGACAGGTTGAATTCAGCTGGCAACCTCACAAAAGAAACGACCGTTTCCCTCCCGAGTTCTACATTAGTCCACCTACAGGAAATTAGTTTACAACACGCGTGAGTGCATAATCCTCCCGTCTTAGGTTGTGCTCAAAAGTTTCACTCACCACAATTCCATGTCACAACTGAACGTTGAACGTTCAATCACCGCACACTCAAGAGCCCTTGGTCACGACTAAGAACGACGCTGAAGTGAAGAACTTTGTTCCATGCACTGTGCCCCCACAGCGCAGTGCTTGCGACAGAGCTTTCACGGGTGCTCGAGAGTTGCCAAGAGACTTCAAGTTTGGATGCCACGTGCACGTTTTCTACCACTGCCCGAACGAAGCCTCCGGGGATGCGACTCTTTTCCACGGAGTAGAATCTTGTGATCTACGTACACGATAAAGAATCGCATCCTCACTGGACGGCAGAGCACTCCGTAATAATGCTCCTTCCATCTCATCACTACTGTGACACGCTCGTCAGACAGCAAAATGACAGTGCGTCAAACATCCTAGATGTGGTCAGTTAAACCTTCGCAAAAGCTCATGACGAACTTGAACGTCGTTCCTCTGGTCTTCCGTTCGATGATTAGGTCGCTCCATCGAAATCTGCTGGTATCATCACCGACTTCTTTAAAATAAAACATTAGTCCCTATACAAGCATTACTTGTGAGCTCAATAGCTTTTCGCCCACCGTGAAAGCTCGAAAGCAGAATCGCCGACAGATAGGCTCATGGCGTCGAATCGCTCCGATTAGGTTATCGAATGTGGCGGAGATGCCCAGCTATCGGTATTGGCGCCTCGGGTTTGACGAGCACAATGAGGATAGCCAAATCGGTGACATCGTCATGCACATTCTTCAAGCCCAGAATTGAGTGAATACACGCAGTATTTGTCGAGATAAAATTCAAAACTGTCGAAAGTTGAAACACTGGAAAGGCGCTGTGAATCAATATGTTGCAAACAACAATAAATATAGTAAACATACCTTAACAATCAACAACAACGCGCACCCCTTAGTGTTACCACAGGCTGAATATTGCAACTGAACTTTGAAGTAACTTTAATGGTCAGATTATCTCGATCTCTCGAGTCGACATGCCCTGTAGTTGTAAAGGATTTGAGGCATGCATTGACAGAAAGGTGCGGCATGATTGAATCACTCTGCATCCTTATTCAATTGTAATCAGCATTCCAGTTCTACTTAGGGTAGGCAGGCGCCTCGCACCATCCCTTCTCAGAACCATATATATATGAAGGGTACTCCACACCCTCGCCTTTGAAATTTGAGCGCTCAAAGACATCTATCTTGCTCTTCAAATATATTCCACCGAATCCAATCACAATGGGCCAGTGTTTCAGCGACACAGCAAGTCTCACCGATTTCGTCAACAGGCCAGGTTAGAAATATATTATATGACGTACCTCACGAGAGATCAAACAATACTCGTCAGGTGAGGAAGACAAGCAACTCACGGCTCAGGATCTTGAGCGTGGCTTCAACCTAACGGCCGAGGCGCTCAAGAAGGAGAAGAAACAGATCACTATCGTTGCTGTTGGGGGCGCTATCAATACGATGTTCCTCCGTGCGTATTCGGTGGTCTCCCTATATCCCATTGACATAATAATGCAATTGAATATCTCGCTCAGGCTCCCGCGCCTCTACAGGAGATGTAGATTTCTTTAGCGTTGATAGGACAAACCACAAGGTCTTGCAAGGTGCAATCGAAAGCACCGCCAAGACCATGCAGCTTGGTAAAGGCTGGATGAACAACCACACCGCCATTTTCATCCCCGCCGACACTATGAACAACATTTATAATGAAGCGATTCGCAATAATGTAGTCGTCTTCAATAAGCCTGGGCTCAAGGTGGTCGCCGCGCCCTGGATGTACTGTCTGGTAGCGAAACTGGAGAAAGCCGGGAAGGCTGGGAATTCGAAGAGCTATGATATGTCGGATGCAGCACAGTACCTGATGCAAGAATCCAGGAGGTGCAATGCAAAAATAAAGGTGGCAAACATTCACGCCAAGGCGGTAGAGTATGGAGTCAAAATACAGGCAGCAAAGGTGGTCGAGTTAAAGGCTATGTGTGGAGCGTACATGGAAGGATGAGTCGGGGTAGTATGGTAGTATAAGACATGTATGATATTGTTTGACCAAAACTCGTGAGTGGGTATCGCTGCAACATAAGTGTGCTTTTAGTATGAGATAGTGCGAAATACGTCGAGATATCTTATATATCAACGACTACAGGAGGCCGTACATCTCGGTCTCGCGGACCTCCTATCACAGAGGCATTGACAGCAACTGTCCTCACACGGCTATTCTGGCCACCCCAAAGCATCGCCCATAGCAAACGCATGGTATAGAGCCAGCCCCCTGTTTTGCGCACAACGTCCTCCCAAATTGACTGAGCCGGGTTCCAATGCATATTCTCGATCCCACGACCACCGTGGATGTGTCCAAATACATGAAGCGCTGGGGGCTGTCTCCTACAAAGTTCCCACATACGTGCAAGTAGGGCTCTGCAACCAAGACCGTTGAGGTCGAGATGACCGTGTGGAGGACCGTGAGTGACAAGAATGTCTGTGTCATCGGGAATGACAGACCAACGGCTGGGACTGTCAGTGGTACCGGTACGTGGGTATTGGAAGGCACCATTGCCGTGCTTCGGAGTGAACGGACTACCAAAGATTTTGAATATGCGACTGCGCACTTGAATGGTGTGTGCCTCGTCCTCCAGATAAATAATTCCACGCTCTCGCCATGATTGAGCCCATGAGCGACCTTCTTCTGTCTGTAGGAATGTATCGTGATTACCGGCTATGACGATTTTGTGCTCGTGTGGAAGGGAGACTAGCCAGTCGAAGGTGACTTGGAGCTCACGAGGAGTGCCAGAATGGGTAAGATCACCTGCGTGAATGAGGATATCACCAGGTGGTATCAGGGAAGATATGTCGGTATTGTGAGTGTCTGAGATGCATATGGTTCGGACGGAAGAAAATGAACATGGCGGACTTGGTTGTCGGCTGAGACGGCTATATAGCTTGGAGGCCAGATAAAGGCTAGGGTTCGACTTGAACAGCTCCCATGTACTTGGAGCCTTGCGATAAATGATTTCATCCAAGCTAGACATGAACAAGTCAGTACTGCAATCAAGTACTGCGTAGGAACTAACAATAAGCGCTCTGAATCAGACTCTAAATTCCCAACCCACGTTACATAACCGCCCGACACCTTGGTCTCTTCTGAATTCGACGTCTCAACGTTCAACGTTCAATACCTAGTGAGTAGTTCATGATGCTGGCGTAACGTTGCAGGCACTTTAGCCTAGTTCTTCCATCAAATAGGAGATTCGACACGTGTAATTTGCTCGAATCCGACCGGCTTCAGAAGTTCAGCTTCATCCATGCCACACGAACAGATACAGAGGTAGGTCAATCGATTCACTTCAATAAACATTAAATTTATGTTCAGTCTGCGCGAACCTATCCCTCCAACCCCTTCAAAACTCCTCGCAGATCGCACCGCAGTTCTCCAGAAATATCCACTTCGAAGACCCATGTCATGGCGACACTCCCTCATTCCTCGACCTCTTGTTCACCGACTTTTCCCACTCATTTCTCCTTTACCTAGCGATACACCATCTGCGTCTTTCTATCGCCTTTATCAATTCTTCGTCATAGACTGGACAGTCCAATTCCGCAACGAGCTCGAATATTTCTGGACGCAGTCTCAACCCGATTGGGCGCTCTCAGCTCTACCCGATCCATATCCCCATAATAAATCCACCACAGGCTTTGCAACTGACGCAGACGAGGCACTTCAATACGCCATCATGGCTGGATTATGTTATATCATGGAGAAGGCATACAACCGCCTGATTATGAAAGGGCTACCCCGCGATGCACCTGCTGTTGTGGATGACTTTGAGGAGCTGCGGACACGCCCGAAACACCCAGAGAAGGTCCCAGCATGGGCAGAAGCGGTCGTTCCACTCGGTGAGATTATGGATATCCCTGACTCGGAGGGGAACGTGCCTACGGATGAGGATGCTGATGAAGATTTTCTCCGTTTTGGAGTACGGGTGGCGACGCCTCATTGGGTTTTTGTTTGAATGGTGATCGATGTTTTGGAGGTGTCATGGAGGTGCGTTCATGGTCATAGCAACTTTATCAGACACTAGTACCTCCTGATGTCTGTCCTTCACGATTCAGCATGACTCGGTTTTCATTTCATGGCAGTGTATGTCTCGTCGAAAAGTTCGACATTCATTGGGTGCCGTCTGTTTAATATCTCTAGGTCGTACACGACTGATGTACCTGACTCCAGTAAGGGCTTATCGGAGTCCGTCACCTCAATCGTGTGCGACAATTTTTGATGTGACTCCCTTGCGTGCTACCTTTCACATACCGCTATCATTTGGCTTGTTATGACCTGGGACTTTCGAACCTCTGAAACTTTCTCCCAACCACCTGCCTAGCCTCACAGGTGTTGTGTCTTTATTTGAGTCTTGTATCTTCTAAGACTCATTTGAGGATTTTCTCTGCCGTTGGCGGGATCCCAACCCGCGTCGAGCAAACAACCTCCCTCGAAACGTCCCGTTTGCGCATTCCCCGCACCCAATCCACTCGCGTCCTAGTACGCTACTTGGTAACTTTATAATGGGGAAATTTCGCGCCTACGCGTACAAAAACGGTGGGAGGCCACCTTCGGAAATATTAATGTTACATGTCCGCAAGTTCAATGGAAGTTGGAGCGGGACTAGAGAAACCAGTGCTTTCAACTTTGGAGCGTAGAATTCAAACAGTCCCAGTCAACGATGCAACAGCGATGAGTAGTTGTAATGAGACAATAGCACAGGACCGATACCGTGCTCATGAACATAGGACGGCACAAACTGTGAGATACTCCGCAAGCGAGAGGGAAGAGAGAAATTAATGAGTGACAGAGAGCCTGCTAGATGACCACGTGGCTCCCGAGGAGGAGAACGACGACGACCGCAGAAAAATCCACAGCAGCTCACTCCTTCATAGACAACTTCTCCTGCCCCGTCAGTCGCGCCTTGTGGTAGCCCTTGTGAACCTTGTAACCCCACTGCAGGGTGAACTGGTTGCGTTGAACTGTCGGGCTCGTTGCCATCCAGACGTCGCATAGCTGCAGCCGCTTCCGCGTCAGATTCAGGGGCAATACCATATCTCTTCAACTATATTTCAATAATATCAGATGAACAATGGGGAACCACTTACATCTTCATCGCGACAAGGAGCAATATTTACGGGATGCGTGGATATTCCTACAGGAAATAAGCTGAAATTCCGACCCCGGGGCTGGAGCGGTATTGATTATAGCGTATTTACAAGTCTGGCGCTGAAACGCAGAAAACTGAACAAACTGCAGGAGATGACGGGCTCTGGAGCGGAGCGGAGCCGCACGGTGAGGCGTGCGGTTTGTATCGTTGCCCCAGAAATCATCGCTTTGTATCAGCGTCAGGCTAGGAGTTCAGGAACGAAAAGCTATACTGAAAAGCCTCTGTTGTTGACCTGCAGTTTAAAAAGAAGACGGACGTTAAAGATCTAACGAGATAAATGAGTAAATGATGAGGTTACTCACACCAGATTGATGCACGCCTCTAGACGGAGCTGCACGCTCCTGGAAAAGAAGTGAGATGTAGTGTGAACGAGAAGCAGAGATTATTTGCCTGGGGCTTCGTGTCGAGCTTTGCATCCTTGTCATGCGCCTAAACGACAACTACATTCCTTAGACAATAAACCAACAACAGCAGTGTGCATACGCACGCCAATCTGCTGTTGGAGCACTGCCTCCATGCTCCATACATAAACATTTGCGTCCTATCCAGCACTAGCAATGTATTTTCCATGAGGTAACATGGCCACAGTGAAGACTTCGTCGTCGTGCAAGAGTGGGTCACCGACTGGCTGATTGGTTTAGAGGTCCCAGATGCGAACTGAGTAATCCCACGACGCGCTGACAAGATGACATTCATCCGGAGAGAGACAGAATGATTTGACGCCAATGGCATGACCCCTAAGAACGACGAGCTCCTCCCCATCAATCAACCGCCATTCTCGGATGGTGCTATCGAACGACGAGGACAAGATGTGGGCGCCGTCATTGAACCAAGATAACGACGTCACGTCGCGGTCATGTCCCTTGATCTCGACGAGCAAGGTCCATCCTATCTCCCAACGTGTGGACGTACAGGTCGAACGTCCTGAACGGATCACTCTCTGAGGTGAATATGACAGGGAAGCTCGGTGCCGATACCGCAGCATATCAGTCTCAGCTGGGCGTTATGGTGCGAAACTAGCTTCGACAAGGGCTCTGAACGCCTCGAGGATTGTGAGCGTTTCTGAGCCATCATCGTCTTCTCTAGGTTCAGGGAGTAAGGGGAAGCGAACATTTGCGGAGACTTGGTGAATGATGCATGGAAGGGCTACCACTCATAGTTGGATTGGGAGGGGAGAGTCGAACGGTTCAAAGTAGGCAATGACGCTGGGCCGGGGAACGTACGAGTGAATATTTTGACCGAGAGACGGACGCCGGGAGGGACATTGATCGAAGATAACGATAATTTGCACGAGTGGATTAGATGATAGTACTCAAGTTCGAAAAAATCAATTTACATAATAACACTGACGTCCGGTATGTGACTGTATATACTGACCAGCGCGAACTCCTGGCGCCAAACTCCGGGCGATAATACTGGGTGTGGACGAGGTTTATAAGTTGTCCAGGTTGTTCTTCTGCTCGGGGTTCCACAGACAGGGACCACACACTCGGGGTCTCCACGGCCCTTTCCATAGCTTAGGTCAGCATGTAGAGTAGATTCCAGTGTGTCCGTAGAGTAGCACCATCACCATTCGAGGCTGTTGCCATTGCTCTAGGCTGAGACCGCCGGCCCTGCTCCAACGGACTTGACTTTCTTTTGATAACTTGGCTTGGATAAGTCTTCAGATAAGTAAGGGAAGTACGAGGTGCAGGGACTTTGATTCACCCATAACTTGCACCCATGGGAATTTGTAACAAAACCTTGCTTATATCCGCTATAGAACCGAAATTCGAGTAACACACAAACCGCTGTTCTTGAAGCGCTTTGAAGGAGATGAAGAATATTGTCAAAGCCGCATCTCATTATCTCCCAATGACCGCATCTCAAGGCATCATCCGTCAAGACAGCGTGACTTTGGCCTATCGGACCACCCCTCCCACTCAACACCAGCCACGGGAATACAACCCGCCGTGCGCACTCCGAACGGATAAACGAAATTGCTATCGTGTAGGTTTGCTCTCGCTGCATCCTTTTAGGCAGATTTAATTCGGTCAGAATCACTACTATCACCAGCACGGTGCACCGGTCCTAGTACATAGCTGTGGAATTCTTATCGGTCCGCAAGATGCGTAAGAAGACGATATAAAAGAGGCGAATTAACTGCACCTGCAACTTGAAGTTGCAAGAACTAGACGCTTCTACACCTCTTCACGTCCTCTCAGAATGAGTTTGAGATCCGTTGTACTCAGGGACGAGAAACATACAGGGGTCCTTTTGTCGACCAAGGACGTCGACGCTGGCGCTCAGCTCGTGGCTGGTTCAACTTCAGCTCTTGATCCAGATGAGGCTTTGAAAATAAGGTGCGCTGTGAAAATTGCACACACATCAACATTGTTCGGAAGCTTTCGTTTCAGGAGGAAGATCGATAGACATATCATGCCTCTCATGTGTGGTGAGTCGACCGCTGTACTCGATCATTTAAATCTATCACGTCTGAGGATCACCGTTCAGTTGTTTACTGGTAGGTAGACTGTATTCACCACAAATCAGTGCTTACATGCGCATAGTATCCAAGCTATGGACAAGACAACCTTGGGTTCTGCGGCCATACTTGGAATTCAGTAAGGATTGTATGTCGAAACCAGCCAAAACCGGTACTGACGCGTGTCGTCAGGCAGGCGACGCACCTGACCACGAATGAGTAAGCTGTTCTCGTTCTTGTTCCTGGTGTTCAAATTCTGAAGGTCAACTTTAGGTACAATTGGTGAGAATATATATATTACTCGAGCTGTATATTCATACTATCTTCGAGGCTTGGCACAGTGTTCTATCTCGGTTTTTTTGTCTTCGAGTATCCCCAGAACCTTGCCCTTCAGAGATTCCCGGTCGGGAAATGGATGAGGTAGGCCTTACAGGCATTATCAATTTGAATATCGATCACAGCATCTATCAGTATCAATATCTTCGTCTGGGCAATTGCACTTGCATGTCATGCAGCATGCAAAAGCTTTACTGGGCTTGTTGTTGTGCGCTTCTTGCTGGGCGCATGCGAGGGGTCGGTCACTGCTGGATTCTTGATTGTTAGCTCCATGTTCTACACACGGACGGAACAGACACTGCGGGTTGGTTATTGGTGTAAGGTCCAGTTCGCAAATGATCGGCGAAGTCGACTAATTAAAAACCCAGTTCTGATGATTGGCACTGGTGCGCTTACTGAAATACGATGCTTGATGTTGCCGCCTAAGCCAGCGAACTCTAGGACAAATCATCTCTGGTTTCATCAGCTTCGGTACTTTGCACATGAATACCAAAGGGTTCGAACCATGGCAATGGTCTGACATTTATTTATGTTACTCCATATTCTCAATAGATCGCAGGCTCATGATCATAACCGGTGTAATGACGTTGATCATTGCCGTCTCATTCTGGTGAGTCCATTCCAAGTGCCTAGTATCATTAACCAAGAGATCTCCGCGTGATGGAGGTTATTTTTCCCCGATTCACCTACGAACGCTTGGTTCCTCACTCCCAATGAGCGGGTCAAAGCTGTACAGCGCATCAAGGCGCGTCTGTCAAAATAACTGATATCATTTGTTATCTTACAATTAGTACAGGAAAACCAAACAGGTGTAGAAAACAAACACTTTAAGACGGAACAGTACGTATCAGATGCATTTCTTCTTCTTTTCTTTTCATTCTTCCTCACATACTCATCTCTAGGATGGTCGAAGCCTTGACTGATCCCAAGACATGGCTCTTCGCCCTCTTCTCGGCTCTAATCAATGTGGTTAACTCACTGACAATCCAGCAATCTCTCATCATCGCTTCGTTCGGATTCACTGATGTACAGACGACTCTCTTGTCTTGTGTTATTGGCGTGGTTTTTATCTTGGCAATCTTCACTGCTATTAGGCTTGCTACACGATGGCCTAATTCCAGAGCATATATTGGCGCTATTTCATTCATCCCGGCGTGGTCGGGCATCCTGCTGGTAAACCTACTTCCTTGGTCAGATCGGGTATGTGGCTTGCTTCTGCAAGTCTACCGAGTCGTCTTTAATATCACATATCTCACGGTATTAGGCTGGACTCCTTGTCGGCCAGTACATGAGTACGTGTGATGCCCACAGTGTGCTTGTATGCTCATTGCTCCATAGTCGCTATCTCCGTAGCTTCATTTGCACTGGCGTTGTCGTGGCTTAATAACGTGACTGCTGGCCACACGAAAAGGGTAGGTACTCAGCCAGTTATTAACGTCGCTTCTCAAGTGAACATCGACCTCCAGATTGTTACTAACGCCATCATGCTTTCATCTTCCTGCATAGGAAACCTAGCTGGCCCCTTCTTGTGGAAGGCACAATACAAACCCCGGTAGGTCATTCTTCGGCTGACTCTAGGAAGGAAAGTTCGAAGTAATTATGATTTATGTGCAGTTACCACATCCCATGGGCTGTCATCGGCGCATGTACCATCACCTGTTCGATACTTCTCCTTGTCATCCGTGTCGTTCTCGCCCGAGAGAACCGAATCCGCGACACAGAGCATCTTGATGTTATTGAAGAAGAATACATTATTGAGCGAATCACAGAGGATGGGAGGCGTGTAGAAGTTAAGGTCGAGAAGGTGCGTCCTTCCAATAGATGGTTTCTTTTCGTGTGCGATATCAATATTTCACCTGCATAGGGATTCCTGGATTTGACAGATAGGGTGAACAGGGACTTCAGATATGTTTTGTAACATTAAGCATACCCGATGCTTACTCCGATTCGTATTGCCACATGACAATCATCGTGTTCACTGATGACATGACCTATGTAGCTGTTACTGTGAAAGTACACAGTTATGTATCGATGTAATGTTGTACAGGAGTTTTTGCACGAATAGTATCCACCTGTGGCGAAGTCTGAGTCAAGGTTGATCTAGAGCGAAAGACTGCACAAAAAATCTAGCGTGCATCAAATGTGTAGTGCCGAAGCCGTAAGTCACATTTTTGGAAAATCGCGATTAATGTGGCTGAGGCGCTGACATTTCACCTTTCAAAGGGCCTTTCTTCTGAAGTTCCCCTCTGTGTACCAAACCTGTTCTCGTTTCTGCTCCACGGTACACAGCGAGAAATATTTTTGTTTGCCTATTGTAGTTTAAAACCAGCCTTCACTGAGGCTACATGATAGTATATCTCGCACATAAATGCGTAGTGGCAAATTTCTGACCTGAAACTATTGTGTAGAATATCTGTCCATCAACTTTCGCCCGCAAATACTTGATGTGAAGGTCTCTTCTCTGGTACACAGCGTCTGGTTTATTCACGATGTTGATGTCCAACGTGTGGCTGGCTTATATAAGCATCATGGTTTGTTAGCGAGCATTGCCCACCACCCTGTTGTACAGGACAATTCTTCTTGATGTCACACCCTTGCATGCTACCTGTCGCATGCCTTCTCTGTTTTGGAGTACGGGTACCGGTGGCGACGCCTCATCGAGTTTTTGTTTGAATGGTGATCGATGTTTTGGAGGAGCTGCGGGAGGCTACGTTGTAGCCAGAACATCCTCATCGACACTTGCTGATTTCACGATCTCAGCATGACCCATCCTATGTCTCGCAAAGCGTGGTCTCGTCAACAACTTCGAAATCGGTTTATATTCGTTGGGGTGATGTCGTTCAATGTCTCTAGGTCGTAGCAACAGTGGCACAGGACCTGTCCCAGCGTCGCGATGCGCTGCTACGAGTCCAGTTCCACTCTTGCGTACGACAATTCTTTTTGACGGACTCCCTTGCATGCTACCTTTCACATGGCTTCTCCATTTTGGAGTACGCTGATGGTTTTTGTTGAATGGTGATCGATCTTTTGAAGTTGTGGAGGTGCGTTCATTGTCAGAGCATCTATATCGACGCTGCTGACGTGTCCTTCCGATTCCTTTCATTCATGGCAGTGTTACACGGAAATCCTAGGTCTCATCAAAAAGTTCGAAATCGGATTATATTATATTCCTTGTGTACAATATTTTCAGGTCGTATACGACAGACATACTAGATTGCATGAATTCATATCATGATATCTAGTATCTCTGTCGTGTACGATGATACTCCCTTGCATGCTACCTTTCACATATCCACTATCATTTAGCTCGTTATTCATACGTACCTAGTTCTACAATAGCCATCTTAGCATGAGTGTTGTATGTACCGCGAAACACTAGTGTTAGCATCTGTCGCATCCGAATTCCGAACTGCTTCCGACGAAAGCGCGTGTTGTTGAGCACTTGTCAAAACTTGTAATGAGTCTCTTGAATCCTGCTATCGATACACTCTTGTTCACGTCCCTCCTCATAGCTATAGGATGGCTCATCGTATACCACCAATTTCATGACCTATACAAACGCGCCTCCGCAAGCTTCTTCCCAGGCGTCGTGCTCCTACACTCATTGTACTCTCTGTACGGTCTCATCCAGCGTTCACCCAACCTTTTCACGCGCCTAGGAATCCCTCTCACTCTCCCCGTTGAGCGTATCCATGCGTTACTATTATCAGAGGCTGGATTTGGGGCGGGTGGAGGAGGAGACGGAGGACTTGCTGTGCCAGTGCCAATGCCACCTGATCTTGAACTTTTACTAAGTCGACTTAGGACTGATGAATCGAGGGGATGGTTTGTACGGTGCGTTTATTTCCATCACGTATCGATATTGCAAAGTCTAACCACTTCTCATCTACGTTCTATATATACAGGTTTGGTCAAAGGGCACTCCAGACCTGCGCCCCATGCACCTCCGCGAGTGATTACGCACTCTTTGTCTTTGCAAGCGCGATTCTCGCGTATATCCGTACTGCGGCGGCGTTGTTGTTGCTTACATCCAGCGCAAATGGGAGGGATAGATGGAGGGGGTATGTTTTAGGCGTGTTAGTGTGTGCAGCCCTTGCGGAAGGTTATGTCGTGACGAGCGCGAGTGCGATGCCGCTTCCCAGGGATGGAATGAGGGTGTTCATGGTACTTATTTCTCGTTTCCAGTGTAATAGTGGACTAAGTTTGTATGAATAGTGGCACGACAATATCCAGTCCGCACGCCAAGCACTGTTCCTCTTACTCCCGCTTCTTACACAGTTCCTTCCTGTATCACAGCAGCCAGGACCACCCAGTACATCCCTCGCACCCGCTCTCGCACACCTCGAGCGTTCCCTCCCACGCGCACACCTACTGAATTCCACGCGCGCTGCCATTATGCGCCAGCCTGAGCTGCGGGAGCGGGCGGTGCGGTGGTGGGCGCAGGAAAAGATGGAAGGGGATGCAGGGAGGGAAGATGAGGGGGTGCGGAAAGCGGCGGAGAAGATGGGGCTTGGGTATGCGGATGGGGGATGGTGAGGAGGGGAAGTTGAGAATGAGCGCGAGGATAGCGATCGAGTCTATAAAGGGGTTGTATGTTACTCCTGTGGGTCCATGATGAGAATATGAGTTTCTGTTTTGGATTAGGGTGTTGCTTTGCACTGCTGGATGGCGTCCGCGCGGTTTGTGGTATTGGTGGGTCCCGTTTCTGGTGTCTTTATTCAGCTGACGCAGTGGTTCCAGGTGAGTTAGCATGATGCAGGTGTTCTTGGTATCTAGCCTGAGTGATATAACGTTGCTCCAACACTCTTAGAATACGACCTCAAACTTAAGGCCTGTCATATTGCAAATACCACTTCACTGGGCGTCATAGGGCATCAATGAACTGCGCTTCCATCCTCGAACAAAATTTCTGATGGAGAATTTCTAGAACATGTGGGGACCCTCTTCTCCATGTTGTAAACAGGTGTTTATACATGAGCTCAACCCATCGATCACTTTGGACAGGGTAATGTGATATTGATAGTCGTTGGCCAGGGGTCCGCTGTTACCATTAACTAGCACTCCGTACGCAGGGATACTCCCACTTCCACGGAGCCAATGCCTCCATTCACATCAGATACCATTGCTGTTGCGAGTTTCCACAGAGACCACTTGTTATAGACTTGAGGCGCGGGTGGTGAATATCTACGGTCCCGTTGGTTTTGACGTGCTACGTTGGCATATGTGGTGTACAGCTAACTAAAACGTATGAATCGTCCTAACGCACATATATTTCAAGTGGGAGGGCGTACATTATGGAAGCAATGCCTTGTCTGATGACCTCGATTCCGTATGATCTACTGCAACCAGAGAAAAAAAATCGCATCAACGCTAGGTAGATACTCAGGCAATATCAAATAAAGAAATGATAACAAGACAGCGTGACATGTTGCGTAAAACCGACAGCTTCAGACTATTGACTGAGATGATCCTGGAGTTTGGAGGAGATGGTCCTATGTTTGCAAAATCAGGTACTGAGCCGCGGAAAGCATCTGAAAAACACACCTTCGCAAATTTCTGTCCTTCGGATAAAACTACGAGACAAGACTACAGACCCTTCAAACTCCACTGGGCTTCGAGCCAGGAGAGGGGATGGCGATTCCAGAAAGCCTTGAATATATGGTCTAGCGTTTTGTCCCATGGATTCGGGACTCTTGACAAATGGAAGGCCCAATTTTGACATGCATACTTGAATGCATCGGAAGCTGATCGACTTCGTTCCCGTGCGTCGTTTGCGAAAAGCGCAAATGCCATCATGGCATGGATTATCTCCATGTCTGGTAGAACGTCATCTTGCGAGAACGTAGAGGTGAAACGATCCTGAGGCTTTACCGCAAGGAATGCTGGAAACATCAAAAATCCGGTAAGTTCCTGAACTGCTGGACGGCTTCAAAAGTTGACAGTAAAGCCGATTCTGGGATGATTGTGTACTCCTCGATTGCTTCCAAAGTGCTGGAGAAGTCCTCCATTGTCAGCCAGACAGACGCAGCAGGAATCGACTGCCATGCTTGACCATGGGGCTGTCTGCAGCCACTCTCGCCCACTCTGAGTTTGCAGCCATTCCCGCCCGCTGCTGGTCTGCAGCCATTCTCGCCCGATCTGGGCCTGCAGCCACTGAGAAAGTCCGAGCCAACTAAATACCCCTAGCCATTTTCAGTCCATCCATCTGCAGTCCAACTGGGGGAAAAAAAAAGTCTGTAGCCAACCTTGCCCGCCCGAGGTATGCAACCAAATTCGTCCACTCTGAATCTGCAGTCACTTTCGCCCGCTGCTGATCGTTAGCCACGTCCTCTCGCGCCAGATATGCGGCCAATCCCACCTTTGGTAAGTTTCCAGCCACATTCGCATCTTACTCTCCACCAATCTTCGCCGGCTATGGGACACCTGCCACTCTCGGCCACCAAGGGCCACCAGCCATTCTCGCCCGCTCGAGGTCCGCAGCCACTCGCGTCTGCCGGTGGTGTGCAACCACTCTTGCACATTCTGGGTGCGCAGCCACTCTCGCCCGTTGTGGGTATTCAGCCAGTCCTCACTCTGGGCGTGTAGCCAACTTTGCTCGTCAGGGTCACCAGTTACATTTCGCGGTCTCTAAGTCCACAGCCATCCTCGCCCGGTCTGCAGCCATCCTTGCCCACTCTCAGTTTGCAGCCATATTTCTCCCCCTTTGGTCTGCAGCCAGTCCTCCCCCGTACGGGTGGGCAACCAGTCCTCACCCTCCTGGGTCCACAGCCAGTCTTTCCCCCCTTGGGTTTGCAGCCATGCACGCCCGTCCGGGGTCCGCAGCCAGGATTGTAAACCCGAACCGCGACCTCCACCAGACCTTTGAGAATATGCAGTGGCTCCGGTGGCTCCACAACGAAGGCTAACGATTGTTGTAAGCTCCGGGGATTGTGGGGTGGCATAGCTTGACTGTGTCCCTTCAATTCTGAGAGTGCATCCAGGAGGGCTGTGCTTGCTGGAATGTCATGGATCGTGAGGCGGAGAGAGGAATAAGCGAGTAGGGAGTGGGTCGATGAGATGGGCTGTACTTGAGGGAGGCTGCAGTTTGAGGGGTCTGAGACATAGTCGCGCACTGACGAGTGATAGATATTCATGGGGAGACTGCTGTCGGTAGGAATATCTATTACAGACCGTAGCTGCATCAGTGCTGTCTCGACATCGCTGCCCTTACCAGGGCCAAGAAGTTTCGAGATTTGCGAGATGGGCAGAGGGTCCGCAAGTGCAACCACAACAGACAAGTACATGTGTGCCCGCAAGGGATCAGCACATGTGGAGAGAATACAGTCATATAACTTGTACACCTCTGTCCCTGGTAGCAGATCATTTATAAGCTCGAGCATGAGCTGAAGCCGATCGCGGGGATCGTTGTCTCGATCGTCGATAAAGTTGACCATCGTGGTCGCCACGATGAAACGTCTCCCCGCTCGGCTCGCCAGCCGCGCAAGTTGATCGCTTGGTGGCTGTGGGAAATCGGGACGGCGACTTGCAGTTCTCGGAAGGAATGCTGCAGGAAAACGTAAATGTCATGGTCGACATCTACGCCGTCTAACGAGATGGTGGTAGCAACGCCCTTCCCGGAAGTGTTAACTGGTATCTCGCACACTAGCAGGCGCATCTCTTCTGTCTGAATGACTTTCCGGATATGGTCTTCCAAGTGACTCGTGAGCAGAATGTGGATCACAGGTAGCTCAGGATCACGAAGAGCCTGGCCGAGAAGGGAGAGAAGATGCGCAACAGTTTCAGGTTTACATTCATCAAGGGCATCGATAACAAACATCAGAGGTAGACACTCGCGCAGTCGGAATCGAAGGGCCCGGAGAGGTTTGAGAAACAAGGCGTTCATCTGGTCGTGAAGAGACTTGTCGGGGTCTAGAACCGCAGGACTCTCGCGGATAGCTTCGTTCACATCCTTCCGGACGCTGGGAAAATTGCTGGCAAGCTGACAGGCAAGCGTCGCAAAGAAATAACCAGGTGCGCTGCGTTTCGTGTGCTTGCGCGAGAAAAAGAATGTCCCCGCGAGCCGAGTTTCGATGTGTCTGCTCTGTCACTTTCAGAGCTCTCATCCTTTGAGCCATAGTGAACGCAACGGCAGATTTTCCGACACCTGCCGTGCCATGCAGCCAAATGATTCGACTCTTCTCTCGGTTGTCTAATAATCCATGGATGTACTTGAGAAGGTCTACCCGGGTCCCTTCCAAACATTTTGGATGAGGCAGGCGCTCAGGAGTCATGTTCAGCACCCTTAACAGCAACGCGGGACAGCTTCTCCCAGGTTCCTTCAGATAATTGAGAAACTGTTGATGGGGTCAGACAGAGAGATGTGAGGTAAGAGATGGGGATACTGACATTGGTCCCATTCACTCATTGATAGAGGTTGATTATACACCGAGGCACAATTGCGAGATGAACACATAGCTAGGCTTGACGACGTAGTAGGAGTAAGAAATTATACGGGCGATGGCTATCTTAAGGAACGACGTACGAAAACGTCAATGGAATGTTCAAGGTCTAGATTTTCTGGGCCAAAGGTAAGTGTGGAGAGACAAGTGATAATTTCCAGGAACTGCTTGGGTTAGGATGGATGCTTCAATCGGTTTCAGGAAGCTCGTTGGATGGTGGTAGTATGCAGTTGCCGAACGAGTAGGCGTTCACTGAAACAAGCATATAAAAGGAACGACTGTTATCTTCATTAGAGTGGAAACAAGCGCCCGGGCGGCAATGCCCACAGCTAGATATGATGATGAGGTAAATAAACACGCAATTCTGCTCCATTTCGATTAGTTCGCTGTGACTACAGCCCACGCGGCCATCTTCCTTTCTTCGAACCAGTGATTGAGCTTGACGGCACTCGTCCAAATATTCGACCTTGGGTCCCTGCTTCTTAGTAGCACAAGGGTATGAAGGGGTCGTATGTTAATCCTGTGGTATGAGTTTCTGATTTGGATTAGGGTTTTGTACTGCATTGCTGATTCCTGAATGGGGCGTTTGTGGTATCTGAGTGATGGCAACGTTGCTCCAACACTCTGCCGTATTGCAAATATCCTTACATGGGCGTCATAGAACTGCAGTTTCAGAATGGAGAATCTCGAGGACATGTGGAGGCCCTCCTCCCCATATTGCAAATAGGTGCCTATACACGAACTGACGTGGTAATATGATATTTTGGTTTACCAGACGAAGCCCAGTACCCTAGAAGCAGCATTGCGTGCTCAAGTTCTCGCGGCATCTCACGCGCACTGAATGAATTCATCTTGTTCGGTTCCCTTGATAAGAGTTTGCTGCGCCATGGAGAGTACTTGGAGCGAGAGTGACCATAGTAGGCTGCGTATGGAACTGCCTTGCGTAGCCTTGCAATTGAGTGCTGGATTTGCGATTGAGGGTTGCTACTGTAAATAAGCGCCCATATTATTGTACTCATACTGGCGCACGTGTTTGCTCTTTGCAACACTCGTGTGGTTCTCCCGATTCTAATTCCTTGTTTTCTTTTTTTCTTTCCTACTCTACTTACATCCGAATTCTCAATCATGGTTGATGAAGCAGTTATCAAGATACCCTCCGGAGAGGTCTTGGAAGACGACGAACCATCCGAGCCAACCATCTCCTTGCCTGACTCTGGAGACACCGGTGAAGGCGGAAAGCTCAGTATGATAGTCCAGCTAGTTAAGAAGTGTTTGGGTGTAAAGGACATCGCTGCAATGTCTGTCTCACTTTCTGCTCCTTTCATCCGCGCCACTGACTGACAGTTTCGTCAAGGCGCCTATCGCTCCCTGCATCCCTCCTCGAGCCTCTTCCTAACCTCGAGTACTGGCATTACCTCGATAGACCAGATCTTTTCGCCGCGTAAGTACAATGAATCTTTGTTGTGGCTGTGGGTGGGCGCTGACGTCCTCGTGCGCCATAGAATCAACGATTCCAACGATCCCTTTGAGCGCATACTAGCCGTCGTCCGTTTCATATTCACAAAGGACCTCAAATTCGTCGTATGTATAATTCATCCGCTGCGTATTCTAATAACTGATTCCTGTCTTGCAGCACGGCAAAGTATGCAAGCCCTACAACAGCGTCCTCGGCGAGCACTTCCGTGCCCACTGGGACGTACCCCCAGTCTCATACTCCTCCGACCCGACCCAACCCCCAATCCTCCGCGTACACACCACCGTCACCCCACCCCCTACTCTAAGCGAGACTGTCAGCGTCAAGAGCAATCGCAGTGGCAAGAGCTCAAAGAGCACACTCAGCGGCCTCAGCCTCACTTCCAAAGGCAAAGCCTCTCCAAGCACAGCTCCCACGTCCCTCGGCGACGCCGCACTTTCCTACTCTATCCCTCTCCCCCCCAAACGTAAGAAACGATGAAAATATTCGAATCGCATACGTCACCGAGCAGGTCTCTCATCACCCTCCAGTAAGCGCATACTACGCCTCATGCCCATCGCGAGGGGTGGAAATGGCAGGTATCGACCAGATCAGTGCCAAGGTAAGCGGTACTGCCGTACGAGTCGCACCAGGGTCCTTCAACAAGGGCATTTACATCGACCTCACCTCTGGCCCGGGCAAGGGGGAGAAGTACCACATCACGCACCCCGTGGCTAGTGTGAACGGCATCTTGCGAGGGAGCTTCTATATCACTGTGGGTGATAGCACCATCGTGACGTGTTCTGGGAGTAAGGGTGGAGTGGCATACCGTGCTGTGATCGAGTATAAGGAAGAGGTGTGTTATTTTCTTCTTTGTGAGGTGTGCTCTTTTATAGGAATGCTCACATGGCGTGGTAGTCATGGTTAGGCCGCGCGCACTTCCTGGTCGAGGGCGTGATACATACGTACGACGAAGAATCCATAGAACACGACGAGTGGACGAAAGTGAAGCACGTCCCTACATCCCGCGTCGTAGCCGTCTTTGATGGATGTTGGCGGAACCAAATACGATGGCGGCGGACCGCTGCAACACCGTCTGCTTCATCGCCATCGGTATCCTCTCCTTCGTTATCAGAAACAGAATACGCGACTCTCGTAGACCTTTCTACGTTGTTTGTGGTCCCGAAGCAGGTTCGCCCGCTAGAGCAACAACTTCCTATCGAGAGCCGAAAGCTCTGGGATCCGGTGACGACTCGATTGCTTGCGAAGGAGTATGGGGAAGCTACGAAAGCGAAGCTTGCTATTGAACAGAAGCAGCGGGATGAGGCGGGAGAACGAAAGAAGAAAGGCATCCAGTGAGTCTCTTATTCTTCTTCCTCTTCTCCGAGTCTTTGTTTGGTGCTGATCTGACCGAACGATATACAGATTTATACCCCAATACTTTGAGAAAGATATCAGTTCCGGAATTCCCATTCTAACAGCTACAGGCCGAAAAGCTGTGGAAGAAGAGCTTAACGAGTCATCGTGTTCTGACGCGTCGTCGTTGTCTTCGTAGAATCGGGGACTGGCCTCGCTGCTAGACCTGCCGGCTCGTTGCCCACGGAGGTCATAGAGGCCTTGGTCCTTGGGTAGGGGTGCTCATATTAATGACAGAAGGAGTGGACGCGTACATGCGATCGCGAGAGAGTAGATTTGGAGGTGCGGGTCACGATATCATGCATGGATGGTTTAATGTTTTTTTTTGAGTGTTGATGCTTTATGCTTTCTTTTACTTGATGATTTTCGTCTGTCATTTGTGTTTTTGTGTTTTGATTCAATTCATGGACTGTTTATGATGAGAATCTCTGGTCGATCACCGGCGCTTTTGATTCCGCAACTTGGAAGCCGCCAGAATGACACAGCTGAATGCGGTCACCTCCTGCTTAACACCGCCATATTCATCTGGATCCTTGGCAAAACATGCAGAAAGCCAACTCACGAGTCAATCTCTCCCCGGCCTCGGATATCACTGGTGCACTGCAGAACATCGTAAGTAGCAAGTTTTATTAGGTACTTGCGTATGAGGCTTGTAACTATTCGCTTCAGCTACGTTCACAAGCAATTGTATGTCTATGCGGATGCTATCAGATCTTATCAGATGCGATATTGACGATCACCAGATGCCAGAACTCGAAACACCGTACTCCCGAGCCAAATTCCCCAGTACCAACTGATCTGTCATCAAGCTCAAGGATCGGCCCCTCAGCGCCATCATCAGTGAACGGCAGCAGCAGCTGGATGTAGTGTCTGGTGAGATCTCGGGCCTGAAAACAGTCATGGATAGTATTCAAATTCTTCACGGGAAACTCGTCAAGCAGGAAAAAAATATCATCAAGTCCATCATCACTGGACGCCAGCAGCAGTTGGATGTAGTGTCTGGTGAGATCTCGGGCGTGGAAATAGTCATGGATGATATCGAAATTCTTCACGGGAAACTCGTCCAGCAGGAAAAAAATCATCAAGTCCGTCAATCTGTACATGCGATTTGGATCGGCTCTCTGGCGCTTGCCAACTAAAATCCTAACCTTAATTTTTTACTGTTGTTTCTATCACTCGTTCCCATCAAGGTTCAGAGCTCCCATATTGTTGACCAGAATATGCCGATTGTGGAGGGAGGTTGCTATAGGCGAACCCAATCTGTGGTGCAGGCTGATTGTGCAATCCGGCATGTACGGGAACTGGGACGCCAACTGGGAGCGGAGAGCTTTCTCTTGGGACGCGTGATCACAAGGACTTCCACTCTCGTTAGTGATCTGGTGCCAAGGACTTGATTACACGCAGATCTTGAAGCTACGACACTAGGTCTTCAGCCTTAGCATCAATCAAACCTCGTCTCTCTACATTGGTTTTTCCCACCACGCCTCCAGACCCGAACTTCTGTTAGCAGACCTCATATCACTTACGGAGCTGGCCACAAACATACCTGATCCTTATACTTGTCCAGCTCTTGCACAAACAATATCTCAACTGTCCACTCTGCGGACTCTCTATAAGAGATCCGTGGTTAACGTTTAAGTACCACTTACCTCCCCTCAATGCCATATGGGCCCAACTCACAAATGTCAACATGACAATGCTTCATTCGAATGTAATCCCCCGCTTGCTCCAACTATGTCCCAACCTCTCCTCGTTGAACATATACGCACGATTCTACGACGCACAGGTCTTGAAGCCATTCAAGCACACGACTTCCGCATCATTTGTGACCCCAAGTCAGTGGACACAAACGTCTGATCTCACGCGTTCAATGTTGTATCACTCCCCAAATTACACTTGCCCCCAGCTAAATAGTTAAAGCACTGCATATCGATTAAATAACGCTGTGGCCTCATGAGGAGTGGTAGGCTTTTTTCACGGTCGAATTGCCTCCTGGAGACACTTGGTCTTCGGCGTCGGAGTGACAATGACAGATAAGCAGCGAGCGGAGTACCGTACCCTTATTTCTTCCCTCAAAAAAATACTAGCGCTACGACCCCAAGAGTCTTGATAATTTGCACAGGTCTAGCAATACTTCGGGCTTCATGGACTTGTATCATCAGCCTCGTAGGATATCTCTCTTCGCACCTCCAAGTATTACAATGTTCTTCACATCTCTGACAGCAGTCTGTAGATATTATCATCCAGCGGCCAACACTTGCAATATTCAACCTTGAGGTCTTGGATACACTACTACCACTACTATGTTACCATCGTCAGCGCCTTCATTATTGGACATGGGGGCCAAGCTTCATCAGTACCAACATCACAGAGCGCCAGCAGCAGTTGGATGTAGTGTTACACGAGATCTCAGATCTCAGGCCTGGAAAATGTGATGGATAGTAAGTATGAAGAATCTCCATTAGCGAGATCACGTGGTCCATGAATTTGCCGAAAATTTCATTTGGGACCTTGCCAGTAAGTAGTAGCTAGGACTAGTATAAGCTGCAGCAAATTTTGACGCATAATTATAAACTTTGAACGCACAGGTGTTTCGATTACGCCAACCGTCACAGAGCTGTGATTGAAAGCTACATACTACATACATATACTTGTACATGTCTCTACAACTTAAGTACACCGCGGAGTGCTGCACACCCTGGCATACCGTGTTCCACATCGGGGAGGCGCTACTAGTAGTACACCACATCTAAAACAAGAAGGAAAAAAGGGGAAACTGCTGGGGGTATGTAGATCAACGTGATTTATTTGCATACTTCCACACAAATTCCATCAATATCTCCCAATGTTAACAACGTATGGGACCAGCCAAAGCGTAGTGATGGTGCGGCAGAACGCGCATTGGGAGTAAAAGCCTGCTATCAATATCGCTGGGGATGAAATACATGAGAGCCCAGAAAGAATACCAAATTACTGGAGCGACTCACTAAACATGAAACAATTCAAGGACAAGCCAACGAAGAACATGGGGGTGAGCATTGATGACAGGTAGGACAAGACGAAGTAGCCGCCTAGCTTGAGTTACTGATAATATGTGGGTTAGCTGGTGCAATAGAGCAAGAATAACCCTTACTTCTCGAGTCCACTGCCGGTCGGTGTGAAGCCAATGTAGCATATTTAGACCAGATGTCAACACTGCAATCATGGACAGCATGAGGGATATAAAGGGCAGGAAATAGGGGGCAGGAGATGTACAGTTGAAGTATGGCACAGGAGAGCCTGTAGTGACGAAAACGCCCACCTTTTAGGTGGAAGTATGTTAGCGCCTGTCTCAACTCGCAGGGAGTTGAATAGCTTGCTGCGGCGACAGTGTTAGCCGGAATAGAGCACAGCCTAGCCCTAACAATTTCGAATGCTTCCTCGGAGTGCAGCGACTTCCAATGGTCTTCAAGATCAGGGCGCTCCAGTGCGAAAAACAGAGTACTCTCATTACAAGGGACATGTCGCGAAGGGCTTCGGGGAGGGAATGCTCTTCGGCAAGTGCTCTTTGTTCAGCTAGTCCCATAGAACTTGAAAGCCCAGATCATATCAGTCATGCAGCAGGTTTTTCTACGTTTTCAAAGCGCACCTCCGGGGAATAGCATGCGGCCATTGGGTGAAAGAGAAGAATACAGATAGATTAGCGCACCAGCCATTCTGACTTAAAAACTGGAGACGCGATATACGGTACTATGCATAGTTTCCGTTACTCCATGGTCTCAGTAAACGTTGGTCAATGATTGGCTGATTCGGTACTGGACGGTGTGATGGACGGAGTACTTGACGTCGGACCGACGTCAAGCGTCTGGAACTGGAACTAGACACCTTCGGACGTTTTCCATCGTCAACGTCGACATCGCACTCTCGATAGTGCTGTGTATAGCTGTCCGTGTGCGAACGAATCTGTGCGCAAGTCAAGCACGGCTTTCTCTAGCGTCAGCCCTTGACATATGTTGAATGTCGTCGCATAGGCAGGTCGCAGAGGAAACTGTTTGCGAATTACAGTCCGGTCTGAACGTGCTGGATTGAACGTGAACGTGATCCGAGGCAAGCAATGTATCTCTCCGGTATGAGGAATCTGAACTTCGACAAATCTGCGATGAAGAGCGGTGATGCGAACACGCACATTTCGCCCAAGCCGATGAGTGGAATTCCACCGAAAGGTTTGTCGTAGACACTGCCATGCAGCTTTATTTGCCATCGGCAATTCATCCCATATGATTGCACTTGCATTTCGAATGAGATCAGCTCGTGCGGAAAAGGGATGGATGTTGGAATGTAGGTCCGCGCTGTCTTCGGTTACAGGTATTCCGAACATATAATGAGCAGTCCGTCCGCGTGTATATGCAGTTGCACACAGTGCACTGCTTCTGACGATGAGTATGAGAGATACGTAGATGGGAAGAAAGGCATGGACATACATCTACGCAATAAAGTTCTAACGTGGTGTCTTCATCTAGAGTGGCGGTAACACGGAGACAGGAAGATCACCAACGCCGTCTTCTTAATCATAAGACACGGGTACAAAGCCATCCATTTTCCAAAACATTTTTTTCGGCTCCAAAGCATAACGAGTAGCATTTTGAATACCAACGACGCCGTGAAATGAGCATGCAGACGCCATCGTGGTAAAAGCAGAGGAATACAGTTAGGAGAGAAACGTACGATTGCATGTAGAGTTCAGTAGCATGCAATTGCAAAAGGAGGAGTAGAGATAGAGCGCTCAAGCAAATCGGACAGCATTTGGAGCTCATGTGGAGCACAGACAGCCTGAGAGTCACGCGAATTGGTTCCGCGGGATCAAACGTTTTGTCCTTACATATATTAGAAAAGAGGACAGGCGGGGCTTTTCTGTCCTCTTTACTAATTATTATGGGAAGTATAGGTGGAACTAGAAAAGTGCTGTAAAACCTTGACAAGCTGGTCTCCCACAGCCAGACCAATCGAAGGATAGAAGGCAGAAATATTGATATTGTCAGCGTTCGTCCGTGATTATGATTTCATTTAGATTTCATGCTGTTCAGTTTGCGCAATAGAAGGAACGACTGTCTTCCTTCTATATAGTCTGACTAGGGGAGACTAAGTTTGTGCAGGGTTTGATGCCTGATGGTCTATTGGTAGGCTGGCTTACGAACAGAAAACCGGTCATTGTAGCTAGCAGGACCTGCGTCGAGAATCACGCCAAGATTGAGAACGACGCCGAATCGATCGTACACTAAGTTCTAATTACACCAAGTTTTGTGGTCGCACTGAGTACTTCTCGGGCCGAGTCGTAGGATTACCAGTGGAGTTTGAAGTTAACTCGGAGTGTTCCCGCGGCCAAGACGGCTCTCTTCGATACTTATCTGATCTGATTAGCTTCGCGCCAAGCACCAGGTCAAAGTCAAAGATCCAATGGGAGTTCTGCGATTCGGAAGCTGACTGATTTATACCATATACTGTAATACGTACATACTTATCTACAACTCGCCTCTGCCAAAAAATCGTGCACAGTATCTGCCGGAGTGTCGTACCCGGGATGCTGTGTGCACCACATCAGGAGGGCTGTAACAAGGTGTGTATCTACAAGCGCCAGTACAGTGCTGTTAAAACAAGAAGGAAAAAACTGGTGGAATGTATGTAGATCAGCGTGATTTATGACTTTTCGCATGCTTCCACAGAAATTCCATTGATATCATCCCCACATTGACGACATACGTGATCAGCCAGAGCGCGGTGACAGTGCGGCAGACCATGCTTTGGGAGCAAAATCCTGTTACTAACATTGCTGGGGATGAACGACATGAGGGCCCAGAGAAAGCATTGAAGTACTGGACCTCACCAAATATTAAAAAATTGAAGGACAAACCAATGAATAACATGGGGGTGAATATTGACAATAGGTAGGACCAGACGAAGTAGCCCCCTGGCTTGAGTTGCTGGTAATACTTGGGTTAGATGGTGTAATCGATAGAACGAGGATGATGCTTACTTCTTGAGTCAACTGCCAGTCCATGTGTTGCCAGCGTATCATGCTCAGGCCAGATGTCGAAATTGCGATCATGGATAGCATGAGTGACATCAAGAGCATGAGGTAGGGAACAGGTGATGTATAATCAAAGAATGGCACAGGAGAACCTGTGGTTATGAAAGCAACGCTTGTAGCGAGAAGAACACTTGCCTTTTAGAGGTATGTCAGCACAGGCTTCAGCTCATATGGAGTCGGGTAGCTTACAGTGGTGATAGTATTGACGAGGATAGAACACGACCTAGCCCGAATGGTTTCGAATGCTTCGTCAGATTGCAGCAACTTCCAATCGTCCTCAAGATCGGGGCGCCCCAGTGTGAAAACACAGAGCACTCTCATTAAAAGGGGCATGTTACGAAGGGCTTCTGGGAAGAGATGCTCTTCTGGGAGTGCTCTTTGATCAGTTACAGTGATCCCATATAGTAATAGAGGGGGAGCTTTTTCCAGTCAGGACAATCGCAAATTGCACTCACCATAGCTGGAGAGGGTAATATTTGGATTGGGGAGGACGACAGGTAATGATGAAGGCGAACGATAGAAATTTGGAGTCAACGAGAATGTCAACGCAGAAGAGGGATCCGGAGTTGCTGCGTCCATCATTTTGTATATGATTCAAAAAGGCGGTAAGATAGTTAGACCGCGAGAGGAAGAGGAAGAACAAAAAGGTACAATATAGCCTGTGGAGGAGGTAATGGGTCTCTTGCCCTCCCCCTTTTTATATGGAGGACCTTGTCATGTTATGTCGCTTAGAGAAAATAGTGAACTGAAATAGTTGCATTGCACGCTCATAATGGCATATTCGCGGGAACTTGACAAGTATAGGATCGAGATCTGGTAATTTGGATGGCGTAATGTCAGACGACTGGACTAGCGCAGTGCAAACACTAATAGTACAGTTATGGATGCCTCATTGAACCACAACATTGGAATTTGAAATTTGACCTCTCGAGCCACAACAACTGCATAAATTTGTTTCAAAATAATTTTGCCCCATACATAGACATCTGGTTGAGGTCTTCATACGTTTTGAAGAAAAAAAGTGAGCTGTTCGAGGAAGGCATCAACAACAGTACTGTACGTCACATCGCCTCACGTAACTCCGATACGTGCCTCCATCAATATTTGGACCTGTCGTGGTCAACACCAAGCAATTATATGCAGTGAGATTTAATAAATAAACAACGTGATTGCGCTGACATTCTCAAAGGTTCCAAAAGGCACTCAACAAGCCATGCAAGGCAAGCGCCCAAGAGTGGCCAAAAAAGCGATTGCCAACACTAATGAGGGTGCTGAGAGCAAGTCTACTGACGCAACTGTAAATGGAAGTAACAAAGAATCCACGCAGGAGAGTGCCATAACGACGAACACATTCTACGAGCCTACTGTGCTCCCAGATTACGGAGGAGACCTGTTTCAGCATGTCAACGCCAAACTCCGTCAGCTCGATATCAGGAATGTGGAGAATATCTTGATCCCACCTCAGGAGTGGTACATTAACCTCAAGCACGGCACTCTCGTCATGATCAGGGCGACTCTGCATGCTTTCAATTGGAAGGAACGCCGGGTAAGAACTACCGAATCCAAAACTAGAAAGAAAAATAAAAGCTGAACAACGATGTAGATTTACCAACTAAACGCACACACTATTCGCGTTATGGATCCCTCCAAGTTAGAGGTTGAGCCATTTAGCTCTCAACCCAACGGATTTGATTATGACGGAAGCGCTTCATCCTCCAAATCACGGGCTGCAGACGCCATGGCTGGTGTCCAATTGGGCAAAAGGACGAGGGAAGCTTGAACAGCAGAACACGGTTTCTCTGAGGTTTAGGCGATCAGGTAACATTGTAAGATAAATTATGCGATGAGGTTGTATGTATTATTAGCGGCTGGCAAATGCAGAGTTCGAGACTGAGTGGCAACGTTCATTAATTGAGAGTGAGAACAAATTTCTTGAAATGCGAAGAAAAAAAAGGGTAGCGGGTTTTGCCACTTTAGCTGGCGCTACCAGCTTATGTAATCAAGTAGCGGCGAAATATGATATACATAGATCCGTTGTAGCGGGGCGTGCCGGCGGGACGTTCCATAGGATCGATCAGCTGGATTAGGCAGGCGGAGGATAGACCAGCAGATAGGAGGCAGAGCTGGCCGGTCCACCGTACACGACTCGACTAGCGCAGTGCAAACGCTAAGTACGTCGCATCGCCTCACGTAACTCCGATACGTGCCTCTCTCACACGCACGAAGCCCTTCAAGTTGTTATGGTAAGGTGTCCCTATCGAACTTAAGCTTCAATTTTGACACCCAAGCGTGCGGCAGCATCTCAATAGACTAGTCTTAAACTCCATAACCGTTACTGAGTGGCAATTCATTCTACCCGAGTATTTTCTGTATTTTATAAAGCTGTTCTTACAGAGCTATTGTACAGTATAGTTTCAGTGAGTCATTGACGTATCTAACTTCCGTCAAACGGTTTGTAAAGTTCCTGTCTTCAGTGACGAGAGCTTGTTGCGTCGTCGCTCCATACTGTTGTTCCTCTCGTTTATACATATGGCGCCTGCTCGAAATGGTTGTTTGTTTCTAAAGATTTTGACAAATAACGCCTTAGTGTCACACGTGACAGACGCGTTTGTCGTGTTCCCTAGGGATTTTAATTACTGGCACTTGTAAGACCAAACCAATTAATTCCGACTTGGCTTAGCCAATATGCCTCTCATCCGCATAGAATTGAGCGATTTCAAGTCATATCGGTGCGTTTATATATTTTGTCGAAAAAAAACCAATTGGCATATCTAATCACTTGTCTACTCGTCCCATTCCAGGGGCCACCAGGTTATCGGACCATTCAAGAACTTCACATCCGTTATCGGCCCAAATGGCGCTGGAAAATCCAATCTCATGGATGCAATCTCTTTCGTGCTCGGTGTAAAAAGTGCACAACTGCGCAGTAGCCAACTTAAAGATCTCGTCTACCGCGGGCGCAGGCTCGCCAAAGGCCCCTCCGATGCCTCTGAGACCACACAAGATCAGGAGGACAACGATGATAGCGACGGCGACGGTGAAGGTGAGGGCACAGCGAAGAAGGCATGGGTGCTTGCAGTGTTCCAGGATGAAAAGAGAAAGGAGTGGTTATTCCAGCGAACGTGTGTGCTACCTGGTCTCACTTCCCTAACTCTTCTGACTGTGTTTTTGTCATGTAGAATATCGACCACCGGAGCATCCGAATACCGTCTCAATAACAAAGTTGTCACCTACTCCGCGTACAACGCCGCCCTGACGTCCCATAATATCCTCGTCAAAGCCAAGAACTTCCTCGTCTTCCAGGGTGATGTCGAGGCTGTCGCGTCTCAGTCTCCAAGAGAGCTTTCCCGCCTCATCGAACAAATTTCAGGCTCTCTGGAGCTCGCCCAAGAATATGAGAAAGCCAAAGAAGCTCAGGATCGCGCAACAGAGAACGCAACCTTCAACTTCACAAAGAGGAGAGGCATTGCCGGTGAGATAAAGCAGTATAAGGAACAAAAGGGCGAGGCAGAGCGATTTGAAAGTTTGTGTGACCAGAAGGTGCGCCTGCATTACCATTCGTTTCAATCCAATACTCATGCGCCTCTCTCTAGGACGACCTTATCTTGAAGCGCATCCTTTATAAACTATTCCACATCGAAGAGGCACTGGAAGCGAACGCGCGAGACATTCAGACAAAGTCTAGAGCACTCGCTGGCCTACGTGCAGAGCATGGAGAACACGATAGAGCTCTTGAGGATGCGCGCGCAGAGCAAGCAAGGGCTCGCACAGCTGTCGTACGAGATGAGAAGAAAGTCAAGAAGGCCGAAAAGGCGTTGGAAGCCAAGGTCAGCTGAGCTTATCTGACTACCCAACCGACTCTAATGGGCTGCAGGAACCTGAGCTGGTGGAAGTCGACGCCCAGATCAAGCACTCGTCCCGAAAGCTGCAAAATTCCCAGAAGATGCAGGAGCAGGTCGGCAATGATGCTGAGCGTCAGCAAGCTAAGCTCGACTCACTCACACGAGATCTTGCAAATGCTCGACAGGCAGCAGACGAGGCTGCAGGTAAGCCATTTGTAGATCCATTGTCGTCCTTGGTCTCATACTTGTTATATCCAGAGGCTCAGAGACGTGCATCTCAGAATAATACATCGCTCAGCGAGACCAGTCTAGCTGAATATCGCTCACTGTGAGTTATACCCGTCAACATATATGTTTTAGTATTAACGCCACGCATAGAAAAGCATCCGCCAGCGTCCTTGCCGTTTCGGAGCGTCAAGCCCTGGAGACGCTCAGCCGAGACGAGAAGACGGCGTCCCGAACACTCACACAAGTGAGGGCCAAACATGAAGAGTTTGAGCGGAACAAAGAAAAACTTCAAGGCGACGAGAAAACTCAGCAAGCCAACAAGTCAGAGGTATGCGTTTTTCAGAGTTCAACATGTCCTAGCTTTTTATTGTATTCTCAAAGCTCGAGCAAAGGCTCGCTACCCTCCAGGGGGATCACGCACGCTCAAAGCAAGAGTACGAAAACCAGCAAAGCGAACGGACGAGGATCAGGTATATATTTGTTCTCTAAACAATTATCACGCATCGTTTCACCATTATTGCACAGCCGTCTCGAGACCGAGACAAACGAAAAACTCGCAGATGTCTATCAGCGGTTGCTCCAAGCAGGCGTCGACAGGACCGAATCCGAGCGCGAAGCAAAGCTAAAGGAGACGCTCTCAAGCCTGCAGCGCATATTCCCAGGTGTTCGAGGGCGCGTGGTCGACCTCTGCAAACCCACACAGCGCAAGTACGAGACAGCAGTATCCGTCATCCTGGGGCGCAACATTGATGCTGTCGTCGTGGATGAAGAGAAGACTGCTATTGAATGCATCGACGTGCGCTTCTTTGCCTTCTGTCATCGTCTTTTAAGCTAATTCCAAAACACGGTAGTATATGCGCACCCAGCGCGCCGGCCAAGCGACCTTCCTCCCCCTCGATACGATCAGCACGAAACCAATCAACGACAAGTTCCGCTCCTTCGCCAGAGGCGCGCGTCTCGCGGTCGACGTGATCCAGTATGAGGCTGCCGTGGAACGCGCAATGCACCATGCGTGTGGGAATGCGCTTGTATGTGACACGATGGACGTGGCGAGGTACGTGTGTTGGGAGCGGGGGCAGGAGGTGAAAGGTAAGTTAATATTCGTTGCGGGGGGTGGGATGCCGTGCTGAGAGTTGGGCAGCTGTTACATTGGAGGGCACCGTCATCCATAAGAGTGGGCTTATTACTGGTGGTCGAAGTACGCACGGGGGAGGGAAGAAGTGGGAGGAGAAGGACGTGCAAGGTATGCAGCTCACCTAGCATGATGCTCCCGCCCTCAATTATCTGCAGGTCTTACGCGTCTTCGCGACAGTCTCGTGGCACAGCTTCAGGAACTGAATCGCTCGAAACCGAGGGGTAAGGCAGATGAAAATGTCATCGCTGAAATTACACGACTAGAGAGTGCTATAACTGTTGTACGAGACGATCTGGTGCGTTCTTGGGATGGTTGTCTGGTTTACAGCAGTCTTATCATTTCATCGGTGATATCTAGAGCGCCTGCAGATCCCGGTACACCGGGATCAAAGAGGAGCTTAAACACGTCGACCGGGAACTCAAGAAGCTCTCTCCCGATCTAAAAAAGGTTCGCGCAACGTGCAGTAGACTCAGAGGAAACTGACCCGAGATACAGGCTCAAACTTCACACTCGAAACTATCCTCTCAAATCGCAGAACTCCAATCTGTGATCGACTCAGCCGAAGACGGCGTGTTCGCCTCATTTTGCGACGAGATCGGCGTCGAAAATGTTCGAGAGTATGAGGAACGTCAGTTGAAAGTGGCCGAGGAGGAGAGTCAGGCACGACTTAGGTTTGATCAGCAAGTTGCGAGGTTAACACACCAGTGAGTTTTCTTTCTCGCGCTTTCGAGGTTGAGGGACGAGATCGACACGTGCGTAGGTCTCAGTTCGAAGAGGAGCAGTTGAGGATGACACAATCGCGTCTGGCGACGCTGCGAAACGCGGCTGAAGATGAGCAGCGGAAGGTGGCGGAGCTGGAAGAAAAGAAGCGCACCATTCAAGTTGAGATTGCGGAGGCGCAAGAGGGCATCGCACAACTTCGAGAAACGCTGCAGGGTCTCAACGACGTGCTCGACGAGAAGAATAAGCATGTCGATCAAGCGAAAAAGACGCACGCGAAAGCTGCCAAGGTGCTTGACCAGGCTCTCAAGGAGATTGGTCTGAAGGTATGTTGGTTGTTCGTTTGGATGCGCTCGACCGCTTATGTTCACTTAGAACGACGAGATTGAGAAGCTGGCACTGGAACGATCGGCGACCTACAGGAAATGTAGGCTTGAGGACATCAAACTACCTCTGTTGGAAGGGAATGTGAAGAATGTTCCGATGGAAGAGGTAAGACCGTCCTTTTGGGTAGATAAAACATGCATTGATGTCCATTTCTGTGTAGAACCTGCGAGAGGAGGTAGCTATGGATGTTGACGATGACGATGGTACCCAACGACCACGACAAGTCCATGATTATGGGATCGAGGTTGACTTTGACTCCTTGACTGAGGAGGAGCGTGCGGTACGTGATTTTTGACGGAACAGAATTGTATCTCACTTCTATTGTAGGACAACTCTCCTGAGACCGCCGCCGAGTTCGATGCTCAAATTGCGAAACTCAACGGAGAGATTGAGAGAATGGCACCCAACTTGAAGGCTATTGAAAAGTATGTCAACTCCCGCTCTGCAATTATTTGATAGTGACTGTCGGACAGGCTAGACGATGTCGAGGCCAAGCTCGCAGACACGGAGAAAGAAGCTGATAAGGCACGGAAAGACTCAAAAAATGCACGTGATCAGTTCAACGACGTCAAGAGAAGAAGGTACGCGAATAGTATCAACTGTACTTCCATTCTCATCACATTAATCAGATGCGAGTCATTCAATAAGGCGTACAATCATATTTCGGATTGTATCGATCAGGTGTACAAAGACCTCACGAAGGGGAAAGCGTCGCCGATGGGAGGCGTCGCATATCTTAGTTTGGAGGACAGTGAGGTAAGTCTTTCGCCCTGTGAGTCCAGGAAGTCTTCACTTCCATTGCTAATCACAGGAACCTTATAACGCTGGTATCAAATATCATGCCATGCCACCGATGAAACGATTCCGTGACATGGAACAACTCTCGGGTGGGGAAAAGACCGTGGCCGCCCTGGCTCTTCTCTTCGCTATACACAGGTTTGTTTATTTTTATCTTTCCCCCTGAAAACCTCTGTTCTCACTATGGCTCAAGTTACCAACCTGCACCATTCTTCGTCCTTGATGAAGTAGACGCTGCTCTGGACAATACTAACGTTGCCAAGATCGCCAACTATATCCGGAGCCAGGCGTCCGACTCCTTCCAGTTCATCGTCATCAGCTTGAAGGGTTCATTGTATGAGCGTGGTAACTCCCTTGTCGGAATCTACCGTGATCAAGATGTGAACAGCTCTCGCACGCTGACGTTGGATGTAAGTTATTGGTATTCGGGTGCGCCGGATCAAGTACTCACAGACCCACAGCTTACCCAATACGATGAATAGCGGAGCTTGTTGTCAGATCCTCTGTTTTCATTGCTATTTTGCTATCGTGAGCTGCATGTGTTTTACCTCTGAATTTTTATTGGCCGCATTTGGGCGAACCATATAGCCTTGTAATTTTGATCCGACAACTACTTGTTTGTGACGTCTTTGCTACAGCAATACTGATAACCAAGGTGAGCGATCACGTTATGTACCTCTGTGTTCCCCTATGGTAGCACTGCTTATAGATAGCGGGACTTGAAGTATATTTATACAGCCTCCTACATCATCCCCTGATATTCGCCGCAGTATCTGGGGCGATTTCCACTGATTACAGACTTGTGCTTCACGTTCTTGCGGGTTCGAGCCGTTGCAGACATATAGAATTTGCTGCTCGACAGTTGAACTGAGTGCCTTTCTTGCCTGCGCGCTAGACCGTCAGCTGACGGCGCGAATTCTCATCCAGGTGTAACACACAATTGAACTTCTTGCCTGGCAAGCAAGGCTTCTGCCGACGGCAATCGGCGCTTCGAAGGTGATTTGTATTGGCCGTGACCACAGGTGGCCACTCGCCTCACAACCACTGTTTCTTTGAGGTGTTGAGGTGGAAATAGCCTTGCGAAGCCATTTCAAATACGACTCCCGATTCTGAGATGCTGAGTCTTTCGATACATACAGTCACGTAAACCCATGGGACCGGTTCTGGGCCTATGAGGGAGGTGACGCCGTCGGATCAGAGATCGATGCGACGCGCCTTAGCACTAAGTACTGTGATCCTCATGGCACAGTCTTCAAAACGCCGATTTGGCGACAATGTTGAAAATATCACACCGTACACCCCGACAGAGCACTCGGCGAAATGCATACGTCGCACCGTTCTCAAACTCACACCATACTGCTCGTCCTGCGAGGAGGAGCAGGTGACTAACATCCAAGAAAGGCTGTTTGTCAAAAATGATTCTCAATGAAGTTCTACTTACTTATCAGAGTTGTTATGGTTCGAACAGGTTCGCGACGGTTCACATAACTTGCTCAAGCCCCGAACCATGAACCTGTCCGATGCTTGACTGGCTTTGGAGCAGTCACGTGACCTCTAGCCAGTCTAGAACCGAACCTAGACTGCACTGCTGCACTGCACCAACAGTGCGGTTCAGAACCGCACCCGGCAACTTTTGTCGAACGTTTTACTTTACACCGATTTACGGCCACGTGACGCGTTCACGTGACTTTCGGGTTCCGCCGGATTTCCTCCCCTTTGGTTGAAACGAGTCCACACCTGTCCACACCCGTTGTGCCTTCGGCACAGGAAGCAAGCAGGGCACGAAGTGCTCTGCTGGGGGCACCTTTGGTGCCTTGCTTCACTGTGTCTACATATTATTTACTTGTATCAAATCAATAATGACTTACATCTTACATTTACAAAATACTATATACTTTTGTTTTAGTTGAGAGAAAATAGGAAACAGGAGAATTTTTGGGGAAGGGCAAGAGTCAACAGCAAGACACAAACAGTGAGACTGAAGTTTACCTGGGACACTGGGACCAGCCAGAGCGCAGTGACGGCGCGGCAGATCATGCTTTGGGAGCCAAAGCCTGCTATCAACATCTCTGTGGATGAAATATATGAGGGCCCAGAAAAAGCAACAAATTACTGAAGCAACTCACCAAATATAAAACAATTCAGGGACCAGCCGACAAAGAATATAGGCGTGACGATGGACAACAGGTAGGACAAGACGAAGTAGCCGCCTTGTTGGAGTCTCTGAGGAAACTTGGGTCAGCTGGTGTAATCAGTAGAGGGAGAATAATGCTTACTTCTCGAGCCAACTGCCGGTCGGTGTGTAGCCAGCGCATCATGCTAAAGCCAGATCTCAACATTGCGAACATGGCCAGCATGTGCGATATGAAGAGCAGGTGATAGGGAGCAGGTGATGTATAATCAAAGAATGGCACAGAAGAACCTGTGGTAACGAAAGCACCGGGTGCAGACCTTGGTTGATAGTACATGGCTATGCCGCATCTCATGTTTTTAAGTCAGAATAGAATGGCAAGTGTGTTAATTCATCCACCTTCACCCAATGGCTGCATTTCATTCCACGGAGGTGCGCTTTGAAATCACAGAGATTTGCTGTATGACTGACCTGCACTGGGCTTTCAAGTTACATGGAACTACTCAAAGAGCACTTGCCGAAGAGCATCCCCTCCCTGAAGCCCTTCGCGACATGTCTCTTTTAATGAGAGTACTTTGTTTTTTCGCATTGGGGCACCCCGATCTTGAAGACCATTGGAAGTCACTGCAATCCGATGAAGCATTCGAAACCGTTAGGACTAGGTTGTGCTCTATCCTTTCCAACACTATTACCGCAGTAAGCTATCCAACTCCCGAGTTGAAGCACATACTGACAGACTCCCACCCAATAGGCAAGTGTTCTTCTCGCTACAAGCGGTGCTTTCGTTACCACAGGTTCTTCTGTGCCATTCTTTGATTATACATCACCTGCTCCCTATCACCTGCTCTTCATATCGCACATGCTGGCCATGTTCGCAATGTTGAGATCTGGCTTTAGCATGATGCGCTGGCTACACACCGACCGGCAGTTGGCTCGAGAAGTAAGCATTATTCTCCCTCTACTGATTACACCAGCTGACCCAAGTTTCCTCAGAGACTCCAACAAGGCGGCTACTTCGTCTTGTCCTACCTGTTGTCCATCGTCACGCCTATGTTCTTTGTCGGCTGGTCCCTGAATTGTTTTATATTTGGTGAGTTGCTTCAGTAATTTGTTGCTTCTTCTGGGCCCTCATATATTTCATCCACAGCGATGTTGATAGCAGGCTTTGGCTCCCAAAGCATGATCTGCCGCGCCGTCGCTGCACTCTGGCTGGTCGTGTATCTCGTCAACATGGGGACGATATTGATGGAACTTATGTGGAAGTATGCGAAAGACTTCTGATCTACATGCTGGGGTGTACGACACTGGCAGAAATGTACTATTAAAATGTGGAACAAATATGTATGCGGTATGCAGTATGCAGTATCTCAATCATTTCATTGAATTCCAAGGGGATAGGCGGACCATAGGTTTATGTTTTGCCACCCTTCTTCCCCATTATCAAAACAGAATGACCGTCTCCCTTCTACTGATTTGCGGCAAGCGTCGGATGAGGAACTGTAACGGGCGTTACACGCTCCACATTTATATTACGCATCTAAACTTTGAGGACAATTTATTTAAAGGTATATGGTTGGGTAGAATGTCATAACTGACAGGTTCTGCCTCATCATGCTTCATTTCACTCGCACCAGGCACCTATATCCTGCAATGTTCGTTTTTCAAACGTTGCGCGCTTCAGTCCCTTTAAAATTTCTTGGTACACGAATATACTCGTCGATAAACGTGATCACAGGCTTTCTGCTTCACGCTCATGCAGATTACAACCGTAGTGGCCTACAGCTCGACAGTTGAGCTGAGTGTCTTGCCTTGACTGCTCGCACGACGATGACGACGCGGCAGCATGCCAGAAATAGGCAAACACGGCTGAAAGCTTTAGTGGTCCTAACGGTTTCGAATACTTCAGCGACTTCCAATGGTCTTCAGGATCGGGGCACTCTAGCGCGAAAAAACAGAGCACTCTCATTAAACGGGACATGTCACGAAGAACTTCAGGGAGGCCCTTCGGCAAGTGCTCTCTGAGTAGTCCCATGTAACTTAAAAGCCCAGTGCAGGTCAGTCATACAGCAAATCTCTGTATGATTTCAAAGCGCACCTCCGTGGAATAAAATGCAGCCATTGAGATTGAGTGAAAGAGAAGAGTACAGATGCATTAGCGCACTTTTAATAGCGACTTTATCATATAGCATGGAGACGCGACATAGCGAAGTTTCCGTTACCCCGTAGGGCTGACTCGATACTTGACGGCGTGATGCGACCGAGTATGACCATCTGACGTCAAGGACCCCGACGTCAAGCCGCAAGCGTGAACCGAAACTAGAGAAGCGCTGACTCATGAAATCTTAATAAGCAATAGCCCGACCAATCGAAGCAAGATAGTCGTATTCCTTCGAAGCAACTTTGAACTTGGTACTTATGATTATATGATTGTCGGCGCACGATTATCATTCCATGCTACGCTCGATTTGTGTCAGGTTCGATGGTCTAATGGTTATGATTTCTGTCTCACACACAGAAGGTTCCCAGTTCGATCCTGGGTCGAGCCACTTTTTGCTCTTTTAATTTGGGAGAAAGCAAAGTCCGCGACTTCCAAGTTACACCTCCTTCAAGTTGTACGTGTGTCACCGCCATTGTGCAGAACCCTTGGAAATGAAGAATGAGCCTCTCGCCGTTGCGTATGTATTCTGTACTTTGGGGAACACGTGCTGAACACTGCACCGTTCAGGATGATATCTGATTTCTTCCACCCGAACGTGGGAGGAGTGGAAAACCACATATTCATGCTCAGTGCAAACCTCATCCGTCGTGGTCACAAGGCACGAATTTTCAAACTTCCTTCGTCGTTCTCAGCAATGTAACTTAACTCAAACCCAAAATTCGCAGGTGATCGTAATCACCCACAGTCATCCTCCAGACAGAGTGGGCGTTCGCTGGCTTCTACCAGGCTTGAAGGTATACTACATACCATTTCCTACCATCGCCTCTTCCGCCACTCTTCCAAATTATTTTACGTTTTTGCCTTATTTCCGCGTGATCATTGCACGCGAGCATATTCACCTGATTCATGCGCACGCGAGTTTATCGTCTCTGGGCCAGGAAGCCATTCTACACGCGCACCATCTCGGCGTCCGCACGGTGTTCACCGATCACAGTCTTTTTGGGTTTGAAGATGCTGCGAGTATATTAACCAACAAACTCCTTGCGGCTGCTCTCAAAAATGTGGACGCTGTGATTTGTGTCTCGCATACTGGGTAAGTAGTTCTACCTTACAATTGATATTGCCCTTATTCTCTTGTGACCATGAATAAGGAGGGAAAATACCGTCCTTCGAGGACAGTTGTTTGAGAAGTCTGAAGACTCTTCCGCGCTTGTCGTACGGCCAAATGTTTATGTGATTCCAAACGCTTTGGTTGCGGAGCAGTTTACACCAGCTACCGAGGCGGTTTCGTCAGAAACGAGTGAGTTATCCCATGTCGGTGTGGTCGAAGTAGACGACTGATTATTTTTTTCTAGTTTACATCGTGGTTTTGTCTCGTCTGGCGTATCGTAAGGGCATTGACTTGCTGGTCGCTACTGCGCCCCGAATATGCGCCGCCTTTCCTAACGTCAATTTCATAGTAGGTAAGTCGCTCCATCCCCAGTATCGTCGAAATCTAATTCGCTGGTCCAGGGGGAGACGGACCCAAGCTGAACGATCTATTGCAAGTACGAGAACGGCATCTCCTGCAGGATCGCATAGAGCTCCTTGGCCCGGTTCGACATCGCGACGTGCGAGACGTAAGTGGAGAGCAACCAAATTCACTCTCGTGATCATGATTTACACTTGTCTCTGCAGGTTCTCGTACGAGGATCTATATTTCTGAACACATCGCTGACAGAATCGTTTGGGATCGCCATTTTGGAAGCTGCATGCGCGGGGCTTTATGTGGTCTCGACACGAGTAGGCGGAGTGCCGGAAATTCTCCCTCATGACATGATATCATTTGCGAAGCCAGAGGAGGATGGTACGTATGGGACAAAACACATACATTCCGAGAACCCCTTTTTGACCGTACAATTTTCTCAGATTTGTTCCGCGCGCTGTCTGAGGCGGTAGCAATCGTTTCGAAAGGCCAGCATGACCCTATAGAAGCTCATCAGAGGGTAAAAAACTTCTACAACTGGGCAGACGTCGCAGAACGAACCGAGATTGTGTATGACGCTGTCGTCAAGTCCGAGGAGAAGGACCTCTGGACTCGAATGAAAAGGTAGCTTTTTGCTTGTGCTGAGAGACCCTGACTGAAATGTCGTAGAACTATGGAGCTGGGACCGTTTGCAGGACCGATCTACACAATCATCCTTGTGGTGGATTGCCTGTGTTCTTCCTGTTTCTTGAATGGTTGATGCCGCGACACGATTTGGACTTTGTTCAAATGCACTGGGAGCACGACAAATTTGTACAGGTACGTAAAAGCTTCATATTGACCAACTAGCACGCATCTCATATCTAGAGGATAGCTTGCAAAAGACACAGAACCAAAAGATGATTAACCATAATCACTAGAAGACATGACAAGATGAAATTGTACTGCTAATACTTTGTCCAATGGAAGATGCATCACCGAAAGCAGACCCAAGAGGTTGAACAAAAAGAATAAAATCGGATACTGATACTAGGATATTATACCACACGCCTCGGCTTCTTAGGCTTCCCTCCTCGCCTCCTGCTCCGCTTGGCTTCATACCCATCGTCTATATCCATCGCCGCTTCATTCGGAGTCATGTCATCCAAAGGTCGCTTCATAGGCACCTTCACGCGATCTCTCAAGGAAAAGGATGGAGGTCCGCCATCGACAGCCAATCGATCGATGAGAGAGTTTCCGCGGTTGCTAGAAGATCGATCGAGGCGGTCACCAGTGAAGTGAATATCCTCGAAAGGCTGGTTGGAGCGTGAACCAGAGGATGCCCAAGGCGTAGAGTCATGACGGGGACGAGTTGAACGTGGACGTCTTGGTTCTGTCTCAGGGCGAGGAGGCAGAGAGTGGGGAAGGGTACCGTGCTGCAGGAGTCTTGCACGCTCTGGATGCATAGCAAGCGGAAGCGATTGCTGGACCTGCGACCCTTCTCCGTTTGCAGCATGCTGACCGGAGGGTAAGGACACCACATCGGCATGTTGGCGCGAGGAGTCGCGGGGAGGCGAGTCGCGGGGAGGCAAATCTCGTGATCTAGACCACTGAGATTCGTCTGCACGCCTTTCTGTAGTATGATCCAGTGAAGAGGGACCATGGTCATAATGATCTTTGCGACCGCTGCTACGCGGGTGATCAGGCAGATCTTTTTCCTCATTTCTCTCAGGGGCATGCGACCGAGGTTCAGGCAGCCGATGATCGCGAGGGGAGATTTCCCCATGATGCTTCGATTGTTGTGACGGATGAGCACCATCGCGAAGCGACGTCATGGAAGAGTCCCTGGAAAGTGGAGGAGGGGTGGCGCGATCGTCATAATGGTGGGACTGCGGACTCTCAGGTGTCTGTCCACGTCTGTTAGTGGGATCTAGTTTCTCCTCAACTCGAGCAACCGGAGGTCCAAAGCGAGTCTAAAATGATAGAATCAGCCAAGCTCCAACGACTTTGCTCAATAGACCCACTCTTGACGGGCGTCCGCCTGATCGTGATTGTAAATCAGTGTTGATAGGCACATTCACAGGTGCATCAGGCATATCCAGAGGCTTGCGTGGAAGGTGCTATGAGAATCGTCATCTTCTATAACCAGTTCATTTCAAAAAGGACGTACAGGTGAGACCACGCGCTCGTTTTGCCGACGTGGTTCAGCGGGAATTTGGGTTGAACGCTCTCTGTCACGGACATCATCCAGATGGGGCTGAGTGTGAGTAAGTAACAGCTGGCACAGTTATACTCGTATGAAACAGACCGGTCGCTCATGGCTCTCCTTGGCACCAGTAGGTGGACGGACTGGGCGGGAAACCACAAGTTGCGCATGACTTCCAGATACATGGGTGCCTCGCCGTGAAGCGGAAGTGACCGACGGCGGGAAAGGCGCAGATGGCGGCGGCGGCGGATGCGGTGAGATTGACGCAGAACCGGCAAAACGATTGCTCCGACCACCAATTGGCATGCTGTTTGTTCCAGAGAGCTTCGGCGTTGGAGCACTAGGAGGCGGCCTTGACATATCAACCTGACGACGGGTAGTTTCGCGCTATAGATTCGAACTTAGGGAGTCGATAGAAGGAATCCAAAAGATACTAACAGAAGTCCGAGTCGATGGTTCAGCACGAGCACGAGGCTCGTCCCGCCCTCGAGACACATCGTCATGTGATGGGCGATAGGGCTCTTTCCATGGGCGATCTGTTCCCAGGTTATTTCACGTGGGTAAATGAAGCGGTGCCAGTGCCTACCTGGAGATCTCCGTCGTGCGGACGTCTCAGTATCGTCCATCATCGCCCGAGGGCGTTTAGGGGCAGAGCCATCGCGATCCTCTCGATAGCGCTGACTGGTCGCAAGCTGTCGAGAAGGTTCATTGGACTTGGCGAGACTAGCTGGAGGAGGGTCATCAACATCCATATGATCTTTGTCTCGTTTGTCCCTAGACTCATGATGAGCGTGGGAATCTATCTGAGAGTTCGAGTGAGGCGCAGAACTGGAAGGCGCTTGCCGAGAGCCTCTACTAAGGTCGGAGGATCTGTGTTCTCTTGACGTCTCCAAAGGAGACAGGCGCGGACCTGAAGGAATGCGTGCATCGTTGATGACCAACCGAGAAGCCGGACCACTGTCACGAGTGGTAGATGGTGGCGAGCGGTATTCAGCGTCCGCTTTGCCACGCGAACCCTCCTGAAAACTGTCACGTTGCGGTGGCAAAGGCACCCGTTTTCGAGAGCCTGAACAAGCGAGAGATGCACGCGAATGGCAGACGACGTTGGCATGAGGAAGGAAGAGCGGATGGGTGAAGAATACGTACGTTCGATTGGAGGGGATGGGGGTGGGGGTACCAACTGCTCCTGCGAAGCTTGGGGCAACGGCTGAGGCGTCATGTCGGGGCTTTCGTGAGCTCTTGCATCAGCTTTATGGCGATCACTTGTTCGATAACGAGAGCGAGTGCCATCTGTGCTAAGCGACCTGGCTTGAGGTCGCGAGGGCTTGTCGGGCAAATCTAGTGGTCGTTGGTCCGTCTGGGCAGAAGGCGCTTGAGCAAAGCGACTTTTCTGCCTCGCTGCGGATGACAACCCAGTGCGCGCAATGTCGGAATCATTCGAAGACGGTAATATAGGCGGATACTGAGTGTCACGGTTGTGACTGATGGGCGATCTGAGTCCTAGAGAATAACAAATAGGAAAAGAAAAAAGCGGAGGATAGATATAAGGATAGGGGGAAAAGGAGGAAGAAGATAGGGATCCATGATGAGCGACCGTGTGTCCATGCGAGGAAGAAGTCGAATAAGAAAGAACGAAATATGGTACTGCGCAGCTCAACTCTCGAGGTTGCGTAGGACGCTGCCAAGGCATTGCGCCCTGTAACCCAGGAGGAGCAGACACGCCGACGAGGGATGAGGATAGGGGATGATGTAGATAACGTACTTGTTGTCGACATTCTGTCGGCATCGCGAGGGGACTCGCGACGCTCGCGCTCTTTGTGAGGAGGTTGCTCAGCTTCACGATGTTTGCCTTCGTGCAGCGCTGGCCGATCGACAGGTGACGGAACTCGAGGTGCTACCCACACGCGGTCTGCATCTGCTATAGGTGAGTCAGGGCGCGCAGTGTCCTTTGTGGAGGGTCTGCCCCTATTCTGTTCCCCGTTAGCTGAAGGTGACCGCAGACGACGAGAAGACGGAACACGGTCATCTGCGCGGTGACGTGGAGGCGACGAAAGGGACCGTTCTCCGTTGGCTCTGTTGGATGCCAAAAAAGAATCATTTTGACTGTCGTAAGATTGCATAGGCGGTCGCTCATCCCGCCGAGTACTTTCTCCAGGACGGTAATGACGATCGTCATAGGACAAAATGGTAACAGCCTCCGACCGACCTATACGGGAAGTCAGGGAATCATCAGGCTTGCTGATGATAGCGATATCCCGGGTGTCGTCAGGAACGCGCCGATCACGAGCAGACGTTGAGCTGCCAGGACGCGTCCAGGTCGATTCCTTGGTACGAGAATTATAATAATAGACGCCGCGGCCATTTCTAGGATGTCTAACCTCCCAATCTGGGGGAAGTGCATCCCCTGATTCAAAGGTCGCGGGTTTGGAGACAATGCCATTTTTCTTGTCCCGGTCGACGCGAGCCGCCATGGCTGTAGCTTCAATGATGGACGGATGAGAAGGATGCATAAATGGAACCGAAGACACTATTGGTTTTGGAGGAAGAGCATGAGTAAGTTTCCCAAACGATAGCTGGCGATTGAGGGCTGGAGATGGCTCAGGAACTGTCTGTGTTTCCTGAAGCCTTGCCGGCGTCTTGGGTCTGTCATGCTCAGGAGCCTTGGCCCGAGCGTCAGCACCAGTAGCTGCAATCTCTTGATGCTTTTCGGGATGATGCACAGTCTTTGAAGGAGACTGTGTACGCTGGGTAGTAGTGTCCTGTGAAACGCGAGACTGGTAAGTCAAAAATTCGTCGTCCTCATCGCCTCCAAGCGACACAGCATCTTCTGCGTCCTCGGCGGCAAGGCTTGGATCCTGCTCCCCAAAGCTCCGGTCTTCTTCCTCATTTCCCCAGTCTAAAACTTCAGTTTCATCTTCCAGCATGGCGCGGACGACAAGAGTGATGAACAGGCAAGAGTGACAGAAATGCGTTCCTAATTGGCCGAGGAGAATGTCCCAGCTCCGACCCAATATTCGATTCCCGCCCGCTTCTCGCCGAATCCCCGAACTTAGCGGCGTTGTATTCTATACTAGTAAAGCAACTTTAGAGCCTATAACTCAGCTAAGTCTATAAGCGCCGCAAGGATATTAAAATCCGATGGTGCTAGGTATCATAAGGGAGTCCACCTGAAAGGATGCAGAGACTAAAAATTTGCCACCAAAGAGTCAAGATGTTTGGCATCCTTCAACGTTTTGCCTTTGATCACAATTCTGGCAATGACGTGCCGTATATGTATGACGGCATGATTTTTTTGAGCTGCGGAGATCTGATAACTTAGTTTGCCTACTCTAGTTTGCACGACGTGTCACGTCCTCGGGACACTGGATTCATGGAAATGATAAGCTCCAGCATATCATGCGTGGCGGCTGCTCGCGCATTGAACGCTGGACAGTCACGACTGCATATTTCACCCGTGATGACGAAGCTTTGACTTCCGATTCTCCAACAGATTCATTTACCACTAGCAATATGACAAGCGCGATGCAACTCATCACGCTGTGCTTCCCACATCTTGGGGACTGTATGGCTCTGCGGGGCAATTCCCTGCCATAGTACCTAGCGTCACGACGCTATATAATAGTATACCGATGATGTTCTCCGCTAGCGCTCTCTGGCCTACTATATTGGACGTGTGCTCTGCCCACACAAGACGAAAGGCAAGGTAAAGGTACCCGGCATGAGCGTACTCGCCGCTGATGCTTACAGCTCGTAATAGCCATTTCCTTGTGAAATAGCTTCATAAATAATTGACAATTACGAGTGTAAGTTGCTTTGTTCTCCTCCTTTCGTCACCGATCGGAGGTATCCCCGTATACTAACCCTTTGGTAAAAATCTTGGAACATCCGCAGTGCACATTCGCTGCCGCTGAGGGACGCAAGAAAAGGTTTTGTTCTACGGGTTCATGGAACCTTGATATCCATGTTAAAGTTTCTAGGATGTTAGCAGTACTTACTTGCGGGGGCTGTTGCCTCGCAAGCAGATTGTGCTAGATACGCCAGTATGTCGAAAGGCATTGTCTCTCACTATTAAGCACGCCGGATGTCGTCCAGACCAAATTAAACACTAGTGGATAGTTGATCTTTGGCAATCTCAATCTGTCGAGGTCGTCATACTGTGAGGACACTTATGACGTGCCAGCCTCGGTACCATCTTCTATATTCTTCGTGGTTTTCCCCATCACAGTGGCTTCTTGTGACACACCATCCAGACAGTGACATGGTTGTCTTGGCTTACACGGTCGGGGGGAACAATGCACAGCATTTGCTTCATTGACACGCCCGTACGTCCGTGCATTCACTTCTGACGCTTTCGAAGCTGAGACGAAGAAAAAGACAGCGAATAACTTAATTCTATAAATTACACATCGTTCCGTCCGAAGGGGAATCATAGAGATATTAAACGCAAATTGCCACGAAGCCAACCCAACATGCCGATGAAACTACACACCAATATGAACGAAACTGATTCTCTACTCGAGCGGCACCTTCTTCTTCACCGCATACATAGCCGCATTGAGTGCGGAGGCCGCCTTCGCACAGTCCATGACACCATCCTTCAAATCCTTGAACATATTCTCATAGAACGCTTCAACGACATGTTTTGCGACAGCGTCTTCGACCGGTCACAGAGTACCGACGACGCTCTTGAATCCATAGAACTGTAGACCAGCTGCGAGGTGGACCACTTCGTCAGGCGTCTGCTCATCCCCAACGGCGGTATGACACGCCGATAAGAATGCAAATTCAGCTTGTGGAGCATCGTTCTCCATGATATCAAGCAATGTGAGCGGTTTATCTCTCATCGCGAAATGCGAATAATAAGGCTGGTTGTGGTCCTGCTTGCCATGACAAGCGAGGTGCACCCACGTATTGTGTCGCAAAGCTTCGAGCGCACCCCCCTGTGTGGCTTCCTCTCCAAAAAGATGAGTGAACTCGACCTACGCGGGAACAAGTTCACGAACGAGCTCGAGCTCGCTGTCGACAACATTGAGCGGCTTGCATTGTCCTGCCCCCGGTACCCCTTGTCCGATCGCCACGAAGGATGCCTTGGGATCCGCCTTCATCGTCTGTTGAGCTCTGATTAGAGCTGAAAGTGTTGGGGTGTAGGAGCAGATATAGATATCCTCGAGACATGGTTCCCGCTCAGAGGGATCGGCCTTCGTTCAGGAGGGGTGAGCTGCATGGAGAGGAATGGACACGAAAGTTGCAGTCGGACACAGCCAGACTCGAGAGCGGTGCTGTAATTTGAGGTCGCGCTGGAGTACCTTACGATGGGTTGCATTCAAGTTGTTTCGTCCCATACCCTCCGCAAGAGTACTCGCAACTCTGTCCTCGGCTCCGTTGGGCCCATAAGAGCTGTCTGCCGCATCTCTCTGGCAAAGTCGTTCTTGAGCATCTCGAGATCTACGAGAGCGAAGGGGAAGGGAACGTGGCAGGGCTTCCCTGACGTTGGGACAATAATAGCGTCACACGAGTATATACTCGTAATGAGGATGATGACTGGCCCATGACGTGCTGCCGCCTGCAAGTCTTCGTACGACGGTGGGAGCAAGAAACGCGAGAAATCGTCAAGATTTCGAGTTTCGGCCAATGCAGCTTCCCATTGCGTCATAAGTATCTTGTACTCTGTTGCAGTAGTAGCCAAGTCTGTATTGACAACAGAACCCTGAGCATCAGACAGGCACTCGCTGAGCGCCAAGAGTTTCTGAGCTAGTGGAAGGCTTGCGGACTTGAGGTCGTCCAGCGGAGTCCTGAGTCGAGAGGCCAGCAACCAATATTACTGGCCGCGACCCCACTCCTCGAGTTCAATCGCTCGTTGCAGATCATGACAACGAATGGCGCATGATGCGGCATTTACTGGCAGTGATTGTGAACCATGAAAAGCGGTTATAGCATTGCGCCGTGCGATAATCGAGGGTTGTGCTATCGCATAGTGGTCAAAAATATTTAAGCATGTGTGGTACGCTTCCAGGGCAGATTCGTGTTGATATTTCTCAGCTTGGTTAACCCGGTCCAAGGCTGTTCGCATGCGGTAGTATGGAAAGCCTTGAGTGTGTGTTGATGCAAGTCTGAAGTTTTCCACTGTAAGCGAAAAATCAGCTGGGTTGCGTTGTACCCGGTAACGACACAAATAGGCGTCCCATAGCCAATCGTAGCAGAACCATCTGTTTTTGGTGCAGTGCAGGTAAATCCTCCAGGGTTTCTGTGCAGAGATCAACAAGCTCCTCGATATGTTCATTATTCTGAGTTCGTATGAAGCGAAAGCAAAGAGCCGAGCCAAAACTAGCGAGAGTTAAATGTCGTCGTGAATTGACAGACTGTTTCAACTTGAGTGATTCGCGGTAGAGATGGATGGCCTCGTTAAGATCCTCCTCGGCTTGCAAATCGCCATATCTGTTACTGAGGGCGAGGGCAAGGTTATTAAGCGTAGTGTCACGTTTCGGATGCGCAGGTAGGGCACAATGTCAGTGCTTCGCAATGGAGGCTGATGGCTTTGTTGATATCATGTATGTCATGGTATGCTTGAAAACGGTCGAGGAGGGTGGTCCCTAGATTATCCAATGCTACACCATGATATTCGTAACCTGCATGGCATGGCAGGCGCAGCGCATCTTCATACAGAGAGATGGCCTCGTTAAGGTCATGAAAATTGTGTTGCTGTGAAAAGCGGCATGCAAGTGAATAGGCCAAATCATTCAAGTAGTCTCCACGAGAAGGATGTCCCTCAGAGCACAGAGAAACGGTTTCACGACGAAGACATATGCTCTCGTCTATATCAACAATGCTGCCGCTGCGTTGGAAGCGTACACAGAGTCCCCACGAAAGGTTGTCGAGGGCACTGCGACGGTGTTTGTAGCCCAGAGGACAGAGTTTGAGCACGATTCGCCCAATGTGGATGCCTTCATCATATGAGTCCACTGGAAGTTTGTTGCATTTGCGGACCACACAATTGATAGCAGTGTCTACACCAACGCTACGAAGGGAGGTGCCTCCTGGACAGAGGGGCAGTAGCTCGCAGCATAGTTGTGCAGATTCGTGGATATCGATAACAATACCTTCATTGATGTAGCACCAGTTCAATGCTCTAATAAGATGATAGAGAGATGATGGATAATCGGGGTGGCCCTAGCGGACGCAATGCAAGGGCGTTACGGAATAGAGAGATTATAGAGTCGATGTATTGGAGATCCTTGCTAATATAACCTTGAAGGCGTGCCCATGCGAGGTCGGTGACAGCGGCAGCGCGGTCAGGATGACCGACCGGACACTGGGCCAGGACCCACTGAAAATAGTTCACAGCATCATTCAGGTGGGAGACACCACTCGTGCTCTTCATGTACTTGGAAAGTCGTGTGTGGCCTGCATCTGTGCACCGAGCAATCTCGGATTCAATGATTGGCTGCAGTTTGCGTTCTTTCAGATAAGCCAAAAACATGGGGTTTCGCGTCACTCACATTAAGTAGCACACTGTCGTCGTGTCCACAAGGATGTACGAGAGTGACCTTCAGTGTAAGAGAAGGGCAGAAATCCTCAAAAGGTGGTAAGGACAGGTCTACGAAAAGTTAGTGGGCGCATGAACACGGGGAGGAAGATCACTCACCGAAGGGTTCATTATCATGGTCGAGCAGCTCATCCCATGATTTTTCAAGTTTTCCGATGACTGAACCTTGGCCTGACATTCGACCGAGTTCAAAAGACGCCCTGATTTCCATTAATAACTGAGGCCTCGGATCTGGTAATCTGCAATCTGATGATAAGTCCTAGAATCACATCTGCAAGTCTCTATAGAAGTTTTTACACCGTCAGAGCTTCGTCCCACACTACTGCGCCGTCGGATGACAGGACTCGGATGGCTGATTTCTAGCGTCTCTTGGAGTTGAGCTTGATGGACACGTAAAAGCCTGCGGGTATGCGGAAGAAGGGGACTTGAATATTTTGTCCGCTGATGACTGTAGTAGAACGTGAAGAACGAAACGAATACTAACACGAAGTGACCTACCTTCAATTCTGATAGATCGGCATTCTGGCAAGCTAGTACCGGACATGTTGGCGTGAACCAGTCGGGTGAGCAACACGAAGGATTTGAGAATGGGCTGCCTGCAAGTCGTGCGACAAGGAGTGACGCAGGGAATCGGATACGGGGACTAGCACTGCGAATGTAAGTTTAAAGGGAGAGGAGAAATGGGTGAGGGTGCAGTGCATGCTATGCTATGCTTGTCGGTATGATGATAGACGCTGGCACTGATTCCACCGAGTACTGAAACCAAAATATGAGCCCATACAATGCCTAGTCTTTCAGCACAACACAATTTAGAATCTAATGTACAGTGCATACTTCAACTTTGCGACAAATTCATTATGAGTTTGATAACTTGAGCACTCAGTCTAGTGGGAGACCGCTTACAAATCATCAGGACCCGATTCCGATTCCGATCACCCTTGTAGTCTCTTGGTCGTCACCAATTCCGCGGTAAAAGCTTCTGCAGTTCCATTTAACAAATTTCTGGCCAAAGTGTCTTCGTCTCGCACTCTTTTTCGTCGTCCTCGAGTTGGTACAGACATGTCCATCCTGCCTCTAACCTCCCCGTCGTATCCTAACCACAATATATCTGGCGCTCCCATGTCTGTCTCAAATCGCGTGCCATTAATGTTTCGACGGTTGCATAGGTTCCAGCAAATGGTGCGAAGTGCATGCTAGTCTAGAAAGATGTACTGAGTTTTGGCTCCCCAGGACTTTGAACTTGCCTTTTGGCAGCTGTCTTATCTCTGTCTGGCACCCAAGAGAGTGTGAGTCAACTTCTCAAATATGTACATAGCTATGGTCCATTGACGCCTATCTAGTTACCGAAACGTGTACTACCACAAGCGTACGTCAATATATTGCACCTTGTGAAGCCGATGTTTATATCTATTGTAGAAACCAAGAACACCTGGGCGAGAGATGACCCAGCAATCTTAATCCTGCTATTTGCAAGCCTTTTCGGTGAGAATCATCCATGCAATTCAGAACCTAGCTTACTCAACGAATTCAATCTCGCTCAGTGGCTGCAATAGCATGGTCTATTGTGTACTCGTATTCCCTGCTAGAGGCGGTGCGATTAGCTTTCGTAATGATACTGCGAGATTACATCCTTGTTGGCGCACTAAGTGCGACGTTCATTTGGTTTGTCTCTCCTCTTCTGATGCGCCAGGTTGACTCATTGGTCATGACCCCCCTTAGGTTCTTCGCCAACCGAGTGTTGGTATCACCTTCCTCTCATTCATCACCTACAGACTCTTCAGTCGAATGGGCGTATGCCTTTGACGTTCATACGAACTCCTTTTTCCCGTTGTATTTGACACTTTATCTAGCGCAACTGTTCCTTCTTCCCGTAGTGTTAAAGGACAATTGGGTTTGCCTCCTTCTTGGCAACACCTTATATCTTGCAGGGCAAGTTTTGGAGTCAACACCATCAAATCTGTTAGTTCCATACTGATTTCACCAACAGGTTTGCCCAGTATATCTATGGAGTGTACCTCGGACTAAGTGGTATGCAAGTTTTGTTGTCTGTCTCACAGCTAATTCATTTTCACATTCAGCTCTGCCGTTCTTGATACGATCCGAAATATTGCTTGCCCCACTGTTACCGTTGTTTGCGAGCTATATTGTCTCGTTGTTGGGTTTCCACATTGCAAAACATGTACTAAGCGTGTACTTTGGTTCATAATACACTGCATTATACAGGAGAGGGACGATTACTCTAGCTGTATTGCATTGCAGTGCTTGTGCAGTAGCTTGATCGTAATAATAATAATAGACATTTTTATGTTAAAAAACTTTGAAGCTGTGGGCCAGGGGTGTTCCATTCACACCGCCACTACCGCCACCGAGCGTCTCTTGCACTCCCTTCTCTCCGTGTGCGACCGATAATATCTTCTTCAATTCCTGTTATCATGCACATCGCCCAAGCTCATGTCGACCGTGCCATTGAGCAGATCCAACACAAGAAGCCACCGCCCGATATCGACTTCACCCAGCACTTACTTGAAGATGGCAACACAATCAGCACACAAGAGCGGGTCGTCAAAGATGTACGCTCGCGCCGTCGGTTCCTCATATTAACCGCCTGCTAAGGCAAGAATTGCAGGTGCAAGCACCAGCTATGAACGTCCCGACAGATGCCCAGTTTTTTTCCAGACAAGATCCCACCAAACCTGACGTAGCATTCCTCAAGAATCACTTTTACCGCGAAGGCCGTGTGACCGAGGATCAGGCATTGTGGATTTTGGAAAAGGCAACTGCTGTCCTTCGTGCGGAGCCCAACGTCTTGCAGGTTGACGCGCCAATCACAGGTGAGTGTGCTTGTCGTCTGTTGTGGTCGTCTGCCCTCCACATGCCAACTAACGTTCTCGCCACTTTTCAGTTTGTGGCGATATCCATGGTCAATATGTATGCGCTCCCCATTGCTCATCAGGTCGACGCATTGCTGATTATCTGTCCAGTACGACCTCATGAAACTGTTTGAAGTCGGGGGCAGTCCAGCAGACACACGTTACCTTTTCCTTGGGGATTACGTTGATCGGGGATACTTCAGTATAGAGGTGTGCCTCGCATTAATGTTTTTGACTTCGACAGCTCATTCCTTCATGCAGTGCGTGCTGTATCTATGGTGTCTGAAGATCTGGTATCCCGATACCCTCTTCCTTCTCCGTGGCAATCACGAATGCCGGCATCTCACGGATTACTTTACCTTCAAGCTTGAATGTATGTTCCGGTCCCGTATTCTCAACGATATCACCACTAACACCACCTAGGCAAGCACAAATATTCAGAGCGCATCTATGACGCTTGCATGGAATCATTTTGCGCCCTCCCCCTTGCTGCCGTCATGAACAAGCAATTCCTATGCATCCACGGCGGTCTTTCACCAGAGCTTAACACTTTGGATGATATCAGAGCGGTACGTCCATTCCTGGACCGCTCATGACGCAATCTTTCATTTATATCGCGTCTAGATCGACCGGTTCCGCGAGCCTCCGACGCATGGGCTGATGTGTGATATTCTATGGTCGGATCCTGTGGAAGATTTTGGGCAAGAGAAGATGAATGAAAGCTTCGTCCACAATCACGTCCGAGGTTGCTCCTACTTCTTCACGTGAGTCGTCGCATGCGCCTGATGTATCGCGATTGATCGTCGAGATGCAGTTACCAAGCTGCCTGTCAGTTCTTAGAGCGAAATAATCTTCTCTCAATCATTCGTGCACACGAAGCGCAAGATGCGGGGTATGTTTTGATTGCTCAGCTGTTCATTATACTCATGTAGTTTATCGAAAGATATCGCATGTACCGGAAGACGAAAAGCACGGGCTTTCCTTCTGTCATGACCATCTTTTCTGCTCCCAACTACCTCGACGTGTATAACAACAAAGCTGCCGTCTTGAAGTACGAGAGCAACGTGATGAACATTCGCCAGTTCAACTGCACGCCTCATCCATACTGGCTACCGAACTTCATGGACGTGTTTACATGGAGTTTGCCGTTTGTGGGAGAGAAAAGTACGTTCACTGAGCCCATCTACAGCGTTTGCTCGGAACTGAGTGATGCATATAGTCACGGATATGCTTGTCGCTGTGCTAAACACTTGCAGCAAAGAAGAGCTTGAAGAGTCTGATGAGGAGAATATCGTTTCACCGGCGTCTCATCCTGGAGAGTCGTTGGAGAGGCGAAAGGTCATCAAAAACAAGATTCTTGCAGTTGGACGGATGGCGCGTGTATTCGCTCTGCTTCGGTACGGATCTTTGTGTATTCACGCTGAGCCAATCTGACAAATCACTCGCAGGGAGGAGTCGGAGAAGGTATCAGAGCTGAAGAGCATATCTGGTTCTGGAAAGCTACCATATGGAACACTGGTGTTGGGTACAGAAGGCATTAAAGATGCCATTTCCGGCTTTGAGGACGCGTACGTACCAGTTATCTTCCTCATTCTCTCGGTGTTCACCCCATCATCCGCAGACGGAAGTCAGACATCGAAAACGAACGCCTCCCTCCAGAACTTTTCGACGCCGACGAAGCAAAGGCCTACCTAGCTCAAGCACAATCTGGGTCATTACCAACGACTCCAGCAGACAACATCGAATCACCCGTGTCTCCGACTGGTGTCAGCGCGGGAATAGACCCTACCATGTCATCTGGATCGCTGACGTCTATACCCAGTCTCCCGAGCAGCGGACAGATGATGACGCCGTCACGTACCCCGTTCAAGGGCAGACACGGTCGGCAGGCTTCGCTTGGGACGACGATGACGAGTCCCTCGACGAGGCGTCGGAGTTTGGAGAGTACGATTTCGATGATTCAGGAGGCTCTCGATGGGACGGACTTGGAGACTCATGGGCTCATTGGAAACGGTGCATCCTATCATACTTAATTGTTTGGGAGCGAAGCAATACTGTGTATTCATAGTTTCATTTTTCTAGTCGCTGCAACGTCGTGATACTTAAAGAGAGCCAATATGATTATTAATGGGAACATTGTTAGTGACCATCAGCTGAGCGCTGAATGCTGAACGTTCTTGGGTGAGTAGGCTCAGAGGCAAGTGTAGAAGTAGAACCCAGGGAGAGGAAATAGTTGGAGGGCAATATAATATTAATGACGCGAAGCCCGTAGACATCAGACTTACATTCGATCAACAGGGATCTTCATTATGTAATCATTCCAGACCAGCGTCCTGGCAAACTTTGGTCTTGCAATCTCACAGGAGTGTCGATGATTCAACAAAAATGATCTCAACAGGACACGACTCTGGCGTTGATCAAGAACTAGAATGCTTCAATTTCGCCCACGAAGGGAGTCGCTACATGGAGAAGTAATGATACAGAAAGTACTACCCAAGACTAGGCCACTAAGTGCATACACCTAGAAAATGATATGTCAGCTATGATCCAACAACAATGAGATGTGTTCCCTCAGGAAGAACATGTTGTCCATCATAAAAAATCGGACATATGCTTGTATATCTTAAAGCATCTCGGGGAAGGGGGGACGATAGCAAAATACTCACTAGTATTGCATCACACCCGCAGCAGCACTTAAGACAACCTGTTAAAAAAAGAGGAAACGAAAAGTTAGTAAGTGAAAATGAACATGGACGAATAAAGACGAAGATCAGTTGGTGATGCATGTTACGAGTGAGGCTCATTGGAGACCGTCGCCGACTCGAGGATGGAAAGTATCGTCATTTCAAAAGAGAGGCGCTGAGGCTTACCTTGGTGATGCGCTACACGGTGTACGATGGTGAAAGTTTACAAAAAATGTGCTCGCTTGCCGAGTTCTAGGCGTCTGAATCGGAGTCTGGCGGAGATTTAAAAACACCTATACAGTTCTTGCTCTGCGATTTATTCTTTCATGTTCATGGTTTACTCTCCCGTCTCCCGGTCGTCTGGATGAAGCGCATCAAGGTGAGCAAAGAAATTTTTTAGACGTCGGTGCTCTAGGGCACCTTTTATGATGATCCCAATCAGTTCTGCTTCCGAAAGAGACAAGTCTCTTGTGGACAACCTTTTACCAAAACTCTCAATTCTGACCAACTCTTCTCATTTTAACGATGAGGATAACACGCTGACAACTGCTTCTATAGTTGAACTCTTCGACCGGCAATCCGTGACGCGCTTTTCGTAGAAGAGAGTGAGTATCCACTATAATCATGTATACACTTCTTTTGCAAGACGAAACCAAGTTCATCCATTCTTTGAGTCTCCCGTTTTGGCGCGTTTGCTTTGACCACTCTTGTTCGCAAGAGCATTGCGTCTATGTCTCGTTTTGATTCGTAGGCGTCGGTCTAGCGTTCGTTGCTCTACGGGGGACAAGAAAACATCGGCTTTTCTGATTTACGTTGGAGTGCTATGTCAAACACCTTACTTACTCTTATGCTTTAGGTTGACTGCAACTCCGGTCTCCTCAATCGTTATGACTAGTCATGTACTTATGCACAAATCATGTTTATTTTGCCAATGCAATATGTTTACGCATGACTGAGTACGGTGCGAACTCGGGCTTTGATATATAACGAAGCCATGATCTACATATATGTACAAGTGCGAGGTGTGCTTCACGATTACAGGGTATACGTTCTATTTGAAAGAGTGGAGTCTTGCACGTCCGCGAAGAGCCAATTCAACACAGCTGCAAGCCTAATGCCACCTTGAGACATCAGCTTTTCAACAATCCATTCATCCTCAATAACCCCGGAATACACGGGCGTGTCCAGCTCGAGGTACGGGTTCTTCCTCGGTGCAGAAAGCCAGTGGACTTCGTGAGCTTTATTGGATGAGTTGCAGGCGTGATCATTGGTTCCAGAGAAGGAAACATGGTTGTACGGCGGTTTATCCAAGGCCGCCGGGAAGACGATCTGGCAGTTCAGAGCGTGAATGGGAGTTGCCCAATAGTAGGGACACAAGGTGTCGTCATCGGTGTTTAAGCCTCCATCTGTGAGACGCGAACCCAAAATCCAAGACCCTATGCGACGCCCAAACGTCCAAGATACCCATTGCTCCAAGTAACTTTGTACGGGTTGCACGGAGGGTTCGGTAGGACATGTAAGCCACGATTCGAGCTCATCTTCATACTTGCCCATGATGCCTTCCCAGACGATACGACGGATGTAAGGGTCATAAATGGTGCCCCGAAGGTAACTCTCGACTTCGGGAAGTGGAAGAGGGCGGGTATAGTTGGAGGGGATTGTGCGGATTCGTTTGGCTATCAGAAGGCCATCCCACAGAGAGTGAAGGTCTATCGGAACAGATTATGATAAGAAAAAGAAGAGATAAGAGTGAGAACAACTGACTTGTTACACGATGGTCAAATGAGACCTTGATTCCGTTCCCTCCTCGATCACGTCCAGTGAGGTGCAGCGGCATGTGCATATCCCCCACGAAGTGAATGAGAAACTTGAGGGCGACTTGCGCTTCGTCGTCATCACTCGTAGTGGTCAAGCCTGCTTTGCGCAGGTCCATGTAATCCTCCAGAACACCTGTGACGTTCCTTATGCCACTAAGGACGTTGATATTCCTTCTACCCTCCCAACCTTTCTCTCCTGGGAAAGCGCAAGTTTCGCTGGGATAGTCATCCGTTGCGCCGATATAATGCAGTGGGCCTGTCCACCTATACTTCGCTTGGCCGCGTATCTTGTCTGCCCAGGTAGAGACCGGAGCGAGGTGGCAATCGCCTTTGTAGTTCAAGATGTCGCATAGTATGGGCATGACTGAAGGATGCAGATGCATCTGAGCGACTGTCGCGACTACTTCATGACCTACAAGAGGATTGAACTCTTCCGAAACGCAAAGCTCGACCGTACTCACCTACGGCTCCCCATGCACTGACGTATGGTACGATAGTAGACCCTGCTGCGAGAACGAACGATACCTGCGGAAAGCGCATCGTGGTGGTGTAGTTACAACCGATACCGGGTGTGAATGACAATTACTGAGAGTACTTATACCAAGAAATACCGAACACACAGCCAGACAGGAACGCCTCCACAAACAAGAAAGACAAATTGGGAAAACAGACTCCAGAGCCGAATTACAAGGATAAGGAAATACAATAATAGCCACACAGCCACCTATTGCTGTCATTGATGATTGATCCCTTCTTGAAAGATCTCAGATCGCAAAATGTTCAAGTTCAATTTCGACGTCGAGGACGATGGTGAACAAGGTATAGGTAGTCTTGGTGAAAATAGTACAACGCAAAATCGCGGCCCCGCTTCTGCGCAGACAGTTGTTCCAGACGCATTTACCGAGCTTTCTCTTGTAAACGCGGTACGTATAAATACTGCTCATATCCGTTCTGTAAAAACTGATCTGGGCGCAAGGATTAGCTAGACAGCCTACCATCCAAAATCTCTTATTCTCCAATCACGATCCCACTCGCTAGCGGAGGTGAACTTTCACTTCCACGTCGTGATCTGTTCGATGCGAGGTTTCAATTGATCTCACAAAATGCCGATGACCCGGATGCGTCGGAGCAACCATCCGTTGTCAATGCACGGTCTGCACTGCAGTTTTTAGATGCACCTTCCGACCTTGTACCCCTCGTCTATGAAGGTGGCTTGAAGACTTGGGAATGTAGCCTTGATCTTGCTAGCTATCTGGACAGCATAAGCTCGCAGTTCGATGTACGGGGCAAGCGCGTGCTAGAGGCGAGCATCCAATTGTTCTGACAGTAAAATGTAGCTAATGACCCTCAAGATCGGCTGTGGTACATCGATCCCGTCGCTATACATCCTTCATCGAATATTCTCCTCTCCGCCTTCTCAGAATCAGACACATATTCACCTTCAGGACTATAACGCCTCCGTTTTGGAGCTGGTGACCATTCCCAATATTATTCTGACCTGGTGTTCGTAATATTCGGATTTTTTACTTTCTTCACGTCTCACCCGAGATGCAGATCTGTCAGAGGCAGCGGAGACATACCGCAAGTCGGAGGAGGAACAAACAGACTCTGCGTCCTTGGAATTGAACATGTCGGACAATCTTAAAGACACTTTCCATCAGTCTTTGATAACCTACGGAGTCCACTTACGTTTCTTCTCTGGATCATGGGATACATTCGACCTTCGAAAACTAGGCGGGAGCTACAACCTGGTGCTGACATCCGAGACGATATACTGCATGGAGTCTCTCCCGAGCCTTGCTGCTGTTATGCGCGGCGCTTGCAACGCTGAAGGTCCTACAGACACATATCAGTACCTCTGTCTAGTAGCTGCGAAGGTGCTCTACTTCGGCGTGGGTGGCGGGGTAGCAGAGTTTGTGCGATGTGTACGAGATCTAGATACGGGAGGGACGGTCGAGACTGTATGGGAGAAAACACAGGGCGTCGAAAGGAGAGTAATGAGTGTTAGATGGAATTAGGCAATGTTAATGATGATGAATATTTTTACTCGCGATATGAGCAAAATATACAAGTCGATAAGAACACGATTGAGATGTGGTGCGGGTGGTACAGTGGCTATAGTCAGTATCGTACAACATAGGGGAGATTACCCCAGTGGACAAAAATTCGAAAAACAACTCTTAGGGGACTCATGGTCGTTACCAACGACAAAAATGTGGACAAATCCGGACTCGAACCGGAGACCCCCCGCAGTCAGCTCCATGCTAAGCGGATGTGATAACCAGCTACACCATATGCCCGACGATGATTTAGCCACTTAGGGAGCTCAATTCCGTGTTAGCCTTATATACTACATATATTACATAGGAATGGTAATCCATTTTCGTGGTCTAATGGCTAATACTCGAGTTGACATGCGAACTACATAGTGCATTTATAGGTGGTATCGTTGAGTTCCTCAGCGACGACGTTTTCCTTTCTCTCCTAACGCACGCTTGGCTACTTTTTCAAAAGCTTCCTCTAAATCCTCCGCCGTCTCCCAGCCTGCTCCACCCGCACTCGGTGCTCGCCTCCCACTAGCGCTGTAACAGTAGTATTTCACGCCAAGCACAAGTATAGCCACGAATTCATCATGGGGATCCTTCTTGGCCAGGACCTCGATATAATCATGTAACTGGGATGTCGCTGCCGTACATGACTCTCCTTCCTTCTTCACCTCAATGCACACCAATGGAATATCTCGGTCATCAGCCACAAGGACAATAATGAAGTCCGGTTCGAAGACGGTGTCACGGACAACTGGAGCACCCATAGAGTCGATAGAGAATCCTTCATCTTCGAACAGCTGGTCATTGTCGTTGTGTTCATCGCCAGGAGCGGTGTGTCGAAGTTTTGGCTGCGGCTTCACCATGAAACAATCTGCCGCAAAGACTTGATTGGCAAGCTTATCTAGAGGACCATACCAAGACGCCTCATAATGAGGAGGATTGAGATGCAAATGGTGTAAACGCTGTTTCCAGGCAGGAACTTGCGACATAGTGGCTGAGAATATTTGACATTCACGGTCAAAATTTAGAGCAAATGGTACGCCAACTCACCAGTAGTAATTGCGAGTAAGGGGACGATGCGTTGGATGGCTGTTCAATAGGTACGAACAATATGTCTGTTAAATACTCAGCTGGGAGCTATTCGGAGTGAAAAAAAACAAGCACAACAGGCAGTTGTGATCACAATCAGTAACCAGGATTACAAGAAGCATGAATGATGGTCCACCGCAGTTTGCAAACACGCTGTGAACGATTCTACGAAAGTTGGCTACCCACTGATGATAAGGTAGACAATTAATTAATATGAATGGAACCCATCTATCAGAAAAATTAGGCACCCACTGATGCAAATAGGCTGTGTCACGATTAGAGCCCGATTGTACTCGAAAAATAATGCCCACCGGTTGGAAAACATACGAAGTTGGCCACCTTCTGATCAGTGGCCGGGTAAGTAATGCGATAAGCGGATCAGAGTTCACAAAGGACCCTGGGCTGGAAGAAGAACTACTTAAAGAACAATGCCCTCGCCGGCTGGGAAATTCCGAGAAGAACCTCATAGTGATCCACCAATAATTAATGATCACTGACCAATGATGCAGAACTTAACAGTCAAGTAACTCAGCTGTAATTGACATTTCACGCACGTGACCTTCATGATTTGGTTTAATAAGGTTCGCGTTGCAGTCACCATACAGCTAAAGACACCAAAGTTCCCCCAACATCTTGTATTTCCTTTGTACCCTAGCTAAAGGCATCTAAACCAAAGTTCCCCCCAACATTTCCTTTCTGACAAGTAGTACGTTCATGCAGTCTCTTGTTGCGTGCAAAGGTTTACGTTGTGCAGTCAGGATGGTGTTCAAAATAGCCGGTTGGGCGCTCAGCTTCCAGCAAGTGCGCACATGGTTAGAGAAGCAAGGTCAGAAACACCAGCACTTGGGGGACGAATTCCTCGCTACCGATCTCAATTACTGGTTCGACGAGAGAAACATCGATTACCTCTGGGCTGTTTGCACCGACTATCCTCGAGGGAGCCTGCAACCAGTCATCGTATTGGTTCGGAGGCGCAGAGAAGATCCCAAGTCGACGGTCTCCCACTACTATCGTGTCAGAGAGTTGGACGGAGACCGTGAAATAAAGAAGCAGCTGTTGGAAGAGAGTGGGCTGGCTGATGAGGATTTGCCTTGGATCACTGTTGCGGACCCGTTCTTCCAATGCTGATGTTGTCGTCGCGAGATGAATGGAATTGAAATAGAAAGTTTTACGGGTCCCAATCTGGGGCTTGAAGAACAACGCTCCACAATTCGAGTACGAAAGCCCCCTGATGCCGAATAGGTACAATCCTCTCTGCTCGAAGAAGGACATGGTGAACACCATGAACACCATGAACACCATGAACAGAATAGGTTACCACAATTTCGCACGTGATCTTCAAGGTGATGGTTTTGCAGTCCCACAGTTGCAAATTTTGCAACATTTTGTATTGCGTTGGTATTTCGGAGTCCTTCCGCATCTGACAAACAGTACGTTCACACCGCCATCCTGTGCATCAAAGGTTCACACCCCCTACCACTAGCTACGATGGTGTTCAAAATAGCCGGTTGGACGCTCAGCGCTCAGCTTCGAACAAGTGCGCACTTGGTTAGAGAAACAGGACCAGAAACGAACACGCGAGCAAGCTGGACAAGCCAGGAGGGGTACCATACAGCACACTCATCTGGATTACATCTGATCTAAGTACACTGCGATTGCTCGTGGAATGGACGAACTTGGACTAGACTCTTTTACAGCTCCATTATAACTTTCTTGAGGAGCCATTCCTTATATCTTGGATCGGATAGGACAACAGGAACTTTCACCTGCCCAATTGAGACGTTCTTGTCGCTTTTCTGCCTGCGATATTCTGAGAAGGTGCCTTTCTCCACGAGACGGATGGTTGGCTTTCTGGACCTGCCTTGCCAAAAAGCAGTGCGATACTCATGGTTTGCCGCCATGAGGTCTTCAAAAGTCTGCTGCGGCGCCATTCTGGCGTCATTTCCTGTGAATATCAATTAACACAGTCGCGGAAAAGAGCTGCCAAGCAAGCGCTAACCTATTTCTCCTACAATTTCTATCAAGTACCCATAGGTAATAGGCGTATCTCGCTCGTCGCCCACGATAGTGAAATCCATGATTTGGCCAATCCATCGGTTAGCGGCAAAAACGATCGCGTTCGTCAATTGCGACTCTGTACACGTTGTTCCAAATGCCAGCCCAAGCGAGCCACTTCCTCAGCAGGCATGTCAATTGCTAAGTCTAAGTTTGATGACATCACAACTCACTCTCGCCTGTGAAGGTAATTGATGATAGGCAACCCGTCATCTGGATCGAAGCCTTTGACAGCGACGACATCACCAATGCGGTATCTCCACAGGCCATTGCGGGTCGTCACGACGGGTTCGTAATGCCCTCCAGCTACAAGCTCCCACTAAGGCAGGGACTTAGTAGACGAAGGGGAGATGCAGTGGATGGTTCTTACAGCGGACAAGACATGCTCAGAAGGCTCACAGGAACGCACGTCCAGAAACTCGGACATCCCATCTACGAACATTACCTTGAAGTCGGTATTAGGATTGCCTTTGTAGTATGTCATGGCGATACCACATTCTGAACCGCCATACGCAAGAGCCTCGATGGAAACAGAAGGTCCGAGGACGTGATTAATCTTTGTGTCGCTGACTGTTAGTTGGGTAGTAAAACCTTCCACGATTAACGTGCCTTTGGAACAGAAGCAGCAGCGGGACCGCCAGTGATCCCAATGAACTTATTCAAGTCAGGCCACACACGGACCGCCCAGCCCTGAATTCCAGGAGGCCCAATTTCGCGAAGTTCGGCAGCGCGAAGAGGGTTTGGAGTGAGATGTTTCTGAGAGAAGTCGTCAGCTAAATGGAATCTAATAGTCAACAAAAATATGACCTGTAAAGGTGCACGCAAATGGTCTAAGTCTTCGATGTCCGGGATGACACCCTTCTCGATACAGTCGACAAGTAGAGGCCATTCATCCTCTACGTATTGCAAAAAATTGACGAATACATTGGCAAAGAAGAAGCGGACGGTGGTCACCCCACGGTCTGCCAGTGCAAATAGCGCATTCAGGACAAAGTAACCGCGATAGCTGTTGATTAAGGACATCGCATATGGATCCGTTTGCCCCGGAACTGAAAGTCGCCAAGAGATCAGCATGCGCAAGGTATAGTAGCGCGATGAGCTTACGCCACAAATCGAGTCTATCATTATCGCCCTCGACGTCCCAGTTCATTGCCATTCGCAGATAACCGACGCTCAACGAGCAGACCGTCACCTTCTTGGAGCTCTGACCGTCCTCGCACTCTATTTCCAGGACTTGCTGATACTTCAAAGAAGATGGTGATAACGTGGTACCCTCTGACGGGGGAAGTGCCAGAAACAAAGGGTGCTGCAAGAGGTGTGGGGGAGGCCGATACTTTGGGAATATCTTCGCCGTTGTCCCAGTTGTCATACTGGACATGGCGAAGAAGTAGGGCAGTCCAGGGGCGAACATGTTTTCGACATCAGCCTCCTTGCAAGGGGTAGCCAAGAATTTTGCTATGAATGGCCTGTACGGTTCGTAGTTTGTAGTGGGAACAAATTCTCGGAAGCTACGTAGGAAGTCGATATCATCCTTCGAGTCGCTCTGCGCGATAGCTTCGCGAAATTTTGCCAACTCGGGGGCATGTTGAGAGAATTGAGACGTATAATTTGGCCGTATGAATTCGAGCAGGGCTTGATCTACGTGATCCTTGAGCTGCTGAGAGAGTTCGGTGGACAATGAGTCCAGGAGATCTATTTCAGGACGAGACATTGCCGTAGCATGGTATGAAGTTGGAACACGACATTATATACCGTGACGTGGAGTTCATCGTTTTGTGAGATTTCTCTGCAGTTAATGTATAGCGTGACGTGGAGTGTATAGCCTGTTGAATTTCCCTGCAACTATTTGTCGTTCGGGTACAAGTTTCGCGCTGTGCTGGCATCCCTCACGGTCAGTCTGCATGACAAGTCATCACCGCATGCTTTGGTTCGTAGCCAATGATTCTGCGTGGCAACTTATGATTGCACAATTTGCACCAGTGGTTTGTGGCGGATGACGGGGTGCACCAGTGGGCGTGGGCATATGTAGGGCCTCGTCTGGGCGTGCACGTGGTTCACAAGCAGTCGACCCATAAGACAGTAGTCGCGCGCGGTGACCTCGGAGTACAGATCATGATGTACTGGTGCTTTAACCCGGGCGTGCGCCTGGTTCACAAACACAGTCGACTGTAATGGGTGCATTATCAAAGTAGCCGCGCGTGATGGTTGCGGAGTACAAATCATGGCGCACTCGTGCTTTAAGATCCTGCAGTGCACCGCAACTGGCAGGGCTATTAGAAAGTCATTACAATGTGCTTACCTGAGAACCCTGAGAGGCCGCTTGATCGGCACCAAATGTGGATGATATGATATGAGGATCTCCCCTGCCAGTGTGCATACTTATCAGGAAGGAAAACTGGTTCTTCTTTTTAGGTAGTGCGTACTACATATCACTGTGAGAAGGGGAGCCGGTGAATGGTAAAAAATGTTGAAAGTCGATAGGGAGAGCCACTGAAACAATAATTCCCGCTACAGCAGTAGTGGGTTTTGGTGTGTCATGCTCGAAAAAACCTCATTTTTCAACTTTTGGCAGAGAAATCCATTAAGTCCGGCCCTAAACATGTTTCTCATGTCTGTTTGTGGTGTTTGATTCGTGCGGTTCTGAAGGACTGTTTCTAATTGTTGCGTCTGCGTACATCGATCTTATCTGTTAGTCTTCGACTACTTATTCATATGTCTCCTTACACAGTTCTCGGATCTTTTTCTGATATCCCTGCTGTTATTCGTGTTGATGATGTGAGTCTTGATTCGACCGTGTTATTGACTTTTCTGCATGATTGCAATGTGCTGCGTGTTGAAGTCCGGATCGAAGACAGACATTGCGAGCGCTAACTGATTGAGGAACCTACAACCAAGTGACGTCAGTCACAGAATCTAATAAGCAACCATTTATTTCCTATGTTACAGTTTATTACCTATCACTATGCTAACTACCTTAAAACTACGAGTTGTCAGACCGAACATCTCAGTCCGTTTCCCGAGACTGAGATGTAAGTCGAAGTTCCCGCTTTACGTTACAACTAGAGCTAACATACCCTTAGATATATTTCTTATCAGGTACACTGCATGTTGTCCAAAAATTCCGACGGCTTAGAATTGGCTGAGAATCTGGGGGGTACCTAAGGTTTCAGCCACGTCGAAGCCATCAAATATCAGACGACTACTACAATGTCCGAAATCTTAACCTCTAAATTATCACTGGCGTTAACAAAGGCGCAAACTTAGAGGTATTCTCACCCACGTTTTATCTACGTTTTAGTGGCTTCTACCTGAGGTGTGTTTTGCGTGCCGCACATAGCAGCATTGCAAAATATAATATAATATATATATAGACTAACCTATTTCTAGGGTTACGCTCTTATACATGCCACCGCCTGCATGCAAACACGCACTGTGATTTCTCCAACAACCATTTACCAGTAACTTAACGACTCGGGACAGTGAGCGAACAACTTATAGCCAGTCGTACCAGCTATCGACATGATTGATGACTACCAATCAGCAAAGCACTGTAAGAACATTATAGCATTATTTGGCTCTGAACTTGCTGACTTTTGTACACTAGCAGTGTCTGTGTGCGTGCTTGCTATGCGAGCCATTGGGTCTTTTTCAGACCGAAAGAACCGCCAGAAATCACCTCAAGAAGCATGGCTATGCATGCAGGCAGCATGTTGGCAGTAGCGCAGACTACGAGCTACCAAGGAATATTGGTGTCGAGGACGAACTTACACTGGATGATAGCCCACTCCCTGATCATGTCACCAAGCTTGAACAGCTTGACATTTCTGCTGATGATGCACATTCTGTATCCGATCATCGAAGCGGTTCTGCTGACAGGAGTTCCCCCCACTATATTTCCCTTCCTCTGATGACGATAATACTGAGTTCAATCAACGACACACCCCTCTGCTGAGCAGTTCTCCCCCACTATATTTCTGCACTTCAGATTATGATAATGCTGCTCCTAGTGACGATGACTGTAGTGTCCTATCACTTACCTTTAACTCGGCTACTCACAATCACACTGCTGATGAAGAATCATGTATTAATGCCTCCGACAAGGAGCTATCGTACACTGAACATCTCGACGATGAAGATCACTGGGTTCCTGAGAATGATCCACAGTTCCTTCCCAATGATGCACTATTTGAGGAAAATACTCATGTCGACTCAGATGAACCTGATAGTGTTGTACCGCCCGTGTTATCGGAACATTGAGCACTGCTAAATGGCTATGTGCACATTTTTGCCAATGCTGCATGCAGATGCAGAAGAGACCCTCAATTTACTCCATTTGACGATCATAAGCTGCTATCCTGGCAGAATTTCCCCTGAGCTTCAGGGTGACTTAGACAGCATGGCACGAACTCTTCGCACTGTCGAGAAACGTCTCGGTGTTGATACGGAGAAAATTGTTACTACATACATTCTTTGCCCATCTTGCTGGCAAATGTACCATCCTTCCGAGCTACCAACAATGCAGTCTCGACTGTGCACGGCACCTGGATGCTCCGCAGTGCTATTTCGCCTGAAACGAATGAGTTCAAATGTGCAAAAATGTATCCCATACAAAGTGATGCCTGTGGCATCCTTTACAGCTGCTCTCGCACGTCTTCTTATGCGTCCTGGTAAATGGGAGGAACTTCAACATTGGCGGAAGGACGGGGACCATGAACCAGCACCACCTATCACACGAGAGGAGTGGTACACCGAGAAGGATGTGAACGAGCCACTCACAGACATATATGACGGGTGGATGTGGCATTCACTCCGTACAGGCATAGTGCGCCAGTGGGACTCGAAGCATCTCAAAGTAAATGACATTGATGTATGAAAACTCAACCAATGGTTCGTGTCCTTGAAATGTGGCCTCGTTGTGCATATTAACATCGATTGGTATGTTTTAAACAAGTCTTAATTGTCATTTCCTGACATTGCCATTGACGGAACAGGTTCCGTTCACTCAAACATGCTAATTATTCCACTGGCACGGTTTGGCTGACTATTGACAACCTACCGTGATTGATATGATTTTTGCGGGAGAACACATTTTTACTCTTTGTAATTCCAGGGCCAACGGAACCAAATACAGAGCAGCTCAACAGACTACTTGAACCTTTTGTTTGAGAGATTGAGCAGCTTGCACAAGGTGAATAAATACTCTTGTCTGCTACATAACTTGACTCTGAATACATTTGTCAAGGGGTGCTTTTCAAGGTTTTCGGGCATGACACAATGGAAATGGTGCATGTCGCACTCCCCTTTGGTCCAATGGATACTCCAGCGAGACTCAAGACAGCTGGCTTTGTATCTCAGAACTCTGAGGACCATATGTGCCCATGCTGCAATGCTCTGTTTTGCTCGTTGGTTGATCCTACATGCTTCGATCGTACATGTATGATTTTCTGATGTTTCATGGTGGCATACTGATTTAAAGTTTCTAGAATTCCACTATCGAGACTCTGCAAAGCAACTTAAGTGGAAATTCATTCATGGACACTCCAATGATCCTGAAGTTCAAGCAAGCATTGCAGAAACCAAGGGTGTCCGCATGTCAATTCCGGATCGCCTTCCAACGTGGAACGGGTCATCAAGCATTCCGACGGAGATCATGCATTTGTTCTGGGGTCCGGGTGAGTTGTTCGTTCAAGGCATTATCTCATAATTCACTCATTGTACTAGGCACGTCTGGTCAAATACACCGAGTCATTTTGATAGAAGGATCAATGTTCACCAGGACAGGGAAACGCTCCGATGTCACACCAATGGATCGACTTACAGAATTTCTTGAGTCCATATGGTGGACGAATAACTCAGGACATTTTCAGATCAAGGTAACATTGTTTTGAACCTTGAAAGGGGGAGTACTGATCTGTACATGAGATTGCGAGTGGGGGAGAATGTCCTAAAGCAGACGAGTGGCAAAATTTCATGCAAGTATACCCTGTCACAATTTCAGTTGCATGGCAAACGTGGTCTCGCCATGCTGACGATGAGGCCCCCCTGCCAAAGAAACGCAGCAAGATCCAACAGGCCATCGTGAAATCAAGGAAGCTCTTACACAAACATCGAATCAAGAATGTGTCTCGCGACGAAGACACTGAGGCAGAAGATTATTTGGCGCTTGAAGACATCGAACCATCTCGCAACTATCATTCTCACTACGAAAACATCCTGCGATACTGTGCCACGACCCAAATCTTTGCCTCGCGAGAGATCACACCTCAGGAGGCCACTCGAGCTGAAAACTTCATATCGGAGGCTTTTCAGTCATGGGCACAATTGAATTGTCATCTCACACCAAATTTTCACTTCGCCAGTCATCTAGTTGAGTACATTCATACCTATGGCCCTGCATATGCCTGGTGGGTATTTCCCTACGAGCGTGCAATTGGTGTGTTAGGAAAGGCCAACCACAATGGCCACAGCAGCGGCGAAGTGGAAGGGACCTACATGCGAGCGTGGTGGAAGACCATGCTGATTCAAGAACTCGTGGGTTACAGTACTCGTCTGCCATTGTTCTCACTGTTTGCTGACTCGAAACCCAGTTGACACATCTGCAGGAACGATGTGATCAAACCGAGCAGGACCAGCTAGCTATTTGTGCACTACTCAAGGCTGTCAAAGGCGGTGCCAAAGCCGATTGGCAAAGAGGGACCCTTATGAATTATATTGCGCTCCTGTCCAACCCACACGATTCAGGTACATTTTTATCACCTTGTCCATTACTAGTGATAATCGACCCGACAACAGTGAGGATTGTATTTCCGAAACAATTCAAGTTAATCAGCTTGCAGCCACTGGGTGTCTATGCCATTGTTTTGCAATTCCTACGTCTTCATTTTCCGGAATTCAACTTAACGTCAGACGCAGATGAAGCATCCAATGGTATTCCATTTGACTCACAAGGTGTCCAGTCATATGCGAATGTGACCATTGGTGCTGCAAAGTATGGCTCATTCCATCATCATCGTGGAAAGGGGTTTTGCTATGGCTATACAAAGGGACGACACGCTGCACGTATTGAGTATATATTGTCAGTCAACATCCCTCGACAAGACCCTCCAATATCTGTCAATGTTGCTCTCATCCGATGTTTTGAACATCACCCACAGGATGCCAACCACCCGTGGTCTCTATGGTAAGCCTATCCTTTGTTACCATGTGAAATCGTACTAGTAGTACAATGACTCAACCATGATATCAGGGCAACTGACCTCGGGATTGCAACCTGGAAGTATAATGTCCTTGGGAGCCTCGAGGCATGTCATCTTGATGATCTTAGTGGTCAATTTGCATTCACACCAGTTCACGCACCGAGAATGGGTCGCTTATGGGTGACTTTCTCGTTAGACACAGTAAGTGTTTTGTATGTTCTGATTGTACTATTATCTTAATGAGAGCATTTCAGACCTCCCAAGAACCAGATAACAGCAACCCTTAGAGTCCCTCTCATACCATTAAAGTGCTGCTGTAGTATACATTCCATACCTATGCTATTGTACAAGTGGGATCTATTTACACTGGATCATAACTAATTTCTTCTTGCTCCGAGTCGTCGATGTTAGGATCTGTGGAACTCTCACTATCACCAATGACATGGTCCTCAGTCATTAGAGCCTCTTGCTTGTTACGCTCCTCTAGAGAAAGAGAGTGAAACCACTTTGTGGAGACGGCCCATCGTGGGGTCTTCATCGAATCATGAACCGGCAACGATTTCGCCATCCTCGGTGGGCTGTCACGAATTCCTAATATGAACCATTTTTCATTTCTCGGTTTTCCTTTGGCTACTTCCAGTACCCGAGCCGGTCACGTGACTCCTCGTCATAGGTCACCCGTTGCTTCTCCGATTGGCTCCCCTACTCCACGGGCTAGAACAATCTCACTTCCTAAAGAAGAACCAGTTGGATCTTGGGTTTCTATTTAGTAACCGTCTTACTCAGTCGCTTATATATCATGATGTCATACTTACTCATCCGCAGTATTGTACGACTCTTTTCTTATTGGCTGATTTCTTTCAGACTCCTACTCAATGTTATGTATAAAAGTAGGGTAGTTAGCGTAAGAGCTCCTTAGACTTAACCTCTTTGTTTCCTACTGTTGTAGTGACCTAGATGTTTACGCTCAATCTATCCTGTTGCTCATTATCATCTCTGACTGAGTCCTAGTGGTCATGAACTCTCCTTCATCATTATTGGTGAACGTGGGTCATAACATTAGGTTAAGTCTATTCTACCACTCCAACTTGAACTTTGTCTTGGATGTCACCGTTCTCGACGAACTTCATCGTGCTATTCTGCTTGAGAATATTCTCACGGATTACATTTTTTGTTCACTCATCATTTCCCCGACACATTTTTCTATCTCAATCTCTTTATGTTAGTCTTTAGTAGAAGTGGACCAGGCCCTCGTCTTACACGAGCCGCCAGTTCATAAGGATCAGTGACTTTAGGTCCTGTTTCCACACGTCTGCAGTTAGGCCCAAAACCCTGCCAACTGTACGCTACTACAGTGGCTCAAAAAACTGTCCGCATGTTTTCACATTTTTCACTATCTATGATATTTTATGAGAATGTACAAACACATCAAGTACATGCTGGTACCATATTGGAGTACTACTTCAGGGCTTCCAATTGAGCCCTATGGCGTGGGAATCAGCTGAGATATGGTGGAGATATGAGGCTTACAAAATGATGACTCATGCGGACAGTTTTTTGACTCAAATATTTTACAGTGATAATCAGGTATTCTAGTATATTGTGTGACCTCTCTTGGCTTTAATTACTGCCTCTATCCTTCTAGGCATACTCTTAAAACTATATCTAACTATATAAATCAGAATGTCTCATGTGTCATAGCCATAATCACCATGAAAGCCATCTCCTCTGCCCAAAGGGATAATATCCTCTCTTTGTCCTATGCTGGCCTCTCTGCTTATCAAAATTTCTCTAGAACTAAAGTATGCAAGTCTACTGTGGCCAAGTGTATCAAAGAAAGCCATCTGGACAAGGAAAACTCTTGTGGAGGATGTCCACCTCTGCTAATAAGAAGGCTATCATCCAACATATCACTACAGGAAAGGCTAATGATGCCGTCCAAGCCACCCATTATATCAATTCCACCATCACCACCACTGTCTCTTCACAAACTGTGAGGAATGTTCTCAAGGCAGTTCATCTCAAGGCAGTAACAAGAAGAAATGCCTCTTCTCTCTATCAAACATAGACAGAGAAGACTACCTTTGGCTTGGCCCATCAAAACTGAACTGTAGAGGACTGGAAGCATGTTATATGGTCAGATGAGACCAAAATCAATAGGATTGGGTCAGATGGGAAGGTATATGTGTGGAAAAAGAAGAGGGATTTTCTAACAGACAGAGAGGTTAGTGAGACTGTCAAATTTGGAGGAGGTTCTCTAATGGTATGGGGCTGTATGGGATGGAATGGTGTGGATATACTTGCTGAAGTTGAGGGGAGGATGGATGCTGAGCAGTATGTGGACATTCTAAATGACCACTTGCTGTCTAGCATAGCTGAATTAGGGATTGATGAAAAAGACATCATTTCCCAATAGGATAATGATCCCCAGCACATATCTAGAAGAGCCAGACAATGGTTTCAAGAACATAATATCAATGTTCTTGACTGACCAGCACAGTCCCCTGATGTCAGTGTCATTGAACATCTCTGGGGAACACTCAAGAAGAAGCTTCAAGCCTATGAAACCCCCCTTAAAGTAGTATAGGAGCTATGGGAGAGAGTAGCAGTGGAATGAGCAAGGATTACAGCAGAATATTGCCAGAAATTGATTGAGAGTATGCCTAGAAGGATAGAGGCAGTAATTAAAGCCAAGGGAGGTCACACAATGTACTAGAATACCTGATTATCACTGTAAAATATTTGAGTCAAAAAACTATCCACATGAGTCATATTTTGTAAGCCTCATGACTGGGGGCAAGACTAGAAGCTTGAAGGAAAAATCATCAAAGGTGCCCTGAAATCGCTCCCAATAATGTTGACTTCCTGTTCACACCTGTTTCGCACACTACTATACGTGTAACGTGAACGCTACCTCCTGGAGGACATATCCTGTCACCTGTGGAGTTGTCAACGGCTGTGACTCTAGAGCCTGCTATCAAAACCATCATCGCGCGTTCTGTGCACATCTCTTCCCCCAGGCACTATATCCTTCCCGGCATCAATGTGGCTCACATCGATACGTGCTGAATTCACGGTGAGTTCATGCGCTTTGTTAATGTTCTATGTAATTGAATCTACTCATTTGTCGGGTGCTCATGCACATCATAGACAAAATGTATCAACCCTCTCCTCTCTGAAGCTGCGCGGCCACTTCGAGCGAGCTGCATTTCCCTCGATTACGATATTATTGCCATTACAGACTGTGATTCACAGGTTTCCACAATGACTGTTCTGACTGCTCGGTCGCAGTGGACTTCAAGTTGGGGTGCGGGGTGATAAATATGACTATTGATGGTGCACGCTAACTTGGAACGAGCTGCAGGTGCCATTGGTGTTGGTATGTCCTAGGTTGGCACATGTCATGTATAGATGAGAGGGGGCTGCATCCTCCCATCAGGCTTATTAGGGTGTCGCTCGCACATACGAGTTGTCCTAACATATTTCATCTTTCAAGTGTGAGGGATGAAAGTAGTCCCTGTATTCCTTCCGTCTGATGATTTGGAAGCTGTATCTGACCACTTCTCATCATTTCCATAATCTTATCTTCCGTGGGACTCGGAGTTATTCATACTTTCTTGCCCGTGCAGATGTTTGCGCTGGGACCACGCCTCATTCTTTAGCGTTCGAGAATATCACGCTACCTCCCAACTCTTGGCTAATATTTATTGGAGTTTCCGATGGACCTGATTTGGTAGATTTGAAAGAGAGAAATTAGTCTTGGTAACCAATATCAAATCGCATTATTACTAGAACTAATTGCCCGCTGCTTCCCACCCCCACTTGCACGGGGAAAAAGTTTTGGCCACGACATCTCGACATTTGGCTTCGGACGGGGTCCTTTGGAACTATGCTCGGGATATCGATGCATGATCGGCGTGAAACGTATGTTCGGTTGCAGCTTTGAAATCGGATTACTCACCAAGCGACCACATGTGGTACGCACCACCTAAAAAGAAGCAGCTTTTCTTCCTGATATGCACAGGGGAGTCCCTTATCATCCACATTTGGTGCTAATCAAGCGGCCTGTCAGGTTTCTCAAGTAAGTACATCGTAATGACTTTCTAATAGGCCTGGTTGCGGTGCACTGCAGGACTTAAAGGGTCATGATCTGTACTCCGCAATCATCGCGCGCGGCTACTATGATCTTGCATCCATTACGGTCGACTGTGCTTGCGAACCATGTGCACACCCGGACGAGGCCCTACACATGCCAACACCCAGGTGCACTCCGTTGTGCGCCGCAAACCAATTGTGCAATGATAAGTTGCCACGCAGAATCATTGGCTAGGAACCAAAAGATACGGGGATAAGTTGTCATTCAGACTGACCGTGAGGGATGCCAGCACAACGCGAAACTTATGCCCGAACGACAGATAGTTGCGGGGAAATCCAACTGGCTACACACTCCACGTCACGCTAGACATTAGCTGCGGAGAAATCCGACAAGCTATACGATGAACTCCGCGCCACGGTATATAATGTCGTGTTCCAACCTCATACCATACTACGGCAATGTCTCGCCCTGAAACAGATCTCCTGGACTCATTGTCCACCGAACTCTCTCAACAGCTCAAGGATCACGTAGATCAAACCCTACTCGAATCCATACGGCCAAATTATACGTCTCAGTTCTCTCAACATGCCCCCGAGTTGGCAAAATTTCGCGAAGCTATCGCGCAGAGCGACTCGAAGGATGATATCGACTTCCTACGTAGCTTCCGAGAATTTGTTCCCACTACAAACTACGAACCGTACAGGCCATTCATAGCAAAATTCTTGGCTACCCCTTGCAAGGAGGCTGATGTCGAAAACATGTTCGCCCCTGGACTGCCCTACTTCTTCGCCATGTCCAGTATGACAACTGGGACAACGGTGAAGATATTCCCAAAGTATCGACCTCCCCCGCACCTCTTGCAGCACCCTTTATTTCTGGCGCTTCCCCCGTCAGAGGGTACCGCGTTATCGCCATCTTCTTTGAAGTATCGGCAAGTCCTGGAAATAGAGTGCGAGGACGGTCAGAGCTCCAAGAAGGTGACGGTCTGCTCGTTGAGTGCCGGTTATCTGCGAATGGCAATGAACTGGGACGTCGAGGGCGATAATGATAGACTCGATTTGTGGCGTAAGCTCATCGCGCTACTATCCCTTGCGCATGCTGATCTCTAGGCGACTTTCAGTTCCGGGGCAAACGGATCCATATGCGATGTCCTTAATCAACAGCTATCGCGGTTACTTTGTTCTGAATGCGCTATTTGCATTGGCAAACCGTGGAGTGACCACCGTCCGCTTCTTCTTTGCCAATATATTCGTCACTTTTTTGCAATACGTAGAGGATGAATGGCCTCTGCTGGTCGACTGTATCGAGAAGGGTGTCATCCCGGACATTGAAAACTTAGACCATTTGCGTGCACCTTTACAGGTCATATTTTTGTTGACTATTAGATTCCATTTAGCTGACGACTTCTCTCAGAAACATCTCACTCCAAACCCTCTTCGTGCTGCCGAACTTCGCGAAATTGGGCCTCCTGGAATTCAGGGCTGGGCGGTCCGTGTGTGGCCTGACTTGAATAAGTTCATTGGGATCACTGGCGGTCCCGCTGCTGCTTCTGTTCCAAAGGCACGTTAATCGTGGAAGGTTTTACTACCCAACTGACAGTTAGAGACACAAAGATCAATCACGTCCTCGGACCTTCTGTTTCCATCCAGGCTCCTGCGTATGGCGGCACAGAATGTGTCATCGGCGTGACATACCACAAAGGCAATCCTAATACCGACTTCAAGGTAGTGTTCGTAGATGGGATGTCCGAGTTTCTGGACGTGCGTTCCCGTGAGCCGTCGGAGCGTGTATTGTCCGCTGTAAGAACCATCCACTGCATCTCCCCTTCGTCTACTAAATCCCTGCCTTAGTGGGAGCTTGTAACTGGAGGGCATTACGAGCCCGTCGTGACGACCCGCAATGGCCTGTGGAGATACCGCATTGGTGATGTCGTCGCTGTCAAAGGCTTCGATCCAGATGACGGGTTGCCTATCATCAATTACCTTCACAGGCGAGAGTGAGTTGTGATGTCGTCAAACTTAGACTTAGCAATTGACATGCCTGCTGAGGAAGTGGCTCCCTTGGGCTGGCATTTGGAACAACGTGTACAGAGTCGCAATTGACGAACGCGATCGTTTCTGCCGCTAACAGATGGATTGGTCAAATCATGGATTTCACTATCGTAGGCGACGAGCGAGATACGCCTATTACCTATGGGTACTTGGTAGAAATTGTAGGAGAAATAGGTCCGCGCTTGCTCGGCAGCTCTTTCCCGCGACTGTGTTAATTGATATTCACAGGAAATGACGCCAGAATGGCGCCGCAGCAGACTTTTGAAGACCTCATGGTGGCAAACCTTGAGTATTATGCTGCTTTTTGGCAAGGCAGGGCCAGAAAGCCAACCATTCGTCTCGTGGAGAAAGGCACCTTTTCAGAATATCGCAGGCAGAAAAGCGATAAGAGCGTCTCGATTGGTCAGGTGAAAGTCCCCGTTGTCCTATCCGATTCAACATATACGGAATGGCTCCTGAAGAGAGTGATAATGGAGCTGTAAAAGAGTCTAGTCCAAATTCGTACATTCCTCGAGAGATGTCAGACGAGATTTCATGGCATTAGTTTCTGTGGATGGTATACAGATTACTTTCGATGTTCATGGCGCCGATGAAATCTCGAGGAGTATGCCAGCTGGCCGGGGAACTAGGTCGAGCCGATACGCTCACCGTGCGCCAGTGAATCATGATGAATCAATGACATATAGACGATTGCCAATCCCACAGGATCGGTACATTGTGCACACCAGCACGAAGATGCCTGGTCATGCTGAAAATTGCTGTGTTTGGAAGGTAGGAATGGGGGACTGGCGCGGTCGAGCGCAGTTACGATTATTTAAGGACAAGTCGACGTTCATCGATGCCATATGCCGGCTGTTGCGGAAGGCTGACACTGCAGGCCCTTACCCACACACCTGAAGGCGGCCACGGGTTAACCACAGACAAAGAGCACCCTCCTTGAAAACTTGCAGGTCCCGGGACGGGTACCCGAGTCGTCACTATGCGCCATCGCATTCAAGGTAGTTTCCCCAGTGGTAAGACTTAGAGGGAAGCTTCACCTCGACAGCCGTTGAGTCATCAGAGGAAATCCGCTCTCCCAATTGGCTTCAATTCGATCGGATTCTATTAAACCAGGTGATAATCTCTCGAATGCGCGAAGAAATGATCCAATTGATTCAGAAACTCGTCGTGTAACGAGAAACACTAAAATCGGATAGATGGAACTAGTGCTGCTGACACAGCGGGGAAACTGACATTTTACCACCTTTTGCCGCCAGTGAAATTACATTCGAAAGGTAATCTAGAGTGCTCTGGAACGCTCTAGGCTAGGTCTGGAATGCTCTAGCCAGGTCTAGATCTGCTTTTGATTGAAATCTTGCAAAAGGGAAAGTGTTGAAACCCCCGATGTGTGAAGTCCGGTTCGGTCAGGTTCATCGCCCTATATCGCGAACCCCGAACTCAACAATCGGTCAGGTTCAGGCAAGATGGCTGAACCTTGGACCGGACGCCTTCGAACGCGTTCGCAAGGGTTCAGTTCAGGTTCAGAACACATTCGAACCCTCGAACCGTTGTTTCGATTTGCAAAAAAAATCACAAAATCACCACCAAAATGACAACAAATTTGTACAGTATGAATAGCTACCAGAACTCTTCATTCACGACGCGGTTGAATGACAAACTCAGCCTGGGCTGTTGCAGAAATATGGCCTTGACAGTATGCACTCTTGAGCAATTGAAGAGCCTCAAATGTTGTCAGCTGAAAACAGCTGCAATGTGCGGTCCTAGTAATGCTCGCTCAGACGCAAGTAACGTGATGATCGGCGACAGTTCACGGTCTCGCGATGAGAGGCTTAGAGTGAGCGAGAAACGGGAGCTGATAAGAAATATATATCTCAGTCTCGGGAAATGGACTCGGTAATACGACTATAGTAGTACCACTGCGTGTTATCAAAAATTTCCGACGGTAGATACCTGGCTGGAATGTGACCCCAGGGTCAAGTTTTAGCCATTTCTGGACCTATGGTATAAACCGGCTTCGAAATGGTTGATTTTCCGGATTTCAACCACCTCGAAGACATGGTTTGGCCATCAAGTTCCAGTCAGCTCAAAGCCAGCTACTACCATGGGTCCAGAACGATACTGTATATACATGATAAACCACCTATATCCATTATATATAAATATAAATATATTATATTATATGATATTCCAGATCAGACAATTAATGAGCAAAATGCATTATATATATTGCAGCGAATACAGCCGCGCATTATCAGCTATAGCAGACATTATAATACATGCTGCTACGTAGCCCATATTCATATATACTGAACTCCAGAAGCGCTTGACAATAAGCGAAGCGGCGATGGACACTAAACATGGGCTTAGAAGGTGATAGGGGATGCCAGACTCGGATGGGGTTGCAGGTAGTGGTGCATATATGCTCAATGCTGCAAAAAGATAAGTCAGGAGTAGATACCACAAGATTAAACACATACCTCCTTGGGTAAGGGTGCTGGAGGGCGCAGCTGGGCGTGGTTGGACGGGGAGAATATGAGAGATGCACTGGGGCCTGGTGTATTGAAGGATCAACCACAAATGAAAATAGGTTATGAAACATCGGCAGGCATCGAGGCACAGAGTTGAGGCGTGAGTAGTACTTGAGTTGCTAACAGACAAGGTAGCAACGAAACCACAAGCCTTGGAGGAAGAGGGCAGCGAGAAGCAGCAGGTGCAGATGTGTGTGAGTGAGCACAGACGAGTGGTGGCATGCGGAAACAACCAAATGCGAGTAAAAGCCCAAAGACAAGCAGAGACAAGTGCAGAGGCAGGGTGCAGACCAGTGCAGGCAAGCACAAACATTAGCAGACAAGCAGGAAGCATAAACAAATGATCAGTTATAGCCTAGTTATAAACGTGAAAAAGCGGTACCTATCGTTCAAGACGCCAGATGCAGACATGTCAAACATGCAAACAAGGGTGGACTGTAGAAGTTGACCTTGCGAGTGAATCAGCAAATGAATGACACACATGATCGCACGTGCAGTTTTAGGACTTACAGAGTGATGTTATTAGTCACAGTGCAGAGGGTCTGCATCTCACAGGCACACCATGGACCTACATGGATGTTCAAGAAGGCGGGACACGATGTTGTGGATGATCATGTGTTATCCAGAGGGTACTGGGAGGCGCTGCAAGAGCATCCAGGAGGAAGCAAGATCATAGTGTGTCAGCGCAGGTGTACATACACAGCACAACATTAATGAGTTGCTATAGTCTTAGACACACCCCTAGCTAATACACATGCCCACTGTGCAACCCAAAATCCTCCTGTAGTGCTAGCATTAACCCCCGCTAGCATGAAAACTAGGTACATACCTGTTGAAAATATCATTATCAGTTTGGGGTTCGGGACGGTTCGCTGTCGTTGAGATTGTTGTTGAAGGGGTAAGGAACAAGGTGAATTAAAACTCTGCGCACCTTGCTCTGAACAACTTACCTTGTGACACAGCCTCAAGCATAGTACGACTGCATACATCCAAGCTCAAAGGTAAGTAATTCTACTGAAACTATCGGAAGCTGATCAAATCTTGTAGTTAACATTATACATGATTATTCAGTGTGCTGGACGTAGGCCACCCCTGGCCACCAGCTGACTTGCGCATGTACATGTGTGCTGCTAGTTAATCATACCAGCGCTTGATCAGTAAGTCATATTCTTGATCAATGTATATGCTAGCTAATGCAACATATCATTTATAAGTGCGAGTATTTAACCCAGTGCCTTACGAGGAATTGCAGTTTGTTTTCGGTGCAACAGGTACTGAATCTGCATATACCATGTCTGCAGAGGCATCATCTTCTGCTGCCGAAGGTGGCCGTAGTACACCACCAACAGAATACACCCCCGAACTTGAGACTTCAGAGCTTCCATACTTTGCTGTCGATCCTACGCTCCTTGACAATGGGCATGATCCTACGTCGAAGAAGCGTAAGCGTGATTCACTTAGCTCAGAGCTGGAGGACCACAATATGAACATGCCCACATTGACGGGTACTCATGGACGTGCGGGGCACCCTCCAACTCGACATTTCCAGTCCCCATTCCTTCCAGCATCTGAGAAGATTTGTACATCAAATCAAAAGACTTCGAAGTACGTGCAACCTTGGTTACAGCGTCAATTGTTACTAAATCTGCTTGGACATTTCAGGATTCCAATTCCCTTGAGATTAAAAGTCTCCACTGAAATTGCTGCACCAATTCGTTCCTCTGTGCCATCGTCAATGCATTCTTCTGCGCTGTCATCAATTCATTCTACTGCACCGTCGTCAATTCGTTCTTCTGCCACATAATGCAGTAACATATACCCGTCTCAGACGGGCAGCCGGGCGTGACAATGTGCCGATAGAGACAGGCCACCCGGTGCCGGCCCATGGCAATAATTGTACCATGTTAGACGAGTGGGCCGAGGGGGTGGAGTGTCCAAGGCAAACGGATGGGCTGGGTGTATATAGTATAGATGGTAGTATAGCAATGTGCTATATAGGAAATTATGAATAGTAGTAGTGAATCCAGTGTGTGATAGATGAGTGGGCCGGAGGAATGGAGTGCAATATAGATGAGTGGGCCAGGGAACTGGGGTGTGATGGAGACGAGTGGGCCGGTAAATGAGGTGCAATGGAGACGAGTGGGCCGGTACATAAGGTGCAATGAAGACGAGGGAGCTGGAGAATAGGGTGCAATTGAGACGAGTGGGCTGGTATAGCAGGTGCAATGGAGACGGGTGGGCCAGTATAGCAGGTGCAATGGAGATGGGTGGGCCGGTAAAGGAGGTGCAATGAGGACGAGTCGGCTGGTGATATGGGGTGCAATGAAGACGAGCCGGCTGGTGATATGGGGTGCAATGAAGATGAGTGGGCCGGTGATATGGGGTGCAATGAAGACGGGTGGGCCGGCATCATAGGGCGCAATGGAGATGGGTGGGCCGGTGATATAGGGTGCAATGAAGACGAGTGGGCCGGTGATATGGGGTGCAATGAAGACGGGTGGGCCGGCATTATAGGGTGCAATGGAGACGGGTGGGCCGGTATTATGGGGTGCAACAACGACCGGTATTTATGTAACCGGTTGCTTGTGGTAACATAGCACTCAATCCGGCGATTCCACCGGTGGTCTGATCATGTAAAATGGTTAATATTTGACAAAGTTAGGAGCGCTACAAGAAAAAGTCACAAATTCACTGGCAGAGGATATATGATATCTAGACCATTGTGACCGGGATTTTTCAACCGGTAGTTATGTGACCAGTTGCTTGTGGTAGCATAGCACTCAATCCGGTGATTCCACCAGTGGTCTGACCATGTAAAATGGTTGATATTTGACAATGTTAGGAGCCTTACAAGAGAAAGTCACAAAGTCAGAGCATATGTGATATCTAGACCATTGTGACCGGTATTTTTCGACCAGTAGTTATGTGACCGGTTGCTTGTGGTAACATAGCACTCAATCCGGCGATTTTACCAGTGGTCTGATCATGTACAATGGTCAAGATTTGACAAAGTTATGAGCCTTACAAGAGAAAGCCACACATTCAGAGGATATGTTATATCTAGACCAGAGTGTCTCCAGCTCTACCTTAGGGTAGTTTACCTCTGTTCCATTTCTACTCCAGACTTGTCCACAGCAGTCTTACTCTGGGTTTCCTTGAACCTCTGGAGTTCCGCCAAACTCTCCTAGTGTCTGACCTCCGGAAACCTCTGGACTTTGTTGGACTTCCCTCCTGCCTCTCATAAATTAAGGGCACATACTCGGGTAAGGGGTGCAGCACACAAGCTGAAGTCAAGCCCTTTGAGTTCTCCTTCCTTTGAGCATGACCTTAACATCCACAGACAAAACCTTGTGATGCTGTGTACTCACCCTCTCCTGGTGGTCCATCCTCTGGGAAAGGTTTTCCTATAGGAACACAGCTGCAGAATGATATGGGGACCATTCCTAGACAGATTTAGAGTATGTACACCAGGTTGGTACATCAGGATACCTACAGAATCCTTCTATACAGGCTAAAACTTCTAAGATTGCAGTTGTCACATTTTTGGTGTTTTCCCCTACTTTACCATTGCATAAGTGATCCAGACTACTCATATATTATCCTTACTATATATATACCTACTTCTCATCCCAAGGATCAGTTAGAAATATGGTATAATATTGTTATGTAAGGGAAAGGGGGTATGTGTACTGATAAGGGGCCTACATTCTCCAATGGACACAATCTAGTAATCAGATGCTTGCAATATATTCTAAGCATGGTCAATATCATGGTCTCAGATATATAAAAGGATCCACTAACAGTTGAGAGCTAGGGCAGTGAAATATCTCTGAAATAGAGTGTGGGAAAGTCCAAAAGCCCAAAACATCGAAACTCACCAGTTTGGTGTATATGTAGTGGTTGGACTTTTACTTACCAATCATAATATTTCCTCACCACACTCTTCTACAAAGACTTTACCTTCAGGGCAATGTGTATTTTAGGTTCATTATGTAGTCTACTATACATACTACTGCATGTTTAATAAAATCTTTGGTGTGTGTGATATATGTCAGTGACTTTCAGTGACAGGGGTAAATTGTCATATGTCAAGCCTATGTTGTTTTACTTATCTTACCGTCAATACTTGAGGGATCTTTCCAGAATTTTAGGACCATGACTAGGGATATACATAGGACATATCCCAAGTGTCTGATTACCAATAACATCCTTGATAGTGTTGGAGGGTTCTTATCAGTTATGTTTTCATGTATATATGCTATATTGTTTGATGTAGCCCTTCAGGGGGTCAACTAAGTGGTGGAATATGTTAATATATACTCCTAAATATGTTTTGACAGTGCTAGAACACTCTCCTATCAAAGGGGCAAAATGGAATCCCCTGATTGAGTGCTACATTACCACAAGCAACCAGTTGCAAAAATACTGATTACAATGGTCCAGATATAAGCTGATACAACACTGTATCCTTTGAATTTATGACTTGGTCTTATAAGGCTCAGAACTTTGTCAAATCTTAACCATTTTACATGATCAGACTACCGGTGGAATCACCAGATTGAGTACTATATTACTGCAAGCAACTGTTCACAAAAATACCGGTCACAATGGTCTAGATATAACATCCTCTAAATCTGTGGCTTTATCTTGTAAGGCTCATAACTTTGTCAAATCTTGACCATTTTACATGATCAGACCACCGGTAAAATCGCCGGATTGAGTGCTATGTTACCACAAGCAACCGGTTACATAAATACCGGTCATTGTTGCACCCCATAATACCGGCCCACCTGTCTCCATTGCACCCTATCATGCTGGCCCACCCATCTTCATTGCACCCCATATCACCGGCCCACTCGTCTTCATTGCACCCTATATCACCGGCCCACCCATCTCCATTGCGCCCTATAATGCCGGCCCACCCGTCTTCATTGCACCCCATATCACCAGCCGACTCATCTTCATTGCACCCAATAACACCGGCCGACTCGTCCTCATTGCACCTCCTTTACCGGCCCACCCGTCTCCATTGCACCTGCTATACCAGCCCACCCGTCTCCATTGCACCTGCTATACCGGCCCACTCGTCTTAATTGCACCTTATTTACCGGCCCACCCATCTCCATTGCACCTGCTATACCGGCCCACTCGTCTCAATTGCACCCTATTCTCCGGCCCCCTCGTCTTCATTGCACCTTATGTACCGCCCCACTCGTCTCCATTGCACCTCATTTACCGGCCCACTCGTCTCCATCACACCCCAGTTCCCTGGCCCACTCGTCTATATTGCACTCCATTCCTCCGGCCCATTCATCTATCACACACTGGATTCACTACTACTATTCATAATTTCCTATATAGTACATTGCTATACTACCATCTATACTATATACACCCGGCCCATCCGTTTGCCTTGGACACTCCACCCCCTCGGCCCACTCGTCTAACACGGTACAATTATTGCCATGGGCCGGCACCGGGTGGCCCGTCTCTATCGGCACATTGTCACGCCCGGCTGCCCATCTGAGACGGGTATATGTTACTGCATTATGTGGTCCTGGGTAAATGATCACTTCCTCCCTCACTTGAGGGTTGTGATTCGAGGCATCTTCAATATCGACGACTTGTGTATTGTAAGGATATGTGGTCGGTCAGCCCGCCTATCTCGGTCATTAAACAAGGTGACAACTTTCGGCAGGTCGCACAGCCACATACGTTATTTGGTAACAGCTTTAGGAACAAATCAAGAACAACATCACCAAAATTACACAACCTAGAGATGGGTATATATGGCAATGTCGGAGCCACTATACCTGACTTAAGTATCTGGCAAACGTCCTCAATGTCAGACAATGTTAGGAAACTCAATTCTGCCATTCCGACTGTCATATGACAATACCCTGGCATTAGGCTGGTGTCCCGATATATCAGACATTGCTCAGTATATCAAGCATTTCAGTTTTGCTCAGATTGATCAGACATCACAACCTCGTTCTGATGCAGCATTGCATTGCATTGAATTGATAATAGTACAATACATCATCCCAAACCTATGTATGCGAATGCGGGAAATCAAGAGCAAATACCAGAACCAGGAGATGTGTGATCCATCGCACAAATATATCGAGAAAGACGGTCAATCCGCTACCTAAAAAATTAAGCGATTAGTCAATTGCATGTAATATACATAAGTCACGAGCAAATGCCTGCTAGCCAGCTTGCATATAATCTGCGTCGCGAGATGTAGCAATAATAGACAATGTGTATGTCGTGTTTCCCAGGATAGAGAAGACAAATAATACTCGTTCTCGTACTGGCACTTCTTCCGAACCTATGAGTTCTGCTTCATCAGCTGCGACGGCTCTATGTGAAACCTACGCCAAAATTCTGAGGTTCGAACCCGTTCGAACCTATTCACTGTCAGCCGAACCCCGGACCTCTGGAGAGGTTCGGTTCTGAGTCTTGGCTGAACCTGGGACCGGACCATGCGTCTGGTTCGGAAAGGTTCAGGTTTGAACGGAACCAGACTGTGGCAGCACTAAATGTGATGGTTGTTGGCCTGGCCCACAGCGTGAAGTCGAGCCGCGCACATCACTAAGAGCAAGTAACTGATATAGTAGTAGCATCTGACAGATGGTTTAGGTGCATAATACACGCATATATGCACATATACTTACCATATCTTGAGTTGCAAAGATTTCCAAGGGTTGGTGGCAGTTGCAGAGTACAGGTTTCAAGCTTCCAGCCTTCCACTGATAACGCTCATGAGCTCGAGTAACAGGATGGTGACGAGGAAGAAGAAGAAGAAGAGGAGGAGGAAATAGAGCATTCACGACGCCCCATGCATAATGATAGGACTCATGGGAGAGAGACTCAGAGAGATGTGACGAGTTGATGCAACACATTATGTAATATTGTGCACATGAAATTGATTGTCCTTGTTTGTTCGTTTATGGTAGGAAAATTGAAAGTAAGGTCAAAGTGTGTATAAGAGCCTGTTCAGCAACCGTTATTTGAGAAAAATGTGAGAATATGTGGCGGCGGCACAGAAGCCGCCGATAGCGGAGTTTGAAACCTCTTTCTTTCCGACCATGACTACATTTAGTGATGACGGTGGTATTAATATCTTGCAATGGCAGCAGGTCTTCACTGCAGTATCTGCTATAATCCTGTGTACACAATTCCAAATCATGCAGATTGCTCAAGAAAATCAGGCTGACAGCAACAGTGGATCAAAGGAGAACACCAAGTGGAATGACCAAGAGATCAATGCCCTCCTGGATTACCTTATCACAAACAGATCGAGAATGGGAGGTGCAACATCCTTCAGGCTCGATACATTCAACCAAGCTGCTAGTGATATGGAGGCCAAGAATATCAAGACACAGGGCCCCACCAAGACTGGAGTGCACTGTAGAAACAAGTTCACATTGGTATGTCATCACCTCCTTTTCCGCCACTCTCATACTGATCTTTTAAACTTAGCTCAAAAGTTCATTCAACCAGATCAATAAATACCGCAATAGATCTAGCATTTACTGGGACCCTGATATCGGTGCCAACATTCAAGGGCCTGCTGCCAAAGACGCTTGGTCATCTTATGTCGTCAACCCAGTATGTGATTATTGCTGGGCGATCAAACACAATACTCACTTTCAGTACAGATCAATTCAGGCATGAAGCAGTTCAAGAATGGATGGAGATTTTACGCTAAGATGGAACAACTTCTGACACGGGTCAGCGCTGCCCATGGGGCAGCAGCATATAACCCATTAGCCGATGCTATTGCTGACATGGGCTCAGAGGACATGCTGGCAGGTCCCTCTACTAGCAATGCCCCAGCGGGTGCTGGTCCAAGCATGGCAGATGGGATTGGTGATGAGATCACCTCTGAACCCCTCACTTGGAACCTACCACATCTTAACACTGGGGCACCAGTAGCTTCAAGCTCCATGGCAGTTACCACTCCTATCTCATCGACATCTAGTTCAGGAAAGCGCTCTTATTCCAACATGTTGTCTGATCACTCCCCTCCTGCTCCCACCTCCGTGTCGCAGATGTCCGATACATTATCGGACAAGAAACTCAAGCTTTCAACCCAGGGCAGTAGCAGGTCGCACACGAGCACTAGCAAGAAGGCTGGCAAGGAAGCTGCCAGCACCGCTGCGCTAATGAATCTTCAAGGCACCATCAACCGCCTGACGGACTCTCTCACTACAGCATTTGGGACCACCGATGAGAGTCGCATGGCAGATGACCGATCGTGTGCCTTGCAGGCCATGCAAGAGGAGGAGAGTTTGACGAATGACGACAAGCTTGTCCTTGTTCATGCATTTATGAGGAGCTCAACGATCTGTAGCACATACATCCAAATCGTCCAGAATGATCTGCTGCTTACCCTTTTTACGAAGTATCATTGAGCAGACAAAAGAAGGTTGCAATTTGTAGCTCCCTGTGTACAAATTACTATGTTTTCATGCTTCGTTCGTATTATTTTCACGCTTCGTATTCTCAACCAAATTGTAGTATGTCAATCATGTAGGATACAACACAAATGTGTTGCTAGACGTCCTCGTCTTCTGCCTCATGCTCGAAATCATCCTCCTCATCAACATCAAGCTCATCGACATCACCAACATCAATAATGCAAGCATCCTCTACAAAACCATGTTCCCGGATATACCTCTCGTAGTCCTCCCACATTTGTGTCGCTATGCGATCACGGAACGCGTTTGAACTTGCATATGCGTCTGTGTCTGCACCCGCACCCACATTCTCACCAGTATTAGTATCATTAGGCAGTCCTTGATTCACAGGATTGTCATTGATGGTGACAGCGCGTGGGATAGACCCCTCGTCCGGATCATGAATGCGTATAAAGTTATGGATGGCGCAGAGTGCGGTGGGGATGTGCGCCTGTATTTGAATCTTGTATTCTGGGGATATTAATAGAATGCGAAAGCATCTCTTTAGGACACCAAAAATTCGTTCAATGACATTGTGTGCGGATGCATGACGAAGGTTGAAAAGTTCTTCTTTGTTGACCGGCCTGAAAAACAACATTAATTGAGTGCATGTTCAAAAAAAATCAAAACTTACCTGACACTCGCGCGCCCCCATTCTGCAAGATGATAACGAACTCCCCGATAAGGCACCACAAGCTCTGGACGAGAGGGAAACCCAGCATCTGCAAGAAAATACTTGCCAGGTGGAAGTTTTAAGCCCCCGCCAAGGGCTTCATCCCATAGACGCGCATCAGTTGCGGATCCTTCCCAACCAGTAAGTGCAAAGGTAAATTTGAGGTCAAAATCGCAGCTAAAGAGACAATTTTGCGATACGAAGCCTTTGCGATTGTGGTAGAGGTGACGTTGAGATGTGGGAGGGAAGGCATGGATATGGCTCCCATCAATCGCTCCGACGGTGTCCTTGAAATAGGGCCAGCGCTTCGGGTTGTCACGAATTTCGGTGGAGACCGGTGTGTCGGCAGCAGGAAGGCGGACATATCTCGTATAGAAAGGGCAGCTCAAGAAAATACAAAGCATCTTTCGAAAGTAGCTATGACAGAGTTAGCATCGAAGTTGAAACATAGAGAGTGGACTTACCAAGAAATTGTGCCATTTGATCGTTGGAATCGCTCTCCGACATGTCGTACTGTGAGCCCTGTCACGCATGAGTATAAAAATATTGCCAGCTGCTCCTCTAGTGAGACATGGCATGAGTCTGTGTGACCAAGAGCACGAAGCTCATTGATAAAACGCTCAAATACATGCGCATTGACGCCAAGCTCGCAACGAATTTGTTCCGGATGGCCAATGATAAGTTCAATAACCCATTCTTGGCCAGATAAGGCGGAGGTGTGGTAAGGTTCTGGTTCATTGGGTATCTGTAAGATGAGTATGTGCGCAGTTGCAGCAAGAAGTATGTTAACGAGCAGTGTGATATAACGAAGAATGCGCTGGCGGACTGCTGCTCACACCAGCCTTGTTTGATCTGGTGGTCAGATAAGCTGCGGAGGTATAAGGTGATCCTGTGGGATCAATAATGGTTGAGCGAACATCGAGATTCGACGGTTGCAACGTTGAAGATCTGGTACTCTATATATGTATGATACTTGATCTTATCATATTACTATCGCTTACCTGTCACTTTCAGACTCCATTTGCATTCCGACATCCTTGCGCCACACCAAAATTGTGTTGTTGGCAATTTGAGTTCAAATGACAGTTACCGAACAGGCTCTAAGTAAATATCAAGATTAGACAAGTATAAGAAGTAAATCTTCGGTTCCAGCGGGTCACCTCAGTGAAAGTACGGTCACAGACCTACGAAATTTCAGATTGGTGACGAAGTTGTCGGACGAGGTCCGAGGAACTGAAGTTGTTATTTGACACATGCAGTTTTCGTTCATTTTCGTATTGCATCACTCTATATAATACATTGATGTATCTGACAGCTACACTACTGGATGAACTATGTCTGACAGACAGTGTATTTGTCCCGACAATATTTCAAATGTCAGATATGACATATGTGTGTCTTTGGTGGCGTCAGAAAATTGATCATATCATGTGATGTCTGGATTCGGTAATTTTGGTGATGAAATATCGAGCCTCGATATCCGATGATGATAACATTCAACGTCCAACGTTCAACCTCGTGTGCTCTTGGAGCCAGACGAACACCCATATATCCTTCAACTGCATTCACCACTACCAAGCGATGAAGGCAGCCGGTCATCATTTTGGTTCGAAGACGGAGGGAAGATCCCAAATCGACGGTGTCCTATTACCAACCTATCACATACTATCGTGTCAGAGAGTTTGATGCAGGCCGTGAGGTGAAGAAGCAGGTGTTGGCAACGACTGGGCTGAGTAACCTTGGGTCACTGTTTCGGACCTGTCCTTCCAATGTTGATGTTGTCATCACAGCGTGAATAACGGAAACTTTTTCAAACTTTGCGTGTGTTCGTTTACCCCCCGGTGTCCGTCAGAATTATGTAAAACGATTTGAAAACGAATCCGATGATGCTGTCTTCATGAAGTGGCAGGACGCAAGTTGGAATCGAGCTCTTGTTGTACCCTCTTATACCGCGCTGGGGCCCTGTTCGTGCTAAATACCGTTGCAGTTTTTTCTCGTCACTAATCAGGAGCGCGTTTCACAGCATACGAACCATTCTACAATTATTGCAGGCGTAATATCGGATCTAAAAACTTCAAGAAACGACTCGGACTGTGACTGTCTTGCTTCAAGTACTACATAATGTGTCTGACTTAGGAAGTGCGATGGCGCATAGTCATTGTGCAATATTGTTGCCAGGAACTTAAGGTGCTTTTCAATCAGAAACATCCAGGTTACGACTGTCTGAGTTAAGTGACTGTAGTACACGATGAGTGATTTCCAGTCTACTAAGAACATAGGTTAAGTCTGTTCTACTCGATCGCCAATATGACATGTAGATGGGCGTCCAACATACTGCGGTCTACGGAACCTAGGGTTTGGGATGGGTCCCGTTCTTTCCGGGCGTGGCATTCACTGATGTCAGGATCGAAATGACTGTCCGAAAAGCACGCCGCATCGATACCACGAGTTTGTCCACTATCCAGAAACCTCCGCCGATACCCTTTATCAGCATCACGTCTCTTGATATTGGGATGAGCTCGTCAAACCATCCCTGTTCTGACTCCCAGTGAACTGCTTGTCCGCTAGCGGTGTATGATAGGGTATCTGAACCCAACGAGTGCACTTTGATGTAAACGTAAGGACAAGAATCATTCACCGTGAAAGTCAAGCGCTTGCTGGATTCTTCGTTCGCTGTGCCAGTGTTCTGTCCGGTATGAAGACGAGAACGGAGGGCATTGAGAGTATCATCCCCAATTTTCCAATGCGACGGAACTATTTCGCGCTATATAAGGATGAGATCGGATGGATTCCGTCCGGAGCAGGTAGGTCTCACTTGATCAGGGTCAAAAAGGAATGGATTCGTATGCGTAACAGAGTAGCACCAAGTGGGATCCTGGAGCCAGCCCGAACCTAATACAATGGCGATATCAAGTTCTCTAGACTCCTCGTCAGTCGTGAGTAGAACTTTGGGCGTTGATGCGCCAGTCTGTCGACGAGTGATGGGTGCTAATTTAACAACAGATCTGCCACGCAAGTCTGTCCGGACTTACAGGACTACCGCGGGTAGCGGAACAGTAGGCCACGTCTGGTTAGAGAGCGAAGGGCCCTAAAAAGATGAATCCCCTTGACGGATGGTGTAACCTTCAATCGTTATTCTTGGGAGTACTTGTGCATAGATGAGCTGGCCGGGCTGGACGATGTAGGATGGTGGGTCGGGTGGTCGGGGTCTCGTGAGCCCGCGCAAGATGTGGCAAGCTGTCATCGACACGGTGAACTTTCAAGAGCCCGACCAGACACGACAGCTTGCCTTCGTTATCGTTAGCTCCAACGTCAAATGGTAAAGATGCTCCTTGTCGCTCCGAATACTGGCGAACACTAGTTTCCATCGCCATCGATCATAACACAGTGCTTCATTGAATCCAAGATGACGTGTTCCGTCGAGAAACTGCCCGAATGCAGCGTCATTGCCTCCTGCCAACCCCGCACCTGAGCAAGATTGCTTTGTTGCGAAGACTTGACGCCTGACACCAAGATGCGAGCTCGTGGAAACGTATGGTCTATCCTAGGGCAGGCGTCTCCGCAGGATCTCGAAAAGAGTGTAAGCCAACGATTCAAAGTTGTCTCGTCGGGTCAAAGCTGCCCTTTCACAATTCTTTTCAGTGTCACAATTGCAAGAATGAAGTGACTAACCCAAGCCTCGGTACGTGTGTAAACTCGCGTACTATAAAGTTCCCAAAACGCAGTCGGGCTCCTTCCCGGGGCCGATTATAGGGGCAGGTTGCCCGAGGTACTGATGCGTTATGCCAAAATTAATCAAGCGAATGCGGTGATGATCTGTAGGACAGAGTAGGATGTTATCTAGCTTTATGTCACCATGGATGATACCATGAGAGTGAACGTGCTTCAATGCCGAAAGCTGGTATGCAGAAGATTAGGCCTATATGCGACACAGTAAGGGAGCATGCACCATTTGTACAGCCAGTCGAGGAGCGATCCTCTTTCGCACTGCCTCGGCTTTCTCCACGATAGCACGGATATTCGGTCCCAACAGCTCCATCGAAAGATATTCGAAATGTTCGAATCGCTCGACGGCGCACACCAATGGGATGGTTGGATGACCGCACAACATTTGGAGGACGCGGGCTTCATGTTGAATAACCGTACGTTTGAACCGCAGCGGGACACGGGACTTCTTGACAGCTACCACTTGTCCAGTTATTTGGTCTGTGGCTTTGAAAACTCGGGCCTGTATTGTAGCGCAATTGTTGAGTGACAATAATATCGTAGCGATGACTCGGATTGGAAAAGTGCACACACAGCCCCCTGACAGATGATGATGGTACCAGAAATGTTCGGTCCGCTCTTCCATATAAATATTGCCTCCAACGTCTTAACCACAGCTATATCGTATTTTTGTGCAGCGTGGTTCCCTGCTGGTACGAGCAGCGTGATGATGCAAGCGCACAGCCACGGGCGTTGTTTGGCAGCAGCCTTAGGAACAAACATGGCGCGTCTTCAACAACATCTTCCTCGATATTGCCCAGGTGGCAGGCACATCAGTTTATAGCATAACTTACTCTGAATAGACGTTAACCATCATGGCGGACGCAACTGCGTCCTTCAAAGACGTCCCAGAGCTGTTCGAGGTTGGCATACATTCTGACGACTGCGGCTGAAGGGCTTACTGTGTTTCAGGTTGAACTTGGAGAAGCCTTGACAGCAAGGACCGAAAGTCTTGGTCAGTCAAGCACATTTCGACCTTGCCTATTGAAACACTGACGATGCAAAATAGCAACATTTCGTGAACTTGGCCCGCCAGACCTCTGCCATATCGTTAAAAGTACAGGACGCACTGGACAGCGCGATGTGAGTTCTAGCATCTTGAATCTGCGGTGCACGCGTTGACCGTTGATTAGATTGGCTCATATCACTATGTATCCGGAGTAGATGCATCCTCTTCAGCATCCCTTGCCGCGTATATTAACTCTCTCACATATTCCATCGAGGACAATTCTGCCTGGTTTTCGAAGAGTACAGTGTGGAAAGTCAAGAGTGGTTGCTATTGGTTTGTTTACAATTCCTTGATACATCCATATATGCTGAACGCTTCGTCAAAGTTGCTTCAACGCGTTCTCTCGCGTAGACATTCGTGTAGATGTGAAGATCCCTGGAGGTGTCAATGCCTATGTCGTAGATCTTCGCGGCGAGCGGTGCGTATTACCTTGTGGCACATGTCGAGTTATTGATCGTGTTTATGGGCTCTAGACACGAAGCGACCCCAGAAATATGGCAAGAAACGTTCCTCTCTGCGCTGCTTCGAGCTATCCTCTACTCCGACGACCCGACTTACTGGTTGGAAGCTTACCGAAAACTCGATCCTATCACTGGAATTGAAGGCGAACTCCGTTTTTTGCAGGCGGCTGAGGCCTTGTTTATGAAGGGTGAGTGCTTCACTTTTCAGCTTTGCTTGTCCAAGAATCTGATGGCAGCGTAGGATGGCAGGTTGGATCGGATCCCGAGATCCAGGTTGCTACTGTGGTTTCTAACCACTTGACTGCGGGTATAATGAAGTACTTCGGCGATAGCGGTCGCTGCCAGCCAGCAGCAAACTTATTCGAGAAGCTGTCTGCACGAGAGCCGGAGATTGCCTCGCTCCTGGCAAGGAGTTATATTGGAATGAGTGCGCTAGGTTCTTCCTCTCATCGAGATACCGTCTGACTTTTTTTTATGACAAGATGAGGAAGTAAAGGCGGTCCAGATCATGTCTGCTGCCATGAAGCACACCCCACATTCGTACACCCTTCTTCACGTACAAAGTGATTTCCTACGGTCCAAGGGCAGGTCAGACTGGGCATTAAAACTCGCGAGAGAGGCTGTTAACTGTGCACCGAGTGAGTTTGTCACTTGGGAGAAACTCACCGAGCTGTACATGGACACGAAAGACTACGAATCGGTATGGGACTTTTCTGAATACAGTTGATTTCACTGACCGCCACCACAGGCGCTGCTAACGTTGAACTCGTGTCCGATGTTCACCTTCAATGGACGTGATGCTCACCGTGTTCTCGCGCCTGCAAAAGTCCATTTGCCCTTCAAGCGCCAGATTGGCGACATCCTCCCCGAAAAAACGAAAAGTGAAGACGATGTGGTTCGTGGGATTATTCCATCACTATTTGTATCTCATATCCCCTCAGGCCGACCCTGCCCTCCTTCGCCTTCCTGCGCCTGGTCTTCGTGGAACATGGGCGAGGGCTTATTCCTTGCTTACACGTCTTGTCTCTGATATAGGCTGGGACGAGTTGCTGAAGACACGGAGTGCAGTGTTTGTGATGGAAGAAGAGTACCGGATGCAGAAGGCCCATGCAGACATCCACAAAGTGGTAACCAACAACAGCGCACGAGATGTGAACGGAAGTGCAACAATGATCCACGAGGATGGCTCTTTGACCGAGGGGAGCACAATGCTCGCAGATGATGATGCGTCTACTCGTGGGGTGTCTAGTCCCCTCTCGGAATCAGAGGGTAAGCCTGAAATTGAGAATGGGCTCAGTGCTTCCGCCATTCCAATCATCCGTGTGTCCTCAGAGTATGACACGGAACGCGAAATTGCAGAGTCTACTCGTAATGGCATTGCAGAACAGGACGAGGCGAAAGAGTCTGCAGACGTGCAGAACCCGGCACTCGAGAAGCCAATGCAAGCTGCTGCCGGAGAGGAGCCCGAGCCGTTGCAATCACTAAACTCCAATCAGGAGGCGTTCTCATTCACGAATAAGCGCCTGTGTGAGCGGTGGCTAGATAACCTCTTTATGGTTCTCTACGAGGTAAGAATCACTCCATAACTGGTAGGCCATTCTCGAATATGACGTGCCTTCCCAGGACTTGCGGGTGTGGACAATCTTCCGAGCAGAAGTTGCACATTTTAAGACACAGCACGTTGCGTACCGGAAAACTGGGCTTGAATGGGAGATCCTCGGAGACCTAGGCATGCGCTTGCACCACAAAGAGGAGGCTAAAGAGGCTTATCAGCGATGCCTCGACACTTCGCGCTACTCTCAGAAGCCATGGGCGAAGCTACTAGAAATGTACGCCGAGGAAGGAGATATTACGCGCACCATCCAGGCTGCCATACGGGTAGCAGCATACCAATATGCTGATTACACGGAGATGACCGTACGTGCCGTCCCCTGGTACCTGGGGAAATAGCTCACCTTGTCTACAGTATCCAACGCTGATTGCGCGGTGCTTCTTCAAGCTTGGCCAGATCCATGGCCATGCCAAGATCTCCTTTACCCTTCTGAGCATGGGTTTACCCGAACCGATCCTGAAAATCATGGATAGCTACCTTCAATATGGGAAGACGTTTAAGGTGGAGGGATATGACTTTTAATCACTTAATCTTCTTCTTGTCCTTTGTCCGTTCCCATACCTACATCTTTCATGTCAATACTTCTTCGCTTGAGATTGTAATGATGTGAAGCGAAAAATAGTGAGGGAGGTAATTCCACCAGGTTCATGATTGCCTTTCTGAGCATCGGGAGGATAGGTTTCTCCTTTGGCTGTCAGTCCACAACCGTTTCTTTCGACAACGCCCATCATCTATCACCCCTGAAAAGCTGACGTGCCAGAGGTCGTCAGTGGCTAGGTATCTGATGTATAGTGAGCTCGACATCATGGCGGACTCTCCTATCCGACGACTTTCCACCGCTAGCTCAAACAGCAGCTTCAAGCGAGAAGAGGATCTCATCAATGCCTATGAAGCAGAGGAAGAAAGGATCATTAATGTCTTGTCTCGTAAACTCGAGCAGGTATGTATGAGGATACTATTCTCTTTGAAGAGATGCTTATTCCATGTGGTGTACAGCTTCGTGAGGAGAAAATCCAACTCGAAAACGCTCTCGAGGCAGAGTCAGAATCTCATGTGAATAGGCTTAGTCGGGAACTGTCTGCATTGCGGCAGCAGCAGCAGCAATCTGGAACGAATGGGATCACCACTTCACCAGACAACAGGGTGGGACTTCCAACGTTTATGGCTGGTCGAGACCCTATGATCCCAAGTGCAGAAGTCATGCTGGAAGCCATGAGACGGGAAAACGAGCAATTGCGCAACCGCCTAGTTGATACAGAAAGAGACTATGTGCGGGTGTCACGATTAAATGAAGTGTATCGTGAAGAACTACTTGAACATAGGAGACGGGTGAGCACCGGGTTTTGAACTGTCTTAATTGTATCTTAATCATGCCCATTGATATTCTAGCTCGGTTTGTCAGTAGACAACCTAGTCGGCCTGTCCTCTGCAGATCCGTATTCGCAGCCTACACATCGACGATCTATGTCTAATCTATCATCGCCTAATACATCTGTGCCCCAGACTTCGCACGCAATCCATGGTGTCCCTATTCCCCGGCCTTCGTCCTCGATACGGCGCCCATCGAACAATATGTCAGAAAGTAATACACCATTGTCGCATTCTCCATCCTCAACAGAGTCACCATTCCCATTCTCGCCTATTGTTGGAACAAATCCTGCAAGTTTTGTCAGTAATGGGACGCATATGACGACGCCACCATCGTCCGCTTCATTAACATCAAATCCCCCATCAACATTCACTATTCCTCATATGTTGTCTTATCCCTCGGTACCACCGCCGTCGCTGTCTTCTTCGTATGGATCACCTAATGTGTCTTACGTACCGCATCGCGATCACTCAATGTCTCCTGTGGTACCTTTAAGTAGGCGCAGTTCGAACGCACGAGGAAGCATTGAACGTCGCTTCGCGGAGCCAGTGACCGGTCGGAGTCAGAGCAGGCACGGGAGTGTCGAGAGGGGCGCACGCGTCGCGGAGACAGGGACATTGATTCCCCGCTCCCGTCGTGACAGCCAAAATGTTTCAGTCACCGCAGAGGCGTCTACTGCGGCGGAGGGTATGATAGGACGGTCGAGATGAAAGTTCGTGGCTTCGTTTTCTGATTTTTCTACGCTACCCTACGTTGCTTTCGAACAATATGCTATCTCTGCTACTGGAAGACTGATGTATGTATAATATAATGCTCAACAGCCATTGTTGCCCCGTCACAGCCAACCCGCATGTGTAGAACAATGTGCTACCACATATGGTACATGGATACACCGCCTTTCGGCGCCCCGTGCCAGGACCCCGCACACCGGTGGAGATGAGCAGCTGTGTTCACGAATACCTTCAAAACTATACCTAAGAGCAGACCTCAACTATTGCTCAGATGTCTCTATTATCCTCAATGTGGTGTTTGGTGGCTCGGCTGTCCAAAATATGTAGGCGACAGAGGCCCATCTCCATTACATACATAAAATGGGCTAACCGTTATGGAATCTTAATTTCGGGGTCCTCCAGACGCGATTCGGATCCGCGGAAGCTTTTGAGTCACGCGATGGCGCGGTATAAAAACGCGTCGGGGGAGCTAAGCGGCTAGCATCGCCCCTTTTTTTCAATGTCTTACCAGTACCAATTCACCCAAGGAAACGTATCAATGCCACCAACACCCCCAACACCGTATTCATGGGAGACGACGGAACTCAACAATAATCTTCCAGAACAACTTGATCATCATCATCATCAGCCCGCTCAACACGCTTTGAATCCACAGCACCAACCTCAAAATGTATATGCCACGTCACCGTCTGTCATTGAGCTTCAAGAACACGTACCCGTTGTCCCAAGTCAACACCGAAGTGAGGTCCCACAGCACTTGCATCATATGTCATCAGCGCCAGGGACTTCCACGAGAAGACAAAATGTCGTGTCTCAAGATATGAGACCTCATATACGCGTTGATACGACACGTCATATGACGCATAGCACTAGCCCACCGTCTGGCCCACCCTCTGCTGGCGATGTGCATTCAGTAGGACCAGTGCGGGCGAGAACATCGTCCGCGCACAACATGGTACACCCATATCGTCGCCCCCATAGTGCGAACCCAAGTCGAGATAATCTACCTGTGAGACAGTCAAGTAGCAGTTATGCAGCAAGTTTGTCTATGCCGGCTCCTTCAAGAACTGCAGCCCAAACACCCATTCCTGCCTCATTACACAGGTGAGTGGTCGTGCACTGATATTAATTCAGGGGTATATTAATATGGTTGTAGGACCGCCATCATCAGCCCATCCCATGTCATCCCACCTATATCATCCAACGCGACTTTTATACCTAGAGCCGATTACTTCTTTTGCAGCGAGAGCAGAGTGTCAACAGCATTGTTTGAACTTCCAGGAGTGAAGAAGAGCGATTTGAAGATCGAGTTATCAATGTGCCAGAACGGTGTGAAACAATTGTCAATCTCAGGAGAAACACGGCAACCACTTCTAGACGGCCTAATAGCACTCAAAGAACGCAAGTATGGCAAGTTTCGCAGGATACTTCCCGTTCGTCATGATACCAAGGCGAGTAAGCTAAGTTTTCCTACCGTCTTGCGGCTCAAGCAGGCATTTTTCAGAAGGAAGACATCTCCGTCAATTTAGAAGACGGCGTTCTCATTCTTCGCATAAACCTGGGGCCACCGCTCGAGTCTGAGCAGGAATCAGAAATTATCCCTATACCATGAGTGAGCCTGACTTCAAGTAAAGTCATTCATTGTGCGCCATCTGTTCCGGCAAGAGCAATACGACGTCTGATACCCTTTCCTCTCTACCTCGCTAACGTGTCTAGCCCTCCAAAATATGCACAAAGTTGCGCTATCGGCTTGCTTTGATCGTGTCGCTGTCGTCGTTCGACCTCTTCTTGTATCCTCAACAATTTTGTCTCGCACCTCGGCTTCCGTAGTCCAGTATAATATATACATACACATACATATTCCAGAATTGCACACCACTGTAGCACCATAGTAGTATTGTCGTTGTGATACCATATCATGATATCTTTATATCGATGTTTTATGTACCACTTGATGATTTAATGTAGATACTTGCTAGACCCCTGGAATTTGCGGTGAAACGTTCACTATGTTGTCCGATACCGTCATCGACACAGTAATGTTCTAGGCCGTTTCAAAATTTCACGGCGTGTTACATTGACGTTTTGCTGCGTGTTCTGCTGAAGTTCTGCATGGGATGACTTGATAGTGTTAGCTTTTCTCCTCACCTCGACAACTTGTCAAGGTCAAATCTCGGGTGCCGATTTGTGATTGAGCATCTGACCGGTTACCACTCCTTCATTTCCATAGGTCTTAATATTTTCCGGAGTTGTTGTTTGCCGTGCGCGATACTCCCTCGCCCGTGCAGATGTCTGTGCTTACGCCTCATCCTTGGCGTTCGAGAATATCCGAACACCAACTGCTAACTCTTGGCCAACTCTGACACAGGAACTTGAAGTTTCGGGTAGATTTGAACACAAAGTTTCGATCTTGGAATATCCGGGGCCTCGGATCATATTAGACTCGTGACCAGCCCCTCTATGAGGCAAGCCGTCGATAGAGGGACTGGTAAAACTGGCTTTGAATTTGGATGCTGAGCGGATTCCCAGGGTAACGTGATGTCTGGCCAATGAGAAAACCAGGTTTTTTCAAGCTGTGCATAGAATACAAAATAAACAATAATATTTCCACTATTGACGCGACGCGACGCGACGTACACTTGCAAAATCAATGGGCCAATCCTCCATCATCCAAGCTTTTCGTGATGCTTCCCCTCTATCGACGGCTTGCCTCATAGAGGGGCTGGTCACGAGTCTAGGATCATATCGCATCACTTGTGATCACTTTCTGATAGCTCTGGTTGCAGCGCACTGCGGGCCCTTACTACAGCATGAGTGCGTCATGATCGTGCAAGCTGCTCTATATACAGCTACCTTTTAGTGACCACTACAATCTGATGACGTAGTGGGCCTTGCCGCCACTAGGAGTCGTAACGCAATAGACCTAACTGAATCTCCGAAAACGAGGAAGAGCTCATCAATCAACGACAAATGCATACATTTGAATGTATATATGTTATTACACAACTGGAGCTCGTAACCAAGCTAAAAATAGACATACTGCGAGGGCTAGATGGATGAACGAAATAGTGATTCGTTCCAATTGTTCGTTGATGCCACCTAGGCGTCGAAGCTTCTCATTCAACCCCAGGATAATTCTGCATCATACACCTGAGCTCCGCGTCCGGAACCCTCAGCTTAAATTCGATAGGGCACTGGACATCTGGCATCGCCGCACGCATGAATCCCACGTCATCCAACGGTTTTGTAGGATCCAGAGTGAGCTGGAAGGCCCAAAGAATAAGGAGCGAGTTTATGAACACCGATCTGATCAATCGAAATGAGGTCGGAGGATCATGTGTGTGAAAGGAAACCTTTACCTGTCCGCAAGGTGTCGTCCGGGGCAAACGCTGGAAGGAAGGATAGTCAAAGAGAGTTATCCTGATAGACAGTGCTTACCGCCGACCAAATCCGTAGAAAAAGTATGTGAGATCGTCTCTCAGGCGACCTTGCTCGTTAATCCAACGCTGAGGCCTGAATGCGTGAGGTTCAGGGTAGACTTCTGGATCTCGCGAGATAGCCCTGACGCAGCAATTGTCAAGAGTCCCCGGGACATTCGCAATTCGAAGGACGATGCTTACCAATGGCTGCCGAGTACAGTGGTCCCGGCGGGAATGCAATAGTTTTCCTGCCAGTGGATGTCAGATTATCCTTCGCACGACATATTGTTCAAAGAACACTTACCCAAACTACGTCCCCAGTCGTCCGATGAGGAAATCCTACAGTGTGAATGATGTAAACTTCAGGTATAGGGCCGACTATGAAGACACCCACCATTAGGGCCCAGGGGTCGCCATCTCTCAGCCTCAGAGATAAAGGCGTCCAACAAAGGAAGGAATTTTTGGTCAGCAAAGGTCGGTGCTTTGGTGGAGAAACCCATGAATTGACAGAACTACAATAGGAAACCGAGCTACCTCGATGCCTTCCAATGACCGCATCAAGCTCGGCCTGAACTTTAGCTTGCTCCTCGGGGAAACATGCAGCTGCCATTAGCACTGTGCATATTGCTGCAGCAGACTGACTGATTCAGCCACATATTATTGGAACCAATAAACTAAGACACCCCACCGAATCGATTCCACCTGCAAAGAAGGCGCCAGAAAGATAATGCATCTCCATCTCTGTCAAGCCATAGAGATTTTCATTTTCTAGCAAATATTTCCCGAACGAAGGGCCGACGTCTACATTGTTCTGCTGTGGAACGGTTGAGGCATCATGCGAAGACTAGCATATCAGAGACGCGTACTAATTGTTGTTTCAGGCGGTTCATCTGACCAGCGAAGAGTTTCTGGCCGCTCTCAAACTCCCGTCTTAATTTTTGGCCGTACCAAGGAAGGTATTCGAGCCAGGGGATTGTATCCACCAGGTAAGTACCAGGGCGGAATACTGTACGAAATACCCCCAAGAACTGGCGAACCACTCTGACTTCAGGATCAGTCGCAGACGTGGGTGTGGTCATCCCATATGTGATTTTCATAAGCGTCGTCACAGCATAACTCCAAAATATCCGTAAGTAAATATCATGGTCCGAACCTAGGAAAGCGCTTACGTTACCGTGTGGTTCTGGAAGTTGTGTGGATCATCAAGAATGTTAAGGACCGTGTTCTTCGCGAATGACATCTGTAAAGTCTGATACTCTTCAGCTGCCTTAGGCTGGAGATGTGTATGAAGTGCTCTGCATCACGTTGCAGAGTCAGATATGGGCTGCTCTTTCACAGCAAGTAGACTACGAACCTACGCATCCGACGAAACCTATCCCCAGTACGTGCAAAAGCGATGAGAAGTCCATCGGTAAGCATTTGTGCAGCACTCATGCGAGGACGATCAGCTAGCAATGTGCCGCGCTTCTCCATAATATCCACCGCGGCCTGCAACAGAACGTTCAGCCTGGATATGACAACTCAGCGTGAAGGGACTGACTTTGTGACGGCCGATAATAACGACGTTCTCAGTTCCTGCGCGAACGGTAATCAGAGGACCGTACTCGTCGAACCATTTCTCTACAGTGAGAAATCCGCTGACCAGCGATGGAACACAAATTAGCATTCAAAAAAACGGTCAACGTGAAACTTTACTTGCGAGGGGGAATAAAGTGTCCCAGAAGTCTCCGATTGGGAGGGGAAGGTGGGAGAGGAAAATGACTCTTTGATCTAGGAAGATAAGTCCGAACAATGACTCCTACCGCCCAAAAACAAGCGACAACACCAAGAAGGAGCTGCGCGTTGTGAGAAATGGGCAGGTCCGGCAGCTGTAGCATGACTGATTGGAAGAGTCGGAAGGCTGGTAGGACAGACCCCACCAAAAATGCATTTAAATCATGGACGAAGTGTACTTATTACTACCCTGTGCCAATAGCAGCTACCTCACATGTAGCGTGCATACGATGTATCAACGTGTTGGCGTGTGCTGGCGTACGATGGTTCGCTGATAATCTGGAAGTTCGTTTAGCAGCCGCTAACCAGCAAGAGAACCGGATTCAGAGAGACCGGAACCTTGACTCTTTGGGATCATGGCGCTAACTTTACGCTGTAAAGGGTGATTAAGGACAATCCCTGAACCATTTGGGCCTTGGCAGATACGGCCTGTGATAGGCCCATATGGATATGCGCAATGAAATGTTCAAGTTGCATAGCCAAATCTACCGTGCCACGCGCAGCCCGCTGGCTGCTGCTGGCTGATCCGGGGCCCCGTGAAATTTTGTGTTCGCGATACCGTGGCTGCCGGTATATCCATTCTTCCGGGCTCAAATTCGTGTCCGCCCGTCAGAAAAGTGCTTCGTTCTGTACAGCACCACAATGCGCAACCACGGTTTGGTCCGAACTGGACAGTCTCATGACAGACAAACCGCTCTTGCACAAAGTTGTACAGCCTCAGAGCTCGAGCGCTCACAACCGCACCTGCCTTCGAGCAATAGCTTTCTGATTTTAATACAAGTCAAGTTTTAGACATTTGGAAAGAAGGGAAATCAATGAATTGCTTTCACTTGTCTGAACATGAACTAATTTAAATCAAAAACTAAAAGAGACCAGAGAAGCGTGTGCTGCGAGGTTGAGGGTATCGCGAGAGGGTACGAGAAGGCGTTGCGAGGGTTGTGGGTGCCACGAGAAGGTGCTGCAAGGTTTTGCAAGAGGGTGAAGAAGGTATTGTGAGGGTGCAGGAGAGTGCCGGCAGCTGAAGGTGGGTGGCAGAACGTGAGAAAGGATGGCTTTCAGACATTCAATGAGCAAGGAAAAAGAAAGAGAGAAAAAGTTACTAAACTGGAGGGTGTGGCAGGTAATAATACGAGGCGGAGGTTCTAGGGTGATTCTAGGGTGTAGGAGGGTGTGGTGGTGCGTGGTTGGTGGAGCTATGGTTGTTGGAGAGAGTGCAAGGGTGCGACAAAAGGTGGCTCAGAACCAGGGAGTCGAATAAGTAGTAAGAAGAAGCTTACAAGGCGGCGGGGGAGGGTTTAGGGCATATAGTAGGTGAGGAGGCAGAGGTGTAGCATAGATACACTGGTACAAATAACGAGTTGAACGTGACTTATTACATAAGCAGTGTGATGAGTCTAAGCGTGGACCTGGCAAACGATGCTTTAAATTTTAAACTTTTAGTAGTTCACTGATCAGTGTATGCTGTGAGCTAACTATCATCACTTTATAGCTTATTGCTCTAGATAGTTAGATCTTCCAAAAGTACCCTTTCGGCAAAGTACTGCTGAGGCCAGGTAACTCTTGGAGCTTTCGCACAGCTTGATTTTCTCTGGCAATGAGCACAGCGTTCTCGAAGTTGTCCCAGCTCAAGTGCCTATCATCACTTGCCGCAAGACGTGTACTCAGAGCTGCAATAAGTTTGGGTCGCAAGGATTACTATCCAAGCCAAAGGTTCGGGTGACTGATTGGCATAATATTGTGGCATCATATCACTGATCAACATGCAGGAAACTTGAATGATATCATTCTGAATTTCTGACGTGGCGGTTCTATTTTAATTTTAGTACCACCGTTCATAGTTCAATGCGCTCTTGTCTGCGAGAGAAATAATACGATAGTTTTCACGGTACGAACGAAAGACTGCAATACTACTAACATACCTAGCGCGAAGACGAGCAAGCGAGAAGAGGTGAGGACCTCCTATATGAATCCACCCGGGTATGAATTAGACTTTCCCGCGAAAAACGCCAGCATGAGTGACATGCCAAGAGCGCCCGGAGCGCGCGTTTCAGGAGGTTAGACCGACCGTGTGGCTCGGCGAAGCTTTCCAAGGGGTTGACTTTCGGAGAAAGAGCTTCGGGGGTTGTCTTCTTTCTTTGGTAAGAACCTGGCGGCAAAGGCAGTAACTGACGCAGCTATGGTAGGCCCGCACGTGGCTAAGCTACATTGGGAAATTTAAAACTTCGATACCCAAAGCGAGCCTGACGGCCCTGGCCTGCCAAGCCACTCCGTCTTCCAACTATGCTAACAATCCCCTATCTCAACTGAATCAGACTGCTTGCAGACCACGCGCATGCCCGGGCGAGGCCCTACATATGACTTATCCGAGTCACGCAGGCCGATTGATCGTGAGGGACACCAGCTCAGCAGCTCAAGGATCACGTAGATCAAGCCCTGCTCGAATTTTTGCCGCCAAATACTACATCTCAGTTCGCTCAGCATGCTCCCGAGTTGGCAAACTTCCGCGAAGCTATCGCACGGAACGAACTACGAAACTTATAGGTCATTCATAGCAAGGAGGCTGACGTCAAGGACATGTTCGCCCCTGGACTGCCCTACTTCTTTGCCATGTCCTTTATGACATCTGGGAATGCAGCAAAGACATTCCCAAGTATCTGACTCCCCCGCATTCTTTGCAACATCCTTCACATCTGGTGCTTCCCCCGCACGAGGGTACAGCATTATCACCATCTTCTTTGGAATATCATAAAATCGTGGAAATAGAGCGCGAGGACAGTCAGAGGTGTCTGCTCGTTGAGCGTCGGTTTTCTGCGAATGACAATGAACTAGGACGATATGGATAGACTCGATTTGTGACGCGAGCTCGTCGCGCTACTTTCCCTTGTGCATGCTGATCTCTAGGCAACTTTTAGTTCCGGGGAAAACGGATCCATATGCGATCTCTTTGGTTAAAACTTTGTTCTGAATGCACTATTTGTGCTCGCAGACCGTCGGGTGACAATCGTCCGCTTCTTGTTTGCCAGTGTATGAATGGCCTCTACTCGTCGACTGTATTGAGAAGGGTATCATCCAGGACCAGAGGTTATATTTTTGTTGATCATTACATTACATTCAGCTCACTGTTCTCTCAGAAACATCTTACTCCAAACCCTCTTCGTGCTGCCGAACTTCGCGAAATTGGGCCTCCTGGCATTCAGGGCTGGGCGGTCCGTGTATGGCCTAACTTGAACACATTCATTGGGATCACTGGAAGTCCTGCTGCTGCTTCTGTTCCAAAGGCACGTCAATTGTGGAAGGTTTACTACTCAACTGACAGCTAGCGACTCAAGATTACTCATGTCCTCGGACCTTCTGTTTCCATCCAAGCTGCTGGGTATGGCGGTACGGAATGTGACATCGACATACCATACCTCGAAGGCAACCCTAATACCGACTTCAAGGTAATGTTTGTAGATGGGATGAGCGAGTTTTTTTGGACGCCCGTTCCGATGAGTCTTCGGAGTGTATATTGTCCGTTGTAAGACCCATTCACTGCATCTCACCTTTGTCTGCTCATCTCTGCCTTAGTGGGAGCTTGTAACTGGAAGGCATTATGAGCCTGTCTTGACGATCCGCAATGGCCTGTGGAGATATCGCCTTGGTGATGTTGTCACTGTTAAAGGCTTCGATCCAGATGACGGATTGCCTATCATCAATTATCTACACAGGTGAGAGTGAGTTGCAATGTCGTCGATTTTAGGCTTAGCGGCTGAAATGCCTGTCGAGGAAGCGGCTTGCTTTGGACTGGCATTTGGAACAACGTGTACAGAGTCGCAATTGACGAACGCAATCGTTTCTGCCGCTAACTGATGGATTGGCCAAAGCATGGTTTTCACTATCGTGGGCGAATTATCGTGGGCGACAAGCGAGATACACCTATCACCTATGGGTACTCGGTAGAAATTGTAGGAGAAATAGGTTCGTGCTTTCTTGGTAGCTCTTTCCTGCGACTGTGCTGATTGATCTTCACAGGAAAGGACGCAGAAATGGCACCGCACCAAACCTTTGATAACCTCTGTGCGGTAAACGATGAGTATCGCCTTGCTTTTTGGAAAGGCAGATCAAGGAAGCCACCCATTTGTCTCGTGGCGAAAGGCACCTTCTCAGATATCGCAGGCAGAAAAGCGACGAGAACGTCTCGATTGGTCAGGTGAAAGTTCCCGTCGTCCTACCCGATCCAACATATACGGAATGGTTCCTGAAGAGAGTTATAATGGAGCTGTAAAAGAGTCTAGTCTAAGTTTCTCCATTCCTCAAGAAATCACAGCGTATATAGATTTACCCTCGCCTCGTGAGACCCTAGGGATCTAGCAGAGGGATGGAATGAATTTATGTGTTGAGCACGTCAACCTGAAATTGGTTTGAAGTCTGACGAGCGCAATTTTGACCTGATCGCGTTCCTTCGCGGTCCCTTTCTTCCCGCAATCAAAGACGTGTCCCTGGCACCAAGAGGATCTGTGTCCTTGGCTTCCGGATTCGAGCTCGGAACCACCGGACCGCACAAGGGGCCTCACCAACTTGAGGCCAGTCCTCCTGTGACCACGCCTTCTACGCCACTATCTCTAATCTGACGTCAACTCCACGAACATGCATTCGACTATGTGACCAGGTGAACTACACAATTAATCGATCTGAAGTCGATAATATTTTGTACTACTCAGTTGTGCCGCGGAATGCTGGGTAACTCATATATACTGACGCCGCGCTCTATATGCCAATTCCTCGATTCAAACCGGTACGTCCTCGGACCCTACATGCATTGACTGGCATCCTCCGACCCACCCGCTCCGAGTAGCCCACTGGAAGGAAGAAAATTACTGACAAATAGCATGCCAGTATACTGTACTAATGATCTGCCGAGTGTTTCTGTTCTTGGCGGTATTGGTGAGTTCATGTGACTACTAGAGCAGTCATCTCACTCACAAAGGTCATATAGAAGTTCAACTCAAGTTGAGCTGGTCGGGGTGAGTCACTGGCGAGTTCTAAACGTAAGACGGAAGTTGATTATGAGTCATGTTATTGGCAGGGGCAACGTGTACACTGAGATATAGAACAGTCATCTCATGACTGTTCTATATATCAGTGTCGTGACCTATGGGGATTATTTTATGATACACGCCACGGGTAAGGTGGGGCAGGTTGGTGCTTTATAGCTGTCAGCCTGTCGGTCATCCACGGCTGCGGCTGTGTGAGCTGTTACCGAGAGAACGGCAGCGAGAGTTGCGAACACATACGTTCATCGTCCCGATGATAACGGATACGGTGGTAATGAGTCAACGACGTAAGACTCCAACCGGGATTCCGGGCTTCACATACTTATCGCTCGTTTCTTCTGATCAGCAACATGCAGCAAGAGGTTTATCGATCCGGAAATCTCGATGTGGCAGATATAGTGAGTATTTTGCGTTCATCCTCCCAAGAAGCTGCGTTCTTACTTGCAAATTGGCTACTAGCAATTAAACTGCACTTCTAGGTAATGATGAGTGGGATTCTCAGCCATATTTTCGGTTCAATATAACGACAAAAACACTGGCGAGTTTGCTTGGGGCCTTCCTCCGAGGCTTGTCGGTAACTGTGTTGTGCACCGGCAGGCACAACCAGCTTTTCGGTTCAATATAATGACTAAAACAGCTGTGAGTTCGCATGAAATATCCGATTTTCCGAGGCTGGTCGATAACTGTTTTTTTTTCCTTTCTGTGGACGACTTCCGGCATAGCTGAACATTCAGCTACCCAGAGCATCTCGGCGGTGTTGACTCGACCGAAAATATCATGCAAGTCATTACAACCACACGATGCCAAGTTCAACGATCGTCGCAACAGAAAGCAGCTATATTTCAGGGGGTAAACTCGGGTAAACCTATGAAAGACCTTGGCCCATCAGACTCATGGGATGAATATTACCACTGACAGATGGGCTCGAACATGCCAGCACACATGGCTACTGCGGGCAGTTTATGAATTAAGCAAGACTTGGATACTGTATCATAGGTCCTCGTCCTGTGTCTTGTAGTGTAGTAAAACACCTCCGTGGATCGCAGCGTGAACTCGTAACGTGAATGTGATACGTATTGGGCCGCTGGAGTTCCGCGTCGGTGTTTCTTGTTCGACCCTTAACGTCTCCAATATCTGTGACTGATCAGGACTGGTTTTCTGCGGGAGCTGAGATTTATTGCTGCATGAGGAAAGTGGTGTCTCAGGTTGCGGTAGCAAATCCGAGTCCGCTCCGACTCCGCGTCTGGAAGTCCAACTTGCCAGAAAAGTGCATTACTACAATGTGACGGAAAAGTGCTGATTTTGCCTGGTGATGGTGCGGTCCAATTAGAAAAAAAAACAAGCACGAGGGAAAGCGTTTTTTTTTGACCATGACCATACATAGGAAATCGCGACTGGCTGACCACATTGCTTTGCTCGGGGTCAGGGTGGAGGGGGAACTGAAAAAGTAGCGTGTAATGCAACGCCAGGTTTTTCGGCAACGTTTTAAGCTGCTTTGGAGCTCCTCGTAGGATAGCGCATGGCAATCAGCTTCTCTTCACACGTCAACTGCACCTGTAATTATAAGGGGGACGTACTTATGATATGATGTGTACGTCAATGAACCCCAAGACTTCCGATGTTTCCGTATTGATGCCATGGGTAAAGGGCTGGACAAACGAAAAGCCTCGATGCAGTCCGACGATGTTGTCATTGCAAAAACAAACATCATGTCTCTCACTTCGTCATTCGTGTCGTGTCGACGTCGTGATCAAAAAAACGACCTACTATAATATATCAGCATGGTTATGAATCGGGTGCTTTGGCAACATTCCTAGCTACTTGCACGACAGTCTTCGCACGACATCTGTGCAAGAGGAACACGAACTTGAAAGAATCACTAGTTCTCTGTACAAAATTGGGTTTATTTGTGTTAAACGGGGACGGAGAGCAATGTCAAAAGTTGATCTGACGAATTTTCCCAAGACTACAATCCCTGTCAAGCTTCGGCGTTATGATCCATTCGGTCTCAAGTGTCGGGACACATCTTCATTTCCTCCCTCTGCTAGATCACTAAGGTCTGATTATCGCTAAGAGTCGAGAGTAAATCCAGTTCTGTATGTATAGTCCAAAAATACAGACCAGACTCTTTTACAGCTCCATCACAACTCTCTTGAGGAAGCCACTCCTTAAACGTTGGGTCGGATAGGACGACGGGAACCTTCACCTGACCAATGGAGACGTTCGTCTTGTCGCTTCTCTGCCTGCGATATTCTGAAAAGGTGCCTTTCTCCACAAGACGAATGGTTGGCTTTCTTGATTTGGCTTCCCAAACAGCAGCGCAATATTCATCGTTTGCCGCTATGAGGTGCTCAAAGGTCTGCTGTATCGCCATTCCCGCGTCCTTTCCTGTAGATATTAATTAGCACAACCGCGTGAAGAGCTCTGAAGTATGTACGAACCTATTTGCCCTACGATTTCCTACCAAATACCCATAAGTAATAGGCATTTCTCGCTCGTCACCCACAATAGTGAAGTCTGCGATTGGGCCGATACATTGTTCAGCAGCAGAAACGATCCGCGTTCGTCAATTGCGACTCTGTACACGTGGTTCCGAATGCCAGTCCAAGTGCCAGTGAGCCACTTCATCAGTGGGACGTTTCAGCTGCTAAGCCTAAAATTGGTGACATTGCAACTCACTCTCGCCTGTGAAGGTAATTGATGATAGGCAATCCGTCATCTGGATCAAAACCTTTAATGGCGACGACATCACCAAGGCGGTACCTCCACAAGCCATTGCGGGTCGTCAAGACGGGCTCGTAATGCCCTCCAGTTACAAGCTCCCACTAAGGCAGGGATGAGTGGACAAAGGTGAGACGCAGTGAATGGTTCCCACCGCGGATAATACACGCTCCGAGGGCCCACGTACGTTCAGAAACTCGGTGACCCCATCTCCTAACAATACCTTGAAGTCAATATTAGGGTTGCCTTTGTGGTATGGTACGGCGACACTGCATTCTGAACCGCCATAATCCAGAAGACTGCATGCGGACAGAAGGTCCGAGGACGTGAGTGACCTTGTGTCGCTAACTGTCAGCTGGGTAGCGAACCATAACACTTGACGTGCCTTTGGAACAGAAGCAGCAGCAGGACCTCCAGTGATCCCAATGAACTCTCTCAAGTCAGGCCACACACGAACCGCCCAACCCTGAGGGCCAGGAGGCCCAATTTCGCGAAGTTCAGCAGCACGAAGAGGGTTTGGAGTAAGATGTTTCTGTGAACATGTGAGCTGAATGAAATGTAATAGTCAACAAAAATAGGACCTCTAGAGGTGCGCGCAAATGACCGAGGTCTTCGACGTCTGGGATGATACCCTTCTCGATACAGTCGACAAGTAGAGTCCACTCGTCCTCTACATACTGCAAAAAATTGACGAATACATTGGCGAAGAAGAAGCGGACTGATTGTCACCCGACGGTCTGCGAGCGCAAATAGTGCATTCAGAACAAAGTAAGCGCGATAACTTCCAACCAAAGAGATTGCAAATGGATCCGTTTGCCCCGGAACTGAAAGTTCCCCAGATAAGCAGCACAAGGGAAAGTGGAGCAACGGTCTTACCCCATAAATCGAGTCTATCCTTATCGTTTTCGACATCCCAGTTCATTGCCATTCGCAGAAAACCGACGCTCAATGAGCAGACCGTCACCTTCTTGGAGCTCCGACCGTCCTCGCACTCTATTTTCAGGATTTGCTGATATTTCAAAGTAGATGGTGATAAGGTGGTACCCTCTGACGGGGGAAGCACCAGATATAGACGGTGTTCCAAAAGGTATGGGGGAGGCCGGTATCTCGGGAACGTCTTTGCTTCTGCTCGAGATGTCATGCTGGACATGGAAAAGAAGTAGGGCAGTCCAGGGGCGAGCATGTCCTTGACATCAGCTTCCCTGCAAGGGGTAGCAAAAAACTTTGCTATGAATGGCCTGTACGGTTCGTAGTTTGTGGTAGGTATGAATTCTCGGAAGCTACGTAGGAAGACGTTATCATCCTTCGAATCGCTCTGCGCGATGGCCTTGCGGAAGTGCGCCAACTCGGGAGCATGCTGAGCAAACTGAGATGCAGAATTTGGCCGTATAAATTCGAGCAGGGCTTGATCTACGTGATTCTTGAGCTGCTGAGAGAGCTCTGTGGATAATGAGTCCAGGATATCTGTTTCAAGACGAGACATTGGTAGATGATAGTCACCATGAAGTTAGATAGCGACATCATATAGGGTGATGCGGCGTTGATTGTATAGCCTGATAGATAGTGTTGTGGGTAGAACTGGCAGAACCCGGCAAAATTAGGGTTTGCCATGGCAGAACAAGATACCGTTAGTCGACATTGATGATGCAACATTCCAACACCCTCCCTCGCCGTTCGCCATGATCAATTACCGAGAGCTCCTCATCAGCAATTTTTTGCACCGGCATCGACACGCTCTAGCTCGTCGAAGTTGTACATCTTACCTTCCAATAAGTATCTCATGAAGTACTTGATCATTGAGGGTAGTTTCTTGACGGCAACCAATGAGGTTGATGCAGAACTTAGCTTCACCCGAAGCAGGAGTCGCCATGAGAGCCCGGCCTTTGGTCTTGCTCATGAGAAAGATACGTGTGGCTTCGCGTTCTTCAGGTGAACACTTAGGGCATCGTATGGCATCAGTAAGGCGTTTCGGGAGATTATTGTCGCGGTTCGCGATATTAGCGCCAGGGGAATTGAGTGGACAATGTTTACGCTTGAAGTAGAATCTATTAGTGAGTTGGCGACATCTTCGAGGCAGATGAAATTGTAAGTTCAACGACCTTGGGGAGAGGGCGTCCTCCCTTCTTAGACATGGTTCTAATGTTCATTTATTGGTAGAGACAGACTGGATTTGCTTTGACAACTATACCGCCGGGGGACTTTATCCAGATCTGAGAAATAACAGTCAAATTGATCATGGACCCAGAATTGAGAGGATGCACTTACCCACTCGATGTGTAGACGCACCATCCGATGTGGTGATCCGTCATTAATATTCTCCGGAGCCGCTTCTAAGTTCTTTTGCTATTCCAGACCCTCTCTTAGCAAGGTGCAAGTACAATTCGTACCACTTACCTACCATTGGTGTATCGTGAGGGAGGGTGTTCACCCGGCGTTGCGGTGAGCTGCGAGGCCACAGGAACAAGATTTTGGAAGCACTGGACTGTTGCTAGAAAACGGTATGCGTGTAGATGACTTTTGCGCCCTCATCATGATCTACTTGCAACTCATCCGAGAAAGACTTCGCGACACATACTATGCCATGTCTTCACCGACAGTATGACGAAAGGGAGAGCGTGTCGTGAAGGTGATGTCGTGCATGTGGGTCTTGCTATCATAGCTGACAACAGGAAGTCAAACGCCAAGTTTGCGGTGCAAAGTCGAAACCAACAATTTGTCCAGCACGGGCCCCGAATACCCTTGACAATGATAAAGAAGAAACGACTGTCTTCCTTCTATCATCAAAGGTCTGACTATGGGACCGGGGAGACTACCAAATACCTGAATCCAACATCGTGCAAATTTTCGCGAAAGCTCCCGAGTCCCGGGCCGGAACAGCACATGTGTCATGCATGTACAAGACCAAGATCCTTTTCCGATTCAGATGCTCTTACCATCCGTGGTTGTCTACGTCACGAGCCTACCTCAGAGTCCGAGTGTCCCTTTTTGACTTGCAACCACAGCCATCTCCATCTCCTCCATCAATTTAGCTAAAGTTGACCATGTCACGATAAAGCTAGTACGTGGGAAGGGTCGCAATCATGTCCGTTCGAATTTCGGTGAAGACTCAAGGCGACTAATGTATTAGCAGTCCTAATTCCCAGTGCCCTCCTCAAGCTCGCGACGACACGAAAGCATCCAGTACTGGCAGATCGTTAGCCGAAACGAAGTGCGGCCACATCCAAGGTATGTAACCCGCACAAAGCCATGAATTTGAGCTCAGAACTTCTATTAGAACGTTGTGCAATTTGCTAAGACGCGCATATATTCTGCATCATATTGTGGGTGAACGTAGCATACAACGCCAGGGATGTGAAGGTTTGTCATCGTTTATGAGTTTTCGTGCCACCATTGATTTTACCGCAACCCGTTCTTTGGGAGGTTGAATGGGAGCGATTAGCACGGTAGGAACCCATTATTTCAATCCAATTGACTTGACCGATGATGTTGTGACTAGTAGGGCATATGGTACATGGGCCCCGAGGCACCACCTAGACGTTCCCCTGAGCTGTATGTTGTGGTGGTGAGGGGCAGGGCAGCCTCCAACAGGGGGATCAACAACGGGGACAGATATCCATATGTAGGGGAGCATACAGACTTCTCATGCATTTGTATTCCGATAGTGATTCAACACAATTCCTATTATATTCCGAGTTTGAAAAGCAGACGCACGATATAAACCAGACAGAACCAGACTATATTTCACTCGTTAGTTTAGAGAGTGATTCCCGTATTCAACACTCAGCCGCCAGCTTTCCTCGTCTCGGATTGGGATGTGAAACAAGGCACTTACTTCTCACTACTCTGGCTCATCGGAATTTGTGTGATTTGCCATGTCTGATTACATACTGTTTATGAGCTCTTTTTGTATCCTGTCCGGGTTTGATCAAATTCTCGTTTCCGCAGTGAATGTCAAAGGGCATGATCTGACGAAAATTCCCAAGACTACAATCTCGAGGCCTGTCAGCGGCGAGCGGTATGATCCATTCAGCCTCAAGTATCAACACACATGTTCATTTCCTCCCTCTGCTAGATCACTAGGGTCTGATTATCACTAAGAGGCGAGAATAAATCTCGTTCTGTATGTATAGTCGAGAAATACAGACCAGACTCTCTTACAGCTCCATTACAACTCTCTTGAGGAACCACTCCTTAAACGTTGGGTCGGATAGGACGACGGGAACCTTCACCTGACCAATGGAGACGTTCGTCTTGTCGCTTCTCTGCCTGCGATATTCCGAGAAGGTGCCTTTCTCCACAAGACGAATGGTAGGCTTCCTTGATCTGCCTTGCCAAAAAGCAGTGCGATACTCATGGTTTGCCGCCATGAGGTCTTCAAAAGTCTGCTGTGTTACCATTCTCACGTCCTTTCCTGTGGATATTAATCAGCACAGCCACGTGAAGAATTCTGCAGCATGTACAAACCTATTTGCCCTACGATTTCTACCAAATACCCATAAGTAATGGGCATTTCTCGCTCGTCACCCACAATAGTGAAGTCTGCGATTGGGCCGATACATCGTTCAGCAGCAGAAACGATCGCGTTCGTCAATTGCGACTCTGTACATGTTGTTCCAAATGCCAGCCCAAGTGAGCCACTTCATCAGTAGGATATTTCAGCTGCTAAGCCTAAATCGATGACATTGTAACTCACTCTCGCCTGCCAAGGTAATTGATGATAGGCAATCCGTCATCTGGATCGAAGCCTTTAATGGCGACGACATCACCAAGGCGGTACCTCCACAAGCCATTGCGGGTCGTCAAGACGGGCTCGTAATGCCCTCCAGTTACAAGCTCCCACTAAGGCAGGGATGAGTAGGACAAAGTTGAGACGCAGTGAATGGCACTTACTGCGGACAATATACGCTCCGAAGGCTCACGTACGTTCAGAAACTCGGTGACCCCATCTCCAAAGAATATCTTGAAGTCAGTGTTAGGGTTGCCTTTGTGGTATGGTACGGCGACGCTGCATTCTGAACCGCCATATCCAGAAGACTGCATGTGGACAGAAGGTCCGAGGACGTGAGTAACCTTGTGTCACCAACTGTCAGCTGGGTAGCGAACCATAACACTTGACGTGCCTTTGGAACAGAAGCAGCAGCAGGACCTCCAGTGATCCCAATGAACTCTCTCAAGTCAGGCCACACACGAACCGCCCAGCCCTGAGGGCCAGGAGGCCCAATTTCGCGAAGTTTAGCAGCACGAAGAGGATTTGGAGGAAGATGTTTCTGAGAGAAGACGTGAGCTAAATGGAATTTCATAGTCAATAAAAATATGACCTCTAGCGGTGCGCGCAAATAGCCTAGGTCTTCGACATCCGGGATGATACCCTTCTCGATACAGTCGATAAGTAGAGGCCATTCATCCTCTACATACTGCAAAAAATTGACGAATACATTGGCGAAGAAGAAGCGGACGATTGTCACCCGACGGTCTGCGAGCGCAAATAGTGCATTCAGAACAAAGTAAGCGCGATAACTTTTAACCAATGAGATCGCATATGGATCCGTTTGCCCTGGAACTGAAAGTTACCTAGAGATCAGTATGCACAAGGGGAAGTAGCGCGACTGTCTCACCCCATAAATCGAGTCTATCCATATCGTCCTCGACGTCCCAGTTCATTTCCATTCGCAGAAAACCGATGCTTAACGAGCAGACCGTCACCTTCTTGGAGCTTTGACCATCCTCGCACTCTATTTTCAGGATTTGCTGATATTTCAAAGAAGATGGTGATCAGGTAGTACCCTCCGACGGGGGAAGCACCAGATATAGACGGTGTTCCAAAAGGTACGGTGGAGGTCGGTATCTCGGGAACGTCTTTGCTTCTCCCCCAGATGTCATGCTGGACATGGCAAAGAAGTATGGCAGTCCAGGGGCGAACATGTCCTTGACGTCAGCCTCCCTGCAAGGGGTAGCAAAAAACTTTGCTATGAATGGCCTGTACGGTTCGTAGTTTGTGGTGGGGATGAATTCTCGGAAGCTACGCAGGAAGTCGATATCATCCTTCGAGTCGCTCTGCGCGACGGCCTCGCGAAAATTTGCCAACTCGGGAGCATGCCGAGCGAACTGAGATGCAGAATTTGGCCGTATAAATTCGAGCAGGGTCTGATCTACGTGATCCTTGAGCTGTTGAGAGAGTTCGGTGGACAATGAGTCCAGGCAACCTGTTTCAGGACGAGACATTGGGGGTAGGATGAGAAAGTTAGATAACGACATCATATATGGTGACGAATTGATTGTGTAGCTTGATAGGGATGCTGTGCGACATTGTATCACCTGATGTCGGGCTGGTTCCCGACATACTTAGTATTTGAGAATCGAGATTGCCCTGCAAGTCGGCAAATTGCCGTGCAACATCGTACTATCACCTGATTGGCAACCGCAGAAGTGCGGTTATCACATCAAGTTTTCGGTGGAGCTATAGGTATAGTTTATGTAACTCACTCTAGGTGTTCACGGGCGCATTTATCAGCAGGAGATTTGGCAAGAGTCACCCAACTTTCTTGGCCGTCCAACAAGATTAGCAATTTGTCCTACGTCCAGCTTGTTAATTATATCACCTCTCGGATCTAGTTCTTGCCGCTCATTCGCACCTGTAGGGACGTCATCCCATTTTGAGACTGGCACTCACCGTCCGATAATGTTAAGAGCAAGTCGGGCCGTAGGTGTTAAAGTACCAACAGTACATTGTGTTCCTTAAGAGCTCAGTGTTCGGTCTTTTCCGAGCAACGCCTATAAGCGCCCACTTAATCCAGCGTCACACATGCCCGTCGCTCGATGTCACCATACATATATTGAAGAATGGCATCTCTCCCTGTTGTATATGAACAGCGGGGCATGTTTGGATATTACGTTTCGAGGATGGGTGGAACGATTACACTACGGACTTGGACAACTCATGCTACATCCAGGTTGCTCCCTGTTGCTATTTATCCGGTCCAAATATTAATATCACATCCCCGTGATTGGTTCCTCCACGAATGAATACATAGAAGCTTGCTGGCAGTTCTCTACCCACCACTGCAGCTCTCAGCCCACCAGCTTAGTGAGAAATTCGTCAACCTGCTTCTGAGTAGGGCGGCAACGATAACTATAAGGCTGGTCGGTGCAGATGTACAAAACATAAACAAATACGTTGTGCATGCATTCTGCTGGAACGACCCGTCCGGAAGGTAGATATGCCAAACCTGTACCTAGCGAATGAATGCGGAAGGTTTTTTTGAAGCTGTAGCTGGAGTTTGAGTAGGCGTTACTCCAGGCCGAGACGGGATGAAGGTCGGGATGTAGCCTGGTGACGAACTGAAGTGCGATCTCATGAACCCACTTCTCAGATACGTACATAGTAGCCGTACATCCAATGGGACATCAACAAACAATATTTGCACATACCTGCATGCTGTACATGGCTCCCTCGAGGCTTTGAAATTATTCAGACATTTGTTAGAGCTTGGTTGGTTGGCAGCCCTGGCGATATGCTGGCTGAGTTTAAAACACAGCTTGAATCATGCTCCCACTAGCAGCTCGAGTTGGACAAGAGTCCTATCGCGAGGTGTAGTTCACGACTATCGGCGGTGTCACCAATGATCTTGAACCACACCGCACCCTTAACATCGGATACCTCAAGTACTCCCAACAGCAGCACTGCAAGAACGAGTGAGTACTGTGGGATTGTCGTATCATCTCACCGTAATCACTCGTTCGCAGTCATGACTCTGCCTACCCTCCGCGAACTAGTAGCTTGACTTGTGAATGCTGGTTCATAGTAGTTGTACATTTTATCGATTCATCACCTGGTTAGAACGTAAAAATGCTTTGGATGGTGACGTACGTGTTGCATACCTGGATTCCCATCATTTTGCATTAAGTTTCGAGGAACTTTCGACCGTCATCGCTTCAAGCCTAGCGCGAGTCTTTGTTGGGAGGAGCGACTGTCTTCCTTATAGGTCACCTGGCTAGTGCGAGTCAGATTTTCGAGACATCATTGGAAGTTTCAAGCTAAGTCTCGCCTTACTTGCGATTTGTTCTGAACGAATCCGTAAATCCGTACAGCAGCGCTCGGCGACAACAACATTCCTCCAGATTCGGTACTTCAGTGCCAGAAATCTTGACCATGTCCACACACCACCGGTGAACCAACCAGCACATCATCCTCATGGCACACCATCCGTCCCTGGATGCCCCACGTCATCCTCTCAGTCCGCGACGTCACTTCCATATCTGCAACTTTCACTCTTCCTCACTCTCTCCATAACATCTGATCCCACACCCCCAAACGACCCGGACACTTCACCACAAACACCGCAGAGCAGCCCCTGATAAGTTCGGATGCAGATACCGAAGTAGATATAGACACAAAAGCCCTAAACCCCACGCGAGGAATCGCAGCAACGCGCTTTCAGCAGGCCTTTCAGTATCCGTCAACAGTCATTGCAAAACATCATCCTTTGACGTCTCTCACCTCGTCAATTGAGTCGTGTCATGAACAAAAAAACGACCTGCTAGAATGAATCAGCAGATTTGAATCGAATGACAAAAAATGTTCCGAGCCGCTCATGTCACGGCGGATAGCAATCAGACTCCCTTCGTGCAGTGACTCCTGGATCGTGTAAAAGGGACATATAAATGACCTGTTCCACGTGAACGTCAACGGTGCGTTGAACGAGAGTTTTGACAAGAAGGATGTCTGCTTTCCCCGCCGATTCCGTTTCACAGGACCTTGTTACGCCACTGAAGGCATGATGGATGGAACAGAGCACCTCAGAACCAGGGTCAAGTAAGACAGACAACCAAAAAAGTTCTTCTGTGTTTTCTACTTCACTTGTCGTGGCCGCTATTGGGGAAACGCACGGGTACGGGTAACACCGCGGTTCATTGCTGACGGGTTTGGCGGGTACGGGTACGGTGTTGGATATTCATACCCGTGACCATACCGCGACCCTTTACCGCGGGTTGGCGGTGTTTAACGGGTATGACTTACCAAATCGGGAACCTTGACAGCCACTGAACACCGTACTATAATTCTCTGTGTCGGCTTACTCTGAGTGCTTGAGGATCACAACCCAATGCTATACTGATTTCTGTCATGTCTTTCGTGCCCCTGTGAATCATTAATCTAGCAATTTATCGAGCTGACACTTTGCTACAGAGAAGCTCGAGTCACTACCATAAAGCCAAGGCAAAAACTCGAGACCAGTAAGTCTACCAAATCGTCTCCATGAAAACCAAGCTCGCAAAGAAGGCATATGATGCCTCGTCTACCCACTCATCGTCTAAGTCTATCTCGTCGTCCATCTCTGAGAAGGCCAAGTCACTCAAAAAGGCTGTCGCAAAGGGTGCTAAGGCTCTGGCCCGCCCCTTGAAAAAGGTCAAACAGTCATTTGTGTCTCGGTCTGCTCGATCGAAACCCACAGACACTGTTGATCTCACACTTACACTTCGCCACCAGGCCATATCAAATGCTCCACCAATCTTTACATGATATATCTTAGTCACATACTGGTGCTGCGATGGCAAAATTCTTTCAAGCAATGCTTGAATGCTTTGGGCTAACAAAGAGAGCAAGCTGATTCTGAATATTGCAGAAATCACGCTAACTTGAAGATCATAGATTCTTGCAGTTAATGCTGATAATGCGACCGCAAATGATTCTCAAACAACAAAGCTCGCGAGCCTCGATAACTCATTTGAGTCTGTCAACTGTGTTCGATGTTTTAACCATACTCTCCAGCTTGCTGCAAAAGCTTTGCTGAAGCCATTCAACTCCGAGTCATTGTCAGCATCTGAAGCCGATGATGATGTGGATGGCATTAGACTATCTCTCCGTCCCAGGTATGCCACCCTCAAATCCTTTTTCAATCAATCAGTGCTTATTATCTCGCTCAGTAACATCAACTGCGGTTGAACGTGTCTTCTCGCAGGGCCGGCAGCTCCTTCATTTTACTCGCAACCGGCTCGCACCATCAACAATTCCTGCTTTTCTCTGCCTCGGAGCCTGGGGCAGAAGTGATCTTCTGGCGATGGAGGACCTTCTAGCCTCTGTAAAGAGTCGAAAACGGAAGCGAAATGAAGTCGAAGCTAAGGAGGACGACGAGGAAAAGTAGTAATATCTATTCAGTTGTTGTTAATACACTCTTCTTGGTAATGTACCCGCGGTGTTTTTCATCTAACCGCGGTGTTGACGGGTCGGTGTGTACCCGTACCCGTGACGGGTACGGTGTCAGCTTTCCGACCCGCGGTGTTACCCGTGCGGAACCCTAGCCGCTATTATGCAGAAGTAAGGAGAAGCACGAACGAGATTGAGAAAAACGGAGATGATCCTTACATCAAGATATACCACAATACTTTTCACGAATCCATCCGGCAGGTTCATGGAAGAGCACATGGAGGTCACTGTGACCACAGTATTGAGCTAGGGTAATTACCGGCAGGAAATGATCGATCACGGATGTATACCATACTACTCTTGATGGTTTTTACCGAGCCATGCTTGTCTCGGAGTGATAAGGCATGACTAGCATGAGCTCGAGGATGAGGGTCTTAGTAATAGTAGTCAATCGATGCAAGTTGAAGTGAACAAATTTGTAAACAAGCAACAATAAAAACGCCAGATCAGCTCCTTCCTCTTGAGCTCATGCCCGATGACCATTCTGGCAAGCCGTGCGTTGAATAATGGTGTTCCTCTGTTCTATAGGAACCGCGGACACGTTCAAGACATTGGAAGGTCCTACGGAAAGGCAGCCATTTGTTCAGCTGACATGTCGTATGCTCAGTGATCTTCCAACTGTATCCTATAGAAGACAAGACAGCCGTGCTCGTCTTTCAGTCGGCTATCCTGTCTTCCATAGTATCCATTTGTTCATCATTCAGGCCTCAGGCGGTACTGCTGTCTAATCATGCACAAAATATTCAAATTCAGGCCCTGTATGCATGATACCTTGTCGTCTGAATGGTATATTTGTAGCTGCCAATGGTATGTACATACCCGCACCTATATCGATTGCAAGGATGCTGGGCAACCCGTGGCACGCAGCCATGACTGCGGCAAGCTTCTGCTACTTATCCGACGGAATCAGTGCCCATTTGTCACCTTATGTTATGGCTGTGCTTATCGTGCTTCTTTTTCCCTTGATCCACGCTTACTACACATGTCTCTTATCATGCTATATTTAGTTCGGTATTACTCAGACGCCTCATTGCTTATGCATGTGCTTACTGATACATACCTATTATTATGTCACACCCTGTACCCAGTATACTATATAAACCCTGGCTAGGTGACGCTGATTCTTCAGCTTAACCTACGCTGGTTTTCCTCTGAACATCTGACTTGACTCTAAGTTACCTCTTCGGTACTTAGTCTTTACTTGAACTTGGACTGTTCTTTAGACTGTTGTCTAGAACGTATCAATAGACCTTTGGTCTTATTGGTTATTGTTTGCCTACGTTATACTTTGGTGTAACAAAAGGTTAAGCTCTATCACAAGACGACGCTACCTTCGTAGTCGTCACGAAACATCGTGGCTTATAGAGAACAATGACAGTACTCTTTGGAGTCGGAACAAGAAACAGAACACTTTTCTGAACCAGGATCTCCTGTCCAACAAGAAAACTGAATACATAACAGGATACAGGACCTGATCAACCAGGACCATTCGAACCCACCACCCAGATTCCCGACTCCGCCTCCCCTATCTGAACCCAGACCACTTAAAGAAATGGGTGAACTCAACTTGAACCGACCGCCTAACTTTGACGGATCACAGAAACAGGCAAAGGCCTGGTGGACAACCGTCTCCACATACATTACCGTAAACAAGGCAGTCTACGACAACCATGAAAAATGCATCGCATTCGCAACGTCATTTATGACTAAAGGACACGCTCAACAATGGGCCACAGGATGGATTAACAGGAAACACGATACCGCGACCCCTATGGGAAAATGGGACGAATTCATTGATGAATTCCAATCAGTGTTCTATCCTAAGAACGACACACTCACCGCTGTGAACATAATGATGAGAGCGAAACAAACCTCGACCATCTCGGCATACATCACTTACTTCAAGCGAATCTCGGCAGAAGCCCGATGCATAGACGCAGACGTCGAAAACAACATGTTTCAGACAAGGACTTAAGAAGGAAGTCCAAGAAGCGATTCTCATGAGAGAAAAGATGCCCGCCACTATCAAAGAATGGATCGAAGCCACAAGAGAGTATGAATCTAGAAGACTCCTCATGAACTCCGGAGGAAGCTTCTCAAAGAAGAATGACCCATACGCGATGGACATAGACAAGGTCGACATCGACGAAGAAGAAGAAACAACTCCAGTTCGCAACACACGACTTTCTCGATCTGAACAAGACAGATGTCGCAAATTAGGACTCTGTTTCAAGTGTGGAAAGAAAGGGCTTATGAAGGATTGCCCTAACCACAGAGAATCTGCCCCCTGGTTGGCAGAAACCAGCCGGACGACCGGTCCATGAAACCAAGATCGAACAAGACGATCAAGACGCAGAGTATCAGGAATTCCTCGCTTGGAAAGCTTGGAAAGTGTCGAAAGTACCTTCTTCTTCTAAGAAGGATTTCTAAATGGGGAGACCGGACCGGCGTCGGAAACCCCTAGTACATCTATCGGACTCATTGTATCTTCTGTAGGCGATTCAAATTCTATGCACATTCCTATTTCGATCGAATCCTGCAAGTCCGATAAAACCGCCGAAGCAGCTGCCCTAATTGACTCGGGCGCCACTGGAACGTTCATTGACTGGAAATATGTACGAAAGAACAATTTCTCAACTCACAATCTCTCTTCACAAATCGAAGTCCGAAATGTGGATGGAACGAAGAACAAAGCAGGGACCATTAGTAAAGCCTGCAATCTATTCTTCTCAGCAGGTGGCCGAACTATGTTCGCTACCTTCCTTATTACCTCCCTAGGAGGTGAAGACATCATCCTCGGACTTCCCTGGCTCAAAAACGAAAATCCAACAATAGACTGGGCTAAAAGCGAAATCTCGCTAGAAGAAGACCCAATCATGATTCAGACCCTTATCTCAGACAGAAACAAACATGCTTCTATGCAACCAAGAATAGAAGAAATCGAAGACGAAGAAGCATATATATCCTCGAAAGAAAACCCCGAGGAACAACCGGAACTTCTACCCGAAGAAGAAGACCAAGAAGAAATAATAGAAGAACTGCAAGATGACGAAGTTCTTATCGCTTACGTTAAAGGAGAAGCATTCGTGGGAATGTATGAGAAAATCGATTTTGACTCGCCACTCACACAAGAACACATCCCCACTACTTTCTCTTTCGTGTCCCGAACCAACAGAATCTCTAAAGTTCCTAACTCTGCTCGATTCATGTTTTCTCCTCTTCCCGTACAAAAGGCTGCAAATGTCGCTCAACAACTGGCACAAGAAGCATATGCAAAAGAAAAGCCAAAGATGTTTGAAGAACTCGTGCCCGAAGTCTTCCACATGTACAAGGACGTCTTTGACAAAGCAGCCATGGATACCCTACCACCATCTCGACCCTTCAACCATAAGATAAAACTAAAACCCGACTTCGAACCACGCTCTTGCAAGATCTATCCATTGTCTGCACTGGAAGAAAAGGTGATGAACGAATTCGTAGACGAACATCTGGCGAAAGGAACTATCGTACCGTCTCAATCTCCACAAGCATCTCCTTTCTTCTTCATAGGAAAGAAAGACGGATCCCTTCGCCCATGCCAAGACTATAGAAGACTCAACGATGCAACCATAAAAGACGCATACCCACTTCCTCGCATTCCCGACCTCATCGACAAGTTGAAAGGTGCAACTATCTTCACTAAAATGGATGTTCGCGCCGGATACAACAATGTCAGAATTCATGGCCCAGATAGATGGAAAGCAGCATTCAAGACATCAAGAGGACTCTTCGAACCAACGGTCATGTTCTTTGGTCTGTGCAACGCCCCTGCAACATTCCAAGCAATGATGAACGACATCTTCTCCGACATGATAGACGAAGGTTGGATGGTCATCTATATGGACGATATCTTAATCTTTTCCAAAGACCTCGAATCCCATCATCAGCAGTACAATGAGAGTACTACAACGACTTCGTGATCACCAACTCTCCCTAAAACCCGAAAAATGTGTCTTCAACACCACCAAAGTCGAATACCTTGGCCTCCTCATCCGTCCCGGACAAATCTGTATGGACAAAGTCAAACTAGACAGAGTAGTCAAATGGGAACAACCTACTGACTGTCAAGCATGTTCGATCGTTTTTGGGATTCGCCAACTTCTACCACCGATTCATTGCCGACTATTCAACCATCGCGCGACCACTCATTGACCTTATGAAGAAAGATATTATCTTTGATTGGTCACCAGCTTGCGACAAGGCGTTTACCGACTTGAAGAACTGATTCCTTTCTGCTCTCGTACTTTCCATTCCTGACAAAGACACCCCATTTGCAATCGCCGTCGATGCATCTCTCTATGCCACCGGTGGCGTTCTCCTTCAAAAGGACTCAAATGGTGACTGGCACCCCTGCTCTTACCTTTCACAAACCTTCTCCCCAGCAGAACGGAACTATCAAATCTTTGACCGAGAACTATTAGCTATCATACGAGCATTGGAAGCTTGGCGTCACTACCTTAAAGGGTCCCCATTCCCAGTTCTCGTCATGACCGACCACAAGAATTTGACCTATTTCCTGCCAAGCCCAACAACTTAATCGTCAACAAGCTCGTTGGCTCCTATTCCTCTCTCGATTTGACCTTCAACTCCAACACGTACCCAGCAAAGACCTTTCTGTTCCAGACTCCTTGTCCCGCAGACCTGATCATATCCCCCTTGACACTGAGGACAATTCTGATGTCACTGTACTCCCAGATGGACTGTTCATCAACCTCATCGACAGCTTGTCATGAATTCCTAACACGAATCATTTTTCATTTCTCGGTTTTCCTTCGGCTATG